TATGGGATATCAATCAATCCTCTGGCAATTAACCTCTGACATCTCGACGAAAAACTAGTCCTGTGAACTAAACCTGATGGGGGTGATTTTCGGAGTACGGCGGATGGACCACGGTCGGCGGGTGATGCGCGCTCCTGCAAAAACATCGGGCGTTTTCGAACCCCAGAAACCAAGCTTATATCAATATGGATTGGCCTCAAATTTGATCTGACTATCAAACCGAATTGCTTTTACAACATATTCAAATTTGGGGTATCTTTGTCAGCAAAAATGTCAACACAATGGGCCCCGAAACCCATTTTACGACGGCAACCCTAAAACCCTAGAAACCCTACGGCACATTGAATTTACGCCCATGGGGTGGGGTCCCGCTGCGGTCGGCGGTCGCGGACTGCGCGAATCTGATGGGGCGCGGGCCCTCCGGGCACGCACCGAGGGCGCCGGGAGCACGCACGGGGGACCAATCAGAGGGCGAAGAAGTCGAGCGGGCCCCGGGTGGAACACCCTCTAGAGTATAGGGGACAGTAGAAGGTCCATTGACCTCCATCTTCCCAGACGAGCTTGTGATAGGGTTCCGGAGGGAGCTTGGACGCAACTGATAGTCGTGGCCAGATTGAGGCCCCATGGTCATAGTGACAACGGCGGGGAGAATCGCCCCGAGATCTACTAGTTTGGAGGGAACCATCTTGAGGAATGCTTCGATATTGCCTGGGATGGGCGGCAGTTCGATATCCAAGGGCATTGCCTGGGCGAATGATATCCAGCCATGTTGAGGTAAATGTCCATATTGCGTAGTGGGAATGATTGGGCACCTAGATACGCATGCCGGGAGCGAATTCCGTATCAGTTCTTCATTCCAGCTCGACCACCAGCGATACCGTTGGTGCTTGTCCCGGCTGAACAAGGTCTGTTGGTCTGGGTACGGCAGCATCCAATGCGTGCTGAGAAAGCGATGTTTCAGGCATGCTTGCCAGGAAGTGGCTATTTCCTCACCATAAATTTCTTGGATTTTGATCACACAGCGGCGGTACAGTGTACGATATGGTTTATGAGCCCAGTGCAGGCGGCTATACTCGTCAGGATGCAGCCCCCATAGCCAAGCAAATAAATGATCAACACGCCTAATGCCACAACGACTGCCAGTCAGGATGGCAGGAGGCCAGTGTGTGTCTTTTAATACCCGTTGTAGGGAGGGCTTGCTGAGCGCTACCTGCCCAGTCTCTGCAATGCTCTGAAATTCAGGGCGTATGCCCGCCTGCAAGACAGTCAGAATATCTTTCCGAAAGGCGCGCAGACAGAAGTCAATGAGGAGGGAGAGCAGCGCAGTAGACGCGGTATGGTCTCGCTGATACTGAATTATATACAGAAAATAATCCTCGAGTAGAAGAAAATCATTCTGGTATTTGCGGACGCGCTCGTAATTGACTCGAAACTGGGCCATGACCGCTGGTGTGTGGAGGTCCATGTGGAGACGATGGGCTGGGCGGAAACCCATAGTATCCCAGTGGATCTTGTTAAGGAACCAGCCATAGCCGTGGCGTTGAATAGTGGTTCCCAGTCCAATGCCCTCCCGATACTGAATCTGGCCATTGGACCCCGGAACTTCTTTCACGTCTTGCCAACACGCCCGGCTTTGCTCTAACCGGTTCCCGCCTCCGCCAAATGCCCGTCGGAGACAGCGGAGGAACAGGATCATTACCTGGGTGCGATCCCAGGACACCATAGAATGGCGCTGCAGACTATTTGTTAACTCGAATCCCGCACATAGCCGATTTATGTTCCACCGGACCCATTTAAGGATAGTCGCAGTGGAATGGATATAGAATGGTTGACTTGATGGATTTTGAACCACCCGTTGAGTCGCGCGGCGTCGCTGAAACTCCTGATTAATTTGGATCAGGAGGTCTTCGCGCACCCGATGCTCTTCCCGGGTCCCAAAAGATTTTCCAATAGATGCATCGATTGCAGTGGCACACCGGGACTTGCTGTGGATGTACGCGCGATGGAGGGTGTTTCGGTCATGAAAACCTTTCCCGATATGCTGCCAAGTTTGATATGACTCGTGGTCCAGGGCTGGAGCCTCTAACAGTGGATTACTGAAGGGGTACTGATTTCCAGCCGCAAAGATCTCTTTGACCGAGTTGTAGAACTGGCTGTAAAGGAGCCCGGTCTTACGGAGGTGAGATCTAGTCCGGGTTTGGATCGTCAAGGACCCTGTATCTCGGAGAAACGAGAAAGGATAAAATATTGTCTTCCCCGGGTTCTGGACTAGCGGGGAGCGGAGAAGCTTGTCTAGACAGCATTGTTTCCAGAGCAGAGTTTGCCCCCGGATGGGCTGGCCAGAATCGGGGGTAATAGGACATGTTTCCTTCCCAATATCAAAGAAGACCTCGTGAATATAACTCTGGTTGGCAGTGCTGCTCCATAACTGTTGAAACCGATGTTGCATATCGGACCAGGTCGCGGACTGTGTACGGAGCTTTAGGTTCTTAGCACTCAGGAAAAGACGAACCCCCTGGAATTCGTCTAGCCCCTTTGCTCGAATAATTTGATGAACAGCCTGCCAGATATGATCTAGGTGCTCGGGGGGCAGAAAGTAGCTGAGTAGCTGTTGACGGGACTGTGTCTGGATCGATCGGCCCTCCGCCCACGCCGCCCATGAGTTTGAGTTGCTATGACTGAAACTGGAAGGGAAATGCTGTAGCCGGGCATCGGAGTAGTATTGATGGACCGCTGGGAGGAGGATATCGTCTATCCAGACCCGAAACTGATCATCTGGCAGTCGGCTAGACTTCTGCTGGGGCTGATGGAGTCTAGGGAACAGGGCGTAGATCGATGCATCCTCGAATCCCGACACCCGGGCAAACGTGTAGTGCTTAACGCGATGTAGCGGTACTGAGACGCAATGTAGGTGACCGTGGCCATCTGTGAACTGAACCGGGAGTGGATCTAAGTGAAGATCCGACTGGAGGTCCGAGACCGGCCGCTGAACAGGATACCAGTAGAGGCCTTGGGAACAGACAGCTGGACTGGTTACATGAGCTAAGACACTGTCAATATCGAAGTGGACGGCTGCTGGCCCTAACTTCTGTTCTCCCCGGGCCAAGCAGATAGCAGGCACGCTGCTGGGTTGTCCCGCATCGGTTCCGCAGAAGACTTTTTCACGCTGTTCTGGTGGCCAGTCCTCGATCAATTGGTCACCAGACCTGGCCAGTCTGGTAGTGCTGAGCACGTCGGGACAGGGCCAGCTGAAGACCTCGTTCAGACCGTGGCTCGGTGATCCGACTGGGTTCCGCTCGTGCTTATATCGCGTATGGCAATCAATGCAGCACTCGGGAGACCGGAGGAGCTGTTCCGCGAGTAGCGCTCCGGTACTTTTCGTTTCTTGGTCTGGAGTGGGACTCTCTAGCTCGGTATCCGAATCGACGATGATGTCAGGATCTGGCACGTCCACATCAGGCCACACGTCATTCGTGTCGCTCAGAATACGTGTATGATCACAGCCGGACTGGTTAGGGGATCGGATCGGAGATTCTTCGTTATCCTCGCTGATCAGTGCCGCGGGCGATGATTCGCTAGTCCGTGAGGGATCGAGCGGATGATGATCTGGATTTGCGTTCACAGGTATGCTATCTGGCAAAATACAGGTCGAGTCGGCGGACAGAGATCGAGGGAGAGCGGCACTTCCAGGTTCAATGACTGCAGTTGGTGTGGGGCTCAGAGGAAGCGAGAGCGGCTGAATGTCTCCAGGCAGCGTGGGTTCCTCTCGGGGAAGGGCAAAAGAGGGAGTGGTAGGAAGAACAAGCCCAGCAACAGGCTCGGCGGTTACGTGAGCGAGATTGGCACAGTACGGACCGATTTGAGACGCATAGTTGGCAGCCTCGGCAGCCCTGGCGGACTGTCGCCGTCGCTGATGCCGTCGTTGAATCGTGCGAGCCTCGCGCCTCTGCTCCACGGATGGGTGTTTTCGTGGTCGGCCACGCTTTCGAATATTAGGACCTGTGGCTAGTAATGTCATGTTAAACTTGGCTCCTCAGCGGTCGATCGCACGTGGGGATGAGAAGCGCTGGATTCACCCCTGCAAGGCATGGTCAACAGGGCGGATGGAAATAGGGGCTGCAATGAATAAGTTCGCGGCACTAATTGAGGACACAAGATTCGATAGGTCAGAAAATGCATCTCTGATCAAAGAGTAAGAAAGTTACACTAATGACCAAAAGAGGTTTAACTTGGCACTATTCCAAAATCGGTTTAGCTGTCGCCGAAAATCGATCACTGTCGCCGAAATTATGAACTTCAAAAAGTCCCCAACTTCCCTACCTTCTTTTGGCTCAACCAGAGATGTTGGAGGAGTTTCAAGTGTGGATTCTGATTAAGCAGATCTTCTTTAACCTCTATCTACGAGACCAAATCCCTGCGACCCTGGGGTGGCTCTGGTCCTGGCCATGAATTACCCGTTAGATTAATATGTAAAAAGAGAAATGGCTTTAGAGTCTGGCGGATGCGGGCTTTCTAATCATGCTAAAATAATCTCCATCCGGGCGTTGTGGTGTTGTGGTGTTGTGGTCACCTGCCACAATTTGCCTGTTGGAAGAGCATAAGAACAACAAATAATGGTATATCGTAAGTAGCTCCCCACTTTCGACGACAACATACAAAAACAAACAGAGTTGGATCGAAAACAAACGGAGTTGAATCGGTTGCTAGCGGTAAGATAACTGCCGTTCAGTTCCACACCTTCCACTTTTCATACCCCAATTTCATTCACTCTTGAAGCTAACGGGATATATTGTCGATATATGCTGTCAACGGCGGCTTTTCGATGACATGAAAGAGCCAATAGCCCTAGCTGGAGTAGGCGGCTATGGCAGAGGTGAAGGCTTGGGCAATCTGAGTCTGGATTGACGTAGCCGAGGGAACTAGATCGCTTGGTGTGGCCTCTATTAAAGCGCTGGTGAAGTCGATGAAGGACTCGTTGAGATTCTGGAGGTCGTTGAAAACTAGAGCTTGGCCCCCGGAAAATCTGCCCAAGCAGCTGTTTGATCCGTAATAGCAGACAATGTACCCAAAAATGTAGAGAGTACGTTGTAGGCGGCCTGAAGAACAGAGGTCGCATCTGACTCACTAAAGGAGCCAGTGTTCTGGGTATCGATAGTCGCATTATTTACGGTAGCAACGAGAGATTGGGAATCGTTGTCAATCGCAAGTGCTCCTGCTAAACCACTAGCGGGGAAACCCTTGACGTCGTTGTCAAGGGTTTGGACTTGCGGGCCGATTTTTTGCGTTATATCGTTCTCAACCGTAGCAGCATCGCGGGGAAGGATAGGCGTGGCAGCAGCAGTTAATGCCAAAACGAAAATTTTAGCAATAAATACCATGTTGTTTGTTTTGGTGAGAGTAACTAGAGTATGATAATATGGTTGTGAAAGCCTAGGAGCGAGCTCCTTGCGCTCTATATATATAGTGCGATAGGCCGAATAAAGGTAACACCAGGATATAAGGCAGACAATCGTAACACATACAGCGCAGCTTGGCTCATTCTGCATATGCGAAATTGCCCAATATGCCACGCATTATGTGTCACCATTTTCACTAGTTAGCTGCACCTTTTCTCAAATAAGGACGGAGAATGTAAAAAGGCATTCTCCACCAGATTCCGCGAGATACTGACCTAAGCTCAGAACTGGCACAGGGCCCTACCGCATTGGTCAAGCCTCTACGGGTGGATACGGGAGTATACGCTAGCGAAGCTAAATTCCAGTAGTCTTAGACGATCCTACGTAAGGGTACTGGAATCTAGCTTCGCAAGGACAATAGCTGGGTTATTCTGTCGACGTGCTGTACCCGTGCACTTGAGTCGGACAATCCCCCCAGGGGAGATAATTTAACGAGAGCGCTTCTGTGCCTAGTGAACAGCAACACGAATCTCGGCAATATACAAGTAGGGTCTCGGGTGCTCTTAACCTAGCTACGTCGTCTAAAAGATAATGAATCTCGTGAGCCCTGAGTGAAGTGTAAAGCGGATCCCTTGGTTCCTTCCTCGGTTTCTCGATTTTCGCCCTATTGCATTCTTGAGGCTTTTTCGGCCAGATCGATATATGGGACGATCTGCGATCGTCCCACCCTTCCGCAGGTATTATCTACCCCTCCCGAGTTAAATTCGCTACACTCAGACCGCTATTTACGGTAGGACAAATGAATTAAGAGAGAAGATTCCTATTCCGGATATTGAATCTTGAACAATTCTTCGTCTACATCTCAGCTACATGCTTGATTCGATGTACTGTATGTGAATACGGATGCCTTGAGAAACATAGCGCGTCCGCTGTACTGTTACTGAGATTTCTGATATGAAGCTATTTTCACATTCTCAGAAGGGCTTAGAGGAATGGAGTTTCGGCGGTGTACCTGTATGGCAGCAGGTTGGTGGCTCACCTGAAGGGTAACTATATGACAACCTCGGACCCCGCGCTGCTGATCACGTTTGTTGGTTTCTTCTTCTAGTTGATTTCAAAGCATATCATGCCAATAAGAAGATCTCTGTTGGGGGTCTCTTTCTGACCCCCAAGAATCAGTCTTGCCTTCGAATACAAATTGGTTCCATCCTCTTACCTGATTGACAGGCTTCCTACGCTGTGAGTAGATTTCCTATTACATGTGCACAGTACTACAGAATAATTCACGTGACCTAGCGATGAGTTTTTGAGATCTGCAGCATGTCTAGATTGGAAAAGCGCAGTACGAAATATCTCGTATATATAGTATTGCTTTCGCCACTCTCGTGAATTTCTCAACCACCCATCTGGGCACTTTCATCACTAGCTGAAACATTCTATTTTGATTTTCATTCCAGTAGCTATGCTGCTACGTGTCCTCTACTCGCGATTGGCTTCTCGCCCCCGCGGCTATTCTGACTGGTCCATTTGAACAGTCTTGTCGGACCCATTTGGCGAATAGGCCAGCCCCGAAAATCCACAAATAGGCAAGCGGGGTTATTATGTTCTTCTCCGTCTCGTTGCGACTAGGGGCTCCTTGGAGACACCACTGTAGGGGAGTAGGGAGAAGGTGGGAGTGGCGGGGGAGCTTGGTGGGCGTGATTAATTTTGGATCTGTTACAATACATAGCTAGACAGCTAACTCATGTTCACACGGTTTGCGTTATTACCATGCCCTGAAATGAACGTAGTGAGAGGAAGGGTTTACCTTCGTGCCCAGGGATTACCCTTGAAGAAAAAAACATTTTTTTTTTTTATCTTTGATGTTGCTGTTAGCCAAATCCTGCTTCTTCATCTTCATTGTTTGCATTTTTCAACCCTTTCTCTCATTTGCTGTCAGTTCTCTCCATGCTCTCTTCTGATTGCTGTTTGCAATATTGCTCTCTTAGGTTTGGTGCTGGCGCTTTTTGCACTCATTCACTGGGCCCTTCCTCTTCTACTCTGCCCTTATCTAATGCTTCTGCTTCCATGTGCCGCCTTATTCGCCATTCCCTCTCGTTTATTGCCTGCATCCTTTTGCTACGCACTTTTATGAAGTCGTCTTCTGATTGGTTACGCTTCTGTATGACTTCGTGTTCGACTACACCGCCGCTACTTTTCTGCGTTCTGGTGCGGATGCCCCTCCAGCCATTTCCCTCTAAAGTTTGAGTGTAAATCGTCCTACGCCCCGCGCCTGTCTTCTTGTGCTTTGTGCTGCTATCTTCTCTGCCCGCCGCTTGTGTCTCCGGCTACGATTTACTATATGCACTTAATAATAGTCCTTGCTCCTTCCTGAATTTCTATATCAGGATGTCGTTCGACTACTACCTAAATACTTTTCCCTCACGTCGCCAAAGTTCCGCAGCAATTCCTGAAAAATGACTTTGGGATCACTTGCCACACCCACGGACTACGATCACCTCGTACAGGCGTGTATAGGTGCACGAATTAAGATTCCATTTTTGCACGAGCTCTCACCGGACTGGCGGCCAAAAGTGAACCGTCAGTACAATGATATCGTTGAGTAAACTGTTGAAAACTGGCGTAAAATGTAAAATCCCCGCTCTTTTTGTTTACTTGATCCCGGAAGGATTAACAATCTTGAAGTTGGTTACCTGACGCTTTGCAATACAAACGGAATGTGGAAACAAACTGCACGTTTCTTGCAAGCGCCGTAGCCCCTGAAGCGACAGAGTCAAAAATGCGAGTTTTTGCATTGTATGCTACCTGGGTAAGCACAGCTCTTTCCTATCCATGTACCAACATGAATTAGACTAAACAATGATCTCTATATAGCTCTTTGCCTGGGATGATGGAACAAATCCACCGATTCCAGCTAATTTTGAACCTTTTGCTCACTTAATAGCGGTTGATTTCGGTGATTTTGATGAAGGATACCAGCAACGAGAGCTACTGCGCATCGAAACCTCGAACAGCATTCGCAAAAGCCTTCTTGACGAGTATACAGTTGAGGATCCGGCCCATATTGCTCCCAATTTTGCACTGGCGCAGTCATTCTACATGATAGGTGTGCAAGTCCGAGAAAGCACGAAACTCAGTAAGTTAACTTCAATTTTAGAAAGGGAGAACCGCAACCTTATAAAACCCAAAGTGCACATTAAAAAGCTTTATTGCGACACTCTATGTGACTACGTTGCTGCAGTAGTGAAGTTGCAGAACTGTTTTGAAAAGGGTGTTATATTTGGTATAGATGAATATATGGCCCTCCGGATGGATGCTTCTGCTATTTACCCCACAATAGCTCTTAGCCTGTGCGACTCCCAACCTTCAAACATAAATCACTAATACTGACTCTGAGTTTTAGATTGTCACAAGATATGGATGTTCCAGAGTGGCTGCTTGACCACACCCTGGCGAAGGAAATGATGAGGCACATCAATATCATGGTATCGCTGTAAGCAACACTCTATACTCCATCTTGGACACTATCCAGTATCTCGCTAAGCCTTATAATAGCGACAACGACATTGTTTCTGCAAGACATGAAGTGGTAAGAAATATTCTATGTTTACTTATCGGAATCTTACAGCTCACAAGATCAGAGATGCAAACATACAGATAACATTATTCCTTTACTCGTTCACCATCAAGGAATGACACCCCAACAGGCGGTGAACCATTGTTGCCACTTGATCCGCAGCAGCTACATTGCATTTCAGGAACTTGAACCCAGACTTCTTAAAATCGGAGCCGAACATGATATCATAGACAAAGTTCACGCATTTCTGAGGTGCTGCAAGAATGAACGTATCGGACTTATCAATTGGCTGTGAGATCTCTCGCCCAAGGAGCAAATAATCAATACGTTTCTAACACAAAATAGGTATACCATCAAGCGGTATTTCGATTTCCGGCCGTCGAATGGAAATACTCATATTGAGGTAACTCTCGGCGACTAAAAAAACAGAACTTTATTCGTTGCTTGTCAAAGTACCGAGTGCGAAAGGTCTTGGAAGGGTCTCGGGATATAACATGGGTCCTCATATTGTTGAACTTCCCAAACTTCAAACTTTATAATTTAAAGCATTCAACATGTAGCGTAGTTTCAGATTGAATTGTTACTTTTTTGTGGGCTATTCAAGCTACCATAAAGCACCCACATACGTATGAGCCACGAGGTATGTAACTGTCGAGACATGCAGTGGTTACTTACCACTAGCAAGCGATTGGCTACCGGGAACCCGCGTTTCTATGTGTCTTGTATTGTAATTGGTTAAACTGCCAATATCGGAGTTCTAACCACCGGGTAGCGGCACATTCATAGGGTATTTCAACCTGCCCTTGGCCGCACGGGCCCTGAAACGAACGAAGTGAGAGGAGGGCTTTACCTTCGTGCGCAAGGAGTAAGTACCCTTGCTGTCAAAAACTTAATCTTTGATGTTGCTGTTAGCCAAATCATGGCTTCTAATTCGCCAGTTCTGTCCACACCTTCTTCTGAACGCTGTGTTGTAAATTTCAATTTTAGGCTTAGTGCTGGCGTTTTCCACTTTATTCGCTGGCTCTTTTCTCTTCAACCCTAATGCTGATGCTCCTTACCCCGCTGCCTATTCGCTATTCCTCGACCGCATGCTTTTGCCACGCACTTTTTTAAAGTCATCTTCTAATTGGCTTGCCATCTGTATGTCTTTCATGTTCGGTTACATATATCGCACTAATAGTAAGGCAAAAGGGAGCCGGGTTAGGCCGTAATGCGTCAAAATGTCTTTCTCCGAAGGTGGACCAAGATCAGCACTCCGCAGAACAATCTAGTTATCTTGGCCTTTTCGTCCGGGTTTATACTCTGCCAGCTCCGATTATATTTTTGCTTGCATTTGGGGACCAGAGGCCGACCGCCAGTAGGCTCTATAGCGAAGTTAGGAAAACAGGTGTGTGACGGGGAGGAAGGGGGTTTGTTTCCAAATACGTGTCTGGGGGGCTCATTAACTGCAAGTGTGTAAAAAGTAAATAGATGTCCCTTCCACGATGTGCCTTCCACGAGGTGCATATGAGATGTCTCTCGCATGCCCGGTATTTGATTGTTTACAGCGCATGAAGATCAACTCATACTTGCGTCTCCCCCTCTTCCTGCGGCCCAGGTATCTAATTTTAGAGGCTGAAGATTAAGCTTCACTGTGGTTCGCGCCCTCCCCCCCACCCCTTCCCTCCTTTTATTTTAACTGTTGTCGTCTCCAATAGTATATATTAGGCTTACCCTAATGCACACTCCGCCTTTGTAAGTACATATGTTGTGTAACCAGAATAAACAAGGTAGTGGAGCGGGGCTCCGTCACCGAAATGGAATTCAATAGTAGTTTGATATAAGTAGGGCTATAGGGATCCCATTTCTCGGTCCAAAGTCGTTATACCATGGCAACCATCTAATCATCCTTAGAGTTAGATCTTGACCGAAGTGCCTTGCGCCTTTCGTGGCAGAATATTATCTCCATGACAATCCAAATACTCTTTCCTGGCCTATAGAGCGTCTGTTGTGAAGGGCTGAAGCCGAATTGATTCAATACTGACTAGGCCAACATGCTGTTTACAAAAAGCTTGGTGAAGAGAAGGAATGGAACAAGCGGAACAGCGATAGAAGGTAAGGCGGTGGCAGAACGGAAGTGCGGGGAAAAGACTATATGGCAGGGCCATATAGTAAGACGCGGGTCCAACCCGTTACATCTGTATGCACAGAACTTCCATCACGAGGCTACCTTATCTAAGCCTTCTTTGGCTGATGAAGTCCGTGGCCGGAAAGTGAAGCTCGAATTAACTTTGCTCCGACTAGAGACCTCCCCCAACTGTCTTTACCCCATGGCAAGTTGCCCTGGTAAGTCTCCCATCTGACCCTAATTTTTGGTTCAACCTATCTGTGGCCCTCGAGGATATCTATACATTGAGGCTGGAAAAAAATATCAGACATTGGTAAGCGACGTGACCTGGCCGCTGAGGAGATTCCCGATAGTGCCGAATAGGCTCAACACTATTTCACTTTTGAAATGGCGAAAAATGCTCGATAGTGAAGTTTAATAGAATACTCTAGTTCTAGAATACACCCCCCCACACCTCCCCGACCTGACCCCTACATTTGGGATTCTCGCTATTTCCTGATTGCTATGTGTGTGTTTTTGTGGTGGTTTTTCTCCTGAATCGACCCGCACGTCTCAGCGCGTGCTGCCATCGAGCGTTCCCCTCTTCAATATCTAGCTCCTCCTACTCCGAGAGTGACTTCTGGGAGTCGACACTGGAGTCACGTATATTTCTCTTAAGAGATTAATAATTAGTGAATCCGATCAGGTGTGGCCTTAGAATTGTCAGGAATTAAGGTATGGCCTCATGCACCTGGCAAACTTGGGTTGATATAGGTACCTGTGTGTAAAAATATATGCCTCAAAAACGGGGATACACATCTATATTCTAAATGTGATAATTCGGTGTGGTGAAGCTTAGGTCTGGTACGATCGTGCGACCGGAGTGTGGATTATTCTCCAACTGTATCATATAGCAATTCTTGTCCAAATGAATCGTGAATAGTCTATGACTGTGCCTGGCAGAGTCGCTGCGGTCGGCGGTCGCGGATTTCGCGAATTTGACGGGGTGTGGGTCTTCCGAGCACGCATGGTGGGTGCCGGGAGCACGCACTGTGGGCCAATCAGACGGCGGAGGAGTCGGAGGGAGTCCCTCCTTTAAGGCATTATGGATTAAGCTTGATGGTGCCAATGCCCTCAGCTTCAACTGGATCTCCCGCTGTGTCTAGTTTGTCATGGTGGATTCGGAAACTGCTAAAACAATCCCGGTCCCAACAGATATGGCTAGTAGCAGCAGAGTCGAGTATCCACCGGGAATTCGGCGCGTGGGTATAGAGAGTCGTCACTCTCGCCCTCACAATATTGATCCTTGGTCTCTTGTAAGAAGTCGGCGGGCCCTGCCGTTCTTCTGCCTGGCCTTGATGTGATTCATTTTGTGGTGAACCAGAAACACTCCTTTCTGTTTTGACACCGTTGTCCCGCTTAGGGCGCAAATGCGGGTTCTTTTTCCAGCATTTCGAGACTTCATGGCCTCGTTTCTTGCAGTAATTGCATTTCTTGACAGACGCCTTCACTGTGTTAACTGACGGTGCTACGCGCGGAGGAGTTGGAGAGTTCTTTGCTGAAACTGTCTGTTCAGCATTTGCAAGGCGATTCCCAATCATGGCGGGATTGTCCGGATCCTTGTCATTTTGGATGGCATCAACTATCAGCGCATATTCCGGTCCGATCTGAGTTAAGAGGATTGCAACGTGTGCGTGATCCCCAATTGACCCTGGCATGATCGCATTTAAGCGATGTACTAGCAATCGGACTCGATCAACGAATTCACGTATACTAGTGCAGCTAGATCCAGTCGTTTCTTTGAGCTGGGCGAAAAGTTCACAGAATGTAGCTAGCTCCATTCGTCTATATCGTTCTTCAAGGTTCGTTCCAGAGATCTCGAGATGTTTCTAGCCCTGCAACATGAACACTGATTTCGACGGAAAGATATCGAAAGATTGTGTGATAGGCTTCAGCCTCACGTTTGGACCATTCCTGATGTCGCTCAAAAGCCTGGACTTCAGCTTCTAGACGAGCTTCGATAGCCTTCTGTCTTGGGGCTCCAATAAGTCGTTCATCAACCAGTGGAACAATGTCGGCCGTAATCGGTTTTGCGTATTTAAAAAGGCAGTTAGGGCGTTGGAGATCTCCGGACACGACATCCCAGACTTGTCTTGCCTTTAAGTAGGAGGTCATAAGATGCTTCCAAGTTGCATAATTATCACTGCCTGTTAAAGGCTCAATAGCCGCGATATTTCGGTCGGGAGACTCGGTTAGATGTGCAGGCATCGTGGCTATGCCTGAAGTGCGGGGTAAATATAGCTTCAACAAGTTATAGTATGCAGTGGTTCTCAGAGTAAGTGGAGACGACACCCGAGAAGTTAGCACCCGGGCTCATAACCTGTTGTAATTCAAAGGAAGATTGCTTGTTTTTCTGGACAGAAAACTTGAGGGTTTATATACACATACGACCTCCAGATTGAATTCCAATCAAAGCTGGTAATTCCGTGAGGTTAGGAATTGATTCCGTTACGATACGACATATCACAACAAGTTGGAAAACACCCCTAGATCCCACACACCGGTCCTCGGCAGTCACAACACCGGAGCCGCAGCCCAGCGCAAGAATGCGTACACCACGCAAGGGATGTTATCCATCAGTTGCTAGCAGTGGGTCACCGCTAGTTTATTCTGACAGGAGGATATATCCCGACACGTGTAGATCATTGTCGGTGAAGGATTTGGATTGTAGTCCATGCCTGATGACGTCACTATTTCCACACTATGAGGAATCCTTCTCACTGCGTGCAAGAGGGAGGTTTAATGGTTAGACGACCATAGTTGAGTTTGGAGATCATCGAATCAACTTTTCATGGAAAAAGATCTGTGCATCACATGAAGCGGTGACGGTGAGTTGTTGGGTAAGATTATGCAGCAGGTAGTGGAATCCAGAGGGCTGTCCACAAGATCGATGGCTTTAGGGAAGGGTTTCCCTAGGCAAGAGGAAATTGTGGGTATTTATAGGGTGTGACTGACCCAGGGCGATGCGAAGAGTATTCATATGATCATTCGCGGAAACCTAGTTGGGTGAAAGAATTGTTCAATTGTTGATAAGCGGCACATGCTATCGGCCGAATATCGCTCTTTATATTTAGCCATTAGACATTGTAAGCTCTATATCGCCCATCTTGCGACGAGCATTACCGAGTGTAGCTCTAAAGCATCACTTTCCTATACGGACGATATTGAATGAACTGTGGAATCGGACGTTTTAGTAGACCTATTCACCAGTTCAGGGTTAGAAAATACCATGATCGAAAAGGCGTATAAAGATGATTTCAGAGTTATCATAGTCGGAGGTCCAGCTGCAGGCTTGACGCTTGCCAATTCTTTTTTTCGCAGGAATACCAACTTCCTGGTGCTTGAAGCTCGAGCTGAAATTGCGCCGCCCTCTGGTGCTGTTCTTGAGGCATCATGGCTGACGTCTTGCAGCACCAGAGACATATTCATCTGTGTACTGTTGAAAATGACAGCTTCTGCACTTTTTTACTATTTTCCTTGTAGATCACACAAGAATATATTGGTTAGCTCTGCTCCTACCTACTGCAAACGATTGGACCGAGAATTATAAACATTCACTCAGTAACTTCCAAATGTAACGCACGCAGATATCAATAGAAAGTTGTATAAAGCTGTGTACCATCTATACGAAATGCGGTCACTTCCGATTGTCCTGAACAAAGCCATACGGAAGATGAGTCCCAAGGTCAAGGCAGCCACAATGGTGGATACGATCACTGTTGATTTATTGTATCGGTAATGTAAGACGCAACGAAAGACGTAGATATACTAGAGTGAGATGTTAATAAATGGCGATACTATAACTCCTAGACAAAGAAGCTCACCGCAAAGACGGAGAGAGCGGCGGATGTATAAATGCGGGCTTAAAATTAGATGTCAGAATAAATCTGGACAATTCAATGAACGAGATCGTACCTGCGGCATCGCCTAGCAGCATTGGCGTGGTCCAACGACCACAAGCCCTATCACCTGGAACATCGCGGAAGTCCTGGATTGACACAGTGAAAAATACCCATATGGAAATTATTTTCACCCAGTTCCACCCGACTTCGACACCAGAACCTCCGATCTCCCAGCAGGCCATCAACTGCGCAACTGTTCCTAATGCCATAGAGAGGTCCTTTGCGGGTCCAAATCTAGCTGTGTGGAGAGGATATGATATGAAAACTGTGAAGACCCATCCTAATGTCCATTGATGAATGCCGAGGAAGTAGCTGTACATAAGCCACACTCCAGTTGAGATATAGTATCGAGTCTTCGTTACAGTGGCCGTTGTTACCTTAGACGCGATTGGTCGATTAGGCTTGTTGATCTCATCTTCCAAGCCCCCTCCTTCTGCATTATTTGCAACGTCGATGGTATAGGCATATAAAAAGCCGTAAGTCAAGGCTTCTGTTAGTATAATTAGCCCCCAATCATGAATGTTGATACGGGTTATGCTTTCATACGGGCAATTGAACCAAACATTTCATCAAACTCTGCTCCTCTGTGGAGCAGTGATGCCGTTGTGAATATAGGGAAGGGCAGGAAAGCTGCATCAATGTTGCTTCTCATATAATAGTACGATAAGCATACCTCATGCTTCACGTAGTGATATAGCGCCTTCGCCGCAAAACTTGCGTATTGTTTGATCTTCAAGTACAATTTGTAAATTATCATTACGAGAAGGAGGATGAAAATGTAACTTGTAGGAAAGACAGCATAAAGAATGGATTAATGGACCTGAGAACTGTCTCATTTATACCTAGATTTTTTTCAATGTGCGTAAAATGTGTGTTGGTATTCATTTGGGAATTGCCCTGTATACATGCACTATGACCTCATGATTAGTGCTAGTTGGCAATGCCTTGCTTGGACACACACCGCTATTACAGATAGAGTTTAGTAGAATGAATAACATACAGGAGAATAACATACAGGAATTCGCTTTAATTTGTTGGCCTATGAAAAACCTCGGACATAGTAGTATTCATTTTTATGTTCGTGGAAGAGCCCAAAACGCATTGAGGTTTTGATATAGGTTCATATGCAGGGATGATGTTATAGGTTGCAGATATCGGTCACCATGGTTGGCAGGTAGGGAGTTCTTATCCTAAAGCAGACCGACATATGTATCTATCCCAGCAAGTCACGGTTATTAATTCTATGTTCGTTGCGGGTTAAAAAATGCGAACAATTTGATCTGCGCTAAGAAAAACCATAAGGAAAAGATCAAACTGCGATGTATGTGGGAAAATAAGGGGTATTTTTCCTTAATATTGACGAAAAATCTTTTATCCCGCTACCAAAAACTACAATATTTATTGTTGCGTCAGATTGATAACTGATTGTTGAATAATAATGTTCAAATACTATTGCCTTTACAATGGTGCTTTGGGACTTGCCACTCCTCCCTGGTTCACGTTACAGTACGTACGTAACATCAACTGGCCGCACCATCCCATTGTGGCTGCATATACATGGTGCATCCCCACATCTGCATGATGCGTTGTACAGGATGTGTTCATGAACGAAGTAGGCATTCGCTTTAACGTAAGTGGGTAGGCGTGCAATTCTTTATAATTAACTGGAAATTATAAGTAGTCTGATTAAAGAATCCCAAAGTGACTGCTACCCAGTCCTGATACGTATTCTGGACCTTTTCATGTGCTTTTAATTTAAGAGCACCAAAATGGCACTATCCAATACCAATATCCTTCTAAGTGTTACTGGCTTCTTTTTTCTTGGTTGCATGTACCTCTTTTGCCAACGTGCACGGAGACTGAAGCTTCCACCTGGCCCGAGACTTCTTCTACCGACCATGGTTCCGAGTCGAGATATCTGGCGAACTTTCCAATAATGGCACGAAAGGTATGGCCCAGTCATTAGCTTAAGGGTAGGATCCCAGACTGCCATTATACTTGGTGATCGCGAAGCAGCAAAGGCCCTTTTGGCTAGACGAGGCAACATCTACAGTTCACGCCCCAACTCGGTACTCATCAAAAAGTATCTATTTAAAGACCGCCTGCCTGCAATGATGCCATATGGTCCAGAGTGGCGACTTAATCGGCGAATCCAAACGTCTCTTCTGAGCACCCGGGCTTGTGAGGCTTATTGCATACTCCAAGACATCGGAAGCAAGCAGCTTTCATACGAAATGCTAACAGCCGACAATTTTACGACACCCTGCCATCGCTTTACCTCTACTGTTGCGTTTGCTCTGGCCTATGGTGGAGGGTTGCGCACACACTATAACCAAGCCAAAGAGCTGAAAGATATAGACGAACTTACTAGCCTTGGCTTCCAGGCAGTATCTATCGGCAGCTTCTTGGTTGACATTTTTCCGATTCTTGATCGAGTCCCAATATTCTTTTCGAGTTGGAAAAAAAGCGCTGAGCAGATCCATGAAAATATGCGGCAAAAGTTTACTAAATTGTATGATGTTGCTCTCCAAGATCAAACTTGGAATTGGGCCCGACAGGCTCTCAAAAAAAGCGAAACTCAGGATTTGTCTCATGAACAACGTGCATTCTCTATTGGTGAACTCTATCTCGGGGTCACCCATTCGAATCATATAGTCTTGGAGGTCTTCGTCATGGCCAGTATCCTCCACCAAAGTGCCGTGCAGCAAGCCCAACAAGAACTTGATTCGGTCATTGGGTCCCAGAGGTTACCGTTGTTTGAGGATGCGACAAAGCTTCCTTACGTTAACGCCTTCATTACCGAAATACTTAGGTGGTGCCCGGTCCTTCCACTCGGCTTTCCCCACCGCGTCTCCACGGACGATGAATACATGGGTTACAAGATTCCTTCCAATTCCATTATCTTTACCAATCAATGGCAAATGAACATGGATGAGAAATTCTTCGACAATCCAGACTGCTTCGAACCTGAGAGGTGGATACAGAATCCTGATCTTCCTCTCTCTGCTTTTGGCTTTGGGAGAAGAAGTTGTCCAGGGGAATGTTTTGCGCGGTATACTTTATTTATCGCCATATCAAGACTCCTATGGGCGTTTAATATCACTGGGTCAAATAAGGATGACTTGGCACATGAAAAGGCAGCAAAGGAGTCAGGCCGTTTGGGTGTTCTTTATCGGCCTTCCTCTTTCGGAGCACGTTTTCAAATACGAAGCTCTGAACATGAAAGGGTTATCAAACTAGATCGTGCTGTCGCTGATGAGGAAAGGATGCGGGCTTTGGAAGCTATTGGAAAGACTTTATTCAGTGAATAAGGCTGATATTATCCTGGTTAAGTTGTTCTGATCTGGTAAACGATCGTCAGTTGGGCGGATACATAAATTGGGCTTGTCTGTTTCACATTATTCCAATAGTGTTCACACTTACATCGAATCAAGCACTGTCAACTGGAAAATACAGTCAAAATCTCTACATGGCTTTGAAAGATAGCTCCAACGGAGGTTACCTAGGACTCTCTGATACTGGCTCGGTTTGTATGGCCAAGAGGGTTACAGGAATGCTTCACTTATTGTCGGGATATATTCTCCTGTCAGAACAAACTGGCTGTGACCCACTGCTAGCGACCGATGGATAACATCCCTTGCTTGGTGTACGCATTCTTGCGCTGGGCTGTGGCCTCGATGTTGTGACCGCCGAAGGCCGGCGTGTGGGATCTAGGGGTGTTTTTCCAACTAGACTGAACATCTATCTACATCTATCAACAGGAGTCAATTGACTTTTGCTTTGGAGCATACAGACTGTCCACTTAACTGTGTACACAGTACCTAGCTGGTGATACCAACACTTATCATTCCGAAAGAAAATAGCGAAAGCATAACTAAAGCTGGAGAAATTTCCGTTCCAGTAAAACGAGCTTGCGGTCTCTTGACCAAAAACGCTCAAAATTAAGTTTTACGTGATTTAAGGCGGACAGATTATATTGTGGGATATATTGATCTAGGTAAAAGGAAGTGGCGGCAGTGGCCAGTCAAAAAAGGCTAGCATCAAAATATATCCCATTGAAGCTGTTACCATTGAAGCCGTAGGGTTGTACAAAGCGAGAGAGATATTAGTCACAAATGTCATATCCCTCCTTCCTGGTACTCCTGCAGTGGCAGTGGCTTGAGAAATTGTCGTTGGGTTAATTGTTATATATCAGGAATGGGGTCTATACCTATGGAAATACACTGGATTTACTGGCCAATGAAAGGAAACGGAATAAAAAGGGGAAAATACCAAAAGATGCAAAAGAGTGTTGATTCTTGTTCTCTGAAACTGCTGGGGGTTGAGGGGGTTAAAATACCCTCGAGAATACCTGTGACTCAGTGGTTACTGCCAGCGTGCTGCATCCGAGGATCTTCCTCCGGCGTGGATCAACTATAGTCCGGGAGCCACGTGACCACCATCAGGGGGTCATATACTCCATTCTAGCTTAGATGACCAATAACAACACACATCTCCTTAACAGTTACATATCCGAGGTTTCGAAAGGTGGTGAAAAGTACGCGAAATCCCAATACCGAATACCATATCTTCGGAAACCTCAAGAGGTACCGTTTAAGTCAATACAGTGCCGATCACCATTTTCCTGACACATACTCTGTCGTTGAAACAACTACAGATTGTCAGTCGTTTCGCTCTCGCTCTCATTCACAATCAAAACAATCATCTCGTTCACAATCTTCAAGTCAAGCTCAACGATTGAAACAATTGGAACAGGAAGTTGCAGTACTCAGAGAACAAAATGAGATACAAGAACTTAAGAAAGAACGTGCTGAACTCATGGCTGCATTTGGCAAACAATAGATTTGGGTTATTCAAGAATTATTTTATGCATCTCAATTATTGATTATTATCTATGGAAAACCCCACCCATTCACCTAACCATTTATTCAAGCATTTTTTAGCTAAGAGGTTCGAAACCCTCACTACAACTAGCAGAATTACTCTTATCATTAACAGCCTTTCCCTCAGCTAAGTTGCATTATTGGCTGACTCCTCAGATGGGGCCGCACTAGAGAACCTAGAGGTTACACTGTCAGATGGCTGATTTAATGATAGTGAAAGGTTAGGGGTCGATCTAGTAGTGATAGATGTTATAGTTCCAAACCCAGCAAAAGGCACAGGGTTAGGGGACTGATTTTGTCCTCGCTAGAGATCGTTAGCATCAAAGGAAGGAACTCTAGTGAAGTAAGCGCGACATATTCACCGGCGCAACCAGAATATGCAAAGATTAGGCCTACGCTCGTCTAGACATACTCGAAAGCTATATACAATATACGCTGTATATAGAGACACTGAGGTTATAGATGGGTCGTTCAACTAGCGCGTGCTGAAGCAGTGGTGGCAGCCAATAAAATATGCGTAAAAGTGGGGAGCGTGTGTCCAAATTTCGACACACGCTCAGGTGGCTAAGCGGAGCGTGTGTCCGGAAATGGTGAAAGGTTGTTCCGGATGGGTGGGTCAGGTCACGTTACTTTCCGGACCACGATCAGCTGGAACCCGAAACGGGGGTTGAGACCCCAGTCAGTAAATGCGACGGCACGTGACTAGTCTGGGTTTTCGTCCGAGTTTCTATTAGCTGAAAACTATCCGCCCTATCCTGCCTCCATTTTTGAGGGCGATTAAAAGATAGAGGAATTCTGGAAGCAGACCATTGTTTTGATTCTAATGGTACCAAATTCAATGTACAACAAGCGGCGTGACGCTTGTAGTTTGTGCCTGGATTTTAAAACCACGTGACCTTCGTCCGGGTTTTCGTTCGAGTTTCTATTGGCTGAGAGTATTCACGTTTCCCACCATCAATTTTCAATAATATGTAAAAATAAAAACTGCTTTGGAATCTGGAGCATGTGAGATTTCTATTCATACTGAAATTATTTCCATCCGGACGTTGTGGTGGTATGGTCACCTGCCATAATTTGCCCATTGGATAGAGTATAGAACTTCCCAAAATATGGATGCGCCCCGACAACGGGAAGGGAGCCCTCCCTCCTTTAAGGCATTATGGATTAGGGAAATTGAGATGTTTCCGCTGAATGGACGATATTCATTTTCAGAGCTACCATACAGGTTCCCATAAGTATAATTTAGTTCCGGATTACCATGAAAATCGAACGAATTTGGTACCAAAAAGGCATGTAAAATCAGGTGGATGCGGGGTGTGCTATGAATGGAAGTCAACCGCACTCTGCAAGATATTAAGCATAAAGCTCATTTATAGCTTCCCTTTATGGACCTTTGGAGAACTCGGTCTTGTCTCAACCGATAATTCGTTCCACCAAGGGTATGTCTGAGGCGCATCCTTTGCTAATACATCGGTGAATTCAGGCTGACGTTTCTCAAAGAAGGATTCTTTGAATTCAAGGTGGTCCCTAGGTAAGTCAGCATCATCATGAAAAGTAAGACTACGTTTTGCGTAAAGTTTACCTTCCACCAAACATACTGTATAGCAGAGGGCTATCGATCAGATGTGCGCCTTCCGCAGAGCCAGGGTTCCGCCAAATGAGCTGCCGATTTAAATAGATTGCCATAGTACTAACATTGGATAAAATATCCTGCGCAAGTTCAAGGGCTCGGGGAAGAACGTCCTTAGATTCGGGCAGAAGCTCTGCGAAGATGCCGTGAAGGACAGGTGAATGTGCGGGATATCGTTTTCCAGTTGCTAGCAAATACGTAGCATTGCTATATCCAACCATACGCGGGAGGAAAAAGGAGCTAGCCGATTCCATCGTAAGGCCAATCCTTGAAAAGGGGAATCCGAATTCTGAATTGCGCGGCGCAATACTGTATATGGTTATTATTTAAGACCAAATGGATTGAGACAGACACTGACCGAATGGCCGCCGCTAGAGTTGATGTCATGCCAATGCCAACAGACAGGCCATTATATGCCACTATAATGGGCTTGCTGCAATTGAACATGGAAAGCGCGAGTGTGCCTCCTGGATCGCGCATCTCAGTAGGGCGCACTTGGTTTTTCTTCTGGCTGTGGTCTCCATTTAGGTCGATTCCGGCGCTGAATGCCCTGCCTGCACCTGTCAAGATGACGACCTTGATCCGATCATCTACATGGTTGAGAAGGGGGAGGAACCTATGCGACTCGGGATGTTGAGGGGCTGACCGCCACCACCGCTCTCATACGCAGCGTCAAGTGGATGTTAGAGGCACAGTCGACATTTGCATGTGTTTTCTGCGGCTTGCCAATCTAACATCGGTCTTGTAAAAAATAGTAGGTATGATGCAAAGGACGTTGCTGCAAACGTAGGAAGGCTTATGGCTCAAACTCAGAGGGACCGTGGGGATGTGGCAGGAACTATGACCTATTCGATCATCGTCGACTCGACTGCAGCCTACATATTCATATTTCCACTGTGTTTCGCTAATGATTGATTGATCTCGGCTGGGTGAGTCTAGCAAGCCGCTGAAGTGCCCAGAATCCCGTTTGGCTGATCCAATCTCAGAAGCTGCCGAGCCAGCAGAGCATTACTCAAGCGCCGGAGACTGTCAAGAGCTTCTGGCTGTTCCTTTGGCAACGATAGGGTTTTCATAAGCCCTGGAAGAGTTTAATGAGAGGAACTACCCTGTCCTAGGGGATCTAGGTTGACCCTGAGACTGGCTTGCGCTCTCTTTATCTCAAGAATAGAAACAATGCACCTGACCCGATAACACGTAAAGAGAGACACAATATGGAAAATTAACAGAATCCAATGGCAATGCCTAATGTTGGTATCACCAGCTAGGTACTGTGTACACAGTTAAGTGGACAGTGTGTATGCTCCAAAGCAAAAAGTCAATTGATTCTTGTTGATAGATGTAGATGTTCAGTCTAGTTGGAAAAACACCCCTAGATCCCACACGCCGGCCTTCGGTGGTCACAACACCGAGGCCACAGCCCAGCGCAAGAATGCGTACACCAAGCAAGGGATGTTATCCATCGGTCGCTAGCAGTGGGTCACAGCCAGTTTGTTCTGACAGGAGAATATATCCCGACACCTAAAAACACCTGTCAAGGCTTAAGGTTGGGATGACAGTGGAAGATGGGATAGCGCGGATCAAAAGTTATCAAATGTGTGATTCATTCTTGCTATGCTCGCCAATTTCGCCTGGCATCTTCTGAACCTTGGCAGCAGTAGCCGATAGAGAGCAGTCCGGTAGAAACAGTGATATGGTACTGAACATCATCGCTACTCTCATCTCAGCCTCACATCGCCCTACTCATCATCCGTCAGCCCCACCATCATCACGGAGTCTTACCAGAGCCGGCCCTCTTTCTCGGCGTCATACACGTGGCCTGCGAACCCCACACCGGCAATCTCATGATTGTCATTGCCCCGTGTGGTTTTTCCGCACTCAGCAAGATATTCTCCGCCCTTCTTCTCCCATTCTTGGCCGATTGCTGCCCACACAGTCGTTGCAGCCCCCTGCTCTGGTGACTTCATCACTTTATACATCTCTTCATTGCTCTTAAACGACTCCACCATTGCGGGGTCCATATACTGCATCAGAGCCGTTGCAATCATGCCGGGATGAACGCTAGTAGCGTGGAGTCCTCGCGACGCGTAGCGCCGCTCGATCTCGTTAGCCATGTAGATATTGGCGGTCTTTGATTGTCCGTATGAAACCCGGTCATTGTATTCAGTCTTCTCAAAATTGTAGTCGCCGAATTCATTGATCGAGGCTACATGATGGGCGAAAGAAGAGACATTGACGACTCGAGACGAGAATTCGGGGCTGGCGCTGGCGAGAAGAACTGGATTCAGGAGCTCAAAGAGTAGGAAATGGGCGAGGTGATTGACTCCAAATTGCATTTCAAAGCCATCCTTCGTGTACTCCACTTGGGCAGGGCCATGATGCCGGCGTTGTTGACTAGGATGTTGACTTGACCGTTCGACTTCTGGAGAATGGCTTTCGCGGCAGCACGCACGCTGCTCAAGGAAGTGTTGTCCATTTCAACAAGTTCGACGCGCTCTGGCTCGAGGATTCCGTCCAGAGCAGACTTGGCTTTGTTCAGGTCTCGTGCCGTCAACAACAACATTGCCCCAGTCAAAGCCAGGGCGCGAGCTGTCTCGATTCCTATTCCAGATGAAGTGCCTGTAACCACAATCACCTTCCCAGATAGCTTGCCCTCTACTGCTTCATCCTTGATAATCTGACGAGTGGTCGGACGACTATCGCTAGGGCCAGCAGGATTCGAATGAGCTTCTGCGTACCGGACATTGTGGGTGATGAGAACTTTGGCAGGTTGGATCCGGGAAATGGCTTGAATGGAAGCGATGGGCTCCGATGAGATATGCATTCAGATTTTGGGGGCACTGATGGACTATTTATTCTTTTCCGCCGTTTAGACTTTTTGCCTGTGTTTACAGATATTTGCTTTGCTCGGGTTTAACGTGTAAACTCCCGGACGCCGTAGACGAGAATCGCTTAGAACGTGTTTGTATTTCAAAGCACCAGACTTCTGAAGGGTATTCCGGAGAGACCTAGTTTTCTTCACCATTCCATGCTTCAGAACCCCGGCCTCGTATGATGACCTTTTGCCGAATTCGGTCCCGCCTTCCAGGTTCTTTGTGGATGCCACCTGCATAGGCTCGATGACACTTTCTCCTCTTTCGGCCTAGGTCCCGGGACTAGTCAAGCCTTTAATTAATAATAATTAGGACAGATCTTTAACTATACAGTATGGAAAATGGGTCTCATGAACTACACTGAAAAGATGCGAAGACCTATATCCTGATCCGCAAGACTTCGTTAGATTGGATCATATTACTGTACGGTCTACACTCTGACGTCTTAATTGTTGCACTACGGCTAATATACTATAATGTTGCTTTCGTTTCTTTTTCTTTCCACTTCTTTTAGATTGTCAAGTTGACATACTATCATACGAAAGCTAACAGTATTGAGTAATGTGTGAGAGTTTCTAAGTGTGGAGTATTCTAAATTCTTCTCTAGCTGTCTACAGTTACTTCGCAAATGCAGTAACGAACGTATTCCACACCAATATATCCAGGCTCTTCCTCGCTTCCTTCACAGCTGCACTCCCAAGTACTTTCTCTCTCATCTACAATCTCAAAGTCAGCCAACTGTTCTCAACCACCAACAAAGGCTAGAAGATATTTCAAGCTCACCTCACTACTCTCCCACCCCAACACACCAACCCACCTCTTCTCCTCTAGATTGAGACTCGTCCCTTGAATACTATCACCACTCCCACTTACACCACCCGCCTCTGCAGCTGCACTAACAAACTTCTCCCACGCGCCCCTCGCCTCCACTACTTTCTCATCCCCCTCCCCGATCTTCACCTGCCACACCTCCGTCAACGCATTCCCAAACACGACACTCGGCCCGAGATCCGTGTTATAGAGCTGTGGGACTGGCGGTGCAACAGAGTGAGGCTTCACGATGGATTTGAAGTTCTGGAAATTTTCTGATGCGACGAAGGTGTTGAAATGTGAGGCGTCTTCCCACTCTGTCGAAGAATCAGCATCAGACTATGTTCGAATTTGCGCGAGCGCTGAGAGGAGGGAAAGGAAGGGATAGTAGTAGGACGGGGATGGAACATGATGACATCAAGAGAATGGAAAGGAGGAAAGGGAAAGAAACGGGGAAGGAAGAGTAAATGACGAACCAAGCCCAACACAAAGTCTGAAGTCCCCCGACACATCATTGCCATTCTCGAGGAGAATCTTCCCGAAGTATTTAGACTTAGGAGGAGTGGCATGTGTATCAAGGATTGTGATGAGAATGGGTGCGATCTCGGTGGTGAATGTTGCTTCCGTTCCGGGATCTGTCTTCAATGTTGGGACGACCAACTCGGTGAAGGGCATTTTTGCTGTTGTGTTTAATTGAAAAATTGAAGGATGAGAAATTGCATGTGAGATTGAAGAGCTTGGAATTGAACTTCTTATATACAATCTTCCCTCACCCATTTCTATCTCCCGCCTTATACTAATCATTCAAAAACCCAACGGCCGAAACTCACAATTCGTCCCAAAACAAGTCATAAGATACGTCATCACTCAACAACATCTTGGGCCGAAGCCGAAATCCGCTCGCATTTATAATCAGGTAAACTCTCATCGTTGAAAGTTTTCGTGCCTTACAGGGTAATTCTAGTAAAATTCCCGCAGCAAAAAAGCGATCCACCCCTTAGAGCGGGATTGCTCTATCTAGTTGATGAGAAATCTGAGTAATCCACAAACCTTACCCAGACCTTTTCTCCGTGAGAGTGGCGGTGGTGTGTGTCTGGTAAGTTTCTGAGGGGGCAGTATCAGAGAGCAAACTTGTAAAACAGCCCCGCGGGCCCCACCGTCTCGTAATAATTCTCGATGGCTCCTTAGAATCGCTTATAAATGTGATCCTTTTGATGAGTGATCAAAACCGTGCTGCGTGCTGGTCTAGTAACAAGCTGGCATAGTAATAAGGAACCGGGAATAAAACAGATCGACGCTAGTTTTTCGGCCTATCTGCCCTGATGAGTGATCATTGATTTATCAGCCAAATACCGCGTATAGTGGTGGTTTCGCCACGAAACGTCAGAAGCAGATGGATTAGTCAGATGAGCTCCACGAGCTTATAAAAATGCTAGTTGACCCCCTCTATTTCAAAACTGATGATATCATGACCTCATCATAAAGTCGATAAAGGCCAAGCAACACCAACACAAATTAAAACGCACATCTGCGTTTCGAGCATCATGCGCGTCGGAGTCTTCCCCGCTTCCGGGGGGCTTGGTACCAGCACATATACCAATCTTCTATCTCAAGTTCCCAACAATCAAGTCACTCTTATCAACCGATATCCCGAGAAAGTGCCCAAGAAATATGTCGAAAACGGTGTCACTGTTCGCCAGGCTTCTTATGAATCCAGCGCTGAAGAGCTTGAAGCTGCCTTTGCTGGGGTCGATGTCCTCTTCTTGATATCCTTCCCCAGCTCCGTCCACCTATACAGGACCAAAGTTCAAACGAAAGCCCTCGATGCGGCGCAAAAAGCTGGAGTCAAGCATATCTTCTATTCTTCTTTGGCCTTCGCATCAATCAATGCAGAATCTGCGAAGGCAGAAGTCATGGCAGCGCATCTCGACAGCGAAGCGCACCTGAAAGAACTTGCTCGTACCAACTCAGGACTCTCATGGACGAGTATTCGCGAGGGACTTTACAGCGAGTCATTTCCGGTTTATGCTGGGTTCCAAGACTTCAAGAACCCACCGTCTACGATCAGAATTCCGCAAGAAGGAAATGGGTTTGGTGTTAGCTGGGCCAGGCAAGATGAACTAGGTGAAGCGTCTGCACGCCTGATCGCTTCATATGCGAAATCCCCATCGGCATTCAAATACACCAACAAGATTGTCACCTTGTCTGGCCCAAAGTCCTGGACATGGGCCGAGACCGTCGAGGTACTCTCGCGAGCAACAGGCAAGGACATCAACATCCAAGAAGTCAGCCTCGAGGAGTACAAAAATCTGCCACAGATCAAGGCATACTTCGGTACTGAGCAAATAAACACGTTGGACACTGCTTGGGAAGCCATTCGGGCTGGAGAGGCAGCTGGCGTGACCACATCGTTGGGAGAGATTCTGGGAAGGGATCCCGAGCCCTTTGAGAAGACTATCGAGGAGTTTGCCAAGAGGCAACGGTTTGAAGAGTAATGTCGTATTATTATGCGCGAACTAGGACACTGTCTGGCAACTTAGTGGAATACTTAACGTAAACAATGAGCTATCTATTTTGATGGGTTTTATGACGTGGCCAAAAGATGTTTTCTTGATTTGGATCAAAGTTTGTGTAGTCTTATTGTGAAATGAGGCATCTTGTTAGTTCTGCTCACGCTACCTCAGCCTGAGACCAAGAATTTGCAGGAAAGATTTTTGACAGCTTCCACAAATCATGTAGGTAAGAGACTAGAGTGCAGTCGGAACCGATTGATAATCGAATCCACTACTAATTACCGTACGAAAGTTCGGCCGCTTTCTTTCTTGTTGCTACCTAGACCATATGGGAAGTTAATAAACTAGTTAAATAACTAAATAATTAATTAACTAGAGAACAAACGTCCCACGGAAGGAGATGCGGAATAGAACGAGAAGGTTCTTGTTTGATCTAGATTAGTGTCTTGACGTTGGTAAGCATTTTATATTTAAAAGTTACGCGAACGTCACTACCGCGAACCGAATGGCCTATTCGGCGACTTCTTGATTATCACACTGCCGAGGCCCAAGTCGTCTCTATGTTGTCGTAATCCATGCAATGTACTGCAAAGCCGAGATTTCAATTTCGATGACCGTATCTGGGCCAGAATAGTCACTCTCGGGTTCCCGACCCGAGGTCACCAACGCCCTGATCAGTAATCCCTCGCCACCTCCAGAGATCACCAATTGCTAGGTGACAATTTCCGTTGAATACACGCAGAATGTACATAAAAACCCTCAGAACATTCTTGTTCAAATTCATATTTGTCGAATTTCCTTCGTCTATTCAATCAAATTTATTCCAACTCCAAACCTCTACAATATGGGTCTCGACTACAAAGTATTCACCAGCAGACGTTCCGGCGTGAATCGGTCCACCCCCGCCGGCCACGATCATCTCAAGTGGGTGCCGACCACTTCGACATTGATATTCGGCCAAAAGGATGCGGTGCTGGTCGATACGCAGTTAACCATGGCTGCTGCCAAAGAATTGGTAGACTGGGTTATAGCAACCGGGAAAAACCTCACGACGATCTATGTCTCCCATGCCCATGGCGATCATTTTTATGGCACCGATGCCGTCCTCGGAAAATTCCCAGAGGCAAAAGTCGTGGCTTCTCCGGAGACTGTCTCTCGTATGGCTGAAGCCATCGCTCCCGAAGGGATGGACGCCTTTTGGAGAAATCTTTTCCCTGGTCAGATCCCTGAAAAGCTCGTGATGGCCACCCCCTGGAGCAAGACCACTTTATGTTGGAAAACGAGCGGTTAGAAGTGGTCAGACTGGGCCATACAGACACAGATGATACAACGGCGCTCTGGGTACCTGCAATCGGCTTGGTTGTTGCGGGCGACGCAGTCTACAACAACACCCACCCATTCCTTGGGGAGTCGAAATCCCTAGAGGCCAGATCAAGATGGGTAGCAGCGCTCGATAAGATTGCGAGCCTGAAACCGAGAATCGTCGTTGGCGGTCACAGTGACCCGTCCAAGGGATTCTCCCCTGATGCTGTTCAAGCGACCAAGGATTATTTGAATGACTTCGCGCGACTGGACGAACAAACATCCACTCCTGAGGAATTATATTCCCAAATGATGGACTTGCATCCCACTCGGTTGAATGTTGGCTCGCTATGGGGAGGGGCAACGCTTGTGAAACAATGATTCTGTGCATGGTCTCCTTGTTGACTGAGTAACCAACGGGTTGAATTAGTGCACCATGATTCGGTATTAGCTGAGGATAACCAAGAGCGCATTTTTTGATATTGTATTATGAGAGGATATCTTTTCAAGAAGTTTTTACCAATAATGCACTTTGATGTTACCGACCGACAGGTATATACGTACACATGCTGCTCAGTGGTAGAGGTCGATCGTACAGTCTTCCAATCTCATCAAGATCTAGAATCGTGATCTAGATGCGAGTTTTTGGCATCTCAAGCAGTCCAAAGTAAACCGAACCCTCAATCTTTAACACTTGTGTTTTGGCATGTTTCTTTAAAAAATGTCTCGACTGATAAATGCGTTAAGAGAGTCAAAAAGGACGGTACTCTGTTATTAATGGTGTGGGTTCTAGATGTATCTCGGGACGACAAAATATTATACGCAAAAGGAAAATCGTTCACTTCAGTCCCATTTTCTTCTGTGCAAGAAACCTCTATGAAATCTCCGAATTGGTTGCGGCTGTCACGTCTCAAGAAGAACCAAGCCATTTCTCTAAGAACTCAATCTGTCCTTTAATATTCTGTTCAAACCAATGCCCGCTATAAATATCAAAATGGCCTGCGCCATCAAGATACAAAAGCTGCTTTGGCTCTCTTGCCTTTTCGTAAGTGGCCATCTGAGATGTGGTGGTGACAAGGATATCATTCCCGGGAATGACCATAAGCAGAGGAGTCGGAGAAATACGATGCACCATACTCTGTCCTTCAAATGCAAGCATATAGAGCTGGGTCTGAATTGTAACAGAATTCTCCCAACGACCACCACAATCGTACGAGCCGCGCACCTGCTCGTAAGCATGAACTCCTGGAAACATGGCAGTAGTGGTCCCTGACTGCGCTGCTTCCAGATCTTCCGCAATAAGCGGAACCCTTTCTGCTTCTGATCCTGCAGTGATACGAGCACGCTCTTTCAGAATGCCCGGGATGCGGTCTTTGAAGGCCAAGGATCGCGTCTCTCCAGAAACTGCAGGGCACTGTACGATAGCAGCTTTGATGCGTTTGTCCACAGCAGCTGCGTATAGAACATTTCCTCCGGAGAAACTCGTACCCCAATATACTACGCGAGTTTCATCCACACTAGGGAATGATGTTGCGAAATTGAACGCATCGTAGTAGTCGGCTTGTTGAAGGGTCGGGTTTGACTCTTGCCGCGGAAGTCCATCACTGTCGCCCCAGTTCCGATTATCGTAGAGGAGCACATTGTAGCCGGCTTGCTGGAACCTATCCGCAAAGTTCGGAAGCCAATAGTGGCGGACACCACCCAGCTATTTGTGGCAAACGAATGAAAATTAGCCAATTTCACAGGAAAATCCAATATTTCAATATGTCACGGAGTACGCACCCCGTGGGTCATGATCACACAGGCCGATTTCTCAACTTGGGGATAGAACCATCCCCGGAGCGTAATGCCATCGCAAGCTTTGAACTCAATGGTTTGGCGAGCGAGGGCCATTGTTACAAAATTTTGATGTTCTAGGTGTAAGTCGGAATTGAAGATTGCCGAGTGGGCTATTTGAGAACGACAAATAAATTAGCAGAGGAGGTATTATAATATTGTCCTTCTGTTCTTTTGCGAGCCTCGGTTTTACAATTGACGAGTAATCCAAAAGTCATCGAACCTCGCTGGAGCGTTTGATTACATGGATTTAGCCGAGGTTGTTCAGATCATCAGCCACGACACAAGTCAAGCTTTTTATGATACCGAAACGGCGATCGCGGTTGCCTCCTTCATTTTGATTGGTTTACATGTGTCCAATCATATTCTAGATTTGACGACTGACCTGTACAAAATCAAGTTTGACTATGTTGAATGTAGAGAAGACAGGGAGTGTTGGTATCACCAGCTAGGTACTGTGTACACAGTTAAGTGGACAGTGTGTATGCTCCAAAGCAAAGGTCAATTGTGTTGATAGATGTAGATGTTTGTAGATCTAGTTGGTAACACCTCTAGATCCCACACGCCGGCCCTCGGCGGTCACAACACCGAGGCCACAGCCCAGCGCAAGAATGCGTACACCAAGCAAGGGATGTTATCCATCGGTCGCTAGCAGTGGGTCACAGCCAGTTTGTTCTGACAGGAGAATATATCCCGACAGGGAGGTAACGTTTTGAATAACGACAGGGTACCCACAGGTGTTCAGGTGACATATACACTACAGTGAATATTCACAGACGACTGTTTAGTTACTTAAGTTAGTTGGTTAGTTAACTTACTTATCGACAGGTTGGCTGAGTCGTCGGCGGAAAACGGCTCAGCGATGGCTCAGCCGACCCTCCGATGCTGAAATCTACCCTATTGTTTAACGTCGTATGGCGGAACTTGAAATATACACTTTGCAAATAAATAAAATATCACCGACCTTTTCATCCCATAACAACTATGGTCTAGATAGCCGGCGGCTACTCCGCGGCTGGCATCGCCATTGGAGTGATAGTCTCTATCCTGGTGGGGTTGAGATGCTGTACGGTCCAAGTATACACGAGGATGTATACGATGCTTAACCTAGCCGAATACACTGGGACATACGACAAAACTAAAAATATAACAGTATGTTGACTTGATAGCATGACCGATAGTTATTGTTTTGGAATCTCATCTCACTTAGAAGCACCTATGGTTTGTGATTGGATTGTCAACCTTTTGGTATACACCCCGCGATCGACGGTTACTCGACGTCTACTCGTCCTTCCCCGAAAGCGGGAAATAGCTACTGTGCTGGAGTGGCCAGTTAGTGGCCGCAGCCACAATGAAGCCCAGCAACTGCGCCATCTCGCTGGAGAAAATAGTCTCAAGTTGACAGCGGCTGGAGGGGCCGGTTTGAGACCACCGCTGAGGCTCAGAGAAGGTCTGGCGGGAGGGAGAATACGAAAGGGCCTGAGAACTACAATTGACTAGCAGGCCCACGGAAATTCAGGATCAATAATGTTTAGTCGATATCAACCGTGGAAGCGGGGTAGCCCTTTATCAGACATCCAGAACTCACGGTCTCTCTCATGAGGAGCTATTTCTTCTGTAGGGCAGGGGCACATTCATGGCAGCTAGAAAGGAGTGAGGCACTGAAATCGGGGCGAATACGGTTCCGGGTGTGCAGGGAGGAGAACTCTTAATATGTCAAGCGTCAGGGAAGGATTTATGCGAAATTTTGTAGGAATCAGAACAAGCTGGGCCGAGCAGATACTTGGGCAACAGCTTTTGATAGTATAAGATAAGAATGGCCCTTTAGGTCGCTTATCTCTTTTTATCTCTCAACACTTGATTTAGTACTACCTATCAAATAAAAGTCAAAATTCTTCGCCATTCCAAATATGAAAGTGCGTCTTGGTAATCTTCTTCCCATCCCTATACGCGTCCAAGATTTCGTTCACCTCTTCCGCATCCCAGCCATCGACTCTCTTATAAGCAGCAGGCTTGATCTGCCCCTCCCGCAACAATCGCGGTACGTGTTCCCAGAATGATTTGCACAATTCGGCGTGTAGATGCGGCGCACTGAGAATATGCCAGACCTCGTAGCCCGCGCTCTTCTTTTCGACTTGAGACTCGTCTATAGGGCCAATAGGCAATAAACGAGCTATCTTGCCCTTTCGGGTGGACGAGAGTGCGTTAATGCCGACTACTTGAGTGGCGGGAGGGTTGACAGTGTCGTAGGCGTAGAGAAGGTCATCACCTACGATCTCGCGTATGCGCGAAACGGTTTCGCTCGGGGTTCTGTGCCGGTCGATTACGTGCGTCGCACCATATGATTTGAGCTCTGTCTCGTCTCCGCCGACAACCACGATACGCCCAAATCCTGCCAGGACAGCGAGTTGAATGCCAAATTTACCACAGTTGCTGCCACCACCTAGCACTAAGATTGTATCCCCCTCTGGAGCTGCAACTGCAGCCGTTGATGTCCAAGGGGCGGGAAGTCCGAAGAACGATGGACTGAAGAACGCAATGACAGTCGCTAGGAGGTTCGTCGGCAGTGAAGCAACATCATCCACGGTGAAGCCATCGGGGACCTTCGCAATAAAGTCTGTGTCGAGGACTGCATACTCTTGGAACCCATTTTGGGTGTAATCTGGCAAGAGACCGGCCTGTCCAAATACCTTTTCCCCGACAGAGAAGCCTGTCACGTCAGAGCCAACTTGCACTATTTGTCCGACCACGTCGTTTCCGGGGACGGCAGGCAGGTTCTCGGCAATGAATAAACCGGTATCGCGAGCTTTCTGATCGTGAGGGTTCGGACCAGCAACCATAACCCGAATTTGCACTTGCTTTGCTCCCGGCTGAGGAACCGGCCAGTCAGTAGTTAGGGTGAGAGGCTTTCCCACCTCTGTAACAATGAGAGCCTTCTGTGTCGGAGGGACCATGGTCGTGTAGGACTTATTTGTCACTAAACCCTGGACCGGGAGTAACGCGCTTATATGTATGGCAGTAGGCTGGCGTTTGCTTTGGGCAACAGGCCACGCCGAGGTAATGGCATCAGACTAACCGACACGATGAGTAAATATCGCCGACGGGTTGACATCATTGATATCTAATTGATTAGATCAACCGCGGCACCCAAAATTATTTTAGGTCCCGTTGAACTTTTTTTTGGGTCCCGCTGGGCACAAGCACGAGAACGGAGTAGTAAACAAGGAGATGCATGATGAGTCAACAGCGATATCGAGGGTAGTGGATCCCAAGCCTTTTTCGGCCCCCAATGGCATAGCAAGACATTCGTCAGCCAGCATTCGCTCGCAACTTGAATCCGATTAGTCATCCGAGGTTTGATGAGCCTCGGCCATCGTCGTAACCAGCCCCTTCGAAGGTCCGAATAAAATGTTAATTTATGAAACAGGCCGGTTAGCCCCTATTTATTGGATAGAATGGAGGAGGCCATCTTGCCTGCGGCAAAACTACGAGTTCAATATCTGGTGTTTAATAATCGCGTCGCATGACCCTTGCACCAAGGTGTTTTTGCTGCCTCACGACTATTAGAAAACCGTCCCCCGCCACTTTGGTCTTCTCTATAATCGATTTTCCTCTAATCATCAAGAAGAAGAAGAGTAGAGTCCTTTGTTTGTTATGCCTAACCTCACCTCCCTTGTCACCGGCGCGGAACTGATCGCCACAGGGCCCCGAACGCCAGCCCAAGCCTTCTACCATCAATATGCCTTCGCGGTCACTGTTAAAAATTTGAGCGACAGAGATATCCCCCAATTCTATGCCAATAATGCTGTCTTTCACAACCAGAACGGTGTGGATTACAGCGGTGGTCAAATCTGGCCTTGGATCGAGCAACTTTTTGCTCAGTTCGAGAAGCTCTCACACGACTTAGTGAAAGTTTGGGAGATTCAGAACGACGACGGGACAGTTGACCTAGTGTCTCATGTCGTCCGCCACATCTGGGCTGCCGGCAACGAAGGCCATAATCCCACCGTAAGCGTCCCTCTATCGATGGTGTGCAAAATCAGTTCCAACAACGCACGAGGGACGGTGGACGGCCTACAATTTGAAGAGGTCTGGCTCTATTGGGATACCTACAAGCTCCTGCCATACTTCTCGGAGGACTCGATATTGTTTAGCGCGAAGAACATTTTCGATGATAAATGAATGGTTGTCCCGAGGAAGCCACAAGTGCAGAGGGGTTGATGAGCATATTTGAATGTGTTGCGATGCTGTTGAAGATGGGATAACCCCCCGTGGTTGTCAGCCCTACGCTGCTAGATAGATGTCTTCTTCTACCACCTACCATGTATGTATGGTGTCTACTATAATATGTTCTTCCTCATATTTCTCCCGCCATTTAGGGATAAGCCTCGCATTGATATAACTCAATCCAGCTATGCGAAGAGGCCATATTAGCTTCATTATACTCTCGTTATCTATTATAGATAGTTCTACGGCCCATACAGGACTAAGTAAATGCTTCCATTATAGCCCGCCTAATGCACCTTTGACAAGCCTACTTGTCCTAGCGGCGGCGAGAGATATATAAATCGTGCTACAACTAGCTTCCTTCCCGGGAAAATACATTAGTCAAGACGTATTTTACAACGAAGCCTCGTTTCTGTACAAGCTCAACCACCAGTTCCAGACAGACTCGCCGGCCCCGCTATCCCTGCTACTTCCACACCGCCCCCGCCACCATCCTAGGTTGGCCCGGGTTATTGGGCCCTATCTGACGCTACGGTCTAAGACTGCAGCGACAGGTGACCTGGTACAGCCAAACTATACTCTCCTTGTACCTCTTGACTACGTGAATTCACCAATGAACCAATATTATTCCGTAGACTGATTATATTGGTGCGATTTGGTCAGAATCGTAGAAGTATGCATTGTTTGTTACCCCGAAGCGTAGGTTTCGGCTCCGACCGTCTCCTGCAATGCTGAAGCAGCTGTTCGATAAATCCCTTCAAAAAAAGGTAGTGTCATTCTGAAAGCAAAATATGTAAATAGCATAAACAGCAATTTTGCCCCGACAGGCCTTGAGAGGCTCTAAGTTCGTTACCAGGAAGTGGTACGCCCAACAAGCACACCCAAGGAGATATATGCATAGCTCTACTAGCCACCAGCTCAAGAGGTGAGTTAGATTGTAAACCACAACCGACTAGACCAAATACGCATTCATATTTTGGTCTAGGTAAATAAAACAACTCAGTGATGGGCCAGTCTGTTGATATTTCTACGAAGATCCGTACCAAATGCAAGTGTAGGCCTTTTAGTTGTACTGGATTTCCTCAGCAAGGGTAAAAAAACCTTCCTTCCTTCCGCGTTGTAATCCTATATGCTATACAGAGATCATCATTTAGTCAAAGATCGATGCCTTTAACGAGTTCGGCTGAATATACTCTGACGCGTTGCGGAAACTAGTGAAGCCCCAGCGGATCTGCGCAGCCATAGCAATCTCAGTGTCCAAGTCCTTTGCGAAAGCCCAAGCCAAACCACTGTCACGCTGGAAAGCGCGCCCGACCAAGATGACATTAACACTATCCTCATTGAGGATCTTCTCAGCAAGAACACCACTGTTGATTGTACCAACTGCAGAGACAAACATCTTCTCTCCAACAGCCTTCTTTACAGCTGCCGCGAACGGCACCTGGAAGCCAACACCGGATGTCACTTTCTGAGCGACGTGGACACCACCGGTGCTGATGTCAATCAGATCAATCGCACCCTGCACAGCGAGAGCCCGAGCAAACGCCACGGTATCCTCCAGCTTCCAGCCCTTTTCCTCCGGCAGGCTGTTTTCCAGCCAGTCGGTGGCAGAGACACGCAGGAAAACGGGGATATTTGGTCCAACGGTGTCCCGGGTTAGCTGAGCGATCTCCAGAGGCAGACGGATCCGGTTCTCAAAGCTACCCCCATACTCGTCGGTGCGCTTGTTGGATGAAGGGCTGAGGAAGGAAGAGAGCAGGTACCCATGGGCATTGTGGATCTCAATGAAGTCGACGCCAGCAGCCAAAGCTCGCTTAGTAGCAGCCGCCCAGGCATCCTTGACCTCCTGAATATCCTCCTTGGTCATCTCCTTAGGAACAATATCACCCTCAGCGAAGGGAATAGCGCTCGGGGCCTTGACATTCTCCGTCCAACCACCCACCGCATTGGTCGCGGTAACACCGCCCAGCCACGGGGGAACAGTCGAGGCTTTACGACCGGCATGGGCCAGCTGAATACCGATTTTCTGGCCCTGGCTGTGGGCAAACTCAACAACCTGCTTCAGGGGCGCGATCTGGGAGTCCTTCCACAGACCCACACAAGCGGGTGTAATACGACCCTCCGGAACGACCCCGGTGGCTTCGATGATGATCATTCCCGGACCGCGCTGGGCAATACCACCATAATGAGCCATGTGCCAAGCAGTCATATGGCCATCTTCTGCACTATATTGGCACATGGGGGCCACCTGGAGATTGCATGGTCAGTACAAGTTTCGAGAAGAGCCACATGAAACAACGGAGAGCACGTACGCCTAGGCGATTTTGGAATGTCTGGCCTCGGATGGTCAGGGGCTGGAAGAGCTTAGGAATGGGCTTGCCGCTTCCCTGGGGGTTGCGGGCAGTTCCTGCTGGTGGACTTTGAGCCGGAGTGAAGTAGGAGATGCCCTCAGCGGCGTTGATGGGGACATTGGGCCAAGCCATGGTGAATAGCATGCGTGAGAGGGAAAGGAAAGAGAGCTTTTCTATGTAGTCATGAACCCAGGCCTCTGTAAAATGCCGATCAAATGTGCTTCACCTCTACTATATACTACACTGCAAAAGCGATTTATAAGCCTAGGAAAGCTTGGTCCTGTCTGCATTTCCCCCTCAACTGGCCCCGCAAACCAGTCAAGCACCAAAATGATGCTCATGTTGAGTAATCACAACGCCCAACTTAGATCCGAGCTTCCTCACATCTTTCTGGTCCGTTGGAACCTCAAATCCTCCCATTACAGACTTTGTTTTTCTCCCTCTCAAGGAATAAACACCACGACGTTAGGGTCCGATTGGATCGTCCATTGGGGGAGAGGGGTATGATTACCTAGGCACCGCAGGTAACAATGAGGATGCAAAAGTGAAACAGTCGTACGCCGCAGCATTTCCGAGGGAACGGATGTACTAACCGCGGCTATTAGGGCACAGAGTATGCGATTACTAACCATTCCAAAATCGAGATGCGCCCTCGGTCTGTTAACCACAAAGTCGAACCATGAGGTATTATTCTACTACCAAGCACAAGATTATTCATCGAGTATCCATTTTCTCTTTGAGTTTGTATGGTAATTCATGCGGACCATAATCTCATCGCCATCAGATGATTTCCGTAGCGGAAAGGTACGTTATCGGGCAGCAGCAGCATTACATACATTCCTAGCCGTCGTAGGTGTGAGATCGCCCTATAAATGTGCCCTAGTCCCGCGCGTAAATCACTTCATTGTAAGCAACACAACGGCTCATTGACTCTATTACCATAACGAAATCTGTACTACTTTATCGTATTGGTTATCTCTTTTTTTCGCAAGGAAACCACCAACATGACGTCCCTTCAAACTGTTCCGACCAGCTTTGCCCCTGTCAACGGCACCATGATCGCTTATCGGCGGTACGGCAAGCCAAGTTCCCTGCCGTTAGTTTACGTCAATCATCTCGGTGGCACCATGGATGTGCTTGATCCTCTTTTGTTCAATAACATTGCCAAGAACCGTGAGGTGGTACTCTTTGATAGTCTTGGTATTGGCCATAGCGAAGGTACCGTACCAGATTCGATTGAGGAGATGGCTTCGGTCGTTGTGGGCTTTCTCGCTGCAATCGGCGTGTCCAAAGCCGATTTTATTGGCTTCTCTATGGGTGGTGGTGTTGTTCAATATCTGGGATTTGAGTATCCCCACCTTGTCAATAAGTTGATTCTGGCTGGCACCCAATCCGCCATCGGAGAAGGTGTAGCTCTACCTCCACGAGAAGTTCTTGCGAGCGCGGGTGCAAAGGGTGATCAGGCACCTACAGAAGATGATATGATAAAATTATTTTTCCATTCTTCTGAGACCAGCTTGGGCTTTGGCCGTGAATGGTATAAGAGAATCCATGAGCGGCAACTCAAAGACGAAGAGAGAAAAGGATTTCTTGTTGGACCCCGGGTTCAATCACAGCTGGCGGCAATTTTCAAATTCACCTGTGATACTGGTAATTTCGATCGATTAGCAGATATCAGGGCCCCTGTCCTCGTCACGAACGGCCATGCAGACATTATGACACCCACGGCAAACAGCTTCATTTTGCAGCAGAAGATCACTAGGGCCCAGCTGCACATTTTCCATGACTCGGGACATGGGCATCTCTTCCAGGTGCCGGAGCTCTATGCACAGCATCTTGAATTGTTCTTGAACAACTGAGTGAGCGCTGGAAGGCACAATTGTGGGCTCAGGATCAGACTTTGTATCGTATGATAATCACAAAACGGAAGCAGCCTTTGCGCAAGTCGAATGGTTGCGAAGTGTCTGACTTCGATGGCCTTCCTTTTTTCACTGATAAAACTCTCATACTCACATATTAAACTAATTCGTTTCGTCAATACTCTTTTGTATTACGTTTTAGTACAACTCTAGGGATGAGAAGGGTATTGTTGGTATCACCAGCTAGGTACTGTGTACACAGTTAAGTGAAGAGTGTGTACGCTCATAAAGCCAAAGTCAATAGACTCATGTAGATAGATGTAAATTCTCAGTCTAGTTGGAAAAACACCCCTGGTTCCCACACGCCCGCCCTCAGCGGTCTCAACACTTGGGCCACAGCCCAACGCAAGAATGTGTACACCAAGCAAGGGATATTATCCATCAGTCGCCAGCAGTAAGTCACTGCTAGTTTGTTCTGAAAGAAGGATCTGTCCCAACAGATATACAAGGTGGCATGAAGTCGGTAGGACATAATGGCCGTTCGGTGCAGTCGAGGACGATTGATAATCAAGTCCACTACCAATTGCCGTACGAAGTTCGGCCGTATTATTTCTAGCTGCTACCTCGGCAATTATGGGGTGCAGACGGCTAACTATTAGGAACTGGTTATGTCAGTGCAATAAAAGAGGACAGTATAACCATAATGATTGTATTAAAGAAGGACAAACGAGGTAAATTCAAGTTTAGCTGATAGCTAGGCTGCGATATGAGGAAGCGGCTGCCCAGGAACGAAGCTGCAACGTCGGAAATAATTCCAGAACGGGCTATAAGAAGAACCAAGTTGATTGAATGTATATTTATCCTCTTGTGTCCCCTCTGAAATGAAAACAATTCAAACTTCCTTTGATTTACAAGTTCAGCTAGATGTGGAGATTGTTGAGGATTGTAGGATGCAGTATTGACGGTGAATTGAAAAGCTTAAGCAGAAGCAAGTTATGTGTGAACCTTGTTGTATTAAGGTGGTGTAAAGAGGAGAAAGAGTCAATCATAACAGACGTCCAGTTTATGGCAACCAGTGGCCTACGGATATGCCCTCCAACTCTAGCGCAACATGGAGCTATTTCTTATACCATTCGATTGGCTTTCTAAAAGGTGATCTTTTGAAAATTCGCACGAATCCAGCCCAGGATGGGAAGCTGACGAATGCACGGGCTGATAAGTGATGATTCCATATTAAAGCCATGAATAAGCGATGGAAGACTCGGTCTTTCTCATGAAACTTCCCATTTCATCTTCGGTTTGCCCGATCGGACATAGTAATCATATCGGAGAAAGTCCCAAAATGGACGGAACTCACAGCGAGGTGCGTAGCGATGAGCTGATCAGCCGAGGCCAGGAGTGGGTCGTCTCGCAAACACTCTTTTTTTCTAGAATCCTCAGTAATGGACCTATCCGAACTAGAGGCTGATTCTGTTAGATCATGACTAATCAAAGTAGCTACCACGGTTGGCGATGGAATGAGCTTCCCCTGCGAAGATGAGCGATCAAATCGGTATTTGGCCGAGGTCAGAGGACTGATTAGAAATACTCACACTTTTGGCAGATTAAAGGTTTCCTTATAAGTTCTATAGTGCGACTCAGTTAATTATGCTTGTTCACCTTGGGTCAATGGGTTGTCTGTTCATCATCTGTCTGCTTTCCTTGATATTTTCACTTACTTTCCACAAGCCGGCGGGAGACGCGAGTTTTTTTATGCGAAATGGATATGCAGCAAGCTTTGATCCTCAAAGAGGTCCAAAGGCCACTGGTACTAGACAGGCGAGTTATTCCTGAACCAAATGGGAATCAAGTTCTTGTGAGGATCATTTCAGCCGGAAGTATGATCCGTTAATGCATTTATTTGTAGGAAGAAAAGCTAACAGCTTATAGTTAATCCTCATGACCAAAAGGTATCGTGAAGAAAACTTGCTGAATAATTGACTGTTTGTTGAATTCTAACTCCCGTAGGGTCGAGATCGTGGTTTACTTGTGGAGAAGTACTTGCCTCATGCGATCCTAGCGAACGACATCAGCGGTATTGTCGAGAAGATAGGACCAGACGTCCAAAGGTTCTCCGTTGGAGATCGCATCGTTGGGCAGTCTAATATCCTGTCGGGTGGTCCTGACCAAGCTGGCTTGCAGCAATTCTGCATCCTTGATGCAAACTTTGCTGCTCCCATACCACTGCATATTAGCTTTGACGAGGCAGCGACATTCCCCGTTAATGCCATTGCGAGTTTTATCGCCCTATTCAGTTCGTCGGGATTGGATTTAGCACCAAAGTTCCTGGGCCACGATTTGGACTACGCGAATGAAGCTATTGCCATCATTGGAGGCGGTTCCAGTAGTGGGAAATTTGCCATTCAGTTCTCTCATCTCGCAGGCTTTGGGAAGATTATTGCAACAGCCAAGGTCCGCAGCGATGGGGGCCAATCCCTCCATGACTTTGGTGCTACTCATATCATAGATCGGGAGGCAGCGGATGCGGAAGATCAGATCCGTGCGCTGGTTGGCGATGACTTGCTGTACGCCTTTGACACGGTTAACGGTGCTTACTCGGGTGGTGTCAGCCACCAGCTGGCGCTCTCGCTTCTGTCGACAACGAAGAAAGGGTCTTTAGCAACACTGGTGCGTGGAGAGGCTGACCCTGCAATTGCATCTACAAAGACCGCTGGCTTCAAGAAACACCAAGTTCTCGGAGTTAGTGACCTGCACCAAGAGCTGGCTGCCAAGTTCTGGAAGGAGCTGCCTGGCTGGATCGAAAATGGCAAGCTGAAGCCATTAGACTTTGAAGTTATTGACGGACTTGACGCAACGAAAGTCAACAACCTGCTGGACGACTACCGTGACGGTAGAGCGGTAAAGAAGACTCATGTGCATCCCTAGGGACTCCATTCTCGAATGATATGCAGTCACATAAATTAACGCCAAACTGTCACATATAGAAAGCACCATTCCAAGTATCGGCAGGTCCCATGTGGCAAGCATTGAGAACAAATAGTATTTTATAGTGACAGATAAATGGTCCGAATTAGCTGTCAGCATTGACTAGCCGGAGTCTGGTAGGTATACAGCAAGTTTGATACGCGCACATCCCGTGGGTACAGCCTTATTTCTGTGAATATGAACACATCAATCACATCGAAGAGTCCAAGAAGTTTCTACCCAATGCGAGGCGGAATGTATGGTCGACATCTTCTCGGCGAAACGCGGGGCAGCGACCGAGGCAAATGCCGGACTGAATGAGATCTGTTCTTGTCAGAGGTAATAGCAACCAATTTCGGTTCACCAAATGCATACAGTCAATGAATAGTCCTACATCCAGGACCCAAGAACCGCTTCGACCGGTATAGTTTCGAAGATCCATATCCTGTGCCGGTTTTTGACGTTAGTCATTCATACGTTGATGACAAACGGAAAAGTACCTGTATGTCTGATCCCCATCCCCCTGCCTGAATTTCCATAAGATCCTCATTGTAAGGATGCATATATCCCAGGGCTGGTTCGTCTATGCCCATACCATGTTGAGCATTGGCACGTGTTACGTTGGAATCCATTGAGAATGCACATGCGGGGACACTGCAAAATGCAATATCTGCACTTAAGGAGATACCTTTCTCCTTAAGATAACCCTCAACGTCATGCGAATCAAGCCACTCGCCATTGAGGCCGAGATCGGCCAGAAGGTCATGGTCGCTCTGGAAGGATTGTGGCTCTGTTCTTTGATGTACAAAAGCACTAACAAGTTGACTAATCGGTAAGGCATTCGGAGGAAGGAAAGGCTTTCCCGTGTGATCCCTTCGAGGATAGTGAGTCCCAGCGCCCCCTAACAAGAAGAAAGGCATATCCCATAACTCTGGAGCTTCGTCTAAGCCACCTTCCAGAATTCCTTTCATCTGTTGGACCATAGAATCTCGAGTGGACAGAGTCAATGGGAGCCTGAACACCCGGCTCACATTGTCTGGATCGGAGGTTGGATCTGCCAACAAGTTATACCCGTTTTTCAGACAGGCTCGATGCAACCGGCGTTCAAAAGATGTCTCCCGGAAGGGCGCAGTGGAAGAGGATAGGAGATGCGAGTGGCGTAGAATATTAAGGAAAGTACCATCTTCTCTAGCGCACGGCACTGGTTCTGAACGGTCGACAATAGGTAGGGTAGATGTTGGTAAGGATGAATAACTTTGGACTGGTGTTTTGCCCCTTGGGTTGTTTTCTTGATGGTCGGCACTGTTAGACGAGGCGATCAGACTAGCTAAATGGATGCCCCTATTGACTGGTCTTGATATGGTCAACTCAAAATCGTCTTCTGGCTGCCGTGAGTGCGTCTCCTGTTGCCTCCCTTGGGTCATAGTCGATGCGATTTCATTCATTTGCATTGTAATGCTGCCCTCGTTACTCGAACAAGCAGCAGCAGAAACTGCACGAAGCTGCGTGCGTAATTCTTGCAGCTTTCCTTCAAGAGCCGGTTCACAAGATAATACACCGGATCTTTCTATTTGATAGTTGTATGCTTGGAACGTCCGATGTAAGTTCTGAATCTGTGTCTGCAAATAATCAAGTCGTTGCTGCAAAGACAAGGTTATTTTGTCCTTGCGATAGCGATAGGCTCGCTGTGCCAGTCGTAATTGTAGCCTCCGGTGCTATAATCTCTCAGAATCCCCTCTGCCAAGAGTATACATGCTGATCCGTAGTAAACCCACCTCGGAAACGGGTACCTTAGTAGTACGCTTCGGTGTTCGTTCCGTAGACGAAACATTTGCACTGCTCATGGTATTTCTCCTGGAACGCTGCATTTTCACTCGGTGCGGATGCTGGTATCTCTGTAATAATCGTGGCGAATCTTCGTACCTTTATCTTCCTACCTTTCGTGAGATTTAAGTTGACTAAGTTGATGGCGTGCGCGATTTGTAATCGTAACTGACTAAGTTAGTTGCCTCCCGCACTAAGCCCGTTTCGGCCGTGGGTACAGTGTGACGAAGGGTTGATTTTTAAGTTCACCGCTTCTACATATCGCCCCCACTATAATGTACGGCACGTTATGATTTGGGGATATCAGGTGCTAAACCTGAAGGGAAGTGGAGCATCCCAACACTAACATCTGACTCTCGCGTCCGTATTTATAATCGCAGTTTACTAGATTCCTGATCCACACGAGATCTAACAAGTCTTCGGGGATAGAACGTTCCGCGACGAACACTGAGAGGCCAAGACGGGAGAAAAGAGAGAAAAGGAAAAGTGCTGTAACGGTGGTACCCGACGGCATACCCTTCGATTTCGATCCTTCGGATCGTTTTAACTAAAACGTGTGTCCCTACATCGTTTCCTGGCGTCAACAGTTATTCAGATGTACAGGGAGGAGACACCCTCTGCCTTGCAGCATAGTCTGGATTTCCGCCTTTCTTGTTCGCAGAGTTGAACGTAGAGAAGACGGGGAGGGAAGTTTTGAATAAAAAAGTCAACCTGTTTTTTAACATTATATTTAACATTATATGGCGGAACTCAAAAATGCACTCTGCGAATAGAATGTAACTCTATATTATGCGTATTCTGGGTATTCCTTTTTCCAACGGAGAATCGGCCCAACATCAACCTGATCGGCAATCAAAAAGAGAGCCTCGGGTATGATTAGTAAACTCATTGGTAATGTTCAAAGTGAAGCGGAAAGAATCCCATAGCGGACATATATACGTATGTTCCCATTGCTCCAATCGCAACTCGCAACTCCCCTGACATCCATTCGCTCTTCTTGTATCATGGCAGGAGAATTAATTTTCATCACTGGCGCCACGGGATTTGTCGGTAGTGCCACGGCTCTCGCTGCTCTCAAGGCAGGTTACCGACTACGAGTATGCGTCCGAAAGGTGTCAGACAGGCTCCAAGCCCTGCTATCGGAGCATAGCGAGCAAGTTGAATATGTTACCATACCAGATCTGACAGATGAAACAGCTTTCCAAGGAAAGTTGAATGGAGTCGACTACGTTCTGCACCTGGCCTCCGCTGTCCCTCGAGGCACAGACAAGAAGGACTATTTCATCCCGGCTGTGAAAGGAACAACTGTCTTGCTGAAGGAAGCTGCCGGCGTCGCGAGTATCAAGAAAGTCGTCGTAACATCGTCCAGAGCTGCTCTGATTCCGCTCAGTGGAGTGCCCGCAGGCGGTATCGTGAAAGGTAAGTCACTTTGGTTTGGTAATTCTCGACATCAGCTAATCTTACATTTTCCTTCTTTTTACAGAGGACAATGATTGGGACTTGAGCGTGGACGAGAATGCAAGCTTCGAGGTTCCCACCGACCCTGCTGCCACGGCTTTCAGACTATACCACGCATCAAAGCTGCTGTCCAACAACGCAGCTTGGAGCTTCTGGCAAAACGAAAAACCCCACTATTCATTGGTGTCACTTCATCCAGCCTTCGTGCTGGGGCACAACCTAGTCCAGTCATCTCCAGACGAAATTGGATCCAACAGTGTTCTTTGGAAGCCTATCATGACGGGCACTTTCGGCCGTTCGGTTGCTGGAGTGCATATCCAGGACGTTGCCGAAGCACACATCAAAGCCCTGAATCCGGATATTCCGGATGGTTCAAAGTACCTGCTGGCCGGTAAACCAATAACTTGGAAGGATGTCGCTCAAATCGTGCACAGGGACTATCCTAATGTCGGTACAAAGATTAGTATGGAGGTTGAGGGGGAACAATGCCCTACGACAACACCAAAGCAGAGCAAGAACTTGGGATGAAATGGCGCTCTTGGGAGCAAATGATTCATGAAGTGATGGACCAACAGCTTGGCTTGGTCAAGGAATCAACCATGTAGATCTCAAGACGGGTTTCAGGAGTGTTGTGATTCAGAGGACTTGAATGGGGGATATAAGGAGGCTGGTCCATCGGACTCTTGTCGGCATTGGTAGACATAAACCAGTGGAAAATTCGATTCCTTCTCAAGTGAACAATACGACTGGGTAGAAAGCGCGTGATGTTCATCATATTGCACCGATATTGTTGGTACGGAGAATGTTGATATCGTCATGAGTCCAAAATAAGTGACTATGGCGTACACGCCCGGGAGGCAGATCACATGGCAACAATTGTTGGAGCTAGACCTCGCCAAACGTGGGTTTGGGTTGGGGTTTCAATTTCTTTACCCGCCCACGGGTAACCCATCGCGGGTTTTGACCTTGTTGAAATATCATGGTTACTGGGATAATCATGGGGGCTGGGATCACGTGCATGCCTATATATCTGTTCACCAGTCTACCTGTATCTTAAACAATCAACTCCCCTAAACAACATGAACACTGAAGCATCACTTATAAATCAACAGGGTTCACCAAGGTCAAAACCCGCGATGGGTTACCCGTGGGCGGGTAAAGACATTGAAAACCCAACCCAAACCCACGTTTGGCGAGGTCTAGTCATGGATAATTCTACCACTCCGGGCGGATTTCGCAGATGTGCGCTGATGCGGGAGTTAAATTGGTCTACTTGCCTCCATACTCCCCAGACCTGAATCCAATTGAAGAGTTCTTTGCTGAGCTGAAAAGATTCATAAAACCTAACTGGAGCTTCTTCGCAGAAGAACCCCTCTCGGGGTTTCAGCTCTTTTCTCGAATGGTGTATTGATCAGGTTGGGGCAAGAGAAAAAAAGTGCCAGAGGCCATTTTCGGCACTCAGGTCTGAGTATTGAAGATTTACAACTAGAATATGAGGACCTGTGAAATTGACGCCGAAAATGACCGCTCTGGAGGCCAAAAACGGCCGTCTTTCCACCCGTAACTTTGGCCGCCACGCCCGCGCTTGACCGCCCAGCGCTGTTAGTCATCCTCCTGTCGTGATGTTGGCGCTCAACTTCAACAGATCTTCCCCCCGTTTCCACTCGCGACCAAAACGACTCCGAAAATGGCTCCCCTCTGCAGCGAAAGCCAGGTGCCCTCACTTCTCACCGGCCCTGGTCGGGCGCCTATAAGATGCTCCGTCCTCCCTCTCTTTCGTGTCCTTACACCCTCCCAATCTCTCGTCCCCATCCTCCGTGGCCCAGATCGACCTTGACGTTACTATTTCCCATATCTCCCTCAGCACAGATTCCAAATCCTGGTTTGGTTCCAGAATCATTATCGATAGGCTCAATTGTTCTAGAACATAAGAGCTCATTAATTAAACATCAATGGCAAGAGATAAGTTCAGTGCTAACTGAACTAGCGTAAACGGACTAAGCCCGAAGCCTTGGTTAAACAACTCGAAAGTTTCCAAATGTGCCATCAGGTCTTGTTGACGCCGACAAGGACATAAGCGTCGTTAACCGAGAGTCAGAAAACATATCTCCGCAAGACTGCCTTGTCAGGAATCCAATCCATAGCAAACCACTCTTTGTAATTCAACCTGCCCCGAAGCTGATGATCCACAACAAATGGACAGTTCAAGTCCAACATTCTGTCCGACGCCAAGTCCGAAGTCGAGAACATGAAAACTCCTTCACAAGACAGGCGCATAGCAGAGACAACTGCAATCCTAACGGGTCCTCTATCCTTCCACGTTCTTGTCTCTCTGTCGTAAAATCGAGGTCGTTCGACTTTGCGTCTGTGGGCTTCCCGACGTGCGCTTGCTTCGTCTTCGTACAGCGAAATAAAAGATGTTGCTTCCCTCTGCGACCAGTCCAGATGCTTGCATGGTGCTTCGACAGTTATGCGAGTGCAGTATCTCATCCAATAGACGTTGACATCGCCAGACTGACTACCGCAACCATCACGATATGGAATTTGGGACGACTCGTCGTAAACGTGATAGAGTTTCAGGTCCTGGTCCGTGGAAGGATCAAATTGATGTGGCAAAAAATCGAACATTGAACGAGTCAATAGGAATATGTAGCCTACACTCAAAACGTCTGGGAGCAACTCTTTCTTGGCAAAAGCGTTTTCTTGAAATATCTCGCCGATCAGAGGTCCCAGGACCTCGAGAATGAGTTCATCATAGTTGTAACTCCACGCGCTATCGTTTGATACCTATTTTGTAGGTGAGATGGCAGCGATGGTTGCGACTGGTGCGAATGCACAGAAAATGCCCCCTGACAAGAGAGGAACAAAACTCGCCGCACCCGGCGCCCGACCCATATCGATGGACGACATCGCAGAGGAGCCAGCCGGGTGCTAGATCACATGGAAAACCATGGCTCGATGGACCGATATGTCGCTGGGTTTATTCGGGCTGTCCGCCAGTACGCACTCAACGCCCAACGGGGCGACGGCCAGCGGATGGTTCGGACCACGAATACATCACCAACCTCCGCACACTCAACCAGGTCCGATCACGACTCGAAGATGTTGTCCTAACCTTCGGCGATGCGATGGAATGGCCCCTGCCACCCTCCGAAATCTTCTTTTCCTCATCCTTTATATCTGTTTCCGGGGTCGATTTCACCGCCGGTGGTCATGACCAAGAAGAGAAGGGCCAGGAAACCATGAAGAAGTTGCGCAACCAGATCACCCAGTTACTGGAGAGCGACGGGGGTGGACGGACTGGGCTGGATGCTGCCACTCATCGCATCGAGACTCTACGAGCATTGGCGACGGTATGGAAGGGGTCCGCTGAGGAGAAGGCGCGACATCGGTTCGTGGATACGCTGGAGAGGCTTTTGGAGGAGCGTCGGCGTATATTAGACCATCAACAGAAAATTGCCGATCAGAACCAGCGTGGACCCAAGTCGCGGTCTGAACAGAAACGTGATAGCGACAGTGGGGGACCTGGTGGAGGGTTGTTCCGCAATCTTCAACGGTTGCGGGAGGAAATCTATCTGGAGTAGATCAGCAGGGAAGGAAAGGAAAGAGAGAGAGAGAAATATCCAATCCATACAGATTTGAATTCTAGAGATGTGCTTGATATGATAGATACTAGTAGCAGAGATATAACTCTGGCCATGGCCATCCCCAGTGGGTTTCCTCGTGCACCGCAAACGGGCGCACCGATCAGCACCTGTTGTCATCATCCCCCCGAAATGCGTACTTTCCTTCTTCAACATCCTGAAACAACCCGCCTTGACGCTCTACGATATGTCCTCCTCGCCCCCAATTCGATTCTGAGCCCTGGAACGCTGAGAATGGCTCGCTTAACCCGTCGCCTCGGTTTGGGGAGCCCAAGTCGTCGGCTTCGACCTTGCTGAGGCAGCTCTATTACTATCGCCTGCGGACACAAAGGGCCAAAAACATCGCCCTCTCTGCCATCGCATTTCTTATCTGTCTATGGCTGCTTTCATCGTCGTCAAAGGTAATTCAATTCCCCCTCCCATTTCCCATCCCTGATCCTAGCCGCAAAAGACGACCATATCTCCCATCGCTTGCTTGGTCGACCTTCGTCATTGCGGCGAACCCCACGAAACGCCAATGTCAACGCCAACGCCAATGTCAACGCCAACGCTAACGCAACGCCTTGTCTAGCAATCCGATCCCAATTTCTGGACCAAGTTCCCATCCCATCACCCATTCCCCGGGCGCCCAGAAGATGCGCAGGTCGCTCTTCCTCCTAGATCAGGCATCACAATCAACAGCACCCTCCCTCATGATCTCGAAAAGACCAACCCGTCCCTGCACCTCCTGGTGCCCGCCACCAAGGGCTCCCGTGGCACGGGTCGAACGCTGACCTCGTCAATGACCCTGGGATACCCGCCCCGATAATCATCGAAACGGACACGCAAAGCACGGTGCGACCGAGTTCGGGCGCATGGTGGATCGCATTACGCGCGTGCGCAATTATCTCCGCGATAGCAACGCGGTTAAGGACCGGGACTTTGTACTCGTTGTGGATGTCCTGGATACATTCTTCCAGTTGCCCCCACAGGTCCTCGTCAAGCGCTTCCAGGAGATTCTCCGCACTAGCAATCGAAAGTTGCAGAAGAAGTATGGGTTTGCGGTAGTTCCACCGTCGAAAACGGATGCCTCCTCGGACCTGGTACAGAAGTATCCCCAGCGGGTCCTATTTGGCGCCAGCAATATCTGCTATGCTGATTTGGAGGAGGATCCTGGCTGTATATCCGTGCCTGAGTCCTCATTACCCCCAGATGTTTATGGTTGGAAGACAGATATCTATCCAGAAGGACACAAAAACTGGCCCCGCTATTTAAACCCACGCGCAGTCATCGGCCAAGCCGCCGATTTGAAACTGATCTACCACGAGGTCCTGCGTGTGATTGAGCAGCGCCACAAGAAAAACGGTGACTACCAGGCTCTGACGCAGATGTATGGTCGACAAGAAGTGGTGCGGGAACTGGAGCGTCGCCGCACGACCAATGGCGCCAAGGAGTGGCTTTGCAATCTGATTGGGATATCCGATGCATCCAACCTTACAGGCATAACCGTCCGACTGGAAACGGGCCATCGCTACGAGTACGGCATCGCAGTGGATTACAAGTCCGAACTATTCTTCAACCAACACATGCCCCGAGCCGACGTTGAATGGCACAAATTCAGCAACATCACCAAGTCATCCAGGCTCCAGGCCCAGTTCGGCGTACCCCGAGAATCTCGCATGCTCCTCCCACCGGACGTCGCCGCTCTCCCGAACCGATTCAATCAAAGCCGCCTTGTGAAGCAACAAACTACCATCCCGGAGTGGAACTCCACTCTCGACAAATTGCCCACCATGCATGACCATACATGGAGTACGCTCCCATTCATTACAAACCCGCATTCGGCCTCCGTCCCGGTCCTGGCACATATGAACGGCGACTCGAAACTGCGAAACGCATGGTGGGAGAAGATGTGGTTCTTCTCCTGGGGCCGGGCCCTACTCCAAAAATACCTGCGTGCCTCGCAAGGGTTTGAAGCCGTACAGTCCGCGCTTCTGGGCGGATAGGGCTTGTGGGATGTCCGCGGTGGACGAGGCGGGCTCTGGACCGACGATGCGAATTGGGTCAGACTTTCTGAACTCTGCGAGGGACAGGAACGGGATCTTTTCGAAGATGATCTTGGCCCTTGGTCGAAGGAGAATGGGGATCCGGATGCGCCTGTTTATAATCAGTTTGGAAAACTGATCCGTGGCAAAGGACATGTGAATGAGGAGGATCAGTTTGATTTTGACTTCTGGGGAAGTTAGCCACATACACGGTCCCCCTCTCTCGTTTATTTTTTGTCCTAGATGAACGGGATCTCGCAGTGGGACTCTGTTTTCATTATTCACCTTTACCTTGTGCATGTTCCTCGTCCTGGGACAATGTTCTGCGTGATACCACATTTCGTTTTGGCTTTGGTTTAGAGCATGGCTGCTACGCTACGTGGCTGTGTTTGGCGTTTGGAATGTTTCATTGGAATTGTATTATAGAGTTGCTAGTTTGATGTTTAAATTCGTGCACATACATTTAGCAGAGAATAGATACTACCCTGCCCGTATTACCTTATCTCGATCGGACCAAGATTGGTAAATTGTTGTCATTAAGTACCTAACAAACAATATGATCAATGCTCAGAAATTGATCATCGACTCGATCTGACACTGGCACGATTGTAAACCCGAGATCCTCCACACATATTGAATTCAACTCCCATTCGTACTCCCATTCGTGACACCGTGATACAGAAAACCCATGAAACGCCTTCTCTCATAATACATCACCGTAACTAGAGTGAACGTCAACTCCACATCGAACTTAGAAGGTGATGACACCTCGTCCGGTGACGATGCCCTGGTACCCTTTCTGAACGTTCTCAAATCGCGTCAATCCACACGATTCACTTTCAAGATGCGAGAACAAGGCAGCCAAAGTGATAAACTGCTTGTCACAGCTTCCCCGCTTGTTGGGACAGTGGTAAACCTTCTGCTTATGAACAGGCGAATTGAGATGTGACTTCAGTGACGACGCAGTGTTGAACTCCCGGTGGCAGTAGTAACACTCCCACCTATTGCCGTTGTAAGCATTCGGATTGACTTCCCACTTGTCACGCTCTTCATCTTCTTTCCAGCCGATTAGTTTGTTGGTGATCATGCCGTTGCGATCATTCTCTCGGACAATCTTGAAGATGGTTTCGCGGTTTAGGCTCGGAGCTCGGGGGCACGCGCCCGACTCGAGGTGAGTACATGCACCACTTGCAGTGCCGAATGCAGACCTGCAAAAGGGACAAAGGACTGTCGTGCCGCGGTGAATCTTGGAATTCAGATGCTGGAGAGAAACGTGGTCAGTTTTGCGCTTGATGGGGATGAAGTGAAGCGAAGTGCCTCATCGAGTCGTGGGTAATCAAGTAATGTAATGTAGTCCAGACAATGTACAACATACCATGCGCAGGCAATTGGCATTCGTGAAGTATCGATCACAATCAGGACAGTATCGCTCGAAATGCTTCTGGGCCCGCATGTGCTGGTCTCGAGCGGCGTCCGAATCGAACTCTCTTGTACATGTTTCGCATTCGTATCGAGGCCAGTGGTTGAGGGCGTTCATGTGCTGGTCCGCAGCTCTCTGTGAGCGGAATTGACGATCACAGGTCTCGCATTCGGCCCAATGGGCATAATTGTCCATGTGGTCATCGCAGTCTTCTTGGTCGTAGAACCGATCGTAACAACTTGCGCATTCAAACATCATGGAAGGTGGTGGATTTGTTTATCAGATATGGTAAAGCGAGAGGAGATGCCTCGGTGATAAAGAGGGAGATAAATGGATGGAAGAGGATGAGAGAGGAAGAAAAAGACTGAAGGGGGGGAGGTGTTGTGAGGGGAAGCTGGCGAAGTGGAGTGAGCGAAGTAAAGGAAGTGATCGGGGACAGTAAGGAAAGTCCCAGTCTACATCCAATTACATGGGTGGGATATTCCCTACAAACGAGCGTAATGCAAACGCCAAGTAGATCGAGATACAGTGGCGCCCCAAAAGTCTGTGACCACCCCCTTAGGGATTCACCGCTATTTTCTGCCATATTTCTGCCGTACCAAAAACTCCAGATACCCGTGCCTTAGTCAGTGCCCCCACTCGCTCCAGGTCGTCGCCAAGTGGGTGCACCACGCCACGCCGATAACCACGCCACCCCAATAAAAATTTCACCACATTGAAGCATTTCATCACCTTATTCACCAACCATGTCCTCCGACCGAGTCAAAATTGAGCAGCAGATAGCGAAGGCAGTAGAGTACACTGCCTCGCTTAAATCGAAGCCAAATTTGTCTAAAATTGCGCGCGAATATGGCGTTCCGTATCAGCGTTTTAGGGCGCGTCTTCAAGGTCGGCAGGCCTTACACGCTCCTAAACCCTACCAAGAGACCCTAGATCCCTGGCAAATTCAGGGCCTTGTTCACTGGTGGAAATTCTTTGATTCAGTAGGGTACAGACCCTCCCACCAAGAGATTATTGCTGCTGCAAATCATATTCTCGCGCCTGAGTCAGTAGGCAAAATGTGGGTTTATCGCTTTGAGGAGAGGCATCTTAAACCACTTGGAACGCGTATTGCGCGTCACCGACCTGTGAATAAGAAGCGTCTTGAGGCAGAGGATGTTGGAATGCTTGAAATCTGGTATGGCAAGCTTCGTGAGTATCTGCATTGCGATGGCAATAATATGATACTCACGCATAACATTTACAACTTTGATGAGACTGGATTTATGCTTGGAGTAGGCAAGACGACTCGAGGGCCCTCACAGTATAGTGATAAGCGCTTTGCCTCACTTGAGAAGGGTACACTTGTCTCTGTCATTGAGTGTGCCTGTGCCGATGGAACGATGGTAGAGCCGCCTTATATCATATTTCCAGGTGCACGTCATATGGAGTCGTGGTATGAAGGCAATGTGCCTAATTACCCTGTCAATGTTAGCGAAACTGGTTATTCGAACGGCGAGATTGCACTTGACTGGATCAAATTATTCGATAAGCAGACATATGCAAAGGCAGCAGGCAAGCAGAGGCTGCTATTATTTGACGGTCATCCATCACATATTACTGTCGAGTTTCTCCAATATTGCCAGGATAACAACATTATTGCCTGGAATTTTATGTCAAATTTGACACAATTATGCCAACCACTCGACCAGAAGCCCTTTGTTGTCTATAAGCAGGCATATAAGGCACAGACATCGCACCTACAGGCAGAGGGGAGATTCGATGATACTATACACAAAGGCGCGTTTCTACATCAACTACCAGATCTCCGCAAGCGCGTCTTCCAGCGCTCTACAATTCGTCATGCCTTCCGTGATACAGGTCTGGTTCCATATAATCCAGATCTAATATTAGGTAAGGTTAACCTAGGCCTTACCTCTAATATTACTGTTACTGTTGATGAAGGCTGGCTTGCCAATACACCTTCACCACCTCCACAGAGCAGTTCACCACTCCCCTCAAGTCCTATCAAGACCCCTCGCTCTGCTCGCCGTGTTGTTAAGAAGATTCTAAATAAAGATATCTCTAATAACCCACAAGTCGTGCGAGGTTTAGACCTACTATGTGATGGTCTATTAGCAAATGTGGAGCGGAACCGTCATCTTGAGCAGAGCTTCCAGAACCATTTCAGCGCTCCAAAACAGCGTACAAAACGGCAGGTCCAAGGCAAAGGCCTCAGTTCTATCACAGGTCGTCTATATCCTCATGATGCACAAAATTCAATTATAGAGCGCAAGGCACGTGAGCAGAAGGCAGCAGAGGCTCGCGCAGCAAAGGATGCACGACCAAACTTAGGTGAAAAAACGCCGATTTCTCCTACAGAACCCCCTCGAATCGAGCCCAAATTGCCCTCACCGAGAACTATCAGACGTCGCGAGTTCAATGAGAGGATGAAAAAATATAGAGGCAAAGCGAAGGTCTACGGAGCGCCGTCGCCGTCGAGGGGGGGGTGAAATTTTATTGGGGTGGCGTGGTTATCGGCGTGGCGTGGTGCACCCACTTGGCGACGACCTGGAGCGAGTGGGGGCACTGACTAAGGCACGGGTAATATTCAAATCTATAACGCGACTGGGCGTGCTAGCCTATTTTAGGAAGGCGGAGATCGGAGCGGTCAATAGGGGTGGTCACAGACTTTTGGGGCGCCACTGTATGATGAGTTGTCGCAGCTAGCTGATACAGTATGGCATTGTATGCAAGAATGGGGCTAATCTACCAAGGGGAACCAATCCAAAAAGATAGGATGAATTAATTGAAAGAAGAAAAGAGCGGATGCTGCAAAGACACGTTATGGTGGGGAATTGATACATCCACTCCAAAAAAATTGATAACTACTGCCACTCCATTAGGTCAGCACCCGCAATCAACCAATCAAATTCCTTAAGCTCACCAAGTCACTCTATACAAGTCGCGATCGAAGGTTTCTGTGACAATTTCGGCCCTATTTCGCTATTATCCTGGCCTAATTTAATGTTATCTTAAGGGGTAAGGCATCTTCTAATTATATGCGTCTTTCCTGCGTACTTTATGCACTTTTAGGGGTGATTATCTAGTCTCCGGTACTAACTACAACTCTAGTGCCCTTTCTGTCTAAATCTTAGCTTTAGCTATAGAATTTAGGAGCTTAGAGGAGGTAGAAATACTATTATAGACCACTAATTGGCATATATCTAGGATAAATAACACTTCACCGTTATTTTAGCTCGTTATTGTCTATTAAAGTAGAGATGGTCACTATTATTTAGCCCTTGGTGAGGTATTATGCTCGAGAGTTCTAGCCAATAGAATTGCTATGGGCGCTTAGGTAATACGGGTGCTGACCTAATGGAGTGGCAGTAACGTAATTCACAAGCGAGTCGATCACACAAGCGAGTCGATCAGCCAACTACAGTCATAATTTTGATTTGCATATATTACCACCACAACGCAATTAAATTAATAGCTACTGCTTCGGACATCTATTTATCTTATGCCCTATCACTCCACATCCACTGCATCTTGGTGGAGCCCGAGTTCGTTGCGTACTGGCCTGATTTGCGATCTCCACGGAGGTTGTAGCTTCGGCTTCAGCTGGCTGTTGGCTGGCCTGTATCAACGCACGCGCCTCTGTAGCACCTAATGCTGTATCATGAGCTATTTGACGAGTGGATCTTGATCGCTTTTGCTTTTTCTTTGTATTTGCAGCACGTAAGGCCCGGTTTTCTTCGGCTAAAAGTACTGCGCTATGCATAGCCATATGGCAGCCCTTAATCAGTTGATCAATGGCCGCTTTGGTGGGCGTAGGAGGGCTTTGAGATCGATATTTAAGTAGTGCCTTAACCGAAGATGCCTGCCGATGTAGCTGCTTAGAGTTGTGTGGTGTTATAGGCATAAAATCGGCTGAACTGTTGCTTCCACGACTTCGGGGTGGTGTTGGAGTTTTTAGCCGAATATTGATCTTCGAAAGGACTTGAGTACGATCAAATGGCACTAATCCTGTTGCTTTGAAGCCACTTTGTATAGTGGTATCTTTAAATGCTCGTAGACGGGCCTCAGGATATGCCGAAAGGAAGTCAAGCTTGTCGATATGGTTGATGCCATTCCGAGTTAGGCTTTCGACAAGCTCACCATATGCACGCTTTAGGGGGGCAAAGCAAGCCACGTCAAGTGGCTGGAGTAAATGCGAAGAATGCGCTGGCATGCAAATTGGTATAATATCGTGTTCCGTGCAGATTTGATCGAATTGAGCCGTTAAATGACTGCCGTGTCCATCAAGGACTAGTAGTCGATATTTGCCTTTCGAGCGGCCTTTAGTGTATGGAATAAAGTGATTCTTAAGCCAGTTAAGGCCAATATCGTCAGTAGTCCATCCATTTGCGCTTTTGTCGATTTTCCAGCCATCCGGAAGGTCATCAAACCACGATTCGATGAAGACTTTGCCCTTAAAGATGATATACGGTGGAAGGTGCCAACCAGCGGCGTTGATTGATTCCACAGCAGTCACCCACTCACGATTCCCAGGTTGTAGCATCGATCGTTTCCCATAATATTCGGCACGAGTGATCACTTTAGCGGTCGCAGTTAGGCCCATTGCGAAGCCAGTCTCATCAAAATTGAAGATATCCTCGTTGGCGATGCCGTACTTGGCTATAACTCGCTGTACAGAGTCGAACCACTCGCCAATGACAGCTGGGTCTTCGCATTGTGCCCTTTGGTAGTCGTATCGACGACTAAAGCGACTCGCGATCGTGTCTGCATGACGTTTGACGAAGTTTGGGACCCAATTAATGCCAACGGTCGGAGGAGGTGTAGGTCCACGGCTTGCGAGTAGTAAGTTGGCCATATCTTTAGCCAGGCTTGGCCGGGGAGGATTTCCACGTAGATCCATAGATAGTATCCATTCAATAAGCGATTCTTCTTCGAACTGGGTCAATTTATGACCATTTGCGCGTGATTCTTGTCGGTATTGCTGACCGCGAAGCCGGCTATATAACGTGCCAAAGGGCACATCAAAACGGCGCGTAGCTTCACGAATAGAAGAGACTTCATGGTTTTTGATGGCTTTAAGAGCTAAGAGGATCCTACCTTCCTGCTCGACACGTTTTTGGGCATTTTGAGAGCGAATTGGTGGCATAGTGGGTGGTTGAAGGTAGTGGAAGATTAAATGGGGGACGCGACCGCGTTGGCTGATCGACTCGCTTGTGTGATCGACTCGCTTGTGGATTACGTTATCAATTTTTTTGGAGTGGATGTATCAATTCCCACGTTAGGGTGTCCTTGCTTACATGAGTAGGGTGAGGGGGGTCGAAACTCCCGATTCTCGGAGTGTCGAGAATCCCCTAGTACAAATGAAGATATTACGACACAAACGGAACTAAACTATTTCGGGTGCTACCCCACTATCCTCGACATGAGTCCATTTGTCCATTAGTCTGTTTACGGGATGGTGTCAAGTTAAAGAGGGTGGTGGCTTTATCACCTTTCCTTTTCTGGACAGGATAATCAGCGCCTCCCCCCCCCGGGGAAATTGTTACGGACACTACAGGATTTACTAGTTAGGTGATCCGCTGGCTTACATGGGGGAATTGATAGGGACAGCACAGCTTTTGTTCGGGACAGGGAATTGTTAGGGACACCGCAAAATTGTTGTTAACGTGATCCACGGTCGCCCGAGCGACCCCATCAAAAATCCACTTCAATAATAATCCATCTTTTTCAACCACAACAATGCCCCCCAACGCTCTGATAAAAAAGAAAGTTGACAGAGCAGGAGGGTCGCCTTTTATTAGCTATAAAAGCTATAAAAGATGGCAAATATCCCTCTGCTGCAGCTGCTGCACGATCATTTGGGATACCTGTCTCAACTTTGAAGGCCCGGATCAATGGGCGCCAATCTGCTACTGAAAAGAGGCCATCTGGCCATATTTTCTCTCAAATCGAAGAGCAATCGATAGAAAACTGGCTACTCGATATGGACTCAAGAGGTGCAGCTCTTACTTTGCCTATGTTGCGAGATATGGCCAATCTTCTACTTAGTGCACGGAAAAAAGGCCCCTGTACCACTGGTATTAATTGGCCTTCTCATTTTGTCAAACGACACCCAAATCTCTCTACTCGACTTTCACGCAAATACGACTATCAGAGAGCTCTTTCAGAAGACCCTCGAATTATTAAACCATGGTTTGATTTGCTTCAAAGGACGATGGAAAAGTGGGGTATCGCTTCAGACGATATCTTCAACTTTGATGAGTCTGGTTTTGCCATGGGTGTTGGCGCAACACAAAAGATTATCACTTCAGCGGAATACCATGGAAAAAGAGCACTTTTGCAAGCCGGAAATCGTGAGTGGGTGACTTCGATTAAGTGTATAAGAGCTTCTGGAAGTGTTCTCCCTCCACTCTTCATTTTCAAAGGAAACCGATTTCCAGAGCATTTACGACCCTACCTCCTTTTAAATCAAAAAGCAGCTCATCTAACTATGAGCCCAAATGGTTGGACTACCAATACAATTGGTTTATGGTGGCTAAAACATCATTTTATCCCAAATATTGGGACAAGAGTGGGAAAATATTGCTTACTGGTCCTTGACGGTCATGGGAGTCATTTAACACCTGAATTTGACCAAATATGTGAAGAACACCAAATCATCGCTATCTGTATGCCGCCGCATGCTTCTCATCTTTTACAGCCTTTGGATGTGGGTTGTTTCTCGGTTTTAAAGAGACTTTATGGAGGAGCGGTTTCAACTTTGGTGCGGAACGGAGTTAACACCGTTGACAAGGAAGATTTCCTAGAACTAATCGCAGATGCGAGAATGGGTTCTTTTAAGTCTTCCACTATACAGAATAGCTTTTTGGCTACTGGATTAGCACCATTTGATGCTAATAAAGTCTTGGAAAAGCTAAATGTGCACCTGGACTCTCTTCCTCCTCTGGAGATCCTCTCCCAGCGACCACTCTCTTCTGGCAGTGATAGTGATCCAAATACTCTTTGGACCCTCTCAAGATTCACAAAATCGCAATCTCGGATCAAAAAAGGTCTAGAGTCTTCTTCTTCTTTTCTTTCTTCACCAACAAAAAAGGAGATTGAGAAGACCTACAGGATGACTATAAAAGTAGTCCACCGCCACATTTTTCTCCAGCATCGCTGTACCCAATTAGAAGCTACCAACAAGAAACAGGCCAAAAAACGAGAGACCAAACATAAGTTTACTACCCAGAAAGGCATCTTTGGTGGTCTAGAGGGTGGTGAAGATGATGTGGTGGTTGAGGATGAAGATAGAAGCAAAGATATATCTTTACCAGAGGTGCCTGCAAAACTGGTTACTGAGCCTACTTTGCCTTCTACCCCCTTGGTTCGGCGGCAGGTGACATGTTCTAGCTGTGGGATAAAAGGTCATACATATCCTAAATGCCCTACACGTGTTCAATAGCTAAACTTATGTTATTATTGTGGTTTTAATAGTGGTCAAAAATTGAAGGTTTTCTCAATTTTGGTGGGGTCGCTCGCGTGACCGTGGATCATGTTATTCTTATGAGTGAGTTGTCATATTTACCCCGCTTTCTTCACTGTGTTTGTTCCGTATGTTTCTATTTCGGTCTATTTATACGAGAATTATCCCATAATTAGTTAGACAGACAGATTCATCCTGAGACGGACAGACAGACAGTTTTCTCTCAATATCGTTTGTTCTCGCCGTCTTATTTTTTATCCCATTTGGGGTCCAGCACATGACTAAGCGAAGTCATAGGACCCCGAATGACGACAGGATATATAATAGACACAAAGCTATGATAACGATTCAGATAGTGGGAAGATTAGTCAAAGCAAGCAACTACAGTTTAAACAATCAAGGAAATGACTAAGTCATACGATGACAATGATGATAGCCTTCCAGGAATACTAATATATAAGAGCACACAAGAACGATTGGGACGGATTCAGAAGAAATCAAGGTTACCTGATAGATTTCAGATTGATTTGAGATAGTCTACGTAGATGAAAATGGTGAAACTATGAAATTCAAACTATCTATAATTAATAATTACATTGTCAGTACTTGAAAAATATAAAGGAATCCGCACAAATAATGCATGCTCAAAAAAGTCACGAGGCTGGGCATGTTTGGCTTGTTTCATATCCACTGGATATCCTCAAATATCCAGAGGATATTGGGTGCTATACCATATTCGCAATTTGCGGACAGGATATGTGGATATCCATGGATATTGAGGATGTTGCCGCAGTCTACTTGTCCCTCACAAGACAATGGGTTGGTGATGAAGTGAAGCCGCACTAAGACTGCTACAGAACGGAGTGAGCTGGACGGAGGTTGTAGGCCCGACTCCTGCAAGTACTATGCTTAGTTTCGGCCCTGTCGAGTTATTACCTGACGAGTGACCCTCCTTTTTCTTCCCGCATGAGCTTCCTCGTGGCAGCAGTAGTAACTAGCACTTACGGCGTAATGTTAGTGCCAGTAGAAAGGTGGCCGAAAATAGTGTCAGAGGAAATCTGATATATAAGAGTGACCTAAGTAGACAGTGTTTAGAAGAACAGGGAGAAAAGTAAAGTAGAAAATAAGGAGCGACAAGAAAATAGAACCTGCCCTCATCTGAAAGCCAAATGAATGAGAACAAAGCAAGCAGGAATTGGTCCAAGACCGTTTTTCGATCAATTTTCGCCATCAATTGGACACAGTCTCGCGTAGTGACTGACTTACCACGGGGACGGCGTAGGTGTGACATAAGTACCTGGGACAGAGGAACGGGCACACTGGCTTGGCATCGGAGGCGGAGAAGCCACGCCCCAAGTAGGAGGCACGTCACCAGCACGTCTCGCAACAGCAGTGAGGAATGCAGCGTATGACCAGGTAAGGTGCTGGACTGAGACGGGCGCACCGGTGTTTCGGTCAAACTGTTCATTCAACCCTCCATCAGCTGGGGTATACTCCTGCACGATGGAGACAAAGCCATCGGCGTAGGTCCTGACAGCACCAGTAATTTCTGAGTACTTGGTAGACCCTTTGGTGTACGTGCCGGTAGTCACGTTAGCCACCAAATCGTGGAAAAATGGCAGAGAGACACCAGTCACACTGACGCGGCCTTGTTTGTCCCACTGGTAGAGAGCGTCGTAGAGTTGTTCGGCGGCGGCCAGAGTGGCCAGGTACCAGGGGTTGCCCCCGAAATAAACATCCTCGGCATATCGGCCCACGGCTGCGGCTTGTCCGGCGGTCCGACCCTTGTTCACGCCGTAGATGCCACGGAAAGAGTCGACGAGAAGCTTGTGGTTAGACAAGGCGCGGGCAGAGCAAGGCTGGAAGGTGGTATCGTCACAGGTTGCTGCAGCGGAGTCAAAGGTGTATAGAGTGGCCAGGACAGAGTTAACATCTAGGCCGGTACGGCCATTGGTGGGAATATTGGAGATCACTGCTGTGCCATTCCAGTAATCTTGGAGATGACAGAGGATCTGAGGAGCGAGAGCACAAGCTTCACATTGATAGCCAAGAGCGGTAGCAAAGACACGTCCCTGGATCAAGGATTTATACTGTGCAGCGGTGGTAAAGAAAGAGGAAGCGTCAACCTCTTCCCACAGATCGAAACCAGTCTGGTTCCAGTACTGACCGACATAAGAAAGATCATTCTGGACAATAGGCCAGATATTATCCTGGACCTTCGATTGCTTGCCTTGGCTAATCAGGTAATTTCCATAGTCGATCAGGGCTAGGGCGCGCAGAGCTGGGCCATCGCGCTGGGGGCGACCCCAGGACCCAGTGAAGGCCGTGATGTTGACATTAAACTTGGGTTCACCCAAGCCAGAGCCATCCGATAGAGTTCCAGAGGGGTTGGGTACACGCTGGAGCTTAGCCTGCGCGGTGATATATTGTTGAATAAGTGGCTCCAGAGACGAATCGCCTCCGAGGAAGTCATGGATCAGGTCCAGAAGAGTCAATGCTGCGTCACGGGTCCAGGTGTAGAAGTCTAGGATCAACTGTTAGTCTCTTCCAACATATATATACTATTTTCTGGTCGGCATACAGTTCGTGGGATCACCGTTGGTAGGCGAGGCAACAACGATCCCCGGATAGGCTCCTGGAACAAGCTTGCCATCGGCGCCAATATTGTTGAGGATCCCCTGGTGAGCGACAGGCTTCTCGTTCTGAATAAACGTCTCGAGTTCGGACCGTTTCTGGTGCAGGTGAAATGCTGGGGAGGCCACCACGGCGGGAACCACCGTGCTGAGGGTAAGGAGAGCTTTGAACATCATGGTAATGAATATTTGTTTGTCACAGCGCTGAATCTTCCAGTCGCTTTAAGGCCATGGCACCTTTATATGTTCGAGATCAACCGTCCTCCGCGGCTCCGATACCTGTCGTAATTTACCTGCTGCCAGTCCGTTGGAAATTATGATGCAATGGAACCACGAAAAGCATCTCAGAAGAATCGCAGAGTACGTTGGACCATCCACGGGCCATTCAGCTCAATGTTAACTGGATGCATCCCCAGAATTTACGAGTCCACTATAGAACTGGATCCCGGTTGGCGAGCGATTCACCGGAATCTTGGCAGTCCCTGCACTTGGCTGGCGGGTGGTGGGTGCCAAGCCTAGTTAAGATTTGTAATCTCCGATAACTGACCGTTCCTAACCCAACCAGCGTCCTGGTGGTGAATGTTGACTGGTCGAGGACAGCATTGTGGTCGTTCGTAGGGACTCTTTTACTGTTCTTGGCCAGTTCGTTGTCCGCGGATGGAGATTACACGACAAAATCAAGACTGGGGGCGGCTAATGTCTTGTCGCTGAAGACTTTTGACTAGTTCGTCTTGGCTTTTAGATGCCGAGATTGTTGCCTCCTTAGGAGGCCGAATGAGCGTGATGCCAATTAACCCTTTCTACATCTTATTGACAGAAATATCGCGTCATAACCTACACATATTCATATGTTGAACACTGTCATTCGCTCTCGCTCAAGCTCAACCGAAGAATCTCCGAACTTCTTGCGATCAGATTCCCCCTGATTACCCAGAGGTCTGGCGTGGGGCCCCAGATTGCCTCAAGCCCATGGCATCATTCCACCACCAAGGTCCTTCAATTTGATTGTGCCGGTTGAGTGGAAACATGCACCAAGGATGACGTTGTGACAAAGGGTATTTGCCTCCGTATCCCCCTGGTTTTGCTTCACGACTAGGCATCTGCGGTTGTAGGACTGCAGTTGGACAATGTCGAGCTACGAAGACTTCGAACATAAACACAATTTTATATTACTCATTCAAGATGATATGCTCGATATGTACCATCGCTACTTGTGGCGATCCCTATTATTTATCATGACGATTGTTGCAAAGGTTCTGGACGGACCGCCCCGGAATTTACTAGATGGACGAGCCAATCAACAGTGCATTACCTGGCAACTGATCAACACCTTCTAATTAACTTTGAGCCACTCTGGTCGTTCTCTAGCTCTAGAACACTTCTCTTGTTTGACCTGAGGCGCAGGGGCCACTGGTGATCGTCGCCCCGCCGTACACGGGAAATCAGCGGAAATTGTTAGTGTTGGGTGATCATGCGACCAACAGTGGACTCGCTCCACTCCTATAGATAGCTTCCTTTTCCTCCTCCTCTCCCCACTACAGTAATCAACCCACTAATTGACTCCTTCCTTTTCTCTCGTAGATGAATTCTCTCGGTCACATTAACTTCCGAGATGATTCTCGCTGCTGTTTCTCGGGGGAAATCATTCTGCACTACCATCATTGCATCCGGCTCTCTGGTCCCACAGTGGACTATAATGTGAGGGAGCCCGGCAGAGCTCATAACTCTTGACCATAATTGCTTTTCTCCACCGAACAACCACGGTCATCATGGTTGTCTTCATGGCCCTTCTGGCCGGTCCAGGATGGGCAGCCCGGTAATGCACTCCTATCAATATTCGTCAGATCGTTATTACTTTTAGAGGATGGAGCTATATGTCCGAAACAAGAAGGCGAGTTTCCCATTTTCCTATCTTTCGATCACTGCCAATGAAGTCAAATTGCAATGCTCATTACCAAACAATGGTATAGTTCATTGCATGTACATGTGGAGTGTGCCACCTCTTGAAAATGAACTTAGAGCCTCGTCAATGCTAATAGCAGAGACTGCGTCTCATTGCCTGATTTCCCAAGCCATGTAGGTACACTTGTAACTAGTTATGAGGTCCCAACCTGTAACAGGCAATCCCAAATATCAACCATTTGTGCGAATCCGTTCTAGGAACAGTTGAGACGTGAGAAGGAGCTTGTGATGTAACTGCCTCGAGGCCCAGTCTTCGCTTTCGTCATTCACCCTCCCGGAGTAGTGGAGCCATATTTTAGCTCCCTCATTGAACACCTTTTCGCTGCGATTCCATGAAGTTCGACTCGCTCCTTTTACCACCATCATCACCGGACGTCCTTTGGTTTTGTTCTACATTGTTTACTGGACAGCCAGCTCTTGGTGGTTATGTCCGTCCAACATTTTCAAGCCCCTTTTTGGAACGCCAGCCCAATTTTGGTCAGCGAGGGTCCCAAAGGCTGTCGGGGCGATCCATCCGAGCAAGACTGAAATACCCAGACCTTTCGAGACGCTCCCGGAACTGTCGGAACTTGCGGGCCGATGCGTTCTTGCTGAATAGAATATCTAGCTCTAAGTATGTGAGCCCCTTTGGCTCTGGGAGACGGAAATAGGCCCAGACAAAACAACAGACGGTAGTGCCAGCAAATAAGAAGCAACTTTTACCCCCCAGTGCCAAGCGGTTGGGTTTAGCATGCGTGTTGTAACAGTATTGACAATGACGCTGCTCAAACTGTAGGCGACGCGAGCAAGGACAACAGTTTTGTTCCGCAGGAGAGAGGAGGGAATTTCAGCCACGAGGACGTAGCAGACAGGGCCGATTGTGGTGTCATAAATAAACGTGAGCACGATGATTAAGGAGCCGAGAACCCAAGAGGTGGTCTGGCGTTCCTTTAACGTACTCATTCCACCTGCAATCATCAAAACAATGAATAAGAGGATCAGACCGCATAGGTAGATAGTGCGTCTGCCAATTATGCGCAGCCAAATCCAGGAGAGAAACCCTCCAACTATTCCCGAACCAAACACTCCAATTCCAACAGTGATGGCATGGGAAGTAGACAAACCTGCCTGTTCATAGAAATACACTGCATAACCAGTCAAGGCTGCACCGCAGAGTGATTGCGTGATCCAGACCATACAGGCAACTTCAGTGCGTCGGAGGTCAGTACCTCTGAAGCAACTAAGATACGAGGCTCCGCCACCGCTGAGGTATTTTTCTACCTCATTAGTGTGGCGTAACATAGCCAGTGTCTTATGGACGTCGATACTGTTGCCGGGACCGGCTGAAGTAAGCCGAAGAAGGGCCTTTTCCGCTTGCGCATTCTTTTCGTGACGTACAAGCCACCCTACAACAAACTTAATATAGACCCCTGCTCGGATAATGAGAGTTTTGCTCACAAGGGCTTTCAGGGGCAAAGAGGATCCCAATCAAAATCGGGACTAAAAACGTCCACTGCAGAGCCAATGGAATTCGGTATGACCATTGTGATGGGCTGCTGATGAATATACGCATCATACCAGCCCCCACAAGCTGCCCGAGAAGCCAGCAGTTGTTAATGTTCGACGTTAGGTATGCTCGTAAGGCGACTGGCATGACTTCGGCCGCGTACGTCATGCTCAACGTTTGGAGAGCCCTGCTCAGAGTTAGTAAGAAAATGAGCAGCAACTGCACGTGAAGAAACCGATTCCACTGACCCCCAGGGCAATCCGCACAGGACGTAGCCTGATACGAGCATCTGGATATTTCGTGCGAAGAAAATCAGGAGCAAAAATAACGATAAGATGACCAGACACCCAACCATAACGCGTTGATAGCCATATCTATCTGTTAGAACACCATTAAACAATAAACCCAAAATCTGACCCGCATAAGCTGCATTAATGAGGCCAGCCTGCCACGCTGCAGAAATCTCATAACCTTGTCGACCGGTTGGCGTACCATAGGTCTCCCGGAAAGCAGGAAAACCAAGAAAGCCATTGATCAAAATAGTTCCATAAGCCTCCAAGACAATCGCCATTGATAGTAGCACTGACCACGCAATGGCTTTGGGGTAGAGATGACAACCTTGCCGAAAAGTCATTCTGTGCTCAATTGTGGTGGCGGCGTGTGCCTCCTCGGAAAGAGGTGCTAGGCTGGGAATTGAGGTGGAGATGGTATGAAAAAAGTCATCATGGGTTGGAGAGGGCCTAGGTTGTGACTCGATAAGGTCGACTGGCGTGCTATTCAGACTTAGAGGTCCCACGCGGTAGCTTTCCATTGTTGTGAGATTCTCCTGTGCCATATGAAACGAACTGGAGAGAGTCTGAAGCGTCATGCCAAGAGGCAAGTCAAGCCGCGATCGTCATTGGGGCTGTGGCTGTGCTTAAACTGCCTGTTTCACAAGATGCTGCGCTGGTGGTGGTAGGGAATACTAGACAAATTTTTTTGGTGCGTCGTATTTCTGAAAGAGCGTGTCGATGAGAAGCCAAGGCAGAACAGGACGCTCTCATATCTAAATGATAATGGCAAACGAAATCCTGGCCTGAAGCCAGCAAAGTGAAACGAGACGAGTGAAGAAACGTTAACGCAAATCCGTGGGTATCGCATGAAGTTTACGCCACGCACTAATTGCTCGAGTTTGATTGGTCAAAGTAGCCAATCCTCTCACAAAATATTTTAACGGAAGGTTTTCCGGAACCAAGTATTTGAAAGAGTTACTCTTCCTCCACGCGGCACAACCAATCGACAATCCCTAGAAACCACCCCACCTAACCCAAAGACCTTTGGATCCTTTCCCTCGGCCTGGCACCTACTGGGGTGCCCCAAGATCGTTAGGCGGCTGGGCCATCGCTCCCCCTATTGATTCCGGGCCCCCCGTCTCGGCCCCCCCGCGTCCGCTTTTCCCCTTGTTCAGCCCGTTTGATTTGTGAGAAATGTATTCTACTGTGTAATACGCTGGTTCGTAACTAACTAGTTAGTAGAAGCTAGGATCGTTCAAACTAGTGTGAGCCGTCTGTCGTCGTCGTACTCAGGTTCAAAACCGCGAAACCGCAAAAATAATCCAAGTTGCGCGCGCAGACAGCATTTTCTAGGCTTGTCCCGTGAAAGTTCTTCGTTTTTGGAATTCACTATCATCTCTTAGCGAAAAGCTATCGTGGGTGATGGTTTTGGTTGCGTGTGGTGCATGTACTGCTCAGCGTCGTATTCGATTGGACGATCATTTCCAACTGTGACGTCATGTTGCTTCAGATTGCGAAATAGACTTGCTCTGTCTGTCCTTCGTGGGGTCTAGTCCGGGCAACGAGAAAGTTCGAAAATCTGGTTATAGGAATTCGTAACTAGATTTTGAGCACCTTTTAGTATGATCATATTCAAGGATCCTCCCCCAGAGAGGTTTGTTGGGAGTTGCCCCGTCTTTGTGCCATGGGCTGCAACACAGGATACACAGAATGCTGCTCTACGCATCTGTTTTCCTTTGTCCTTTTTCAATTTTACATTCGATCCGACCAAACAGTGGCTCGGTTTGTGAGTCTCTTTTGATCGTCATGTGGGCTAACGACCACTTTTCAGCTGTCGGTGGGCATGACAGCACTCCCGCATAGCAGCATATATATAGAGCGAGCTACATCGGGCAAATGAATTATTCATCATCATCATTTTATGGTACTACTCCATCTATAAGCCAAATTACGACACCAACAGAACCTATAAATTTTAGGTAAAAAAGAAACATACTTCACACCACCCTGTAGAGCAAGAAATAAGGATTCCAAACAATACTAACTAGAGTTTTATTGGATGTCAAAATGTTGTGTAAAATCCCTTCAAAGTTGTTGGAAATCTGTAGACAGATACCCACGCTGGTCCCAAAGGGTAGGGGTTTCGTGACCAACGCTAAATCTAAATAATCAGAGGCTTTATACTCCCTTCAATACTTAAGGTCGTGGACTCACCCATCACCTCTCCCTCCTTCTATCCTAATATTAATTTTCTAATGTTTCTTTAGTCGTATATTCTTCGGTCGTATGTTCTTTTATCGCGTAATTTCTAGTCGCATACTTTTTCAGTCTGATATTTATTAGTCGCATAATGTTTAGCCGCATTTTTCTTATGGCACTCTGATTATATTTACTTTAGTTGTATATTCGCTGATACCTCGCTATATTTTGTTTTTCCTTACAAGATATTATAGATTAATTTTATTAAGGGTCAACACTATCAAAATAGAAGAGAACTTGTCGGCATTCGGGGTCTATGATTTCGCTTAGTCATGTGCTGGACCCCAAATGGGATAAAAGATAAGATGGTGAGAACAGATAGATTGAGAGAAAACTGTCTCTTTCGGGAAGAATCTGTCTGTCTAGCTAATCATGGGATATTTCTCGTACAAATAGACCGAAATGGAAACAAACAGGATAAACATTTCATCGACGACTAACGTAATCGGTAAGCGAGTGAGACATGTAAGTGAGTGAGACAGAAAACCAGCTACTACTATTTCAAACCAATTTATTAAACCACCAACGCCATTGATTTCAAATTTCTATCTATTAGACCTATCCGGGCATGTCTCTCTTCTATGTCCTGGGAGCCTGCATATCCCACATCCCCGCTGGCCCCGTGTACGTGGCTGCGAAGCTGACGATTCTGGTTCCGCGGGGGTAGTATTAGGAGCTTCATGAGCCTGGTTCATCGACTCCCTGGCTTCTTGGCCCGTAAAACCCTCCGTATGAGCTACGCGCTTAGTCGTTCTATTGCGTTTTTGCTTTTGTGTCTCGTTTTCAGCCCGTAAATCGCGGACTTCCTTTAGAAGGATTGCATTAGAATGCAATGATTGCTGATAGCCCTTGAAGAGCTGATCAATAGCTTTATTTGTAGGCGTCGGAGGGCTTTGCGAACGTTTCTTAAGCAGTGCCTTGATTGAAGAGCCCTGTCGATTCAATTGTTTGAGATTTGCTGACGTTTTAGGGCTCCACGCGCTCGATTGGCTTCCTGGTCGACTGCCTAGGGGGTAGGTGTCCGAAGTTGAACATCAAGCTTTGAAATGACCTGATTGGGATCATATGGTACTAAACCAGCTGCGGCGAATGCATTTTGAATAGTCTCTGGTTCAAAGGCTTCTTTGCGAGCTTGTGGGAATGCCGCGAGGAAATCAAGCTTGTCGATATGATTGACCCCCAACCGTGCTTTGCGTTCAATCAAACTCCCATATGCGCGTTTTAGAGGGGCAAAACAGCCTATATCCAAAGGCTGTAGTAGATGAGATGAATGCGGAGGCATGCAGATCGGAATAATATCGTTTTGCTCGCACAGTCGATCAAAATGGGGGGTTAAATGACTGCCATGGCCATCGAGAACTAGTACTCGATATTTACCCCTAGTACGACTAGTAGTCGCAGGGATAAATAGCTTTTCTAGCCATCGAAGCCCAATTTCGTCTGTAGTCCAGCCATTCTCACTGATTTCGATTCTCCAATCGTCAGGTAGGTCATCAAACCATGCATATTGTTGGTACTTTGACGATTTGAAGATAATGCATGGTGGGAGTACAAAGCCCGTTGAATTCACACATTCAACCGATGTGACCCATTCGCGATTCCCTGGCTGTAGAACTGACCTCCGACCGTAGTAATCAGCTCTTGTGATCACTTTCGCAGTAGCTATAAGCCCCATTGCAAAGCCAGTTTCATCAAAATTATAGATATCCTCAGGTTGGATACCATTCTCGTCAATTGTGCGTCGTACAAGCTCAAACCATGGCTGAATAATACGAGGATCTTCGCATTTTGCCCTCTGGTGATTATACCGTCGAGAATATCGCGATTTGAGCTCTTCGTGGCGAGTGGTATAGTTGTAAACCCATTTAGTTCCAACAGTCTGACCACCACGCTCTGCTAACAGAATATTGGCCATATCCCTCACCATACTAGGTCGGGGAGCTGATCCACGCGTATCCACAGAAAGAATCCACTGTAGAAGCGATTGCTCTTCGTTAGGAGTCAATTTATAATTGTTGGCGCGGGTATCGGAGCGAAAGGTTTGGCCATTGTATCGACGATGAAGAGTTGCGTGAGGTACTTGGAATCGGCGCGCAGCCTCGCGAATTGTAGGAATTTCTTTATTCTGATAGGCTTGTATGGCGAGCTGGATCCTACCCTCCTGCTCGATAGAGTTTCGTGAATTTTGACTGCGAATTGGGGGCATGGTGGGTATTTGAAATGATCATGTTGACGCGTTGGGTCGCGATCGCGTTTCTGTCTCACTCGCTTACATGTCTCACTCGCTTACCGATTACGTTACTTCCGCTGGCGAGTGGGCCGGTCGGCCGAAGAGAACCTGGCCAAACTACAGTCCGAAGATATTCATGGTATCGAAGCATGGGTGCAGCGAACTGGGTCTTGCTTCGCTGCCGAGAAAACCGAGCTCATTCACCTCACCAGGAAGAGAGGAGACCACCTACAGGGCCAGATAGTCGTGAATGGGACGGTTGTCTCGCCTTCACCTACAGCCAAGCTGCTGGGAGTGGTCTTTGATCAAGAGCTTCGGTGGAAGGAACATGTGCAACAGGCCATTAAACGTGCGACCAAAGTCACTATCGCGCTGTGTGGGCTGCGACATCTGCGCCCAGAACAGATGCGACAGCTTTATCAAGCATGCGTCACACTAATCGTAGATTATGCGTCGACCGTATGGTACGACCCGTTGAGAGACAAGACTCACCTGCGACACCTGAACACGGTGCAGAGAACCTCGCTTATCCGCATCCTGTCGGCGTTCCGAACAGTGGCCACAATGGCCCTGGAAGTCGAAACGCACGTTCTCCCCACCCATCTTCGTCTTCGCCATCGAGCCCAGCGCACCATCGCCAATCTTCACACGCTGCCTCGGGAACGCCCGATCTGGAACGCACTCACACGAGCCCAGAAACGAAGAAACAACATCGGATCGCACGCTCACTTTCTACTAGCGGCAGCGCGGAAGACCATGAATGTCGAGAGACTACGCGGACTGGAAACAATTGACCCATGACCGCTACCACCGTGGCGTCCGGATCCTTTTACAGACATTGAGCTTGGCTCAGACCGAGAAGCAGCAGCGGAACAGGCCGAAGCCATCCGCTGCCATCCGCTCAATATCAGACATCGTCGTCTACTCAGACGCTTCCGGTCGCGACGGCTACCTAGGGGCAGCCGTGGTAGCACTGAACGACAACTTAGAAGTAGTCGAATCCCAACAGATCCAGATGGGGCTGATGGACCGCTGGTCGGTTCACGTGGCGGAGCTTTTTGGCATCTTCCACGCGATCAGCATGGTATTTAAGATAGCGCACCAGCGAACGAGAACGGAAGACCGAGACACGACCGGAACAATTCTCTGCGACAGCAGGTCAGCGTTGCAAGCGATCCAGAGTGCGAGAAAGAAATCAGGACAACGAATTGTTCACGCGATCTACCAGGCCGCCACCGAGGTCCAAACCGCAGGGATTGCGCTGCGCCTCCAGTGGGTGCCAGGGCACTGCGACAACCCCAGCAATGATGCCGCGGACCAGATAGCAAAGGCAGCCGCCAAACCGAGCAAAACCCACCCATTCCGACCGCTGCTCACGAGGGAAAGGGCGTTCGTTCGTAGCACCATCATCGCTCGGTGGGAGCAAGAGTGGAGGTCAGCCAGCCAAGGCAGCCATCTACGGAAGATCGACAACACTCTACCGTCGGCATACACCAGAAAGTTGTACGGAAATCTCAGGACGCAGGTCAGGTCGACAGTAACAGGTGGGTCGGGCCACACCCGGCCGGAAAACCAATTTCCAGGTGTTGAGAATAGATTAGCAATCCATCATGATTGGCCAGATTAAATACACACTTCTTGGCATTACCAGCCGTTTCCAACAAGGCATAATACACTTTTAAAATATTCTTAATATATTAATATCATTGCGTACGGAGGGCTCATGCAAAGATTCAGGAGAACCCTAGATAGTAGGGGGAACTGAATCTCCTCGCTATTAAGCTGTTATTGAATGTTTCGCTCAGGTTATGCCACAATATTAAATTTTTTTTCAGAACAACTGCCATATTGAGTATGAAACACTCGCGAATATCTGGGATGGGATATGTACTCGCTAGAAATTCATTACAGATGCCAAGAAATTAGGTGTGGCCTGGACTTATCGACCTTATCAGGTGTGGCCTGACCCACCCGCAGGTGTTTGGCCACGGCAGGCCGTGACTTTAAACCCTTCCATCGTCGAAACACTCGTCACTCCCTACTGAAGCAACATTTTACCCATTAAATCCAAAATGGCATAAAACTTAAATTCCTAACAACACAAGACGATTGTATACATAATAAGTACTGTAGCAACAAACAGTAACAGTAACAGTCGAATCGAAACAGTTGGCCTTATTTCCACTGAACAACCGTTAATCTCCAACACGCTGGTCACCCGCGATATTTTGCTGCTCGGGCGCACGATTCACGCCGGCGCCGGTACCGGCGCCAGGTTTCTGGAGCGGTGCAGCGGTTTGCATATCGTCTGGTCCTCTCGCACCCATGTTCTCATTGTAGCTGCTACCACCCGCTGCATTGCCGCCAAAACTAGGCTGAGCAGCACGATTATCAAATTCTTGACCGGCACTATTCTTGGGCATCCGTTCACTTCCCATCGTCCTCGGTGGACAGGGGCTGACATGGCTGGTAGTTTTGTGGGACTTGTGCTCCTGCGTGGAAGTGCTGTAATTGTCCTCATCTCTCTCACCAGCCACCTGGTTGGCGTCGGAGCCGTACTGGCCAGGCTGATTGTGGGATCGATGTTCCTGAGTGGATTTGCTGAAATCGTCCTCACTGGAGGTATGGTTGTCGACACCTTGGTTATAAGGTTGCTGTCGATTTGGCATGTTGCTCGAGTTAATGCCTTGGTCACCTGCAGTGCTCCTCTGGGGAGCGGAGGCGACGGCGCCTTGCTTGGCACGGTTATCTATATATATATTTTCGCTTAGTATATGGAACCTGAGGAGCTGCTTCATGGTGAGGAATGAAGTGCTTATCGGGACATGAAGGACAAGTATGAGATGAGAAACACGAATCATACGTTATGACAGAGCTTCAACATACCTAGGTCACTGTCAACCTGGGGATCCGACTCATTAGCCAAGTTTTTTCTATAAGGATCAGCGTTGATGTCGTTGGAGCTGAAACTCGAAGTATTCCCAGGCATCGCGTTTGAGTTACGCGTGTCGGGACTGGGACCGCCGGCATAATCTCCCGTTGCTTTATTGGCCGGATAATTGTCATTCTGGCCATCTATATATTTCTTGAGCATACCCAATACACAAACAATATGAATACTTAGTAACTTACGTTTAGTCATGGGAGGGGCGTTCTGACTCCTATTGTAGTCAGATGTGAAGGGATTAGATGCATCGTGATTGCGATTATCAGAAGTACGGCTGCGTGTTGCAGGCCCATCACGATCAGTCATGGCATCTTTGACTTTGTGCATGAAGTTGGACATGATAGATATTGGTCGATACTATTGCGATATATGTAAGATAACAATTTTGGATGGAAGAACTGTATACTGATTGCAGTAGGGAATTGTTGGTAACAGACTAATAAAAATTTGTCCCATTGGATCTAACAAGCCGTCTTATATGCACAAGACCTCTGATCGCTTAATGAAAAACGTACCCGGTCTCTTCTCCAAGTGGAAATCATGATGGCACTAGGGTATCATGTGAAGACAAGAAACCTGGAAATATAGATAAATACCTGCTAATCCAATTCTTTTCCATCTAATATGACGTTGTTAAACAGGTTTCGAGGATAGAAGATTTAGTGTATGGCTGCAACGAAATCCCGACTGTAAAAGCCAAATTTACCATGGCACTGAGGTTCCTACTAGATACCGACAAACAGGAAGGCAGCGATGCCGAGAATCTAAGGATCAGCCTACGACCATGATTCCTCAATTTGGATTTCCATGGTTCACGGGTCGCCCATAATCCTAAATTCAGGTTTTTGATAAACACCATATAGCAACCAGTGGCAATGGCTCTGGTCAATTTGCCCTCTTTCCATTCAGCCAATGAGAGAAAGTTGAGTTGATCAGACTGCGGCTGGTCCGTAGCACAAACCGGGGTAGCGCAGTACAAGGTGCGGGTATGCGACCGAAATTACCAGGCGTGGGAGCATAATTCGAATATCCGTCTCAGTAGTCGATCATCTGGGCTTGATAGGCATCGCCCTCAAAACCTCAGAAGAGCTATTGACCATTGTGATTAGCTTCCGATCAAGGTGACCTGCACAGTGCTGTAAGGCGTTAGCCTAATTCCTGGTATCCAATAAGATTTGCACCCGCAGCATGATAATAAGCAATGGTGGAGATTCCGAAACCAAACCTTAATGTTAAGACTTGCCTATCACCTTAATCCGGATTGGACCCTCAGGAAGCACCAAACGCAGCAGTAAAGCAACTGCGAGGTACAGAAGGTAGAAGTTGACACTTCGCCGGTTCAGATGTTGCTTTGTTTGCGTTGTTTGTCGTTTGCGTGGAACCTTCCGGGCGTTCCAGGCTTCTAATTATAAGTCGGTACCGCTTTAGACCCAATCACGTGGTCGAATCATAGATACCTTGTCTTCTGCATTGGTTATGTTCGTTCTCACACAAATTTGTAACTACATAGTGGCCTTGAATAATCTGATCTAGCATAAATTTTGATGGGCTCGGAGGGCTATTTGACCGTTGCTTTAGTAGTTTCTGACAAACTGAGGGGGTGGTCAAATACCACTAGGACACTTCGGGAAAGGCTTATTCATAGTTCGCCCAATTTGCCTTAATGTGGTGTACACAACATGCCACAGTTCAACAAGGGAGACCCCTGAGATCGCTCAACCGATCTCAACAACCTTCAATGGATCATCTTATTCTATTTGGACATCTTCAGTACTAGCCAGTACATCAATTCCTCATCCTGACAGTTTCTTAAGCATTGAAGCTTGCTTTTGTAGTTGAACGGCGGTCTTTGGCGTTTTTGGGGTGAATTGGCTATATCTGCTCCTTGGCCGGCTTCCTGGTGGTGTTGGCGTTCGGATCGAGATATTTAGCTTTGAAAGCACACGCTCTGGGTTAATTGGAGTAAGACTAGTAGCAGCAAAGCTATTTCGAATAGTCTGCGGTTGAAACGCCTCAATACGCGCTTGGGAGTAATCTGCGAGAAAATGATGCTTATCGATGTGGTTATATCCAACGCGCGCTAGATGGCTCACAAAGCGACCGTACGCGCGTTTAAGCACAGCAAAACATCAAGGGTTTTAGTAGATGCGAGGAATGCGAAGGCATACAAAGCGGTATAATATCGTTTTGTGCGCAGATTCGATCGAATTGAGGCGTAAGATGGCTACCGTGGCCGTCAAGAATTAATAGCCGATATCTACCTCGGACACGCGAATTCCTTGATGGAATAAATAGCTTTTGTAGCCAGCGAAGGCCAATCTCATCGGTGATCCAGCCGTTCTCCGAAACCTCGATTCGCCAATCTCCTGGGAGGTTATCAAACCAGCCCTCGATATAGACTTCGCCTTTAAATATCACGCATGGCGGTAGCGAATAGCCATCTGCGCAGATTGCTTCGATAGCAGTGACCCATTCGCGATTTCCTGGCTGTAGGATAGATCGCCGACCGTAGTATTCTGCTCGTGTAACCACCTTCTGCGCTGAAATAAGACCCATCGCGAATAATGTCTCATCAAAGTTGTAGATATCCTCTAGCTGAATACCCTTCTCATCGGTAACGCGTTGTACGGTAGAAAACCACTCTCGTAGCGATTTCGAGTCTTCTTTTAGAGCGCGCTGGTAGTCGTATTTCCTTGAGAAGCGTGTGCGAAGCTCATCGCGTCGTTGAATAAAGGTTGATGGCCAATTCTTGCCTACAGTAGCCAGAGGGTTATTACCGCGCGTAGCTAGTAGGATATTAGCCATACCTCACACAGTAGATGGCCTAGGCGCTGCTCCACGCGAATCCATAGAGATAATCCACTCAGTAAGCAAATAATCTTCATATTGGGTCAATTTATGACCGGATGGGTGTTTCTCAGCGCGTGAGGTTTGACCGTGGGCGCGCGTATGTAGTGTTGAGAGCGGTATTTTGTATAACTTCACTGCTGCGCGAAGAGATTTGATACGACCATCTTTTAAATCCTGGAGGGCTAATAGTATCTTGCCTACCTGATTAGCCAATTTTTGCCAAGATTCAGAGCGTTTTGGTGGCATGGTTTGTGGTCGAAGCGGAGGATGCAGAGATAGAGACGCGTTTTTGAGTGGGTGTCCAGGTCGGCCGGGAATTACGGTAATTCACTGAGTCGGCCACCTGACCGATTACTAAAGATTCGAAAGTAGATAAAACCACCAAAACACTATTAATTCAAAAACTATTGACTAGGGCACCGGGTAATTGAGTGGCCAGTATTATTACAGCTGCTACATCTCCGGGGTGCACGTTTGGCTGGTGGAGATGGCAAAATAGGTGATTTCTACGAACAGAGAGAGGGGTCAAATACCACTAGGACACTTCGGGAAAGGCTTATTCATCGTTCGCCCAATTTGCCTTAATGTGGTTACACAACATGCCACAGTTCAACAAGGGAGACCCCTGAGACCGCTCAACCGATCTTAACAACCTTCAATCTATCATCTTATTCTATGGGATATCTTCACCGTTTATCTCCTAACAGAGATAAACGGATACTGTTGCTGTTGCCGTAATTATGAAGGATATCATTGATTCGAAGAGTTCAAAGGCTGCACGGGCTGGCAAGTTATATATGTCGGCCCTTAAATTAGTAGTCTTCTTCCACTACTTCTCACTCGAGTGCGCAATATAATATTCTGTTCTCACTTCAGAACTGCCAAGACGCTATCTGTGAGTGGACACGCACAAACGCTTCGACTGCTAGGGAAAGAGAAATTATTGGGATAGCCATCTCTCTTTCGTTCTGGTGGCAACTGAAGGAAGTGATCAAAGCCCTCAAGCCCTAATACATATTGCCCAAGAAAAATCCGAAGCTCGGGATTCGTCGATCATGGAGGTAAAGCGTTGTCGACGGCAGAGGTGTGGATCGATCACGAAACAAGCTGGACACAACCTAGTTTTGGCATTATACCATATCAGGCCCAGCCCACAGTTTGCTGTTATCTCTGCCAAGTGAGTCCCATGAAAGTGGAGTTGATGTCCAATGTTCGATGGGGCAAGTCCCTGAAGATCATGACCGAGACACAGTCCGACGCCATCCCCTGGATCCTCGATGCAGGAAACTCCTGCTGCCATATTACAAGATATTCTCAATTATATTGGACGGCACTGCGACACTGCGACAGAAGTTGCAATAAGTTTGTCTACAGCGGACTATCGCAGGACTAAAAATTCCAGAGTCACTAAAGGCGTCCTGGTCTTCTGGACTCAGGTCCACTCCTAAAGGGTCCGAAAACAGTCTCTAGTTAGCGCCCCACTTTGCGTGAGAGGTGGGGGCCGCTAACTAGGCACTGCTACACCACGTCATAGCAACCCGAAGGACCACTCTTCTTCAATGCACGACAGAATCCAGAAGCATGAGTGGTGGACATGACTTTGCTTTCTTTGCTCTTTGATAGTACGAGGACGAATCACAGACTAGAACAGCCCACGGGGGTGGGATTTGCACTGCTCTTGCAGTTTCTGTACACCGATCTCCTGGCGACACTGGCGATCACAGGGCGATCATGGACCGAATACGGGCCGATAGCTTCTCATTGACTTGACCCATCTGCGGTGGATCCGGCCGGTGCTTCGATCCTTGTTCGGTTTCATGCATCAATGACCTTTCATGCATCAATGACCTGAATCTGCTACAGACCAGCAGTACGCCTGGCAATCGCCCGCGGGGTCCCCAATTGTGCTTCATTTGTCTCGAGCGCACTATCTGAGAGCGAATCCGCTATCTGGAAGTAATCACAACTGATCGACAGGGGTGTGTTCTTGGGTCTTGGGTGACGGTGCCAAGGATATTCGAGGGTTGATATTCGTATCAATCGGCGGTCGTGGGGCCTTGGCGAGCTTGGTCAAGTGAGAACCGTCATCCTCGGCCGATCCAGGGCGATGGGAAGAGGGCAAGGATTTCAAGTAGCTTCTTCGAGATTCCAGGTATCGGTCGGCCAGTAATTTGAAATTGATGTCGTAAGGGCATCCAATACGAGCACGTCTCTCTGAAACACCACTTTCCGTGGGGCGGGACAAGATGAAGAGCTAATGCCACGAAGTGCGCGGCAAATTGCTAACCTACACCAGCAGCTACTTCTCGTATGCAGTCAACCCTGCACAGCACAGCCCAGGCTTGTAGCATTGCTGTGATATGGCGAACGCGCGGTGGAAGTTCTTGGCAATGATCGTTCCCGTCCCGTCCCGTCGCCTGCATAATGTGGCACATCGTACAGCCATGTTGATCTCTGCGGGTAAACCCTGCCCTGGCGACCCTCTGTCATTGGTCTCCGTTGCATCATCCTGAGAGCGTGCTAGGCCAGCCCAGCACTGGATGCAAATTCCTGGAAGAAGGTGTTACAATTCGGCATTGGAGGAGTGCCGGGCCTTGATATATTCTTATAACTGAATTGTACGTACCCAATTGCTTTCTCACATATCTCTTCATCTTCTCGCCTCGGTCTATCCTATCTTCGATCTATTTTCCTACCTTCGAACTATTTTCCATCGCGATGCCGATGTTTCAAGGGTCTTCTCTTCTCCCTAGCAAATCCCTAGCGATGGAAGCGACGGACCTTGGCACACATAGAGGCTTTTCCTCTCTCAATTTCGATGATATCGAAAGGCAGGCTCCTAAGGGTCCCCCATTCACTAAAAGACCTGAATCCTCCAACATCAAATGCCACGCCTTTAGCCGAGATCTACCCCTCAGACATACCCTTCGCGATTACTTCCTCTCCGAAATTGACACCACATGGAGTGACCTCCCTCTGATAGGCTGTGGATATGTGAGCGGCTTGATCGACGCGCTATCATACAATGCGTGGGGAAATTTCTCGAACATGCACACGGGTAGGGACCCAAATATGCATTTCCTGAAGAGCGAGCCCTAACCACGGTCGAGTACGCTACAGGTAATACTATTTTCATCGCTTTAGGAGTGTCCGGGAAGCCCGACTCCCAACCTATGCTGTGGGCCAAGGCTCTCGTTGCCGTTGTAGTGTTCCTACTCGGCAACGTTTTTTTCGTCTACGGCTCGCGATACCTAGGTCCTCTCCGACGCTTCACCTTGATTGTGTCTTTTGCCATTCAGACATCCCTCCTCGTCGGAGCCGCCCTTCTTGTCCAAGAACGGGTTGTTAGTCCCCGTCTGGACCATCGGACTCCGATTGACTGGCTTCAGGTTCTCGCAATCTCGTTGATTGCGTTCCAAGCTGCAGGTCAAATTGTTGCCTCGCGATTCTTGGCCTTCTCAGAGATCCCCACCGTTGTTCTAACCGTTCTGGTCTGCGACTTATTTATTGACACCGAGCTATATCGGCGTCCCTGGAGCTCGAATCCGAAACGAAACCGAAGATTAGGTGCCTTACTCTCGCACTTTCTAGGAGCCATGACTGCGGGTGGAATGGCGAAGGAGACCGGGCTCGCAAGTGGCTTGTGGCTTGCCATAGCTCTGAAGGCTTGTATTACCATAGGGTGGTTCTTGTGGAGGAGGAAAGGCTGGGACGGATCGCACATGTTAGGCAGTGCCCAGTAATGTAAAGCCGGTTTCCTCCCTCGACTCACCTCAGCTCTCGCTCCTCTTGCGAGGAATTCAGACGTTATTCACCTTCCACTTCATCCCCTGGTAGTAGCATAGTTAAAACTTTAAATAGGAATTGTGTGCAAAGATTGCCACTCGCATCCCATTATTGATAACGGTCAAATATTCTCCCTACACTGACGAACCTAAGGGATCGTAAAATGTATAATTAAACTGTTTTCCTCATCCATATACTCCACGATGGCCAGAGACACTCCATGGGGCCGCAAGAGTTCATAAGGCGACTTCACCGTCAACTCGTTCGAGATCGGAACTTTGGGCTGTAACAACTGCACATCTGCGGTCGGCGGGCTATCTCCTGAAAGCTACTCTTATACCATACGAATAAACTGTAGTCATAACGGCTACTAGGCGGACAAACAGCATCTCATACAAGCAGAAGCGGACAATTATCGTCCCTGTCTGTCTAGGGATATTTACGCCAAGAGTTTCATATTGGTACCAAAGCGAACTAATGGAGCAGATGGTCATCCTCAGCTAGGCAGAAAGAAGGTTTCGGCACGTCATCAACGATGCAAACTCGAGCCTTTTCTACCAGGAGCACTAGAAAAATCTGGCTGTGCTTCGGTCACGTGGGATGGTCCACGTTGACAGTGAGTGGCGCAATATGAATGTTGTGGGACAACCTAGCTAGCCGTTTGTTTCTCATGGACTTCGAAGACGTGAAGTGGTTCAAATGCCCCCGTGCCCTTCAACTAACGCCTAGAAATGTACTGCTTCGTCATTGCATTAAGGCGGGAAAACCCAGGAAAATACTCTTGTCCGGCTCAACGGCTGTCCACACATGACGGCCGCAGATTGAGTTGAATCCCTCTTCACACCTTCCACTAACGAGGAGCAAGTATGCTCTGGATTTTGGGACCGCCAAACAGGTTGCCTATTGTTCCATATCGCAAGAAGTCTGCTGAGGGAGGATCTTCGGTCAAAATCTCCTCGATGATAATGGAGTTCAGTAGTCAGGACCCCAATCGCCTCAGTACAGGATTCCCCCGCGGCGTCTTCAGATAATATCTTTCCTCCGAAGTTACCTGCGATCCGCTGGAGAATTCCACTTGCCCTCAAAAAAATTGTCGGTACTAAAGATGAAAACCTGCTGCCGAAACGACAAGAACCCGAGCAGACCCAGAGTGTGGTCGTCGAAACGGTTATGCAAGTGGTGGACACCAACTCTCATACCCTCTGGCAATCCGCTATGTTGAATGTCCCGCTGACAATTTCGGACCCTGCGTTCGAAACTGCATTTGCATCGGAAAACCCCTTGTTAGCAACCTCTTCCACAGCTCTGCCTTAGCTCAGCCCACCGCTCTCCCAACGAATTAAACGGCCGAAATTGTACCTCCCACGACAAGACAGACCACAGCTATTTCGTCGCCAAAGGTTTCGTGAGCTATTATCTCTACACCATATACCTTAGTACCTCTCGCGACGTCCTCGAATTCAACAACTTTGCCTACTACATCCACTTACATTGGGAGCATTTACTCTACATGGACTGGAGCTTCTCCATGACATCTTCTTCCAGCAGTTCTAGCACGTCATCGACTTCATCGACTTGGTACGGAGACGGAGGCTCTGGCCAGACTGGCACCAGTTCTAGCAGCTGATCGGCGTCTACCAGTAGCACTACAGAGTTTGCATCAGGATCAGATGCAACTGATTGCGAGACAACTTCAAAAATTGTCGGCGGTGTTGCGGGTGTTACTCTGCTTTTATTGCTGATTCTGTTCCTGTTCCTCTGAAGAAGACTCCAGCAAAAATGTACCAAGGCTTTGCCGCCATCCGACTCTGGTGCACGGGAAGTGTCCGAAAGACGGATGATCAAGGATACTCTCTTTGGTGCCTCGTACCTTGCACCTGCTTTCGTGAAGCGCTGGTACCAGTCAACGATGACCGCCAAAACAGAGAGCACCATATCTTCAAGTCCAAATGAACGATGCTTTCAAAAGATACCCGGACGCAAGATCCTTCATAACCTTACCCACGGGGGCGACGGGTTTGCAGGAAAACCAACCGGTGGTGATTCCCCAACCATCTCCGAATCACTCCTTGGCTTGCTGCCTCCATCCTCGGAGGCCCTGCTTTCTTCGCCTTTTCACGCACCACCAACAGTAACACCGTTCAGCATAGCCCTTGACACCAACGTCACACGCGAAGCTGAAGAGAACACAACACCGACGCGTCCGCGACAAGCCCATATCCCGATCTCAAACTCAGTTACGTTTGGCTCTCTCCGACAACCGCAACTCCATTGCATCCGGTTCCCTAGCACAGAGCGCTGTGCCGTGGCTCCTCGAAAGCATGCGCCGGGACGCAGTCTTCCAAGCTACGATGGAACTCGCGACAGTCGTGGTAGCCGTTTCACGGAGAGTTTGAAACCGACCACTGTACAATATATCGGAGCATGCGTTACGATAAAACCGATGTGATTATGGGACGGAGATTTCTTCGAATGCCTTGTCGATTCTCTTCAAAGCCATGAAACGGATTATGGATCACAGCACTGTGGATTATTCTTCTATTTCTTCACTGTTCTTTTCAGCCACCTCCCAACCTGTTTCCTTTCCTACAGAGGCACAGTCTGCAACTCTGTGGGATGGATGTGTCTTTCCTTCGAAAGGTGCTCTCATTTTTCACTTTTGTCATTTTCCTCTCGTCCTTGTCTGGTAGAAACCCCTTATTTCTCCCTTCATTTTGTCGAAGTTATGTTCATCTTTCCATTTCTGGCTCGGAAAGGCAATTATCAATATTGTAATAAGCCACTCTTGGGCTTCGACTCTTAAAATTTCTGATAATTATTAATCGAAGCCTAAATTCAACCAAAAAAAGTTGAGTGACGACCTAGTACAATAACAGCCTAGAAGGGGGCAGTGAAGATAAATGAAGCTGTAACTTAAAATGGTACATTGAGGTTGTACCATAGGTAAAATCAGCTCGTCGGTATGCTGCCTATATCCAGCCACGCATCTCATGTCGACCTCAGTTTCCTCGTACTACAGGGTTTAGATGTATATAATGTGAGTTCGTCCATATTGAGTAGCACCGCCACAGTTGCCACAGATGTGGCTCAGTCATAGCGTGGATGCCGATCGCCAACTCGTCACTCCGGCTTTACTCGATCGAGAAAACTATTGGGTGACTTTGTTACGGACGCCAATCTGTATTCTTGCACAGATCGCTTTATGATTCCATTTCACACGTTATTCATGCTCCATGACGCGGAACGCTTTCACACCTCTAGCGCTGACGTCAGTACTCGTGCCCTCTGCCCAGAATTAAAAATGAGGAAGATGACGCACCCAGCATATTCGCGCCTCCTTCCGGAGAAGCACACACGGAGTTCGAATTGCTCACTTTTCGTTCGATGGTGGACTCAACCTGCTATAAAGAAGGTTCGAGCCAGAATCTGTGAGTTGGACTGCATTGGATCATGGATGGTAGAGTGATTGACTGCGCCTCAATCAATTACTCCACTCTGGCACACTGGCACGCGGCGGCAAGCCCAAACCCATCATATCCACTTTTTATTGGATCACCTCATCTTGGCGGGCCCCAGAAACTACAGGATTCTGTGTCATGATGTGCGGCGTCTCGCAGAGACCAAACTCAAGCAAGCTGGAGACCGTTCCGGCGCCTAAAGCTCGTCATCCATGTGTCGAGTGCTTAGATAGCTGGTCACACCTACTTCTCCCTGCTCATGATTTCATCTCCAGCTGGAAATGAGCTTGCACTCGCCTCCGTTGCCATCCACTCTCTTAACTGTACCGTACTTCGTGGTACAGCGATCCGAGGCTATTCGCCGTGAACGAGGCTGTGTTTGCGTCTTAACATAAGTCTTTAACGTAAGTCGGTTAGGAACACCCTAGGTCGCAAACAACCATATTGATCAGACTACCTCCACTCCTCTCTGCTGAATCTAGGCTATGGATAAAACAATTTTCTCACCTTGGCGTTTTCTTGTTTCTTTAGCGAGTTGAAAGACACCGTCTATGACCGTAAGACACATCAGGACTGGGCGGCTCTGGGCATATTGACACAGCCCCCTTCGAGAGGGAATACAACTTGACCTGTTAATACCATTCCTTGAAACGGGCTTTCGCGCGAGAGCATACCCTCGTTGCACCATTTTCATACCTATCAGCCCATCAACCCAACGGTGCGAACACCTCATGGCTTCATCATCAAACCACGAGTCGTCTCAGCAGGGCTCATTCTTGAGCCCTGTCATAGTAACGAATCCTTCGGACAGAGAGGTAATTTACCCCATGCACACATTTCGCGGCAAACTTGTATTAATGCCTTTCTTATAGCGTTCATTATCTATTTCATCTGCTGCTGCATCTTCCTCATGCTCTGGTCCGACAGATCAACCTCACTCTCCAATATCCCCCGCATCTCCTGTACCTCCTGTATCTCCCACCTCTGCACTTTCGCCAGACATGGCATGGAATCCAGATCATCCGGACCCAGCACGCCTGATGGTCCACAACTCATCGCATCGGCCTTCATCGTCGATTGACGGTGACACATTACGTCCGCGATCGGAGTCATTTGCATCTACTGCACCCACGATGAGCCCGAGCCGATCAAGGGCTAATTCGGAAGTTGGTCCTTCACATACTAGCAAAGCAGTCTACGACGATGTCCCTTTGTCTGAAGCACTGGCACCAGATCTCCGAAACGAGGCTGACTTCCTCATCGAGAATAATCGCTTCTCCTTCTCACCCGGTCAGCTGAATAAGATGCAGAACCCCAAGTCCCTTGCTGCCTTTCATGCTCTCGGCGGTTTACAAGGATTGGAGCGGGGACTTCGAACAGATCTCAGCGCGGGTCTGTCTGTTGATGAAGGACGGTTGGAAGGCACAGTTGATTTCCAACAAGTCATGCCACCATTATATAATAAACGCCCGTCAATGAGCAAGCCGCCTCTTGAAGAATCCCCTTCGAAGTCGGTGCCAGTATCTGCTGGAGAAGGCTCACCATTCGAAGACCGCATTCGTGTTTTTAGTCAGAACCGACTGCCAGCTCGGAAGTCTACTGGCTTCTTGAAGCTATTCTGGATTGCATACAACGATAAAATTATAATACTTCTGACTATCGCCGCGATAATCTCATTGTCCTTGGGGATCTATGAAAGTATAGATGGAGGAAAAGGTGTAGAATGGGTGGAAGGTGTGGCTATCGTTGTGGCAATTCTCATTGTCACTATTGTTACTGCCGCCAATGACTGGCAAAAAGAAAGGCAATTTGCTAAGCTTAATAGAAAGGTATGTAATGAAAAATTATGTAAACTCTTTTTTCGACTTCGCTAACGCTTCACAGAAAGACGACCGCGAGGTGAAGGTAATCCGGTCCGGTAAGTCCATGAAGCTATCAATTCAAGAGATCATGGTTGGCGACGTGCTCCATCTGGAGCCCGGCGACTCCATTCCGGCCGACGGCATTCTGGTCTCAGGACACGGTGTGAAATGCGACGAGTCATCGGCTACCGGTGAATCGGATCAGATGAAGAAGACCGACGGCCACGAAGTCTGGCAGCAAATCGTCGAGGGCTCTGTAACGAAGAAAAGTGACCCTTTCATGATCTCTGGAAGCAATGTCCTCGAAGGTATCGGCACATATGTAGTCACCAGCGTTGGACGTTACTCTACTTATGGTCGGATCATGCTGTCGCTTCAGACAACCAATGATCCTACGCCGCTTCAAGTTAAACTGGGTCGTCTCGCAAACTGGATTGGATATCTAGGCTCGGGGTAAGTTTTCAAGCCAACGCAGAAATACACAAGAGTTATAAATAACGATTACTCTAGCGCTGCTATCATCTTATTCCTTGTTCTTTTGTTCCGATTTGTGGCCGACCTCCCGAATCATCCGAATGTCAGCTCTGCAGAGAAGGGCAAGGAGTTCGTTGACATCTTGATTGTTGCTGTCACCGTTATTGTCGTGGCTATTCCAGGTAAGTAAAACCTCTCTATATTCTTTGGTATCATTATACTAAATGATTTTGCTCAGAGGGTCTACCTTTGGCAGTAACCCTTGCCCTTGCCTTTGCTACTACTCGCATGGTGAAGGAGAACAACCTCGTCCGTGTCCTGCGTGCCTGTGAAACAATGGGGAATGCCACCGTTATTTGCTCCGATAAGACAGGTACCCTGACGCAGAACAAAATGACAGTCGTTGCCGGTACCTGGGGAACTAGCCAGAGCTTCAAATCGCCAACAGAGATTGAGACTGACGACTCTGCGAAATCCACGGCGGAATTCTTCAAGGGATTTTCGGCGCCTGCGCGAGATCTAATCATCAAAAGCGTTGCTTTAAATTCGACCGCCTTCGAGGAGGAGCGGGAAGGACGGAAGCAGTTCGTTGGCAGCAAGACTGAAGTTGCTCTTCTTCAAATGGCGAAGGACTATCTCGGTATGGACCTCGCTTTTGATCGTGGATCCGCCGAGATCACCCAGCTCATCCCTTTCGACTCTGCGCGCAAGTGTATGGGTGTTGTGTACCGTAATCCCGGAGCTGGATACCGACTCCTTGTTAAGGGTGCACCAGAACTCATGGTCGACGCCTGCAATACGCAGATCACAGACCTTGACGTCGGAGAGAAGGGTTTGCAAACACAGCCATTGTCCGAGGAGGAGAGACGGAGTATTCTGGAGACCATCGACCAGTACGCTAAGGGATCTCTTCGCACAATCGGTATCTTGTACAAGGACTTTACCTCTTGGCCACCAAAGGAGGCCAAAAGACATGAAGACGATGCTTCTGCGGCAGAATTTGACGATGTCTTCCAGGGCATGACTTGGGTTGGAGTCGTGGGAATTCAAGACCCCCTTCGTTCCGAAGTCCCCCCAGCAATCCGCAAGTGCCATTCTGCTGGAGTCCAGGTGAAGATGGTTACTGGAGACAATGTTGCAACTGCTACCGCAATTGCCTCTTCTTGCGGCATCAAGACTGAAGATGGGCTGGTCATGGAAGGTCCTAAGTTCCGACAGCTCTCAGATGAGGAGATGGATCGTGTGATTCCCCGTTTACAGATCCTAGCGCGCTCTTCCCCAGAAGACAAGCGTATCTTGGTCGAGCGTCTTAAAGTTCTTGGAGAGACAGTCGCTGTCACTGGCGATGGCACTAATGACGGCCCTGCTCTTCGCACTGCGGATGTTGGCTTCTCTATGGGAATTGCTGGTACCGAGGTCGCGAAGGAGGCCAGCTCGATAATCTTGCTGGATGATAATTTCCGATCTATCGTCACTGCTATTTCTTGGGGACGAGCTGTCAATGACGCTGTTGCCAAGTTCTTGCAGTTTCAGATTACTGTCAATATCACGGCTGTGATCTTGACATTCGTCTCTTCTGTCTACAGCAGCTCGAACAGCAGTGTTCTTACCGCTGTGCAACTTCTCTGGGTGAATTTGATTATGGATACATTCGCGGCCCTAGCTTTGTGAGTTTCCCATATTCGAATTCTGTCTCTATTTTCACTAACCTCATGCAGAGCAACCGATGCTCCAACTGAGAAAATTCTCGACCGTAAACCCGCCCCCAAGAGTGCCTCGCTGTTCACGTTGACAATGTGGAAAATGATTCTCGGCCAATCAGTCTACAAGCTCGCTGTCATCTTTATGCTCTACTTTGCTGGCGACAATTTACTCGACTCTCACCTGGACAGTGTCGACATAGAGCATCGCTCTAAGCAGCTCTCCACAGTTGTCTTTAATACATTTGTCTGGATGCAAATCTTCAATGAACTCAACAACCGTCGCCTCGACAACAAGTTCAACGTTTTCGAAGGTGTGCTCCGCAACTACTGGTTCTTGGGCATCAATGCAGTCATGGTTGGCGGCCAGATTATGATTATCTTCATTGGCGGCGAGGCCTTCAGTGTGACCCGGTTGTCAGGTATCCTCTGGGCAGTTTGCATTATCTGCTCGCTGGGCTGTTTGCCTTGGGCAATTGTTTTGCGCATAATACCCGACCGACATTTCGGCATTGTGTTCAATGCCGTCGTCGATGCAATGACATTTATCCTGCGACCAATCGCGAAGGGATTTAATGGTGTTGCTCGTGGATTGAGGATTCTTTTCCGACCAGTGACGCGCTTTACTCGTCGCAAGTTCTCTCGCGGTGCGAAGGAAACCGATAATACCGATCCCTCGCTGGAGTTGTCGAATACTCGTGCTATCAATGAGATTCATGTTATATATGAGGAATCTCCTCCTCCGGCCAAGCCGGCTCGACAGGAAAGCCCTGAACGTCTGCGGACGCCATCAGCGACTGCTGTGCCTCCGATTACGGTTACGGCATCGCCTTGATGCTTTTGTTTTCTTTTTCTCCGCTCTTGCTTTGTTCGAATAACGTCATAGAGCGGCTTACTTGGGTTGCCTTTGTAACATCATCTAGAGCATCGATCTACTTATGTACGGAAGAAACATTCCTCGAATATGAAGTTTTGATTAAACCTTTTTTTATTGTCCTGAGTGTTGTATACTGGCTTCATCCGGGCGGGACTGGGTGGACTGGGTCAAGAAAAGCGGAAAGCAGTTTGTTGAAACTTGACTGTTGTTACGGGCCGCTCGAAAGAAACAGATTCATTTGGTGCCTACAGACGAGAATCTTGAAGATGAAGAAGGAAGGAGAAAGAAAGAAAGTCCGCCAGAAAAAGAGGGTTTAAGTACCCAGCGAACGTGCACCAGCAAACGCGTAGTGCAAACGACCCAAAATTATGCCTCAGGCACCCTTCCATGAGATGAGGCTATTCCCAGGTTCATCCGTCACAACTGTCACTAATCGAAGTCAGTTTTCTTATTCTCTTTGTCGATGTAATGTAGGAAATGCAAACTCATAATAATTGGGGTATCTCGCATAAGCTGAGAGAGGTATGCCGATCGGGAATCATGGAAGCAAATACCAGAAGGTTCACCTTTACAAATTAGCATCAAGATCAATCAATCGAGAAACGCCAGGTGTTGGGAGTACAGGTGACCCGTGCATGATCAAACAGGATTATAGGGAAGTCTATGACATATATTTTATAAAGATTTTAGCTGTCTTTTTAGGTATTTAGCTAACAGCTAACTTATTGTTACACACTCTTAACTAGACGTGGTGAACCTGAGTGTTGTTCCGGGTGATACTTGCCTAGTATGCTGAACCATCAAGTGGTCCACAAACGTACCGTTGCGATGCCACACCCTACTGCGGGTCCGGGTCTTTAGGATGCTTACAAAGGTGCACCAGTCGAGTACGCCAAGTAGGTCAGTCCGAAGAGCTCCCCTACTCGAAGTATGTTTGGCTTTATATCGAACAGGGAAGATTGAATCAACAGTAGATCGAAGTAACGATGTGCAATTGATCGCGAAGAACTAAGTACATGGAGTGTCGTTACATCTAGTCCTCCCCATTCCTGGATAGGATCGGGTCCTATTCTGCAGTGTGCTCCGGTCCTATTTCCGGATAGGATATCCTCTAGGCCTCGCCAAAACCCGCCCACGAAAACCCGACCCACGGGTTGGGTTGAGTCTTAGTCAGCAAACCCGTTGGTTCTATTCGGGCACCATGTAAAACAAGTGTCAAAAAATAACGTGACCGCCCCACTCAATTTTGACACTCGCCCAGCTTTGTAGTGGAGCAAGGGCCAAAATTCTGACCCTCGCTTGCTAAAGTTTAGTGCCAACTAGCGTTATTTATTATTATTTACCCCTATTCCTCACCCTTTACCTTTTGTTTTCACCGTCTCTGTATGCATTATGGACGACCTTCCACTTCCACGAGCCCTTCCAGTTCGGCCACCAACTTTTCCGGAGTATCCGCCATGGGACTTGGCACGTATACAGGACCTACGTCGAAAAAATGCTGCAAGAAATGATCTCACATCACTAGTATATGATCTTCCTAAGGTATTCCCTTTTTTTTCACATATTTTTTTACGTATGAATTGCATATGTTAACAAGATTTTTTTCATTAGCTGCAAGATAATGCTGAGGCTGGGTCAGTATATGAAGACTGTGAAGAAACATTTGAGGATTTAGATGTTTCAGAGCAGGATTCTATATCTGATGAACCAGTGGATAACGCTGAATCACAGCCTACCATTGAGTTCAATATGGGACTACAAAACTCTGATCTCACACAAAATGGTGCTACTATTAGTGCTAGTAGTAGGAGTAAAGTACAGGCATTTGATCAAGAAAACCATTTCTTGATCCCGGAATACCCAGCTGTATCCCAACGTGGTATCCTACATCTGATTCATCTCTCAAAAAGCCCTTTGGGAACAAATCTGATGAAAGATAATGCGCTTGAGGCATTTGCTACTCTTTCATCAAATGTAAGTGTCACATATGGTAAACATGTGTGAAGTATATTAATAATAATTTTGTAGATACAATTCTCGCTTGAAAATACTGGACGCCCAAACTCTATTTTTCTGAGACTTCTTTCTACAAAGCCTAAAGATCCAGACTCTCGAGTATGGCATCGCCAATATCGATGCCATGGAATTCATCACTGCGAGTCAACTCATCCTGATATAATCACTCCATGTGAACAATATGATCGGGTTGATCCTCATATCTTTTGGGAACTTCGTCAAAAGGCAGCAGTCCCAGTTTATGGTTCTGTTCGACAGGAGATTGAACAACGGACTCGAGAGTATGTGGATATGTGATACATATGTATGACATATCAGTACTATACTAATTTGTTTATCAGATACTATTTTGGCTTTATGCGGAACTGGAATTCTCCAGGACGATGCAAGCATACCACAGGAGTCTTAACCTGCGAGGATCAGTATCCTTGTATCTGGGCTAATCATGGGATCTGGCGAATTGGATGCCCATCCTTAAATGAGGCTGAAGATTGGCATTATGTACAAACCATAAGCCATGGCGATAACATTCATCCTGAATTTCTCAAGGTTTTAGTTGAAACCTCTGGTATTCAATCAAGCTATCGGGATAATAACTGCCATTTTGTGGCTAACCGAGGACGGACTAATCAACGCTGTGGTAAGTCTGATAAACATATGTTTTACATATGTAATTGATATGTTAACCGTCTTATTATTATAGACTTCATCCATCAAACAGGGATTGGACATCTCGTCAAGAGAGATTGTAATGTGAAATTTGATTTTTACATCCCATATTCATGGCATCGCTTTCCATTTGTGTTATTGGTTGGTCGTGGTAACCATACACATTTCCCACCACCACCAGATAAGCTTCCTCGCACTGTGGCACAACAAGTCCATGGGGCTATTTTAGAGCATGATATCTTAGGATTAACTGCTCGCTCTTTGATGATTTCGCCTCAATTCAAGGCATTACTCAGGAAATATGACCAATCGACCTTACAAGGGCTCCATTCTAGTTTACATGTGGAAGATCGGGTTACAGCCCTTATTCGGAAACAAAGACTATTATCTTATCCTCTTGGCACGGATATTGCAGGGGTCTGGCGGGAATATCTCTTTGATCAGGCTAAACAGCCGGATGAACAATGGATTCGTGACGTCTATTTCTTTGATGAAGATCGTCAACATTTTCTCATCATATGCTGCACATACGAACAGGCTAAGCTCTTCCAGACAGTGCGTTATATTGAGATGGATCTTGCATTCAAGATGGTCTCTGGCAAAACCAATGTTTTCACTATTGCTTCATGGAATCGAGAGGCTAATCGGATCAACACTTACGCTTATGTTTTCATGAATTTGGAGACACGCCATGCATATAAGTCCCTTTTTGAGAGGCTATTCCAAGTCCTCAGTGACGTTGGTCGTAAGCCAGTGTGTTGGGCGTATCAACTTGGTGCTAACGATTCGGCGGAGGGGATTCGCACTGTCACTTTGGATATGTGTAAGAAACAGGCACCTGGTACGTGCGATCTTTTTAACATATGCTAAACATATGCTAAACATACTAGGACTTGGTGATTATCTTGCGTCGTTGGATCCACGTTGGACATGGCAAGAGCATTTACAACGAGTGCTAATTTTCTGTGAAACCCATGTTAAACGAGCATTCAAAAAGAAATTCGGGGCCCATGATGCTACTCCATTTATCGATTTGATACTCCGAGCGGATGACCTATCCACAGTTCTTGGGTACATGGATCAATGTGCTGAAGTATGGCCTGAAACGGCTAATTGGTTTAAGAATAAGCGAACGCCATGGATATTAGCAGGCCTCACACGTGAGGCCTCTAGAATTCCAATCTATTGGTGGATGGCGGCGCCACATCATACTGGGATCTGTGAAAGCAGCCACTTTGTGGATAATGAAGCTATTGGACGAAAGCAGTCACTCTTGGCAGCGATTTTGAAGTATCTAGCAGCTCTCCATATGGTTAACATATCACTAACTTATTACATTTAGGACAAAGCGGCATGTTAACAATATGGTTGAAAAGACAAAGCTTGCTGCTGAAGAAGGTCGCCACTCAACATGGAAGCCCGCAGATGCTGTTTCACGTATCTCGAAAGCAGGTCATCGAAAGAGTAAGTTCTGGTTTTTTAGTATATGGTTGATATATGTTTAACTTATGTAATAACTTCTTTCCAGACATACGAAACCGTGCTTCAGCAGAACGTCGGAAAAGAAAGTCGCATATGCCCTACAAGCCTAGCAATCCGTATGATTCAATTGAAATATCTACATCGCTTATGGGGCCGCCTCCGCGTCCTGGTTCAGATATCAATTCAGATTCAATTTCAATATCTGATACACAAACTATTCAATCATCTCGCTCTCGCTCATGCTCAACTCGCTCACTATCAATCCAGCCACAGTTGACTGAGTTAGCTGAGCTACAAAAAGAAGAGGAACGGCTCCAGCAAGAGATCGAATTGATAGAACGACGTGAACGGATTCAGAAGCTAAGGCAACGGCTAGATTCATTGCGTTAAATAGTTCTCTGTACATAGGAATAGCATATGTTTTGCATATCTAAAACATTCATTTCATTGAGTATGTGTACGGTGATTGCATATTGTTCTGAGATGTAAAACATTGAAGTCGTCAATCATTATCATGACGAAAAACGGATCACTTACCCTCTCAAAATGTGCATAATATATATCCTAATTCGGAGGACTAACAGCGTAAAGGCCCAGCTAAGGAGAAGCAGGTGCAAAAGCACTATCATCAGCACTATCACCACCTCCGGTACCTTCTCTGTCGCTATCACTATCTCCATTACCGTCGCCATCTCTATTTCCATCTTCATTACCGTTATCATCGGAGATATACTCCTCCTCGCTAGAGTCGTCAGGGGTAGTACTCATGCCGTCGGCCACATGCAGCTGAGTGGGGGTCATAAATGGAACGGGGTTCGGAGGAGGGTTTTGTCCGCGCTGCATATGATTGGCATATGGTTGGCGTATTAACAAAATAATGTTAACTTACGCGTCTGCTACGTCCGCCACTAGTAGGTGTGACGGGTTGCTGCTCGCGATTGTAATTAGAACCGTATCCCTGGCGCCAGTAGCGGTCATGTCGGCTAGAACAATCAGATATGTTAGCTATATGCTTAAGTTCTGCATACAAAATTCTTACGCAATATTAGTCAGGTTATCAGCGTAGTGGCCAATCGGGCCGGCCGCTGGGCCGCGGCCTGGTTCGTTCATGAAAACATCCTGACTCCACTGCCCACTGCGAACATAGTTGACAAGAGTATTCTGACCCTCGACACGCTCTTCACGTGATATAGGTTTGCGGTCAGGATTAACAACTACAGTGTTCATTGGTTAGCATAACTCTCACATATGTGAAGAAAAAAATGCCTACAGCAGCCGGTATGCACCTGACGCATATGCCGACGAAAGTCGGGCTGCGACTCAAATGTTTGGCCGCACTGGTGCACGGGTGGGTTCTCCACCACTGGGCAAACTAGAGTGTTTATTTTAGATAGCCGAAGACGTGGGTTTGGAGGCATATCAGTCGGGTTAGCCAGATCAGCAGCGGTGATCTGATACCGAGGGTTGCCAGGTGGGCTGTATGCCAGGCCACGGGCTTCCAGTTTGGGTTAGGGTCAATAATAGGGCCTGCATATGATCAGCATATGTTTTCCGAGGTCAACAAAACAACAAACCATGGTGGTAACCAAACACTAGGTGTGGGTTCATAGCAGTCTCTACACCATCTGCCTCAAAGAACGCGCGAGGTAGTTGGTGGCCTTTAAAGGTGGCGAAACTTGTGTGATCAGCCATTTCAACATAAGCAAATAATATGTGAGCAATATGTCAAAAGCGAGCGAGACAATGTGTGGAGAGTTATGCAAAATAAAGATAGGGAGGGTAGGAGAGAGAGCTTGTTGAGTGTATGTTGTGTATATATATATCACAGGCTTTGTTTACATTTACTAGGCATAACTGCCCAAAATAGGTGGCAGGCTATATGAAAGGAAAGTGCAGTAGTGAATTCCGCCATTGAGCCTCCTCCTTTGTTTGAAAACAATGGCTGCAAACCTTGGCTGCGATATGCTCATGATATGTAGAAAAACTTGAGTGCAGTAAATTGAGGTTATTGTTCAGGTATACAATTAGCGTATATTAGTCAATGGAGAACAGGGTCTTATAAGCCAATTAAATTAGCCGTAGCCGGCTTACGTGTACCTGGCAAGGGCCAAAAGTTTTTGGCCCTTGCTCCACTATAAAGCTGAGCGAGGGCCAAAATCCGGAACATTAATATTCCGGCCTAGTGGGGCGGTCACGTTATTTTTTGACACTCGTTCTACCAGAACCCGGGTTCTAGTTATTTAGTTGAACCGCAGTTTTAGGCGTCTTTGCGCTGAATGAGCTTGAACTGCTGCTTGGTCGACTACTCGGTGGTGTAGGTGTTCGGAGTGAGATATTAAGCTTCGAAAGCACACGTTCTGGGCTTATTGGAACAAGACCTGCAGCTGCGAAGCTATTTCGAATAGTCTGTGGTTGGAAGGCCTCTATACGCGCCTGAGGATAATCTGCGAGGAAATCGAGTTTGTCGATATGATTGTATCCGACCCGGGCAAGATCGCTTACGAAGCGACCATATGCGCGTTTAAGCACAGCAAAACACCCAACATCAAGCGGTGTAGAATATGCGAGAAATGTGACGGCATACAAAGCGGTATAATATCGTTTTCTGTGCAGAGCTGGTCAAATTGAGGTGTAAGATGGCTACCGTGGCCATCAAGAATTAATAACCGATATCTACCTCGAACACGCGAATTCGTTGATGGAATAAATAGCTTTTGCAGCCAGCGAAGCCTAATCTCATCGGTAGTCCAGCCGTTCTTCGAAACTTCAATTCGCCAATCTCCTGGAAGGTTATCAAACCAGCTCTCGATATAGACCTCGCCTTTAAATATTACGCATGGCGGCAGTGAATAGCCGTCAGCGCAGATTGCTTCGATCGCAGTAACCCATTCGCGATTTCCTGGCTGTAAAATCGATCTCCGACCGTAGTATTCTGCTCGGGTAACCACCTTCTGCCCTGATATAAGGCCCATCGCGAATCCGGTCTCGTCAAAGTTATATACAGTCAACTCTCGCTTATGGCACACCCCACCATCCAAGAGAATTTGCGTGCCATAAGTGAATTGCGCTTATTGTGATCGGATGACTATTTTGGTTATATTGATCGACATACATTGATTCCTAAATAGGAAGTCATCTAATGTCCTCTGTTTCCTCCCATCCAACTGTAGCCTATTGAATAGATGTTCTAACCCCTCTAGTTGACGTATATTTTCCTCAGTAGTACCCTCTTGATGCTGAGCCCATAGAGGAGCTTTCTGAATACTATTAATAGCTTCAGCACCAGACGGAAGCTCTACTGGTGGTCCACATATATATTCATCATCCGGGTCATCATCATTACCACCATCACCAGATATGTCGGCGATGATATCCGATAAATCAGGCTCACCGAAGTCATTTTCACCTGATGGATTTAAGAAATTATCCAATGACATGACTGTATGTGTATCGCTATCCACATCTGCAGGAAACCGGTTGATCACGCTCTGGTATAGAGGCATTAATTCAAGCGGTTCTGGCCTTGGCGCACTTTGTATCTGATCAGTGCAGCGACTAACGATAGTGCTCTTAATAAAGCAGTTCTGTATAGTCTGATCAGGAACATCATTTCGCCAGGCCTGGGTAAGCCAGCGGAGGGTGTAATTGAGGCTCATTTTCTTGTTCGGATCGAGGTTCCGGTCAAGGATATTAATCATCCATATCATCCATTCCTCCGATAATGGTGCTTTAGATTTTGGATGATTCCTTGATCTAATGGCTGATAAACCGATGTCGCATTTGCTGGGAAAAATACCACCTTGATATTAGGTGGTGGCGGTGCATCTTCAAGCGCACATAGATGTGCGCTAAAATTGTCTAGCAAGAGCAGAACGCGTCGTTGCTTGCCAATATGCTTATAAAACGCGCGAAGCCATTCACCCATAATACCACTGCGCATCCACGCTTTCCTATTCCAGCGCCAGGTACATCCAATAGCTCGGATATTTACCCCCCGAAGAGCGCGCGGTGTCTTTGCAGTACCAATCAGCCATAGAGGCACTCGGTCTGATCCAGTAGGATTCGTTGAAACTACTATAGTGATTCGGGCCTTATCTCTCTTGTGACCAGCATAACTATCTGTTGATAGACCACCGTTTAGCATACGGCGCTAGTAAAGCCCAGTTTCATCCATATTATATATATCCTCTGGTTGATATTGACTGCAGATCGCCTAAATAGATTTTATCTCATCGTGTATCGAGGCTGGGACTGATGCAGATTCACCATGGAAGGTATGATAGCGGAGGGAATGACGTTGTTTAAACCGAGTAAGCCACCCATCAGAGAAAAGGGGCACTGGACGTTCAGCATATTCAGGGATTTTCCTCCAATACTCAAAAGCTTTAAGCCGAAGTAGTGGGCCTGTTATAGGAAAGCCGGCATCCTGATGTCGTTGCTGCCATTCAAAGAGAGCTTGGTCTAATATAGGCCAATGTGATGTCGATGAGCGCATATTCAGACTTGCTGGACCAGTATCAAGATGCTGGTATTTGGATGAAAGGATCTTTGAGACAGTGGCCCGATCAATAAGTCGACCAAATTGGGATCGAGACCACTCAACGCAGGCTCGCTGAGAAGGCGTAGGTTGTGTTTCGGATGCATAGACGCGTAGAGCCTGCTTCTGAGCGTCAGGTATGCCCTTCCTGGCTCGCCTTGTGGTTGGCATTTCGGCCGAAAGTGCGACTGAATTCTGCATTGTGATTGGTCGGCTTATTATGACTAAGCAAAAACAGGAGGGAAAATGTGTGCTAGTTATAACTGAGATGTGCCATAAGTGGTCTATTTATATGGTAAAAGGGGGAAAAGTGGGTCCGTCCACGAATATTCGGTGCCATTACCCGATGTGTGCTATTTCTGGGCGTGCCATAAGCGAGAGTTGACTGTATATCCTCTGGTTGAATACCGTTCTCATTGACCACGCTTTGGACCTTCGTAAACCACTCACGTAGGGACTTCGGGTCTTCGTTTAGAGCACGTCGATAATCGTATAATCTTGAGAAGCGCGTACGGAGCTCGTCACGGCGATTTATAAAGGTTGGTGCCCAATTCACGCCAACGGTCATGGGAGTAGTTGATCCACGCGCCGCAAGAAGAATATTTGCCATTTCTCGCACAGTACAGGCCTAGGCGCTGCTTCACGCGAATCCATAGAGAAGATCCATTTGACAAGCGAATCCTCTTCTAATTGGGTCAATTTATAGCCGTTTGCGCGTGTGCCAATGCGTGAGGATACGCCAAGTGCGCGATTTCTTAGCGATGAGCGGGGTATACCGTATAGCGTTGCAGCCGCATTTAACGATCGATATTGGCCATTTTTAAGCCCTTGAGGGCTAATAGGATCTTACCCTCTTGTTCAAGGGAGTTTCGAGATGATTTAGAGCGTTTTGGTGGCATGGTGAGCAGTTGAAGAAGGTAGGTTGGCGGAAACGCGCGCGTTCGGGCAAAGTTGTCAGCTCGGCCGTGTTGTCAGCTCGACCGTGGATTATGTTAACGTAGTCCACCGGCCGAGTGACGCACACGGCCGTGTGACGCACCCCAAAACACAACCCGGGAGGAAGGCCCATATCGGTAGACCATCGATCTTGTCCTTGCGTCAACGGACCTGAGCAGGCGGGTCACGCGGTGTCGCATCCACCCTGTTGAACATGGGTCAGACCACCGTGCAATTGAAACAACCTTCCAGAGCGAAGCACGACCAACGCCTCCCCCGACAACCCGCTTCTCATTCCGCGAAGCTCCATGGGCCGACATCAACAGGGAGTTAAGAGACCTAGAGACGGAGATCACAGATATCACCGACCGTTCGGAACTAGACGCGACTGCAGGGCACTTGACTCGCAGGATAAGCGCAGCAATTCGCCAGCTAGTCCCGGTTGTGCGGCCATCCCCATACGGCAAGCGATGGTGGACTTCAGAGTTAACGGCATTGCGAAACACGTACACATGGGCCCGAAATCGGTGCACGCAAGCTCGGCGGTATGGAGTCGACCTTACGGCGCTGGAAGACACGGCATTGTATCCACGGAGACAGTACCACCGAGCAATCCGTGACACCAAACGACGGCATTGGAGAGAGTTCCTTGACAATACCGACAACATCTGGAAAGCGGCACGATACCTCCAGCCAGGTGACCAATCCATAGGGATAGTCCCTACACTGCGCTCGGGGGACCAGACGATCAATGATGACCAGGGAAGGCCCATATACTCCTTAGGACCTTCTTTCCGCCGCTGCCCAATATCCAGGATGAGCCGCCAAGAGACAAATCGCTGCCGGACGCCCTTCCGATGGAAATGATCACGGAACACGAGATCGAAGTGGCTCTAAAGAGGATGGCATCATGGAAAGCCCCCGGACCAGACGCGCTGCCGGTGGTGGTGTGGCAACAAATATGGCCTACTGTGAAACAATGGGTCGTCGAAATCTTCCAAGCGTCACTCCGACTCAGCTACTTCCCTAGCGCTTGGAAGGTAATTAAGATCGTGGTGATACCCAAGAGTGGACGTGACCCATCGTTGCCAAAATTATACCGCCCTATCTCGCTGTTGGCGACCCTTGGAAAGGTACTAGAAGCAGTCGTCGCCAACAGAATCTCAGCCCTAGTCGAAAAACACCAGCTACTGCCCCCAAATCATTTTGGCGCTCGCCAGAGGCGATCATGCGAGCAAGCGCTCAACATCCTAATGGAAAAGATACACGATGCGTGGCGTGAGGGCAAAGTCCTCAGTCTGGTGAGCTTCGATATTAAGGGTGCATATAACGGGGTGGACCGGGGTGTCCTGTTGCAGAGACTGCGAGAACGAAGAATCCCGGAGGTCCTAATCCGATGGGTTGACAGTTTCTGCTCTTCGCGACGGGCGTCGATCATCGTGAATATGTACCAATCCGAGGAAATGGCTATCGAGCATGCGGGCCTACCGCAAGGCTCGCCGCTCTCTCCTATTCTTTTCCTATTCCTGAATGCAAATCTGGTGGATGTCTCTGTCACCAGAAGAAAGGGAGCAATCGCTTTTGTTGACGATTATACACGATGGACGGTAGGCTCGTCTGCTGAGGCGAATACAACCATACTCCAACAGAAGGTCATCCCACGAGCGTTAGAATGGGCGGCGCAATCTGGCGCAACCTTCGAGGCGGAGAAGACATCGTTCATCCACTTCACAAGGAACCAGCGGCTGCGCCAACTGCCTGCGGTCCCGTTACACATAAACGGAGCGAGTGTTGCCCCAGCGCCTGAAGTTAAGATTCTTGGTGTGATACTCGACCAGGGTCTACGGTTCAAATCGCATATCGGGAAGACTGTGAATAAAGGAATGAAAGCTGTCCTTGCACTAAGACGACTACGCGGGTTACCTCCTTCGGTAGCTCGCCAGCTCTTTTCCTCCACAGTCACATCAAAGATTGACTATGCAGCATCGGTGTGGTGCCCTATACGACAGGATTCTATTGTTGCGGCGGGAATCGGACGGCCGTTCGAAGCCATCCAGCGAGTCGCGTCTCAGGCGATCGTGGGCGTCTTCCGGAACACAGCGCTCGCCATCGCCGAGGCAGAGGCAGGGATTGAACCGACTGTAGTACGCCTTCGAGCACGCATCATGAAGCATTGGATCATCTGCCACACCTTACCAAGGGATCACCCTTTCTGGTCCTGTCGAGCGGCGGCCGCAATGCAGAATGGGAGGTATCTGTCACCGTTCAAAATACCAGCGAAGTACGGACCACAATGCTTGTCTGACATGGAGGTCATTCGACCCTTCCCTCTAGATCCATGGCAACGGTCTCTCAGGGAGTTGATCATCACCGTTGGATCTGATATGAACGAGCTGCATGAGGCTGGCCATGCCCGTCTCTGGTTGTTCACCAGTGTCAGCGTCCGCAATGGTTTGGTCGGAGTGGGGCTGATTGTTCGTGTTAACCAAGTCGACATCGCCTCGTCATACCGGACGGTCGGAAACGATGACTCGCTCAACGCTCATTACGCACAGCTGGGGATGGTGCTGGAGGCTGTCTCATATGTCATGACAATTCTCCCTCGTATTCAGATGTCACCGTACAAAATCCAGGTTATGATCGTCGTGAGCAACCCTGCTGTCTTGCTTTCGCTTGCGAAGCCGCACCTTCAAGGCGGACAGGCTCTTATCACTAGGATCACCAACACAATCGGCCAGCTGTTGGAGATGGGAACTAAGGTCAGCCTGCAGCCACCAATTGATGAAGACCGCGAGAATACTACACGAACACATACCCTCGCACGCGAAGCAACAGAAGAGAACTGCTAAGTTAGTCCCCCTCCCTGGGCGCAAGTCCAGCTCCGGGCGTCGGCATTGCGATGGGCTTGGGCGAATACTAAACAACACCAGAAGAACCACTTCCAACTGTGGACCACTGGCCAGTTTACTCGCCAGCTGGATTCGGCACTCCCAGGACCCTACACGAAGATGCTCTATGACAGCCTGGATCGGGAGAAAGCAGCGATACTAGCTCAACTCCGCACGGGACATGCCAGACTGAATGGACATCTTCATCGAATTGGCAAGGTTGATAGTGATTTGTGCGAATGTGGCATTGAGCGGGAAACAGTCCCTCATTTCTTGCTTCGATGTACACGGTGGAATGAGCAGCGTCGCGCGCTGATTGAGGCCACAGGTCCGAGCTTCGGTAATCTGTCACAGATGCTAGGAGTTAAACCTGAGATTAGAGGAGATTCGTGTGTAGCGAATGGAAGAGCTTGGAAACCGGATATTAAGATTGTCAGAGCCGTCATCGCGTTTGCAGTGGAGACAGGACGGTTGGCTTCTGAAGGGTGAAGAGAAAGAAGATCTGAATCGGACATCTCGCATGTGGTAACGCTATCAAATGTATATATCCTATGGAGCAGTGCACACGAGCTAGGGGGCTACATACGACCTAAGGTCGTGAAAAGCCTGAGGAATAAATAATAATAATAATAATAATAATAATAATAATAATAATAGAAAAATCGGTCTACAGCCCCTCATTCGCAAGGCCATCTGTTCGTGTAGAATGACGACATTTTGGGACTGTAACGCATATGCCCTCGACCTTAGTTTTCCATCGGCATGGAAGTCTTGCTCCAGGTCCAAGGACAAGTGGCTGGGTAAACGTTCATACCAGCTTTGGAGGTTCTGTGTCGCATTCTTAGCCAATTCATAATACGTATCTCGCGCTGGTTGATCGGAAAACTCCAATGTGCGTGAGCCGAAAATAGCCTTGACGGCTGGAGATGCAATCAAGTAGAGTCGGTTCAGCTCCCGCTGGTATGAAGAATATAGTACGTAGCTGCCCTGATCCGATGTGGGCGTGACAAAGGTCGGGTTTTCTAGCACGTCTGCCGGCTCCTAGTATTGACGAGATCGAGCAGCGTTGGCCATTCCTCACACCTAATGATACTGGAACATTAGTTTGGGCATTGATTCCAGCCTGGTAACCAGGAATGGCGGAGGTCGTCTCCTCGTCGATACGTTGACTGGCAAGTTCAAAGATCCGCTGAGCAATCCCAAGCGCAGATTGGGCTTCGTCGCAGTGGTGGGGCGAAAAGGTCTTGACGTTTGTGGCGTTGTCAGCTTCATTTCCCCTTGAACGGGGATCTGCTGCCCGGGGCTGAGCGGTAGAAGTGTTTGCAGTGTCACTTCTAACCCCCAGCTGCTCAGGGGAATTATTTTGTGAGAAGTCAGGCTGATCCCTGGACGCAGATGGACTCTGATTTAATGCTTTTTTCCTTTTCCTGATGGTAAGCTAGGATATTCTCTTAGAATACGGTTTCCACCTTACCGCTGGCGACTTATCTTCCGCGCCTGGCTTGTCAGAAGGGGTCGACAAGCAACATAGGCTCGAACACATAGTGAGCAAGGCCTAAATTCATAACACCAACTATGGCAACGCCGCTTATTCAGCATGCGTTCGAAGGGAAACTTTCGATTAAGTCATGGTAGGGTGACTCTACCCGAAATTTGTGATGCCGACATCGCTCACATGCACTCCTCACTCGGGTGGGCAACCGATGCCGGACAACCTCCACATTGACCCTTCCAGAATGACCCGAAGGCATATTACCAAGTGAATCCACCGAGACAGTGTCACGTCGTTGGTGCGTTTGCGATTAAGAAGTTAGTTGCGAGTCGTGGCAATGGTTTTGGACGAGAAAATGGGTTTCTGCCAGGTACGGCTGCCCGGTTAGGATGATGTAAATACTTGGCTGTCTAATATGGAAGCAGAAGTTCGAGATAAATGTATAGTTCCAGAACCCGTAAATAAGTCTATTCTAATGACTGGTATCGAGTTCTAGTTAATAGAATGAAACGATTCTCAATACCTGAAAGCGTCTGGACTCTTGTCACTCCTTTTTGTTCCCAATATTTGGACTCGTGATATGTTTGAATGTATCGAAACACTCATAGATCTCCTCTTTCGGTAGCTCGAAGAAACGAGAAGTAAATGGACTGACAAGTTTTCTATTGAGGAGTCGAGATCTTGGCCAACTTTCTACGTATTTTGACATAACATTCGATACATACCATTTGCGTCTTCTCTAATGTTTCCAAAGGGGAAAAAACAAGAAAAAATGACAGTGAGAAAAAGAAGAGGGAACTAGAAGTGAAGACCTTAGGCAGCCTTCGAGACATCTCCGCAATGAGTAGCTTATCTACAACAGGGAAAGAGCTAGTCCTGCGGAAATGCGACAGAAGCCTAGAGCTGTACGAGGATCTTTGCCAGAGCTCGTTCCATTTTAAGGTTCAATGCCTATGACTCTAACAAAAGGCATGGGCTATATTAAACTTGCTTTTGCCTCTTGCTCGTTGACATCCGGGCCGTAGATTACACTCTTAATTCCACCCCGTCCGGCGACATTTTCAAAAGCTCGCTCAGCCTGGCTGAAAGGAAATTCATGGGTGACGAGATCATCCATCCTGATTCGGCGCGAATGCAGCAATCCTACGGCCAACTTGAAGTCTCCAGGCCCATACCGAAAGCTTCCTTTGAAGACAAGCTCTTTATCGCAGATCTGGCTTACCGGAAGTGATAGGTTCGGCTTTCCCAAGCCCACTTGGACGAATGTGCCACCCTTCGCGAGGGCTGCGATACCACAGTTCAGACAGGGCTCAGCCCCAGTCGCATCCAGGGCAATATGAGCACCAGAATCTAAGCTAGCAGTAGCCAACAAATCTGCCGCATTCTTGTCAGCATCCTCGGCGCTCATTTGGTATGTAATGGTAGCACCATATTTCACAGCGGAAGCGAGGCGAGCCGGGACGACGTCCACGGCGACAACTGTTGACGCGCCGAAGGCTCGCGCAACGGCGCAGCAGAGTAATCCGACAGGACCTGCTCCGAATATAACCACTGATTTCTCCTGCATATCGCCTGCCAATCGGCAGCTATGCACGGCTACGCTAAGAGGCTCGATCAGGGTACCGTCGCGTAGTGAGATGTGGGATGGGAGCTTGAAACAGCACTCGGCAGGCACGCGGTAGTAGGTAGCGAGCGTTCCGTCGTAAGGTGGTGTCGCGGCAAAACGCATCGCCTGGCAGAGGTTGTAGCGGCCGCCGCGACAATGATTACAGGTATTGCAGGCGATGCCGGGCTCGAGGGCGACGCGGTCTCCAACGGCGAGGCCTTGAACATCGCTTCCGCTCTCTACCACGACCCCTGTGGATTCGTGGCCCAGTGTTATAGGTGCTTCGACGACGTATGGCCCTATTCGACCGTGTTGCCAGTAATGGACCTGTACGGCGAGGGCTTTGTTAGCTTCTATTGCGCCAAGGAAAATGAAATAGTGGAGGAAGGGGAAACAGGAATATTCGAAGCCGTTTCACTCACATCTGAACCACAGAGTCCTGTTGCTATGACTCGGACTATGACATCTCGGTCTGACTGGAGCGTGGGTTTAGGGCGTTCTTCAAAAACAAATTTACCTCCGGGATGCAGTACAAAGGCCTGATTGGCAGTCTAGAAATTGTTAACGTTAACAGGTGCAATAAAGACCCAGGCATTTGGGCCATGACTGGGGTCGGGACTACCTTGGCAGCTTTTGCGACGGTCATGTCTGCGGTATTTGGTTTAAAGCCTCTGGGACCCTACCGATATTTAAATATTATAAATGTTCTAAAGATCCCACCCATTCATTTACATCATAGAAAACTTGAGCGTGGGGCGAACGGATCCTCTGTATTGAGACTCTGCCGGCGGACAGTCCAAGACCCAAGCCAGTCCAATTTATACGGGGTACTAATATGTCACTTAACGTGGAAAGCAAAAGCAATAAGTGCATGAAATATAGCCATTCATAGCTAAATTGAATTCAAACATATTGAGACCTCAATGTACCATGTACTCTTGTCTTCTGACACATCCTCTGATAAACATCCCCGGCATATCACGATTCCAATCCCCGAAGTTCGGGAACCGTGTGGTCTTCAGCCTTTTGATCCTGGACCCCATACCGATGCACCTAACAGCCTTGAGTTTCTGGGCGCCCCTCCCACGCGGGCTCTGTCGTGAAAAGTGACCCAACTATTGAACCAGAGCATGTAGTCCACTTTCGAGTACGCTTTAGTTCAACTCTTTGTCATGATGAATGGTCGTTCTTCTGTGGGAGCTGCAGGTTCCGGGATCATGGTGGAGCCGTATCTCGGTTCCGGTGGCAAATATCAAACGGTTCCGGGATTATGTGGAGCCCTATATCTCGGTTCCGGCGGATACCAGTCCAATAGCATTCCCGTGCCGCGTGAAACATTTCGACTCGGTAAACCGCCGAGATAGTGAACCCATGGTGTACCTCAGGAATCATTTCCCCATATTCTGGAGAAAATGCCTCTTCCCCACGGGGCAGCGTTTCAGTAGAAATAAACCCATTGCCCTCCGGTTCGCTGTCAATTTGTCCACAAAATATCTCCTGATCAAATTTACAAGTGGTTTTAATACTCGTTATCCTGGTTGGTCAACCCCTCTTCGACACAATGAGTATCACGAAATCTTCCGAGTCGGTTCCCAGTGGGACGATCAGGGAGCGTTCCCTCGCTGTCGCCGCGCAAGCTCGGAAAGAGCATAGTTGGCTGGAGAGGAACCTCAAGCCCAGGAAGATCTCAGCTAGGTATCCCTTCAAAGGCAAACCCTTACTGTATGCTACATGTGCCTTTGGCAGCCTGGGGGATGCCCTTTTCGGTTATAACTCTGGTATGGCATCCTCCCATATGTTGTCAGGTCGTTGCTGATATCATAGGTATCATGTCCGGCCTGCTGGTCAACGAAGTTTTTATATCTCGCTTCTTCAAAAGCTATGGGGGAGCCGACGGGACGACAAGCGGCGTCGACCCCTCAATTACAGGCATCTCTGTTGCGTGTTTGCAAGCAGCAGCGGCGGTCGGAGCGCTCATAGCCGGTCGACTTGGGGACATGATCGGCCGAAAGAAATGTGTCCGCGTGGGCGCTTTCATCTACTTCTTCAGCTCGTTTATTCAAATGTTTGCCCCTGGTTTTGCAACGTTTATCGCAGGTCGCACCATCCAAGGAGTCGGTGTGGGATTCCTCTCGATGACCGTGCCTATCATTCAAACTGAAATTGCCGCCCCTCATCGCCGTGGTTTGATGGTGGGTATAGAATACACCTTTTTGATTGCTGGATATATGCTTTCTTGCTGGGTGGACTATGGATTTAATTTCTTGCTGCCAAATCACCTTTCGTGGCAAGGGCCATTCATCATCCAGATTGTGCTCTCTTTTGTCTTGTGTGGGATGTCCTTCTTTCTACCAGAAACTCCTCGATGGTTGGCGATAAATGGTTTCGTGGACGAAAGCTTGCAAACAATTGCAGACTTACATTCCGATGGAAATACGGAAGCGGAGCATATTCAACAGACGTTCCTTGAAATTCAAGAAGCAGTTATCTACGAAAACAATCTGGGAAAGTCCGGTTGGAAGGTAATGCCCCTGTACTACTTGTTTAAGTTGTGAATTAATGGATCACTAACCGTTGTTGCTAAATCATAGGAAATGTTCACCCGGTATCGTAAACGGACCATTGTTGGGATAACGGTGCAGATGTTCGCGCAGATCAATGGAATCAACATCATCTCCTTTTACCTTCCGAGCACCCTGTCATCCGCTGGCTATGATAATCGCAAATCCCTGCTGTTCACTGCTGCAAATGCTCTTCCCTACACCGCTGCAACAATTGTTACCTGGTGGTTAGCGGACCGATGGGGCCGGAAACCTTTGCTCATTCTTGGAGGTCTGTCCCCATGTGGAAGAGGAAAGTCGAGTTGGCTTACAACTGAAAGCTAACAATCCAACCAGGTCTCCTCATGGCCGTACTACTAGGGGTCGTCTGCGTCTTCACCGAAATCAATGTGGATGTCCAAGTCAAAGCGAACGGCCAGTATGCCTTCGTCATGCTTTACAATATCATCTATGGATTCACTTGGGGTCCGATGCCGTGGCTCCTACCTGCAGAAATCTTCCCACTCCGGGGTCGGAGTAAAGGCATGGCCCTGGCCACGACTAGCAATTGGATCTTCAACTTCATCATTGGAATGGTCTCTCCCGACGCTTTCTCTGGCATTCATGGTTATTTCTACCTGGTGATTGCGGGATTTTGTCTCAGTTCGGCCGTCCTAGTCCACTTTTACTACGTCGAGACAGCACACCATTCTCTTGAGGAGATTGCTGTTGCATTTGGTGACAATGCGTTTGCGGATGGTGATGCGGAGGTCATGGATATGGCTGGTGCGAAGAGTGAACAGGTGGAATACTCGGCATGAAGGAGATCCGATGCGTTCAATTGCGGATTATCCCATATATCGGCTTCTCCTTTGGGCTCTATTACGTTCTATAGGAAACTGAGGAATCGAAATATCACCTCTTATTGTATCATGTATGGTTGTTGAACTAGCATGCTGAATTAAATAACACTCTCGCTGTATAGTTGTCTCTAGATATAAGACGTAGCGCGAGGAAGCAAACTTTCAACCCTTTGCCTTGAACCATCAGCCCTTCACCTAGCTTTGTTGAAACGGTCGCTAGCAACCTTTTTCTTCCTAGACCAGTCATTCTAGGTTCTATATATCACCATGCCCTACGTTTCGAATTAAAAAGCCGCGGATTTTGCAACATTGTAGTGTGACAATTTCCCGTTGGCCAATCCTGTACACCCTCTCTCGTGGCTCACATTATCAGTCTCCCTCAACTAACCCCTTCAATGAGTTCCATATGCAAGCTACGCACCCCACCTAATCTATCAATGTGAAATGTATCTATCTCAACCAAAACGTCATTAAACTAGATAAACTAAAATCGTGATCTATCTAGACACGTACTTCTCTTATGGCCCTTAATGCCATATACTCTACGCTTCAGTAAGTCCCTCGTATGTGGCTGTAAAAGTACCGCAGGCGGTCTTGGCTAATGGAGTACTAGTGCTTTAATTGTTGGTTCTTCGACCCGAGACGAGCTCGAGAGGCTCTAAATATAGAATACGAGGGCCACTCCGTTGTGTTCAATTCGGATGCGATACACCAGCTGCCAGCCTTTAATCCATTATTCGATTTATTCACATTTGTACTGGAAAGAGTGACCAGTGCCGTTTGGTTCACCTGGATCTAAGCAGCGGCCGAACTGTCTTCTGTACCGTATACATCGACATTGAGCACATATAATTCACGGCAGGTGCTACTAATGACCTCAATGGGTTGGGGCTGTCAATAGCAGTAATAATTCTTAATTGAGGGTGTCTACTAGAACAAGTATCTCTATCGAGTACGCCATATGACGTAGAGTAACCTATTGTAGTGGGGAGACCCCCCCCCCTACTACATGGGTGCCATCCAGACTATGTGACATAGCCGGCAGTATACAGTGGCCGGATAGCTAGTTCTAGAATACACCTTCTTACACCTCCCCGACCTGACCCCTACATTTGGGATTCTCGCTATTTCCTGATTGCTACGCGTGTGTTTGTGGTGGTTTTTCTGCTGAATCGACCCGCACGTCTCAGCGCGTCCTGCCATCGAGCGTTCCCCTCTTCACTATATAACTGGATCCGAGACCCACAGATCCACACACAATACAACCATCTCATACACATGCTACAAGATGTCATCTGGGCAACCCAAGCCTAGGCCCAAATGGGTACCCGTGATAACCCTAAAAAGCAAAAAAAGTTGACTTATCATTTTACATTAAATTATGCAGTAATTTTCGATTATATAATGGTATCGATTGTGTTCTCATGGTCTACGGCTGAGAAGATTTGGAACAAATTTGATGGACGAAGAAAATAAGATTGGCTAACTATAAAGACTAGTATACCTCATAACCTCGCAGTCGGCTCGAGGGCATTGTCACCCGACCAGAAGATCTCTTCTGGCTTCTATCACCCAACGGCGTGATTGGAGGCGGAAGTAAATCTGCTTCCCCGGATTCAACCACCTCTTCCTCCATACTCTCTTCCTTTTGTTCCAGGTCGTAATACTGGCTGTCCATGGTGCTCCGACCAGTTTCTGCCAGCGTACACTCCGCTTGATATGGCTCCTCGAGCTCAAAATTACCCTCGAAGTCCTCGCTCTCTTCAATTTCTTCATCGTCGCTGATCGGCTCTGCATCCTCTTCAAGTGCCTTTTGGCTGTCGCTCTCCAATGGTTTCTCCAGACATGTCAGTTGCTGTCCCTCTAGTGTGAGCTTTTCTGAGAACATATACATCATCAAGTCTTGAATAGTCGCTTCATGAAGAGATCCTCGACGATAATGACAAATGTCTCGTGCACTATTGAAAAGCCTTTCTACGCCCGCGCCGGTGGCAGGGACCGAAAGCAAGTCTCGTGCAAGCCGAGAGAGCACTGGGGACTCGCATTCGTGCTCCTTCCAATAAAGCCGCGGTGATACCGGGACATTTACTATCAGAAGTCAGTCAGTCGTTCTAGTGCAGTATGCCAGTTGCTCGTACCTTCTCTAAGATACTGGTCCACTTCGTCAAACTCTGCCCTTTCGTGGAGCATCGATGCATCAAGTGGTTCAAGTAGCCGATCAAGCTCTGAGCTATGTGAAGTGGAAGAGCGCTGCACCGTGCGGAATAACAGCTCGGGGTTCTGCTGCTGATACTGTGTGAAACATGCTCTCAAGTATTCACAGTACCTTTTTGACGTATCTTCGTGCCAAGTAGAGTACTCTCTATCATCGAAAGCACTCAATTTATATTGAGGAGCGAGTAATGTTCCAGTGCCATAGAGGAAACCGTGGTCGCGGTAGGTCTTTTCATAGTACACTTTCAGTTCCTGCCTCGCAACAAGCAAAGCGCCATACATGTCCTTCTTCCAGGGTGTTGCCTTTCTTTTCAATTTCCGATTCGACCTTTCAATATGCTCCAGCAGCTTCCTGTACACGAGGAACACGCTATGAATTGTGACGTCTCTGGTCTTCATCAGAGCCATGGTGAACCGAAAGAACGGTTTAGTCAAATGAACCAGGTAGTCAATTTGCCTCCATTCAACATCAGTAACCTTGAACTGCGAGTATTCATGATCGCAGCAGTATTTGTCGATAACATTTCTTAGCCGGCGCGCACGGCGAAGCATCAAAAACGTCGAATTCCAGCATATTTGAACGTCAGGCAACGGGAACAGCCGAGTTCCACCTGATTGGAGACACAGAAAGGCATCTCGCCGTTGTGGGCTTGCGTTGACAAAAACAGCAAATGATCGAATCTAGTTCTATCAGTGCTCCATTTATATTGACAGCCAATCAGAGAGAATCTATGCTCACTTTGTTTAGAGTATGAGCCACATCTCCATGGTTGACCGAATCTTTCAACCCATTCGCTTGGGTGTCAGACCAAAACGTCTTTATCTCTTTGTTCCGGGGTGCTGCTTTGATATGCCCCAAAAGTTGTTTCAGGCAAAGTTGAATCACATGAGCCATACAAGGAACTCGAACTATTGATTCTCTGGAGCCAATCGCGCCGGTGGAGATCAGTCTTTCATGCAAGGCTCGTATGAGAGTTTCGTTATTGGTCGCGTTATCTGTAGTGACGCTAAAGATGCGATCCAGGAGTTTCCGTTCCTTCAGTAGTTGGTGCAAAACATCACTGAGGTTGCTCCCCGTGTGAGGGCCATGCAGCGGTTCAAATCCAAGAAGCATTTCTCTATAGTTCCAGTCTTTGTCAATGAAGTATACCGTGACTGCCATGAAGGCCTGCTGGAATGGACTGCTCCAACAATCCAAGGCAAGTGACACCTTAGCATCTTCAGGCAGATCTTGTAACTGTGACTCCTGTTGAACTGTAACTGCATCCCGAAGTCGCCGTCGTAGGGTTTTCGCTGACGGAATTTCCAGTTCCCCCGGACCAGAGTGTAAGATGTTCAGCAGTCTTTGGAACACGGGGTTCTCCACAGTCTGAAATGGCAGCCGAAGGCAAGTGATAGTTTTCAGCAGCTGCTCCTCAAGTTCAGATGTTGTGACCCTGTCTGCGGCTAGTGATGCACTAGTGGAATGATTTTGCAACGAATCTGAGAGTAAAGTTTGATGGGATCCTCTCTTTTTCCCCCGGCGACAAGTATTGGACTTCTGGTGTCTGCTCATGGCGCTTGTACCATTTTTCCTGTGCTGCGGATAATCAAGCAAAGTAAGACAGGCTTGACAGATGACTCGTGGACGCCCAGTATCGATGTCAGCTACTTGGCCAAAGTGCTTCCAAACGTCGGCATGCCGCGATTCGGTGGACCATTTTATCTGAGACTGACCATCTCCGTTCAGCTTTTGACCGTACTCCGTTTTTTCCCACCACCCTAGGAACTCTCTCTCCAGACTCGATTCGAACAAAACCCAATTCTTTCTTCGTTGGGGCCCCACACGCCTCAGCGTTCCTGGGGGCCTTCGAGCGATTATATCGTAGCTATTGCGGGATCCAGTGAAAGGCTATAGGTCATCTCAGCATACCTGTTGGTGGTCTCGCAATATTCAGGGGCAGGAGGGGCCATTCTCTTACAGAAGACAGAATGTCAGAGTCTAGGAAAGCGTCAGATGACGGCTCAATGGAAAGCAGAGGACTGAAAGCCTGATGCAATGATCGCGACGATGAGGAAGAAGAAACCATATTCAAGAGGCGTGCTATCGGGCTTGGGAATAAATTTTCTCATTATGAAAACTTGGAAATGGACTTTGTTGGGGGGTCGTGTCGTGCGTTTGGATGTATCAACTTTCGCGTCGCGTAAACCCGCGGGTACCCAAAACCCAACCCGACCCAACCCAGCCCAAAATTGGACGTGACTTTGTATAGACGCTGAGAAAGTGTGTGTCGCCGATTTAATTTACTAATTTCCAAATAATCATTTCGAGGTGGCTCACAAAGCTCAAACTCATTGAATTCTCGTGAATTCATCGATGTGGCCCCTGATCGCTTGGGATGTAGAAGTGGTGGGATGAAGGAGGTAACCGGCCCCACGTAACTTTGCAGGAAATATATATTTCCATGCCGTCAGCGTACATTGTTTCGAAGTACAATAACACACACCTTAAGGCGTGACAGAAATAAATTACCAAAATTACACTAGGTGACTTATCGAGTTTATCCACGATTTATGCATATTTTTGGGTATTTTGGGCGCCCGCGGGTACCCGCCAAGAACCCCGTTGATTTATAAGTGATGCTTCAGTGTTCATGTTGTTGAGGGGAGTTGATTGTGTAAGATACAAGTAGACTGGTCATGCACGTGATCCCAGCCCCCATGATTATCCCAATAACCGGGATATTTCAACAGGGTTTTCAATTTCTTTACCCGCCCACGGGTAACTCGCCGCGGGTTTTGACCTTGGTGAACCCGCCTGTTGAAATATCCCGGTTACTGGGATAATCGTGGGGGCTGGGGTCACGTGCATACCTATATATCTGTTCACCAGTCTACTTGTATCTTACACAATCAACTCCCCTCAACAACATGAACACTGAAGCATCACTTATAAATCAACAAACCCAACCCAAACCCACGTTTGGCGAGGTCTAGTCTTGACTGTTGCCTCACTATGTCAGGAAAATGGTGATCGGCACTGTATTGACTTAAACGGTACCTGAGGCTTCCGAAGATATGGTATTCGGTATTGGGATTACGCGTACTTTTCGCCACCTTTCGCAACCTTGGATATGTAAACACCGAGTCACAGGTATTCTCGGGGGTATTTTAACCCCACTCGACCCCCAGCAGTTTCAGGGAACAAGAATCAACACTCTTTTGCATCTTTTGGTATTTTCCCCTTTTTGATTCCGTTGCCTTTCGCTGGCCAGTAAATCCAATGTATTTCCCTAGCTATACAGGGCATTCCTGAGAGACTATAATGCACTGTCCCAGAATTAGTTGGCTCTCAATGGCCGGTCGGTAGGTAGTTACCCCTCAGCTAGCTGTGCTGTCGCACGGTTCGTAACACTTATCTCAAGAAGGGTATGTTTCATCTGGCCTGTTACTCTAGCACGATTCTCTTCTGAAATTCCTGGCGTAGTTATGCGGCTCGGCAGCTTGAAAGATCTTCGCAAGTAGCTGACAGTTGAGGCAACCCAATTCCGTGTACGAGAATGGTAAAGCACCTCAAATCAATAGTAAATGTGCTTTAACTGGGTCTAATTTAGGAGAGGCGATGTGCAGGAGTTGGCCAGTGCTGCGGCTAGGGCTGTGGCACAACCTTGTTGCAGACAATTCATCAACATAGAACCAGACATGAACGATTGCGCTAATTACCAGGCAACGCCATTCTGGATGAAACAATTTCGGTGTCGGCGACTATTTGGGTCTGCATGTGCATCGTGTTGGGTGGCTTGGCCATTTTCTGCATTTCCGTCACATCCTCCGTGGACTAATAGCCAATATAAGTCACCGTCCGGCCACGCTAATTTTTAGCGTCATCGACACGCAATCTCTGCATGTAGTAGATAACCTATCAGGATCTCTCAGAGTCTGTTGGGTCAAACATAACCCTTATTTCCTGCTCCTGCCCCTCTTCACAGCCCCTCCCACTTAATTCCCCGTAGTTTCGTTCAACTTTTACTCCGTTTTGGGGTCCTAGCTCTCGGAGCCACTAGATTGTTGCTATTTATGATATTATTCGTAGAGCTAACCAGGGTATTCAGGTCTACGCCACACCTTTGTGGCAGTGGTAGTAGTTTGTCCAGCCGGATAACTATATGACTGACATGATGATGTAGTATATGAACTGGCGAATGCCTCCAGTAAAGCCAGGCCAACATACCAACCCCTAGGTTTAATTCTCATAAAACTGGCATAATATTCACACAATATCGCTACCATGCCCCCAAGATACCTTTCGAACAATTTCTCTTCTCTGCCCCACCTTTCTACAATCATAAACCTTGAGCCAGCAAAGGAGCCATGGTGTGCAGGATATGCCCCCTCACAAGGCCGACGCTGCCATGCGAGAACAAATGCACACGGTCGTGGCTGCGCGATTGATCTTCTCGATGAGGCTACTGAAAACCTTCGAGCCGGATGCTGTATCGATGATCTGCTTAAACAATTAGCTCCACATGTACTGTGTCGGACGTTTCATCAAAATCAGGCATCAGATCTTGTCCGTCGCTGGCGAAGACAGGTCTCCTCGTTTGTTGAATCTCTACGTTCACGTACGACACAAGGAACTACCCAAGAACCCACCGGCACTCTCCGCCAGGTTCGTGGTGGACAGACAGCAGAGGAGCGAAGAGAGATTCTACTACAAGAAATGAAACAAAGAATGAATGAGCTTCTGAGAATTGAACTTTATGGGCATTTCTCCTCCGTTTCCCCGGATTCTTATGCTGTTATCGGTGCCCGGCGAATGATGAGAACCGCTAGAACAATCGGCAACAGCACTGCCACTTCTGCCGATCACAGTTCACAAACCAGAGGTGACACCATACTATTCTCCGAGGCTCCTACTCGAAATCAGTCAGATATCACAGAAAGGCAAGAGCCAAGCAACAATACAAGCATTCGCAACATACCGGCTGCATCAGATCAGCTCCATGGCCGCCGGTCCGAGGTTGAGTCCACACTAGCACACACCTCAGACCCAAACCCGCAAGAGGTCAATATAGAGAGATCGTCATACCCGGTCGCTTCAGCTGTCCACACTACCGGTGTCAATCGTCGGCCTGTGGAGGGAGATTGTGGGATTTGCCTCTGTGATTTGCAGGAACCCCAATCTTACAACACCGATGGTGAAGATGATGAAAATGATGAGGACAAAGATGCTGAGGAGCAATATTACTCTTTAGGCGAGGCTGAAAGTGAAGATGAAGATAATTACGATGATGATGAAGATTCCATCAGCATATCACTGGGGGATGGTGAACTGGTATGGTGCAAAGCGCAATGTGGAGTCAATTTTCACAAAGGATGCATTGGTCAATGGCTTGCACCAGGTCACTACACATGTCCAACCTGTCGGAATGAGTGGAGGTGTTAATTTCCTTTTTATCTTTCTATTTAATATTCGATGTCAAAGAGCGCAAAGGTAATGCATAGCAATACCGACTTAATTCTCTCTGCGACTCCACAAAGTCAACCAAGTCGAAGAAGCTTCTTCTGTATACCCTCTCGAGGAAAGCCCGGTTAACGTATTGCAGTCCTAAATTATACTCGAAGGCACCCCACTCCCAATAGTCCTCAAAGTGTAACGGGCTGAAGCCCAGGATATAGCCCGGGCTATGCCCGTGCACCACGTGATTGCCAAGCTTCTGGGGTAAACCCAGTTCGCCGCTAGATGCCCCCTATGTTTACTTTCCTTAAGCTTCAGATAAACAGCATGTTGGCATCGCTCAATTGAATCAATTCGGCTGTAGCCCTTCACACAAAGCTCCGTGCAGAATTGACAGCAACTTTAACTCCGTCTATACGGATGGCGTTGAAGATCTCGTTCATGTAAGCCGGGTAGTACTCGCTTCGCTTGGTGCCGAATTGGATGGATTGTTGATCACGGTCGTCGTTTGAAAGACTTAGTGATCAGCAGGCCGAATTTAGTAATTGCCACTGGTCTGCCATAAGTCTTCCACAGCCAGTTGAGTCCAGTTTATGGGTATCAGGAGGTGTTATAGGAGGTTAAGGCATGAGACTACAAGTTGGACCGAATTTTCACAGCTCCCTGCTTTCGCCAATATCGCACACGTCAAAGACACCAGTTTCTGGGAGTACGCTCTTAGCGAACGCTTTTCTCATTATATTTGGTGGTTCTTTCACATCCTCTTCCGGTACGACCCAATTCCCCAAATGGATCCTAATTGCTTTTCGGCATCTGATATCCTTAAAGATCTCAACAAAATCTGACGGCTTTAAATAAACGGAGCTTGGAGTGTGTTATAGCTTATACGCTCCTATCTAGGGATGAGACCTAGATCGAATGGTTCCCGAAATTCGCTAATCTGATAGAAAGATTTGTAGATCGGGAGATCAGCACAGTCAGATCCCTAGTCGTTGATATGTTTAGGTATATACGGGATTGTGCGATGACTAGTATCCCCTGTAAAACATATACGCTTGCTACCGGACGAAACTGACTAGGAAGCCTATAAAGTGGTAACTTTATTGACAGGTGTACGTTTAGATATTGAAGAGGGGAACGCTCGATGGCAGGACGCGCTGAGACGTGCGGGTCGATTCAGCAGAAAAACCACCACAAACACACGCGTAGCAATCAGGAAATAGCGAGAATCCCAAATGTAGGGGTCAGGTCGGGGAGGTGTAAGAAGGTGTATTCTAGAACTAGCTATCCGGCCACTGTATACTGCCGGCTATGTCACATAACATGGATGGCACCCATGTAGTAGGGGGAGGGGGTCTCCCCACTACAATATATACAGGCAAAGTAGGTATACCATTCTCGCTGTAGTGATATTCCTATTAGCTATATCGAGCAAGGTGAGGCATATTTCTTCTCACTAGTTGAGCTCTACTATATTTAGTATACTGCAGTCTGTGAACTAGGTTTTGAGGTCTCTTAGTGTCGGGATATATTCTCCTGTCAGAACAAACTGGCTGTGACCCACTGCTAGCGACCGATGGATAACATCCCTTGCTTGGTGTACGCATTCTTGCGCTGGGCTGTGGCTTCGGTGTTGTGACCGCCGAAGGCCGGCGTGTGGGATCTAGGGGTGTTTTTCCAACTAGACTGAACATCTACATCTATCAACACAATTGACTTTTGCTTTGGAGCATACACACTGTCCACTTAACTGTGTACACAGTACCTAGCTGGTAATACCAACACTTAGGACACAGAATTAGGCTAAGGGGTGATATTTTCGAACATTAGGGACCGTGAGGTGTGAAAGATAATTATAATAAGAGTAGCTTTTAATAACTACTGTACCCTATGTATTAGATACGTAAGATTTTAGGCCGAGAAGGATCACTTATATAATTTATTATTAGGATATTACGTATATTATAAGGGCTAGACGTGAATCTTTTGTGTCTTATCTAGGAGAGAGACTAGATACGGACGGAACCTAGCCGACCCTACCTGGTCTAAAGAACGCTAGCATAATCTCAGTTCTTCTCAGGCTTTCTTTTTTTTTATCATATAAATAAATTGCCTAATAAACCCTCTGTATATTAGAAATGCGATTAACTAAGCAGTAAGAACAAGCGATAAGGTATATACCTTTCGATCAAGCTTTTCTCCCAACCACGACGTAAACGTCAAAGCAATAATAACAAGGGAGGCGGTGCAAGTCACTTAGCTTAGCTTCTCTCAGGCTCATGCTCTCATCCTGAGATTGTATTTCATCCAATTTGTGCATCGCGAAAGCTGTTATCAGAACATGCTGGATCCCAAAACAATTGTAAGATTCAGGTTTTCCCGAGTATCTGGATTGTCAAGAGTGTAGATCCATCATCCGCTCTTTACAATATTTCAGTCCACATTGTTGGAAAGTGTTATGAAGGTCAGCATAACTACAATATAACACGACGTAGCATTTGTAGAGAAAACAGCCAGGTTAAATGGCGCCAGGTGACTGAGTGGTAGGCAAGAGGGACTTACGCAGGATACGTGTATTCTCGAAAAACAAGATTAAGCTAAAGAACTTAAGCGTATGGGTCTCTAGGTGAGGGGTTTTATAAGCTTGGGTTTGATCGCTCGTTCTGACTCAGTTATGCAGACGATTCTGTCAGGCATCTAGGCAGTAATGATGTCAGTGATTTTTCCCTTGACATCACTAAACCACATGTAAGCAGAGGCATAAGAAAACAGAAGAATGGAAGAGTACATGCATATTTTTAATCATGGATCCTCTAAATTAAGCTTGGCACACTGATTCACAAACTCATCGAACAGCTTGTTTAGTCCGAGCAGATTCAAGGGATCCTTGTCATCTTGTTCATCCATGAAGCAAAGCATGTTATGGATGTCAAATGTGATGGCCAACAAATATCCGTATTCGGATTCCTGGAAAACCTGATCCCCGGTATCAGAATCACCTGTTAGTTTGTTCCACTCTTTGGCATACTCGTCACAGAAGTGTCTTTTTTCCTCCTCTGTATATTTTCTGCAACCTGCTATCCTGCTCTTCTCGTCAAACCATTTGAACATTTTTTGCATGAAGTGCCCACCGATGTCAAATGCTCGGTAGTTCTGCATCACGAACTCAAAGTCAATCAGGGTGATTTTGCTCTCCCCTTCCTTTGGATCATTTTTCACCATCACGTTCATGAATTGGATGTCATGAATACACCACCCTGTCTTTCCTCCCATGGATTCAAGCTTGTCTATCACTTTTCTCAGCCTCCTCCCGTAGTCGTAGTCAACGAGTTTGTCGATACCAACGCCTCCTTCTTTCCCAAGCGCCTTCAACTTGTCCATCTTGTGGTAAGACCTGAGTCCGTCGATGATGGCTGCACAGTATGACGCCACAGCATTTTTCTCCAGTGATGTATTCAGCACATGGAAATTCGGCAGTGCTTTGGCAACATCTGCCCGAATAGCTGGATTCTCAGCATCTTCCGGTTCCATGTTACGTGCATCTAGGAACTCATCGATTCTCCCGAGTGTGCCATCTTGTGTCTTGAAGAATCCATAGACTTTGGCTCCCAGTCCGGTTCGGCCGTACTCGTAGCAAAGAAGTGCTTCCTCATGCTTCGTTGGTGCCAGAGGCTTGAATATTTCGAGGCTCACCCCGGTGTCATTATGAAATTTGATGAACACCTTCAATGGCTCAGTAGGTGTGCCAGTAGCGGGCTTCGGCCGCTCCACGGAACAGTGGGCGTTGGCAAACGATGCATGGTATGACACAATCAGGGTCTCTGGATCCACAGATAGCCATTCTTCCGTCAGAAATGTGCCGACAATGTTCCTGATGTTCTTTTTGGTCGGCACTTCCTCTTTGGAAAGTGTCACAGGGACTGAAGTCAAGCTGGCCATCTTGCTTTGATGTGTGATGAGATTGGGTGCCTTGAGCGATAGGAAGAGAGGCAAAGATGTGACTAGGTGAAATACGGGCCAACATTGCGATGATTTATCGGGTAGCTTCGCAGGTTTGAATGTTTGTCACGGTTCAGTCGCGGGAATGATTTGGTGCAGCGCTGAGAATTCTGATTTGCGATCCCCAGAAACGGTGTCGGGGTCCCGAATCTGCTTAGCGCCAAATCGTTAACCAGCCTGTAGAGTTGGATGATTAGCGGCTAGTCTATATCATGTTGATGCGCTTCATAATAAAGATAGATCTCTGGAGATAGTTTAGCAGAGTCGAGAGACATATCTGGTTTCAAATAATACTGTACGGTAAGCCAGCAGCGGTGGTGTAGTGCCAAGCACCGTATGGCAGCCTGCTGGACTAGGCTTGGTCTCCTCATCATGCAGGATCTGCTTAGATTGCCGATACTGGCACAACATTGCCCCATCAACGCGCACGTGGAGAGACGCACAATCCCGGGGCAATTTAGTATCCTGGCCATTTCACGGTCTAGGTGGAAACAATCACTAGTTACCAGGCGAGGCTCAAAGTTTACCGCCAAGACGCTTGAAAAAAAATGCTCAGTGGATCGTACAGTGACATATTTATTTTCGCATGATTTCTAGTCTAAATGTCGCTCATAGACGGATCAAGGGAAATATGGAATCCATACTCTTCAATGATACAATGCTATATAAACCTATCTTAGTGTATAGTTCACTTAACAACGGTCAAATGAAACAGATTAAATTCCCCACCAATCCGTCAAACAGTCTACCTATGAACTTAAACGTCGTGATTAGTGATACGAACACTCGCGGTCGTTTCTGAATGTAAAGAAAGCTGATGGCTCAAGACAGCCAAGAATTGCAATTACCGTAATTTATGACGGCTCATTGAAGCTACAATGGTCAGATGCAGGGTTGGCGGAAAGATATCCTAATGCAGACTAGTGTATCCTATGTGGGGTGTCAGGAATTAAGAAGCGAGAGATTGGAGGTAAAATTGATTTCATTACTGTATTGAAGGCTGGATTGAAGTGCTCCCATATGATTGGTACTTTGAAGTCAGTCCTAATGGATGGATCTCAGATGAAATTGGGCTCCGGTGGCTGCAGAAGCACTTTCTTCCAGCAACTGATAGTCGTACGCATGGGCGATATCGACTACTAGTTCTTGATGACCGTGGAAGCCATTTAACGCTACAATTCGACCAAATATGCAATGAGAATAATATTATTCTTACTTGCAAGCCGCCACGTTTGTCTTATTATCTTCAATTTCTCGATGTAGGCTGTTTTGCTGTTCATAAGCGATCGTACGGTCCTTTAGTTGAAGATCAATTGCGTGTCGGCATTAATCATATTGACAAACTTGTCTCACTCACAGCTAATCCAATCGCGCGCGTAGAGGCCTTTTTAACCTTTCAAAATATCCAAAGGGATTTTATTGCCACAGGATTAGCGCCATATAATCCTAAGTAAGTACATTCAAAACCAAATATCCAGCTTCGCACGCCAACACCCCCCGGGAGCGGTCAAGCGAAAAAATTCTCAAAACACCACAAAGTGTTACTCAACTACATCGACAAGCATTTTGTGAGATGACTATGCATTCGGCTGCATTACTTAAGAACGAAGCACACAACCTACGCGCTGCCGGCGAGGGGCGGGGGCGTACGCGTTCGCGTTCGCGTGGGAGGATACCAATTGAAGAATGAATAACTATAGGTGAGCCTCTAGGGTTCGTACAGCCTCCAGTTGAAGCTAAAGAAGCACCGATCCCCTCTCCCGCAGCGCCTGTCGATGCGCCTATTTTACCAGCTCAGCCTGCCAGGAAGAGATTACCAACCTGTGGAAAGTGTGGTAATGAAGGGCATGGACCTAATCATGTCCTACTAGGTAAATTTCACAATATAATAACATTTTGGTGATTGTAAACGTATCCAAGAGAGCCGGGTATAGAATGGTGCCCCGCTCGCTTACCGGTTACGCTAGTTAAGTCTCATTACCATGCTATCTACCACCTACACATATCTCAGTCAATACGTCAGTTACCAGTTCTCTTATTCCAGTATGCTCTCTATGGCCTCATTTTGATCCCTATCACAGCGTCAATCACGCTACCCGTGTAGGACCTGTGTGGTGTGCATTTCGCTCTCCTCGACCCGTCTGTTCAGGCAGACTGCTATCTTGCACCCCCCCCCCCCCTTTTCATTATATATCATTCACGGTTATATTCGAATATCGTTTGGATGTCCTCCTTGAACACAAGACTCTGCCAGGTTCTAGAGACAGTGTCATTGTGTTTTTGAAACACGCGTGGGACTGTTCGGTAAGTTTACGGGGCATGTAATAGCTGTCACAGAATCATCATTCTCCGAGACATTGCTTGAGTCTAGCGCCGAAGGGACTAAGAAGTTGTCACTTTGTGTTTTGTTTTCGAGTTGTGCTTGCGGGTATTCTTGGAATATGTTGGTGGATGAGCTATTAGTCTACCGGCGCTTAAGTGCGTTGACCTGCCAGGCCTGTCGGATACGTCTGTAAAGAGAGACAGCGGAGTTCGTTGACATTCTTGATAGGGCTGGGTTTGAAGCACTGGCTCGCTCAGAGGAAATTTCGCATGAGAAATCTCAAAATAAATCAACTGTGCTGTATGGATGTAATCCGTCAGACAGAAAATTCGACGAGGGAGGCTGACACTTGATCCCAGAGTCCGGCGGACTCACGGTTTGTTCGGTGAGTAGATGCGGACTGAGAGGCCAATCCGCATGAGTACCAAATAGGTCCGTTGCATGAGGAATGGATATTGGCTGGCCCCATCGGTCTACTGACGTCTAGTGAGACGAACAATCTGTCGGTCTCGGGATCGGGGGGCGAAGCCGCAGGATCACATGACACGGACATCGGCTTTCAACAAACAATCCCAAGATGGAACTGGAGGCTAATTGCGGAAATGATCGACACGACGTGAACACCTGTTTTGCCCGGCGATTCCCAATCTCTTACTCGAATGCCGGCAAGATGCATCCCATCTATCGGCGTCTTGCCATGGTCGCGCTCATCGCGCATCATGTCGCGGCTTGTAGTCGCCCATACTCTGCTTGGATGGCCGACAGCGTCATTGCCCGCGGTCAGGGCCTCGTTCAAGGGAGTCCATCGCCGTCCACTTATCTCCAAGTTGGCTTTTTTCAGTCTGCGATTCTCCGCCTGATCGACCACTACCGCACCCCCAAAGCGGCCTGTGCGGAAAGTGACTGGGAAGAGTATTTACAGACTAGCACCAACAGCATCATCCTGTACCTCCTAAACGCTTCACAGGACACTAGCTATCCACTTGATCGGCTGTCCACCGGCCCGGGGTTCCTACATCAGTATGAGCAACTACACATGGACGCCTCGTCCAAGTGTCTGCACTCTCTACGAGAATCCATCAACCTCCAGCCTCGAAACATGCTTGGGGGTATTGGTACTTCAAATATCCGAACTGGAGTTATCTCGACGGGATGTATTCTCTCGTTCCCTTTCTCTCCTTGTACACCGCCCATTTCGACCCTTCAAACCGCACAGTGCTAGATGACATAATTCTCCAACTTGATCTTCTCTGGACACACTGTCGCCAAAATGACACTGGTCTCCTTGTCCATGGCTACGACGAGTCGAAAAATGCATCCTGGGCAAACCCCATCACCGGCGCGAGCCCGATTGTCTGGGATCGGTCTCTGGGCTGGTATCTGATGGCACTTGTGGATAGTTTAGAACTCTCTTTGTCATTTCCACCCCACTTGGCACATTATCTCCGACAACGTCTCGTACAACTCGCAGACTCGGTCATAACAGCTGCGGATCTGACGACCGGGTGCTGGTGGCAAGTCATGAACCACCCCGGCCAAGTAGGGAACTACATCGAGTCGAGTGGATCCGCGATGTTCACATCCGCCTTATACAAGGCGGCCCGACTGGGGTATCTCCCCGCAAAGCTTGCTCGGAAAGCCAGACACACCGCAGGCCGATGCTACAGCAACCTTGTTGATTCATTTCTAGTCAGAAATCAGAATGGGACGCTGGAGTACAATGGAACCGTGTCGGTTTGTAGCTTGAGCTCCTCGGCTTCGTATGAGGTGAGTCATTGCCATAGCACTGGGGCTTGATTGGTATGCTGATCATTCAGTACTATGTGTCCCAACCCTTGCTGTACAATAGTGTCCACGGGACGGCAGCGTTCGTGTTAGCCAGTTTGGAACAGGAGATGTTGGATCAATCATCGTGATGTACCATGGACTCTATTTGCCGGCCGTTGCGATGGGAACGGCACCCTCCAGTCCATGGTGACAACCCACACTTATATCGAGGAACTTTGATCGTGGAGCTCGCATTATGGGGCAATTGGGGCAACGGGGTTTTCTCGGACCCGAAGTGGCAAAAGACCCCACCATGTATAACTGCCATTGGCAGAGAAGCAGCCATGTAGCGAGACATGTGGGTCAAACAATATATGATGTTGGTTGATTAGTTGGGGTTGACAGGGATCATGGCTTGTCCACACAATATCTGTGACTGAAAATCTATTCCGGGTGTCAGCCAAAGCCTCACTGTCCAGTGTTCCCGATGACTTCCTCGCAACCTTCGGAATCTCAAGATATGCATCGATATCTTCGACAGTCGCTAGACAATATATTCAAAAAGAATAGAGAATGGGTTTCCACGAAGACAAGCGGTGACCCTGGTTTCTTCGACAAGCTTGCTGCGGGCCAGTCACCGGACTATTTGTAGGTCCCCCTGACGCCCCAGGATCGCCGTCGCAGGGATGATGGCAACTAACCGATGAGCAGATATATCGGTTGCAGTGACAGCCGTGTTCCTGCCAATGAGATCATGGGCTTGGAAGCCGGCGAAGTCTTTGTGCACCGCAATATCGCGAATCTGGTGCCCAATGTCGACCTCAACGTCATGTCGGTGATCAACTATGCTGTGCGCCATCTTCACGTCAAACATATCATTGTTTGTGGTCACTACAATTGTGGTGGGGTGAAGGCCGCGATGACGTCCGCGGATTTGGGCCTTTTGAACCCGTGGCTGCGCAATATTCGGGATGTCTATCGCCTCCATGAGCGTGAGCTCGACTCCATCCCGGAGGAGGACAAACGGTACAATCGGCTCATTGAGTTGAATGTGATCGAGTCCTGCCGCAATGTCATCAAGACCGCTGCGGTTCAACAGAGCTACGAGAAAAATCAATATCCCATCGTGCACGGATTTGTGTTTGATCTCCGGGATGGGTTACTCCGAGATCTGGAGGTCGACTTTGAAGCCATGCTGCAAGATGTCAAGAAGATCTATTGTCTTTCGCCATCTGCGAAGAAATAGTAGAATAGTATATGATGCATGTGATGTTCCATCTCCCGCCTCGGTGAGTGTTCCTCGTGGAAATTTCCCTTGCAACCGCGTACCAAGATCAGATTGTTTCGTGGCCTGGCCAAATGTTCACGCCTTCTTGTAATCCATCCGCCAGCTTCAGGGCCTGGCCGGATTTTGTATCATAGACAATGCCATGTATCTGCAGCAATCCGGCTTTTGTGGCATCGGCCACTTCCGGGAACTTTCGCAGGGAGTGCAGCTGGTCGAGGACATTCATTTCCACAAACGCACGATCCCGACGGCTTTCTGAGAGATGTTCTATTGTGTCTTTGAATGTTGAGTGCAGATTGTTGAGTTTCCTGCCACGCTGTCAGTGATCTGTGTCGAAGAACCCACCCCTCCGAGGAGATTACCTGAGCCACGGTCCATCCAAGCCGTCCCTTGATTCGGCCCGAACGATCCCACATCCATAATGACCGCACACCACAATATGTTTTACCTGCAATCGTGTCAGCTCTAGCACGAGATGCGTGTCTGGCATCGCCTCGTACCTTGAGATCGGATACGGCGTGCTTAATGGTAATTTCTGATGAGAGGTCCCCATCGATGAGCATGTTGCCTAGATTGCGGTGGACGAGCATCTCATCTGGCAACAGATTGAGGGCTGTAGTTTCTTGAAAGCAGCTATCGGAGCACCCGATCCATAGGACTTGCTGCATGGGCTTTCCAAGGCTCGGGATAAAATCATGCCTCAGGGGCGTGGCCAGGAAGTTGGAAAACTGATCTGCAATCATTACGTTCCGCAGAAGAGAGTCTGGAGAGAAGGTCGACGCCACACGGGCTTGTTGTTTGGCCACGAAATGGAGAGATCGGTAAAGGCTGGGGAAGCGGAGGCTCATGGATGATGGCGGAAGGAAAAAGTGGACGTTGGCAAAAGGAGGTCTCCTGGGGGGCTTAAATTTCGTTCGATGATGGAGCTTTCCTAGGCTCGAGTCGGATAGTCCCGTACTGCTCCTGCCTTTTTCTCGCCTCGGCCATCCGCCGCAGGCAAATAAAAGACGCAGTCCTCCAAAAGGCCGCCGATCTACGCAGCTTGCCGAGAAAGTGCCGCACTCGGCCGAGGCGCGTTTCTCCGCGATCGCAACGTCGGGTTTACTCTTTCCCGACCTATACCTCCCATACTATACCCAAGGGTACCTACGAGATGTGGTCACGGACCTCGAGAGTCGAGATTGTTCATCATTCATCACATATCATATATTCTCGAGATCTTGTAAATGCGGAAACACAATCGCCGGGCGATCTCACATGTCCCCTGTTTACTGCATTGGATTGGCGAATCACCTCTCCTCCGGACCGCGGCCAAGTCTGTCCTAATCAATTTCTCCTCTTCCTCCCGGTTCACTCTCTTTGCACTTTCACTAACTCAACCACTGATGTTTGTGCCAGCAAAGCCAGGCGGAGGGTTGGCAGGCAGGGTCGAGGAATGCTCCCATTTTGTTCACCCCCTAGCAATATTCGACCCACGCACTCAGGTCCAAGTCTTTGATCACGGTCGAGAACTTCTCGGTCCCCGGGGCGTCACACACGCTGGACTTTTCCGAGTTCGTCATCCGGGCCTTAATTTTGTAGTCTGAGTTTGACAGTTCATCGGAATACTCAATATGAAAGACCGGCTTGTTCACTCGCGTGAAGGCGGCGTAGGTGTCGCATTCATCATATTGGGCACACTGCTCATTGACCGACCACTGCACGTTCTCGATCACCGATCCGATAATATCGCCCCCATTCTTGAGACCAACAGACATCCCACGGCATGAGACTGGGCAGCGAGATACTTGATAAAGTCGACCGCGTCGGCTTCGGTCAAACCGAGTCCGTTCTCGTTGTTGTAGGCGTCGATGTTATCCGGATCGACCCCATCACAACCCTTGCGGTGGGCCATGTCGAGTCGGCTCTCGATAATGCGATGCACAGATGCGGAGCGAATGTTGAGCCACCGCTCTCCGGGCCATCCATCCAGCTCGTTACCCATGTCGGCCTCTGCGAACTGCTCAGCGTCGGATCGCCAGTCCTCGTAGGTCCCTGCTGAGAAATAACATATGACCTTGGCCCCTTGCTGGCGAATGCTACGAATGGTGTCCGCCGTATTGTCGAAGAGATCAATATCATACACCTCGGCATTGACGGACGTATCGTCGACCGCATTCTCCAGTTGAATCTGCCATTTGAGACCGGGGGCAGGCTGCCAGATCGTCGATTCACTAGCATCGTCGTCCTCTAACGCGGCCCGCGCGTTCATACGCCTCGCCCTTCCTGCTGGTCCTCCCGGCGCAGCGACGGTGGCCAGCAGAGCGATGGCAGCTAACCCAATGATGAAAATTACCACGGTCTTGGCCGCCCTGCGCCAGTGGTTCCCCGTAGATTGATAGATCGGCATTTTGGAAACTTGGAGCAAAAATGGGGAAAAGTAAAATAGAAAAAAGGAAAAAACCAATCAGGGTTTTAATTTCCAAATCAATGAACGAATACTAGTTGGATAAAGTGAAGTGAAGGTTGATGTGATGGGTGCGCAGCACCAAAGGTAGTCGGGTAAGGAACGACTCGGGGTGTGGACATGCTGTCTGAAGGAGTGATGCTATTCGGAGAATATATATTCTTTCCGCGTGGCGAGTCACTGCCCTACGCGCCCTGCGAATCTCGTGGCTGTTTCATAGCTGACAGAAAACGCAGTATTCATCTGAGAGACTTATATGAGTGTCGGCCAAATCGACCTTGAAAGAAGGACGGCAAATGAGATGGCTTTTGCGATCCAGTCACATCTCGCTGGCGAGCGGCCCCCGGGTCCTGCGGATTGAACCTGAAACGATCGCCAAGAACATCTGGGATCCGATGCACACCCTGTTCTTTCCTCCGACTGGGAATTTCCCTTGGGTCGATACGTCCAATCCGCATGGGTGATAGCATCAGGCATGCCCAGATGATGGTCCCCGCGCGAAACGCGATTCCTTCCTCATCCCGGCGCGCCGGGCTTGGCGCAGCGCCAAGGGCGCGACACCATTCTTTCTTCCGTCAATTCGTTGGAAATTTTCCGAAGCCAACGAGAGACGATGAATTCATAAAACCTCTGGTCATTGATTCTGAGAAACGGTCCCTGAGAGCGTCCATCATCATGGTGAAGGGGTGTTTTTATTGTCTCATCGCCTGACGCGTGGGTCGCTATTTCGCGGACGGCAGCCTGCCTCGATTGGAGATGTGCGCCCGTCACATTGCGGCGGCAGATATGGCGAAACCCATCATGTGCGGGAATACGAGCAGGAGTGAGAGAAGGATTGCGTGTGGGCGCAACCAGGGCAAGGATCGTACTCGTCGCGTACTCGTCGCGTCTCCTGTCTCTGATGTGGGTTCTGATTCCCCAGACCGTTCCAGTGTCAACCGGCTGCATATCGGCAAGATGCCCGAAATCCCGATCTATCACGGCCTCTCGTATTTGGTGTGCATTAGTCGCAAGGTGAACAGCACACTGTCCCCGAGTTCCCTTAAATATAACCTGGAGTCTCTGCGCTCACACTGTGATGCAGGCCAAGGGTACACCGTTTGATGCTGTGGACCTTCTAGTCAGAGATGATTCCCTTGGCGGCGAAAAGCGAAGAGCGCCTGGAACAGGCTCGGCACCTGCAAGGGGTTTGCTGGGGCGAAGAGTATGAGCGGATGGTTTCCGGCATGCTGTGAGTCGCTCAGGCAGACTGTACGGATCGTCGTCCACCAAGCGGTGAAAAGTAATGCTCTTGTCCCTTCTAGATACTCGCCGCTGGCGCCCGAGCTGGTGGCCGGCCGGTCCAGGGCCCGGCGACTGATGGCTGACTTCAACGCACCCCTGGAGATGAGTCTGCCGACGACTCAAGTGACATGGGCTCGCGATGGAATCGTGCAGCGGCTTTTTGGCGCGGTCGGACGAGATGTCTGTATTGAACCGCCGCTGTATGTCGATTACGGATGCAATATCCGCGTAGGGGATGGCTTTTACGCAAATTTCCAGTACAAACCGCTCTCTCCACGCAATCTCCATGCAATCTCCATGCAATCCATATCACGACCTGAACTGACAGAAGTTTAGCCTGACCGTTCTCGATTGCGGGCTGGTCACGATCGGGAACCACGTCGCCATCGGACCCAACGTCAACATCATCACGGGCGAGCACGAAACTTCGATCGAGGCTCGCCGGGACCATCGTGGATCGGAATTCACGCGCGAAGTGACCATCGGTGACGACTGTTGGATCGGAGCGGGGGTCACCATCCTTGCCGGCGCCCACATCGGAGAAGGCAGTTCCATTGGAGCTGGATCAGTGGTCAAAGGCGAAATTCTTCCCTTCAGCGTGGCCGTAGGCGTCCCAGCTCGAGTGGTCAAGTCAATGCAATCCTCATCTGTTTCTGCGACGTGATCTGAGGAGACTGTGCGTATCCAAGTGTCAGGACGAGGGCATGTGGTCCCTGATGTATCTGTGTTGCCGGTAGCACCGTCCGTCGTCCGTCGTCATGTTTGTTCGAATTCAGATCTGATGCTCTTTCCCTACCGAACTTCGCGTGACCACTTGCACCCCTCTATCTTGCACCTCGGACCTGCCTTGATCTCCCACTATCGTAGTTGGGCCTGTCTCGTTGCTTGGCAGGGCAGACGTGGTGATATCAGAGCCGTGGTTCGACTTGTCGGAAGTCAGCGAACAATCACCCTCAATCGATCACTCTGTGCGCAGGGTCGTATTTGCCGCACCGCATGAGCGCCTTTGAGTCATAGACACTGGTGTACATCGCAGGGAGAGTGAAGCCCAGGCAGTTCACTCCGTCCTGCGATATCTCCACCTTTGGCCCGCGGTGCTCCACTCACCCCCAGAGTCGGATTCGCACGCGCGAGATGGTCGATCGCTGCCTGCCATGGCTAGTGCGACCCGGCCAGACCAGACGCACGTCCTGCAGCGATTGGATGTCTGCGATCTGTCGCGATGCCACGGGCCTGCGCCAAAGCGAGCGCGCGCGGGGGAGAAAGAGAAAAGAGGGTGGGAAATAGGACATCGTGCAAATTCGCTTGCACGCGACAAAATGCCGCTCGTTCTTTTCTGCTGCACTCCCTTTTCTCTCTTCACTCTGGTCTGTTTGCCCCTCGACGTCCCCACGGGTACTGGCTAGCAGCGTTACGGCGAAAGCACCTGGTGTTCGCAACCCCCCTCGACAATGGATGTCGAGCAATCCACGGGGGCCATGAATGCAGACACGGTGGGCATAGCCAAGAATCCCAGCCCATCGCTCGAGGAGCGCTCCGTTAGACATGGTGATCTGTTGGGCGGAGAGAAGGTCGATGAGGCACTTGCGGCCAAAATGATCATTGTGAACGATGTAAGTAGCACGCGAGGGAAAAGAAGGGCCATGGTCAGGAGATTGCAACAGAACAGTAACTCCCCGCTGCGATGCAGACGATTGACGAAATCGGATTTACACACCACCATTGGAAGCTATTTTGTCTGAATGGATTCGGATACGCCGTCGACTCCCTCATCCTACTGATCCAGTCCATCATTTCCACCCAGGCCCGATTGGAGTTCCAGCCGAGCTATGCCACCGGCCTCACCATTGCCGTTTACGTGGGCATGCTGGTCGGCGCCATCTTCTGGGGATTCTCGGCTGATATCATCGGCCGGCGCTTCGCCTTCAACGTCTCTCTCTTCATCTCGGCCATTTTCACCGTCGTGGCGGGTGCCTCGCCCTCGTGGATCACCTTGGGTCTGTTTGTGTGTCTGAGCGCCTTCGGGGCAGGAGGAAATCTGGTGTTGGATACGACCGTCTTTCTCGAGTATCTCCCGAGCAAGAATCAATGGCTCTTGACCCTGATGGCGGCCTGGTGGGGTACGATTCCCCAGCATTTCTGGTGGCGCGAATGTGGCAGGAGGTTGTGCTAACCGTATGAAACCCCATAGGCCTGGGTCAGCTCATCGCGGGGCTGTTCGCATGGGCCTTTCTCCCCAACTACTCGTGCAGCGACGCCGCGACGTGCACCAGAGAGAACAACCAAGGCTGGCGATACGTGTGGTTCACCTCGGGGGCCTTCGTCTTTGTGCTCTCCATTCTGCGAATTACCATCATTCGCCTGCAGGAGACCCCCAAGTTTCTCATCGCCGAAGGCAAAGACGCACAGGCAGTGCGAGTGCTGCAGGAAATCGCGACCCGCTATAACCGTCCCTGCAGTATCACCCGGGAGCGTCTCGAGGCCTGTGGAACCACGGCGCAACGCAGCACCACCGCGACCGGTCTCACCCAACGGCTCGTCTCGCCGGGGGAGGTATTCTTCCATCTCCGTGGACTGTATGCGACGCGGAAAATGGCCATCTCTACCACTATGGTCTGGTTCTCGTGGCTGCTCATCGGCTTGGCCTATCCCCTATACAACGTCTTCCTGCCCATCTATCTCGCGTCACGGGGCGCGAGCTTCGGCCAGAGCAGCGCGTACATCACTTGGCGCAACTATGCCATCAATAACACTTGCAGCATATTTGGGCCCGTTTTGGCCGGATTCATGTGCCGATCCCCGTGGTTCTGGGGCCGCCGTGGCACCATGATCATCGGTGCGCTCGTCACCATGATCTTCTTTTTTTGCTACACACAAGTGCGCACGGCGAGTCAGAACCTGGGATTTACGTGCGCCATCTCCTTCTGCCTCAATATCTATTATGGCACTCTCTATGCCTATACCCCAGAGGTCAGTGTCGCTACATCGATCAGCCTGGTCCGACACTCTCCAACCCAAGACGGCGACTGACGAACTCCGCTTTAGGTATTTCCCTCGGGTCACAGAGGGACCGGCAATGGGGTCGCCATCGGCCTAAACCGCATCATGGGCATTATCAGTGCAGTCGTGGGCGAAGCTGCTAATGTGAGTTCCGCACTTCTTTCTTTTTACTCATTCATCGACTGACCGCGATTCCAGACGGCTACCTCCGTGCCGATCTTCATCTGCGCCGCATTGTACATTGTCATGGCCATCGTCGCCGGAACGCTTCCTTTCGAGCCATACGGACGACGAAGCAGCTAATTTTATGTCGTGTGTGGAGTGCGGGATTCGTCTGAGATCTCAGGTATGCGGCCGGCCGATTGACTGGGCTTCAGGGTATATCTCTAGTGCCGACCAATCCCCCTAACACGTAAAGACTTCACTCCCTGCTCCCTGGTTTGTAGACCTGTGATATTTGGAGAGAGTTCGATTCAGTTGTCTCTGGTCGTATTCTTCAAATTGTCTGCCACAGAGGCTTAGTAAGACGCTACCAAACTCGCGCTTGCTATTTACGGGGCATTTGAATCCAGAAGTCAATCCCCCCTATTGCAGGAGTTGAAATCTAATGACATACTATGATGAAAAGCGAATGCAGATTATGTGGTCAATTGCACAGAGAAATATCAATTATTAAATGTTCACGGCGAAAGCAACAAGGAGAAAAGAACTCCAGGACGAGCCGGCGAGTGTGAAATACCCGGATAGACCTTTCAGACAATGGCACACTCTGCTCGTTTTCGAGTGCTACTGTAAAGATAAGACAGACTGAGGGCGTTCGAGCTACTGCAGACTTCAGTGGAGTCTCCAGCACTGGTGTTTCCGCACCCCGAGGTCAAGGCCGCTCCATTGTCGATGGTATTTCCACAAAAGCACTGCGTGCCATGCTCCATGTCGGCATAAATATAGCCGTTTTGGCGACACACGCCTTGGCACCTTTCGACAGTGTTCCCAGCCACAGTGAAAGAATAGCCCAGGGTCCGTTTGAAGGTGCTGTCCGAGTAGCATCCCATGCTTTGCCAGATGGGTACCACCACGTACGGGCTCAATGCATTCGACCAGCTATAGATTACAGATGGATTGTCTGCACAGACAGTACCACAACCAGAGGTCACCAGGATGGAATTATTTCCGATAGCCGTGCCACAGAGATACTGGCTTCCATATTCCATCCCGGCATAGGTGGATCCCTGTGCCTAACAGGCGGCTTGACAGGTCTCTACCCTTTTTCCGGCCAAATTGAGCGAGGGGTTCAGCGCGCGAGAGTTGGTGTTGTCCGAATAGCAGCCGAGGCTGTGAAAAGCTCAGAGGCGTGGACACTCCGCAAGTACCATATCCAGGTTGACAACCAGAACCGCAATGGGGTCAGTATCACTCCCACAGTATCCAAGTTGGCCACGGCGATTGTCATAACCGCTTCCATTGCATGTAGCGGTACCATTGTATGCTCCAGAAGGGGCATTCATTGAAACGGTCTGACGTGCGACGAGCGACTCAGAGGAGAAGCAAGACCCTAAGATTAGTATTAGATCGTTATAAAACATAGCAATATAGAAACATAATTTGTTTCCCCAACAGCAAGGCTAGCAGGAGTAGTAGTGGCCACTTCTAGAGTGGAGAGCAACACGACGAGAGGCGGCATTCGGTGTAACATAATTGGAGGACAACTGGCTGAGTCAATTCCAAATAGGTTTCCTGAGTTTAGGTATTACTGCTTGGTAAGAAGTGATATTTCATGGATTTGACTTGGGTTTTATATACCACAGAAGAGCGAGGCATGATTGTCAAGTCGATGAAGATGTGGCAACAGGGTGCATGTGCATAAGGTTTCGGTTTATTTTATTTTATTTTATTTTATTTAATAAAGAGTGAGGAATGCGCGGTGGCAGCTAGTTGACCTGGCCTATCGACGGAAGCAAGAGAAACCAACCACCAAATAGAACTAGGAAGCCTGCGGTGGTGATGGCTGCGAAGGGTCGATGGCAGATACCGGTGGGGAATTTATCATCAGTCGGGAGGTTAACAATTCTTCATTTCGTCGGGCATGTGTGTAAGAAATTAGTGTGCAACGGATGAGACGAAAATCATGATCACGCTCAGGTTAAAGGTGCCATATTCATCAGGCACCAAGGCATGACTTTCTCTTTGGGTATTATAATGTTGAATGGCAATCCCCCACTACATTAGTTTAGTTTAATTTAATTTAATTTTTTTTTTTTTTTTTTCTTTTTTCCGTGTGCGATCCTTTTTTCGATAAGACCACCTTTGAACAATTTTTCTCATTATAGATTGACTACGTCGATCTGGTACTGTTTCTTGGGACCTGCTGCGCCGTGGCCTTGCCAGCCGTAAGGCAGTCCTATACGCACATATATACACAGGATAACCGCCGGGTGGGGCTTTCCTGTCTGGGCTGCCGCCGCTTTAATGAGGCCGACCAGGCTCATGGTCAGTGATCAGGTCAGTGCAGACATGTGATTGCCCAGTGACTAACCATGCATGCTCAGTGATCGTATGGTGGTTAAGTTAATCAGTGGTCATCGATAGTTAACTAGTTATACCAATAAAAGAAGTTGGTAATAATAGAGGGGATCCACTTCATTCCAGCCTAGGCATAGTCCAACACGGCTTTGAGAAGATTTAATTGGACACATCCAGAGCAATGCTCGTGTTGGGATTGCCGAAACGCCGACCAACCAGATTTGGGAAGGAAAATAAGATAAATAAACAGCTTGCTCCTCTTCCTCATTTCTCATCCATATCTCTCTATCACTCAAATCTGGTGAATTGATTTCGATCTTTCTGCAGGAACAACTTGCTTAGAACAACGGAACAAAGACAGGGAATAGAAGGTAGAATGGTTCGAGTCCTCCTCACTGGTTAGTGTTTTCTTTGAGGATCGAAATTTACGAGGGCCGAGCTTCAGCTGACAGGACTACACAGGCGGCAATGGATTTCTTGCAAGCCATATTCTTGATCTTCTCTTGGCACGAGGGTAAGTCAATTTATTCCCCCTCTCCCCTCCACAAAATTTTGCACCTGTTAATATTGCGTGTTCATAGACATTCAGTCGTGACAACGGTCCGCAGTCACGAGAAGGCGGAACAAATTCGCGAACGCTATCCATATACATCTACCACTCACTTAGAAGTTATCCTCGTCCCTGATTTTACGAGTCCTGGTGCTTTTGATGAATGCTTCAAGTCTGACGCGCTTTTCGATGTGGTCATGCATACTGCGTCTCCCTTCCGGTACTCGATAACTGATATTCAGCAAGAACTTTTGGACCCTGCAATCATTGGGACAATTGCGTTGCTAAGGGCAGCCCAGAAGAACGCACCATCGATCCAAAAAGTGGTAGGATTCCCTGCATCGTACTTAAATTAAATAGACTCGGCTTCAGTTCCAGTCGTTGATTTAACAAATTACAGATCGTAACATCTTCTTTCGCATCGATTATCAACAGCTACAAGGCTAACTGCTGGGTTGATCATATTTATTCCGAGGAAGATTGGAACCCAATTATCCCTTCGGACGCTCATTTAAATCCTCTCAACGGATATAGAGGTTAGCATTACCTTTTCTCATTCGACAGAAGTTACTATATTTGAACTAAAGCTCCGATATAGCAAGCAAAACCTTCGCCGAACGAGCATGTTGGGAGTTTCACAAGAGAGAGAACCCACCTTTTTCTCTGGTTACGCTATGCCCAACGTTGATGTTTGGCCCCGTGATACACCCACTGTGCAATCTCGACGAGCTCAATACATCGAACCAGCGAATCCGAAATTTTATGGCAGGCGAATATAAAGCCGAAATGCCAGACACAGGGACATCGTTCTTCCTCTGGATAGATGTTCGTGATGCCGCCATGGCGCATATAAAAGCGATGGAAACTTCAGGGGTGGTGAACGAGAGATTCTTATTGACTGCTGGTTACTTCTGCAACAAGGAGATCTGTGAAGTGATACGAGAATTCTTCCCCGAGTACAGACCGCAACTCCCAGAGCAGGGTGCGGGAGGTGGTGGGTATCCCAACAAAGGACTTTACGGGTTTGACAACTCCCGAGCAACCAATAAGCTTGGCTTGACGTATCGAACCCTGTCCGCGAGTATTACTGACACGGTCATGTCGTTGCAAAAATTGCAAACCTGGGACAAAGTTACTGCATAGTTTTGAATGACTCCATTTTACTAAGTCTCTGCTTCGGAAAACACTGGAATAAGTAGAAGTAAAGATCCAATTTGCTGTTTCATGACCTTGGAAACCCATACTGGACTCTATAAACCAGAAAAGGCGAAAGTTGCACGGTGACTAGTGCCCTAAAGATCTGCATAGCGGGAATGAGAAACAGGAGACTTTCACCCCGAAAAGACAATTACATTGGTTGCCTAGCCGAACGCTCCTAAGTTAATGGGGCCAACTGAACAGCCCAGATACTTCGACATGTTATGTATGTACTATAGAGGCGGTAAATGGGCATGGTACAGGATGTATGGTCTTCTGCCACATATTTTTTCTCGATTCTTGTGTCAAGACTTTCATATCGAGTGCGCCGCACACGCTACAGAGCTTGTCGATGAATTTGGATTAATATGTCTCTTGGCAGGATGCGTATCAATTTCTGGTTAAGCTAGAGCGAAAAACGTAAGTTTCCTAATCATAATTCTGAAGTTGAGACTAATGATTATAAAAATGAACAAAATTGCGAGACTCACCACTCAATTTGTGAATCTAACTCCACCTCGTCATCGCAACTCTTGGCGGCTCCAAGAGTATTTGAGAGAGACTTTCATCCATCATGGTGGTGACGAGCCAAGTTGGGTTTTACGCAGTTATAGTTAGACACGTTGAAAATGACATGTAATGTCGCGTACAGTGTCAGGCAGCCCAACAGACAGATAACTACGCTGACACCAGCACCTACGGTTGCCAGGAGGATAACAGGGAGCAACTGGTGCATTAAAATGCGATTTCGATAGTTTTGATATTAGTTATAAGCAAAATGTCGAGAAAGGCGAGAAGAGACTAACAGCGGCGAATGCGGGGAGAAGATTAACGCAACCCGTTTTCCTGTTGCCCTAACGAAACCGGAGTCGGCAGCACCTTGAGAATTCGACAACATGGAGTCATTACTAGTATCCTGAGACTTCTCATATGAAATCAATGATGGCATACCCTCCTTCTGCTTGAGAAGAACAACCATCTGAGGCTACCAAAATTTCATCTGCCGTGGTCGGTCTTGGTGGCGATTACCTTCCAGGGGACGCGTGTTAGGCTCTGTTTGAATCCACGTGATGAGCAACGGTTCGTTCAGATAGTTAATCGGATAGTTAAGGAGATCCAACACCATCGGGTAAGCAGAAACAGGTCCCTTCGGGTCGAGCAATCCTCCGCATACTTGCAAAATGGCAGAGGTGGAAGCAGCCCCCATTGAAAGAAGTTGCGTCGCACGCGTAAACAAGAGCTTGACATCAGCAGCATCCGTATAAGCCTTCCAGAGACCTTCAAGTATTGGCGCATGTAGCTGCATCGATATGGTTTGTGGGTGGGGGTCGGGGTTGGGCGGAAGGCCTGGTCATAACATAGAGCAAGCCATTGGGCAAAGAACATTTATTTAATCGACCCGGACAGTTAATGATGGAGAGTTGGCATCGTAAGTACCATGTAGGAGTCCATCGAGCTTTGATGAAAGTAAGGGCAGATGGATTTCATGAGAAATGGCAACAGGAATCGACGATGCCATGGCAGCGACCAAGCAAGACAGGGCCCACAAGCGCATCCACATGATATACTTTCAAGGACGAATAGTTTGACTCGTCCTCAGACAGAGGTATTCTTAGTCGGGTTTCGTGGGAACAGGGAAAGGGTAAGGAAAAGAAATGGAAAGGGAAAAGCGGGTCTCAGAAGAAACGTTCAGTAAGTCAAGCAGAGAAGAGGGGAAGTACATTATCCGTGCATTTCGGAAAACCTTCACGGTGGGGGGCCGCCGAAGATTTTCCGAGATGCACGGATAAACGACCCTGGATGGGGGAAAGCCAACAGAGTACGGTCGTCAAATTGAATCACTGAGTATTTAGTCGTGTCCTAGGGTAAGTAAGTTGGTGGTCTTGGGACGGCAAGTCTGTATTTTTTCCTGGATTTGATCGGATCCTTATAGGTAAGTATTTATTTAATTAACGCCCCTGTCCACTTTTTATCCCTCTCCCACCATTCTCAGTCAAACTATGTTTCGCTATTTTCCTTTCTATATCTCCCTGGCAGCTGCCATCAACCTTTATGCCACTCACTATGACGGCAACATCTACACGCTCTCTCTTGATAGCCAAAACTCGCTTTCAATTGCTTCATCCCTAAAAACATGTGGTGATGCCCCTAGTTGGCTTACGTTCGATTCGTCGACGCGGACACTCTATTGCTCCGACCACTCGGGCAATTCTATCATCAATGGCTCGTTGAGCTCCTATTCTGTGGATAAAGATGGGAGACTGACGGAGCTCGCAAAGACATCGGATGTAGGCGCCGCTGTCCACAGTACTCTTTATGAAGACAAGCACGGCGCGAATTATTTGGCTATTGCGCATTAGTGAGTAGTGATTCCGTTGTCTACTTGAGCCAGCTGTGTGGGCCGACCAGCAAACAAACTAACTCACGTTCATCAGCGGCGGCTCTGCCCTTTCGACCTTCACATTGCCTCTCAGCTCCGACGAGGAGCCATTGCAGGTCATCCGCTACCAAATGTCCCTGCCCGGTATCAAACCGCAGCAAGATGCGCCGCACCCACATCAGGCGATCCTCGATCCAACAGGTGCTTTCATCCTTGTTCCCGATTTAGGCACTGACCAGGTCCGTGTATACGCCATTGACCCGCACTCGGGACGTCTGAATGCTTGCCCTAGTCTCAATTACACCGCCGGCAGTGGGCCACGCCACGGGCTGTTCTGGAAATCCAAACCATCGCACTTGGCGCAAGCTCCGGTGACTATGCTGTACACCGTCAGCGAATTGGGCGGTCAGTTCAATGCGTTCTTTGTCTCCTATTTAACCTCCGGTTGTCTCGCGTTCCGGGAGACTCAATCATTCGTGCCATACCCAGGCGGACAGTTGCCGGCTGGCGCTACGCCGGCGGAGCTCCATATGGCCGGGACTTCTCTTCACGCTTCGATTCGCTTCGATCAAGGATTCACTCCGAATGATTCCCTGGCAACCTTGGCTCACTACCCTAATGGCACGGTAAATTTCGGCCAAATCACCTCTTCATATGGCACCGTCCCCCGCACTTTTGTCATCAATAAGAATGGTACTCTGGTGGCCATTGGGGACCAGGCCTCTTCTAATGTAGCCATCGTCACAAGGGACCCGCGGAGTGGAACGCTCGGGAACCTAATTGCCAATTTGCGGGTTGGAGATTCCGGCCAGGCTAGTAATTCCTCGACGGGTTTGAGCTCCATCATCTGGGAAGAGTAAGCTCCGATTTCTCCAGAGCTCAAAGGGTTTATTTAGCCACCAGGATCTCCAGACATCCCACTGTTCCTACCAATGTATTTCTCTCGCTTTGCCTTTTTGGTCTGATGAGCAACAATACTTTATATTTGGCTGCTGCAACCCTAAGCTTAATTCTCGGCCCTTACCACCTAGCCATTACCAACTCGACTTACCTACCCCTTCTGAAGACCTAGACTTTTATGGCAAAGTAAGCGCCTAGCTTTATGGGCAAGCTTAATCCAACCATTCTCACCAACCTATGATTCATATAGGTGATAGTCACCTTTTGGCGCATTGTTATCTGTTGTGATACAGGGCAGTTGCTGCTCAGAAACGAAGGCGCAAAATGGGAAATAATTCCTGCACTATCTATACGAAGTAGTTAAACGTTATACGATGCAGACTTAGTGACTTGAATGGTAAGTCCGTTGGCATCGAATCTTTATAATTTTCCATCTGAAATACGATTAGTAGCAAAGATCATATCTTGTCAGAAATATGGATATTGGCATTGTATTGGCTCGTCAGATACAACTGTGGCTGGCTGAGATCTACAACCCCTCAATGCCCCCCCTCTTTGATTTACAAGTATCTTTGCTATATCTGGACCCCTCAGGCTAGTAAACCCCGAGTCATTGGTATTGCCATGGTTAAAATTAACCACCACGCAGTTCAGCTGTTTAGTTCATCAGAAATTTTTCATATCATCTTTGTATTTGTCGGGATATATCCTCTTGTCAGAACAAACTAGCGGTGATCCACTGCTAGGGACTGATGGATAACATCCCTTGCTTGGTGTACGCATTCTTGCACTTTGCTGCGGCCCCGGTGTTGTGACCGCCGAAGGCCGGCGTGTGGGATCTAGGGGTGTTTTCCAACTAGACTGAGAATCAACATCTATCTACATGAATCAATTGACTTTTGCTTTGGAGCATAAACACTGTCCACTTAACTGTGTACACAGTACCTAGCTGGTGATACCAACAGTATTACCTTTTGTTATTCCGTTGCTATCGTTAGCTGGTAAATCCTTGCTAATTCATCGCTTATACAGTCCATTCCTGTTATATCTCTATTTAGAATAAGCAGCAATAGCGTAATGCCGTGGCAAGACCTAGGCTCTCAGGAACGAAAATGAATAATATTCTATCTGGACAGACGATCATTTTGGCTTAAACACCCGCAAATTGTGACGATTCACATGTGGTGATGTTTGATGCCTGTGTTGATGCCTGCTGCCGCAGGCATCCCTCATGTATTTAACTAGATCGTCTCTTGCACTCTCGCACTCTTCTTCTTTCCTTCCCCATGCTTAGTTGTCTCGTCAAATGCTCCTATATTGGTTGGTCTTCTTCTATCTCTACACCCTCTGCTTCAACTAACAACTATGCCACCGAAACGCTCGGAATCCTGGCAAAAAGCAGCTAACTAAGAGGGAAAGATACTACTAGCCCTCGAGGATATTAAAAAGGGTCAACTCAAATCTCTGCGCACAGCGGCGAAGGTATAAGATATACCGTTCTCTACGCTGCAAGACCACGCCGCAGGTGTATCCTCACGCGTGGATATACACCACTATCGGCTAAAATTGACTCAACTCGAAGAGGATTCGCTTACTGAGTGGATTATCTCTATAGATTCACGTGTAGTAGCGCCTAGGCCCTCTACTCTATGATAGATAGTGAAGAGGGGAACGCTCGATGGCAGGACGCGCTGAGACGTGCGAGTCGATTCAGCAGAAAAACCACCACAAAACACACGCGTAGCAATCAGGAAACAGCGAGAAGCCCAAATGTAGGGGTCAGGTCGGGGAGGTGTAAGAAGGTGTATTCTAGAACTAGCTATGCGGCCACTGTATACTGCCGGCTATGTCACATAGTCTGGATGGCACCCATGTAGTAGGGGGAGGGGGTCTCCCCACTACAATAGCTAATATTCTACTCGCTGCGCGTGGTGAGACCCCTCCGACTGCCGTGGGTAAAAATTGGCTATCAACCTTTCTTTAACGCCGCGATAAGCTCCGTATATGACTCAAGACGCTACAACTAGTAGCGTGCCATAAACGAGGATTCGAAATTGCTATGAGGCTAGTTTAATATAGTAAAATATGTGATTAACGAGAATGTTATTTAACCGGAGGATATCTACAACTTTGATGAGACTAGATTCGCGATGAGCCTTAGCTAGAAAAGCTATTTATTCTATTAACGAATTCACGCGTCTGAGTTAGATATCGGCTATTGATTCTTACTAACTATAGTAGCTATCTTACTCACAATTCGATCGAATCTACGCAGAAACCGATATTATACCACTTTGTATACTATCACATTCCTCGGTTACCGATCATCTACTTCGGTGGATCAGCTTGAACTGTGCCAAGGCTATATTGTGCCATGCCTTCAGCATCAATATTGAGTGGGCATCAACTGCGAGGGAGCCTGGACCATCAGGGCTTTTTAGCGGGTTGGACAAGATGGTTCGTCGGTTCAAATGGACTTGGACTATCTGTTTAGTCATTGCGGGTGGTATGTGCTCTTTCTCGAGCATTTCGAACTTCTAGTTGTTTCCGATCCCCTTACTAATACGAACAGTTTCTAGCGAGGATTTACTTTGCTATCGGTGTTCCATCGAGCTGGACTATCAGGTATGGCGAGTACTTTACCGCCACAATAGCCATAGCGCCTCTGGCGGTTCAGACTTTCTCAGCCAGTCTCCCTCTATTCCTGGGCTTAAATTAGCCCCCTTCTTGCACAATTCAAGTCTGTCTGACCTGTCTCACGATTGCTGTTCTTTCTTTTGTCCAATATCTTCCAGATTTTATCGAATGTATTGCTTTTGTCTGTTTCTGTATCTTCATTAGTCGTTTTGATTCGGACCCCAAGGAGCCAGGGGAGTGGGGAGAGGGGGGTGTGGGGAGGGTTAAGATCCCAGCCAAACTCATTGAACGTCGAATATTGCGGTTACTCCGTTCTATTACTTGCAAGGACCAGGAAATCTGTCAGTGGTAGTAACCCTCATAGAATTGACGCTAATTATTGATTATTGTCTATTTCCACTTGGTCCAGGCACAAAGTGCTCAACTCAATTCGCAACCAAGACAGCAACTGACCATGCCGGCAATTTGATAGTGAAGTTCCCTTGGGTGGCGGTAACGTCTGATTCCACGGGCGAGACAGGGTTCTCGGAATCAGTGTTCGCGGCATTTGGGTCATCGTTGGCAATCATCGTGAGCTTCCCGTTGCCTTTTTCCGGGATCGAAATGCTGACTTCCTGGCCCGTGCTTCCGTAATTCGCCAGTTTGACATAGTAGGCATCATTGCCGGTAGATGCGACCCAATACACAGGTCCAAATGGCGAATCACTCTTTACTTCTTTGATGGTTGCACCGCGGTTAGCTGAGAACATCTGTTGAACATAGTAGCTTGTCGTTTTCACAACATGGCTAGGTGCCTGGGAAAACGCAATAAGATTCGGCTGTGAGTTCGATCTTGTGAGTAACCAAAGTCCAGGTGAATACGGAGTTGCAAGTCTATTCGTACCTTCCATTGTGTCGAGTTTGTCAGCTGGAGCAGCGGAGCGTAGGCTGCCATCTTGACAACATCACTGTTCCGTTCGAGACCAATCATGAATACGGCCTCTCCAACGGATCCCTTCATGACGGGCCAGTCCACGCCATTTTGGGCATATTCGCCGATAAAGTAGGGAACATCTCGATCTTTATTATCGAACATATTGAACTGCCCTACGAGACCATCTGGGGTGTTGTAGTTATGCCAGTCCATCCAAGTGCCATTCGGCAGGTTCGGAGGAAGACAGGACGGTTCGGCAGTGCTGGCAATGATCGTTAGATCTGGGTAAGTCTTGTGGATTTCATTATAAAATGCCGTAAATCGCTCCCCGTAAGTATCGCAGCCTCCTCCGAGATTGTCTTCGTTGCCAATCTCCACCATTTTCAGCGGCCAAGGATCCTTCTGACCATGAGCAACCCGCATTGCACCATACTGGGTGCTGGAATCTCCGAGAATGTACTGCAAATGATCAGTCTGGAGCGCACTGTCGAAGAGATAATTAAAGGAGAACTGACCTCAAGCTCATTCAAGACTTCATCGATGTAGGGGGAGAGAGCATCCCCGGTGATCGGGGTGTTCCCGCCTGACTCCAATGCGTACCCGTCCCAGACACCGAGAACGGCATCTAAACCCATGTCCTCGCACCAATAGAAATACTCTGCGAGGCCTTGTTGTCTGTTAGGCCAATTCAGCAGCAAAGAGCGATGGAACGCTACTTACCAAGACCATCTGTGTTATAGTAACCCCAGGTTCCTAATCAAGGTGGATCAGCAATTTTCTTCCTCCGTCATCATTTTCATCAGATCTCCATACCTTGTCGCCCAGGTCGGTCTTCGACCGGTCCGACCGTTTCATTCCACTTCCAGCGAGAACCCTCATCCTCTCCCTCACTTGTAAGCAGTGTCAGTTGAGCCGAAATATTCCCTCGGACAAGGGGATACTGGAAGATGCTCACAGATTGTTCCCACCTGGAAACCTCAGGAAAGAGCCATTCATGGCATCAAGTGCGTTCGCCAGTCTCGGTTGTAGGCCATTTTGACTACAATGTTCGTTAGCCACAGAAATGCACACTTGAGACAAAGTCATCTCAATATTGCATGTCATGATCTGAAGAGAAACGCACCGACTCTTGAATGTTTCGGGAAACAGCTGAACCAGACTAAAATAGAGTGACGACCCAGCCACTTCGCTTGCGTCCAGATCCAACTCGAAGTAAACGTTTCCATCTGGAGCTATGGTGGTGGGGAAAGTGGCATCGATGTAGGTGAAGTTGTTGCTGTTAGAGGAAATCTGGATTGATGTAGACGCATACTCTGTGCCGGTGCCGTTGCCCACTAGTCTCGCAGTGATATTGCTGTTCAAATCTCCTTTAATCCAGAAGTATATTTGGAAGCTACTGCCATCCACGGGAATCCCCCAGTGGCCATTATTGGTCACACCCACAGTGCCAGTCGCTCCTTCGGAGACATCAAGGCGCAGAGAATGGGGAATCGCTGATGTGAGAGGGTTGTTGGAGTCGACAGCAATCGTGGCATCCCCAATCGAGCCCCATGAGGTCAAATCAGGATTTTTTCCTTGCAAGCCATTGTTTTGAAGCAATTGACCATAAATCCCACCGTCGCCCGAGTGGTTGATGTCCTATAATTGGACAAGTTAGATGTGTCGCTTTCCTCCGGCATTATCTCGACACTTGCCTCGAACATAAACCCATAGAGGATGGGGCTCGACGCGTTGCCCCCATCTGACTGCACCTGCAGCGAAATTCCTTGGGCTGCTTGGAAAAATGCGAAGCAAAGCAAGAGGATCCCAACGCCTGGTCGGGATGCAAGCTGTAGAAGAGCCATATTCTGGAATTAGAACGAAGACAAGGGCTTGATCTGGCAACCAGCGCTCTTTCCTGGTCTCTGGCTTCTCTTTTATACTTCTCTTCTGCTTTAAATTAACCGAGAAGTTCCCTCGCATTGCAGATCGTACCCATTCTGTCTGGCCATCGTGCCTGCCGATTCGAGTCAATCCGACTGTTCCTGCATCGCGCACACCTCCGCCGGGGAGGGGTTCAACCGAAGCTGTTCGGCCAAAAGTGGAGATTGTCTTGGTGCTCAGCCCATCTGTCTCCGCGATCCCCCAGGTTTCAACCATGAGAGCCCTTGGCAAGCCGATCTCTTCCCCCGCGGAGTATCGCGAGGAAGTGAATTGAGCGCTACAGCGTCGTCGGTGGAGCCGCGAGCTGCGCGTAATATACCGAGCGTCCGAGTCCATTCATTGCCATACCTTGTTCTCTCCTCGGTAATAATAGTCTCTCATCCCAGACATGTCTGATCGGGCTCTAGCGGTCAAATCTCGGCTTTTCCGTGCGTCCCGCGGATCAGATCCGAAGGCAGGCGTGATGTTTCTCCTGCCTCTCCACGGGTCTGCGTTGTCGATGGTTTCTGGCTGCCCGGAGCGCGTGTCCGATCCGTGGGGCGTATCCCCTCTCGCATACTGCTGGAGGACGCATGCAATGCCCAGTGGCATGACGACGAGGGTGTCGCGCGACCCCGATTCCTCACCAACTCGTCAAGCGTGTTTTACCATTCTCCTGCAGATGGCACCAGTCCTCATTCATGCATCCGCCGTGTCGATCGCCCGGAGTCGCATATTTGGGGCTGGCGAGTCTGGCAAAAACCCGGTGGAACTGTCTCGCTCCACTTGCTGATGGCCTTCAGCAATCGGCACCGCCCGCAATATCTCGAGCTTTCTCTGCAATTTATCGCTCCGCTGCCCTTCATGTATGCAATATGTCGATGCGATGTCATTCCTGGGACTGCACACTGATGCAGGTGGTGGGTGGCAGTAGCCGGGGCCCGGAAGGATGCAGGAACGAGTTAACTAGTGTAGTGGGGAGACCCCCTCCCCCTACTACATGGGTGCCATCCATGTTATATGACATAGCCGGCAGTATACGGTGGCTGGATAGCTAGTTCTAGAATACACCTTCTTACACCTCCCCAACTGGCCCGTAGATTTGGGTTTCTCGCAATTTCCTGACAGCTACGCGTGTGTTTTGTGGGGGTTTTCTGCTGAATCGACCCGCACGTCTCAGCGCGTGCTGCTATCGAGCGTTCCCCTCTTCACTATATATTTCCCCTCACACACTCAAAGTCCGCTTGCGGCAACCGAGCAGCTTCACTTGAACACTACGTGGACTACACCTTGGCACCATATAAATGTAATACGCGAAATATATGAAGATGTTAAATCGGGAGTTAAATACCACTATGCCCATTCATATATTGTAGAGACAATTTAGAAGCAGGAAGTAGTCCCAAGCATTGACTGTATTATGGCGTAGTGGCACCTGGGCAGGGCCCGGGGCGGTTCTGACAATCAGGTATGAAACTAGAGCGAGAGCGCGGGCGCATTGTGTTCTTTCTCGGGAGTAACACTAAACGGTCATCATTCAGAGAGCAACCAGGGGTCTTTTTTCGACGAGATCACATTCGGTGTGAGACTTCAAGTTTAAATGGGAAGGCGTGGTAAGGCACCCAGGCAGCAACAGCGCGGCTGACGGCCACGTGAACACTTGTGAAGGTGACTCCCTCAACTTCTTGTATGGAAATTCAAATTGTCCTCTACTCCATTCGACGAATATGTGGTCCTCTACAATCGGAAGTTACAAGGCGTCGGCAATTTCATGCTACTCGCAGCACCGCTGGACGCCGGAGATCCATGGATGGCTTGGTTCAACCAGACCTTCAAATTCGAAGAGCAAGGCGAGGATGCTGCGTGCTAAAGACAACCGCATCCATCGGTCCAAGCTTGACAATTGATTACGTTGCTGAATTCATGATCGGTTCAACTTGATTCTTGCTATTGACGTAATTGCTGGAGACACTAACCCTCTAGCCAGCGCGTTCATGCTCTACCTTTGGCGCTATTGCGACATGTCCTCCCCCCCCGGTATGCCGAACTGATGATCACTTGTACTGGCTAACAAAGTCCAGGACTGCCTGGTTCACCTCAGCCACATGAGAGCAGTTCAGGAAATGTGCGCCACCTTCGATCGGGACCAACTGTGCATCGGGCGAGTTCACGAACATCTTGATCTCTTCCTCCGCATTCGCGACCGAGTAAACCGCATCCTTGGTGCCCTGGAATACGACGAAGTTAACTTAGCCACGAAGGCATAGCACCTCACGAAATCACTTACATGGAGCCATCGCACGGGACAGCGCACATCGGAGAGGCGTAGGTGCAATCCTCCCCGCTCGGCCAGGTTGATGGCGGCCATGCGAATGCGACGTTGACCGTCTTCTCCGCGGTACGTCGACTTGATGGTCGACCGCCAGAAGTCGCGGACGTCGGCGGAGCACTCGTTGAAGCCAATGTTGATGAGGGCATCACAGTAGCTGTCGTCGGGCTCGAACGCTGGATCACCTTGGCTCGCTGCCCATTGTGTCACGAAGCTGGAGACAATGGCCGGGCCGTCCCAGCACTGCAGCTTGCGACTGCGGTCCGATTCGCTGTCCATCGAGGTCCCAAGAGGGATCACTCCGGCAACCTACCCACGCCGTTGGTTAGCGATGGCCGAATCTCCGGGGCATTCTAAGAGTCAGTACCTTCTCCGGTCGCAGCAGCGCCATCTGAATGGTCACCCATCCTCCCTGGCTCGTGCCCAGGATAAATGCGCGGTCAATCTTCAATGCATCCAGCACCTGAAGGTTCATCTCCGCGGTATCCCAGTATGTCCACTGCTCCCGATTTGTGCGAGTCTGCCCATGGCCTAAAAGTTCGATCGCAACCAGGTTCATCTGGTCCGACAGTTGCGGATCGCTGAACTGAGCCCGATAAAGCTCCGAGGACGTGGTGAACGCATTGACTAACACCAGCGTGGGCTTGGTGGGATCGTAGGCCCGCGGCATTTGGTAGGCCGCGTCGATACCCCCCAGATGGGGCACTTGGATCATTTTGGTATTTGGCATGGCTGTCGATGCCCGCGGGATGAGTGTCGGTGTGTGTGCGCGGGTCAACAATATTGCATATTTTCCAGCACGCGCACCGGCTGGGGATCATATCATATATAGGGCATTTCGGTTCGTGTCGATGCCCCTCTTCATGACCCGCTTTGGACCCCTCCGCGCAGCTCCCAACGTGGCAGTTGCTCCAACAGGGCACACAAAGTTTGGGGGGAATCGGGAGGGAAGTGGATCCAATTCGCACCAGCGGAAGCTCAAACTCTTTGGCTTTCTTCTGCTCTGTCCCTGGCAGCCTACAGCATCATTCTACATGGAACGGGACGCAGCAGAGACGATCGGGGATATCGGGTCGATTTCATGAATAGCGGCGCCAGGACCATCACAGTCCTTCGGTCAGCGCCACTACGGGGCCGGTGAAATGTTTCTTCCCCCCAAACAAATAGTAATACACAGCTCCGATCACCATCCACCCCATCGTGACGACGACGCAATAGTTCATGTTGACAGGCGTCACCGGCTCAACCGTCGGGAAGGTGCTAAACACCATCGCCAGAATCAACCACAGCATTGCGCCAACGTTCACCACAGGTCCCCAACGCGGTCCCAAGTCGAAACTGCCCGATCCCAGCCCGCGGACCACCAGCGCGGAGGCCTGTCGGCCATAGAGAAACATGAACAGAATGGGCGAAAAGTAGGAGGCATACATGCCTAAGATGGCCATGGAGAGCACGGCATTGAAGGCAGTGGAGCTCCCGAGGTAGATTAACCCCAGCAGCATCTGGAGAAAAGAGACGGCGAGCACCATGCGTACCGGAACCTTCAGGGTCGGGCTGACCGCCGAAAAGAATTTCGAGGCCGGCAGGCCGTTGTCGCGGGCAAAGGCCCACGCGGTACGGCTGGTGGAAGTCACACAGGCAGCATTGGCGGCCAGCGCGATCACACTGATGCACAGCGCCAGGATAGACGCCCCTGCCGCAGAGTTGGTGACATTAAGAAACAGCTGCATGAAAGGAAAACCAATCTTGGAGGCCAACAGTCCATCGAGGTCACCCAAGGCAAATAAGAGCACGATTGTATAGACCAAGCCGATCATGCCGTTGATGGCCACGCTCCCCACCATGGCTAAGGGTACATTCCGGGAAGGCTTGGGGAGCTCTTCGCTCAGGTGGCACGCGGCATCATATCTGGATAAAAGTGGCGGTTAGCGAGATCAGTTCTCTCGTATGCCACCAAGAGGAAGCGAAGCATTGTGTCACTCACCCGAGAAAGGGGTACACTGTGCTCAAGAGCCCAACGAGCCAGGAAACACCGTCGTTTGTCCAGCCACTGGTGTTGGAAAACTGTGTGAAGACATACTCCGCGGAATGTTTGGAGGACATGGAGCCCAGCACTGCCACGATCGCAATGAAGGCAACGACATGCAGTATGCCTAATGCCATATTAGTCGGTTACTGGGTATTGCAGGCGTCTCGGGCGACTCACCTGCGGCAGTGTTGGTATGTGGCAGGATCTTCGATCCCCATACATTCAGCGCTGCAGAATACGCCAAAATGGCCCAATAGAAGAGCATCCCTTGCCATCGCAGCGGTGTGTATGTGTCGAGGTGGTTAAGCGTGATGAGAGCCTGCAACTGCAGTCCTGCTGCAAAGGCGGCCGAGGCAGAGAAGACAAGCTGACCACCGATGGAGATCCATCCAGTGAACCATGACGCCGTGGCTTGATAGGAGGGAGGGGTGAGGCAGTGCACCCAGTGATATTGACCTAACCAATCGTCAATTGAGACACCGGGGAATTGAGATCACAAAGCCCGTGCATGACATACCCCCCGCAGTGGGATAAATGGAGGCGATCTCTCCCAGTGAGAGTACAATCAGAATGGTCCCGATCAGGGCGATGATACTGAGAAGTCGCGCACTGGTCAGCATTTTTCTGTTCGGTGTGAATGAATATGCGTCATGAAGAAGATTCTCACTAATTGTAGAACAGACACGGGGCGCCGCCGTTGGTCAAGGCCGTGGCCACCACAGATGACAGGGCCTCCCAGGTGGCCATCATAGAGATCTGGAGGCATACAATGGACCACAACGAGAATTCACGGCGAAGTTCTTGCACATGGCCCAGGGCTGCCAGCTGCTCCTCATCGGTGATGGGCTTCTCCGGATTGGCCATCTTGGTATCTGGGTCGGAAAGGGGATCCATGGGATCGAAGGGGGTAGGATATACAAAATCCACAACAGCAATTGGGATAGAAATAGATTGATGGATGGCTATGCACCACGGCAACAAAGAGAAAGTTGCTCGGGTCTTGCCCAGGCACGATCCAGGTCGACCCTGAGGTCGCCTGGGGGTGGCTTTTCCTATAAAGAGAAGGGAGCGCCGGCCAGAGCGGAAAGACCGCACGGTCTATCTAGGGGCGACGACGGGCCTCAATCCGCACCTGTCGTGCATAACCGGAGATCAACCCTCGAAACCGGAGGTGGACTATCTTCCCACTAATCGGAACCGGGCTATGACATTTGCGGTTAGTGATGGCCTCGGGCTGGGAGACTGTTTACCATCCAAGACAGGCGGGCATGGCAGGCATAAGCATTGCAGATATGCTATCGCCTCCACAAATGCGGGGAAGTTCCGTCCTTGGGATTGCCGCCCCGCCAAGCACGAAGGCAGCAGCCAATGGACACGAGTTGGTGGCGATCCAGGCGATCAGCTTGCATGTTGGGATGGTCAGCGGAGCGAGAATTCGGAAAGAGGCTGCCATGGGGTTCCGAGAGATTGGGATATCGCCGAATCGATAGTCGATAAGGTCGGCGATGGGATAGGGGTACCTTCAAATTGTTAAGGGTATGGTAAGGTCGTCGATAGGGCTCATAGATAGCGATTAGCCCCAGCTGAAACCCTGACAAGAATTGAACAGCACCTTTGAGGCGTCGCGAGAAAATATATAGGACCGCCGGAATGGCATGGCTTGGCAATGACCCTGACGACATCCACAGTAGTTCGCCGTAACCGAGCTGCTTGAAAAGAGGAGATAAAGCTCTGAGCAAGCAGACCCTGGCCATTCCGAAGCAAATCCGGGGAGCCGCCATACTCGATGCGGCCAAAGTCGCGCCGTTGGGGCTGCAAGTGGTGCGGCGGAAGGTCGGAATCTCGGAACGCGCGCGGTTGCTCGGAGGCCGCAACGTACAGCGCCGAGCGGCGTGACGTTAAAAAGGTCGGACGCACCGAGCATCGCATGGTATCTGCTGTCGCTCACTGTTTCCTTCTTCTCCAAAATGTCCCACCCGCTCGCCATCCTCTCCGAGGCCGAGACCAACCTGGCCCGCGATGTCGTTCGCGCCGCCCATCCTAACACAGTTATCGACTTTCGGGAGATCTACCTCCAGGAGCCCCCCAAGACCCAGCTGCTGGAGTTCCTCGCCCTCGAACATGCCGGGCGCCTGAGCCCGACAACGCCACGCCCACTTCGTCTGGCCCTGTGCCAGTACGACGTAATTGGGGCCGACCGGATTCCTCAGTATCACGAATCTGTGGTTGATCTCGTGGCTCGCGCTCGCGTGAAGCATAGCATTGTCGGCAAGCAACATCATGCCGCACTCACCTTGTATGTATACTCCCTCAAAGAGTCAATTGACTAGCGATCATCCGCTCGTGTCCTCCAGAGCGCCATCTGACCGATGCCAGGAGCGAATTCGATGTTCTCGTAGAGCGATGTATGAATTCGCCCTTGTTTCAGAAGGCACTCGCGGACTTCTCTCTGCCAGAAGGCTTTGAGGTGGTCATTGAGCCATGGCCGTACGGTGGGTTGGATCACACTGATGAAAATCGCCGCTTCTTCCAGGGTCTATGTTTCGCCCAGGACAAGCGATCCGGCAATCCAGACTCCAACTTTTACTCGTTCCCTCTCCCCATCATCCCAGTGATGGATGCCCACACCCAGCAGATCATTCGGGTCGACCGTCCAGCCACTGGTGGCAAAGGAGATGGTCTCCAGGAACAAACTTTCAAGCAGGATATTATCGGTCACTGCAAGCCCTCAGAATACGTGCCGGAATTGTTGCCAGAAGGGACAAGGAAGGACCTCAAGCCTTTGAACGTCGTGCAACCTGAAGGACCTTCCTTCCGCGTCATAAACGAGTCCCTGGTGGAGTGGCAGAAGTGGCGTTTCCGCGTAGGTTTCAACCCGCGTGAGGGTGCCACCATTCACGATGTTTGGTATGACGGTCGCAGCGTGATGCACCGACTGGCGATCAGCGAGATGGTAAACTCTCCCTACTTTCGTATCATTGAAGAGGCCACTTCGTTCAATTTTTGTGTGTCAACTTGATATGGCTTAACTGATATCGAGTTTTGCTAGACTGTCCCATATGCGGATCCTCGACCCCCATTTCATCGCAAGCAGGCCTTCGACTTTGGCGATGGCGGTGGTGGCAACATGGCCAACAACCTCTCTCTGGGTTGTGATTGCCTGGGTGTGATTAAGTATTTCGATGCGGTGATCACGCAAGCCGATGGTACCGCGCAGAAGCTTCCCAACGCCATCTGCCTCCACGAGCAAGACAACGGCATTGCTTGGAAACACTCCAACTGGCGCACGGGTCGGGCTGTGGTGACTCGGAACCGGGAGCTCGTAGTCCAGTTTATCATTACCCTGGCCAACTACGAGTACATCTTCGCATACAAGTTCAACCAGTCAGGAGATATCACCGTCGAGGCTCGCGCGACTGGCATTCTGAATGTCGTCAACATTGACGCGGGCAAGGTCAGCGACTATGGCAACGTCGTCAGCGGGGGCGTTCTGGCACAGAACCACCAGCACATCTTCTGTGTCCGCATTGATCCAGCAATTGATGGACAGAGGAACTCGGTCTTGGTGGAAGAGTCGCATCCAGCCCCCATGAACGCGGTCACCAACCCAAATGGCAACTTCTACCGGGTCCAGAAGCAGACTGTCGAGCAGGCCTCCTGGTTTGATGCGGCCCCCGAACTGAATCGGACGGTCAAGATGATCAACCCGCACAAGATCAACCCCATTAGTGGGAACCCCATTGGATACAAGTTCATCCCCATGGCCACCCAACGGCTCCTCGCCGATCCGGAATCCGTGCAAGCCCGCAGAGCACAATTTGCCCAGCACCATGTCTGGGTCACAAAGTATCGTGATAATGAGCTGTATGCTGGCGGTCGGTACACCCTCCAGAGTCAATTCGAAGTGGATGGTGTCGCCGACGCCGTGCGACGTGGCGAGTCGGTCGCCGACACCGATGTCGTGGTTTGGAACACATTTGGCATCACCCACAACCCTAGGGTCGAAGATTGGCCTGTCATGTAAGTACTAACCCTGCTGGTTCGATTTCAAAAATCCACATCGCTAATTGATCGCATTAGGCCTGTGGAAACCTTCCAGCTCATGATCCGCCCGGCAGACTTCTTCGTCGAGAACCCTTCAATCGATGTCCCCTCCAACAAGAATGTATCGTCGCGGCTCGCCGACTCAGAATGCTGTCGAAAGTCTCACATCTAGCCTCTCCCGACCAGGCGCTGGGTGTACTTGTATGATACGTGGGAAAAACGAGGTTTGCGCTTTGTTAGAAAGCCTCTGGGGAGGACTTTGGGAGAATGGCATTGCGTCACTTCCAGAAGCAGACAATTACCAGACAGGAATTTTTCATCTCCTACCCTTCCGGTTGATCCTCAGCTTGTCTTTTTTTACATAGTTCTCGTAGACTACCTGGTATATAGTGAAGAGGGGAATGCTCGATGGCAGCACGCGCTGAGACGTGCGGGTCGATTCAAAAACCACCACAAAACACACGCGTAGCTGTCAGGAAATAGCGAGAAACCCAAATGTACGGGTCAGGTCGGGAAGATGTAAGGTGTATTCTATAACTAGCTATCCGGCCACCGTATACTGTCGGCTATGTCACATAGTCTGGATGGCACCCATGTAGTAGGGGAGAGGGTGTCTCCCCACTACAATAGGTAATCGCGAGCACTGTGGTAGGCATGGCTGACGAGTATAAATGACTCCACTGAGTAGACTTGCTGGTTGTGATTTCGGGCAACCGGACCGTGATCCTGAATCCAGTCCTCTGGTCAAACCTCTAGTAGCTGCACAATAACTTGAACTATCGTATTACACGTATTGCAGTGTGTAGGTGGTTTTAGGGTGCGTCGGTGGAGACAGTCCACCTCAGGCTTCCGCTTATCTCGCGATCCGCATGTCTCCCCCGTTCCGCTGTTCCGAGCGGCATCTCGCCTTCTCAACTCCATCCCAGCACCACGTCGGGTCGAGCATGCGCAATGACCTCACACTCGGCGCGGACAGGAGACGACGTGTCCTCGCCCCGCCCACGGAAACGTGCCAAATACACCCAGATCGCCTGGTAGGCCTCATTTGTACCCTCCCAGCTCAGCCGGAAACGATTCCCTGTACTGATAGCTCCAGCAACGAATGTAAGCGACGCAAGCTGAAATGCAGTGGTAGTAAGCCCTGCGCGAGGTGTGACCGCGACCAGATCCCTTGCCTGTATACGTCTCAAAGACCAGCAGCACCAGTGCCAGCCCAGGAGATCGCAGCCAAGTCTGATCGGTAAGAAAAAAAAGATGCTCCAACACTTGTCAAGCCTCCTGGATTACCTTGGTGATGAATACCCTCCCAATCCTCGGCTTGCATGACTGACTTTTGCTTCAGGTCTAGTCATGCACGGTTCCAGGCTGTCGACCGCGAACTGGACGCCCTACGCGATGAAATGCGGACTCTTTCCGCCCGTCTGAAAGAGGTCGAAGCCGTGAACCCAGCGATTTCATCCAAGGACTCTTCTCAGAAAGCCCCCGTGCGCCTGCAACGGATCTTGGATCGACCAAAATCACCTATATACATTGGGCCAACAAGTGCAGAGTTCGGCCTTAGTCAGCGCGACAATGATATGCATGACGGACGAGAGGCCGATGCAGATGACGATTACGATGCAACGGATGATCACGACGAATACGAGGAGGAGAACGATAGAGAAAAAGGAAGCATTGTGGCTTCTCCAGCGACGCGCAGTCCGAACCTTTCAGCCGATGCGGAGCCATCAACTGGCGGAAACCCGCTGGGTGATTTGGGCCTCGAGGAGATCCTGAGACTGGTGCAGGTTTACGAAGACACTGTCGGAATCATGTACCCATGTGTCGACCTAGCGAGCGTGCGGACTTATGTGGTGGAATACTCTCACTCACAACGCTCTATGCATCCAACGTTACCCGCACTGAGCGCGGAAACATCTGACCAGGATTGGTTTCATGCACGAGATATCCAAGTCCTGAAGATTCTTCTTGCCATAGCTCTTTTGGCTGAATCTCACGGCCGGAGTGAACGTGCCGCCCAACTGGCCGATAGCGTCGAGGACCGGTTTGCGAGTCGGCTTAAGATTCTCGAGGTGGACATGAAGGAGTGTCTGATCTTGACATTGCTGGTAAGCCGAATAGCCTCCCACAGCCAGTAGCCAACATACTAATTTGTATAGGCAATCTTTCATTCCTATCGTGACGACGAAGTCATTGCCTGGCGACTGACCGGTATGGCCGTCCGGGGAAGCATGGAGCTAGGTCTCCATCGCCAGGAAACGTGGCAAAAGACTGGAGGCGTGTTCCCAGGAGCCCTGGAGTGGATGTGGGCTAGTCGGCTATTCTGGTGTATCTATGTTCTCGACCGCAAGTGGTCGTTCGGCACAGGGCTTCCGTTTGCCATTCAAGATTCTGATATGGACACAAATTTGCCAGAGCCCGGCCACTCTTCCCCTTATCTCACCTGCATGATATCCTACGCCCGATTGAGTACGAAGATATGGGGTCTTGTTGTGGGCTGGTCGAATCGTTCACGAGAAGCGACGTCGGACAGCTGCGCCTTTCTAGATGCCCAAGTCCAGCAGTGGGTCCACTCCATTCCTCGCGAGCTACGCTTCGACCCAAACTGGCGCTCGCCTTCGGGTTCGGAGCATACCGATCGCGCCATGATGCTTCAAGTGCTTCTCGCTCTGCAAGCTAATCAACTCCGCATCCTTGTCTATCGTCAGAATCTTCTCAGTGGCGAACGCATTGCAGGCGACATGGCCGGCGCTTCAACCGCGGTCGAGACCGCGAAGAGTACTATTCATATGCTGGACTACTTTAGTCGTGTTTCAAATGTCTACTTTGAGCGACCGGAACCGTTCAACTATTTCCTCATCTCGGCACTTGCGGCCTTGTTCCTAGCAGTGCTGCATGCCCCGGCCCGTTTCAGCCAGACTTGTCGGCCCGAATTCTCCGGCCGTCGATATGGTCCGTCGCTCAGCGACTCGGGCGCGCACATCTCGCCGGCTGCGGAAGATCATTCGCAGTCTCAAGCGTATTCAGCTCCATGTACCATGGCAGACTCGGGAAGCTGGCCAGGGCCCTGCATCTCGTCGTCGAGCCTCGAAGACGGGCTCGCGTTCCCGATCTCATCTGACGCCCAGAGGAACATCACGTCCTTCTCAGATTGAATGGGATTGGACACCCCTTTCATGGCACGTCGAGTCTCCTGCTGCCCGATTTCCGACGTTCTATCAGGAACCCGGCATCCCGACCCCCCAAAACTCTTCAACAAGCCTGTGGCCCATATCGCCTGGAACGGCTGCCGAAGCAGAGTCGAATGAATGCGAAGATCTTAGTAGTTTTTTTGAAGTCGCAGGGGGGCTTTATTTCGACCCTCGACCAGGGGCCGACATCGCAGGTGGGGTCGAGACCGTCCTGTCTCACTCTGGTGAAAGCCGAAACCCTAACCCGCTCAGCGCGTTTCAGGTGGAGGATGAGGCGCTAACCAGGGTGATGGCTGGCTTGCTGTAGGGTCCATATTATTTTACTATCCTGTGCCATTATCGTCGCTACTATTCTCTTCCACCGGCATCGCCTATCAACAGTGTTTGCAAGCTCGGTTAATTATTCAATTTATACCATGATACTTCCTGCACTAGCGTAGGGCCTCGAGTCGTCGCTGTCACTGGTGCTTCTTGTAGGATCCATCAGCCTATTAGCCGGCTGAAGAAACTCCCCCGCATTCCAGCTCGCCTCTCGTCATCTGGCCTCTTCCTCCGGCCCTGGTATCTCCTTGTGGCACTAGTGCCCTTCGTGGAGTAATTCCCACCAGTCGACACTGCGAAGCAAGACTGACCCCCGCATGCAGCAGATTCCGCAGCCAACTGAGCCCACTGCGCCCCCTTTAATTCCTCCAAGTCTTTATCCCACACGCAATTTTTCCCAAATCCACTCATATCAGAGCACAAGACGAACCTCTTGCATCAAGGTGACTCGTCCGTGCTGAATGCTGCGCAGTGCAAGGCCAATGACGGATAAATAGTGTTCCTTCGGAACCCGCCATAAATAGCTTTGATAGCTGTCAATTGGAATTTTCGAGAGGCGAACTCTTTTGTTTCCATCTTGCTGATCATCATGATTTTTCGAAATCTACCAAATGCAGCAGCTCTGTTTGCCGCTCTGGCGCATGGATATGCAAACCCGGGTAGCTGCTCGGGGGCTTGCAATGTCCATGACCCATCTGTTGTCCAAAGGTCCTCGGACGGGCTGTACTTTCGATTCTCCACTGGAAACAAGATCTCATATGCCAGTGCATCGTCCATTAAGGGACCCTGGACATCGATCGGATCTATGCTTCCTTCTGGTTCTTCGATCGATCTAGATGGTAACACGGACTTGTGGGTATGTTTTGAAGGATAGGGCCTGGAAATGATACCAAAGCTGAAATATTTCCCGACTTTCCCTAGGCCCCCGATGCGCATCTCATTGATGGAGTGTACTATGTGTATTATTCCGTCTCTACTTTTGGATCCCAGAATTCTGCCATCGGACTTGCGACGTCCAACACCATGGCGCTGAACTCTTGGACTGATCGCGGCACAACTGGAATCTCGTCATCCTCGTCAAAGGCATACAATGCCATCGACCCGAACCTAATCAAAGCGGGTGGGACTTACTACATGAACTTTGGTTCCTTTTGGCATGACCTCTATCAAGCGCCCATGAATTCTGCCGCGACTAAAGTCGCATCATCATCCTACAATATCGCTTACAACTCCTCGGGCTCTCATGCACAAGAAGGTGCTTACATGTATCAGTATGGTAGCTACTACTACCTCTTCTTTTCGGCTGGAACATGCTGTGGCTATGATACTTCCAGACCTGCTGCCGGCGACGAATACAAGATTCGTGTGTGCCGGTCAACATCGGCGACCAGTGGATTTGTAAGTTTCCGCAATTTCTACTTGTCGTTCTTGAAGCTCACATTCAAAATCTCGAATAGGTCGATAAGGACGGTGTCGCATGCACAAACGGAGGAGGAACAGTTGTTCTAGAGAGCCACGGAAATGTTTATGGCCCGGGCGGACAGTATGTGATATCGGATTGAAACCGATGAATTCTCATTTGAATGGCCTGAGCTAATTGTTAACAGAGGGGTATTTACCGATTCGAGCCTCGGGCCTGTCCTTTACTACCACTATGTCGACACAACGATCGGCTATGCGGATAGCCAGAAGCTCTTTGGTTGGAACCAGATTGACTTTTCCTCGGGTTGGCCAGTTGTGTAAATCATGAATCTTTGCACTGTACTAGGGGCCCGTCCACGCATCACCCAACAAGCTTTGCTACATTCATCATTCACACTCACGGGAAGAGATAATATGAGAAATAATTGATCTCCGTGTGGTATTTTGACGCTCTAAGATGGTGCTAGTTGGAAAGGCCGTGCTGGCGGCCTCGGGTGGCAATGAAATGGTGGGGCCTAGTTCTACCGTTCAGCCTTGAGTATCGTCCGCGCGGAATTGTAGGTTAGCGTCCTTTGATCACAATGCATCACATGATGGATATCTCTTTTTTATTTCAACACATATCTGATTCTTATCGTATCAAATGGCCTTCCAGGCGGATCTTTTGTATGGTTCCGTAATTCCATTTGATTCAATTTCAGATACAGCTTTATGACCTCCCGCTGCTTCCCACGATATCCATCCAGCGCTCCATCTCCCGGGTCAACACCTGAATACCGGTGTCCATCAATTCGGTCAACGGGCGGGTGGAATTTGCCTGCAGGTTGTCGTGCCATGGATCGAGAACGAGCTTGTTTACATTGACTTTAGTCACACCTGCCTTGATACAAGTTTGCGTCAATTCGGGGGAGAAGTCATTTGTTCCATGCAAGACAAGACGGGCACGTCCATTCATCGCTTTGAAGATACGCTGGAGTCTGAAATCGATATTCGTTCAGCCATGAATGCTTGGACTAGATGTACTGGAGAAGCTCACCGATGAATATCGAGATTGGGGCCATCAGGGCCGTAGTCTCCGTGGACGTTGCCTACACCCGGGGCCAAGAAGTCCACACCAGCGGTGATGAATTCTTCCACATCTTCCGGGTTGGTCAGAATGCCTACGATCCGTGTCAGGGGGTTATAGAACCGGTTATATCAATATGGAACTTACCTTCCAGATCTCCTGTGTCCATAATGCCGTCCTCGCCCCCTTCAATGCGTCCGGTCTCTGCTTCCACGGAGATGCCCCGGGCATGGCAATAATCGCGCAACACCCGGGTCCTCTGCAAGTTCTCCTCCTTCTCGTAGTGGCTCATGTCAACCATGATCGAATCGAAGGGTAGGTTATCCGCCACATATTTGATTTGTTCATAATCTTGGGCGTGGTCGAGATGGATCGAGATCGGGACGGTCGCACTTTTGGCGGCCGCCGCCGCTGCAAAGACGAGGGAGGGGGTTTGTTTGAGTGATGACGGAAATAGTTGGATGATCAATGGTGACCGACGTTTTTCAGCGGCTTGTAAAAAGGCCGTTATATGCTCAATGTTGTATCTAACTTGCGTCAATCCTTCCGTCATGCTCTCGTCTCGAATTCAACCTCTACTCACACAATCGCGGCCAGCACTCCGTAGCCGCCCTTCTCCGCGTCGAGCAAGATCTGGCGGGTTCGGTTGCTCTTACGATCTTGTACAGCCATGGCGAGTTCAACAAGGTGCTGATACTACCAGAGACCTAGGGAGAAGGATGGGGTGTTTATGTGCCTCTGCGCCGTCTCCCATGCTATCTGCTGCGTCCGGGGAAACCACGTGCTGCCTCGTGACGAGGCACGCGTGGCCCCACGTGGCCTACACATCTGGCAACCCCACAAACTGGCGAGAGACATCGCGATCTGAATCTGTTAGGCGAAATGATCGGACGGTGACTTCGATGGCGAATGCAGGGTGTCTACCATTAGTATTTGGTGGACGCCACGGGCAGCCCGCATTATTCCGGGTTGCAGCCACGATGGTCCTCTTTACCATATCCAGCGCAGGTGAGCACTAGGAGGGGCAAAGAAGCCGCTACTCGTCTCACAGTGTGCTCAGTGGAGCAATTCGGCAACCCGCGTCCGTAAATGCCGCTCGCCTCGTCCCGACTGCATCTCTCGTCTCCGCCCTTCTCGTCTGCTTGGAAGGCTCGGTGCGACCGAGCGCCATTCCAGGCTTGACGCTGCGTCATGGCTAGAACGCCCGGCTCACGGCAGAAGCGCAAATCCCGTGGACGAGGCCTGCGAGCTACGACAGGCTGGTGCGTGCTTCCCCAGATTTCGGAGAGTTTCGTGTGGAGGGGGCGTCGCGTCGCACTTTCGGTGCATGGAGTGCATTGAGACTAACGGTGAAATAGTGTCATCTGCAAGCGCCGCCATGTGAAATGCGACGAGGTAGGCTCTCTTTTATCCGCGTTTCATGAAGTTGTCTTCTGCGGCTAGTTGTGGATAAAAAATCTCATTAATCCACCAGGTTCGTCCTCGATGTGGACCCTGCGCCAAAGGACAGCGCCCCTGTGTCTATGCATGTCAAGATGCCTCCATCAGCCGCGACTCTGTCGATGGGAGTCCTCGATACACCATGCCGTTCCCGGCGCCGCGAAACCTCGTAGATCAGCAACAGGTCCACGAGCCGCTGCAGGTGCTGGTTGATGCGTGTCACCAGGAACAGCCAATCCATCAGAAAACCTCCCAGCAGGAGCTGGATCAGTCAACCGATGTGGTGACCGAGTCAGAACCCAAAGTCTTGACAGGCTCGGCAGTCCCGGCCGCTCTCTCGACTCCGAGGCCTGGCTATGGATACGTCCCATCTCCAGGAACTGACAATTCCGCTGCATCGACGCGGATTGCTCCGCTCAGCTGGTTTGAGCTGCTCGCTACTGATGCCGCCAATGCGGACGACAGATTCCTCCTCTCTCCTCCGCAACAGTTTCCCCAGTCTCGAACCGATGAACCGACTGAAGATCCTCGAAATAGTTCCAACTTACGCCCGCGGACGTTACGAGAACGCGAGAGCTTCTATGCCGCGGCCTTCCCACGAAACCTTGAAATCGAACAACGACTTGCTTCACATACCCCCGAAGGAGCTTCTACCGTATCTGATGACCCTTTGTCCTGGAGCACCTACACCCCTATTCCATTGTCGAATCTCGAACATCTCCTGTTTTCACATTTCATTCACGTCTCTAGTCAGTGGTTAGATTTTTACGACCCCATCAAACATTTCTCGTCGGTGGTGCCCCATCTGGCTCTTCGAAACGTGGGCTTGATGCGTGCGCTGCTGGCCCTCTCCGCCCGTCACCTCTCCCTCGATGCCGAACAGCAACATGCTGCGCACACTTCGTTAGATACAGATGGACTATCGCTTCTCAATCACACCGAGGCGCCGCAGCATGACAAGATCGACCGTAATTTGGCTGTGCAATACTACTATGAAACCCTCCATTATCTCAACCGAGCGATGCAACACCCCTCCTACGCGCGCAGCCTCGAGGTCATCGCCACCTCCCTGCTCATCAGTACCTACGAAATGATAGATGGGTCCAACCAAGATTGGGAGCGCCATCTCAAAGGTGTCTTTTGGATCCAACGTTTTCAAGATAATGATGGGGAATCTGGAGGGCTGCGACAGGCAGTCTGGTGGGCCTGGTTGCGACAGGACGTTTGGGTGGCCATGCGTGAGCGGCGCAGGGTCTTCAGCTTCTGGCAGCCGAAGAAGCCTCTGGCAGCGTTGACAGCCCCTGAGCTTGCGACACGCGCCACCTATCTCCTCGCGCAATGTGTCAATTATATCTCAAAGGAAGAGCAAGAAACTTCTACACTGGAGCGGCGTCTCGAACGCGGCAGCGAGCTGTTGTTCCTACTTCAGGAGTGGTACGACCATTTGCTGCCTGAATTCAATGCTCTGCCTCTTTCCTCGGACATTGATACATTCCCTCCTATTTGGGTGAATCCATCTTCCTATGCAGCAGCCTTGCAGGTGCAGAGCCTGGCCCGGATCTTGGTCATTCTTCATCGACCGTCTACTGGTGGTATGGAGGACTACAGAGCTGCGCAGAAGCTCTTGACGTTATCTGTAAATACGATATGCGGGCTCACACGCACCATTGATGAAAAAGATCATGCGGCAAGCTTGGTCGCTATACACTGTTTGTTCGGGGGTAAGTTCGCCCACTTCAGTTGGCATGGACGCTTGATTTATTTGAAAATAACTGACTCCATCAGCTGGAATGTGCGTTCATACGCCATACGAGCGTATTGCTCTTCTCGAACTTTTGGATTCGTGTCAACGAAGGGTCCATTGGCCATTGGTCTCGCTTCGGAAGGAGCTCGAATTGGAATATGCAAAGGATGCCCTTCCCAGTTACATTACATGACGGCTGCGCCAGTCCCCCGAATTATTCATGCCTCTCTCAAGGCAATCAGTGCGATACTAGGCAGGCATTAATCTTCTCTCAATATCGCCCAAGCTTGCTCCCCTGTTCCGTATTGCCGATACGGTCATGGTCTGGCGACAATCGCAGGTGAAGTGGGCCTGGTTGAGGCAGTGTGCCTCATTGACAAGCAATGCGACAGTAATACTAGATTCATGGTACTAGTACCTGTGGTAAGTTCATTGAAAATTACACCCAAGGTTTGGTGGTAGGATTTGCCCGCGGTATCTGCAAACATTGCCAAGTACCTAGGTAGACTTAATGGGTTCTTCAAAACTGGCTAGTGTTCACCGAGTGCGCCTGATGGTGTTAAGAAAAATTCTCAAATCGCACTTGTTTCTCTTGTACAGAATATTTATAAACACGGATAATTATCATCATTCATCAAAATTTCCTGTTCAGAAAAGACCTATATTGCTGGGTTTGGTTGTAACCTCACTCCTCGAAGAAAGATCGTGTGCGACGGCGGAACCACACGTGGAGCCCGGCGTATACAACCACGCCCAATGCCAGCATTGCCGAGATGACCGAAAAGCCCATAATATACTTGGGGCTGTCTGTGTCCGGGAAGAGATACTGCCGTTACCGATTAGTGTTTTGGGTCGAGATATTCAGAGCTCGATGCACGTACCGCGCCATAAATCTGCGCCAGATTACCCAGTGCGTTGACCAGGGCGAGGCTTACACCTCGCGCCTGCGGATTCATCCCGGCAAAGGCAGAGGATGCATATGCTAGCGAGCCTCCGTTGGTTGCCCACAACCCGGCCGCCATCAAGACTAACAGAATGTACCGGGCCGTGAAGTTATACACCGCGCACACAATAATCGAACATGCCAACGAGAAGGCGAGCCAGCCCGTAATGACCAAGCCTCGCCAGGACGGGATCTTGTCGCTGAAATAAGCGGTTATACCGGTGCAGATAAACGCGAAGCCGTAAATCGGGACAGTGAGAAGGTTGACTCGGTAGGTGGATGCGTCATTGAAGAGCCCTTGCACGAGAGTTGGGTAGAAATAGGTGAGGGTACTTGATCCAACAATGACCTATTCACATCGATTCTGTCAGAAAGGGGTTACAAATCCTCGTCCAAGAATAGGAGGTCGTTACCATATATCCCACAACGAATGCCCATGTCCGCCAGTCACACACAGATACTTTGACAGCTTGCCAGTTGCCCATTCTCTCGCTGTTCTCTGTGACCGCAGTCACATTCTCAGTTGCCAGGCGTGCCACTGCAATACGTCTCTCGCGCTCTGATAGCCGCTTGGAGGTGGCGGGGAAATCAGGGAGGATAAACAGGGAGATAATGGCGAATCCGACAGTGGCAGCACCCTCGACAATAAAAAGCCATCGCCACCCCCGAATTCCGTGAGCGCCTTCCAGGTTGTCCACGATTCCGGCCGCAATCAAACCTCCAAAGGCACCGGAAAGAATGGCCGCCGAGATATAGACACCAAACCGCTTGGACTGTTCTGTGCGTTTGTACCACGAAGACAGTAGGAGCAGCACGCCAGGGGCAAACCCGGCTTCGACACATCCGATGATGACCCGAAGAACGACGAGATGCTTATAGCTCTTGATGGTGGCCATCACGCAGGTCAGAGTTCCCCACAGAATCATGATGCTGGGCAAGAATATTGATGGTCGAGTGCGGCCTAGAACCAGGCTGTGATGATTTTGGATTAAAATATGCCAGTGATAACGCCAGAGCACCACGGGGTGGGAGAACTCACTTGCTGGGGACTTCGAAGACCACGTATCCGACAAAGAACACTACCAGGGCAATCGAGTACTCGCCTGACGTCAAGTTCAGATCTGTCTCCATGCCTGAGATTTTGGCATTTCCAATGCTGTCGGTACCCCGATGTCAGAATTTTGATGTATCCGAGACGAAAGGGGTCGCTGACAACGTATTCCAGTTGGATGGAAGACTTACTTTGTCCGATCCATATAGGACAACAAATACATAATCCACATGGTTGGCAGCAGGGTCAAGTCAATCTTCCTGACCAGGGCCTTCTCCTCCTCGGGGGTGAAGGAGGGTGTCTCATCGATACTGGCATGTTCGATCTTCTCGGACGTGACATCCATCTTGATCTGATCCTCAATCGTGCTCGGGGCCATGATGGTCTGTAGAATCGGAAGGCGAAAAGAATGGAGATGGCAGCGGGAGCCACAACGCCCGCGGCTACAGGATATTTATGCCCGGCAGCCCCAAGTCTGACTCTGCGCTATGAGCGATGACGGCAGGCCCTGCCATCATCCCACACGGCAAGCCTTGGAGTAGCTGGTCTGGGGTTAAGGGTCCACTTTGGCCCGCCTCCGCAACTGGACGGTCTCCACCAAACTGACGCGCTAGAACTACCGGCCTGCTCCCGAATGACTCGTCGCGAGGCAAGACCTTGGGCGCGGCGACGCCAGAACGGCTCGAGCTGCCTGTGCGCGAATCTGGGGATCAAGCTTCGCATCGAACAGAGACGGCCGTCCGGAGAGCTTCCGGGGTTCATCCGGCTCGGGGTCCATCGGTTGGCGTCTGGGGCGACCCAATGATTCCTTCGTGCCTGAGGGTATCCTGCTAGGTTCCGGTGCTTGGGAAGTTGGCAGGGGGATGTCCGGGATGCCAACGCGGTTGATGCGCAGAGGGTTACCTCTTTGGTCCCATTTCCCCCGTACAACTTCAAACATACAGTCATCGCGGCAACACGCTTTGAGAGCCCTTCTGAGGAGAGGTATTTAGATAGCCTAGCATTTGGTGAACTATGTTGGGCTTGCACAGTTTTTCGTCTTATATTCGGAGTATTTGGATGGAAAGTAGCAGGCGGAGTCCTTTGGAGTTACCCCGGATTCGGATAGTTCCCCATGTATACATCGCTGCTCTCTGACTACGACATCTCCAGCACCTTGTCTGCTGCAGCTCCTTGGATTCGTCCGCATTTCGGTCGCTCGGACTCCCGGCTTCCTTTTCGGCTCCAGACGACCAACTATGGGGTGCATATCATCCGCTCCGGTTGTTCTCGCGTGGGCTCATCGATGCAGCCGGTGTCGCCAGATCCACCGCCGCCGATCGCTCACTGCAGGCTCGTCGTGATGCCTCGCATCGAGGATGCTCGTCTCCGCAAAGACTCAGTGCAACGCCGAACAATTACAACACCGGGGGAGGGGTCGAGGGGTTGTTGGTCATCAGGTGCCGCCAAAAACCCCAGGCTATTAAAGCAGCCGGGATCGCCCAGCAGCTGCCACCGTCACTCCTACTCCTTCGAATCCTTCCAGTCCATCAACGTGAAGTTCGCAGTCTCCTACCAGACCCGTCTCCCGCAATTTTCCGTGTGAAACCGAAAACAATGCCGCCTGCCGCGACCGAGAACGCTGCGATGGACGCCGCCAAATCTGAGACCCAGACCCCGGTCTTGAGCACGATGCCGGACAACGACTTCAGCTGGCAGATAACACTCGGCCAGAAGGTCGTGGCCATCACCGGTGCCAACCGCGGCATCGGTTTGGGAATCGCCGAGGTCTGTCTGGCCAACGCAGCCAAGGTGGTCTACTCGCTTGACCTGATGGAGCCGGGCGAGGAATTTGCTGCCCTGCAGAAGCGCTACCCCAACTTCCACTTCATCCAAACCGACGTCACCTCGGAAGATAGTGTTGAGAAGGCCATCAACCAGGTCGTCGAGCAAGCCGGTCGCATCGATGGCCTGGTGGCCAATGCCGGCATGACCAAGCACCAGCCGGCTCTCAAATTTGAGCGTCCCGAGCTGGAGAAGCTATTCAACCTGAATGTCAGTACTGCGACCGCTGGACCACAATTGCCGGGCTTGGAAGAACTGTGAACATCCTCACTCATGCCGTTCGCAGGTCTTCGGTGCCTACTTCTGCGCCCAAATTGCTGCTCGCAAGTTCATCGAGCTGGGAATCAAGGGCTCCATCGTCATGACTTCCAGCATGACTTCCTACCGCCCCAACCGCGTGAGTTTTTCAAATCACCAACACATTGGACCGGGGGGGTTGAGGGGCGGCTTTACTAACTATTCATTCTTCCTTGACAGGCTGCTCCCTCAGCTCCGTACGGTGCCACCAAGGCTGCGGGTAAGTGAATTTCCGTTCAAATGTTACCTGTACTTTTCTTTACCATGTGGACATTAATTAATGATGCATTATTCCTCTGATAGTTCGCAACATGTGCCACACCCTCGCCATGGAATGGAGCAAGCATGGTATCCGCGTCAACAGCATCTCGCCCGGTTTTGTGCGGACCGCCATGACCTACTATGTCGAGAAGTCGCCCGATTGGGATTTGAAGATGCAGTACTATGGCGGCATGCCCCGTCTGGCCGACCCCCGCGAACTGGGTGGTGCCTACGTGTATCTGCTGAGTGACGCGAGCTCCTATACCACCGGCATTGATATCCCCATCGCTGGTATTGTCGGTGCATGGTAGAACAACAGCATGTGAGGATTAACGAGTTTCATGGGCGGCGTTTAGTATTCAATTTTCCCCCTCTTTATAGAAGGCATTTGAGGGATTATATCCGGGTTTGGGACTTGTCGAGAGGCCAGTTGACATTTTGGATTTCCACCCTGCAATGATCCAAGACTGTGTAAAGGAATCGAGACATACTTTGTAGTTAGGAGTATTGAGTAGTCGTAGCTGGGATGGTCAATAACGGAAACCGCGGGGAGGCATCGGCGCCGCCCGCAACTCGGCCGACTGCGTGCGCGGGAGCTTCCCGCAAAGCACGACAAGGCCGGCAGCAACACCCTCCCGCTCTCTTCTGTCGACACGACTACCCTTCAAGATGGCGAACGATCAGCCTGCAGGGGCCCGCGGCCCGATCAAGTATAACCATGGCTGGCGCCGTATCATCCGCAATTTCAGTCCTTCGTACGCTCTCCCAGTCGCCCCTCGAATGTGGAAGGCAACTAAGATGAAACAGGTGGTTTGCAGTGACCATGGGCACCGGCATCGTGTCAGTGCTGATGAGCTCGATTCCCTTTCACACTCCGGCTCTTAACTATCTGTCGATCGTCTTCTTTGTTCTCAATGCGGTCCTCTTTGCACTGGCGCTGATGACCTCCATCCTGCGGTACTCCTTGTATCCAGAGATTTGGCCGGTCATGATTCAGGACCCAACCAACTCGCTCTTTCTGGCGACGATCCCCATGGGGTTTGCAACGCTGATCGAGATGTGGGTCTTTATCTGCGTGCCTCGGTGGGGAGACTGGGCCATTTCGATGGCCTGGGCGTTGTGGATGGTGGACGTCGTGGCGGCAGCCGCCGTCACAATGTCCCTCTCGTTCATCCTGTATGTTTTTACCCTCGCGGGACGTGGCTCTGATTTGCTACTTCCCTGCTAATCCTCCGTTTGATAGCATCTCTCAGCGCTATATCACTTCACTGGATCGAATCACGGCCCTTCAGTTATTGCCCATCGCGGCGACAATCGTTGCCGCAGGGGTCGGCGCTGAAGTTGCCAGTATTCTACCCAACAGACAGCACGCCCTGGGTACGCTTCTGGCCTCGTTCGTGCTCTGGGGAATGGGAACCCCCCTGGCCATAGTGGTTTTGGTCATCTATTACCAGCGATTGGCCGTCCATAAACTTCCCCCAAGAGAGACGATCGTCAGCTGCTTCCTTCCCTTGGGCCCCCTCGGCTTCGGCGGATTTGGGTAAGCATAGTTCTTTCTTCCAAGCGTGACGACGATGCTCATTAGTTGCAGGATCATGTACATTGGAAAAGTGGCGCGGCGGCTCTTCGAGGATTCCGATATCCTCGACCCGATCGCGGGCTCAATGGCTTACGTCCTTGGCGTGTTCATCTCCCTGTTGATGTGGAGCTTCGGCTTGATCTGGCTAGTGTTTGCTCTTGCCACAATCTTGAAATGCTCACCTTTTCCCTTCAATATGGGCTGGTGGGGGTTCACGTTCCCACTGGGTGTGTATGCCGCCAATTCAATGGAACTAGGTAATGAGCTGGATATTCTGTTCTTCAAAATATTTGGTGCTGTATGTACACTCGACCACTCCTCACGCTCATACACACCTAACTCATCACCTGATCATTTTTAGATTCTAAGCGCCACTGTATTTGTTCTGTGGGCTCTTGTCGGGTCACGTACCGCGTGGGGAGCGTGGAAAGGAAATCTGTTCTACGCCCCCTGCCTCCAGAACCTCCTCTGCAAGGTCGAGAGGCCGGGTCGGGACAGCCACGGGATCCGAGCCTGACGAGTCCAGCCACATGGCTCTAGCCGCTCATGCTGTCAGCATGATACAGGGTCTCACGTTCTTCTTGGCAGCTTGATTTGGTCAACCCTGACGCGAGAGGTCGAAACGCCTTAGTCGTGTTTTCAGGGCAAGTTCTGCCGATAGCGATTAGATGCATTCATTGGCTGCAAAGAAATGGAATCCTGCTGGCCCCTTCGCCAAGCGATAGTCAGACTAACGTCACATGTGCCTGTTGTCTCGTATTCTGCTCGTAGGCGCTGTGATAGTAATAGTCTTGCCAGCGGAGAGTCAAGCCTTCCTTCCCGATCATCTTCAACCTCCGAGATTTTCACGGTGTTCGCTGTTCTTTCTGTTACCATGGTAAGAAATATTCTTCTAAAATTCCATGAGTTCTCTCCATAACTGGCCTCTCAGGATTCGACGGAACACGAGTTCCCGTTTCTTCAGGAGGTCTTCACTCCGCGGGACGCCCACAAGGTCGAGTGTGTCCAACTTTCTCAACACTCTGTTTCAGTATTACTGACAAACGACATGGCAGCTTTGTCTTCGTCCATGGTCTTAACCCTCGAGGTCGAAATGATCACCCTTTCGAAACATGGACGCATGCGAATGGAACCTTCTGGCCGAGCGAGTTCCTGGCCGAAGACATCCCGTACGCCCGAGTCTTCGTGTATGGGTACAATTCAAACATCACGCACCCTCAAACCATGTCTACGGCCAGCATCAAAGACCATGCCAACACCTTGTTAAATTTGCTAGACATGGAGAGAAGTCCTGTGCTCGTAATAATTCCTTTCGCTTTCTCCTCGTCTCCGGACACCACAACCATATACTCACAGAACACTTCTCCTGATAGTCCTCGTTACCTCCACGGATTATCTTCATCGGACACAGTCTGGGTGGCCTGGTGGTCAAACAGGTGCGTCGGTATCAGTTACTATCGGATGATATCACAATGTATAGCAACTGATCGCCGTTCCTCTCGTGCTAGGCTTTGCTCAATGCCAAGGAAGACCCTAAGTACAACTCCATCCGCAGCGCAACATCCGGTCTGGTCTTCTTTGGCACACCCCATCGCGGCGCAAAGGCTGTTGAGCTGGGAAAGATTGCCGCTCGAGTTGCCCGCTTCGTCTCGAAGGGTCATGCAAGTAACGATCTGCTCGATTGTCTCGAACACAATTCACTTTTCACCCGACAGATGAGCGATCGCTTCCGACACCAACTGGAAGACTATCGGGTCGTGAGCTTCATCGAAGGCAAAGAAGTGCAGCTTGGAGGAGTAGGACCGGCGTCGTTGAGTCACGTAAGTCTCGTTCGCTCAAATATCTTCACGGCGCCTAATTAGTAGTATCAGCTCGTCGTCGACGAAGAGTCTGCCGTCTTGGGTCTATCTGGTCTGCGAGAAACTCAGCTAAAACTGGATGCCGACCATTCGCAAATGTGCAAGGTGGGCAATCGCGGTCCCATGTACCGTCTGATCAAAGGAAATATCAAGCAGCTGGTCGATCAGGCACTTTTGTCAGAACAAGGCTTCATTCCGCAACCCACTCCTCATGCCTCCGCGGGACCCGCGCCGCCCCCCGTGCCTCCTCGCATGCATTCTAACAGCAGCAATCCCTATCAGCCACCAGGTCGCTCCGCTTCGACGACCCAGCGCGTCGCCGGGGCCATTTTCACTGCCAGCGATAATGACCCACGGTCGGTGGAAGCTGCAGAGTTGAAAAACCGGGGAAAATGGGACAATGCGCGAGATGTTGAGTACGATATTTTCCAAGAGCATCTACGGGTGCTGGGGGCCGACCATTACAGCACGCTCTCAGCCGGATATAACCTCGCCGAAGTCGAGTTGGAGGCGAGTTTCCTGGATAAAGCGACGGAGTGGTGCCAATGGGTGTCTGACAATGCGCAACGAGTGTTTGGGGCTCGACATTCGCTCTCGATGAAAACTGAAAGCCTGATGGCGGAGATTCTGTGCCAGCAAGGCAAATATCAAGAGGCCGAGTCGATGTGCGCCAACGTGCTCGCCCGCCAACAGATGAACATCGGCGAAGACCATCTGGATACGCTGGAAACTCGGAGGCGCCTCGCCATGGCGTACAATATGTTAGGCAGGCGAGAAAATGCCATTGCGACCGCCGAAAAGCTCACGGATAGCTACAAACGCTTGCTCGGTGAGAATCATATCCGCGTCTTTGCAGCGGCCTTGGACACACTGGAATACATCATCTACAACCACGGCGATAGTGCGATGGGACACATCCTCGCCTTCCAGCCCGACATCCAACGGGCCTTTGAGATCATCCCGAGCTTGCATGAGGAGCTTCTCGCCGGCCTGGGCCGCACCCACCCACTGACTATCCGCGCGCTCTCGCTGCATGGCCGGGGTTTGACTCGCTCGCAGCAGAATATGGAAGCTTCCGAAACGTTTCGGCGCGCGCTGGCCATTTCCGAGGAAGCGCTGGGCCCCGAGCACCCGCTGACCATGGACATTGTCGGCAATATCGGCGTGATGTATGCGCTACAAACCCCGCAGTACATGATGGGTACAAACCCGCCGTCCGAAGCTCTCCCCTGGCTGCTTCGCTATTTGAATTGGGTCGAGCGCCGCCGAGGCATCCATAATCCGGAAACCCTCGCCTCGTTGGAAATGGTGGGAAATATCCATATGGCGGCGAAGGAGTACGGACCTGCGCAGGAGTACTTTGAACGCGCCATGGTGTCGTGCCGCGGCAATAGTAACCCCGCCGCGGAGCAGCGGATTGGCAGCATGCTCCAGCTGTGTCGCGCGAATACCATGATCTTCAATAATAATCGTCGTTCGGGGTTAGAGGGCTTTTTATCTGCTTTCCAACGACAGCGATTCTAGAGCCATACGTGCAAGCCGCATCGATTTTACTCCGACATGGCGTCATATACAGTATATACTGCCAGCGTATAGGACATTATGGGACAACAGCATCATGATTCACGTGTTATGGAGATAGGTCTTGAAGTATTCGAGTGCATTATTAAATGTGATGGATTCATGATTCATCTGTCATAGCTATATATCCAAGATATATCTCCCGACGAGGTATCGCGTGGTATCTTCGGGTGCATGGTGTTCTCGGCATTCACCCTCAAGCCTTCCTTACTCGCACACTCCTCCGCTAGTGTCGGAGTGGAGCGGCCGGCGGGAACGCTTTTAGTTGGAGAACTTCTCCGGCACCTTCTTGCTGCAGGTGGAGGTGGTCAGCCATGTACTTGGCAACGTATAGTATCTCAGTAGGTAATCCGGTCCAGCTTACCCAGTGGCCTTCTCGAACTGCTCGCGGGCGTTGTCGGTGATCTTCTCGTTGGTGTCACGCATCTTGACCGGGTCGACCTTGCCGCCACCGAACTTCTTCTCGACACTGTCGAGGGCTGGACTTGGGTTAATTCATCGGACATGACTTTCACTTTTGTTTTCCGTATCGAGAAAATAGGGAGAGGGCGCTCACCCTTGTCGAGGTAGTCCTCGTTGTTGGAGGAGCCGCCAGAGCTCGACCCACTCTTGTTGCCGCCCCCGAGCTTCGAGGCGAGACCGGAGAGCTTATCCATATTGAGTAGAATGTGAGATGAGGGAGGATGTTCAGGAAGAGGGATGAACGAAACTTTTTCCCCGCCGGGCAATGGAGCCCCTCTTTATAGCTCCCCTACTCGATGGGACTCTAGGGAAGACTAGGGTAGTCTTCCCCTCGATATCGTCATGGCCGTGCTCGAATCAAACCTTGCCGAGTGGAACGGGATTGGATTGGAACAGCCAAACACCGCCACGCTAGGCCCGCCGCATTGCCCGATCTGATCTCACTTCTCGGCCTGCCCGCGATTGGCCCGTGATGTAATTTATAGCCTGAGGCAGCAATCAAGATCCCGTGACTCATGCCTGAGGCCCGATTTTAGTCACGTGAATAAACAAGGCTCAGGCATCAAGGCACCGCTTTCTGCTGTTGACCATCTCTCATGAGACTGCCCCAACCATTCACTGGAACCACACTGCAGTCTGCCATCGTGGCCCAACCCCGAGATGCAGTGCTCCACCCGCATCAGACTAGACGCTGCTGTGATGCCCATACATTTTCCATCGCTCTAGGAGTGCCATGCTGATGATCCATCTGTCTGTGTCTTATGGATCCGACGCAATAATATACATATATCTCCCGTAAAGGCGAATAATTGTTATCATTGCAGAACTCTAGCTCATTCCCACACGGTGCAGGACTGTCACACTTTAAATTTGACTTAAATACTTCAAGTTTGCAATTCGAGTCCGCGACCGAGATCCGTCTCGGCCTGAGCTGCCCCGAAGGAGTCTTGCTCCCCACGCTGGGCTCACCGGGGAAAACTGCGAGACAGATGGGTCTCCCCCAACTTGCACCCCTTCCCCAAACCCCACCATAATGCGCAGAACCAATTGTTACCCCTGAACGTCCTGATCAGCTCTCTGTTTTCCTGCTCCAGACATGGCCGTGTGACTGCTGTCTGCCTATGTTCGCTTGCCGTGGCACCTTCAGATCTTGGCTAGAGGGTCGGAGTTGCGCCGAGCGACCTTCACCAGCACCTCGCAGCCCAACAAGGCATATAAAGGAAAAAGAAAAGTTCACTTCCCTCAACGGAAGGGCAAAAGTTTCACGCGTCAACACCTGCAAACCAAAGGCCGAAGACTCAGGTCGGGCTCGACATTACATGATGGCCAAGTCCACGGAGGAGCAAGTTGAGTACCACGAGACGGAGCAAAAAGGGCGCGAGCTCGAGCAAGATGCCTTGTACCAGGCATATGCCTCCAAGGCTCCCGAATGGCATCGTAATATGACACGGACCTTGCTGCGCAAGGTCGACCTCCATCTGCTGCCTTTCCTCATTCTTATGTACCTGCTCAACTTTCTGGATCGCAAGTAAGATAGACCAGCCCGCTCCCAGGCTTACTGCTCGCAAACTAATCACACCGCGCAGTAATTTATCTCAGGCGCGCCTGGGCTCCCTCGAGAAGGACCTGGGAATGGAAGGCACCGACTACAATCTAGCCACGAGTATCCTGTTTGTCGGCTACCTGCTGATGCAATTGCCCTCTAACCTTCTTCTCACTCGTATCCGACCCTCGCGATTCCTGGGCGTGGCCATGGCCATTTGGTACTACTCATGCCCCTTCAATGACTTGAATGACCATATCGACTCATTGCTTCCTTCCTCAGGGGTATCATTTCCGCATGCCAGGCGGCCACCCAGTCCTTCACGGGACTTGTGATTTCTCGTTTCTTCCTTGGATTCGTGGAAGCGCCCTTCTTCCCCGGTGCAGTTATGTTAATGTGAGACCTCGGCCCTCTGCTCAAACTCGTGAACCCGCCAAGAAAGTTTACTCACAATGGCACATAGGTCGAGTTGGTACACTAGACAAGAGGTAAGATGTCCGAGCCGAAAACATTCCCACTGATCTGGTTCTAATGCCATCTCAGTTGAGTCATCGCATTGCTTGGTTCTACGCCGGTAGCTCGCTAGCCAATGCCTTTGGTGGATTGATTGGTGCTGGTGTCCTCGGGAACTTAGATGGCAACCACGGGATCGCCGGATGGAGGTGGCTCTTTATAATTGAAGGGTGCATCACCGTGGGTGTGTCTATCTTGGCTGCGTAAGTCTTCCCTTCACAGGGGTGAGCCGCTACCCTTCTAACACTAACTTATTGCAGCATCTTTCTCCCCAACTATCCTGCGACTACCTCATGGTTGAATGAACAGGAGCAGGCATATGCTCAGTGGCGCCTCATTGACGATGCCGGAGAGGCAGATGATGCCACGTCTAGCAGCATCAAGGAAGCTCTGACACTGGTCTTCGCCGACAAGCGCATCTATCTCTTCATTCTGCTGCAGCACACGTCGCTTCTTTCGCAGAACTTCCAGTACTTCTTTCCCACCATCGTGCAGACTCTCGGATACGGCAATATCGAAACGCTCCTGATCACCGCGCCGGTCTGGATTGCAACTTTCTTGGTATCCCTCCTCGTCACCTGGACCTCCGGCCGAACGGACGATCGCAGCTTGCATATCATTGCTTTGATGCTCGTCAGCGTTATTGGAGGGATCATTTGCACCGTGACTACTAATACCGGGGCTAAATTCTTCGCGATGTTTCTGTAAGTCTCTCTGTGGGTCTTTGTTTCTATCGACCGCTGACGTTTTCCCCAGGATGCCCATGGGTGCCGTGTCCGCCTACCAAATTATCCTGGCGTGGGTTGCCAACTCCTTCCCTCGACCACTGGTCAAGCGATCGGCCGCCATCGCACTGGCAAATATGATCGGCAACACCGCTTCGATCTATGGCAGTTACATGTGGCCGTCGTCGTCGGGACCGCGGTATATCCCCGGTGGAAGTGCCACCGCCGCCATCGCGCTGTTTGTCGCGCTGCTCGCTCTCGTCATTCGTCTTGTTCATGCCCGGATGAATCGACAGCTGGAGGAAGCCGAGTCATCGCAGAACATGCCGTCGGGGGAGAACGACCCCGAAACACGGGCGGTTGGATTCCGCTATATATTGTGAAATAATGTCAAGGACACTTATCGGACGATTCATGTGCAATGCAACGTTGGCTAAGAAATAGAGATCAATTCCACATTCTGTACCATATCGTTTGTCCGTTGTACCAGTCATGCTAAAATCACAATGGCCTGTAGATGATATTCTAGGAGGCCCTTTGCAGATCGTCCGGCATCAAGCGAAGTTGCAAAGCGATACTATTTCAATCTGCAGACTTTTGACAGCTGGAAGGCGAGTCCTAAGATTCTCCGAAGAGCAAGGCGTGATTATAGTCGGGCTTTGGATCGGAGCTGCTCTGGCGCTCGTCATCGCAGTCCAATCATGCCGCGATCACGGGGTCCATCGCCATCGCCCGCGATGTCTTGTTTGCAGCTTCCGTTCCAACGGCCTCTTCTTTGATCTAAGCTCGCCCGTGAATCAACGTCAATTTTCTAATCGTTGCTTTTCTTTCCTTTGTGCTGTCCTATTTGTCTGACGATTGAGCGACGCGCAAATCGCGACAAGTGCTCGAGCCGACCGTGGGGCTCTCGGAAGCTTTGCGGGGCCTGGAATATCACGGCGCCCTCCATCATCCAACGTCTACCGCTGGTCGAGGGTGGTGACGATAAATCTGCTCTGCTCTAAATGAAGCACTGGGGCTGAGGATTTTCGCGCATCTTCGGAATGGTACGGAAGACACCATGTGTAGCCCTGTGACTTCGCTCGCCTAACTATCAGCCAACCAGTCTGCCTCGGCGTCTTTCACCTCAATTCCAGTCTTGGACTTTACGCAGACGTTATCGCCGGCCACCAAACCGGGATTTCTTGCTCAGCTGCGGGATACACTTATCAATGTAGGGTTTCTGTATCTTCAAAACCCACCGATCTCCCACGATGTGCAGGATACATTTACTGCCAAAGGGCTGGAGCTATTCCACCTACCTTTGGAGAAGAAGCTGAAGATCGAGATGGTAAACAGCCCGCACTTTCTCGGCTACTCCAGGCTGGGTGCAGAGATCACTGCATTGAAGCCTGATCATCGAGAGCAGTTTGATGTATGTTTGATCTCGCAATTCGTTTGGAGAGGCTGTTGTGCTTACACTGCGTCAGTTTGCAACCGAGCTTCCAGCGCCGGGCCCTGATGAGCCGTTGTACAGGAATATCTGCGGGCCAAATCAGGTGAATATCTAGCCTCTACCTCTCAACGAAGAACTACCACCGTTAATCGTCTCTTCCTGTTCTGCTGCAGTGGCCGGACGAAATCACAATTCCTGGGTTTCGTCAGGCGTTGGAGCTCTACCTGTCAGAAGTCCACCAGCTATCTACGACCTTCACAGCCCTCATCGCCGAGGCTCTGGATCTCCCTCCGACGGCGATGGATGGGGTTTTTGATCATCCTCAACAACATAAACTGAAATTGATCAAGTATCCCCCTCCGCCTGCCAGCCAGGTCGACGATGGGATCGGCTTCCAAGGTGTGGGCCCCCACAAGGACTCCGGCTTTCTCACATTTTTGCTACAAGCAACGCCCCACCGAGGCCTGGAGGTGCAAAACAAATCCGGTGAATGGGTATCAGCGCCTCCCCTCCCAAATACCTTCGTGGTCAATATTGGTCGCGCCCTCGAAGCTCTGACGGGTGGGATTTGTACTGCGACTACGCACCGGGTGTGTCTAAGGCCAGATAATTTTGTTGATGCCGAAGGGAATTCCTTGGGGCCGCGGTTCTCTTTTCCGGTCTTTCAAGGGGTGAGTCCGGATCTCTCAGCCGACAAAATCACTCTTGTCGTTCCTGACCACATTCGGGCCCTGGTGAAGGACGAAAAGGCCAAATCTGACGCAGAGGCAACTTTCAATCAGATGTTCAAGACAAGCATCGGCGAGGGTACTTTTGTTGCGCGGGTAACCAGCCATCAGGATGTAGGCCAGCGATGGTATCCGGATGTTTTGGCCAGGGCACTTCAGGGCCAGCGGGAGTTTAGTGCTTAGCCGTAAACAAACAATGCATACCCTCAGGCAAACCAGACGAAGATAAGGCTATGGAATCCAGAAGAGGTGAAACGATGCGCTAGTAATGTACACACGATCACCTTGACACCAGTGCAAGGCTGTAAGCAACAGATGATCGGCAGACGTGGGATGGAGGCGTTGCAACGCAGGCGCCGCGTCGTGCGGGGGCTGCAGATGCAACACGCCGCACTACAAGCTGCCCTAAGGTATGGACCCCCTCGGGGCTTGACCATTGCCTGCGTATTTATCTCTGCGGTGCTCGACGTTGCCCATCTGCCTTCGAAAACCGAGTGCCCCTTCTCCCATTTTCATTGAAAAGATGCGTTGGGCTCATGGGCTTCTCTGGTTATATGCAGCCTCGGCTGCGGCACAGTCCGTCGAGGGTCTGTACAGTCTGGTCAAGAGGCGAATGCCAGACCATCTGGATCAATTTCGTTTTAGCATCAATTCCAGTCTGACCCATCTCGACGGCTATGATCAGTTCAGGGTCCAAAGTGCACCCAATGGTACTCTCCTTGTGGAAGGATGCTCTATCAGCGCGCTTTCGTCAGGGTAAACCACCAGAAAGACTGAGTTGATGCTCAATATCTAACGTCGAAATCAGGCTGCATCGCTACCTGACCGATGTTGCGCATGTTGATATCTACTGGTTCATCGGCAGTCGTCTTCACCTGGCGCCGTCCAAGCTCCCCGCCTTGAAGGCTCCATTGAAGGGAGCAAGCATGGTTCCTTGGAGATATCACTTTAATACGGGTAGGCCAGTGTTGTCAATGCGTGTTCCAATAGATACCTAGATACCTTGCTGACAGTTTTCAAGTCACTTTCTCCTATACGACTGCATTCTGGAATTGGGAGGAGTGGGAGGTACAGCTGGATTGGATGGCGCTGCGTGGCGTGAATCTACCTCTTGCCTGGGTCGGCCAGGAGAAAATCCTTGTGGAAGTCTTCCGAGAAATTGGGCTGACTGACGCGGAAATTTCGACCTTCCTCAGTGGACCAGCGTTTCAGGCTTGGAACCGTTTTGGCAACATCCAGGGTGCCTGGCATAGCGAACTGCCCGAGTCATGGATCGACCAGCAGTTCGATCTACAGAAGAATATCCTCCGTCGCATGGTAGAACTGGGGATGACCCCGGTCCTTCCTTCGTTCACTGGCTTTGTGCCAATGAACACCACCCGCGTCTTCCCCAATGCGAGCATTATTCGTGGCTCGCAATGGGGCGGGTTCCCTCTGCGGTACACAAACGATTCATTCTTGCAACCGTTCGACAGTCATTTTGCTCAGCTGCAGCAGAGTTTCATCGGCAAGCAACAGGCTGCGTATGGGAATATCAGCCACATCTACACCCTCGATCAATACAACGAGAACACCCCGTCGTCAGGAGATTTAGACTACCTTCGCAATATCTCCAAGGGAACACTGAAGAGTCTCAAGGATGCCGATCCTGATGCCGTTTGGATGATGCAAGGCTGGTTGTTCTATGCGCTCTCCTCCTTTTGGACCAACGATCGGGTAGAAGCGTACCTTGGGGGTGTTGAAAACGACGAGGACATGATCATTCTAGATCTGTACTCCGAATCAATTCCCGAGTGGCGCAGAACCAAGTCTTACTTTGGGAAACCGTGGATCTGGTGTCAACTACACGACTTCGGGGGTAATATGGGTTTGTATGGGCAGATCCTCAATGTCACGCAGAACGCAACTCAGGCACGAATCGAGTCCCCTTCCATGGTAGGCTATGGGCTTAGCCCGGAGGGACAAGAAGGAAATGAGATCATGTATGACTTGCTTCTAGACCAGGCCTGGTCCTCCCGGCCAATCGACACGCCACAATACTTCCACCGCTGGGTGACTAGTCGTTATGCTGGCTCTGGATCGGTCCCTCAAGGGCTGTATGAAGGGTGGGAGCTCATGCGATCGACGGTATACAATAACACCAACCTCACCAACTCGGCTGTCATCCAGCCCACTGTCGAAGCGCAACCGGGCATCAACGGGGTCGTGGGCTCGACGGGCACTCACCCGCGAGCACTGACCTACGAGCCCGCCGACCTAGTGAAGGCGTGGCAGTCGATGTATCAAGCTGGCCATTCGGCACCGGAGCTGTGGAAAAATACGGCCTATCAGCATGATATGGTCGATGTCACCCGGCAGGTTCTGGATAACGCTTTCATTCCACTGTACCTGGACCTGGTCACCACCTACAACGAATCCAATGCATCTCCCGATATTCTAACGCAGAAAGGACAGAGAATGCTGCAGCTGCTCGCCGATCTGGATGCCGTCCTTCTCACCAGCGAGAATTTCCGACTATCCAAGTGGATTCGCTCTGCTCGGTCCTGGGGCCGGGGCAACCAGAAGGAGGCGGCCTTCCTCGAATATAATGCGCGTAACCAGATCACACTGTGGGGACCGAACGGCGAAATCACCGACTATGCCTCAAAGGGGTGGGCGGGCCTGGTCTCGACATATTACATGCCTCGTTGGCATATCTTCATTGACTACCTCAAGTCCACGCCGACAGCATCGTACAACTCCACAGCCTTTTTCGAGAAACTCTGGGGCTTTGAGCAACAGTGGCAGGAGCAGACCTGGACGAGTCCTGAGCCGACTGGAGACAAGGTGGATCTGCAGAAAGTACTGGCTCGAGTGCGCCGTCAGTGGCCATCTGTTTTCGGAGACACTTAGAATAGCAGTAGGAGTTAGAGCTAGATAGCCCCGGTCAAATTGGTTGTAGAAGTGGCTGTTGATAGACAAAACTTGAACGTTTGGGCATAAACCGGATCGCTGAATGTAATGATTTATTCTCCAAAATTCGTCACATGGCAACACATTCGTTCACCATCAGTAATGACACTAACTAAAAGTACTACCAGTAGTGAGACTGGGTTGTGTATAAGCATAAATGTCGGCACGGTTCTTCCGTCTCGGAATGCTTACATCAGCCTTCCATTGTTGGTGCCTTGATGCCTTCCTTGCGTCTTGAGCTCCCGCTCACTTTCCAGTCGCCTCTCACTCCCCCATTCCTCTCCTCGCGGCCGCTCGCCCACTCGCCCACTCGGACGACCACGGATTTTCACAATGCCGCGTGCTGTTCGAGGTATTTCGCATTAAAATCAGGTCTGCGATTCCCGCCACTGACGCCGTCCTTCCAGGTCTGCTCATCGAATGCGATCCGTCGATAAAGTCCCTGATCCTCAAGTACGACGAAGAGCGCCACGACTATATCGTGGAGGACTTGGATGATGAGAACTATCTGGTGATTAAAGAGAGCCAGCTTCAGAACCTGAAGGCGCGCCTGGACCATGTATGTTGATTGTTTGGTTTCGGCCTCGCGTCTTGGAAAGACCTTCCTTCGCACCGTTTGCACCCCTACTGACCAAATCCCAGGACCTTGACGAAAAGATCATGCAACTGGATGAATCCGAGTCCGAATAAGTCAGCTTCTCTTTTACCGTTCGATTCCCTCCCACGAACTCTTCCACGCAGAATGCCCACGGTCCTATCCCCACGGAGTCCCTCGGCACAACCTCGGGTGTGCGTTCTGTTTTGGCGTCGCGCCTGGTTTGATATGGTCAGATAATTTGGAATACTTGTGTTCTTCAGATATGCGTCGTTCTCTGATCATGTTCTTCACACAAAGTCAAGCTGGATCTGGGGTCTCGCGTCAAGTTCCAAATGTTTGGCAATGCACCGTTCATTCAGGCACTCAGGAATGGTAATCTTTACTTTCCGCCTTTTTCCGTCAAGGTTAGGTCATCCGTGACACTTTCGTGTATTCTATACTATTGTTGACACATGCATACCGTTGGTACCTCAGGCAGAGTACCATGGAGAATGAAATCTCAGGATGGACAATTTGGTTTCCTGCGGCACGAGGGCCGTGAGACTATTCTCCGAATTGCAGCTCTATTATCTGACACGAATGGCCCATATGTACCTATGACGTTTCTGAAATGTTCTAACAAATTTCGAAAACTTGATGGCTCAGTCATGTGACAACCCCGGATTCTATCACGTGACGTGGAATCGTGGAGAAGGATCGACATGTGTCGAGGGGCGTCGAGCAACATCCGGCAAGCAGCAAGCAATCATCGAGCAGCTTCCAGCAGTGTCACGAATCCCCAGGCAACTGTGACATGTTACTGGCACTTTCCATGCTGCTACGGCCTCACCTTGTTTCATGGCAGGTGCGCCTGCTGCCTGCCCGTGAAAAACTATAAAATCCCCCAGCTTCACCGGCTTGCTTCTCTTCCTCATCCTCTACTCAGTCCACACACATCAACTCATCAACTGCATCCTGCAGCCTTGACAACCGAATTCTTCCAAGTTTCCCACAGTTCTCCAGACATCTCGTCTTCATCCACCATGTCTCTGTTCCGCGCCAGCTTCCCTCCTCAGGGCGATTTCGCTCCTCTCTTCCGACTTCTGGATGACTATGACTCCCACCGCTCCACTCGCCAGCAGCCCTCGCTGCGCTCTTTCTCTCCCCGCTTTGATGTTCGCGAGAGCGGTGATGCCTACCACCTGGACGGCGAGCTCCCCGGCATCGCCCAGAAGGATATTGACATCGAGTTCGCGGACCCTCAGACCCTGGTTGTGAAAGGCCGCACCGAGCGTGAATATCACACTGAGCCCAAGGACGAAGGCGATGCGGCCGAGGCCGACAACGACAAGACGCCCACTGCCACCCACCGCTTCTGGGCTTCGGAGCGCTCGATCGGCGAATTCCAGCGCACTTTCTCGTTCCCCACCCGTGTCGACCAGGACGCTGTCAAGGCCAGCCTCAAGAATGGCATCCTGTCCGTCGTCATTCCCAAGGCCACTGCCACCTCCGCCAAGAAGATCACCATCGAGTAGATCCCCTCGAGGTCCCTGATGAGATTGGTCTGTCCTGCGGTACGACGCCCCAATTATGAACTATGAGTTATGACTTGACGTTTCGATTACCGTAACTGCACCTTCGTTTCGATTACCATTACTGCGCCTTCATTGCGCTACTTTCTCTATGTATTAGTTAGCCGAGTCAATTCTACCAATCCACCTTCCCACTACAACAAGTACCAGTAGCACTGTTGCAGTCGTAGCAATTCCCGTAGATTCTGCACTACAAACTACAGAAAGTTATAGTGGGCTTTGGCCCACTTTCTATTTTTAGTTAGGCTTAACGTCTGAGCTATAGAGATCTGTACCTCAATCGGACCTCCCTACAACACTCATAAAACCAGTCGCCCGAACAGTCTCTCCGAAAGTCAACGCCATACTGTCAAGATCCCCCTGGCGTCTGCCATTTCCAGGAAGACGCTCTCTCCAGCAAGGAAGGTATGAAGGAATGGCAGTGAAGAAAATACAAGTAGTATGTATTATATGAAAGTATGTACTAGTACCCTAAGGTGGTGGTAATGGGCGTGGATACATACTAGTATACTACTATAATATACTCCTAGACAGCCCCAGCAACCCCAAAGTGGGCGGGCGGTGGGGCGGATCGCAGCCGGGCCGAGGCATGTGCAATGCCTCCAGCCGAGTCTCGTCCCCTCGCTGCTTCCTCTCTTTTTCACTCTTTTCTAGACGCAATTCACCGAGACAAACGTGAACATACTACACCGTATCTCCTGACCTTTCAACCGCTCCTAGTCCAGAGCTCTCGTGCGATCGCCCACTGGTTCCATTTCATTGCATCGCATCCCCACCTCAACTTCACCATGTCGCAGGAATACTCCTTCAAGCACTTTACGGTGCAATTCCCAGCAAACCATCCTTATGTTGCGCACGTGGAGATCAATCGAGCAGATAAGATGAATGCCTTTTTCGAAGCGTAGGTGCCATCCGATCTCCACCACCAGGGCATCGCTAACTGTTGTCGCACCAGCATGTGGATTGAGATGAGCCAAATATTTCAGAAACTCTCAGAGGACCCGAATGTCCGCTCTATCGTTCTCAGTGGAGCCGGCGAAAAGGCTTTTACCACGGGCCTGGATGTCAAGGCCGCATCCAGCGGCCCCTTATTCTCCGAGAAGAGTGATCTCGACCCTGCCCGCAAAGCCGCCTTCATGCGTCGCCACATCGCCGCATTCCAGGACTGTATCACAGCTGTTGAGCGCTGCGAGAAACCTGTTGTGGTCGCCATGCACGGATTTGCGCTGGGTCTCGCCATCGACCTGTCGACCGCGGCCGACGTGCGCATCTGCTCCCGGGACGTCAAGTTCGCCGTGAAAGAGGTGGACATCGGCATTGCAGCAGACATCGGCACTCTGAGCCGACTGCCCAAGGTCGTGGGCAGCTTTAGTTGGGTCAAGGAAGTGGCCCTCACGGCGCGGGTGTTTGAAGCGGAAGAGGCGCTGCGCGTGGGTTTCGTCAACTCGGTGCACGAGAACCGTCAGGCCACCATCGACGCGGGCCTGAAGATCGCTGCGCTGATGGCGTCTAAGAGCCCTGTAGCCGTACAGGGCACCAAAGAGATTTTGAACTGGTCGCGCGATCACTCGGTACAAGATGGACTGCGCTACACCGGGGTGTGGAATAGCGCGGCCCTGCAGACCAAGGACCTCTCTGCGGCTTTACTGTCTGGGCTGCAAAAGCGCACGCCCACGTTTGAGAAGCTCTAACATGACGGCCGGTCCGTGTATCTCTCAAGAGTTCTTCGATTATCATAGGATCCATCTCCATCACATCGTCCACCCGCCCTGTACATAGCATGTATAATTTCGAAGATTCAGCCTACTCTCAGGACCGTCATGATCATTTGTGTACTAAAGAATGTTCATTCTTGCAACATTGGCCTCTTTTGTTTAGCCGTTCTCCTGCTATTTTTACTTCAATCCCCTAGCTCACTTCGCGCAGACTAGTCTCTACTCTATTCAGCACAGGGTGTATACCATCAGAGGGACTAGGGCGACGCCCGAAACAGGGCGCGTTTCGGGGGTTTCAGTAATTCTGGGGCGTACCGTTTCTGACAGGATGACATCCCCCTTCGACGGGCCGTCGCGGCCGTCGCGGCCATCTAGGCCATCTTCCGGAGGCTGTGGAGAAACAATCCGAATCTCGTGTAGGAGGCCATGCCGGTTCCATGAATCAAAAGCACGGCGGATCGTCGGGTCTCCGCAGCGGCGCTGGTTTCGCCGTCTGCACGCTTGGCCTGGTCTCCGCCCATCCGAGCGCAACGGAAGATCATTCGTAAAAAGCTGAGCCAAGGCCTTTTTCCACGTATCCCTAGGCTTGTCTTAATTTTTCAGGGGAAAAGACAACCCAAGTGGTGCGTTTCGATTGTAGTCGAGGTGGATCTTCCACGTTGATCCATGCGACCAAGGTATATATTATGTGTATTCGTGTTTGGAAAAGTACCTCATGCCTGCAGTGTACTTGCAAGAGTTCTATCATATTTTATATTCCTACACTGTTGCAGTGTGTACTTCTGCATCTAGTCGAGCCCTGTTCGTGCTGCTCCTCCTCACAATTGTGATACTTGACCCATCATGAAGTCGGCGCTCTTCCTATCGACCATCATCCCCAGTGCCCTAGGCACCACCATTTACCTCGCCGGTGATTCCACCATGGCGCAGGGCGGAACTGGCTCTGGCACCGCAGGTTTGTATTGCCCTCGTGTACACTATCGACATACATTTGGATCACGCGCTGATGGCCATCTCCCTCAGGATGGGGTCAATATGTGTCCCCCTACACCACGGCGACCGTCTCTAACCAAGCTGTTGCCGGCCGCAGTGCCCGATCCTACACGCGGGAAGGTCGGTTCGATACTATCGCCAACCAGGTCCAGTCAGGGGACTGGGTGATCATCGAATTCGGACACAACGATGGCGGCTCGCTGTCGACAAGTGATAACGGCCGCACCGACTGCTCCGGCACTGGCGACGAGACCTGCAGCACAACCTACAACGGCGTCGCGGAAACCGTCTTGACCTTCCCTAAGTACCTCGAGAACGCCGCAGCCAAATTCACGGCCAAGGGCGCCAACGTGCTCATCTCGAGTCAAACCCCCAACAACCCCTGGGAGACCGGCACCTTCACATACTCTCCCTCTCGATTCGTAGCGTACGCCAAGCTGGCCGCTGAGACGGCAGGCGTGTCGTACGTGGATCACGGGGCTTATGTTGCGGACATCTTCGAGACGCTGGGTCTTGAGACGGTCGATTCCTACTTCCCCCTCGACCACACTCACACAAGTGCCAAGGGTGCATCGGTGGTGGCCCAGGCTTTCTTCAAGGCAGTCGTCTGCGCGAATGTCGGTCTCAAGAGCCTTCTGAACACTACCGATTTCCAGGGCGAGTGTCTATAAAATGTCATTGAGATAGAATAGTCAATGCGAACAATGGGAGAGCGCAGATCAGATCACGCGAAGGGCTCTTGGACCAGTCATATTTCAAAGGGTTAACATACGTCCATAAGCTACAACAAATTTCAAGTAGTTGGGTATCACTCGTAAGGGTGGGCGGCCGCATCAGCCAATCCATGCAATCTCAGCGCAATTCCTCCAAAACGACCCGGACGAGGCCTCGCTTCTCGACTCGGTGGTAGTACTGGGTAAGGTTCGGGAAGCGAGCATCGAAGGGGCCCTGGGCGTGTATGATTTCCCGTAAAACTGGCCACAGTGCACAGTCATCTATGCCAAAGGCCGGACCAGCCAGGTAATTCTGTCCATCCAGGGTGCGGTCGAATACATTCAAACCAAATTCAAAGACGCCTGGCGCACCACTTTGAAGGTGTTTACGCCAGCAGCCGAATATTTCTTCAATCCATGGAATTTGACTGCCGCCGCGAAGGACTTCGACACCAGGCCGTAGAGACTCGACAGGTCGTTCGGCCAAATGTTTCAGAATATTCAAGTCGCCAACGACGGTCGTGCTGTCGGAGTCAATGTAGATCGGTTGTAGATGTGGCGTTGTGTATGCACCGGCGGGAGCTAATTCACGGCCATCACAGGTCTCATAACGTATACCGCTCTCGCCTAGGCAGAGACGCACCCTGAGATCGGTCACCGAGTCCCCGCTCAGCGCCAATCGAGACGGCGATGTGGTCACGAAATTAACGACATCAAATCCATTGCCGTAGACTCCATTCCAGTCGAATTCTGTCGCACGATTTTCCTGCCCAAACGAGTGGATCAGCCGTTCCGTCTCCGCCGGATCGCCGTGAATCACAGGCCGAGCAGTGTCTCGGGTTTTTCCCACAGCACCTTGGCCCCAGATGATGTTGGCCGCTGGGTCGAGGTAAGTACCAATGTGCCGGAACGTGAGTGAGATGCGCTCGTTGCCGTATGCTTTTTCTTCAGGCGATTTGACGGTGTCAGGGCGTTTGTCAGGGCGGATGCCATGCAGCCAACGCATATTTGTTTTCTCACCAAGCACAAACAGGGATCCATGCGGAAGTGAGATACGTTGAGTGGCGCGAGCCGCTTCAGGGCCATCCTTCTCCGCGATATTCTTGGCGGAGACTTTGGTGCGGAGATGCATAATGCGCTGGGCACCCAGGCTCACATTACAGATAAATGAGCCCCGGACGATATCCAGCGTTTTATCAGAGTGCTCCGATATCGAGTCATGTCCATCTCGGTAAAGTTGTATCAGTACGTGATTTAAAGGGTGGCCGAGAACACGTTCGACAGCAAGACGCGCTTGGTCCACTGCCGGTGTGAACGATTTCAACACAGGAGATTCATCCGCGGGGTGTCGATAGATCGGAATAGAGCCATCCGGCTGGATATGGCCTTGTACCGCAACCAACCGAGGCACCTGGCTTGAAAGATGGTACATTTTCTGCCAGGACACTTCCGCCCGAATGCGCTCAAAGGCGTCAGCGGGCAGACCAAGCTCCGGAATGAGACGCGAATCACCCTCGCCCACGCAGGTCCTGGGTTTTTCATTTGCGGTTTCGGGATCGGTTGGATCACGGCGTTTCGGACGGCGCACACGGGCGCGCACCTGTCTCTTGCCTTCCACCGGCGGCCGGGCATGAGATCCTGCTGCATTCATCCGCTGAGATCGGGTGAAGGAGGCCAGTTCCATCAAACTGCGGCCATCCTCATCTGGCCTTTCTTGCGGGCTTGAATCATCCGCTTGGACTCCTAGGCTGTCCATGACGCTCTCGATGCCAGATGGGATAGTCACGCGCTTTGGCTGGGCACTTGGTGCCTTGGCGATAGTGTGGGTTTCCTGCCAATCCAACTCCTGCGTAAGCTCCTGGGCATCTAGACCAGTTGCGCCAAGGATATCAGCCATGCGCCGCATGGCCTCTTGATGGCGCTGGAAGTCCCGGTAGCCCAGGCAATCTTCGATCAATGTCACCGAAAACCCATTGCGCACAGCATCGCAGGCAGTGGCATACACGGACACATTGGAGAGAGAGCCACAGAGATAAAGCTCGGTGATAAAGCGGGTTCGGAAGGAAAGCACGAGACCCTCCGACTCCAAAGCTGAGTAGCCTGTTTTGTCCAGCACGGTGTCCCGCTCCCGGTCGATGGCAGCGAGGATGGGGGCGGGGAACTGAAAGCCGGTGGTCTGCGAGACGCAACAGGTAGGGGACGTGTTAGAAAGAAAGGCCTCCGCGTCGACAGGTTCGGGAGAGTCGCGGTCGGACGCGGCTTCGATGATATCCGTGGAGGGCAGAGGCTCTCGCTTGGGTGGCTCCTTTTCCAAGACGATGCGATCGCCAAAGTTCCAGTCGTCGAGGGACTGCGGCGACTCGTATTTCGACCGAACCCAGATCACATCGCCCACGCGACGAAACGCGGCGACGAGCGGGGGGAGCGTCTCGAGGATGTCGGAGGTATTGGCGACGTGGAGGGCACCGGCGGGACGCACAAAGTCATTCTGATAGTCGAGCAGCAGCAACGCCTTGCGGGTCTGGATCGTGGGTAGATCTCCGAATGAGAAGAAGCTCATCGTAAAGACATGGTATGGTATGGCAAATGGCAGCTCGACAGTGAGAAGAGGGGCGATTCGGAGTGTTTGGCGGGCGGTTGGGGGCGGCAGTTGATACCTCAGGCAGGATCACCAACCCACAGGGACCGGGTCATGCGGTTTTTTACAGTCTCTGTGTTTCTTGAGAGACCGGGGGGGCATGCCAACGCCATTGGGGGTTTGAGTCGGGGGATGGAGAGTGTCCGTCGCGCCGGGTCGCCTGCGGGGGTGCGATTGGTGTGCATCAAATGGAGGTATTGATTGGTACGGATGATACGCAACGGTACCGACACCTGAGGCATAAAGAACGTGACCAGTGCCAGTGCTGACGTGTAAGGGACTACAGGAGTGCGTAGATAATAAAGGAGCATATGAGTATATAGTTCAAGGCTATGGGTGTATCAAATCCCACAACTCGATCTCCAGTGAGTCATATAGAGTATTGCTGTCGTCTCCACTACTGCCTCAAGTCACCATGCAATTGTCGAGATCGACTGCTAAGACTAACTGCAATCGCTATGAGCTTCCCTGGTCCGCTCTCGTCCCAGTGGGGCCGACGGCCTTTTCAGCCAGTCAGCGGCCAGCCTGGCCCCGGCATCGGCCGGGGAGAAGTGGCTGCTCTCCGGGGGTCACGTGTTGACCGCCTGCTTGCGGAGCTGCCGTCGCTCCCCCAACCTACTTTTAAAACCCGCCCAGATTCCTCCCTCTTCCATCCCCATTCTTCTTCCCATCCTCTCCACTCCCCTCAATTCTTTCACAATGGCTTCCCGTGGTCTTCCCCGTGCCTTCCGCCTGGCCCGTGTGGCCGCTCCTCGCTCCGTCGTCACCGCCGCCCTCCCCCGCCCGGCGCTGGCCTCGGTCGCCCGCCGTGCCGTTGCCCCCGTTACCCCCGTCCGTGGCATCAAGACCATTGACTTCGCTGGTGTGAAGGAGGACGTCTACGAGCGTGCCGACTGGCCCCAGGCCAAGCTCCAGGAGTACTTCAAGAACGATACCCTGGCCCTCATCGGTTACGGCTCCCAGGGCCACGGCCAGGGTCTGAACTTGCGTGACCAGGGCCTCAACGTCATCGTCGGTGTCCGCAAGGATGGTGCTTCCTGGAAGGAGGCCATCCAGGACGGCTGGGTTCCCGGCAAGAACCTGTTCGATGTCAACACCGCCATTGAGAAGGGTACCGTCGTCATGAACCTTCTCTCCGATGCCGCTCAGTCCGAGACCTGGCCCGCCATTAAGCCCCTGATCACCAAGGGCAAGACCCTCTACTTCTCCCACGGTTTCTCCCCCGTCTTCAAGGACCTCACCAAGGTCGACGTCCCCGAGGGTGTCGACGTCATCCTCGTCGCCCCCAAGGGCTCCGGCCGTACCGTCCGCACCCTCTTCCGTGAGGGCCGTGGTATCAACTCCTCCATCGCCGTCTACCAGGACGCCACCGGTAAGGCCAAGGAGAAGGCCATCGCCATGGGTGTCGCTGTCGGTTCCGGCTACCTCTACGAGACCACCTTCGAGAAGGAGGTCTACTCCGACCTGTACGGTGAGCGTGGCTGCCTGATGGGCGGTATCCACGGTATGTTCCTCGCCCAGTACGAAGTCCTCCGTGAGCGCGGCCACACTCCCTCCGAGGCCTTCAACGAGACCGTCGAGGAAGCCACCCAGTCCCTCTACCCCCTGATCGGTGGTTACGGTATGGACTGGATGTACGCTGCCTGCTCCACCACCGCCCGCCGTGGTGCCATTGACTGGTCCAGCCGCTTCAAGGACAACCTGAAGCCCCTCTTCAACGAGCTCTACGACTCCGTCCGTGACGGCACTGAGACCCAGCGCTCTCTCGACTACAACTCGCAGAAGGACTACCGCGAGAAGTACGAGAAGGAGATGCAGGAGATCCGCGACCTCGAGATCTGGCGCGCCGGCAAGGCCGTCCGCTCCCTGCGTCCCGAGAACCAGAAGTAAATAATATCGTGATACCCGTTTTGGGAGGGTTTGGACAAAAAGTTAATGATGTACTATGAATCTGTGTTTTGGGATCGGGTATACGAATGTCACCGGCCAATTGCCGAATTTCCTCCAGTTCAATTGTTGTTCCATCTTGGATATCTTTGGAAAATTCGTAGTCTGTAGAAGATTCTCGGCGCAGCCGGTGAGATCGGAGAACTTCCGCGCGGAGAAAAGTCCGGGGTACCATGACCACTGCAGACGAATGCCGTCGCATCGAACTCTTCTTGTCTCCTCGCCCTTCCCGTATCTCTTGACTCGGTTCCAATGGTTTCCCCCGTTGAACAAGCTCAGGCGCTCACGCCGGCCGCCGTCGAGGCCGCATATGCCCTCATCCGGCCATATGTGCACCGCACTCCTTTGCTGACGTGCAGAACCCTTGACACCATCGCTTCGACCCCGCAGTCCCCCGAATCGCTGGTCGGCACTCCGTTTGAGGGCCAAACGCCCGCACGCCCGCGGTTTCGATTTTTCTTCAAGTGCGAGAATCTCCAGCGAATCGGTGCTTTCAAAGCCCGAGGAGCTTTCCATGCGTTGCTGCGGTTGATTGAGGAGCGCGGCGAGGACGAGGTGAAACGACGCGGGGTAATCACACACAGCTCCGGTAAGGATTTGGCCGTTGCGAACTGGCCGTGGACTGTTTTCGTCTAAATGGACTCCAAGCTGATACATCGACTATACCAGGTAACCATGCCCAAGCCCTTGCCCTCGCTGCCTCCACCCTCCACGTTCCGGCCTACATCGTAATGCCGCACATTAGCACCTCGTCCAAGATCGCCGGCACTCGGTCCTACGGTGCCGAGATCATCTTCAGCGGGTCAACAAGTGTCGAGAGAGAGGCCGTTGTGGCCGAGATTCAGGCGAAGACGAATGCCATTCTGGTGCCACCCTACGATGACTTCAACATTATCTGCGGGCAGGGCACTACGGGGCTAGAACTGGAGGCACAATACACCGAGCAGGTCGGATCTCGTGCTCTTGATGCAGTGATTACACCTGTTGGTGGCGGTGGACTCAACTCTGGCGTGGCCACCTTCTTCTCGGACAAGTCCACTCGAGTATTTGGCGCGGAGCCGATTTTCGAGGGCGCAGATGACTGTCGACGTGGACTGCAGGCTGGAGAGCGTGTGGCCAAGGTCTCGACGCTGACGATTGCGGACGGACTGCGTACACCCGTCGGACTGTTGAACTGGCAGGTCATCTCCAATAAGCGCAAGGTTGAGGGCGTATTCGCGGTGACGGAGGAACAGATAATGGCGGCGATGCGACTGGTATTTGAGCGTATGAAGGTGGTGGTTGAGCCCAGTGCAGTAGTCGGGCTCGCGGTCTGTCTCTTTGACGAGGGTTTCAGGAGGCGGGTGGAACAGGAGGGCGGCGACAATGGCTGGGATGTTGCAGTTGTGTTCAGCGGAGGTAATACGACTTTGGAAGCGGTTGCCAAGTTATTTGGATGAGAGATAAGACGGTGTACAGGAAACGTGCGCTGCGCTGTTTAAGGCCATATAGATAACTTTGATGTTCGTACATTGGTGATCATCTATCTGGAGGGGGTATCTCGATGCCAGACTCGCGCACGTAAAAAGGAAAGCTGCCCCCATTATACCAGTCAACTCCATCTGCCACGCGACGAGGCCACTCCTCGCGATCCCAGGAATTGACCCAGGCCGAGAACTTGCCCTGATTGATGATGCTCTGCCTCGTTGGCGCATCCCGTTTCACATCTTGCGTGCTGGAAGCCGGTGGGAACGAACGGACTGCATCTCGGTGAACAACTAAACGCAAAATCGGAAAGGTACCCCAAGGTGCTGGAAGCGCGGGTTTGAGTGCTGGCGCCCGACAATAACGCCCGCCGGGCTCCGAACTGCTGCTGGAGTTGGCTGGACGGCCACCGGCGACTGTGGTAGTGTACACGACCGCACATCTGAATCGGCCTTGCAATCGCTTCAGCTCCGAAACCATTTCCGCGTATACATCAGAGAGGTAGAAGCTTTGCTTCTTCTCGCGTTCCCGGTCCACCTCTGCGCGGGAACGACCGATTTCCTCGGTGCGGGCTGTCTCGTCACGTAGTCGATCTTGCCAATAGAATGCGGTGGCGCTGTCAATTGCAACCATTTGCAGTGAACGAGAAGCGGAGCTGTGTCGAGACAAATCGTAGAGATAGGAGTCCAGGTTTTGTAGAGTGGCCAGGACCGACGAAGAAGATTGTGGACGAAAGACATGGACATGGTGCAATGCAGAGGTCAGTACAGCTTCGACATCCTCGTCAGAAGGGCCACCGGCATCCTCATTCAATGCATCCGGATCAAGTGTCTGCCTCGCGCGTTGTACGATGTTACGGGCCACGGCAAGTAAGCGATTGGCATCGAAACGATCGTCGGCATCGATCCAGACAACCGTGGCTTCCTGTCCTCCAATGAGAATATTTTGGTAGAACCGCGGCAGCACCATTCGTGCCGTCAGGAAATAGAGCATTTGTGATTTGCCTGCGGCAGACAGGCTACTTGAAATCTCCACAACTGGGTAGGTGCTTTTCCTGCGGCGCACGGAGTCAGGAAAGAATACATTTGAAGGGAATGCAGCTTCCCTTTGGATTGAGTCTGGTTCGACGGGCATGACAGCCTCGCTGTCCGGGTCACCCCTCCGAAAAAGCATTTCTTCATCATCTAGACAGTTCTGTTCTCGCTGAGCCGGGGACTGCAGAAATCGACTTGCAGGTTCATTGGATTTCATCGCCCTGAGCATGAAAACTTCGAGAAGAGCGTCGAGGGCAGGAACTCCCAATGGCCCGGACTCGTAGTCTACGCTGGATTGGTATCCATTTGCCAGATCATGCAGAACCTACAGGAAAATAAGTCGGGCTGCGTCACAAAAGTGGCATGGGAAGAGGTTACCTGATCCAAGCCCTCGAGGTGTACCTCAGCCAGCGAGGAGGTGCCCAAGCTGGCAGCCATGACGGACAGAGGCGGACGTCATGGAAAATACATGCCCCGTTGAAAGTGAATTCATGCAATACCGGGGTACCTGCGTGGTGACAAGGCGATGCAATGTAAAGCGCGGGAGAGCGGAGGGCAGTCCGCGCAGCCTAAGGTAGTTCGGGAAAGGCGGCGTCGGAGCTTTTGGCGCCGCTGGACGGCGACTTCACCTTCCACCTTAGCATTATCTCCACAACGACCTTCCTTTCCACCGACGCCCGTCCACTCCTCCCTTTAGGCTTCGGCAATGGCGCCTCTCGTCCCCTGTTTCTCGGCGGAAACATTACCCGACCATGTCAACACCATTCAGCGCAACTTCCAGGACAAACGCCGCAAAGGTCCCGACGTCAACCTGAAAGAGTGCCAGCTCCTCGAGATGCTCCAGTACTCCTGCAATCCGCCGCAGGAGGAAATTCCACAACCGGGGGTCATTGTGTGCAAGCCAGTGGTTCGACTATTCCGACGGTGAGTGGCTTCGTTGCGGCAGGGAAATTTGCGGAGCCAGTTGGCTGACGCATGGAACAGCTGCGCCGCCGGATTGACGGTGGAAACTACATCCTGGGAGCCTCTCAGGCAGGCCGAAGAGGCAAAGAAGCAGACATTGTCTGCTGCAAAATCATGACAAGGTCTCTGCACATAGCATATCGCATTGGTTGGAGTTCAGGGATCACACGGTTTTACAATAGATAGGAGCATTTAAATTCAGTTATATTGTCATGCAGATTGCCATGGGGTATCTCCTCAAGAACAACTCCGAAAAAAGTAACCGAGCGCCCGCTCAGAAAAAGGAAAACCCATATGAAAACAACGCCAATATTTTACAGACCATCCGAGGTATCTCACGTGGCCATCACACCATCCACGGGCTCAGCGGTCCCCGCCGACTTGGATGTCTTGTCCTCTGCCTCTCGAGCATTTGCTGATGTTGTCCGACGCCATAAGTCCCGCTCGCAGTTGACAGTAGGTCCCAGCTCAAGGTTCCCTGGTGCTTTGAACCGTCCCTTCCCATCAGCGTCGGCTGGGATCCCCGAGTCGATTTCCATATCAGAACCCATAGCAATGCCAGCCGTCGAGTTACCCAGCGCATCCTTTTGCAGCTTTTTTGCCAGACTCTTGACCGTTTTATCAAACATTGTCTCCATGCTTTCCGCTCGTCGACCCCAAAGCCTCTTATCCCTGCCACTCGAGCTAGTCGAGTTATCGCGGAATGCAGCGCTCGCCAAGTTGCGGAGAGCCTCTTCGCCATGCCGTCCGTCCTCGGCAGCGCGTTCTCGGATCTTGCGCGGATCACTGTCTCTCTCGGTGAAGACTGCAGTGGTAGAGTAGGTATGCTTGCTCGGAAAGTCGGGGAAGTGTTTTGGGACGTAGGATCGATTCGACTCGCTCTCTTCCACTCTCAAAGCGTTCAAGAATGGAAGTTTGCGGGAGACTTCATCTTCGGGTGGTGGTGACGGGAGGAGTGTGGGCATAGAAGAGCTCAATCGCGACGGTTTAATGTATGGTTCGAGGTCACCGGTGGAAACACGACCGCGCTTGAGCGCATGTTCGAAATCGTGCGGGATTGGTTGAATGCGACGAGCCGATAGCATCGACTGGCGGACATACGACGAAAGTCGCGATAAGTCTGGAAACCCCACGCGGGCATCGAATTAGTCAAATCTTTCTTATAGGGAAAGGACGGTTACAGCTGGAATCAGCAGATAGCACATACACTCCTCAGCTGAGCTGCGCAGGCTTGCCAGCGCGGCCGGGTCTGCGAGCTCGTATCCCGCATCGCGAAGAAGCTGCCCGAGTGAACGGTTCATAAGCTGGTCGATGTTGCTGTCATCTTGCAGCGCAGGCTCAGTCCCTGACGGAAGGGTGATAGGTTCATGCAGGCGATGGTGATGGTAGTAGTGATGCTTCGGTCGCTTGTTCTCGGCCGCTTCCAAAGCGGAGGAGCTGCGCTTCATGGGAAGAGCCGACGATGTCATGGCCGGAGGATGCTGAAGCTGGGCTGAATGCGACGGAGCTTGTTGATGGGGTGATTCAGTCACGTGAGTATATTGACACCTGAGGCATACATGTCACGGGCACTGCGTGCTCGTGGAAAGAAGGGAAAGATGTGAGATGGGAGCATTCGAAATATTCCAATCGGACCTCGGGGAGTTTGTGGTATTAGACTAGTGAATAAAGGCAGGTCTGATCTCTGCATTTCGCATTGGATGTGTTCTCTCGTAGTGAATTACTGTACTGCGGCTCTTGACCAATCCGGACACTCGCTTAGTCCGCCCCGAAAGCTTCAACCTCGACTTCCCGCGATTTCACACTCTCCTCTCTTTCCCCTCCGCTTTCCACCCCCACACCACCCGAGGCAGGTTTCATCTGTCCGTCTTCCGATTGAGTGTCCCGTCGACTGTCGATTGACACTGTCTTTCCGATACAATGCCTGCCGCTATTCCCCCCATCACCGGCGTATGTCCCCCTTCGAATGGCAGCCGACTTGCCCCGAGCTGGTTGGCCGGACCGTCGCAAATCCCTCGAAACAGTTTACTAACAGCTCTTTTGATCTTGCAGATGCTCCGCCGTGGTCTGGTTCTGGACCTGAGCACCGCTTTCGGTACGTGACTGCACCTGGAGTGTCGAGTGGCATGATCGACGGATGAGCGGGATTCTCCCGGGTTCTACGCGATCGTACTGGACTTTGTGAGGTGGTGATGGACATGAAAGATATCGAAGACTCAAAATTGGAGGAATAGATATACTGACCAAGAACTGCTGGAATTAGGTTTCGGTACCACCTTCGGCTACCTCTGGTGGTACGGTAAGTGATAGAACCTTCTCTTCTTATCTGCTCTACATGCTCCTTCGCAGTTATGCTAATGGGATTTACTGTTTTTTAGGCTTCCACCTTCCCCGCGTCCGTGAGCGCGACACCTACTATGCTCGCCTTGAGCAGGAGCGCGCCGCTCAGCGCGACTAAATCGGTCGCCGCTAGTCGCTGCGCCTTGACCCGATCGTGTCCAATTCGCCCGTCGGCATATCTTCTCTATGTCAAGCATCTTTGTTAGGGGAAAATACAACCTGTTGAATGATCGCATCTCGTTCTCAGTAGTATCGTCTTGCGCCAGGTTGTGCCGGCGGGCCGTGTCCGGGTGTGAGTGGCATGTGGACAATCGATTGTACATATACGCTTGCGAAGCATATGTTTTAAATCATTTGCTTTCTTTACCCAAGGTACCCTTGCCATTTTTTAATGTGTAGACGTCGGTGATCCATTTACCGGGTTTGAAAAGTCAACCACAATCGGACTACAGTGCGGCCCTCACACCCGCGCGCCGTTCGGCAGTATCTGGATCAGCCTGATCTATTGAATTGTTCCATTTAAACGCTAGTTACGCCGGCATATGTAAAAAACTCCCGCCCGCCTGGCATTGGATTCTCATGTGGTCTTATCCCGTGCAGAGTCGTAGGTCGTAATCTCGTTGCCCTCGTTCGCGCCATCCGGCAATTCTGCTTTCACAGGAAGAAGGCATATGAGTCAACCGAATGAGCATGATGAAGAGAAGCCTCGGGGTATCCAATCTATGGTAGTACCCGCTCGAAAGAGACACCACGTACGGATCCGCCGGCCATGGAGGAACGCACGTTACGTTTAAACCCGTCCCGGTTCAGTCGGAGATCTTCTGCGGCATCCTTGTTCAGAGGATCGGATGCGTTGGGCTCAAGAAAGAGGAACTTCGGTGACATTCCAGGTTAGTATTGCTAAGCCGCGACTCCGGGGGCGTCTCATATGGAAGGATGTTGGCACGAACCTGCATTCCCACGATAACTGCGTTCAAGTTCAGCACCGGCTTCCAATCCTCGCGCAGGATGTTCAAGCACACATTGCCCTCAAGGTCGATATTCGGGTGGTAAATCTTTTGGGTACACTTGACTTTTGGCGGGTCGTGAGGGAAGTTTTGATTGACTGTGAAGTTGAAGTGAAAGACGCCATCCTTGTACATGCCCTCGTCCGGTTCGATGGTCAGAGTAAAGTTGAGGATATCGTCGGGGTTCGGGAACGACATTTTCATTGTGTTGCCGAGAGTGAGTTCTTGCAGGTCTGTTGAAAGCAATTCATCGTTAAAACAGCCGCCCGAAAAGGATGCGCTTTAGGTGTCCAGCACACCAGTAAGGGTAGAATCGGAGAGAACGCACCTCTTTGCACCCGCAGCTGTGCAGCCGTAACCTTCTTTTTCTTCTTTCCAGCAGCACCCTCGGCATTTTCAGCCTGCTGCTGCTGTTGCTTCTTTAAGATGAGTGAGCAGCAGTTCAGATGGCGCGAAAAACAGGGTGGGAACCTACCATCGACCAGATTTTCAACATCTTGGTGAGCTGGGAATCACCACCCCGCCTGGTGGTAGAGCTAGAGCGTGATTGGTAAAAGTGGGTGCCAGCACGCCGGAGAGGTCGGAAGTGTGATAAGAGAGTGGCTTTGGCAAGATCGCAAGGTGGCCGGAGCCAATGTTGAAAGGGTTTGAATTTGGTGAGGGGAGGAGGGGAGGAAGGGAGGTTGAAGGGGCGCGGCAGAAGAAGTCTTGCGGGGTCCGGCAACTTTGGGCGCGGGTGCCTCCATCGCGAGGGAGGCCTCGCCGCCTTCCGCCATGACGTACGGCAAGATAAGGGCATCTACATTTTGCGTGACTACGAGATATTACGAGATGACGATGATTTACAGTGTAGGGAGCACTAAACTGCAGACTTTCCAATCCGACGAAAATTTATTGCGCCTCGAATGCATCCCTTTGCATTGCTATCCCGACAAAAGACGGTAACCAGGTTGCGTGGGTTCAACGCTGTGCCGCGCGAGTACATACTGACATGACAGAAAAAGATAAAAGAACAGCTTTGGGCATCTTGGGTGTAGAATACAGATCGCAAGAAAAAGAAAGGGTTACAAAGGACGACGGCGAAAGAAAGGGAAAAAGAAAGAAGAAGAGAAGCAAAAACATGTGCCAAGAAGGTGTTTCATGAGGGAAAATCAAGGCCTGCATGCAAGTTCCTTTGAACGACATAAGACTGTCTACCGGCGGGCAAAGCAGCACTTGATACCGGTGCGGCCCAGGAACCAACAGCATCCGATGAAGCGGAACAGAGCCATCACAGCGTTGGACCACAGAAGAGCCTGGAAGAAACGAGCGGTACGGGTCGTGGCAGTGTTCTAATTCTTGTTAGTGAATCACTCAGGAAGGAACCAGAGGCGGATGAAACATACCGTGAAACCAAACTTATCGACAGACTCGCTGGTGATGCAGACAGCCATGAAAGCATTGCTGAAAATCCAGAAAGTGACGAGACGAGTGCGGAAGCTCTTGTAGGAGTCTTCGAGAGACTTCTCATCGTTCTCCACCGGGGCGACGTAGGGGGTCAGAGCGCGCTTCACGGTGGCCTCAAATTGACTATCGATATCCGCCTGCGGTTTGTCGATTTCCTCGATGACTGCGTCCTTGCTGCCTTCATCCTTTGTTGTCTTGGCCGAAGGCAGGGCGTCGGCCTTGTCGGATCCCTTGGTTCCCCAAGATACATCGTGCCAATTACTGAAGGCATAGACGTTGAGGATGTTGATGTAAGATGACTGGAGCACGATGTACTGCGGGAAGGACGTGAACATGTGCCACGGATCGGCGTACATGAAGGAAGCGACGAAGTAAAGACCGAAGGTGGCTGCCAGGGCAATGATAATGATACCAGCACCCGACGAGCCGAAGAATGATTTGAGGAAAGCACCCAGGCCTTGGTCAGTGGTAAAGTCCATAGGGGCGCCGCCGCTGAAAGCGCGGATCACCAGGTACAGGGAATCAACCACAATATAGAGCTGGATGATACCGAATGCGACAAAGGAAGCCAGATATGAGAACTTGGAGCCCTTGGGCCGATTGCCCAGGGCCAGGATGAACTGGAGCAGCAAGAATCCCAGGTAAACATACTTGATGATGGTGTTCACAATGGGGGTTGCAGATTTGCCGAAAGGGAAAGCTGTGTTCTTGTTACTTGGACTGGGAGTACCGACCAGGTCGATAATGACTGTGGTGGTCAGCCAGTAGGAGGCTAGCGAGAACCAAGAGAGGAAGGTCTGGAAGATGTTGTACAACATCTGAATATGCAAGAAGAACATGCGAACAAGGTTGTGGCCACTCTTGTACATGCGGCCGAAATGCATCAGGGAATAGATACCAGCCGCAAAGGAACCGTTCAGCCAACGACGACGCTGCGAAATGAACTCGGCAGCACCCTCAGGCACGTCAGTTTCACCCTTGGAGGCTTTCACGTACGACAGATGCCATTTTGAGCCGGCCTTGGCGACAAGTTCGAAGCAAAGAATTCGATCTTCGGCCAAGAACATGTTCTTCTTGAAAATGTTCATACCCTCGATACCCTTCTTACCCAGTTGCTTCGACAGAGTATGGTCACCGTGGAAATATTGCTCCAGCGGGCGTCCCATGATGGCACGGAAGCGGTAGGCAGAGAACGCACCAGGCAAGACAGACACATAACCAAATGAACTCTCCAGTGGCTTATCCAAGATGTTACTGATCTTGTACTCGAAGTTCTGAGCTGCCACCAGCGGGTTGATCAGGTTGCGCCAGCCTTTACCCAACATGGCGTGGATTTCACCACATGCACCACCCAGATCCTTATCGTTGTAAAAGGCTTCCCAAAGAGCCAAAAGCGATTTGTGGCCAGGCTTGGTTCCAGCATCAAGCAAAATGCAAACCTCGGGGTTCAGAATACGGCCGAATGCATTGAACAGCCAGCGGTGGGAGTTGATCTTTTTGCTGTTCTTCTGCTTCAGGCAGAACATCATCTGCACAGGGGGTAGTGTGCTTGGTCCATCATCAGTTGGGCGAATGAGCTGTTGATTGGGTGTCACAGAGAGTTGGGTGGTATATTCGAACTGTGATTCTTATGTTAGTTTGCCATTTCATGTCATAGCATATCAGTTCCACATACAATATGAGCCACTGTCTCCTTGCCATCAACATCACGCTTCATAACACCGTCCTGGTAAATACCAATTGTGGCCAGGACATCCAAGGTGTCCTTGTCACAGGGATCGATACCGTCGAAGACCAGGGCAACAACGATTTTTTGCCAAGCCGGACCACCTTTGTTCCAGAATTCGGATTTCTTCAGGTTGACAATATCGCGGATGTTTTGCATCACACCGTGTAGAGTGCGAGCCGTCAAGGTTTTATCCTCGTTGTAGTAAGTAATCGCGATCAGTAATTCCGTGTGACGGTTGTACATCGCAGGCCGCAGATTGTAACCGTTATGTAGAGTGAACTCGTTGGGGTCGCAGGTGGCGGCCGTGTCTGAAGGATGTCAGTGGATCGATCTTGTATACCGCGCAGATGGCTACGGATGACTTACATCGCATATGAGTGAATTCCTCGCTACCGCCTTCCAGATCATTTCGGTACTTGGCCTGGATCGCATTCTGAATTGCACTGGGCACGGGATAGTCCACACTCAAGACCGAGCCCTGCACCAACTTGACCTTACGGGTGGCATATCGGCGCAGACCACCACCGCCGCCTCCATTGCCACCGCCGGGGGCTTGTCGCTGGCGCCAGGCCTCGGTGGAGGAGGTCTCGCTCCGGGCGTATGGTGATGCGACACGGCCGGGGACTCCAAAGGCCGCCGCTGGGCTATCGGTCTGGCCCGAGTAAGTTGAGCCCGCGGAATACGGGTCGTGGTATGTCGGCGCGGCTTCAGACGCATACGTCTCGGTCAGGCTGTATCCAGAGGCGGGGCGCACGGGGGAGACTCCTCGCGAGTGAGGGTCATCAAAGGGAGTCGCGAAGGGGCCCTGCTGCTGGTGGGACAGAAGGCCGCGCGCAACATCGTCGTCATTGCCATACTGTGCGAGCGCGTTAGCTTCGCACGACCAGGGGGTTTGTCGTCGGCCGACCCCGTCTAGGGGTGATTGACGTTGGGAGCAGCGGACCGTACCTGCGAGTTGGGGACATCCTGCATGGGATGGTGGGTGTCGTCGTAACTAGGCGAGTGCGCGCCAGAGCCTTGGTAGGCCATGATGCGCGGATGGGTGACGGACGAACAGATGAAAGAGGGGTATCACGAGAGGAACAAGGGCTGACGCTGGTCAGACGAGATTAAGCCACCAGGGCGTGGTGGATTGGACGGTGGCCGGGGAAGCGAGCACAACGCACCCCAAGTGACCAGAGAGGGGGGAAGATGGAGGGTTGCAAGAAGGGGGGGGGGAAAGGGAGGACCGAAGGCAGGAAAGAAAAAGGGACCAGGGACCACCACAAAAAAAAAGGAGGATACGAAGTGAGACTAGAGCGCGATCGTATTGCTTAGTCGCAAAAATAGACATCTCTAGCCCCGAGCGGCTTAGTCCAGTCGGCTTCATGGGCGACGCATCCTGTGCTGCAATGGACATGGTCAAAGCCGGGCGTCTGATTGCTCTGACAGAATCATAATAATGCACATTCCCGAGGCCAGCCCCCTTGGTCCAATCGCGGTATGGGCACTGAGCAGAACTTCAAGAATTGATCGTCGCTACTCGACGGTTACGTTGGGGCAATCAGTTGTGAGGGGTTTGATCAACCCTGCGTATTGCCACACTCCTGAACACTGTACATAATACCGTAGCACGACAACAACGGGGTATTCTGCTCAACTGCGATGGCAGCTACACCGTTTCGCTGGTTTGGCACACCGTCTCCCTCCTGAATTGGCTAAATTTGGCTCTTGATCGGCCGACTATTTTTTTTCACAGCTTCTCCAGATCCTCCATGCCGCTTACTCGACGTGGCAAGTGGACCTCCGCTAGGCCTCACGCTACCGCCCGAACCCAATCAGCAATCTCCACCGCTGAAACCTGCAACTGTTGCGCTGCTTCATTCCACATTCCATGCTTCCTGGCTGGGCGACGGGGGAAAGTTGAAATATCGGCCATCTCGGCTCGTTCAGCTAGTTCTGCGTCTGCGGCAATGGTTTGACATAGGCTGGATGTCAGAGCCAGGCTGGGAGGGGGACGAGAGAAAACTCCGAGGGTCCCATACCTTAAAGGCTTACTCTGTGGGAGTAGCTCCGAGTCCCGGAGTCCCACAGGGCGGCCTGCACCGCACATCAAGGGACAAGATCTGAATCAGGGTCTTTTGTCCACTTCGACCGGCGGTCAGAGGTCAGCTGACCTGCCGCCGTCCTTCATTTCAGTCGGTGCCAAGCTCGCTTAGTCAGAGGCTTCTCTTTCGCCACGGCAGGTAAGGCTGGGCTTCATTTGGGGCAGGACTGTGGCTGGAGGCGGGTGTCTCACCTCCATGTCTCATGTTTCTGATCCATTGTGCGCTGGTCCGCGGTTCCAGCAGCCACTATTCCTGGTGGATACACAGATTGACTACTAGTATTGCTGCTGACTTGACACTATGTGACTAGTGGTCTGTATCCTCAGTCTCCTATTATTCTATTCTGACTACACGCATTCTACAATCATACATCCTCTCAACTTCCCTCACGCTGTAGAGGTAGTTAGCATTTCACTGCCTCTCCCGCTTACTTAAGCTGTAATTTCCCGGCCCGACCTTGATCCGAGGTCCAGACCGCGCGCCCAGGCACCTCCCGCCCCTGATTGGCTGCCGGTGTGGACCGCGTGTTGTCTGCCCGCTGCAGTCCGATGTACCTGTCCTCCCTCCGAGCACAGAATACTAGTCCGCACTCAACGAGTTTCCCAGCTCCATGCAAGGTAGAAGGGCTGAAACCGCGAGCCCTACATTTAATAGATCAGCCGTTCGATCGCATTGCGATCCCATTCACTTGAACCCATTCACTGAGGTCCCCCAAGCCCACCGTCCCCCACCTGCCTAGTCCTGTGCTCCGTAGTTGCACGAACACGCTCAGGCCCCGTGACTTCGGCCCCCCGTGCTCCTCATTTCCCAGGAGATCCAGTCTCTCCTCTTTTCATCGTCTTTCATCCATCCGATCCGATCTCGACGGACTCGCCGCCATCCATCCTCTAACCATGATCGCTCACTGCCCGTGATCCGATCCCACACTCGTTATTCTCCTCGCGCCTTTCTTCGGTTCTTTGTTGATTTCCACTTCTTTACGACCCAGCGTTGACGCTCACGACTTGACGCCGATTGAGCCCTCACTCTTTTCCCTTTGTCTTCCGTCCCATCTCACAGCTCCTTTGCTCGCACCGTTGACCGGTCGCCCTGTTGATATTTCCCCCTCTCCTCGCCAATCCGATTCCCTTCTCCCGCCATCATGCTCGACTCTGTTGATTCCTCCTTCTCGTTCCTCGGTAAGATCTCTCATCCCATCCATGCCATAGCTGCCTGGCACCGTCGCTGATGATGTTCTCTTCGGCAATCCAACAGAGGGCTTCTCTCCATCCCGTTCCCTTTTCAAGCGTTGCAAATCATGCGGACCTGCCCCGACTTGTCCATCCTGCCCGTCCGGGCAGATCTGTACCATGACGACCCAGACTTGCGACTCCTGCTCAGAAACCAAGTGCATTGATGATGGCAGCTCAAGTTCAGGCCCGCCCCCATCAAGCGGACCGAATGTCGGTGCCATCGCGGGTGGTGTCATTGGCGGCGTGGCTGCCATCGTTCTCCTGCTCTTCTTGATCTGGTGGTTCGTCATCCGCAAGCGACGAAACCAGGAAGGCGACGAAAAGAACAACGAATTTGCGGCTCAGCGCGCCGAACGCAAGTCCACTGGTGGTAACTCCATCGCATCCACCGTTCTCACTCGTGCCTCGAATGTCATTCAAATCGCCTACATCCCTGGTGTCACCAACCGATCCCCACCCGAGACCCCAGCTTCACTTGTTCCCCCAGTTCCCCCGCTTCCCGGCGCTGCTCCCGACCAGCACTTCTTCATGCCCGGCGACCTGCGAGACTCCTCCTGGACCACCACGACCGGCCACCAGAGCATGTCCCCCACCCTCCGGAGCAGTGTTGCAACCACCATCTACCGCAACGATGCTATCGTCAGCGCCATCCCGGCACAGCAGATCTCACGCTCTCGCGCCAACATCGTCAGTGTGCACAACACCTCCCCTGATGCCGACAATGCACCCGCTCAGCCTGTTCCTGTAATGATCACCCCGAAAGATGCGCCCGCCGTCCCCGCTATCACGCAATCACAGCTTGCCAAGGCGGAGGCTATGAAGGGTAACAGTTCGATCGTGGCTCGCCAGGTTGTCGCCAAACCAGTGATGGTCCGTGGTGCGTCGGTCAAGAAGAAGGACGGTAAAAACTCAACAGATGCCAGCTCCAAGGATGAGCAATCACAGAAGCCCAATACGGCTGGTTCGGGCACCAGCAGCCAACAATTCGACCATCAAACCTCCACGTTCGACGGGAACTCGTCGGATGAAGAAGAGGAAGATGATACGCGGCCTTCGTCTGCCTCCCATTCCAATGGAGCGAATGTCACTTCTCCCCGTGAGGATTCATCCAAGGGTGCAGGTCCATTCCACGACCACGCCAGCACCGAGGCCCACAGCTCCAGCCTCAACGACCGGACAACCACGCCGCCCCCACGCGTGCAAAGTCCTTTTTCGGATGCGAATGAGGTTAAATGAGCGAGTATGGTACCTTGACCAAAGGGGCGTACTGGATTCACACTTTGTTATTTTATTCTTTTCATCTTTGTTACATCTTTTTCTCTTCGTTGTACGTATGATTCCTGCTTGGTATATCTATTGGGCGTCAGTTCGTTATTCGTGGGTGCGCTGTACAGCGAGATGGCACTTGCGGAAGCGGAGCAGTCAAAATCAAGTCACTCTCCTTGATGATTCAATTCAACATATTTTCCACTATCAATTCAAATAAGGTACTTGAGTATACCTAGAGAATTAATCGCACGGATACATTAAACTCAATTTTTTAAAATTCGGAACACGTGCGCCAACCGTTGATATTTGCAGTGATCTACTGTAGATTGGGCCAGACTCATCGGATCGACAGATATATCTGTGATCTATCGACTCCAAACAATCCAGGCGTCTTGGCATGACGCCACGCCACACATTTGAGTACGGTGTCACACTCGCAAGCTATCAACTGTCTGTGGACGCTGTATGCCACATGAAAAGCCAGAAATGAAAAAGAGGGTATCTACAAGTCAAGTCACTTCACACATTCCTATCAAGCCCCCTCCAGTCCCATTCCACGTCCGATCTTGCGAATGAGCGCTCGCTTGAGGAAGGCTTCTCGAGCAAGACCTCGCGTGTGTCGCGACCAGGAGTCGACGCCAATCACACCGCGAACCAAAGCTGCCTGGAGCGCATACAGAGCAGCCTGAAGCCCTTGTTCCTCCGCGACCAGATCGTAAAGTTGCTTGCCCACCACCGTGGGAGCGACCAAGACCTCATCGATTGGAGGTAGACCCAATGGACCCTCTGAGGATCCAGCTGCGGCTGAAGTAGATGGCGCAGAGGCTGACACAGACGTGGAGCGAGTTTGAGCATCAGCGATGGTGGCGTCGGCGCGGTGAATGCATTGTTGCAAGATGCCGGTGTTGGATTGGAGGGATGCATGGAGCGAATTCAGCGCTGTCACTTCGCCTTGCAGTGTGGCCATGGCGGCGTGTAGGGATCGCGATTGGGAGACCAATGATTGGGCTGCGGTATCAGACTGCGCCGCATGAGCGTGGAGAGTCTCGGCAAGAGTCTTGGACACGGCATGAAGCAAGGCATCCTTTTCAGGGTTCGGCGGGATTGGGGGTGCTGGACCCGCTGGCGTGAAGGATGGCAGTTCGAGCTCAAAAGGCGAGGTGAGAAGGTCTGGAGTTTCTTTCTTAGGCGCCGGCGTTGCTGGGGGTGGTCGCTGTTGGAAGCCTTGTGGGTGGGGTGAATGTTGGGGATAAGGTGGCCCAACTGGTGGTTGCTGCTGTGGCGGCGGACGGGGTTGGTATCCCAAATATTGCGCTTGTGGTGCCTGGACCTGGGGGCGATAGGGTGATTGTTGGACCGATTTTGGGGATCCGAATTGTCCTGTCTGAGGGAATGTCCCCTGATAAGCAGAACCAGCGCCTGGACTCACCGGTCCGCTACCACTTGTATTGTATGTTGCCGGGCCATGCGGCGATTGAGGTGGAATTGGTTGAGCCATGGCATGTGAAATGGAGGGTTGCGGGGCGATATGATGCGCTTTATTTGCCAAGCTAGCCATGGGGAGTAATCCTGACGGAGAAGCTTGTCTGTAATCATACTGCTTTGGAGGAAGAGGAGGAAGTGCTGGAGGAGATTGATATCGTTCTACCTGTTGCGCTGGCGGGTGATGAGCTTCGTTCCCTGCTCCAACCTTTGGCGGCAGCTGCGGAGGAGCATTCGCCGGTGGAGCTGGGCTTTGCTGCTTATTCCCTGTTGTTGGTTGTCCCATTCCAGATGGCAGAGGCGGTAGCGGCGGTGGTGTTGGTGTCTCCTGTGGTTGCGGGGGCAATTGTTGACGGTATCGGACAGGGGGTTCCTTAGCAAACACTTCTCGGAGGATCAAGAGTAGATCGGAAATTGTTGACCTCTGAAGATGTTACATGGTCAGTCTTTCGTCCGCAATTTGCAGGACACCTTGGAAATTGACAACTCACATCCCAAGCCTCGGCCCAATGCGCCAGATAGTGGTGATACACCCGCCCCTCCAGCGTAACATGTTGCCCAACGCGCACAGTCATCTCCTGCGTTGGCGTTACGTAGACTATTGGAGGTTCTCGCGGATAGGTGTTTGGGATCCAGATCGCGACTGGAAATCGGTAGGTTGAGCCGCGGAAGACAACAGGTAACGTGCCCACGAGGTGGAGGAGCAAGGCCGAGAACCCGTTCTCGTAAGCTGGGTGGGAAACAGGTTGTCAGGAGAGGTATCAAGCGATGCATTGGCTTGCAGCACTCACTGTAGACATCGGTACGAGGCGAGAGTGAAGGGTACTGGGCGAGCGCATTGACAACATCGTGATAGGCACGATTGGGATCGTGGTAGGTCTGCTTCGGGTCGTAATGGTCCTGGAAAAGTCAGACGCCTGTGCCTCCAATCCATCCCATTCGATCGAGTACACACCTTTGTTAGGACCGAGTACAGCCAGGTGAGCGTCCGCTGGGGGACCGCCATGGTGGGGAGGCTGAATGTTGAGAGGGAAGGGTTGAGTCGCCGCGCTGGTCCTCCGCACCGCTTCCCCGCAACGGTCTTGGCTCGCTCGGCTCAGCAGTTTTGCGCCAGTCGTCCCAGATATTGTTGGTCGCCGCTTCATATTTTCGAGGTAATTTTGAATTTGATCATGATGTGGTCCTTGAAAATTATTACTGGGCACATACTCCAAATCTTATCAAGTTATTCAAGGTCGAGATATATTGTACCACATATAACACTCACGGCATCATGTGCATCATATATATCTCGTCCTTTAGTGGTATATGGGTGGGCCATCCAACATCGAAATTGTGACATGACATCACATATGAATGGCAACAAAAGGCCAAATATTCATACAATGCATACGCCGCCGGTAGGCATCCATCGCATCGTGAATTGATTCTTATGTCGCTTACTACGTAAAAGACTGAACCATCCTAAAGCAGCAAAACAATACTGGGGATGATCAACGGTTTTTGATGGTACTAATTAATGAAGGGAGTATTTGCATTCTGTACATCGGATTGTTGTTACACCAGAAACTGAACGCCGCCCGAAGGAGAACTTCTGTTTATCTCCAGCGAAAGTGAATTATTGCCAGGAAATTTAAACGTGGAAAAAAAGATCAGTGTTGGCTCCACTCGATTGTGTTCAGGTCGATACCTTCCTGCACCAGCTCCCAAAGTGGGCTCAGCTCGCGCAGGAACTGCACACGCTCCTTGACAGCCTTCAGGACGTAGTCAATCTCCGCATCACTGGTAAATCGACCAATACCGAAACGGATACTGCTGTGAGCGCTCTCATCGCTGCTGCCAAGCGCGCGCAGAACGTAGCTGGGTTCCAGCGAAGCAGAGGTACAAGCACTACCTGAGGAAAGAGCAATGTCCTTCAGGGCCATCAGGAGGGACTCGCCCTCAATATAGGCGAAGGAGATGTTGACACAACCCGGGTAGTGGGCCTTGGGGTCACCGTTCAAAGTGGTGTGCTCCATGCCCAGGAGACCCTCGGACAGGCGCTTCGAGAGACGCTCAATGTGCTTAGTGTCGTACTATAAATTTATTAGCATTGCTCTCACGTAGCCATCTGCGATCATTTTAAATGGAAAAATAGGAGAAACCCTAATCATTACCCCTGCGTTGGCGTCAACGGCCCCGGACATCATCCCTCGAGGGGATGGAGCTACCGTCTAGGGCCTCTTCCAATCGAAATGCAGTGCATAATCATGAAAGGTGATGCTGGAAAAAAAGGGGAGAAAGGGGAGGGGGATATGAGAAAGATCTTACCTCCATGTCCTGCGAAGCCAGTCGGCATGCTTCACCAAAACCGACAATCAGATGCGGGGCGAGAGTTCCGCTACGCAGACCTCTCTCCTGACCACCACCGGTGATGATGGGATCCAGGCGGACACGAGGACGACGGCGAACGTAGCAAGCACCGATACCCTTGGGTCCGTAGATCTTGTGGCTCGAGATGGACATCAAATCGATATTCAACTTGTTCACATCGAGCGGGATCTTACCGACGGCCTGAGCAGCGTCGGTATGGAAGAAGACCTTCTTGGAGCGGCACAGGCGGCCAATCTCCTCCAAGGGCTGGATCACACCAATCTCGTTGTTAACCGCCATGATACTGACAATGGCGGTCTCCGGCCGAATCGTGGCCTCGAGATCTTCCATGCGAATCAGACCGTTGTTCTGCACGGGCAGGTAGGTGACCTCAAAGCCCTCGTCCTGCAGGTGGCGGCAGCTATCAAGCACGCACTTGTGCTCAGTCTGAGTTGTGATGATGTGCTTCTTCTTGCCAGAACGTCCAAAGAAACGGGCCACACCCTTCAAGCTCATGTTGTTACTCTCCGTGGCACCGCTGGTGAAGATGATCTCCTTGGGGTCGGCTCCAATCAGCGTGGCGAGATGCTCACGGGCCTGCTCCACGGCCTTCTCCGATTCCCATCCGTAGGCGTGTGTGCGCGAGTGCGGGTTTCCATAGATGCCGGTGAGATAAGGGAGCATCGCGTCGAGAACACGGGGGTCCAGCGGGGTGGTAGCCTGCATATCGAGGTAGATGGGACGAGTGCCTTGGTCCATCACGGTCGCTTGCTTGAGGATGCCGGCGGACGGGCTCATGGCGGCGTCACCCGAAGTAGGAGCGCCGGGGAGGTCGACATTCTGGGGCGCGATGCCAGCCTGTTTCATGAAAGATTTCTGCTCCTCCTTGATGGCGGTATCGACGTTGACCTGAGCTTGACCGGCCTTGGTCTTGGTGACATAAGAGCGAGCGCCGGGGACAGTGGCGAAGATCTGGCGGGGGGCAATCCAGGCGCCGCGGGTAGGCAGACGCCTTTGACAGACTCGAGACGCGTGTCTCCAGGCAGCAGGGGCGGAAGACATGATGGTTGATGATGAATACAGGTAGAGGGAGGAAAGCGTCCTGGGGATAATCCTCGCGGGCGGTGGCATTTCCCGGTAGCTCGGGAATTTCCCGATCGGGCGACGGAGGGGGTTTCTCCGAGGCATCGCAAGTATATGAAGGACAAACACGCAGACTTTTTGTCGGACTAGATTCCAAGTGACATTCACAGGGGCAAAGAGGACGACTCCTGAAAATTCCGTAGCAGGCGGCCCCTCCATCCCTACCACCTACCCAAAACCAGCAGACCTCAGGCAGTCCTACAGCATCCGGCGTTGATCGTCCCCACTCGCGGACGGTGAACAGGTTCGCGCCCAAATGATCACGCTTTCTCCTGCAAGTTGCGCGCGGTCGATCCGCCATTTTGCGGGTAGGGCTGTCTCCATGTGGTGGCTGATCGTAGGTCGTACGTTAGTATAAGTAGCTATACTACTAATAGAGGAACACTGTCTTTCTTGGGCTAGTATGATCTCTAGGTAGAAGTGCTAGCCCAGCTGGCCCAGCTGGCCCGGGATAGCCGGGCACGCCGTAACGCTGATGCCTTGTCTCCGTCGCCCGATCCGTGACCAGGAAATAGTAGTCACGATCAATCGTAGCTCCCTGATACGCTAGCACTAGCAAACTCAGCCATGCGCCACATTCAGGCGGCCTTGGAACCGATGAGGTACAGCCACACCGTCGCAGTGAGCAAGTCTTATGTCATAGGTGAAGCGAAAGTTGGGAACGGAAGGACCAGCGAGCCCCCGCCCTTGGCGTCTTCTCCCTCTGCATCTCCCCAGTCCACAATCCCCCGTGGCCATGAGTTTCAAGGGCTTCCAGAAGAGCATCGTGCGTGCGCCGCAGCAGTTCAAGGTCAAATTCAACATCGGCGAGCACTCCAAGGATGCCGTGTATAGCGACGCCGAACGCCGCTTCCAGGAGCTCGAGAAGGAGACTAAGAAGCTGCACGATGAATCCAAGAAGTATTTTGACGCTATCAACGGTACGTCCTGCTCATCCCGGCGATCCCGGATTCCCCCAAAGGCCTGGTGAGGTCTGGTGTTCGGGGGCCAGGATTGCCGCACCAAAATTCACCCTCCAAGAGCGCGCCCACAGACGGGCTGACCGCATTGTCCGACAGGCATGCTAAGCCACCAAATCGAATTCTCTAAAGCAATCGCCGAACTCTACAAGCCCATTTCCGGCCGGGCGTCGGATCCCAATTCTTACCAATTCGAAGGTAACCCCGAAGGTATCCAGGCCTGTGAGGACTATGAGACGATCGTCCGGGAGCTGCAGGAAGCGTTGGCCCCCGAACTCGAGATGATCGAGAGCCGGGTGATCAGCCCCGCGGACCAGCTGCTGGAGGTGATCAAGGTGATCCGCAAGGTGGCCGTCAAACGCGACCATAAGAAGCTCGACTTTGATCGTCACAATGCCTCACTCAAGAAGCTGCAAGAGAAGAAGGACAAGAACATCAAGGACGAAAAGGCGCTCTACAAGGCGGAGAGTGAGGTCGAACAAGCGACTCAGGAATTTAACTACTACAATGACCTGCTGAAGGAGGAGCTGCCGAAACTGTTCACCCTCGAGGCCGAGTTCATCCGCCCGCTGTTCCAGTCCTTTTACTACATGCAACTCAACGTCTTCTACACCCTACACGAGAAGATGCAAGCCATGAATATCGGCTACTTTAACCTCCAGCTCGACGTGGAAGAGGCATTTGAGCAGAAGCGGGGCGACGTGCAGGAGCGCGCCGAGGCCTTGATGATTGTGCACTTTAAGACCAAGGGACTTGGCCGTTCGGGCTCCAAGGCCGGCTCGCTCAAGGCCGCCGAAAGCAAGAGCACTCTGGGCCGTGGGCGATCCACATCGACTGCCGACGAGAACCCTCCTCCTCCCTATTCCTCTTCTGGTGTCACTCCCAGCCCAACAGGAAGCTTCTCCTCGGCGGCCAAGAGCAAGCCGGCGCCTCCTCCCCCGAGGGTGAAGCCCGCCCACCTCAGCAAGCCGGTCGAAAAGGTGACCGCGCTGTACGACTACGAGGCTCAAGCACACGGCGACCTCGGATTTTCGGCCGGCGATGTGATCGAGATTGTTCATCGGACCGACAACCAGAACGAGTGGTGGACCGGCCGGGTCGATGGCCGGGAGGGTCAATTCCCTGGTAAGTGTTTGCTATTCTCTTCTCTACTCCCATTCTCTGTAATCATTGCTAACGCCTTTCTTCTCCAGCCAACTACGTGCAGTTGCATTAGCATGGATGCGTTTACGTCTTCAATCGGTTTTGTCTTTTCTCTTATGATTCTCTTTAGCTCCGGCGCATAATGGTACCCATAGAGCGTTTGTGTAAATAACCTTCGTTTTCACTTTGCTCCACCTTATCAAACTGGTCATCGTCGATGCTACGTCGGGCCTCGGCGTGGGAGACCGTGCAGTACAATGTTAAGAAGCTCGTCCCTCCCCTTGATTGCATTTGACCATCTCCGTAAACCTGCTCTCAATACCATGTCTCATCTCATCCACCTTGTAAATGCACGCCTCGTCGACGGCGATCAGCTGGTTTCCAAGTCTCTGTGGATTGACTCCATCGCCGGAGTCTTCATCCCCCCGCCTCTGCCCGACCCCGCCTCATCAGTTGCAGCTGCAACGAGCATCGATCTTCAAGGTCGCATCGTGTCCCCCGGATTCATCGACCTGCAAATCAACGGCGCCTATGGCTTCGATTTCTCAGAAGATGCTACCGAAGAGGTCGAGGGAAAGTCCTACACGCAGAGATACCGTGATGTGCGGCGGAAACTCATCGCTACGGGGACGACGAGTTTCTTACCGACAATGACAAGCCAGCTACCGCAGCGATATCATCGAGTGAGTGACAATGGGGACTACCTAATGAGGTTTCACAGGGGGTAGTTAACACTTGTCCCTTAGAATTTGCCTTTATTAGGACCTTCCAAATCTCGCGACCCCTTTGATGGAGCCGAATCTCTTGGTGCTCACTGCGAGGGTCCATTCTTTGCCCATAATCGTATGGGAGTTCATCTTCCTGACGCTATCATCTCGTCTGGAAAAACTAGTGAGCCAACGCACGTGTTCGAAACATATGGAATGAATAACCTTTTCGATGAGAGCTATTCGTTCGATGGCTCAATCTCCTCCAATGTCCGCATGATCACAATGGCGCCAGAGAGACCCGGTGCTCTCGATACAATCACAGAGCTCAGCCAGAAGGGTATCGTGATGTGTATCGGCCATATGGCAGCCGACTATAAACAAGCGCGTGCGGGCATCGAAGTTGGCGCAACGATGATCACCCACCTGTACAATCAGATGAATCCTCTTCACCATCGCGGACCGGGTCCACTGGGAATTCTCGGCGGAGCAGGGGATATCAACCCCGAGACCGAGGCAAAGATTCTAGGAGAGGGGACTTCTAACACTCGTCCTTACTTCGGCATCATTGCGGATGGACATCATGTTCACCCAGCCAGTGTTCGATTAGCACACCTGATGCATCCAGATGGTCTTATACTGGTGACTGATGCTTTACTCCTGCTGGGAGATGAAGATGGGACGATCGACTGGCTGACGAGGCGTCTGACTAAAAAGGGGATTTCGGTGACACTGGAGGGTACCGACATCATCGCAGGGAGGTATGTATTAAATTTAAATATCGATGGATCGCGCATGCACGAATACTCACATATAAATGTAGCTGCGTGACTCTGCTGCAATGTATCAATAACTTCCGCAAATGGACAGGTGCTTCCATACCGGCTACGCTACAAGCCGTGACTTCTAGACCTGCAGCAGTCCTGAAGCTGGGCCATGTCAAGGGAACCCTGCAGGCTGGGGCTGACGCTGATTTTGTCGTACTAAGTGAGAATCATGTACCTGGTCAACCGGCATCTGACCTGGTAGTTGACGAAGTATGGAACTTTGGGACAAAGGTTTTTGATCGAAACACATCATAGCAATATGCTACACCAAGGTTGAGGGATAAATGTCCCATACTTTAGCAGGTATACTTTCAACACACAGTGTTTATATGGCTAGACTTGTAGATCCTACCATAGGTGTCTATTGGGCTCACAGGCTATCAGTAGTACAACAAATTTCAGCTTGATTCAGAGTCTATATGACAGTTGTGCTGGTTTTTGCGATAGAAAGATGCAGGAAATGCAAACACGGCGTTTTGATTCCATGTACAATCAAAAGTCTCCGGCGACAATAAGACCCAGGACGTGAGGCGCAGTTCGACCAGAAATCCTATAATTACAACAGAAAAGAGTGAAGTAGAAGGAGAAAGTTGTGATAATCAAAGCAAGACAAAGAATAGATATACAAGATCACATACGATCTTGAAGCCGGAACGAAATCGTCATCAACGAAATAGTGTGGAGAATGAAAGGTAAACTGCAGCTAAAGTATTTGAATCCTGCCCGAAAGTTGACACCCGAAGTGAAATGGGGACAAAGGCCTGCATTTGCATCTTGAGGCCTGAAAAAAACCTTACGACTCCTGCTATGTCGACAGAGCCGATTCGAAATAGAAAGAACACATCGCAGTTGAAAGAAAACCGTCGTGTCCTGATTCAGACAACGGAATGCTCCCGGCGGATGCTGTTAATGCAAATATCATGCTCGACAGCAATCCCAAAAGGAGCTTCAGATTCCTCAGAACGCTTACTCGCAGGATGGGCCGCGTAGCATAGGGTCTCTGCCGCGCTGCTGGGGGTCATGGAAGTGGACATGTTCCTGCTGGGAAGAGATCCCTTGATTGTGCTGTCGACTCCAAATGCCAGTGCTTTCCAGAGGTTGCGACGAGGAGAGCTTGCCGAGCCGGGGCCTCGCTGCTCAAGAGCAGCGGTAGCCCACAGAGATGACAGAGGCAGAGAAATTGTGACCAGGGTCAAGACGTTAGTCTGGAGTTCTGGAACGGTGACCCGGTATTGCAGGATGGAGAAGATGGCCGGGATGGTCATCGTCTGACAACCACAAACAAAAATGACTTTCATAGGGCCAAAGTCGCGCACTCCGAGCCGGTTTCGCTGTCGAATGGCATATCCCAGCTTGGTCACAAAGATGGCACAAAAGAAGCAGATGCTCGTAGTGATGACGTTGCTGGTGGCGCTTTCTAGCCACCAGATACTATCCATGTAATCGATATTCAAGATGTAGATGCAGTTCATGATCATCCATCCGAATCGAAAACCGATCGGCACAAGGGCCACCAAGATGGAAAGACCGAGGAGAACCACTCGACACCGCCGACGTAGCGTCGCGCAGACTACCTGAGTCTGCAGCACCAGTGAGATCTCGATGCAGACGACCAACAGCGTGCTGAACACCGTTGTAAAAATCGACACCACATATGCCCCAGTCTCTACCGCTGAATAATCGTATGTGAAGTAGGGGTAAATCTTTTCAAAACCGGTGTCGAAATGTAGGACGCCGAAGAAGAGGCGGATAATGTTGAACAGCAACGCCAGGGAATTGAGGGTGAACACAGCCGAGCCGCGCTTCTCTTGCCGGGTGAGAAGAAGGAGAATGACGAACAGCACGAGCGATGCCCCGAGCTGGGAGCCATAGTTGATGCAGATGCGGACGTTGTACTGGACAAAGGAATCGAGCTCGACCAAGGGAACCACCAGGGGCAAGCCATCAGCCCGACGGATGGTGATATTCTGCTGATAAGGATCGAAGTTGTCCATGACGTGTGCGGGTGCTGTATGAGAGACTCAATTGAAAACCGGATGCTGAAGACGATGGTTGGAAAGAGACAGAACCCGGCTTCAAGTTGACGCGTATAAGAGCTGGCCGCATGGTCTCTGCCAGGCAATCACTGAGAGTATTCGGATTCACGATGAGGGCTGGAGAGTAACATAATGAGGCAGCCGAAACAAACAATACTAGTAGTGGTCGGAATGCGAGGTGCGGGCGGAGGGTGAAGTCGAACAGGGGGGAGGACAATGCTACGAGCGGGAAGAACAATACTAAGGCCGAGACAAAGAAGGGCCCAGGTCGCACTCGAGACTTGGGCCCTTCGCGGCATCGCATCCGGCGAGTTATGCGAGTCTCGCGGTCACCAAAGTTTGCCATTTAGAATTGGGTGCCATGTCTTGCTCGTGGAGGTTGGCCAGTTCGGCTGCGTTGCGGATGGTGTATCTTGTAGATGAGGATGTCTTGTATGACCGAGTGGCGAGGTCATGGCCGCTCGCGATTCGTGCCAGACACGCTGACACGCTAGGCCTGGACGGGTCCGCAGTGACAGGTGCTGGACGAGAGATATCCAGTGAATTATGGACTTGAATTGACGTTGTTGGCGGATGGAGACCATCTCAAGTGAAGCAGTTAGTTAGCGCTCGGCGAGAGGCCTGAGGCCGCCACGGACTACACTAATGTACTCGCATGGGACCTCACATCTTCAATCCCATTTATACGCTTAGTCTCTTCCCTGGGGCACAGTGTCCATTCTCTATGGCTGCACTGATCTATTTGATATTGGCCATCACCTACCCCAACCCATCCTACCCCATTAGATAGACATACTATGCTTTGGTGGAGTCGGTGGAGCTCGGGGAGGAATTGGGCCGAGCGACTCGGAGACTTTCGATGGCGAAACGCAGTCACCCATCGTAGACATACTAGCACCTAAGGAACCTGGCACTGAATACATGGGCAATTGAGATTAAAGTGCTGACAAACACACCAAAATACCCCATCAGCTCCGGAGATCTCTCCGAATTGGAGCGGCATTGGAAATCAACGCGTCGCCATCGGGGTAAGTATACAGGTGCGGGCGCGGGAAAATCTTTTCGGGGCTTAGAAATCACCCAGTATAAATAGTGCATATCTCGACAAGATCAGTCGGAAATTGGAATTGTAGCAGATAGAATCCTTGGAGGTAATACACCATGACTTGGCCCGATGTTTCTGTTGCGCCCGCCCCGGGCATCTCCTACTTCACGCCTGCGCAGTCGCCCCCTGCTGGCACCGCCCGCGACCCTCAAACCAGCGGCAAGCCCATTCCGACGCTCTTCAAGCCCCTGACTATCCGTGGCCACACCTTCCAGAACCGCCTGGGCGTGAGTTTTCCCATCTATTGGCTCCCAGATTTTGCGAATTCGACACTAAACATTGAGTAGGTGGCTCCCATGTGCCAGTACAGCGCCGAAGATGGCCATATGACCGCCTGGCACATCGCCCACTACGGCGGCATTGCTCAGCGTGGCCCCGGTATGATCATCATCGAGGCCACTGGTGTTGTCCCGGAGGGCCGCATTACCCCTGGCTGTGTGGGTCTGTGGAAGGACTCCCAGATCGCACCGCTGAAGCAGGTCGTCGAGTTCGCCCACAGCCAGGGCCAGAAGATTGGTATCCAGCTGGCTCATGCTGGCCGCAAGGCCTCCACGGTTCCTCCGTGGTTGGGGGGTGTGACCGCGACCAACGCGGTGGGTGGCTGGACGGAGAATGTCAAGGCCCCGAGTGCTATCCCCTTCGCCGAGGGTGACATTGTTCCCAGGGCTATGACCAAGGAGGACATTCAAGAGGTGAAGGATGCCTGGGTGGCCGCGGTCGAGCGTGCTGTCGCTGCTGGTGTCGACTTTATTGAAATTCACAACGCCCATGGCTATCTGCTGTCATCCTTCCTCAGCCCCTCGTCCAACCAGCGCACCGACGAGTATGGTGGTAGCTTCGAGAATCGCATTCGTTTGTCCTTGGAGATATCTCAGTTGACTCGTGACACTGTAGGCCCGAATATGCCGGTCTTCCTGCGTGTCTCTGCCACCGACTGGCTGGAGACCAGCCTGCCCGAGGAGAAGGGGTGGAAGCTGGAGGACACGGTTGAGTTTGCCCGGGCTCTTGCCAACCAGGGGGCCATCGACCTGATCGACGTCAGCACTGGTGGTGTGCATGCCGCTCAGAAAGTGACGTCGGGCGTTGGCTTCCAGGTGCCCTTCGCTAAGGCTGTCAAGGCGGCCATTGGCAACAAGATGCTGGTCTCCGCCGTGGGCACCATCAACGACGGTACTCTGGCTGAGAAGATCCTCAACGAAGACGACATAGATCTTATCCTGGTCGGCCGGGCCTTCCAACGTGATAGTGGTCTGGCCTGGGCCTTTGCCAAGGACTTGGACGTGGAGATCGCCATGGCGGCTCAGATCCGCTGGGGCTTCACCAGCTTCCGCAATGCGTCGGAGTACATCCAGCCGAACTCGATCAAGGCGTCCATCTTTGACTAGACGACGATATGAACTGCATAGCATATAGACTTGGGAGTACGGTAGAAAATGCACGATTTGACGATTTCCACACATCCTTTTCACTCACTACGTAAGGCTTGTTACTATACGAGTAGCTCCATGTCGCTTAAGGTCTAGGTGGTTGTAATTTCGGGAAAGGAACCCTCGGCAGCTGGGGAATCTCCGAGGAAACTGAAATGATGAAGGACCTAAGGCCCCTTCAGCTTGCAAGTTCGGGTCCAGCGTGCCGCCCGTCATCGGAACATGTACGTACGACCCCGCAGCTAGTACCTTTCGGATTCTCTTTCTCACAATTGATCACGGTTGATCAACCAGGCAGCACGGATAAATGGGATAAATGCTCTATCCTCGTCCTAACAAGGATCGAGCTGAATCTTTAGTTCCGTTCCTCATCTGGGTTATTATCTACAAGGCTTCCCCTTCGACTCTGCACTGCATACTTCTAATATGATACTAGGACTTGGACTTTTACGGGAAACCGGAGGCTTAATGTTATGATCATGGTAAATGATTATTTTCCGCGAGGATAATTCTTGAGTTTTCATTCTGTGCCACATTCTACGCCTGGAAATAAGCGGGAAAGAGTTCCCGAAACTCCCTTAGGGTGCGAACTAGTGCACTTCCCAGAATATAGTTGAATTTGAGTGCAATTTAGAGGACATCCCGTATCTCCCCATCGTGGCAACCGCATATCCCTGTACATCCAAAGAAATTAAACCACATGCGCCCGATTAAATTTCCTTTTAGAATACCCTGTCTTCAACTCCGACCACGAAATTGCGTGGTGGGTGGTGGTTTACTCGCAGGGCCAGCCAATTCTGTATACTCCGGATGGCTGCTATACTGCACCTAACTACCTTACATAAGCCGTACCAAACATCGCCACTTTTCGATTTGCACCTTTCTCGTCCCTTTCCGTCGTGGGTGGGCGGTGGCTGCGGGGCAGTGCGGACGCAGCGTGTCCGGCCTCCAGTGCGGGCATTTGTTTCGGTGTTCCTGCTGGCACGGATGTCTTATTGACGCTCGTCCGTGTTCGCAGAGCCCCCCGGGTTCTGCACCTCAGAACAAGCTCAGGGTTGACGTTGACCCCGGATGCGCATGATCGCCCCTCAGGTTTAGCGAAGTGAGGGCGATTGCGGTGGGGCTCGGCCGTACCAGGGTTGCGAGGCGGCACACACGCAGAAAGAAGGCCTTTCACCGGCTTCCGAATCATTCTCTAGCTCTGGCACTAGCAGGGACCTGTATCGCCTGCACTCGGCCTAAAATCCTGCACGCGGGCTCTCGGATGCATGGGCCCCCATTCCTGATGGGGTTTGATGGAGCCGATATAAAGTCTCGCCGCAGAGCCCTCTAAATGACCCCCAATGCTCTCACAGTATTCTCCCCGTCCACCCCTTTAAACCACCCATCTCACCGGGTCATGGCGGACACCACGCAATCCCCCTCCTATATCGGACCGCGGGCTAGCCTCGAGGCGTTACCCGCCAGTAGTCCGTAGATCCAACCGAGTCAACTCGGGTCCTGGCTGGAGTTGATCGCGTGCTTAGAAATGCGCCCCGGTAACTCTTTACGTGCTCGGGCAATTCGCCGGGCCAGAGGCACCCCAGAATACGCCGAAAACTCTGCGGGCGATCAGAACCGGGGGGCGTAGCAAACTCGGCGCAGCGTTATAAACATTTCAAGTCCCCCCTCTCGTCCCCTAGCGTTTTCTGCAGAACGAAGACTATTTCATATTCCCGAGTTCGTACCAATTTTCAACCCGGAGTTGCTCCGTTCGCATCCGACAATTTAGCCTTCCGGGGTATTGGCTGTCATCCTCTCCGCCACCCGCCTGTCGCTGGTCTGGGGACCTTTGCATCCTGTTCCTGACATTCCCCTTACCACAACTCCGCTTGCAACCACCGACCTCAGCAGTCTGCTTGTGTATATTCTGTACATGGCTTGCGTGAGGCTGTCAATACTTCACACATAGTATCCTAATACGCGACATTGACGGGGTCGGAGTTCTGATCCGGGTGCGCCGCGAGGCACCAGTCGCCCTATCCTCATATACCCTGGGGACACGTGCTCACCTGCCAGCAGTGTTTTTTGGACCACTGCGGTTTTCCGGCACGTCGTCGTTTTTCTCCTTCGTTGCACCGTCAAATCCATCCTGCAAAATGCTTCCGCCGATCCCTCGTATCGAGGACTACGGTATTTCAGCGGAAAATGGCTTCCTGCCTCCAGAGCCGCCGCTGGAGATCCTGCCGGACCCGTACTACGCCAAATGGGAGACTGTTGTGGCTAACCTGCAGCCGCTGCTGCTGAGCAAGCGGGTTCGAGCCGTGGTGGACACCATGCCCATTCTCGCGACAGACCATCTCGAAACAGATGCCGAATGGCGTCGAGCCTACGTCGTGCTGGTCTTTATGCTGCATGGCTACATCTGGGGCGGTGATAAGCCTGCCGAGGTAAGCTAAGAGCTGTTATGTGTCGCGAATGAAGAGAGTGTCTCATACTGACATCGTTTTGTTTCAGATAGTCCCACCGCAGCTCACCGTGCCACTGCTCCAAGTCTGTGAGCGACTTGAACTCCCGCCTGTCGCGACTTATGCCGGAGTCTGCCTCTGGAATTATCGATCGATCTTCCCGGACGAGCCTACCGATGATCTCGACAACCTTGCATGCCTGCAGACCTTCACGGGCTCGCTCGACGAACAGTGGTTCTTCCTGGTCTCGATCGCCTTGGAGGCACGTGGTGCACCGTCGATCCCTCTGATGCTGCAGGCGATCAGCGCTGCGCGTCGGGGCGAGACCCCTGTCGTGACCGAGTGCCTGCAGCAGCTCGCAGAGATCCTCGACGGCTTCACTGCCCTGCTCACCCGCATGTATGACAACTGCGATCCCTACGTCTTCTACAACCGCATCCGCCCGTACCTAGCCGGCAGCAAGAACATGGCTGATGCGGGTCTCCCCAATGGTGTGCTGTACGACGATGGCCAGTCGACTCCCCAGTATCGGCAGTACGGCGGTGGCAGCAATGCGCAAAGCTCGATCATCCAATTCTTTGATATCGTCCTTGGCGTGGAGCATCGTCCGACTGGGGTGACTCGCAATGACCAAGCCTCCGCGAATACCAATGAGAGTCCCCGCCCCCGCCACGGCTTTATCCATGAGATGCGCGAGTACATGCCTGGCCCTCACCGTCGGTTCTTGGGTGATGTCGAATCGGTCGCCAACATTCGCGCGTATGTCGAGGCCCATCGCTCCAACTCGGCCCTGTGCGTGGCCTACGATGCCTGCCTGTCGATGCTGCGGGTGATGCGCGACAAGCATATTCAGATCGTCTCTCGCTACATCATTGTTCAGTCCCGCGGTGCTCGCAATGCATCCCAGCCGATGGAGCCAAACCAGCCAGCCGCCACAAATCTTGCTACTGCGGCGCCCAAGGACAACAAGAAGCTTCGAGGCACAGGTGGCACCGCCCTCATCCCTTTCCTGAAGCAAGCTCGGGATGAGACGGGGGAGCCAGCCATCGACTCGTGGGCCCAGCGACTTCTCAGCGGTTCCCTCGATAAGAAATCGGCCGCTCTCAGCAAGGTGGGCGAACACCCGGATGGCAACCTCGAAGTCGTTGGTCTCTGTGGGACCTGGACGGCGGATGATTATGAAGGTGGAATCTGCCACTGGTAAACGGTGTGGATTGGATGGTTTTTCTGTTGTTTTCGAGTACTATCTGAGCGTTCACATGCATCTGGGTCGGGATTTTTACCAATCTACATTTATGGATTGAGGGTTATGGCTTCAAAATGGCGTCAAAGGTTCAGTTTACCCTTCCGGTAAGGGTTCAGGTTTATCAACGGTTTATTTGTCAGTGAGTTCCTAGTCGCATCTCGACTCCTGGGATAGACAGCGGCCATCCTTTGTGATGTGCACAATTTCATCATCGATACCGAATGATCCTCCCCCTATCTCCCCACGAGACGGAGTCCCAACGCCTCTGTGGCTGGATCCACCGTAGACTAGAATCTTCTGTCCTTCTTTGGCTTCCAATAATCCAGGTACTGGGCCTGGCTTTCATGACGAATTTCCGCGTGGCTTGACTTGTCACGTGGTGTGACATCAATCGATGATGTCATCGATGATGGTTGTTTGCACGGAGTGAAGCAAAGCTTGGAAAATAGGCGGCCACGACGGACTATATATATTGCCGGTTGTTCCAAGACAAGTTTCATTCTCAACTCTGCAGTCTCCAAAATATTGACTTCACGTCCCCATCAACTCTTTCGATCTTCGATCTATCATCCACTTCATCACAACTACATCTTCCATCCACACCATCAACATGGCCGACAACGGCAACTCTTCCACCCTTGGCTCCATTGCCAACTCTGCCACCGGCATGGCTCAGCGTGCCTATGGTGCCGTGACCGGCGACTCTTCCACTCAGGTAATACGCCTCTCTGACCTTCTCATTACTCTTGAAGTGAATTCAGACTAACATCCTCTAGAACAAGGGTGAAGCCACCCAGGAGCAGGCCAAGGCCCAGGACGAGGCCTCCCACACCACTGCCAAGTTGGGTCCTGTCTCTGCCGACCCCAATACCGGTGCCGTCGCCCACGATGACCAAAACCGCTCCACCGGCTGGTGGGACCAGACCATGGGCTCTACCAAGGAGGCCGTTGGCAACGCCATCGGCAACGAGAACCTGCGCCGCGCGGGTGTCGAGCAGAACGCCGCCGGCAAGGAACAGGAGGCCAAGGGTCAGCTGAAGGATTGGGGCAGCGGTATCCAGAACCGTGCCCAGGGTGCACTTGGCAGCATCGGTGCTGCGGTCAGCGGTGACCGTGAGGAAGAACAGAAGTGGCGCGATATCCACGATGAGGGCAAGGTCCGCCAGCGTGGTGCCGAGGCCGATATGGCTAAGAAGCAGGGCGCATGAATACACTTCTAATGTGCCCTGATTCCCACTCTTTTCCCTTCTTGCTGCCCAGCGGGTTTCGGCTTGTTTTATTGTCACGATTTATGAATTCCTCACCAGATTACGATAGCGAATAGCAATTGACGTCTGCCGCCGTTTTTAACGTTTGTGGAATCATTAAATATGGAATTAATCCACGTAGGTGCTGTGCTTGAAGATCATGATTGGCTTTAATACACCCTGTTTATCATAATCGATGCTGCACCATACACACAATGCAGCTCACTTGTACTGTACCGCTACCACGCGACAGAGAAACAAGGGCACTGTTGCAGTCAGGCTGGCTGGAATCGCCTACTAGTCCTCACCAATAGTTGGTTTCTTTAGTATTTATCAGGACGAAGCTTTTTGAATTGCTCTGTCACATCACGAATAGAAACCTTGCTCGCTGCTCGTGCACCGCATCCACACGATTCACATAGCAGCCTGGTTCACCAATTGAGAAAATTGAGATCCTTCCAAATGTGAAGTCCTAGGTCATTGTCCTTGCACTAGTGTACGGACGGTCGATGACTTGAGTCCGTTGTAACACTAGACAGCTATTCTGGTGGATACCATAATATAGAGCCAATTGCCCTCTATACAAAACGTACCCTAAGGTAGTAGTAAACTTTCTACTTCAGATCTAATCTGGATCTACAGTAGATCAAAGAGCTAGTATCGACATCTGCGGCATGATGGACTACCGTAACTTAACGTTGACAAGGGATCGGACCGTACTGACGATGGAAGACTCGAGCAAACCTAGCTAGGTAAGGTTGGGGCGTGACGTGCATCTCGTCCCCCGCTCGCGCATCTGATCTTGCTGGTCCGAGGTCCACTCACTCTCACTCCCTCCAGGCCTAGACGTCCCCAGCCCGTCCAATCGGTCAGTCCCAGGGCTCAATGCAACAAGGGATAACGGGCTTCCCAAGCGAGCTGATCGACCGAAGAATCCGGGCAGATCGATGGCCAAGAGGGGTCAAGCATTTGATATAGCTGCTGACCCCAGGTTTTTTGGTCCTTATCAGTCTCCCACTTCGCCTCTTCCAATTCATTCTACAGAGCTAAGAAGATGAAGTTCACAGCGGTGCTTCTCTGCCTCGTCGGTGCTGCTTGGGGCGCGGAGCCTCAACGGCGAGACACTACCACCAGCGAGAGCGGATTCAATATTGCCTCGCTATCCAGCGAACTGTGCGATTCCGTGACTCGTTGCTTTTATCTCGTACCAGCCCATCACTAACGCTCTGGTGTATACAGTGCACATATCACCGCCAATGCCACCTCCGGGGCGAATTTCGCCAACATCTCGCCGCCGCCAAAATCCCTCATCGGCGAGATCATCTCGGTGGTCCCCATGACGGTGATCTGGGAGCTCATCGATCCACAATCGCGCAGCTCGCTTGCCAGCGAGTTCAGCGCCGGTACGACGCCGACCTGGTACGGCAGTCTTCCGTCCGACGTGAAGAGCTACATGTCCGTTGTGCGATCCCAGATCAAGGCAGGCGTGCTGACCCAGACGACGACCCCGACGACCGGCACGAACGGTGCCTCGCAAACGGAGGCCGCGCAAGCCACTGGCGCGACGTCGACCTCGAGCGGACTGGCACCGGCGCAGGCGACCGGATTGACCGCGTCGGTGGTCGGGGCCTTGAGCGTTCTCGGGTTGGCCCTAGCGTTGTAGGCGGGTTGATGGGGTTTCTGCGCTAGCGGGTGAGCTGCAGACAAGCTGCACGCCGCAGCCTGTTTGGGGGACTGGCGGTCCACTGGTTGGTCGCGAGGGGCCTGCTGGTCACCGTGGGGCTGTACCACATTCGCGGGTTGTGTACTAGCACATACTTCAGCTGGAGGGTCACTTTTTTTTCTTTTCTTTTTTTTTCCTTTTGCATTTCTACTTTTTGGTCTGGATCAAATCCAGTTGCAGATAGACGACGCGACGAGACATGATATCAAGACATTTGTTTCACCCAATTTCATATTTCCATAAGATGCGACTGTGACTTAAGGTCGAATACTTCCACCGCCTGAAAATGCGGTTCCTGCTTTTGTTTCCAGGGGTGCATCGGCCGTGGCGCAAACCTCCACTTCCCCTCATTTTTCAGCCTCGGCCACTTCTTGTTCCTTTTCATCAGTCCACTACTACATACCGTTCTCGATGTTCCAGGCAATCCGGCCGGTTCTCACATTCCGCTATCTCGCCATCCGCCGAATATATATTAACTGCCGAATATAGATTAACTGCAGGCAAGACTCCACCAAATGTCACGATCTTCGCGATCGCGAGTCGTGCCGCTGATCGCTACTCAACCCATCGTCCAGCTCCGGCGTCACATGGAGTCGTCGGTCCGAGTTGACAGCCCGATGAACCACTGAGCAGGCGGCGCACGCCACTAGCCCCTCCGCTAGTACACGCAGAAGAGGCTGCCCACACGAACGAAAGAACGAGGCGAGTCCCAGCCGGCCCCAATAAAGGGTCCGATCGCCCGGCCAGTCGATCTTTTACTGTTTTGATGCTGCTTTGATGTGGTCCGGGGTGAGACCTGCGATGCGGGGATCGCCTCTGCTCGATGCTCTGCGCCGCTGCAACCACCGCAACGCCAGTATGCGCAGACTTGGAACCGGCGCCCTCTCACATGGAATGACATCGTCGAGCGATCGACCTCGGCGACTCTCTGGATCCACGATCGTGGATCTTGCCCGCTCTGCGCACGCCAATCCGGCCGGGCCCCGGCTGCTCGTGATGCCTGAGAGGCCGGTGGACACTGGCGGAGCCTCGGGGATTTTGCTGGATCGCTAACGTCTGGAAGCTAAGTCTGTCTCTGGCGTACCAAGTTCAGGTCTAGATGCAGCGGGGGAGACCGTGCTGGTCTAGGGAAGGCGTTCCCAGCTACACACTCGCTTATAAGACCGTGACAGGCGGGGGAGAGCTGACGGCGAGGCTGCTTTTTTCTTCTTATCTGCGTCCAGGGTCGTAGATCACTTCTGGGGGTTTTTGTGTGATCAATCCACGCCTTCAATTCCATTGCCAATCGCCATTTTCCAATTCAATTCTTGTTCCCTAACGTTTCAAAATGCGCTTCTCGACTTTGCTCCTCCCTTTCGCCGCGGCTCCGCTGGCTCTAGCAGCCCCCGAGCCCAACCCTGTCGCACCGCGGGCGCCTGCGTCGACCGGTGGCCTGCTCTCTGAGCTGCCGGGCATCCTGGACGGCGTGCAGGAGCTGCTAAGCAAGGACACCATCAACAACCTCGAGGTGATTGTCAGCGGCGCTGCGAAGCTGCTGTCCTCCGACAATATCGATATCCTGCAGGATATTCTCAACAACGCCCACACCCTGTTGACCAAGGACTTTGTCGACAACACCACAACGCTGATCGGCGATGCCACACCGGTACGTATTCCTCGTACACTAGTCCCCTACCTCTAGTGTATCTGCATCTCCCAAAATAGGGTGTCACGCTAACAATGATCAGCTGGTGGAGGACGTGTCGAAGCTGCTGGGTGGGGTGCTGGGCTCGCTATAGAGAAGATTTATGACTGTTTATTCAAATCATGATAGCATACGAATTTCAACGAGGGATCTGAGATCAATATTCAATATTATATAAAAATGATCATAGTGTGACATTTAACTGCAAACATCACAACCAAATATATGCAATTGAAGTTTATGACACGGTAAGAACCCTCATCTCCGCACAGAGCGTATCTCATAGCATGGGTATATACAAAACATTAAAAAGACCGACTATCCTGATAATTTCCTCCCAAACTGGTTCACCCGCCTGTCCAAAATGTTCAAACAACATTCAGTTTATCGCGCAACTTATCCTTATAGTAACTCAGCGGGTACCCGCGCCACTTGTTAGGCATGGCCGGGTATACTGCGACCGAAAAGCCCATCCAGGTCCGGTACAGGGTGCGGGTGCTGGCGGTGGACCGCAGCCCGTACGAGTCACGCAGGTTCGGCGGCAGCATCTCAATGGTGACAGCCCGCAGGAAGGGTTTCAAGTTCTGCACCCATTTGGGCATATCGGTGCTCTCTCGCAGATCCTTTGCGAACTGAGCCGCGTCGGATGAGACGGTCAACTTGCCGACCTGGTCATCCCAGTACGACCAGAAGGCCTGGCGGGTCTCGGGCCAGGTACCGGGAGGGATCCCCAGGCAGTTCATCAGCAGGCCAAACTCGCTGTAGGCGCGCTGGGCGGTTTGGTAGTCGACCCGGCCGTAGACACGCTGGTAGAAGTCGGTTGCGGTGGCGTACAGCGTGGCCGCCATCCACTTCTGCAGGGGCGGATGGTGGGCGAAGCGGTTGTTGCGTCCGCCGCCCAGGCCAGGGGCCTCGCCGCGATGCAGCAGGTCGAGCAGGATCTTGCGCTCCGCACGTGTGCCGAAGACCAAATTGGAAATGTAGCTCAGGTTGGCCTGCAGGGCGTCGAGCAGTTCGGTCGCCAGCGCCTCCGGGTTGGTGTTGGTGTTTTCAACCTCACGGATCGCAGGCAGGGCCGCCTGGAGCAGCAACGCGGCACCAGAGCCGGCGAAGAGAATGCCCTCCTGCAGCATCTGGGGCAGGATCTCCAGCTGCTCGAGGGCGTGCAGACGGCCGGCATCGCTGGTGGTGGCCTCACTGGGGCCCACGCTGGCGTCGGCCTTTTCGTCCAAGGGAGACGGGGGAGACGAGGTGGAGGACATGGTGATGCGCAGAAGCTCAGAGGGAGTCTGGGGAACGGGAGGAGTGAAAAGCTTCGGGTTAAAATCCCAAATCCACTCCTTCACGTTCGTCCCCGCAAACCCCGGACAATCCTCTCCACCACCACCACCAACACGCCCGCACCACACAAATCAACACCCGCTCGCTTGTGACGAACAAGTCGAGATCATGTGAAGCCTCTTTTTGCATCACGACAGGCCGCGGTTCGCAGAAGATCGCCATCTCCGGCGCCGATCCCTGCTCTGCGCAGGCGCCACTAGCCCCAGTCGGCTCGTGGATCCTGGCCGAACAAAGCAACGCTGCTCCGAGATATCCACCGTCCCACCTTACCCCTAATGCTTTTTGGGCTCGGTTGACCCTCCCCCCGACGTTCCACTGGAAAGCCCGCGGGCGAAACCACGGGCACCATGGACCCCGGACTTTTCTTTCACGGGCTTATTTCGCTTGCCCTCCATTCGGTAGCAGGTCACAGGCGAGCCCCGGACTCGCAATTTCCCCCGCGAATCTCTCAGAATACGCACTCGATACGACGTGCACATATAGTCGCGGGGCGGACCCAGTCCCCAGCGCCTCGTTTCCTCCCTTTCCCCGTGCTGTGTGTGTGCTGTGCTGAGTTTGATCCCTCGTCGCGTCCCATTCCCACTCAGTCACCATGGGCAAGAACACCGATGACCGGCCGGCCTACCTGAGCTCCAACGACGCCAAGTACTCGCTCGGTGTCCATCGTGGGCCCTTGCCTCCTGCCGGCCTCGACGATACTGCCAAACTCGAGCAGGTCGAGTCCGCGGGCGGACTCTCGCTCGCGACCACTCGCACGCGTAGGGAACGGTTGACGCGCCATTGGAAGCGCTTCTGGTGCTGCTATCTCATTGGCAATGTCATCTTCCTTGCCATCTTCTTGCCCGTGTTGTAAGTCATCACGCAATGAAATCCCTTACTATCATACCTTGTACTTGGAGAGCTCTTGTAGTTCCATAGGGTCCAATTCTCGACCCTAGCCTGAAGTCAATTGGACGACATCAATTGCATCCACCAATGGCTAGACTTTTCAGCGACTGACTATACTTTCAGCTTCCTCGTCGCCATCCCCGCCATCTCCCAGCTCGTCGTCAACAAGTCTGACCTCGTGCTGGTCAGTGCGGCTGTCTTGAACCCCCAGCCAGACTCAATCCAGTTGACCCTCAAGTCGGCATTGGATTTGAAGATCGCCTTGCCGGTTCGCATCGAGCCGATTGACCTGAATCTCTTCATGCGCGATACCGGCGCCGACAGGCCATGGACCAATATCACCCTTGACGGCATGACTATCAAGGGCAACACCACCCTGGGTGTGGACAACCAACACCGCCCGCTGGTCGACCAGGATGTCTGGGTCGACTATGTCCACGATGTCGTGTTCAAGAAGTATTCGACCCTGTCGCTGCGGGGATCAACGAACTCCTATCTGGGCGTATTGAAGTCACACGTCACGATGGATAAGGATGTGACCTCTCCGAGTAAGTCTATGCAGCTTGCTCTTTGCTATTTGCCGACTCTAAATGCTGACGTCCCGTGCAGCTCTCGATTCTTTCAAGGATTTCACTCTCTCGGATAGCACGCTGCTCCTTCCGGCTCGCGAGGACGGCACCAATCTGATTGGCAATGCCTCTCTCCCCAACCCGTCGGTGCTGACCCTTGACATCGGCACTCTCGTCCTCGACATCAAGAGTGGTGATCTGGTCCTGGGTAACGCCACCCTCGAAGATGTCACCCTCTACCCCGGATCCAACGTCTTCCCTGTTAAGGCCACCATCGACCTCAAGACGGCCTTCTCTCACCTGGGTGAGATCATCAAGCAGCAGGCCAGCGCTCTCGGCAATGGCAGCCTCTCCCTGACCACCGTAACACGCTCTGTCACCTGGAAGGGTACCCTCGTCCCTTACTACACCAAGGTGATGTCGGAGCTTCCGCTCGTCGCCAACGTTCCTCTCCTCGACACCATCAAAAACAGCATCCACAATCTGATCGGCAGCGACGGCAAGCTGAACCTCACTTCCATCCTCCACGCCAACTCCAGCAGCGGCAGTGGCTTGCTCTCCTCTATGGAAGACGAATTCGGCGACAAAGCGAAGCGATCGGCCCTGTCCGATGCGCTTAAGGAAAACATCCACGTGCGCAACCTGTTCGAGGATGAGCACCCGGTCAAGCGGGATATAATTCTCGACTCGATCGCTGGGATGTACATGAAGGCATAATTCTGCTGGTGCCATCCCACGCGTTGCTTGCTGAATTTAAATTCCGATTCCCCCTCAACAATCCTCCTGGATGTGATCTACGCCGACACGATTGTGATTGCGACTCTGATTTCTCTCGATTCCCCGGACGGTGGCCTTTTGCCCCTGGATTATGGCGTTACGGATTCCCTTGTATATTTGTTCATATTGATCACTCGGCGGATAGACCACGGCTATTGTCGTGTAGAAATAGAGGCCGGGTGATATCTAGAATAGGATCTAGACGTTAATATATAAAGTTATGATCTAGCCGTGGCTCCACCCACCTACACCAGTTTGCGCTGTAGGTGGGCTTCAGCCACCCGAGCACTTCAGCCATCCGAGCAAATCTCTCTTGATTCATCCACTACCATCAACCAATATGCCTGATTCTCCTAAAACCAAGGAGGATAGAATCCTCCATGCCTGCCAAGCTGCAAAACGTGTCAAAAAGCCGAATATCTCCGCGTTGGCGCGAGAGCACGGCGTTTCCCGATCACTACTTTCGGCACGGCTTCACGGACGAGGAACTTTGACTAGCCGAAAGCCAACCAATAAAGCCCTTGAAGAGACCCAGGAGCAGGCTATTATTAGGTGGATTGATCAACTTGATGAATATGGCATTTCTCCTACACCAAAGATGATCGAGGGTTGTGCAAATCAGATTCTTTGTCGAAACACTCCCGATGATACTCGCCCTCGACACGTCGGTAATGCGTGGGTTTATAGGTTTATATCGCGTCTTCCACAGAAATTCAAGCTCATTAAGCAAAAGCCAATCGAAAAAAAACGCCTTACCTCTGAGGATATCGGCTTACAAACCGCGTGGTTCGATCGACTCGAGATTGTGATGCGAAATATCCCATCATGCAACATCTACAACTTCGACGAAACGGGCTTCCAACTCGGCCAAGGCAAGCCTCAAAAAGTAGTCACAAAATACCAACAACATGCGGCAAAGGGCAATCCAAGCAGTGGTTCACGCGAATCAGTGACAGCAATCGAGTGTATTTGTGCCGACGGCAGCGATGTTGTTCCACCATACTTTATCTTCAGTGGCCGATATCATCTCCAAAAGTGGTACGAATCCAACGTGCCAGGCGAGTGGAAAATCAATCTTTCGAAGACCGGCTATACAAATGACGATATCGCTTTCAAATGGCTTCAACACTTTGACAAACACACAAAGTCTCGGGCGCGTGGTCAGCAACGACTTCTACTATTCGATGGCCATGGTTCGCATCTCACGTACGAATTTATCGCGTATTGCCACGATAACAAGATCACTCCTTTTTGTTTCCTTCCAAAAACAACCCACTTCATCCAGCCACTCGACGGCCAAGCATTTCAGACATATAAATTTCACTACAAAACCAACAATAATCGTATCGCGCAGTGGGGTGGCTCGACAACCGATAAAGCCGACTTTCTCGAACAAATTCCAGAAGCTCGTGATAAAGCATCTCAGCAAAGAATCATCCGAGAGTCTTTTACGAAGCGTGGCATATACCCTTTACGGCCACAAATCATCCTCGATCAACTTAATGCCGACCGCGAACCGACTCCAGATCTTCAGATATTCGACGGCGAAACACCCCCACCAGCATCTAGTTCAAATAATTCGCCACCAAAAACGATTCGGAAGTTAAGGCGAAGCATCAGCAAAGCCGAGAACTTTATACAGAAAAGCCCCGGGCTCAATGAAAGCTTCGTAAAACGCCTCGATCGCGTCTTCAAAAGCTCGCTCGAAACCTTCGAGTTAGCCACCCAGCTTAATGCCGATTATCACAACCGTCTTATCCCGGCGACTTCTAAGAAAAACAAGAGTCGAAAGACGGTCCCTAAGGTATTCGGCGAAGTCAATGTGAAGGATACAAAACGCCATATTGCTATCGACAAAGAACGTGAAGCGAAGCGGGCTGAAGATCGAGCTCGGAAGCAGCAGATTCCTTTAGGGGCTAAAACTCCACGCAAAAGCCCTGAGCAGCCAAATATGCCTACAAAAGAAAGCGTGAGGCCGCAAATATCCTATCCGGGTGTTGTTACGTTAGATGAACCAGTATATTTCCCTATATAGGAGTAGGAATGCAAATTTGCTCGGATGGCTGAAGTGCTCGGGTGGCTGAAGCCCACCTACAGCGCAAAGCGGTGTAGGTGGGTGGAGCCACGGCTACATCCTTGTGTTTCAGTAATTTAGGCACACTGACGATGAGAAAGTTCAAAACAGTTGGTAAGAACACTCGAACTACACTAGTGTATGAGCTGAAATTCATGTACATCAAAATGTCGTTTCGATCTAGACCCATACCCGTTGCTGCAGAAGATTAAGCTCAGATGACGGCGCTAGTGCTGTTTCATCTTTCATGCAGGGGCGCTCCACTCGTTGCATCACCATGATTGAGATTTTTACCGGGTGGCTGCTGACGATTTGATTGTCAGGTCTGTCTGGCTGTCTCGGATACGCAATGCGAATTACTATCCCATTATTGGGCCGTCTGAATCGCAATTCGGAGAATCGGGCTGCCGGAAAAATCGAATGTACTAATACATTACCCAAGGGTAATAAGTACCATGAGGTAACTAGCTGATGTGAAAGGGATTACTGCCGGTTACGAATGTTCATCGCCTACCTAGGTACCCGAAAGTGAGATATTTGCATCAGGGAATGATTCACGTATCTTAGGTATTTCATTTCATTTATTTCAATTTTCGGCTGTTCGAGTGTGAACAGGTGCATGACAGGTCCGCGTGCCGACATGTTTATCGGACCCAATATCCTCGTCGGATAGCCTTGTAAAGTGGCTCCGACTTTCTGATGAGAAAGTTACTCGACTCGGGTCGCGGTACTTCTACGGGGAACATCTGCCCAGTTGTGGCTGCCTTCATGGTGCGGAGGGACGGGAAATCCGGAAAACGGATCTTAGGGTCAAAGCTGATCAGGATCAGAGCCCGATCGTTGTGAGAGAGACCTGGAGAGGAAACGGAATAGATGAGAGAGCGCTCGTCCGAGACAGCACGGATGGCGCCCAGGCGGGTATCGGGGCAGAGAAGTTGGGTCAGTTCGGAAGGAGAGTCCTTAGGTGGCCAGAGGCGGACACCGCGAGAAACGAATTGTTCTTCGGAGCCTTCCACAGGTCGGCCATCGGCGTCGGCCTGGGTCGGTTTGAGGAGCATGCCTTCCTCATCCAGGGGGCATTTGCGCTTCCGCGAGACTGTTCGCAGGCGCAATCGGTCCCGGGACCGCAGACCGTCCGCCTGGGGGTCGTTGACGAGGTCCACGAAGGTAGCAGCGGAGAGGTGATAACTTCGGTGTTTCGTGCGGACAGCAATAAATTCCTGCCGTGTGTTTTGGTCATGCGTGTCCTCATATTCGGGATGGTAGTAGCGGCGCAGTCGCTTTTCGGGGCGCTCGTTGTAGGTCTGCCGGTTGTCACCCGGGTTGAGGTCCTTGACCTCGTTCACCCACCGCGGAGGCGTCTCGCCGTTCCGCTCGCCAAAGGCCTCTTCAGGAGTTGGGAGGGGCTCGATGTAATTTGTTCGATGGTTTTCGCTTTTTCCCTGTCGCCACTCGCGGCGACATTCGAGAATGACCGGTCGACCGGTCGTCTCGTCCATCCGGATCGACAGGTCTGTCCACATCTCATTGATCGGTCCCTCGCGGTGCTCACGGCGCCACAGGCGTCCATTCCATTTCTGGCCCTTGTTTCGCGGAGCGTAGCAGGCACAATGATAGAAAGAGGAGTACCGTTCGTCGTCGCCTGATGTAGCCTGTGTGGAGACTACATAGAGGCATGCCTCGTACATCTCAAAGGCAACTGTTTGGCCCACATCACCTTCGACCACTCCGTCGAGAGAGAAGTTTATCGTCTGCAGAGTGAGTAAATCTACTCCAGAAACTGCCCAGACTCCATTGGAATCATCCAGGGCCGTAAAAGTGCCGTACCAGATGTAGGAGCGGTTATTGCGCACGAAGATGGGCACAGTTGCAGGCACCGCCGCTTGTAGAAGCAGTCGTCCTCGTCGTCCCGTGGTAGGCCGGGGATGAGGCTGCATATCCAACACTAGCAACGTGTCTGTGAAGCCATCGTGACTGCTGGCCACTCGTAAGACGAGGACGCCATCGTGATAGTGGACGAGTGTCACCCGCTCGGCGGCGTCCAAGTGGCTCGAACCCTCCAGGTGGGGAAGTACATCGTAGAGATTCAACACGCGTTCGTATTCGTCGACGCCATGCACGTTGAGAAGCCGGATTTCATGCCCGACGCGATAACAGAGAAAGCCTTGCTCATAGAGGAAGTCGGCGCCAAAGGCTAAGACGCAGACGGAATACGGGTCCGCTGTCGCGATCGCTTCATTGATGTCAAAGCGGTGGCCAACAGCCTTGCGGTAGCCAGCCTGGGCTCGTAAGGCTGCGTGGCCTTCCTCGCTATATCGCAGTACGCGCTGGTAAAGGGTTAGCTGGGATCGTATTTTGGCCCCCAGACGGGAACTCGGGAATGTCCCGGAGAGGGGAGGAGAAGGGGAGGGGGAAAGGGAGAGGGCTCGCGGCTTGCAGCTCTCGGGGGAGACAGGGCGCACGTACCTCGACCGTCTTGCGGGCGATGAGATCGCTATTCGTCAGGGTGCGGAGAGCATGGTTGGCGCGGCTCAGATGGATCAAGTCACGGTCGTCCAGCGACGTGGCGATCTGATAAAAGACATCGAAGGGGAGGGTATCCAGGCTCCGAGCCATGGCGGTGGAGCTGCGGTGGCCTAGCAGCAGGGCATGATGGAATCGCAGAGAGGAAAGAAGGAGTCAAAAGATGGATGGGGGAGGAGGCGGAGTTGAGGTGGTGGTGCTTCAGGGAAGGACAGGGCGCAGCAACTGCCGATGGCAGTGAAGTGGTGGGTACTACACCGAGTTTTAAGTCGGCCGTTGAGCCTCACACTTCGCCGCTGCGGCTCCCAGTCTCCTCTGCCCCCAAGCTGGGAACCTCGTGCGGCGCAACTATGATCCCCTTTTTTGCCATCTATCGACGACTAGCGGCTCCGACGTGGTGGACGATCGACCCCGGTCACGCCATCGGTGGAGTTGCGACGCTTGGAATGTTCCACCTGGGCCGCGACAGGTATCACTGACTCGCTCCATGCGGCTCTGCTCGTGTTGACCCCTCGCATGGCGCCCGCCTTACTGGATCGAGGCCAGCCTTCCTGGAAATCGAACGGCATGCGTGCTGGAAGGGCGATCCGCGGGGTCCGAGCAGATGTCCGAAGGGTCGTTTCAGTCGTCCTGCGGGTTGCTCAGGTCGATGCGGCTCTGCTGGCCGCCCCACGCATCTACAGAAGCAGTACAGTATGTACAATCTGGGGATCTCCGGTGCAGTCCCGCGACTCTGCACCGTTCCCTGATTCTTCTGCTTCCCCCTCCATCCCCCTACAATGTCCTATTCCAAGGTCATGCTGTCCAGTGCTGCTGGGTCGGGTTCGATCTCCCGTCACCTGCTTACGTGCTCTCCTTGCACTGCCCCCCGATATTGGGCACAAGCAGCCACCCCGACTTAAATCCTGCACTACCACCACGTACTAGTACCGAACAATCAACGTACTCGTACCTCTGCACGATGTCTCATTAGGCCTCACTAACCAACTTGGCACTAACAGCCTACTGCGAGTCCCCAACTAGCCGCAATGGGAGAGAAGTGCTAGTGCGACACTAGCTCTTCTTCGTTCTGCGGATCTGACTAATCTGCCTATATATAACTAACTATTGCTCACGTGTTCTGCTGACTGTGCGTCGTATAGAGTGCTGCCTGCAGCCCTACGCGTGTGGGGATGTGTTCCATGGTTGTTCCTCGGGCGCGTTCAATGGGGTTTGTCCGTCGTAGCCTTTTTTCAGGCACACTCGGCTCAGTTCCTTCCTTTCACTCCTGGGGGCGGTGCTCAATTTGCAGTTCACAGTTCACAGTTTGAGGATTATACCGACCTTGTTCAGCTCGCCACATCTGCTGGGCGCCTCGCTCATTCCGAGATCTGCGCGACCCACCGAGAAAATTCTCTGTGCTGAGTCGTATTCCGTACTGTGTCGACCGGCGACATATCCTTCTTCCATAGATCCTCGTCCAGAGGGATAGCACTTAGGGATCGACCAATTTCCCTCATCTGCTGCCATGTACTATCCGCCGCAAGGTCCTCCTCCGCCAGGGCCGCCGCCATGGGGATATCCGCAGGGCCCTCCAAGCTGGTCCCCGCAACCCCCGCCTCAGCCCTACGGACAGCCATATCATCATCAGCATCATCACTCCTACTCCAACCCGCCGGCGCCGTACCCTCCACCAGGCCAGCCCGGACCGCTAGGGCCCTATGGGCATGTGCCGTCGCCTCAACCGTATGGTCACACGCCCTCGCCGCTGCCGTACGGCCAGCCGTCGCCGTACCCGCCGCCGCCGCAGCAGCCTCATTTGGGAGCTCCCCGTGATGGTAGGTGGGCTCATGGCGCCTCTCAATTCCTATCTAGGTGTTCACACGAATCTCATCTCATCTATCAAACAGGTCCACCCGGCGCTAATTCACCCAATCTGCCTCCGCCGCCGCCGCAAACCCTGCAGCATTTCGGCCAGGGTGCCCCCTCCAACTACCAATTCCAGTACTCCGCTTGTACCGGTCGTCGGAAGGCACTGCTGATCGGCATCAACTACTTTGGTCAACCCAACTCGCTCAAGGGCTGTATTAACGATGTCACCAACATGTCCAGCTTCTTGCACCAGCGATTTGGATACCGCCGCGAGGACATGGTCATCCTCACTGACGATCAGCGCAACCCGATGAGTATTCCAACCAAGACGAACATTCTCCGCGCCATGCAGTGGCTCGTCAAGGACGCTCAGCCCCATGACTCCCTCTTCGTCCACTTTTCCGGTCACGGCGGCCGGACTCCGGACCTCGACGGCGACGAGGACGACGGGTACGATGACGTGATTTACCCGGTCGACTATCGGACCGCCGGGCACATCGTCGACGACGACATGCACGCCATCATGGTGCGACCCCTGCGGCCCGGTGTGCGGTTGACGGCCATCTTCGACTCGTGCCACTCCGGCACCGCATTGGACCTGCCGTACATCTACTCCACCCAAGGCATCCTCAAGGAGCCCAACCTGGCCAAGGAGGCCGCACAAGACCTGTTCAGCGTCATCAATTCCTACGGGCAGGGCGATCTCTCCAGCGTTGCGTCCACGGCCATCGGGTTCTTCAAAAAGGCGGCCAATGGCGGACAAGCGCGCGAGCGCACCATCATGACCAAAACGTCGCCGGCCGATGTGGTGATGTTTTCGGGATCCAAGGATACACAGACTTCGTGAGTGCCCGACTTTCCTTCCCCCCGTGTTTCATCTTCTACAGCATCGATGCTGTTGCCTACTACTATTGTGACTACTCGTAGTAGGTTGGTTGTATAGAATTGACTGACCAATGGTAGGGCGGATACATTCCAGGACGGCCAGGCGCGGGGCGCACTGAGCTGGGCGTTTATCAAGTCCCTGCAGCAGTGGCCGCATCAGAGTTATCTGCAGCTGCTGAATACGATCCGGGCGGAGCTGGACGGGAAGTATACGCAGAAGCCGCAGCTGAGCTGCAGCCATCCCCTTGGTAAGTTGACTGCCGTGCTACCGACGAAGCTCGGGCTGACATGTTCGGCAGATACCAACCTCCGCTTTGTGATGTAAATCCCTCTTTCTTTCTTTATTTCCAGGGCTCTTCTGCATATGTTTCGCCCTTTCGCATCAGCCTACCACGAGCAAATGAGCGACGACGTCATCGACCGTCCATTATTCCTATGCAGTGCCTCACTATCCGTAGCAACCGTGTCTTCCTCTCCTTCCCCTCTTTCCATGCGCGGGGATATCCACTTGTAATACCCGTAACATTGGTCCACACCTACTCGGCCTGTGTGCAGCGATGAGAGGCTGTGGTTTGTCAGGCGCCCGGCCCCATCGCATCGGCTCCACCGCGAACACTGGGACTGGGAGACACGGGAGAAACATCGCAAAAGTGCGATCCGAGAAGGTGGGCGGTTAGCCGCTTCGCACGTTGTATGTCTCTGCCTGTCCCGTGGGGCGACCAGAGTGAATGTGGCTGTGACGGGGGCGACGACCACGATTGGCGAGGACAATCCCCCAAGCGTTCGACGGATGCACTTTCACGGTTGAACTTGGGATGCGAAAGGACCCCCCTGAGCGCAGATCGGGCCAATCAGCAGACGGCGGCAGAAAATCCCAGTGGGCTCCTTTTCGGTGGATTCGCCAAAAAAAAAAAGAAGCTGCTAGAAGGGGGAGGGTGAAGGAAAGCAGGACGGGTCAAAAGAGAGAGAGAGAGAACAGTGAGAATGGATTGAAAATATAGACTGCGATCCCATCCGGCCACAAGGTAGATGGCGCAATGAATCGCACTGCCGCGTCACAGAGGATGTGTCAGATCCAAGACAATATGATCTGATACGCGGTGGATACGTTCATGAGACCTCCACAGTCCACAGGCCACCTGAAGGAGAATCATTGCATCTACGGCCGTACTGCACGGAGAAATGGAATGGCATTGCGGTATACCCCAACACGGCCACCACAGAGACTCGGTATACTATGTATAGTACTATCTTATGGTATACTACCTTCACATACTACTAAGTAATAAATTTCTAGTAATTCTCCTCGTCGCCCAGGAATCAAAATTACAGTCATCTATGTGTTACACGGGCCGGCGCCTCGTAGCTTGGGAACTAACCTCGATGTCTTGATCCACTTTTGGTCTTTTTCGGAATGCGATCTCAGCTTCTGCTTTTTTTCCCTCGTTTCGCTCGTTTCCTTTTTTCTCTCTATCTCCTTTAACCCCTCGCCAACCCCCCTGCTCTCACCTCTGCAACTGGTGTTCTTCCGGACTTATACACGACCCCCCGGCGCGATGCTGTCCTCCACCAACTCCTCCTACTCCTCCAGTGTCTCATCCTCCGACCCTCATCTCCCCTACCACTCGCAGCAGCCCTCCTCGCTCTCCCTAGGCTCGCAACTGCCCCGGCGCACCCCCATGCCCGTCAAATATCCGCGCTTCTATGCCTCCCCGGTCGACGATGGCCCCGGCACCCCCGTCGACCTCTACGGCTATGAACAGCGCGAGCCGTCGATCATGGAGAAGCCCACCATGTTCCGCCGTGTCTCCCACGCTCTCGACGACATCAAGGAGGACTTCTCGCTGCAGCTGGACCCCGCCCGCAGCACCGCCAACAAGATCAAGCGTCGCTCGACGCTACTCTTCGACGGCAACTTCTCCAGCCCGGACCTGCACAGTCGGCCCGAGACCGCCGGTCCCCACGGTCCTCGGTCGCGCCCCATGTCCATCGTGTCTGTCGACCCTCGTTCGTTGCCACAGCGCAGCCTGAGTCGGCGTCTGTCCCGCCGACTGTCCATTTTCAGCCGCAGCGGTTCGACCTCGAAGCCAACGAGCATCTCTTCCCCCAATTTGATCGGCTCCTCCACTCATTACGCTAGCCGGAGTCAGACCACCTTCATCTAATCGCCGGTGGGGGCGACTGAGACAAAAAAAAAAAAAAAATTATCTCCGCACGAAAACTACAAACAACAAAGAAAGAGTTGAATAGGATGAACCCACCGGGCGACGAGTACATGTCCACCCGCATTCAAAAAAAAGCGAGGTGGTTCGCGGGGAGATCGGCAACGTCCCGCCTGCAGCGACGATCATACATATCTGATATACCGCATTCCACATGCAAACACACACCCCCTACTGGGTAGGGCTTGGGAGTTTGGATTGATTTAGTTCTGATTTTTGGTTTTGACGTTTGTACCGGCTGTTTTGATTTTCCTGATTTTTACCTAATATTCCCGTCTTTGTTCATATCCCGGGCGGACCGGTTCATACGCCTAATTGCGTGCTTGTATCTATCGTTTGGGACTTGGTTTGGTTGCGCATAGCTCGGTGTTTGGGAATTGATTTTGACCATTTGAAATTGCCATCTATCATATCCATGCAAGATCCAATTTGATATTCTGCCATGTACCACCCTGGGCAGTGTGCTATCGAACATTGATAGAATTTGATGTCTGCAGACTGCTGGCCGAGCTAGTCGCATGCACCGAGCGAGGATATGCGACACCCACAGCGTCACTGCCGGCATTATTGGCTGCAGGGACGCCACTGGCGGCGATGGCGTTCCAAGCCTCGACGGTGGATCGACGTGCGTCAGCCGCTAAAAATAAGTCGAAACCTGTCCAAGCAGCGCAAATGGTTCTTACAATTCGACCAGTTGTTGTGGGTGAGATCGGAAATCTGGGAGGATTTCGAATCGCCCCTGGCGCAGCACGGCGCAGCACCGGTCGGCCTGCATCGACCCAACTCCCCTCGGAACACCCCGTCCACCGGATGTCCACCACCACCACCACCACCACCTCCTCCTCCTCCTCCTTCTCCTCCATCTCCCTATCATCGCAGATCAACACACCCCGTGGACTCCACCCACTCCACAAGTCCCGTTCAAATCGATGATCAGACACTTGACATCTGGTCGCTGTTTCAGCGTTCGTCAATTAGCTCATCATCGGCCACGTTCGATCGCTGATCGCCGGTGCTGGTGTGAACGGGTAGGTGGGTGGCTGCCTGGCGAGGCAGGAACATTTTCTTAAATATAGCAGCACTTTCTGCAATCGACCAAGAATCTCGGCTATGCTTGAATTGATGCGCGTCAGGGGCTCTGAAATGTCCCATCAGAGACTCTTGCCGTGCATCAAGGACACTTGTATACTTGAACATCATCGGCGGCATCTGAACGAGGCTAGGGCTCTCTTGTCTGTCATGTGGCCCATAGAATCATTTCAGAGCAGTCTATGTCTTCATTGCTACAACCCTCTTTTGGTAGTAGCCATGGTCACTACTACCCTAGGTAGTATATTCGTGCAACGTGTGTAGTATTCGAGTTGCAACACTATAGCGTGGTCGCCGACTGCCATACTCTACCTGCGTTGCCTGCCGCACTAGGTTTCTATCATCAGGAGAGACACTGGAGAAGTTCTTTTTTCACTATCGGAATCATCGAAATGCTGTACATGTGAAGTCCAGTTGCAAGATTTAGGTAGCTGTAGAAGGAATCACGGTGACTTCTGATTCTATACTCACAAATCAACTGCTTCGTCTAACTGGGGATGAAATCGTCGCATCTGGAACCTTAGCAGCGCGCCCACTCTAGTGGCTGCGCCCTTCGACAGCTTTTCCCAAAAAAGGCAAATCCTCATCAGATGCTACACTTTGTGTGAGATGAAACTGTTGTAATTCAAAGGAAGATTGCTTGTATTCCTTCTGGACAGAAAACTTGAGGGTTTATATACACATGCGACCTCCAGATTGATTTCCAATCAAAGCTGGTAATTCCGTGAGGTTAGGAATTGATTCCGTTATGATACGACATATCACAACAGAAACCAAAGTTGACTATTCACATTGAGGCGCATATCTCGTCAAGGGCAGATGTCTACTCAACACGGTGGCCAGGTCGACCTCAAGCTAAGTGCGTATATAGCACCAAATTCCAGGGTAGTATTAAGTACTATACTAAGGCATAAAGTAGTACTAGGGTACTTATCCTACCCTAGGGTACTAAGGGAGGCGACTCACGAGCTAAGGTGCTAGCAGAGCCTCATGGCCACGTGCTGGTCGAGAAGTCCGAAGGCGGTAGACATCGTATAGCCGTATCTGTCTAGTGGTGCCTAGAGGATGCCTCGCAGTCATAACTCTGGGTGTCTAGCCTCTTATATTGCGGGAAGCCAAAGCGGTCAACTCAAGAGCCCCATTTGGGGGCGAATGGGACAGACCACTCAGGCTGTCGGCCTCCCCACCGCCTGGGCAACGAGCAGGTGATATAAGGTTCCTCTCTCCCTCTCCTCCGGTGCTCCTGAAAGAAACTATTAACGAGAGGAATTTAATTACTTTGATTTCGATAGGCCAACACCATGCCGCCATTGAAGATAATCCTTCAAGGTCATTCAGCTGTCACCCAGCAGCCAGAGCGGGGTGTCCTTCACTTCAACATCCGGTCAGACGGACCACACCGAGAGGCCGTCTCCAAAGAAGTGATCGAGACTGCCAGCGAAATCACTCGGGTCTTCAGAGAGCTGTCTCCCAAATCAGAGACGGGCGCAACGCTTGCAAATGCCCCCATCACCTCCTTCTCGTCCACCGCCCTTCAGACGTGGGCCTCCAAAGAAAGGATGCCCAACAGTGACGAGTGGCAGAGGATCCACTCGGCAAGACTGTCGATCGGTGCAAATTTTCAAGACTTTAACAAGCTGAATGAGGTTGTCAGTAACCTGGTAATCTATCCAAATGTCATGATCGAATCACTGGACTGGGTTTTGACCGAGGCGACGCAAAAGTCGCTGAGCTCCGAGGCCCGTAAGGATGCCATGCGAGATGCCATCCAGAAGGCCAATGACTATGCCGAGGTGATCGGCCGACAAGTCGTTGCAATCAAGATTACTGACCACGGCGATGGAGCCTCGGGAGCAGCGCCTGTCGCGAGCAGACATCGTGCGATGATGATGCAGCAACAAATGCAGCCACAAATGCAGCCACAGCAACCGCAAATGCCTGGTCCTGCAGGGAATATGAGCTCAACGAGCAATACGGCAAGCCTTTCTTCCAACTCTGCCTCCAATCAGCAATCTCGGTCTGGATCACCCTCGGGGCTTGATTTGAGCCCACAGCTGATCAAGTACTCGAGCTCCGTTTCCGTGGAGTTCGCAGATCCGTCGGAATACTTCAAAGACTAAGGCCAAACATTCACTAGGGTGGAGAATGGCAATTGCCGACAGCTGGGATGCAGAAGGCCTCACGGCAGTCGCTGCTGCCCTACTAGGTCCTATTTCAAATGCGTGTCGAGGGTGCACTGTGCTCATCTGAACACCAAATAATATTGAAAATGCATTTATAACACACATAGTGTGACATGTGACTAATTCCTATAATTATTATCAAAAGGAAAGCCTGTGCCAAGCCGAGTCTTCAAAGAAAAAGTATCTAGAGGCTGTGCTACTTGCTCTCTTCAGTCCACTCCACATGCGCCGCAGAGACGGGTGGAAGACCTTTGTTGGCAGCCGTTCTCTCGATTTCCTCGTCTTCACGATCGATGTATTTCTGAGGACGGCCCCTGCATGTTGCATCACGGTCTCCGACCACAATAAGAGACGGCTTCGACCGGTAGTAGGCATCGATATCCTCCAGGCTTCGGTTCGCTGTACCAAGTTAGTGGCACTCCGGCAAGGAACAATGATGAATCTAGCAACGCACCAGTTTCGGGGTACAAGAAATACAAAATTGGCAGAAAGAGCAGATTGGTGACTGTCCAAACGATCCAGAATCGCCAGCCGATATTCTGAATGCCAATGGGAGTAATTTCGACAATGACGAAGTTGGTAATCCTGGATATTCGGTTAGAAAATTAGAGTGAAGAAAAGGTTCGGAATCTTTCAAGCTCTTACCAGTCAGTTCCCGTTGCGAGTGCCGCACCTTTCGTTCTCATCGGTAAAGAGTTGATCTCGGTGGGATAGAGCCACGGCACTCCTAGCATTCCAACTCCGAAGCTGGCATGGAACAGGAATATAAAAGCGACAGACGCAGCTCCGTATGACTTGTTATCGGGGTAAGTAACCGCGTAGCGCAGTAGGACCGTGATGATCAAGAAACATATAAATTGACCGAAGGTAGAGAGAAGCATTAGACCACGTCGACCCATCCGCTCGACAAGAAGGACTGCAAGGCCTGCGAAGAAGAAATACGAGATGGCATTGCAAGCTGTCAACAAACGAGCCATCTCGTCATCCATGCCAACGGAGCTTTTCAGGACAGTCGGGAGATAGTAGGACATGATATTGATGCCGCCAAACTGTTGCATAAACTGGCTTCCGGCACCCAGGAGAAGACGCCGGAGGGTGTTGGTGTCGTTTGGTGGCTTCTTAAGCAGATCTCGCCACCGCACGGCATTTTCGCGTTCATATCGGAGGGTAAAGTTGATTTCGTTTCTCTGGGCAATGACAAAGGGGTCGTCAAGCGGTTTTGCTTCGAGGCAGCTGATGACCTCGATGGCCTCGTCTTCTTTTCCGTGGGCCAGCAGCCATCTGAATGAGATTAGTATAAAAGAATCTGGTACTCGGTAATTCTTTTAACGGAGGTACCTACCGAGGAGATTCCGGCAGCCATGGCGTGGTAGACCACAAAATAAAGAGGAACAAGAACTGAAGCGCAAGTGGAAACCTCCAGGCGACGGCGCCACCGGCGAAAGAAAGACCATAGTTCACCCAGTTTACAAAGCAGTAGCCCGCGATATTCATCATCATTTCCAGAATGACCAATTTACCTCGCCACTTGAGCTGCGAAGTCTCTGCAAGCCATGTTGTTAGATTCACGGCACAGTTGAGGTTTTAAGTAACTCGAGGCATCCTACCGGTTTGCCACACGGGAGCCGTCGCTGTGTTGACACCGTTTCCGATACTAAGAAGCCATATTGTCAGACCCAGCATGTTACTGAGATAAATGTAGTCGGCCAATCCCACTCACCCTGATACTATACGACCTACAAACATCTGCCCGAGGCTAAATGAGGCTGTTTGAAGAATGGCGCCAGCAGCCATGATGGTTGTTCCCACTAAGACCGCCTTCTTGCGACCCAGTCGCTCCCCGATGGTGAATGCGAATATAGCTCCGAGGAAACATCCGACATCGTAAATCGCCGTCACCGTCGATAGGGTCTTGGTCTTGGTGGGACCGATAAGGTCGTGAATTTCGAGAAAGTCCTGCGTGATTACCACGCCGCCTATAGAATGGTCAATGGCGCTGCATGCGACAGCCGAAGGGATGCTGGTATAATGTACTAGAGGTACGTACTGAAAACACCTTGGTCATAGCCAAAGAGGGTCATGTCAGTTGCACACGCAACCTGTGTCGATGGTCAATGACAATTCTCGGCATTCCAAAATATCAGTATGATGGCGAAAGGGTACCGTAACCCAGAAGGTCAGCCATCCTCCCGTTAGCCCAAAGTAAGGCCGCGTCTTCTTTTCCGCCGGTACCGTCATGGTCAAGAGCGATGAACCCAATAGTGTCTATAGTTCAAACAAAATGAAGAATAATCAACTCGTTCAACGGGATACCGTCTGCTGACTGCACGATGTAAGAAAATCGGCTGTCGGAGTATCGGAGTGGGGGTTACACGTCGGATTTATACCATCTTGACCTTGCCTCTGCAACCGATCAAGGCAAGGGGCTGGTGTGACCAGCTAAACACTTCTCGGGTTTCCCCCGAGGCCTCATCATCCCACGACACAAGAGGGGGAAATCTCGAGTCGGCAATTCAACCGATCCGCATGGTCCAATCCGCCCCCGAGTGGCTGTTGAGAAGACCGCCTAACTTGCCCGATGCAGTAAGGGATCATTGGCGACCAGTTGGGCCCGGCTGGGATTGGCGGCCGCCGCGACGATCGTCGCACTTTAGCCGGGCATGCACCATTGTCCGCGTGGGGGAAATTTTGGAGAAAAACTGGAGAAGCCGCGAGTCTGGGGAAAGTCCGGGGCGCCTCCATTTTGAACCTGCTTGGCAGCCCATCGCAGAGCCCTCTCTCCCGCTCCCCCGACGCAAAGCAGACATCTCTCCAAGGCTAGTCCTGTTCAGTGCAATAGATCGGGCGCACGATTTCCTCCCTGTGGGACTTCAGGCGAGACCCGGGTTGCGGTGTCAGTTTTGGAGTACCGATGAGAAAAAGGCATGGAACTTTATGTACTCGCGTGGAACGTTTGGAGATGAAGAACCATCTTTAGAATCCCAAAGGACACTGTCACAGCAATGCGGTCTCCATACTGAGTAGGAGAGGTCACGTGCCGAGTGTTTGCCGTGTCTCCCAACATCAGCAGTGGAGGAAGTAAACATGCCATACATAGTACTACTGTAGTAGTACAACTTGGAGAAATTGGTTTCATCAACGAACTAATCTCATCATACATATCATTGCCGCTGAATGACATGGATAACTGGCTTTCTGCTGCTTCGACTTCAAAAACAGCAACTATATCTATAACAGATAAGGGTCTATCACGCATGGCAGCCCCTAGTAGCCCCGGCTAATTCCTGATAGGAGCCGATCATTTATTTCAAGATTTCCTTATCGACACAGCTTTCAGCTTCCAATAAAATCGAAAAATCTGTTCTGATATGCTACTTGCTGACCAGGCCCTGCATGCAGACTTGTCGGCTTCAGCCACAGTACCTGTGAGGCAGGCTGCGATCATTTGTGCAAGGCTTCCACAGTCACGTCGGGGCCCCCAAATTCACCGCTCAAACGGAAGGTCAGTAGATTGCCCCCCTTGATCTCGTCCTTTCGGGTCTCCAGCTCCGCAGCATCCCAGCAGACGGAGACGTATTTCCCCGACAAGAATGACTTATCACCGCTAGCGAGCCAAACACCGACACCACCGCAGAGATCAGGAGTGTCTCCTATAAACGGTGCAAGATACGGGACGCTGTGCCCCATATCCGTAGCCGCCACACCCGGGTCGAGTCCAACTGACGTGATGGTCGGATGCTCGGTGGCCAGGAACTGGGTGAACTTGCAAACAGCGAGCTTGGAGGGAGAGTAGGAGCTCATGCCCGGTGGAACCCCCTGAGCGGCCATCGAAATCATATTGACGATTGTTGTGGACGCGGACGGACTATCGCCGGTATGTTTCAAGAAAGCTTTTGTGGCGATAAAAGTTCCCTTGACGTTGACTTCCTGTCGCAGGTTGCATTAGCTGAACACAGTTTGACGAGAGACTCTCCGATCCAAGTCTATCTCGGGTGATCACCAACCTGCGTCTTCCACCATGATTCTACATCGGTGTTGATTATCGTGTCCAGTACAACAAGTGCCCCAGCGTTGTTGACAAGGACATGTGGCACCCCGAATTGAGCCACTGCATCCTGGAAAGCCTTGTTCACGCCCGCCTCGTCCGTGACATCTACTGCAATGGAGAGAACCTTGGTCGCGGGATTGATCTCGTTAACTAGCTTCTGGGTTTCTTCGAGGCCTTCAGCTGATCGACCGAGGAGAACCAATGCAGCGGCATTGGCTCTAGCGAAGGAAGCCGCAAACGCCTATTGAGCTGTCAACGTTGTCCTACTCGGAACCGGCACGGCCAGCATCTGCCTACCAATCGTCCCAGTCCACGGCTGGCTCCGGTGATGATAATCACTTTTCCGGTCTGTGATAGCTCGGGTCGAGAAGGGTCGACGGCAGGGTACACATCACGGTAGTTCTTCTTCGTAAATGCTGTTACTTTGACTTGGCAGTCCGGATCGAAGTCAGGGGTCGACGGTGTGAAAATGTTGAAAACAAATGTGTGAAATCTATACAGGGCTAGTTACAAATTATTTAGTAGGTGTGGAAAGGGAGGGGAAGCAAGGTTAAGCTATTTAGAGGGGGGTGTCAGATTTATAGCTTTCGCGGGAAGCCGTAACTCCCCTCCGCGCGCGACGTGGGGGCCAGTACGGGCTGTCACTCGGACCTTGCAGTGTTGTCTCCACACCGGCCTAATCGGATATCCCCAGGAGACTGTTGATTTCTAAACTTTTGAAGTTTACAGGTTCCCTTGCTGTACGGGACGTGAGAAAGAGTACAGAAGTAACAAGGCTAATTCTTCCCGAGGCGAGGAAGGCCTTGGATGTATACCCCTCCCCGAACTGGAAGCTCACGACATCCCGCTTTGCTGTTTGTGTCTAGGATACATCTGATGTGTCTTACGCTGACGTTGAGATCTATAACGATCTATAATCATTCCATTCATCCTACCATGATCCTACCACGACTCTGTCTATAGCTACCACTATTTTGAGGGTCCAATAAAATTTGTCGTCAAACTGACGTCACTTGTTTGTTCCAAGAGGATTCATTTTCTGGCTACTGCAATAACACTACATGATACCTTCAATTTACTCCCTGGATTGAAAATATCAAATACCCCCTCTTACACCTTTGCAGAACTGAGAACCTTAGAAATGGCCACTACCCATTCCACCCAACCCAGCGACCCTCCCTCGCCGAGTCAATCCAACAGTGCCAGTCCCAGTAGCATTGCTTCTACGGAGGATCTCGATCCCGCGTTGCTTGACGAGGAGGAAAATCCGTTGGAAGATGGGCTGGCCGATAATGTGGCTGTGTCGTCAAAGTACTCCTACGCAGACGGCGGGGCCGGATACAATGCTCTCAAATCCCATCAGGGGCAACTCTACGCCGGAATGGCAGTTGGAGGCTCGCACACTTGGAATTATGACTCTGGAACGTGGAAAGAGACGAAGGAGGAGCCGGACCTGTGGAGAATCGACTACCAGACCAAGAAACGACGGGCACGCAATGCGCCCAAGGGTAGCGGTGCGCCTGTGGGGACAGAATATCACTGGCTAATTGTTGGCCATCAGGTACGCAGTCCGACCTATTCCGACCTTCGAAGAATTAGCTTATTGACTGCGACAGCATGTGCGGAAAATCGATGCAAACACTTACGAAACGCATCTCACCGGGTCGAAATACAAATTAGCACACAAGTCAGTGACAGCCAAGACTTGGTCGATTCCGAAGGTACAAGCGCAGCGCGAGCGTGAAGTTGAGCTACTACAGGATGCACAGCGACGTATACGTGGCCTCCCGCCTGTTCTTTCGAGTGAGAAGGTCAAGGTCGAACGGAAGGAGAAAGGGCAACAAAGCCTTGACTCGCTTTTCAAGCCTGTGGCGAGACCAAGGAAGAATACAGTTGCATCTGGGAAGAGAAAACGCTCATAGGCCACCGTTGTTTCTTCTGCGTCATGCTCATCATATTCTTTGGGCGGGAACTGGCAGCTAGGGCTAGCAAAACATGGCTAGTTTGTGAAATATGCGACTCCTTCAAGAGAATCGACTGCCCATTTTAACATTTTATGGGTCAACCGGACTGACGAAATTACATTATTCAGAGCAAAGTGCACAGGACCCTCTGGGTAGAAATTCTAATACAGGGGCGTGTATAAGCTATGGGAACAATCATTGAGAGAGAGAGAGAGAAAAAAAAGTAGAGTTCATGCCTTTAGCGTATATAGGTGGTATAAAGTTGGGCTAGAAACGAAGTAAAGCAACCGACCAAAACGCCCTGATAGACAAAAAACGCCGAAAGCCACGCAGCGGATTGCTTTCCCGAGTCGTCAATAACGGCCTCGTCTCGGTAGAGCTGCCCGCCAAGCCCCGCAGGGTGAGGCCCAAAAACCGTCGCAGGATGAACGCCAAAAAGCCAAGTCAAATAAAAAGCCATATTTCGAACATGGATCCAGTCCATGCCATTTGGCTGAGATAAACTCCAATCACACCCTTTCATCTACCAACTTCCATCTGGCGCGGACGTAGCCCGCTCTATATGCAGACAACGAGGCACCGACTATCACATGTCTCACTGATAAGATCTTAGAGGGTCACACTCTCGAGATCACGCATAACGATAGACATTTGTGCTCGTTTGGCTGCCTCAGCGACCAGACTGAAATCCTGTAGGAAAGGCGCCGTTGCCGTCGGACCTCCTAGTCCGTTGCCTTCATGGGGATAAGGGTCCGCGGCCGGCTGTGTGGCGGGTGGTACATCCGACCGTGGCACCGACTCGGAATTCTGTCCCTCGGGCGCAAGTGGTATCCCAGCGGCGCGAGCAGGGTCGTTGAGAGCATTTAGGGGCTGCGTTTGGGACATGGCGGACTGGGCGACGCAGGCAGCGGGCAGAGGGGCCGTGAAGGGCTGGACGGTCGAGGCAGCAGGGGGTATCTCGAACGGATTTGAAGGTTGTGCTACTGTGGTGGTGAGGTTTGCAGAGGGAGCGAGCGTCGAAGTCGAGGAGGAGAGGGTGGAAGGCTGAGCGGGGGCTTGAGGGGTATGGGCTGATCGTCGAGGATCCATTTCGACTATGCGGCGATTCCGAAAAACCCTGTCCAGCGGCAATGCAGGTCGATGCACGACAGACACTCTAAGGAAGTCGAGGTATGGAGGATCGAAGCACCCGCGACTACCGGTTCGAGGCCACCCTGAGGGATCGAAGCGTCACAGTTCCACGACTGACGGGGGATGGCTTCGGCAAGGGAGCCGGGGGCGAAGAATCCAAGCGATGCGCAGGTGGAACCAGACCACTTAGAGAACGACGATCTGGGGGAGGCAGGGAAGGGCAGGTGGGAGTTTGGGGCGTAAAGAGAGTGAGGAAAGAGGAGAAGTCAGGACAGGAAGAGTGCGGAAGGGAAAAAGAAGATCGCAGTTCGTTCCCAACTGGGTGATCCCGACCATTACCCGCGTAACCGTACGGTATCTCCACTCCTCTCCACATTCGGACTCGTAGGCCCGGTGGCAAATTACGGTATTTCAATACACATCCTCGGCCCAGCACATGTACACAATCGGTGTCACGATGCACTCGACATACGTGATGAGGGTGCTGAGTGGCCTAGGGAATCCAAAGACCATGTTCATTGTGCAGGAGAACTCTATCCCCGAGAAGTGGTGTATACGGCCGGCACTGCTTGGTACGCGATTAGCTCGGATGTACATTCCAGCGCGAGTCTCTTCCTACTAAGTACAAATGTAAAAGCTACTGGCAGTATCAATCTATCCAACGTGGCATTGTTATGAATCTATTCGTAAAGGTAGAAATCAAGGGCTCAAGCCAAAAATCAATGAACCACACGGCATTCGACAAATCAGATCGTTTGATCTAAGATCGACCATTTTGGCCGCGAGGCCAATCCCTTCAGCCCGTGAAGACCGTAATGATCTGTTTGGTGCCTCAGGCTGCAACGCCCCACCGATAAGGCCGATAATAATTTTGTCCCAAATTCGCCAGGCGGATTTGTTGGAGGGGCAGCCCCAGCACAGCGCAAGAACAACACTATGGACGAGGCCAATTTCGAGACTGGAGATATGTTCCAGGAACCTGAGGGGTTCTACCCCGACGAACCAGAGCCCACGTTCGCTGAGCACACTATGCTGTCGGGCCAGACGGTGCGCGTGCGACTCGTCGGCAGCCACCCGCTCTACGTACGTCCAAAGAATCCTCAATTGCTCGATCGCTTCGCTGACTGTCGTGGATGCAAACAGGGCAATTTGCTTTGGAACGCCGGTCGAACCAGTGCACACTATATTGAAGAACGAACCGAAGAGCTTATCCGGGGCAAGGAGGTTCTCGAGATCGGCGCAGCGGCGGGCGTCCCCAGCATTGTGAGCGCTATCCAGGGTGCCCGCACTGTCGTCCTGACCGATTACCCCGACCCCGACCTCGTTCAGAACATGCAATACAATGCAGACCTGGCGGTCGACCAAATCGTCAAGGGCCCCGACTCCCGCAACCCGCTGCATGTCGATGGCTACAAATGGGGTAACCCCGTGGAACCACTGCTGGCGTACATTCCTCCCTTGGCGGATGGGACTGCGCCCACTGGGTTCGATGTGTTGATCATGGCGGATGTGATTTACAGCCACCGTGAGCATGGGAATCTGGTCAAGACTATGCAGCAAACCCTCAAGAAAAATGCGGAGTCGGTTGCATTGGTGATCTTCACACCGTACGAGCCTTGGTTGTTGCCCCAGACAGAACGATTCTTCCCATTAGCGGAGGCTGGGGGCTTCACTGTGACTAAAATCTTCGAGAAGCTCATGGGCGATGTTCTCTTCGAGAATGATCCTGGTGTAGGTAGCCCCGTCTTGTCTACTAATTTGCCCCGCGATAAACATTGACTCGACACAGGATGAGAAACTCCGGAGGACCGTGTTTGGATACGAGCTCCGCTGGGCCCCAGAAAAATTGGCAGTAATTGCCTCCAAAAGTTCCTGAGATTCGAATTTGATACCCTGGCATTTGCAGCAAAATATAGACGCCGCAGTGGGGGTTGCCCCTCGGCCAGTTGATGTGCAGCACTTTCCAAAGCAATTGCACACTTCTTTCTTTTAATTCCATCCAAGGTATCGTAAAAGAAAGAAAAAGGGTTGAAACATCTGCTCGTAAGAATGTTCTGTATATTTTAAACACAACTGGTTCTTAGGTATACTTCCCAGATTGGTGTCATGTCGTGCCTGGTCACATGCGCAACCCCGCGGGAAAAAAAGTTCGCCGCTGCAACGCCGCAACAAGCCACGATGCCGGTGAGCACAACCACTTTGCCAGGTCGCAGGCCATACTGATGCTCGTTTAGCTCATTATCCTCACCGGGTACCCTTGCTCTGGTCTCACCTATCGCGCAAACCAGCTCGCGTCCCTGCTCGAGAAGGCGCAAGATGAGATATTCGCGGCCACTGAAACAGCGTCGCCTGTCTCGCTGAAGTCTCGATTCAAGATCCACGTCGTTCCTTCGCACGATAACAGCTCATACCCGCGTACCGTTTATGATCATGCCCGAACGGAGAAGGAGGCCCGCGGTGTGGCGTATGCCCGGGCGAAGCGCGTGATGGCCAAGGATAGCATTGTGATCCTCGACGGAATGAACTATATCAAAGGGTGGCGGTATCAGCTTTGGTGCGAAAGTAAAGCTGCAGGAACTTCTTGCTGTGTGGTATGATTTGAAATCACTTCGATGGGTTAGACATTTCAATGGCTAATCGTCCATTGGTTATTTTCCAGGTTCATGTCGGAACACCTACCGATCAATGCATTGTGAACAACAACGCGCGCTTGAAACGCGATGCAGCCCAGAAAAATGAGACATCTCCAGCTGAACAGCCAGCTTCTTCTACCGACGATGTTTCCCAGACCGAATCAACTGATAGCGAACAAGCCTACGCCCCCGCGCTCCTCGACAATCTCATTTTCCGTTACGAAGAGCCCAGCACGCACAGCCGATGGGACAAACCGCTCTTCACCGTCCCATGGGACGATCCTGAGCCCCCAGTGGCTGACATTTTCCACGCCCTGACAGGCGTTGTTCTCCCATCGGCTGAGGCACCGACTGTCACCCCAATCTCGAACCTCACCTCATCTCTCGCCTCGGCTAGCCTCTCCGATGCAGCCAGCACGACGACTACTGCACGAACATTTACCCGTAACACTACTGCCCGCCCACGAATCATCCCGCACCAAGCCACGGCGCAAGCTGTCGCAACGGACCCAGGTGCTCTTTATGCAATGGAGAAGCGTACTTCGGCCATCGTGAATGCGATTCGCACCTTTGCGCAGGCCAATCCTTCTGCTGAAATGGCCCTCGCGCAGAGTCAGAACCCCCGAGGCATCACCATTGCGGTGCCCGAATCATCTATCTCGGTTTTGATTCCCGCGCACCTTGCTGCGACCGGAACGACTGATGAGTTAGCCGGTGCCGGTGGAATATTGGCTGCGCCAAAAATGCAGCGCATGCGTAGACAATGGATCAGTTTGAACCGCAAGTACATTGCTCACGGTCATGGTGCTGGTCAAGGTGGTTTGACACCAGATCAGATTGGGGATGCGTTTGTCCGGTTTTTGAATAGCACCATTGCAGGCGAAGACGATTTGGAGGAGTAAATATTGAGAGGTTGTACATGCTAGCAGGATGAGAGTTGGTACATACTGCATGTCCATGTGTCATTTAGAACGAGCTATAGAGCTATGATTAACGAGGTTATGATTTGAAAACTCCTTCAAATAATTTACCTATCGAGAATTTTCTAAAAGGTGTGTTATAAAAAGATTCGATTTTTGAATTGTTTATGGGTAGTGTTGAAGAAAAGTAGTGCGTAGACCAAACAAAACCAACAAAACCATAATGCTCTCTAAATACTAAAAAAAGAGTCCTCCCATAATTCCTGTGCTGTCGGATATCCACATCATTTTGAAATGAGATCGGCGACTTTTGCACATGATCCTCATCCTTTTTATTCCCAGCTGTTCCAACATTGTGGGCCCTCCAATTCCAAATTTAGCCAGAATGATTATGAGCAGAATTTGAAATTCTGAGTTGAATCGTGCCGAGAATTGAGCTCCGGGGCACGAAGTTTCCATACGGATCCATGGGCGAAACGACCGTGGCGACTGTGGCATTGGTCTGATCTATGTATGTGGGTTGAGCCGGAGGAGCAGTCTCTTAGGCCTCTTGAGTGTGGAGCGCAGGTGCAACTCTCAGCCTCGTGTAGTCTTCAAAAAGGCCATCTGGGTGTTGAAACCGCGCGACTGGGAGCGCATATTCGTCCATTGGTACCACGGGGTCAATTGAAAGCGCTTCTCGCGGGATAATAAGCATTCCATCACTGAAAATCCTTCCTGGGGGAAAGATTTACAGGATTCTCGACTTCCCTTCACGCGGGCAGGGAAAGTCCGTTGGGAATCTGGGAAACGTGGCTGGCTTCGAGGTGGCGGTAGTTCAGGCCAAGGGTGTAGAGCTCCTGGAGGCTGGCATTGACCTTCTCATGCATCGAGGCGTCCTGTGGGGTGATCTTCCCGAGCTCCTCAAGCAAACGGGCGCGGCACTTGTAATAGTTCCGCTCAGCGTTCTGCAGGCGCTGTCCATGCTGAGCAGTAGCCTGGTTGGCCTTCACGGATCCGGCTTGGGAGTGCACCGAGCGAGTGCGCTTCATTGTCGAGGCCGGGGTGGCACCGGTCACTCCTCGTCGCTTGCGGCTGGCGGCTTCCTTCTTGACCTTAGCGGGTGCACCGGTCGGCGAGGTCTCAGGCGAGCTGAGTCGTTCAGAGGACTGATAATCATGCACCCGGCGCATGTGGTCGAACAGGTTCCATCTACGGGGGAATCCATTACCAGGGGCGGATCGTTCACAGCCCTCCCACAGGCAGAGGTGAGGGTTGTCTCCGTGGCCATGCAATCCGTGGGCTTCGCGTTCGTGTCGGAACAAGCACGCATTGGACGAGAAACGCAGCTGGCTATCCACGCAAGCGGGGACCTTGCAGCGGTAGGGCTTCAGGTGAGAATCTAGGTATTTGCTACAACGCGGTCTGTTAGGGGCGCATTCTCGGAGTGAGGAAAGCCCGAGGGCGAGTGGAGAGTGAACATACTGATAGGCGCACTTCTGCGTGGTGGGTGCGTGGTTGCAGGGCTTGTCTCCGGAGGCATATGGGCAGTAGTACTTTCCATCGTTCTGGGGTGGCATGGAGTAGAAGGCGTGCTCTCGCGGGTTGCGAGACTCAGAGCTATCCTTGGACCTCTGGCGAGCTGGCTCTCTCACGGGCAGGGAAGGGAAGAATTCCTGTTCAGTCTTGACCTGGGGGTGGGAGGCACTCGGCAGTGCACTCCGGCGCGAAGTCTTCGAAGCCCTGATGGTCCTGTACTGGGTGGTTAGATGGGGTTCTGGTTTGTTTTTTTCCTCGATCTCTTTTTGCAGTCGAGTTTGGCAGGGCACCTACCTGTTGGGGTCCTTCTCGCTCAGAGGCGGAGTAGGGAAAAGAGGCTCCGTTGGGTTGATTCCATGGCTGTTCATTGGCGATGTGGTGAAATCTCCCAGGAGTGTGTCATCGGGGGCGAGATATGAAGGAAATCCTGGGTGCGAGCAAGAGGAAGTAACTGACATGTCATGACTGGCCTCTGTCAGAGGCGGAGAGACAGGCACAGTCTGGAAAAGACTTGATGAAAGTTGGTCCAGTGTGGTTCCAGGGTAGTGGCCTTCAGACATCATGGCATTCCATGCCTCAGGAGCGGCAATCATATGGCCATCCTCCGTGTGGGAACTGTGTGCAACTGACAGAGCATCATCCGGTGTGCTCGACTGTACACAGACATCATTATCTATGGAAGACAAATCCACAAAAGAATAAAAGTCCCGCGGCATCTCATTATGATCATGCAGGTCTGTGACTGCTGGGAAGTCCACGCCTGTGTACATCACATCATTTGGTCCGACCGTGGGGGTCATGAGCTGCGAAGGCATTTGGAAAGCAAGCATTTGCATGTGAGGGGACTCCTTGGAAGACATGGCCTGATCAAGGGATTCTGTAGTGTTCATGTTCCAGTCTTTGATGTCCTGGGGGTTTCCATGGGCTGCGGAGATTGAGCAGAGAGACGCGGAGTCATGGCTCGACAGTTCATCATCCTGGAGTGTTCTTGAGGCCATATTTGACATCCCTGAGACCATGGAGGCATGTCTGGATTGAGAAACGGAGAGCCTCTCGGGCTCGTTGCTGGTCCTGGGAGACATTTGTGTGGTGTAAAAATCACTGCGAGAAGCATCATCGAGTCAGTAAACTACACATTTTCGACAAAGGAATAAAATTCAAAACAGTAAACAAAAAAGACAAAAGCAAAATTTCCGAGGTCCAGAGGAAACCGAAAACCTATCAGTCATTAGCAAAAGCCCACGCGCACCAGCAGTGCCGAGTGAACGCACCAAGGTTTTCTAGTAGAATCAATCAATCCAGAGCGACGGGGAGAGGTCCTAGTTGACAGTGGCAAGGGTGAAAATGACGAGTTGGATCCAGTTCAATGACAGCCTATTGCCAGTAGTTTGTCGAAGAGCCAGGTTTTGCAAGAGGCCGAAGCTACAATGTCGAAGCATCATCATCCAGTTGGGTCAAGTTCAAGAAAGCATGATTTCTTGTTCTTGGTAAGGCCAGAAGCCGTTGTGAGGCCAGTCCATTGAGAGTCAGTGGCCAGTGTAAGTTTCCTGAAGCGGACGCTTCGAATTCCGTTGCGAGGTCTGCGCAGTTTGCATGCTCAGGAGGGCCCTTGGGCATTTCCATAGGTTTGGCTGGGGTAGGGCCTAAGTATCATAGTTCCAGGGATCAAGCATTATATTTCCTTAGGTTGGTGTGGTATAAAATCCAGGGCAGAGTAGTTGGGATCCAATAGTAGTAGTTCCAGAGAAAAGGTCATCCACGGGATAAATAATCCGAGCGCTCAACTCCAGGCTTGGAGAGAGCAATTAAGGGCCAGGTGGTTCAGTTCAAGTCACGGGAGGCATCCAGGGAACAAGTAATCCAGTGGGAATTTCGATAGATTTGAGCGCGTTTGAATATAAACAGCACTCAATCTGAGTCCGGCTTAGTCGGCGGGTCGCCAACAAGCATCCGTTGTAAAGAAGCATCATTCTTTAATTTGCCAAAAATGGCAAGAGAAAGGCATCAAGGGAGATCAAGTGATCAAGTAAAAGGTCCAGGTTTCCAGGGATTTGGTTTTCAAGTAGTCGACTAGATCCATGGGAGTAACAGATGTCGAGATATGGGTCCAGCGGAAATGATGGGAACAAGAAAACACGAGAACGACGAAACGCATAGGAAAAGCAGAAGGAAAGTGTGATGGGGACTACCTCGTGTGTTTTGTATCGAGTGTGCAGACTAAAGAGAAGCCTGGGAAACAACAAAGCAAAGTCCAGTTCCGGGAGAAGTGGCAAAGTAGTCCTTGGGTAATATCAAGCAACCAGGGCAAAAGTTTGGTTAAAAAAAAAAAAAGCAAGGTTGTCCGAGATCCAGGGACTGTTGAGGGGCGACAGGGTATCTTCGGGTATATAATGGCAGTCGACCGTTGATCGAAGATAATCGTGATGAGTTAAAAGGGTATCCTGAGTTGGGAAAGGAAAGAAAGAAAACGGTAGGGAATGGGGGGATCAGCGGCCTTTTAGAAGGCAGGAAACGCACAATCGGGTTCAGGAGGGGGTGGAGCCTATCAAACATGGCGTGTGCCAGGGTTGCATAGTGCAGGGCCAACCTGCCCTGTTGGCACCAGCGAGGAGCCAGTACCGGGTCGAAGGTGATGGCATCTGCAGGCCTGGTTTTTGCGCTGGCGGGTCCCGAATGGACGAGAAGAGCAGGTGTTTGTAGCGGTGAGACGGGGCCCGCGTCTGGGGGGCTTGGCGGTGCATTGGTGGGTTGGTGATTGGATGTCCCTCGTGGCTGACGCTGCAAGATGATGTCCAGTTTGGACGATCGGCAGATGCTCTCGCGGTAAGGACAGGGGGTTGGGTGGTGGAGAGCATCCCACGTCGGAGTGATGCGGAATGAGAGGTGCAGCCATCACCAAACTGCAGCGGGGAGGACGGGTGTCGGTCCCGTGGCTACGTGGACGATCGAGTGCCATTTCATCTACGCAGACACTCTCTGTGGATACAATAAGAAGTAAAATTGATTGCTGGTGATGATCATTATTGATTACTGATTTCATGAAACGACTACCTACGGAAGTAGTACATGAGAAACGACGGACACGGCCCGGAGCGAACCCGGGGGACCCACGTTGGGCAGCAATGCAGCTGGCGGAGTTCTGTGGATGATCCCAAGTCAGCCATGATCCCATCGCAAAGTGGACACGAGAAGGAAAATTCCAGAAAAAATGGAGTCAGATAAAAAGAAAGATGGATAAAGGTTGTCGTTCAGTGATCCGAAGATCTTCAGGTGAACTATGCTTTGGTAGGTTTGTTCATCATCCAGGCGGAAGCCGGGAGGAGGTAAAGTGGAAGAAAATGAGGATAAGACAGCGGACTTACCGAGTGGGGCGGCTGAATGCTGGTTGCTGAATGCCTGGAGTCAGCGATCGGTCGACTGCGAACAGCGCATGGCTGCGTCCCTCCAGGGGACGATTGGTTGAGAAGGAGAGATTTCAAAGTGAAGCGGCGCGCTTTTGTGTGTGCGGTCACGTGAGTTTGTCCGGTTTGCATAGCCCGCCCCGCCGAGTCTCCACCCGGTGACAATCGAGCATCATCGTACATGGCATCTGATGGTTTGGAGAATACTGCTTGTGTACACTCCTGCGTCAACAATCACAATGAATTGGACCGGTGGCCAATTGCATCGTCACTCGTCTCGCAAAGGAATATTGTCCAAGACCCAGAAGCAGAATTTCGCCAAATCTCGCCAACTCATCAACGATCGAGCGTCTCGTCCGCCTGCGTCATTCCAGGGCTTTCCCAGGCTGGGAGTTGATAGGTGTGATGGGCAGAAATTGATCAATGAGAGGACTAATATGACGGAAGCCCAGAAACTGTCAGTGCTGGTCGATTGATTGCTCTTTTGCATCATTATCATCACACTGTATCCTTGTCTGGGTGACTTCTCATACTAACATTAGCGAGGTCCAGGTCTCCGAAGCCAAAGCCGACACTAGTCCCTAGGAGCTCCTCGGCTCACGGCAGCAGGCATCTGGGTGCTCTCGGATGTCGATTTCTAAAAGACCCAAACTGGGCGGCAGTATCCATGGCCCAGCCATTAGACTATCAATTTCCCCCATAGAGGAAATCGAGCGCTTCGGCAAACGACGCAAACTGAATGATGCTGACCGCAAGCGTCTATCAACTACCTCTGGAGACCGGGTTGTACGCCTTTTTAGGCCTCGCCTGAGGACTCGCCAGCTGACTTCCGAGCGAGACGCCTACTTGAATGGCATCCAAATCCGAATCGATGGTCAACCTGCTGATGGATCGTCGGCTGCAAGCACTGCCGAAAGGCCGAGCCAACCTTCATCACAGTCCATCGTCCTTTGTGATGATTCTGGTCCGGTTCACTATTCCTCCACTCGTGGTCACCCAAACGCCGATCAAAATTGCTCGGGGCGAGATTTTCTCAGCCTCCGCCCAAGCCATCAGGCCCCACCATCTAAGGTCCCCAAAGCCCCCTCGACCATTCCAGAAACGGTTATGCTGCAGATCTCTGAGCCTGTGTCACCATCTCGTGTTCCTCTTCAAGAAAACTTAATCTATGGGCTAAGCGGCCGCAACCGAGTTGATGTCTCTCCTGGTTCCGCTAGGCTGCCGTGGTCCGCACGTCGGCATTTCACTATTGATGACCAAATACAAGCGGAGCAGAACAATCTCGCCATTTGTTTAGATGCCAATGCTCCATCTCGCCCAAGGTCCCCTAGCTCTGTGACCACATTGCTGGCGTCACCCTCTCTGCTCAGTCCTGAAATACCGCCAAGTCTGAATGCCTCGAACCGGCCGTTGCAACCACGATGGTCCATGTTTTCCCCCAACTTTCGTCAGCCCAATGCTGCTCGTCCTCAAGAATTCCATGGCTTTGATGTTACATGCACCAATTCCACCGAGCACCCACCCTATCATATTTACAAAGATCGCAGTTTTGGGGATATGAGATTCTTTGGTCAGGTTGTCCGCCAAGACGATTAGAGTGTCACTCCCAGGGCTACCGCGGGTGGTGAGAAGCCGAAAATAGCTGCTGTATGGGCTTTTGGTTTCGATCGTTACGCTCTCGTTCTGGAATTGTCTGTCATACTCGTATTTTTAGTAGTGGCATTGGGCGATAACATATATTTGATACCTTTAGAAGACCACTGCGATTAGGGCGACAACCAACGCTACAAATACAATTCATAATTTTTTGACATCCGTTGCAGCTTTCTGCGACTTCTATAGCATAACAATCGGCTCTGATGTCGAGAAAATGGCTGCAGTTTCCCCACAGCTCTTTGGGAGCTGCCGGCTAACCAAGGTTCACGTGCCGATCGGCCCCGGTTTGAGCTCAGTTGACGTCGCGATCCCCTTCCTGTTCCATCTTTCCCATTCCAACCTCCAAGTCTGACACTCCGCCGTTGTCATGCTGCGTTTCATTACGGTCCTGGCGGCGATAGCCACGGGCGCGCTATCCGTCGCAGTCTCGCCTGCTTTAGCCCCAGATATCGACCAGACAACACAGCTTCCTCTCGTCATCTGGCACGGTCTAGGGGACGACTTCGAGCGTGATGGGCTGCAAGAAGTGGCTGACCTCGCTGCCTCCGCCAACCCAGGCACTCACGTCCACCTCATTCGACTAGCTGATACAGGAGGTGGCGACCGTCAAGCGACCTTTTTTGGCAACGTCACCGAGCAAATCGCAACCGTTTGCCAGCAACTGGCTGCAGAGCCGATCCTCAGCTCCGCCCCCGCCATCAATGCTTTGGGATTCTCACAGGGCGGCCAATTCCTTCGCGGCTACATTGAACGATGCAATAACCCCCCGGTACACAACCTCGTTACCTTCGGCAGCCAGCACAACGGGATTTCGGAATTCCAGTCCTGCAAGACGGGTGATTGGATCTGCAACGGGGCCGAAGCACTGCTGCGCTCTGGTCAATGGACCGATTTCGTACAGTCCCACCTGGTTCCAGCGCAGTACTTCCGCGACCCCAACGAGCTAGATGATTACCTTGAGCACAGCAATTTCTTGGCCGATATCAACAATGAGCGGGTATTGAAGAATACGGATTATAAGAAACGTCTGGCAACGCTGAACAAGTTCGCGATGTTCATGTTCGACAATGATACAATTGCAGTGCCCAAGGAGAGTGCACTTTTTGCAGAGGTGAATATTACCAGTGGGACGGTGACTCCGCTACAGGAACGCCCGATTTACAAGGAGGATTGGCTCGGATTGAAGCAGTTGGATGGCCAGGGCCGACTGGATTTCAAGTCTGTCCCTGGTCAACATATGCATCTGACTGATAAAATCCTTGAGAGAACTTTCAAGGAGTACTTCGGCCGCGTCCAGAATTCGCAGTTACGACTTCAGATGGAATCGCAACAGGAGCCGGTGACCCAGCCCTTCTCAGGATCCTCGGGCTTGTTGGTGCAAGCGCAGCCAGGCTTCTAAGCACGTTCATGCTCATATTATTTTAACCATGGCGTTGATAACATTAGATATCCCGTTTGTATAGTTCAGTGTATTTTGGGCGATTTAGGAGTGAACCCACTCGCTCTATCGTTGAAGTAGCTTTATCTACTTGCATGGTAAGGTTCCCAGTCTTGCATTTTCGGGTCAAAATGAAATGCTGTTTTTACCAAATCAGTTTCTCGTGATCATCTGGACTATAGCACCGTCTATTTTAATCTACCGACAATATAGCTAGATACAGAAACCCGCATTGAGCAGAAGCCAGCAGCAAGAGAGATACGGGATTTTCAGAATAAACATATGCAACTAGAAGAAAGAAAGGGTAAAGAAGGCAGAAGATCAGGTGCCGTAGTGGAAGCCGGGAATGGAAGAGGGCAAAACATCGGACCGAAGTTCAGAGATGAGACTGCAGCAAATTTCCACTCGAGCAAGAAGTGGATAGAGAAATTATAGATAAACATGTACAGAACAAGGCAAGAGAAAGGAGATAGGGGGAGCAAGGCATGCGGTGAAACTTTCGCAGGGACCGACTGTACAGGTGAAGGAAGGGAATGGAAAGGGAATGGAAATGGAGGCCCACTAGTAGGGGGGTCGTCCGATACCATTGCCACTAACTTGCCGTCTGCTGGTGTAGCCGCCGCCCAGCGGGGCCTTGGAGGCCGGGATTGCGGTTGCCGGTCGGTCTCCATTCGCCAGTATGCTGCCATCGGGCGAGAGGTACCCGTCTAGAATCCTCCTCAGTTGGGCTCGTTGGGCACTGTCCAGAGCGTCAGACCCGTTGGTCTCGGCGCCCCGGAAGACCTCACTGATGCCAGCAGCGAGGTTATTGTTGGATCGGCTTTTATTGCGGGTAAGGTTCGCGTTTCGAGAATTCTGGGCTGCTTCAGACTTGTCCTTCACTGAAAACTGCCGCGAGGTATCGGGAGCAGTCGCTGGGCGATCAACTGAAACTAAAGACCGCTGCGAGTCGTTTGGGAAGCCACCGGGGATGGAGAGACTGGGAGGAATGGGAGGAACTGGAGGAATATCTTCTTCGGAGTTCACCCGGCTCAGTGTCGGCACTTGAGGATCTGTTGGGGTCTTGTTCCCCGAAAGAGCAATTTCTGATGCTGATGCCCGGGGTGTTTCCACGCCATCTTCTTCCGGTGTCTGCTCTCCGTCTTGCTGAACAGACGCGCCATCTCCATCCACCCCATAGACTGAGAAAGCAGCACTGACCATGCTTTCACTACCGGAAGACACTACACTGGCATTCGAGGCATCAAGCTGGCCACGCAGTGGGCTCAATTTCCGAGGCTGGGTGTCGTGATTCACAGACAGCACACGACGCAACTCGGTGACGCGGACTGGGGACCCTCGGGTGGAGCTAGGCTCCGAGGTGCGCGAAATCTCAGGAACACTCATTCGGCGGTGTTTGTTAGAAGCCGAGCCGGCAGGGGAGCCGTTTGCAGCGCCGTTAGCCTGGCCGTTGCGAGTGATAGTACCTCCGCGCGAGCCGTTGATGGACAGAGTCTTGATACTCTCCTTCTCCACGGCGGCCAAACAAGACTCCCGGGACCAAGCCGATAGCATCTGTTCTCTGACGGATGATGGAAGGCCGCTATCTGTTTTGGACTGCGGTGCCACGGAGGCGTGATTCAAGACTGGGAAGCTAAACCCTCGTGCCGGCGGGGAGGTTGGTGGGCTCTGCGGCGGCGAGGAGATGGTTTGGCGGTAGGCATCGTCAATTCCATTGACAAGGTCATCGACATTTCGGAAAGGCGTCAGAGTAATGGACGAGGTGGACTCGTCGTTGGTGGATGGTGCCTGATCGACGGGGATACCATCCAAGCCAGCCGGGGGCAACCGAATCTTGGGAAACCACTGTTTTTTGCTTTGTCGTTTCTCAATTTCATTGCGGACTTCGACACCTGCATGCGTAGACTCGAAATTGAACTTCTCCGACAAAGCCAGCAGATATCCGTGAACGAGGCTACCGATATTGACGCGAGCCGCAAATCTTCCCAGATCAACAGAGGTGTACAGATCCTCTTGTAGTTTCAGAACCATAGGAAGACCATATTGGACTGCATTGACTCCCAATTTTTCGACAAGGCTTGCTAGAAGAAGGTGAAGAAGGAGTATTTCTGACTCGGCCGTGGGGCTTTCAAGAGCAGCATCGTAGATAGCCAGGTGCAGCAGGCGCAGGAAGGTTGATTGCGCAGCCAGGGCCACTTTTTCCCTCTGGTTACCCGGGGCTGAGGTGCTCCGCCGATTCGTCTTGTCCGGTTGCTCGGAATCGCGTTTTGATGACGGCTTGATATACTTCGGAATATCCACTCGCACTTTGAGATCACGCTTGTTGGTCTCAAGTGAGAGCCATGTTAGGAAGGCATCGGCATACGCGCGACGAACTTCCTGATCGGAGTCTCGCAGAAGCCCTTGCGTTCCTTCCCACACGTGGATACCCACTTGGTTCCGAGATTCAGGACTACTGGCGACACCCGGGGCTCTCAAGTTAGACACCAGTAGAATGGCTTTCACGGCCCGGAGGGCAGTCAATTTGGCGGCATCATGAGAAATCGCATCCCCGTGCGTCTTTTCTCCATTGGCATCTCCCGTCTGAGTAGTTTCAGCAGGCGGCGCCACGCCTGCTTCATGAACCGTAGCCAGGGAAGACTGTGCAGCACTATCCATGGTTGCAGTTGGTTTGAAGCGCCGCAGGATTGCCCGGATCATATCAGCAACTTGGTCTCCGTAATAGATATGGGTTGCCAGATCACCAATGCACTGTTCTAACAGGGTAAGTAAGCTTTTTCTCCGTTCCGTTATAGGCCCTGCCCCGTCAATTTGCGATTCCGTGTTTTTCTCGGGGTCCTCGGCACCAGGTTGACCAGAGTTGGATAGAATCTCGGAGACGTAGTGCATGAGGCCGAATAATATGTCCATGACACTCAGCCCGATCATGTTGACCGATGACTTTAGAAGCCAGTCCACCACAGAAAGAATGGTGAAGGAGGAGTCCAGAGCGTCTTCCGTGGGCTTTGTTTCGTGCAAAATGTCCATGGCAGCCATTAAAATGACAAACCGGACCTGGACGGGGCACCAATTTGCAATCAGCTCAATGAGAGAAGTAGCCCAGTTTCCACCTTCTTTCGCGGCGCCGGATTGGTCTTGAATAGCTGTTTCGGGAAATCGTTTGCTGGCAATGAATTGTAGAGCGACTGAAGCTGCAACTCGAATTTGGCCCCGGTTGCTCCCGGATACAATGATTCTCTCAAGACAGCGCAAGGCCAGCAATCGCGCATTCATTTCTGCTTGTTTATCTGCATCGGCCGTTGACTGTGCTGCTAGTGCCGGGTCACCTTCGGCAGTGTCAACCGTGTGAACTGTTGTGACGCTCATTCGGCGGGGTCGAGTCGCATCGTCTTCAGCCCTGTCGGTCTCGTGAAGCCTGACCTTGAGCGGAACCAGCACGTCTTCAGCTTCCGAGTAAAGGTTTTCCAAAATGACAGGCAGAATGAGTTTCAAGGATGTCCCTCCATCAGCGGCAAGGCTCTCAGAACTGACGACACCCTTGATCGCACGCAGACCGGCGTTTCTCCATCGAATTGCTACGGGAAGGCTGACTTTGGTAGGAGAGTAGGTCGAGGATGAAGGATCCGCAAAGTTGGCGTAGCATCGCACAACTTCTCTGTATTGCTGGGCGAGACTTTGTTCCGCTGCGATGATTGCGATGTCCTGGTGCCGACAGAAGGTCTCAAAGGTCGCGATCGAATCTTCCACCATGGAAATGTCATTTGAGCATAGGACGGTTTCGATGATAGTAAGGACGAAGCGCGCGTAGATGGGCAGGTCGCGCGGACATTTTTCGATGAGCGCGGTCAGAATGTGAAGCGCAACCTGAACATTTCTACTTGCAATTGATCGTCAGCTATTTCCATTCTCCCTATGTGCGAGTCAAATCTCTTTCGTCCGAGCTGCATCTCACTCACCCCAATCTGCGCCTCCAGACATCTTTAGAGACTCGTTTTGTAAGAAAAGCGCCGACCTTAGTCAGCTTGCTGCGACGCGTGCTCAGATAGTATAGCAGGTATGACAGCTCGCTCGGGTTCGGCTTGACTTCCACGACTCCCTTCTGGTATTGCGGATAGCACTTCAGCGTCAAGACCTGGTGCCTCGGGCGGCAGGCCTGGCGGACGGACGCCATGGGGAATGAGACGGGCGTGTTCCCCGAGAGAAGTTCGCAAAGGCACGCGGTGGATGGTCTTCGGACGGTGAGGGACTCGGTGGTGAGCGCAGGAGAACGTTCAGTGCAAGGCGGTGGCCATGGGAGGGCGAGCTGTCAATGGAAAACGGTTGGGTTTGGGGCCAGGGTGGACGAGAACGGGGCTGTCTGATGAGGTAGTCGGCGATCACCAGGGGGGTGGGGCTCCGGAAGCTGGCGCGCGCAAGTAACCCGGGGACAAATTGCTAGGAACAAGCGATGAAAGCAGAAGACGGCCCGCGCCTTTGAAGGATGAGTACCTGGGTAGAGTCGGCGGTGGATGGAGGAGGGGAAGGCTACTACTTGTGTGGGAGAAGCACAAAAAAAAAAAAAGGTTGGGGGAGCTCCTAGCCCATCGGACGCTGACGGTGGCAGGTCACGACGTTGCTTTTGCGCACACTACTCCAAAGTCGGGTTGCTACGAAGGACCCAGTCTGACTGGAAATTCGGGGCACTTGGGATTTGTGTGTTGGATTGGATACTAGCACTGCGTATTGGTTGTGGTCAATTGCCTCGGGGGAAAACTGGACGAATGCGGCCATCTCCCATGCACGCCCGTATTCATCCCAACAGGAACGCTTGGTCCTTCATGACCCCGCAAATGCCGTTCAAGGGACGAACCCGACAAGTGCAGGCGGCTTTGAACATGGTCCCTGGCACTGGGACCAGCCTCGTTCCTGCTGCTGTTCGATCGACAAACCCTCCGGCCGATCGGTCCAATGCCTCGGTCGCACATGAAGCACGCACCCCGCCGTGCTGGTTGTGTCAATGGGGAATGCCGAGTCGATGACGGTGCTCGTCGCCGTGCACGAGGTTGAGGCTTTTGTAAATCTTTCAATGCTCTGACCTCTGTTGGATGTGGTGTGGCTGCGGGATTTGCTGGGCCTCGGTGTCGCGCGCATGCGATCATGTCTTCGACCCATTTTTTTCTCCTGTTGCTCGATCTCCTGGCTGGTAGCATCGACTTCGGTCGCTGCAGCTTCAGCAGGATCGCTGGGCGCAATGAATCCCGCCAATCCCTCGATCACCTGAGGAAGAATGATCTCGCGGCGGAATTTGTCCTCCTGGAGCAGGCGAAGCGCGCGCAGGGTCGGGCCGGGGTGCGTCAGGAATTGAGAATACTCCGGGGTTTTCCAGTAGGAATAGAGGTAGGCTAGGTATGCGGCGAATGCCTGGGCATCGGGGGCAGAAGAGGATTCATCGTCGTCGTCGGCGCGCGAGATGCCCAGCAGGTTCGGGTAGTTGACGGCGAGGTGGGATAGGTAGTAGGGGTTAGCGAGCGAGGAGACGAACTCAAGCTCGAGAGTGAATCGAGGGTTGGTCAGCGTTGGGGGTGGCTGCGTCGTGGAATTCATGGTGAATGACACTTGGATGTTGGATGTGAGAAGGAGCTCAATGTGAGTGCAGAGGCGGGTGATGGTCGGGCGGGAGCGCCAAGGCCGAGGATGCGCCCGCTTTGTCCGGCAGTCCATACTTCGACTTGGCATTTCCATACGTACACGCATAATTAAATACAAGGACTTTTAGGGATAGAGAGGTCGATTATATCAAGGAATCAATTATCTTCAGAACTAGAGATCTTTCAGTCCTCATATCATTTTAATCACCGTGAAACCTGCATCATATGAAATCATGTACTCCCTTGAACTTTGGAAAGGATATACATGTACATTGTTTTGGAATCTACATATGCATCAGTTGTCTTGACATGTGCTATGTCCACTCCAACACTTGTGAGTCACCGAAATATGACTTTATATTCACAGTAGAGTTGCGCCGCAGACCAGCGCGTTGTGGTTTAGTACAAATTATGATGCTTCAATGTTGGTAACCTCAAGTATGATACCTCTCTCATATTACACGGTGCTGTGCATACACCCAGGCATTGCACTACCGACCTATACAGATTACTATTCAGCTGACCGTTCAGGAGACCCAATTGTTTGGGCGACTGGTTTTATGACTATTGGTCAGATTGAGGTACAAATCTTACCATTCAGACATCAGGCCCTGCTGAAATTGGAAAGTGAACTTTGGGCGTGACCGCTATAACTTTCCGTGCCTAGGTACCCATACCACATTGCAGTATCCATGGATAGGTGTACGCAGTGTGTAGTGATTGTTTTATTCCTTAGGACCAAGAGTACTCTAATATCTATTTCAATGCGAGTCCTTTCTCAATCCCTTCTGAACAAAGAGGGTTTGCTATGGGGGAATTTAAGTATATATGATACCGGTACTTCAGTGATGAGATCGCACTGCACAAAACTTCACAAATGTTGCTAGCATTGACTATTGATAGTGGGCTTATTCACAATAGCGTGGAGGACGAGCAATTTTGTTGTGATCCCCGCACTCTCGACGCGAAGCACCAGTGCCATGAGTACACTAGTGTAGTTGCTAGGCTACGGAAAAGTTTTTAGCAGCACCAATGACCACATTTCAATATCTACACCATCCTCTCGTCTTTGTCGAAGCCCCACGAATTTCCCCTGATGCCCGCACAGGCCATGACCCCTTTGTCATCTCGGGATGATGAATCTGGTAGTCTCCTCCGCAAACGATGAATCCACCATGGTTATCTCCGGCGTCGGCCTCGAACCCCAGTCCTGAAAAGTTATTTGGAGTCTACAGAAGCCAATGAATGGATTTGGAGTTCACGCACCTCCACAATGAGCTCCCCACCTTTCCTCCATCCATCTCAGCGAGACTTCGCTCCTCACGCTCATTGTGGATTTCCATTTTTCCGGGGTTCTGAGCGGCCCCAGGTATTCCCTGGATTTCCCCGGAGAAAGCCCTGGCGGCCCCTGGCACTCGGCCTGATGCACGCATTGGCACTTGCGGTTTTTGTCAACAAAGTGGGGTTTGCGGAAGCATCCACGAGGGGTATAAATATGCCTGAAAATCCCAGACGATCGACAAAGCAGACAGGAAGAAGAAAACAAAACCCAAACACTCTACTCGAGGATGCAACTCAACCCCTGGTGCCCTCGGGTTATGGCCCTGGCAGCGATTATATACGCCACTACCACAACGGCCACCTCACTGGAAGACGCCTGCACGGTCAATTATGTTCAATCCAAGCTCCCAGGATCCGATCTCGCACAAGGGATCACTATCGACCCATCCTCTGTCACCACGAACACCGTCTATAACGCATCTATAGGCACGGACGAGACCTTTTTCCCAGCAGCCACTTTCTCTTACTGCAATGTTACATTCGCATACTCTCATGATGGCCGCGGCGACCAAGTTCTCGTCAAATATTGGTTGCCAGATCCCGCCAAGTTTGAAAATCGTTACCTATCCACTGGCGGCGGAGGCTATGCGATCAATTCGGGGGAACAGTCTCTTCCGGGGGGCATTATGTACGGTGCTGTCGCAGGAGCCACCGATGGTGGATTTGGCAGCTTTACGACCCAGGCAGACGCCGCAATGCTTCTGGCCAATGGCACTATCGACTATGAAACATTATACATGTTTGGGTATAAGGGCATCTATGAGCTCAGCAAGATCGGAAAGCAGTTCACTCGCAATTTCTTCGACATGGCCGAGACTTCCAAGCTCTACTCCTACTACCAAGGCTGCTCTGAGGGTGGCCGTGAAGGCTGGAGCCAGATTCAGCGGTTTGGAGACGAGTGGGACGGTGCAGCTATTGGAGCACCTGCTTTCCGGTGGTCTTTCCAGCAGACCCAGCATCTCTATTCCAACATTGTCACACAGACCCTGGAATACTATCCACCCCCTTGTGAGATGGAGAAGATAGTCAACGAAACCATTTCCGCCTGCGACGCCCTCGATGGACTGAAGGACGGTGTTGTCTCTCGCTCCGACCTCTGTCAATTGCACTTTGATATCTCCTCGGTCATTGGCAAACCCTACTATTGCGCCGCCTCATCCAGTGGTGGTGGTTACGGAAGCCAACGAAAGAGACAGATGTCTTCGGCGGCGACCCCCGTACAGAACGGGACGGTCTCTAAAGAGGGGGTGGAGGTTGCGAAAGAAGTTATTCGTGGCCTTCGCGATTCGAAAGGTCGACAGGTGTACCTGTCATATCAAGTAGCCGCGAGTTTTGCCGATGTCACAACCCAATATAACTCGGCCACAGGGGAATGGGAGCTGGAGGTTGACGGTCTCGGGGCTGAACATATCGCCCTGCTCGTGGACAAGAACGGCACAGATCTCTCAACCCTCGACGGCGTGACCTACGACACCCTGAAGAACTGGATGATCAGTGGCATGCAGGAGTACGGCTCAACCTTGCAAACCAATTGGCCTGATCTGACCCCATTCCATGAAGCCGGGGGGAAGGTGATTCACTTCCATGGAGAAGCAGACAACAGTATCCCCGCTGCATCGTCCGTTCGATATTGGGAATCTGTGCGCAGCATCATGTACCCCGATTTGTCCTACAAGGAGGGTGCCGCCGCCCTCAAAGATTGGTATCAGTTGTACCTTGTCCCTGGGGCCGCACATTGTGGTACCAACGAGCTCATGCCCAACGGTCCTTTCCCGCAGACTAACCTGCAGGTTCTTATCAACTGGGTGGAGAAGGATGTGAAGCCGGTTACCCTCAATGCCACCGTTCTCCAGGGGGAGCATGTTGGTGAGAACCGCCAGATCTGCGGCTGGCCGCTCCGTCCGAAGTGGAAAGCTGGGAAGATGGAGTGCGAGTACGACCAGGAGTCGATCGACACCTGGCATTACGATTTGACCGGTGTGCCCGTGCCTGTCTACTAGGGTAGTGTGATGCATTATCGATGCATATGCAGTGGTAATTGTAATTGCAAGTCATCTCATGGCAGCGTGTGCGGCTTGATTTTCTTAGTATGTATGTACATAGTGTATTTGCTGACGCCAACACTTGGGATCTTCTTGCTGCAAATCTATAGCTATAATCAATCTGTTTTGACTGTAAATCGATCAGACCCTGGGATAAGTTCAATACATATTAATTATGGATACTCGAGTCTACCGGTCTCTCGGATGACAACCAGGAGATTAACTCTGTGCCACTCATGCTGCGGTGAATGTCTACGGCTATCTAGCCGGATGATTGCCGACCGCGGGCCCGATCATTCGGATGGCCTGCTGCCTGTGTAGATCGCACCCACCTCATCCACAATTGGGTAGACCAGCGCGGCAACATGCTGTCCGGTGAGCGCGTCCTCATCTGCAAGAGTCGTCTCGGCGGTAAACCTCGACCGTTCATCTGCATGGCCATGACGCATAGTTCACAAACTATTGGGAACCCAACTGGACACAATGACAATGCAGGTGTCCGATCGTATCGGAGAGAGATCACCTGCAGGACCAGGCGCCTGAATTCCATCGAGAGGGGAAGAAGCTCAGCCTTGAAATACGGAGAATGGAGTTCTCGGGCTGTGATCTGAGTGCCAGAGGGCGCTATTATTGAACTCAAGCGGCTGGAACGTGTCAAGCAAAGCAGTTGTCATCAGGGGGATCCTGCCAAGGAGAGACGATAGGCCGCTAAGCAGATCGTCCTGTCAACCGTCGACATCAAATCTTAGGGGCCGTGCGAGATCGCGCAATTGAGACCGCAGGACACTCGCGTGTGCCAGCCACGGCGAATCCACATTCCGCCAGGCCAGAGATGACATCAACCGGTGGACGCCAGGAATGCGGACGTCATTCCGAACGGCTGGGGCTTCGCATCTTTGGGGGCGAGCAGATCGAGGAGGAATCCATGGGAAGTTGGGGGAGGTTTCCAGGGCCCCTCGAGGTCAACGTGCTCTCCAGGGGAAGAGGAAGAATAATCAAAATGCCGGAAGTCAAGCCCACCGCGTGTGGAGCCCTGTCGATCGAGGGTGTGCCCCTGGATTCTGACCCTAAATCGAGTCTGGGGGAGATTCTGCAGCACTAGCATTAGCATGCCTGCAGGGAAGGAAAGCAGAGCAGTCACGAGTAATGTGCGAGCCGAATGAGAGCGTAAGCTCATAGAGTCGTAGGAGGAGTTGAGGTGGAGAGCCTAGGCAGTCGCAGTTCCTTGTGAAGACGACGAGGAAGGCGGTCCTGGCCGATCGCCTCTCTTTACGTACCCCGTTGATCCCGTCCTCCCCTTTGCCCCCCCCCTTCTGCACTTCTCTTCCCTCTGCTCCATCTTCTGCTCACCTCTGCCCACCTCTCGCTGAACTTTTGTTCCTTCACTCTCACACGCGCCGTTTCATCGGCGCCTCCGTCGTTCGACTCGTGCGACATCTTCGATTGACGCAACACTCTCCACCCGTCCCCCGTTTCATCTCTCGCCATCATGAATGCCCCTCCAGCGCTTGGGTACCCGCCCGGCGTGTCGCTGGCAGCACCAGGTGCGTATTTCGTTGGCTCTGGGCAAGATCTGGCCCGTCTATTCGCTTAACCCCCCCCTGAGACGTTCTTTTTTCGCGGTGGCATTTAAATGGCGCCAGATCCTCCGAACTCCCTTTAAAACTTGTTCTTGACAGGAAACTGACGTGAAACTACTGCTCCATAGACCAGGTATCTCCAACAGCTGCGAGCTTTGGCTCAAATAACCCCTTTCGAAACCGTGCCCTGTCTCCATCTGGTGGCTCGACCACCAGCTCGCGCCCGGAACGGCCCCGGTCGACAAATCCATTCCTCGACGACACCGAGGCGCTGTCGCCGCAATCCGCCCCTGGAATGACAACCGGCGCCACCATGTTCTCTCCAACGGAGAAGGACGTCACAAGCAACACCCGCGATCTTTTTGTACGTAACTCCTCGGCGGTTACTTGCGAACTGCGCATGGGAAGAGCTGGGCGAGCCGATTGCTAACGTGACTGCAGGAAAACCTCTCGCTGAACCCGAAGCCCAGTCCTCCACCCGTCGCTTCTCCCGAGACAAAGGGCTTCCGACCACCCCCCAGTAGCGCTTCTCGTGATCCCAGATGCCCGCCCGGTCGCCCACGACCGCCACGGGAGCCCAGAGAGCGCCCGTCGGGGCGCCCTGTAGAGTCGCGACCGAAAGACCCGAAGGATCCGTTTGACATCTTTGCCGATCCTCCGAGCCTGTCAAAGGCGGCCACAGTAGGTCCCCGCGAAAAGGCCTCGCGCCGACCCCGTCGAAACTCCGAATCTTCGGTCATGGAGCGGGCCTCCAAGTTGTTTGACGACGATGACGACCGCCGCCGAAGGGAACGTCGCCATCGCGACCGCGATGGTCGCCCTCGCGATGGCAAGTCGCGCTCGACTCGCAAGGATCGCCGGCTGGACATCATTGACAAACTGGATGTGACGAGCATCTACGGCACTGGAAGTGAGTAACGATAATTGCCTGCAGCCCACTTTGAAGATATGCTAATGCATAATAGTGTTTCACCATGACGGACCTTTCGACGCCTGCAATCCGCACCGCAATCGCAAGGGCTCGCGCATTGCGCCCATGCAAGCCTTCCCTAAGAATTCTACGAACATGGCTTTGGGTGGCTCGGGCCCCAACAACTCCAACATTGATTTGAATTTGTTTCATGGCAGAATGGAGGAGGGCTACAATGATTTCTCAACCTCTGGAGCTCACCGCAACAACACCGAAACTGTCAATTTTGATCCCCGGTCTCTCGTGGATCCCATTCATGGGTCCGAGAGCGCGGGCCTTGGTACGAGCACTTTCCTGGATGGTGCCCCCGCCAGTCGCTCGGCGATGGCCCGCCGGCGGAGTGAAAACGAGCAGGGTCTTGGGTCCGGTGGAGGCCTCCAGCGGAAGAAGAGTCTGGCTCAGCGTTTGCGGGGGAAGAGTGGTACTGGTCGGATGATGTCTCCCACGGAGCAGACCTTCCCAGCGGCGGCACCAGCGCCGATGGGTTCAAGTCACTCCGCTTCTTCTCGTGGAAATGAAACCAACCCATTCTTCCAGGACTATAATGAGGAATACGACAAGAAGGCGACGCGCATTCAGGAGACGCGTCTTGAGGGCGGGGCCGGCCGTATGCGTTCCTCGAGCAGCCCCAAACAACCGACAGGCCTGGAGCGCAAATCCACCAACGACAGAGCGTCGGACGAGAATAAGCTCAACGCAGGCGGCGGTGGATTCCTCAATCGCATGAAGAGTTTGCGCAAGCCGCGACCCGAGCGTCGCACAAGTGATTAGGTCACGACATGAAAGGAAAAGAGGAGAGGGGAAGAGAGAAGAGTTGGTGGATGATTCCAACCTTGCATTTTTGCATTCTGCTGCCAGACTGACAATACCCCCGGTCTGGTGGTATCCGTGTTCCCCTTGCATGGGGAACAATGATTTTTCTTTGTAATACCCAACATTTGGGGCGCCGCTAGCATCTGGCGCCCGACATGGCGTTGCTCTACTGGAGTCGGTTGACCGATTTTAATTCTTGAACCACGATTGCTCTGGCGTGCAGTTGTAGTATTCATGCCCATTAGTCTCGCTTCTTGTACTTTTTATTTGCCGCTTTGCTCCAGAAATATATCTTCGGATTCCATAGGTCCTCTCGGTCTTGATTTCCCCAGTCATTTTTCTATCGTATCAAGTGAGGCTAGGGGCCGCTAAATAGTCCGTGATATAGTGATGATTGGGCACATCACAATACGGCAAATCGTATTATATGCTCTCATACAACAGGAGAGCCAACAAATTGTCCATCTAGTATCTCATATAAGACACGGCGCTAGCGCTACCATAGCCTTGCCGTCTTCTTGGAATTTGAGCTGCAATAATTGGTCTCAGCATCTGCTAGCCCCAGGCAAAAGTCTAGCATGGCTTCATATATCGCCAGCGCGGCGACTGAGTCGAACACACCCTATAAACCGTGCTGCTATACGCTTCAGGCACCTGACACTTGTGAATTATTTAAATCTCTCATTTCCCGGGTATTCTCTCATTCTTTTTCGATCTGGCAATTCCGGACGAGGGCAAGGTCAGTTGGGCATCTTTCTGACTTCAGTCAATCAGAATACCAAAATATAAAAACGCCGAAACCATGCCCAACTTATTCTAAATCCTACCTTGTCGCCCTCATTACCTTTAAGGGGACGAGCCAGCCAAGCCGCCAGCTCGTTTTCGTCCTCACTCATCCCACCACAGACGATCCTGAGAAAGGACATGGTGACATCTACGAGTTCGTTACTGAAACCAATGTCTTAGGCTTAACCCGAGTTACCTATCAACGAGCGTCGCAGACTAACCCGTGGGACCTCGAAGACTTCAAAGGGGCTAATTTCCTATGGAAAACCTCTATCGGAAACTAGCACGCCTCTTGCATTGAGGCTCCTAAGAAACACTGTAAAGTGCTCCCTTCAAATTTGAATATCGACTCGGAGTCAACTAGGTCGCCCTATTCTATCGATATTGGTCACCTCAAAATCCGGTGTCTTCCCCAACGGATTCCATCCACACCTATGCGACTCTTTCCGACTCTACTATGATTGTTCAGTCACTAGGCGGGATTTTGGATATTTTAGATAAAACAATTCGGGTATTGAAGATACAGAAGGTGTTGTGGTCGAATTTTTCGAAACCGAAATGTGATGGAATGAAGACTGTCTCGAGGTTAGCACCCTGAGACGCGGGTAGACAACACGGGAATCACATCTGGGCCCTACCTTCCAGCGAGCCTTGTGATACAGTGATTGTTATTATTAGTCCTACAACAAGTGGTCTAAAATATGCCAGAACTTGGGTACTTGGGGGGAGAGGGAAGATACAGTCAAGCTTGATGGGGTTTCGCAGAAGTACTCTCAAGAATGCAAGTCTGAAAAATAATCATGTTCATTCATTAAATCATGGCCCAACCAGCGAGGCCCCCACCAAACGCCGTACACACCGCATGCAAATAATGTGGTATTTTACTCGAAAAGAAAGCACGAAATCGACTCATGTAACTAGTGCGCGGCGGATGCACCCCGGGCCGTATGGGGATTGGACACAGGGATACCAGCGCGGCGCTTCGATTGCGCCTTGGGTCTGGCTAGTGTGTATCTAAGGAGGGAGATGTTAGCATGGACGAGAAGTGCAAGATTTTGAGCTCGAGATTGACAACGTACTTGGCAAAGGCGCGAGACAGGGCCTTCTTGCAGCTGACCTTCTGGCTGCCGACGAATGAGTCTACAGTGACCGCGATGGCACGGTCAATGTCCTGGGAGGAACAGTACTCCGACAGACGCATCTTGCAGAAAGCTTCCGCGATACGCATGATAGCTTCGAGATGACGGACCTGTGTTAATCAATAGTTAGTATCGCAGTCACCCATAGGTCAAAGGGTGATTGGCTTACGGTAATGGGATAGGCACCAGTTGCCAAAGACTCGCGACGCATGTCTGCGAAGAGGCGAGCAATCTTATCCTGGTCGATTTGATACAACTTGGGGTGGCACCGCTCACGGGCATAAAGAATATACTTGCGCAGCAGCTCTTGAGGAATCTCGCCCTCTTTCTCTTCCTCGGAGCGCTTTTGTTCTGCAGCTCGCTTGGCGGTTTCATCCTGGCTGAGAGGCAGACGGCGGCCCTCCTTGTCGATACGATAGCCCTCGGCGTCGATGCGGTTGTTGTCGGCGTCGACGAGTTCACCGGCATCATTGCGCAGTGGGCGGGCCGGGTTGGCACGGTGGTGGGATTCGATGACAAAGTTGGCCAGGCGCTCGTCCTCACTGGGCTCAACCAGATCACGCACCACACATAAGATATCGAAACGTGACAGAATAGGCTCAGTCAAGTCGACGTTCTGTGCGAAAGGCCTGGTGCTGTTGTAGCGACCACCGTTGGGATTGGCAGCGGCGACAACAGAGCAGCGGGCTTGCAGGGTAGTCACAATACCAGCCTTTGAAATAGAGATAGTCTGCTGTTCCATGGCCTCGTGAATAGACGTCCGATCCTGATCATTCATCTTATCAAACTCATCGATCAAACAGGTGCCACGGTCAGCCAGCACCAAGGCACCACCCTCCAGAGTCCATTCGCTAGTCAAAGGGTCTCGGCGAACACTGGCAGTCAAACCAACAGCACTGGCACCCTGGCCAGTGGCAAAGACAGCTCGATGAGCAGTCTTCTCGACATATTTGAGGACCTGCGATTTGGCAGTACCGGGGTCACCAAGAAGCAAGACGTTGATATCGCCACGAATGGACATTTTGCCTTGCGCTTGCTTGCTGACACCGCCAAAGAGAGAAAGCGCCACAGCTGTCTTGACATCAGTGTGGCCGTAGATACTGGGAGCAATGGAGCGGACAATCTTGTCCACAATATCAGGGTCGCGAGAAAGGGCACGGATCTCACGCTCGTCCTCTTCAGTCATATTGAAACCAGCAAGTTGGTCATGCGACTTCACGACATGGTTGGCCTCGATAATGGTTGCGAATACAGGGAATCCGTTCTTGTTGTTCAGTTGTGCGTCATAGCTGTTGCGGTAGATACCAGTAATCTCAATCTCGTCACCAGGCTTCGCGGTATCGATCAGATCGGCCAGAAGGACAACCTCGCGCTGGCGAGGCAGACGACCGGCAGGAACAGACCCAGGAGACTCTTGAAGAGTCAACTTTTGGTAGTTGCGGTACACAGTCTTTTCGGAGTTCACGGTAAACGGACCGCGAGACTGACAGTTCTGACAGAACGAAATCTTGACTTCCGCACTAGCTTCTTGCTGGAAGGGGCCCAGAGTAATACCACACTTCTGACAAAGAAACATGACATATTTCAGCTGGGGGAACACACCGGTGCGGCGAGTGACCACACCACTGACCCGGACCAGGCAGTTGAGGTGCGATTGACGCAGTTGACGAAGTGTGTAGATGATAGGCACGTCGGTGATGCGGACGTGGATCTCGTTGTGAATATCATGGTATTGAGGGTAATGGAAGAGGGTCACGTCAAGCGCAACCTGATCAAAGACCTTCAGGACCTCGGTGGGCTCGTTGGCGAGGAAGTATGACAGAGCGGCCTTGGTCTCACTCAGGTGGGCATAGGACACTTCCAGGGAAGCAGAGTTAATCTCACCAAGTGTCTTGATTCGGTTACCGTAGACCGATTGGCCGCTAGGGTCAATAAACTCTGTCAGGAAAGCCTTGAACTCGCGGTAGATGGAGCGGAGAACCTGGGGCTGGGTAACCCAGTCGGTAATGTTGGCGGCCTTGACATCAGCCAATTCCTCCAGGGACAACTCCTCCATGCCTTCATCAGCCATATCAATGTCTTCTCGCTCCTCATCATAATGGTGTCGGCGGCGGCGGGGCTGACGCGATAGATCCATATCAAGGTCATCATCGTCTTGCAAGAAAGCCGCTGGCATGCGACGTCGGCGAGCAAGCTCTTGATCTCTTTTGTTCAACCGAGCATCTAGCTGGCGACGAGTAGCTGCGTCGATTTCTTCATGGTCCCCGTCATCATCGATATACCCCTCATTGGCGTATTGATCTTCCTCTCCGTCACGATAATCCCGTTCGAAGTTGTCGCCGAAAAGATCAATTCCATCTTCATCTTCAGCCAATTCATCTACGTCGTCAATGTCGGGGATGAGTTCGGCCTCTTCGTCGTCATCCCCATCTTCGTCGAAGGGCATTGGGGGAGGAGACGAGCCAAGTGCGGTCGCTATTTACCATGTCAGATTTTGCTGACCCTGCAATCCCAGGGATAGGGTGTATACATACGACTGGAAGGCGGCAAGGGTGCGGGCGACGATATTTCTTCTTCTCTCTCGCGCTTGCGAGTGTTCGATCTCGGTCCGCGGTTTGCGGCCGAGTCGCTAGGACGGAGGGGGCTGCAGGGCATTAGTTGGGCACAACAAAAAATAGAACAGACGAATTAGGGGACACATACTCCATCGTATATGCGTAGCTCAATCGTCCTGTTTGGGGAGGATGGTGATTGAGTTAAAAAGTTGGGGGGAGATGTAATGGGAGATGGTATTTTTCTTGACGGCCCCGAAGCGTGGTGAGGAGGAAGGGGCTGCAATGGTTCGCGCGCGTCGACACGTCGAGACGCGGATGACATAATCTTACTTCGACGCGTTTCAATTAAACCCCAACCGGGACATCACGTGGAACCAGCAGCGCGACATGGTACTCTACACTTCCAGGTACCTTCGGCATGATTCCTAGTAAGGCGCATATTCGAAACAGCAAGACTAATCAGTGAAGGGATACAACAAAAGGGTCGACCGCGCACTGACTTCATTTGCATATCCCCTTGCATAATTCCTTCGCCTCCCCCGCCAGTGTCAGTGAGGACTGCAAACTGAACAAACACCGTACTCGCGCATCGCGTTCCGACCTGTCGCTGCGCCATCTGGGGAAGACCCATCCCTCGAGTGTTCCATCTTACTATTGCTTTGCTCTGGAATTTAGATCCAGTCATCGGATCCCAGTTTGCGAATTCCGGAATGGACTTGACACAATCCGCCCCCGGTCAAGCCAAGCCTGCTGAAGGCCGACGTGAGAGCTTCAGTTCTCAGAATTCCCAGACAGCTAAAGAGTACGTCCCCCCATCACAGCAGATCTTATTGAGAGACTTCGGTCATATTCTGATTGTGTTCAGGTTCATCGAATCGCAAATCCGCCTCGAAGCTGATGCACGCGAGGTGCTGCCTTATGTGAATTTAAACCGGGTAACATACCCATCATCATAGCTACGCTAACAGTGATCGATACTTAGTCCTTTGACTCCTGCACCTACGATCTTGGACCATTGCGCCAGAATCTCTTTGCTTGCTTGACATGCAATCCTGTTCCGGAACACGACGATGACCCGTACACCCCCGCTGCGGTTTGCTATTCATGCTCCATCGCCTGTCATGGTGAGCACGCCCTAGTGGAGCTCTTCAACAAACGCGGCTTCGTCTGTGATTGCGGTACCACTCGAATGCCCGCCACATCTCTGTGCTCTTTGCGCGAAGACCCCAAGACTGGCCGCAAGGGTGTTCATTCGCAAGAAGCGTCGACCGGCAACAAATATAACCACAATTTCCGAAACCAATTCTGCGGCTGCGGCGAGAAGTATGATCCCCATCAGGAAAAAGGCACGATGTTTCAATGTCTGGGTCTAGGCACAGTTGAAACCGGGGGATGTGGCGAGGACTGGTGGCACCCGGAGTGCCTCATCGGTCTTCCGAGAGATTGGCATAGCGTCGACAGAAATACGAATAAAACGAAGCCGCCTAACGCGGGAGGTGATGATTCCCAGGAAGGAGACGCGGAGGAAGATGAAACCCCTCTACCGCCGGGATTCCCTGGTGAAGATGATTTCTGGCAACTGATTTGCTTCAAGTGCCTTGATTCCAACCCATGGCTTAAGCAGTATGCAGGATCACCAGGATTTCTCCCTCCTGTATACCAGAAGGGCGGTCTGAACAAGAAACTGGCCGATAAAAATATTCCGCAAGAGACTTATGAGCAGAAAAAGCCCGAGGAAAAGAAGGACCAAACTGAGAATCCGAAGAAGAGGAAAGCAGAGGATGACGAGCCATCTGAAGAAACGCCATCGACGAAGCGAACAAAGGAAGAAGGAAAAGGAGAAGTGGACTCGGCGCAAGATACCAACCTGTCTGAACTTGCTGCGCCCGAAAAAGAGCCCGCCTCCGAACCAAAACAGGACATTACATCTACGACTGAGGTCACCAAGCCCAAGCATGCTTCGCTTCCTGATGCCGCGCCTATCGATTCGTTCTCGCTGTTCGTTAAAGAAGACTTTTACGACCATCTCTGCCGCTGCGCAGAATGCTTTCCCAAACTTGCTCCCTTCCCTCAGCTTCGGGAAGAAGAAGATACTTACGAACCTCCACTTTCCGATGACGGTGAAGAAGATGGAGCAGTGAGTACCGGTACCGGTAGTCTTCTTGAGCGTGGTGAGGCAGCTCTCAGCAACGTCGACCGCGTGCGAGCCATCGAAGGTGCCATGATCTATAACCACCTCCGCGATAAGGTCAAGGACTTCCTTAAGCCATTTGCGGAGAGCGGGCAGGCGGTTAGTGCCGAGGATATCAAGGGCTACTTTGAGAAGCTCCGTGGTGATGGGCAGGGAATCCAAGATGCGGCAGGGCAGGCAGAGGCCATGGGTAGTGGTGGTGGTGGTGGAGGCGACGATGCTGGCAGTGATAACCGACGCGAGCAGAATGGTAAATTCACAAATCCTTTTGATTCCCTTTTGACTTTTCATGTTGCTAACCTGACGCTATGTGCTGCAGGATACTGATACGAATTCTCGTTTCTTTATTAATTTTTGTACGACTATCGTTAGTATATCTTGGAGCTGGACTACGACTCGTTATGGGAATGGTGCAGGTACGGAATAGGTTGGAAATCGGTCGGTCGTTGCTTCTTTGCTTCTTCCAGGGTGAGGATGGAAACTAAAGGATCCAACCACTGGTTTACGGCGTACTCTATCACGATATGAAATGAAATTCATTCACTGGCCCTATGTTGGTTTGATAATACATACATTTGAAAGGTATCAGTGTGGGGAATCGGAACAGACCAAACACAACGCCACCGCAAAATAACGACAAGAAATCCAAGTCTTCGCTGCCAAGTCCGATATGCGCGCCGAAAAAAGTATAGAAAGAAAGAAAAAGAAACTAATGAGCCACTAAATCATTCCTTAAGCCGCTTTGAGGCCCTCAATAGACTGTCATCTGGGAGACCGCTTCGCTTGGTTCCTGGGAGACTACCAGTGCGAATATCGTTGTCGTCTTGGGTGACACGGCGGTGTGGGTACTTGCTTTCAATCCCATCAAAACAATTGCCACTGATAGGTCCGCCGTTCGTAAAATATGGATGCTCAAGGGCTTCCTGGGCTGTGATTCGCTTCGTGGGATCGTACTCCAGCATGCGAGAAAGCAGGTCAAACCCGTCCGCACCGGGAGTGCCCGCACTTGAGTTGGATGAGTACCCGCCATTCTTGAGGCAGCTTTGATACCACCCCTCCAGATTAGATCCACGGTGAAAATGCGGAGGTTGTCGGTGGAGAACCATGGATTGTAGTTGGGTGTATTCAGGCATAGAGACGAGACCCGGCCAGTGCTCCTTGCGTGGAAGCCCAAGGATCTCGACGATTTTCATCATCTGGTTGCGCTGGAAAGGAACCGTCTTTTTACTGTCCATCTTGGCCTCTTCGCCTTTGAAGATTGGGCGGAGAGAGAGAAGCTCGGCGAAGATGCATCCCACAGCCCACATATCGACGGCAGGCGTATAATGTCGACTTCCAAGGAGAAGCTCTGGGGCACGATACCAGATCGTAACGACTACCTTGTCTCCAGAAAAAAGCGAGTTGAGGGGTTTATAGAAAAGGCGGGCGAGTCCTAGGTCACCGATGCGAATGGCGCCACTAGATGTGACGAGAATGTTGGCCGGCTTCAGATCGCGGTGCAGGACCCAATTAGTGTGCAAATAGAGCAGCCCATTGAGCAACTGGAAGAGAATCGACCGAACCATGCCGGCAGGAATCGCATGTCGTTGAGGCTGAGTGTGATGATGTATTATCTGAAGGAGGTCGTGTTCCGTATACTCGAATACCATGAAGATACATTTGTCCTCGAGGATGATTTCTTCCAGCTGGACGACGTTGGCATGCGAGAGCTCAGTGCACAGTGACATCTCTCGGATGGCTGACTGCGAAAGGCCAGTGTACTGGATCGACTCGCCTTCCTTATCGGGCTTAAACCTGCAAGCAGATTCTTTAGGGCCAGTTCAAAATGAAGTGGTACATATCGAGGGGGACGGGCATACTTCTTAATCGCGAATTCCCCCTGCTTGCCATTCTTGCCGATGGCCTTGTATACCCGGCCGTAGGTGCCACTGCTAATGAATCCCACAATGTGGTAGTTGTCTCGCACTCGGACTTTGGTGGTATACCCCGGCGTTCTGCGGGCCTCATCTGTTGGGGCAACGAGTCAGCTCTGTGGTCCACAGTCATTACGCCGCTGTGCGGAGAGAACAGCGGAGACAAATCAACGGATCCAAGTGTTTTTCGAAGAAAAAGCCCACGAAGTATATGAAGCTCACAACCAGAGATGCACGCCAGCCCTCGAGAACAACAGAACAACGCAACCAGGACATGGGAGCACAGCGGGCGCCGTTGCGGGGAAAAAGATTACCACGAGGATAGAAGCCTCCCGCAGCATTGACGAACGGAAATCCCTTTCCAAACATGGCGGGAGGAGATCAAGGATGCAAAGGGCAAAGATCCAAGAAGAAATAATTACCGTCAACCGTCTGCAGACGCTTCAGACTTTGACCCACAGTCCGTCGGGCAGAGAGCGATCCGGAGGAAGGCGGGTTCGTCAGACTCATTGGACCGTCACTCCATGGAAGGATCTGAGTCAGCTGGTTCAGCAGGAAAGAGGAGCCGGTGGAGAGAAGTGGAGAGGCGGAGAGGCGGAGAAGCAGGCGCGATGGGCTCACGGCGCTGCGGCTGTTTTGCTGGGTGGTTGCTGTGTTAAGAGACGGGGCGGGAAAAGCTGCCCATGATTGCTGGGGCTTGGCTGGCAATCGAGCGGGCCGCGCTTATCGCGATCCGAGGGGGAGTGCACGTCATCTTGACTGCCAGCGTCAAACCTCGCGCTCTCTGCTTCACCATCGACCTTGCAGCCATGGCCGAGCCCACCAAATCACCGGTCACGCCATATCTGGTCTTTCTGGTTTTCATTGTCACGTTGGGTCCACTCCAATTTGGATATCATCTGGTACGTCTAGCCAGGATGCGCAAGCTCCGGTGCCAATCCCGCTAACAATTTGCGTTGATTAGGCCGAGCTTAATGCTCCTCAGGCCGTCGTCACTTGCGAAAAGAGGTCCATTCACTCATCAGCGTCCACGCGCCATGGATTACCACAATGCCTTCCCATGAACTCGTCCCAGTTCGGCCTGGTCTCGTCGATCTACACGCTCGGAGGTTTCGTAGGAGCCTTGCTGGCAGGACCGGTGTCGACCAAATACGGACGTCGGATTGCCCTTCAAACAACGACTATTTTCTTCATCCTCGGTCCGGTGGCTGAGACCCTGGCCCCCTCGATCTCTCTTCTTGCATTGGGCAGGTTCCTATCAGGAGTCGGGTCAGGCGCTGCCATTGTGGTAGGCCCGATATACGTCTCTGAGATCGCGCCGCCTCAATCCCGCGGATTTTTCGGGGCGTTTACACAGGTCATGACTAATGTGGGTATTTTGCTCACACAGACCTTGGGTTACTTCTGGAGCCATGACGGCCACTGGCGATTGATCCTTGCGGTGGCCGGTTTACTAGGGGCCCTGGAGCTCCTGGGTCTGTTCATGATCCCTGAAAGTCCGACATGGCTTGCGGAGCACCGCCAGCCGGGCCCGGCCCGCAAGATCCTCCAGCGTATCCGGGGCCGGAATGCAGACATTGAAGCCGAGATCAAGGGCTGGAAGACAGCCGGCGCTCCTCCCACATCCGGCGAGGAGGAATCCTTGCTCGCTCCGTCGCCAGCGACGCAGGATGATAAACCGGCTGCAGTCACAATGATGGAGGCCGTCCGAGACCCACACTATCGACCCGCCATCATTGCCGTTGTCGGTGTCATGGTTGCCCAGCAATTCACGGGCATCAACAGTATCATCATGTACAGTGTTTCGCTATTGCAAAGCATTCTGCCCACGACCGCGGCACTGCTGACCATTTTAATATCTGCTATCAATCTCATCATGACCCTCGCGTGCTCGCCATTGCCGGATCGGATCGGCCGGAAGACTTGTCTGCTGTGCAGCATTTCGGGCATGGGTTGCAGTTCTGTCCTCCTGGCCCTGGGTATCTACTTCAACCAGAAGATCGCGTCTGCCATCGCGGCCCTCCTCTTCGTGGCCTCCTTCGCGGTAGGACTCGGCCCCGTTCCCTTCATTCTGGCCTCCGAGCTCGTCGGTCCCGAGGCAGTGGGCGCAGCGCAGAGCTGGGCCCTCGCGGCCAACTGGACGGCGACTTTTGTGGTTGCGCAGTTTTTCCCTGTCTTGAACGAGGTCCTCGGAGGTCGTGGCAAAGTGTACTGGGTCTTTGCAGCCATGGCCGGGCTCATGAGCGTCTTCATCTACCGCCGCGTGCCAGAAACCAAGGGCAAGACCGATGCCGACGAGGTTTGGGGTCGCGTGGACCGGCGCCAGGACTAAAGCACTATTGTTTTCCGTGGATTTGTTGCAATGTGTCTCCTCGGTCCCAGATACCCCAGGACGAATCACAGAGGTTTCATTTTTGATTCCGGTTTAGCCCGTAGAGCGATTGATGCACGCGCATTGTTGATTGCGGGGTATCTCGCGCCGTGGCGAGTGGATCCTTGCATTCGTAGTTTGACAGCCATTCGCGAAGTATAGAAGCATGCCCCCCTTAACCACGCTGTGAGGCCAGGTGCCTCCTTGTCGGTAGTTCAGGATCCGTCGTAAGTAAGTGGCCTTTTGACCGAGCCAGGCTGCCATTTTCCCTTGTTCCAACTGGCGGTGGAGAGAGTGGACCCCCGTCCTGACGTCGTGTGGGAGACATCCAGCTGTTGTGTCTCGCCCCACGATTCCCTTTTTCCCCCTCCGCCCCTCGGACCGCCGCAATTCCCTCTTCCCCAACGTTTTGACAGCGGTGTTCCACCTTGCTCCACGCCCATTGCCATTGCTCGGCCTGCGTGTAGCATCATCCGACGGCCTGGGACGGGGTCTCCTACTCTTGGCCTTCAACCGCGACGTTGAGATCGACCCGAGCAGATCGCAGATCGAACTGGGGTCTTGCGCCAATTTCACTAAGACCAAAGTCCAACACCGGTGGACTCTCTCGGGGGCCTAGAGCCGCCCTAAAAGCCTGCTTCGCCTTCCCTCGGTTTTTTGGGGGCGCTTCTCTCACTCTCTTTATTTTTCTTTTCTTTATTTTTCTTTTAAATCCTCCTCTAGTTCGGCTCCTTTATTTATCCTCCTTCCACGCTCGGCCGCTGCCTCATCCGCCATGGTCCGGCTGCCGCTCCCGCAGCGCCTCAGCTCGCATCTGTCCGCCCGCAGCACGAGCTCGACCCCGGGCCAGAGCAGAAGCACAAGTCCCATGCGGTCGGCCGAATCAAAGCCCCTGCTACTGAAGGTCACGGTAATTCAAGTAAGTTGAAGGCGAAGTGGCCAATTGCCCCCCACATCAAACCCGCGACCGCTGTTCTGACGCCATTGTTTTTGCCCAGGGACGCAACCTGGCTCCTAAAGACCGAGGTGGCACAAGTGACCCGGTAAGCAGTCTATACTACGAGGCATTTTTCTGGAGACCTTGTGCCTTCGCTATCGACATCCAGCCCGCTGACAACGCGTAACAGTATCTGGTGGTGACATTGGGAGACGCGCGACAGTCCACGCCCACAATATCGAAGACTTTAAATCCGGAATGGAACGTGTCATTTGAAATGCCCGTGGTGGGCGTACCGTTGTTGGAGTGTATCTGTTGGGACCACGATCGGTTTGGCAAGGATTATATGGGCGAGTTCGACATTGCGCTGGAAGACATCTTCTCGGACGGCCAAATCAACCAGCAGGTGGGTCCCTATCGAGACATTCTAATAAAGGATTCGGGGACGGATATTGAGATTAGAAGGAAAGATGGCTAACTGGAATTTTCTTCGACAGCCAAAATGGTACAATCTCAAGTCGAAACGGCTCTCCAGCCGTTCGAACCGGAAGAAGAAGAAGAAGGACAGCACTGTATCAGGCGAGATTCTGTTGCATTTCTCTCTTTCGGACTCCGCAAACCCGAGCGCCTCCCCTGCAGATACTTATCGCAAATTCCGGAACCTGGTATGCATTGGCGAGGAAGATGACCAGATTGACAACATCCCGGCGGCCGAACTCGAGGAGCTGGAGCAGGACGAGGACCGCGATGAAGAGACTTCGGATGAGACCGATGATCCGACCAAGCCAGAAGTTGTGGAAAAGCGTCGGAGGCGACTTAGGCTAGCTCGTCTGCGCCGCAAGTCTCTGGCGGCCCGAGCATATCAATTTTCGGGTTCGGGAACTGGAGTTCGAGGCATTGTGTTCATGGAAATTATTCGCGTCACCGACCTTCCCCCTGAAAAAAATGGTACTCCGGTCGTCCCTTTTCTTTCCCCTGGTGATCAGATTGACTGATCCATTGCCTACAGTTACTCGGACTTCATTTGACATGGACCCCTTTGTCGTGACATCGCTTGGAAGGAAAACACTGAGAACGCCGGTCGTGCGCCATAATTTGAACCCGATCTACCATGAGAAAATGGTGTTCCAGGTCATGCGACACGAACATACCTACACAATGAGTTTCACGGTGATGGACCGGGACAAATTCTCAGGCAATGACTTCGTTGCATCTGCAAACTTCCCCCTACAGACTCTCATCCAATCTGCTCCCGAGGCCGACCCTGAAACGGGTCTATATCACTTTGTGGAGCTGGATGAACCGAGCCCTGCAGCCAAATACAGTCCTCGATTTGCAGTCAGCCCTTCGCCATCTTCGCAGAACCTCACCAGAATGGCTCGGCCTGCGCTGAAATCGCGCAGTTCGGCTTCGTCTGTGACAACTCAGTTTGTTTCTGATCTGGCCAACAAGCTTACGCCGACATCTGTACCTGAGGATCCGACCACAGAATCAAGCAGTAGTTCCACACTGCAAGTTCCAAGCACGTCTACCGAGACAGGCCAAACAATTTCTGAACCTTTGCCTCCTGCTGATGACGAGGGCCTACGGACATACACAATTCCTCTGACTTTGAAGAATCGAGACCGCTGGGAAGATAAACATTCGCCTGTCTTGCATGTCAAGGCGAAATATTTGCCTTACAGTGCCTTGCGACAGCAATTCTGGCTCCTTATGCTGAAGCAGTATGACGCCGATGACAGTGGCCGTATCGATAAAGTTGAGATGACCACCATGCTGGATACCTTGGGCTCTACTCTGAAGGAATCAACGATCGACAGCTTTTTCGAGCGATTCAGTGCCGAGAATGAGCCCAACGAAACTGTCGATCTGACCTTCGACCAGGCAGTGGTTTGCCTCGAAGACACATTGCAAGCTCTACAGAAGAAAAATTCTGTACCCGTTGTTACCCAGAGATCCCCCATGGGACCGTCATCCGTCGGCAGTCAAGAAAGTGAGGAGCCATCTAGCAGCGATGAGCTCGCTTTAGAATCCAACACCGCCATTTCGTCCACCGCTAATCCCTATGGAACAGCTGTTCCGACATTGAATAGTGAGGAGCAGCCCAGCTCGAATGAGGACGACCTCCAGCCCGATGATCTCGGAGATGAGAGGGGTGAGGAACATGTAGTCGAAATCCGCGAATGCCCGCTTTGCCACCAACCTCGTCTCTCAAAGCGATCAGATGCTGACATTATCACTCACATTGCTACTTGCGCTAGCCGCGACTGGCGCCAAGTTGACAACTTGGTTATGGGCGGATTTGTCACATCGAGCCAGGCACAGCGCAAATGGTACTCGAAGGTCATCACGAAGATCTCATACGGCGGTTATAGACTTGGAGCGAATTCGGCGAATATTCTGGTCCAGGATCGAATCACAGGTCAGATCAACGAGGAACGCATGAGTATCTATGTCCGTCTCGGAATCCGACTACTTTACAAGGGTCTCAAGAGCAAGGACATGGAAAAGAAGAGAAGTAAGTAATGATGCCACGGTGCAACCTCAAGAGGGCTAGATTCTAACAAGAGGGCTTCCAAAGTTCGCCGTGTGCTGCGTTCTCTGAGTATCAAACAGGGTCGAAAGTACGATGACCCGGCATCTGCCGCGCAGATCCAGGACTTCATCAACTTCCACCAGCTGGACATGTCCGAGGTCCTGCTCCCTATTGAGAAGTTCCGCAATTTCAACGAGTTTTTCTACCGTGCCTTGAAGCCCGATGCTCGCCCTTGCTCTGCTCCCGATGAACCCAAGATCGTCGTGTCTCCTGCCGACTGTCGCTCGGTGGTCTTCGATCGGATTGATGAGGCTACCAGCATCTGGGTTAAGGGCCGAGAATTTTCGGTCGAGAGACTCCTTGGTGATGCCTATCCACAGGATGCAGCCCGTTACCGCAATGGTGCTGTAGGCGTATTCCGCCTTGCGCCGCAAGACTACCACCGTTTCCACGTCCCCGTTGACGGAGTTATGGATGAGCCGAAGACCATCGAAGGAGAGTATTATACTGTCAATCCGATGGCCATCCGCTCGGCTCTTGACGTCTATGGCGAGAATGTGCGTATTCTTGTACCTATCGATTCCGTGGCCCACGGTCGCGTGATGGTCATCTGTGTGGGAGCCATGATGGTCGGTAGCACTGTCATTACGCGCAAAAAGGGTGAAAAGGTTGCTCGAGCAGAAGAGCTTGGATACTTCAAGTTCGGTGGCTCTACCCTTCTTGTCTTGTTCGAGGAAGGCATGGTCAACTTTGACAGTGACCTCGCGGACAATTCCAAGGGCCCCTTGGAGACACTGGTAAGGAACCGTCTCCTCTCCTTTGAAAGATCAACATAGCTAATTCAATTCACCACGTTCTAGATTCGAGTTGGCATGTCTGTCGGTCACAGCCCTGACGTTCCTCAGTTCGAACCAGACATGCCGAAGAGAGCAGAAAACATCACTGCAGAAGAAATGCAAGAAGCCAGGCGGCGCATTGAAGGTAGCTTGGCAACCCCAAGTGAGCCGGCCTCCATGGCTGCTAGCATTAAGTGATCTTCGTTCTATTTGAACCGAATGGCTGGGCTCAACTCCCACCCTAAACTTTTTCATTGGACATATTTCGAGGTATTCCCTGTGCAATATTGGCGTTTTTGTTTGAAATTCTCGACATAGCGTTCATTTGACAGCATATGCGCATGGTCCCTTGCGGGGCCCGAAATGGAACATCATACAACCCAATAGTCTAAATTTTTAAACAGAAGACATGGCCAACGCGGCTCTCACTCAATCAGAATTACGTATGTGAATTTTTGTCAATTTGAAAAGATAAGGAGAGCCGAGGGTACCATCCAGCGAGTCCGAGTGTATTGAAGTCTGGCACTGAGAGGGGCTGCCCGAAAGAGACTAGCGCCCCACGCGCCCCGACCAAAACAACCGCGTGCCGAATCCCTCCAACCCACCTTCTGCGCTTCCCTTGCTGCCCGCAGCGACTTCGACTCAGCGGGCGTGAATGACTGACCGGCACCTGGAACCTCTGTTGGCGAACGCGATTTCGACTTTCGTCTCACGATACAGCTCACCGCCGCCCGATCCGACTGTCCAGGTTCCTGGCACCGTTGAGCCTGGCGGAGACCTATTGGAGAACAACATCAACGCGGAAATCGGCACGGCGGCGCGCCCGTGTCTTCCCAGCGAGGGATTGCAGAGGAGCGCTCGACTGAAAGACGCGCCATTCGAGACGCGGCTGCGCATTTGTCGTGGTGTACTGCAACCCCCTCAGTCAACCCCAAGCAGTTTATTTCGTGTGACCACCTCCTGGCATGACCACCGCGGTCCTGGCACCCCCGACTACCAAAGCAAAGCGCCGTGAACCGCTGGGGACGATTGTAATGGCGGCTTCTCAGGCGCAATCGCGTGCGTCTGCGTCTGCTGGAGCCGGCAGAAGCCGAGGGGAGCGACGGAGCACACGAAACAGCGCAAGCACAAAAGATTTAGAATCTATCACGAACGGCGAAAGCAAACGTAAAGCCAGTGAGTGCTGCTCTTTGAGCGACATGGACTTGATATCGATCGTCGGTGGATTGCTAACAACCCCTTTCAATCGCGACAGATTACGAGGATGATGGCGGATTCGAATTTACACGAGTACCGTCAAAAAAGGCGAAGCCAACGATGGAAGTAGTCGCAGAAGCCCCTCATTCAGATGCAGAAAATGCGCCTTCGCAATCCACACCACGAAGAGGACGGCCGCCGAAAAAACGAACCGGTGATGCTGCACCCGCAGTGCCGACGACAGGCGAAACAACCGAACTTCCGACGCGGCGACCGACGAGGGGTACTGCGAACACGGCAGTTTCCGAATCCGAACAGCGCGCGACGCGCTCATCACGAAAACACGAGCCCCAGCACGATCAGCAGGACGAAAGACCAGCAAAGAAAGGGCGGCCAGGCAGACCGAAGAAGGCGGAAACGAACGGGTTCAAATCACCGGAGCAGCCTACCAAGGTTGCCCTGCCGATAGCCGACACGCCAGTCATGCAGCGCAACAAGGAACTGAGAGGGACGAAGTCAGGTAAAGGGCGGCGACGCATTAGTTCAGAGATGCGAGGTCGGAGAGCCAGCTCTTTGATTGACTCGGGAACATCAAATGGTGGGTTAATCCCATTATCACATTATAGGACGACGTGTGTACTAATGATCTTTTCTGTCTAGCATTACCACACCGGGAGGTTCGCACGGCGGATTTCTACAAGCACATTGCCGATGAGGGTCTTCCTGAGCCGCGCAGAATGCGACAGCTTTTGATATGGTGCGCAACGCGTGCATTGGGCGACAAACCATCAAGCTTCCACGCGGAGGATCAGAGCGCACATTTGGCCGGTAAGTGGTTGACAACTCGAAAAAAGCCTGGTTACCGAGTGCTAATGGTGTTTCAGCCCGTGTGATCCAAGAGGACTTGCAAAAAGAGTTCTCGTCGAACTCGGATCTTTCGAATTGGTTTAGTCGCGAAGATGTGAATCCGCCCGCCGTTGTCGTGAAGAAGCCCAACCCAAGGAACGTGCAGAACACAGAAAAGATCAAGGAGTTGGAGGAACAAATACAAAGGTAAGCACATAAGTTGAATTCGCCATCGGGGCTCCATCAAGCTAATCTCGTTTATTAGGCTCCAAAAGGAGAGGCAAGCTCTCAACGCTCTTCATAAACAACCTCCGATTCCTCGCCTTGATACACTCGAGGCAAATACCTCGACCAAGAAGTCTCCAAAATCTCAACGGCATCTTCAAAAAGCCCCGGCTGAAGAGATCGACACCTCTCTTCTTGAACCCTCTCAGCAAGCCCTCTATACATCCCTCAAACCTCACGCCCCCTCCATAGAGAAGGGCTCCTCTTCACAAACAGTCCAACCTCCAGTTTCTCCATCCGCTGTTTCAGCACGTCTATCTCGAATCACTACTGGCCTTGCGCCAACACTCGATGCCTTCGCGGCGGGAGTACATGACATCGAGTTATACCGATCTACCGCAGATGCATTCTCATCGCGGGTACTGCGCATCTGTGCAGAACGCCTTGAGGAACGTGATGCACGAAATTACCGGGAACGACTCGCAATCGAGGGAGATGACGAGAGTCGGTCATCTTGCCCTGCTGCAGCACGTCCGCGAGAGGATCTGGGTCTTATTCTTGGGGCGCTCAGTCGGGTTGAAAGGCGGTAGTGATATTCATCTGTCACAATGTCCCACCGGGCTTTCTGCTGGGTATTCACCGACGCTTCTTTTCTATCTTCGTGCTCTTTTCAGCGAATCCTTCTTTTTCCTGTTTCTCAGTTTCCTCGCAAGGCGATGGACTGATTTGATGACTTTGACGAACGGATGTTCGTCAAAGAGCGGGCCAATGGCGCAATGGGGACTGATATGGGATGCATTAAAATCGTTCCGCAAGCGTGGAGTTTTTGGATGGGTGTTGTCTAATATACCGCATGGCGGATCCAATATGGGATTTTCATTTCCTGAGTTGGCCTGCTTTGGCTATGCATAGTTAGCTTGAATGAAGCACCTTGAGCAATTAACACAATCGTATTCTCATGTGGACTCTTTTCTATCTCACACTTCATAGATACACAATGCTGCACTGATGCCTCGTCGGTTAGGTCACAACATTTGGAACGTAGTAAAATCACAAGGATATCATGTACATTTCTCCAGTGCCGAGAAGCTACAGGTGGAGATATATAACGTGATGCAATCGTCTCTCGGTCACATCACAACTTCACACTTGCGCATAGAACCGTTTCAGCCCCAATTTGGTAGTTGTAAGGGAGCTTAAGGATTAGAGTAGTACATCTACGTGGGTTAGCTTTTGCAGCCCAACACTTGGAAAGCACCAATTGTACCCGCAATGGATGTGAGATTCACTGGTGTGTGGTAATGACTGGCGGACGCTAACCGCAAAAGCGTTGCCCGGCAACCGATGAGGCTCAGCCTTGCTGGCACCCGCCGCAAAGGACGGCCAGAAATAGCAACCTTCCAAGGTTGCAACCATGAATGTTGACATTAAGTTTATCATTATCCTGGAAGGCACATAATCACACCACGAGAGCAGAAGCATTACCACAGGTTTCTGGATGATGACCCGCATGCGTTTTCAGTTCCTTTAATGCTACCAGGTGAATACTTAGCCGAAGATGCGGAGGCATATGCCCAGAGCTTTCAAGAATGGAAAGACGGCCAATACCGTAATCCAATTACCAATAAGCAACGAACAATATATGCCTTGCCGACACTAGAAATTGATCCAAAGCTTGATGTCATGCAGACATGGTATAATCTGCGAGGCGAAGCTAAAGGAGGAAATACACGGCCTCCTGAATCAAGCGACATTCGATAATATCTCGCTGCATTTTATCACGGCGTGGAAGTGAAAATCATGCCATCCTCGACACTTCGCTTCATATCGTGAGATGGGAACACATCCAAGAGCAAGGAAAAGTGATCAGAGTACATAGGTCTTCGCCTCGGGGATGATTGCCTGGGCATTCGCGCGCGCCTTTTTCGGACAATCTTTACGACGGCCAGCTATGTCTAGAAGACCTCCTCAATGCGGCCATAAGCCACCTGACCAAGGGCTCATATGTCCTCTTTCCCCTCATGAACATTGATCTCTTCGAAGACGGGGACGACACATTCGTCTAAGGACAAGCCTACGACAGCAAACGCATCGCGGTCGTATCCAGCGCTCGATACAATCCTGGCCTCGACGATATCCAGGACACGACCGCCTGCATTCATGGCCAGCTTCTCCCTGTGAAGAGTAGATGAACACTTTTGTGTCAGGTATCGAACTCAAGGAGCGCAGACCACATCATGACGCTAGATCCCGCGATCGGGCCTACAAAAAAAACAATATCCGTGTATTGGTCCATTCCACAGCGCAAGTCACTCCAGCACATCCAGCAATGTGGCTGGGAAGAATGTGCGTACTGCCAGCTACCAGCTGCTTCACTGTTTCGGCATTGCACACCGCGTGTACTATGCCTCCTCGATGCAGGGCAGCGCGTCCGTCTGCGAAGATGCGAGACAGCCGCCTTATCTGTGCCCTGTTGATCTAGCTAAAGTCATATATGCTACTTCAATAACTGTGCTGGGAAGATATCGATCCCTTCTGGAGTTTTTCTCAAAGACCAAAAATAAAGGACACAAACTTTTTTGCTTCTTTCGCCGCTTAGATACAGGGAAGGTTGGATGAAATCTAGGGCGCTTTTTTTAGGGGGCGGCGCGAGTGATGCAGCCATGCGCCATCTCTACACTCGTAGGCTCCTTATGCTTCTAGGTGTCTACATCTGACACTATGGGGGACCCTATCACCACGCTGTAGCACCTGCCCTAAGAAGCATGCACAATGTCTTTCTCGTTTTGCATGTAGACCATCTGGCCCTAATATCATATATTTTCATTTATGTGATACGATATGGTGTACTCAGAAGGCAAAATTTAAAATCGCACAGATACCACATCAGTCCTGGCTTTTAGACAAGCATCTTAGAGAGAGCAGGAAGGATATGCCATCAGAATGTGGTCAAGGGTTTTTGGCTTACTATTATTTCCCGTCTGATCATGGTGTTGCTCGAAGTGTATGAAATGATTCGAAGATATACAATGCGATTAACGGCACCGCTCTATAATGGACGCCGTAGTATTTACATACGCGCAATGGAGTAGAAAGTTGTCCGAGGGCATAAGCAATATCTAACGGTAGAGGATAGAGTATATAGGAGAGCAAGCAATAGCGAGAACTAGATCTAAAAGGCCAAAAAAAAATCACGAGTATCATAGATCCATAAAGTTCCAGATTTCGTTGAATACAAATAACCAACATGTATTAGCAGACCCCACACACGCCAGCATACGTATTTTTGCCGGGCAAAAAGCAGGAAAGAAAACATCAGAAAACCAGGGGTGATATCAAGAGAGCGATCGGGAAGGGGGACCTCGATGATTTTGGTCATGACTCGTAAGAATCGTAGCTTCTATGTATGTCCGAACAGATGTTCGGGGTAGGTGAGTCGATATAGACTTTGTCAGTGAGCGACGAAAAGCGGGTTTAAAGCGAGAGACGATAGGAAAAAGGGAATATAACAACAAGCGCTTTCCAACTCCTCGTCCCCAGGTATCAACAGCAAAAAATGAAGAGTTAAAAAACAGCAAACAAGCCCCCGCCTCGGTTGCTGGAGGAATAGGGCAACGACCGAACATTTGCTTTCACCTGGCACCGCGGTGAAAGATGAAGGTCAACGGATGTTCGGATGCGAAATGTCCAAGAGACTCGGTTAGATCGAGAGACGCTGAAGGAACAAGGGTTGAAACAAGCGAGCAAGTAAATCAGACAATGAGAATTGTGGATGTGGGCATGTAGGTGTCGAGGTCCTGAGATATTCGTGCGATCACAACTTAAAAGCTGAACAGACCACTGCGTTTCTTCCCAAAAGGATAGACTACAAGGGCAGCCAGGAAAAGGCCCACGGTTGTACCAATGGCCACTTGGACCATGCCATATCCGATATCAAACACAACACCGTAGCTCTGGTTTCTCTGTTCGGCCGCTGATAGGTTCTTTGCAGCATCAACAAAGCCTTGTGTGCCATTTGCAACAACAGCATACGGGGAACGTGTCATTTGTTCGGCGGATGTGATTCCCGAGATAAGAGACCCGCTGGCAGCCAGTCCGGAGGGGACTAGAACGAAAATCGCCGGCAACATTGCGGCCGCGGCAAGTCCATGGCGTATACGGCTGTAGAAGTTTCCCATCACGCCGATAACGAAAGCGCCCAAGGCATTGGACACCTGAGTGTTTGAAGAGAATCGTTTGGAGCTGAAGTAGCTGACTACATAGCCTGCTAAGGAGATGGTCGCCATCACAGGAATCTGCTTCCATTTGGCGTGATTGACAACTGCCAAGCATATCGTGAAGATGACAACGAAGGGAAAATGTTGAACATATTCGTTGGTGATAGGACTGGCCGGACACGTATATGCGGTGGATGCTTGTGGGTCGAGTAGTCCATAAACAGCAGTGCCAATGGTGATGCCGAACCCGAGGAAGAGAGAGTAGATGATGGCATAGACCATGCGGACGGAACCCGCAACAATGCTGCGCGATTGAAGCTCCAAGCTGGCAGATAACACTGTATATCCCGGTAGGATCAATGCAATGGATGCCTGTGACAAAGCAGAGAAGCAAAAGAGCGGTTCTCCTTGGAATCGAATACTCCCAAAGGCCCGAGCCAAAAAGGATGTCAACACCGCGGCTGATATCTCGAATACGTTCGAATACAAGCTCGATTTGGGTGACAAAATGAGTTGCAAGACGCCAAGAAGACACCCGAGCAAAAAGGCAATAGGGATATCAATGGGTCGAGCATTGAACGCAAAGGGGCCGACTGATGCACTTGCACAGCCGTGAGCGAAGATGAGGAACAAGATGTGGAACTTGCTAGGCCGCTTCATAGTCGTATCGAGTCTTTGAGTAGCCTCCTCCACCCCAATCACATCATGGATCACCTCCTTGTAGATCTCGTGTACATCAGCAAGCTTGCCCAGGTCAATGCCCTGGCTGGACCGAACAACCTTCACCTCGGTTGTATGCGTTGAAGTATCATCAAAGGAGATGATCATGCAACCAGGAATATAGAGGAATTGGCCGTCAATCTCCAGGACGCGAGCAGTCATGCGCATATACTCCTCCAGGCGATGAGTCGGAGCTCCGTACTTCATCAGTGCTCGACAGAGTCGAATCAAATACCGCTGGCGGGAAAGAAGCTCGGCAATATGGACGGTGATACGGATCTCGTCTTCCAATTGAGGCTTCATCCAGCGACGAGCCACCCCACCCATCGAGCTCCCTGAGACTGCCCCACTACTCCTGGAGCGTTTGAGCATGCTCATGGGGGATGTCTTCTTTGGGCTTGAGCCCGACAGGGTCGAAGTGGAGTGGTTTCCCGGCTTTTCATACCATTTTTGAGGCCGGTGTGGTTTCCACAGAGGGTCTGGAGACAGGCCACGGCCACTCCATTCGGAGGTGCTCCCTTGACGAGAGTGGCCATACCTGCCCCGACCCTGAGAGTCACAGTTGTGGCCGCCGCTCTGGTGATCATATAGTTTAAGGATAGAGGAGAGGATTCCTCGGCGGTAGTGTGCCGGCCGCTCGACATAGGTCTCAGAGTCCCGATCCTCAGAGAAGCGATCTTCGGATGAGGTCTCCTGGCGAGAGAGCAAACTCGGCGAAGGAGCGCGGAGGCGAGTCAGGAACTGAAAGTCTGGACGTGACATTGGTTGCACGAAAGTGTGAGCGTTGTGAGTGCGCTGTATAGGTCGCCCATTCAAGACGGCCGTGTCATTCTCGTCAATCAAGTCGAAGAGTTGTTTCTCGGAGAAGCTGATCATAGGAATTTCGTCTCCATCTTCCACAAGTTCCAGCTCAGTCGGGGTCGACGCGAGCGATGACACTAGGCTTGACCTAGGACTTTGCTTCGGAGAATTTGGGGGGCGACTTGGAAGGGATGCAAGTCTCTGGGACTTTCCCAGGACACCAGACAGTGTCCGCCCCTTGTCATTCGTACTGGAACTGATCTCATCTTCCCCTTCGGACGACGGCACGCTGGTCCGGTAGTTGATCGCCAGGCCGGTGACATCTGCTGACGCGGTAAGTCTCCTGTCCACCTCCACTGAAACTCCCAGCTGGGGATCGACGGGTCCTTTTTCTTGGATATGTGGAATGCTGGCGGTGGGCAATGGCCTTTGAAGCAACATCGAGCCCCTTGGGTCCATTCGGGGCTCGCCCACGAGCCCAGTAGGCTGCTGGAGCTCCGGCTTGTCTACCGTGGACTGGATGCGATTGGTGTTTCTCAGAATGCTTGCATTCCATTGCTTGCCCTGTGCTCCGACTTCACTCGATATCCTCTCCTGATACGCTTGCTGTTCTTGAAAGCTGTCGCGCGACAGGCGCAATGATGATGTACGTGGCTCTGCAGATGTGGTGCCGGCTGATTTTGTGGCATCAGACGTGTTTGAGCGGTGGATGACTGGGAGGTCGAAGTAACCCCCGCCATTTTCGGTGGAATTTCTTTTTCTGATCTTCCTTTGTTTGCCTTCTTCCGCCTCGTTTGATTATGTCTGTTGACCTTTTACCATCGGGCAGACAGGTAGATCATTCAGCTGACTTGTAGCGGAGTTGGGGACAGCTCTTGCGGGTGGCTCGCGTGGTAGGTTGTTCCTCCTGGCAACAATCGTCAACTATGTGAGATCCCATCGCCGTCAAGCTCTGAGTAGGAGATCCACACGAGCTCGACAGATCCCACTTACTGGCTCAGAATCTGTTAGCTCCGAGGGTCCAGTGGCAAATCAGAGCTGGTGGGAATGGATTAAGGCCACACCTGATTTGGAGCTCTCGCGGCAAGGAGAGGAAGATCGGAAGGAGTCCCGCCAGGAATGAGGGCTATGTCACCAATGCATAATTTGTGACCGTGCAAGTTGCGATCGGAAATTAAACACAGCTGGGTGAGCTTAATGAAAGGATCATTAAGGCTTTCCAGTTGGGCTGATATAGAAGATCGTGAGCCCTTGCTGCGGGTGTTTCTCTATTTACACGGATAGAGACAGATGAAAAGCCGCTGTCGCCGAGCTCGAAGCCACACGGGCCACATGAAGAGTAGATTCAGCACCAGAGAAGATTCCCACCCCCTTCCCTTGATTTTGGTCCCCCATGGGGGCATGGGAGTCAAGCCGGTGTCGGCCAGCCAAGCTCCAGTCTTGATTTTGTTTTTTAGAATTTTCTTTCGCCACGATGGTAAATCACCGGGCATGATTCGGTCATAGATGTCAAGATCGAGTCACAGAAAAGACAACGCACAGCGAATGGGCCTGTTGACACAAACCCCGGGTTACCCCTACCCTCGGGTGGTGGAGTGGGTATGCACCAAGAGGGAGGCCCATCTTACTGGGTTTGCCACACGGATCGACGGTCTGGATTGTAGCTTAAAGAAACTTTCCGGATCAGCCGTTGAGCCAAGGGGGTGTGGAGGGAATCGAAAATCGAAAATGGATATTGTCAAATCCGTCGGAAATCTAAACTGGAAAGCCTATTTCGAGCGCGAGTCAGGAGGGAGAAAGGGGAGAGCCCGAGCTCATTGCGAAAAGAACCAGCAAGTCGATCCCGGTTCCACAGAGGCCATGAGGTATGACAGGTCACAAGCCCTGGCCAGAGCTCTGTCAAGGGAGAAGTAGCGGAGACGCTCCAGGTCAAGTTCCCTGTCCAAGTGGGTGTGAAGACAAGCGTGGAGGTCGGAAGTTGGGGGTTGGAAGGGGAAAACGGCGGAGCCGGAAGATCAAACGTCTGAAGTATACACGGTCTACTGCACATCCCCCTCCGTCCTTGGCACCCTGCGAATTGCCAACCGGCCCATACCATCCTCGAATGATTGTCATGACTAAGCGAATATTTTCTCAAGGTGTCCGATATCTCAAACTTGCTTAGTGTATAATGTAAAGACATGTATATAATGATCGCTGCGTCTTCTGCACAATGCCTCGTTCCTAATCGACGGGGAACGTACATTGGTTAAACCAGGCCCAGGGGCTCTCAACTCAACCGTACAGGTACATGCAGCATACATGTTGCAGGCTGGTACGTGGGTCTATCACACCATCGGAAGGAATCTAGCCCTTCAACAGCACTCAGCCGATCCACAAACAAGTCTACGATGGGTGATTCATAGTTTCGTAAACCGTTGCCCTTCGAAGAGTAAAACAAACGGCCTCGGCAGTCGCCGCACCATCCGGGGAAGAGATTTGCTTGTCTCTAATTCAGGCGGAACGTATCTATTTCTCCCCACAGCTCAGCTTCTGGATCCGATCGCTCATGATGTCAGCTGGGGAGATGGGCTGCCCTGCTAGCGTCATTGTGCAACCCATGTCCCGCAAGGGCAACTCGGGGAAGCGCGAAACAGACTGGCCGAGAGTAACGGATAGGATTAAGCTCTTGCCGCCCTGGATCCACTACTCTTTAAAAATGACGAAAGAAAAACCCACAAACATGGCAGGCCCGGGCTTCGGATTCTAGGTACACGCTCACACCATTGAAACAGCTTTCGCATTGTCACTCATTCGAGACCGCAAGATACCGACACAATTTCCGGGCCCTGGGACGGGTATGGTAAATAAACGAAGCCCTAAGATCGTGATAAAATCGAGTTTGGCTGGAATGATCCTTTCCTGGGAATAATCAAATGCAGCCCCCCACGGCTTCCGTCCTGCAGTAATCAAATGTGACGGCACACCCATCGGTGGTCGCACCCTTGACGCTCACCTCTTCCTCGCGGTCACACAGCCCCTCCCTAGCTCGGCCTACCGAGGATGACCGTAAAACCTCGTAGGACGCAGGGACTACCTGCCATTGCCTAATAATTGCCTAGGGCCGATTCACCGCGGCCGTCATGGTGACACGCATGCCTTACGACCGTCTGTGTCTATGAGCACTCGCGTCGATTCTTGGACTGGAACCCATGTGCTTGTTAATGCATTGTAGCCTGTTGGTCCACTAGTGCTGTGATTGAGTTTATTGCAATTCCAATTTATTGTTTTTTTGAGTTTATGAATATGTACCTTGGGTTACAGTCAAGAGTTCTATAGATCAAGGTTTGTGGTTACCCGCCGCGAGAACCACGGATATCTCGGGCTTGGGTCAGCAAAAACCGACCCACCGATCTGAGACCTCGACTCACAAGTGAGCATAATTTACGAAAAACATGATATTTTGATAATCCTATTCCGGAGCTACATCGTGCTGATGGCCGACAGCACATGCTTCCAAGAGACACTGCGTTCCGCATCTCGCCCACTGCTCTATAGGACCGAGGGGTTAGATCCCAATCCTAACCAGCATCAAGCATAAGGAAAGGATTCCTCATAGTGGGTCCTCGTCAAAATGTTACTCACAGTCTATCAAAGCCTTTGAACCTGGGACTGTTTGAGAGCCATAGCCAGTGCTTCCCGCTGAACCCACCGGAGCCTAGAAAAGAAAAAAGCTTGCTTAGGCCAGTTTATAGCAGACCGGGTAGTAGAAACATACAAGGATTATAGGTATTGACTTCATGAACTGTACATAATAGGCTGTGAATCATATTCTTATGGATGAGTCCCAGACCTAGCAGCTCTCTCTTCTATCTGAATGATGTATGCGTACTAGGTTGCTTTGCTATTCCTGCGATGGGTTCAAACCAGCTTCCCATTCGCGTGCAATGCTTTGAATTACTGGAGTAATATATGACGCGATGTGATGTATGCACTAACTTCGATCGGTCTGGCAGAACTCGGCCAAATCTCCGCCTAGATAGAAAAAAAAGGATAAATTCCACAGCAGCAAGAAACCTCAAATGCCCGAGCCAAAACTCCTGACTTTGGAAGCCCAAAATAAACCAGAAATAGTCAGGTACCATGACTCGCATTATTCTATCGGGAACAGCCAGGGGTCGCAATCCCAGGGAGAGAGTCCTTCCTGTTTAGGCCATTTAGGCCGGAGGAAAGCATCCCATGCCCAATGCCTCACCTTCCTAGTCCCCAGATCCGGGAAACAAACTGGCGGGACCAGCAATCTTGCATCCTGCACGTCTGCCGTCCGACCGACTGACCTCATGCCGCAACTTACGACATCGTGACAGATCCATGGTTCGATCAATGGCGGGCTCTAACCATGGACCTGGGTCTGGTTCCTTTTGTCTTTTCGTTCCACGTGGCAGCTGTGTGGTGCCGTATAGTTACCCTTTCTTGTTGATTGAATATTTTCCGAAACTCCATAGAGATTCATAGCATTGACGCCGAATGCGATGTCTATAGCTTGATATTTGTGGAATTAGCACGTGCATGGGTGGATGTATTGGTACAAAACTTGGCAGTCCTGCTACGCCAGTCCATTTGATAAGTATTAATGTCGAGGATACGACCTACGTAGTAGAGTATGCCCTTTGGTCTAGGTACGAAGCGCCTGGGTTGATCTGTGAATCTGGGTAGCAAGTATAGAATGGTGGGATTATGCCAGGTTCATCTCAGCGGAACATCACAGGGACCATACATCGGTCAAAATCATTGCACGATAGCCCATTATCTTCGATCCGAGCATGATGGATTTTCGAGGAGGCCGGCCGATCACATGGAGCGAAACACTAAGACATCGATTTCTACAAGAAATACTCGAACAATTAATTGGCAAAGTATGCATTGGTGGATCCTAAGAGAGGACAGGGCAGACTGAGGTACATGACCGGATGTACGACAGGAACCCGAAAGAAAGCAAGACGGCAAGATTAGCATCTCCCAGTCCAGTCGAGGAGCTCGCGATGCTCGTCACAGAAATAAAGATAGTTCGCATCAACCTCGCATGAGCAACGGGGTCGGCAAAACGCATGTAGACAGAATGTAAAGAAGAGAAGAAAAACCATGATAAAAAGGTAGGGGATCGAAACGGAAAAAGAAGTCATTGCAGACTGATCCAGGTCTTTCATCACACTGAAAACGTAAAAAAGCTAGCAACAAGTGCCAGGACATGAGAATAGGGAAAAGGAATGGAAGGGTCCATGGACCTTGGGCTGGGGCATCGAGAAGGGTAGAAAGGCCCGCCCAACGAGAGGGAGAATGAAATGGTCATACGTCGCTGTCACATGATTGGTCGGCATTACATGATGGGGGTCTTGCGCTTCTCAGCGCTGGACAACACAAGCATCGGCGTCTTGCGCCGCTCGGGGCCTTGAGCAGTTGATCCTTGGCCCGCGACGACAGCCGCCACGGAGGGCGAGGAAGCCTCACTGGGGAGGGAGATATTGTCCGCGCGGATTTCCGCTAGCTTCGACCCGAAGTAACCGTCTTCGCTCGTGGGAGTTCCGCTCTGGTAGGGGCTGTCCGGAGACTTGCGCTCACGGCCGGACTTCTCCTTGCGCTCAGATCCAATGGCGCCGCTGGCGGCTGCGCGCAGGCTGCCGAGGCTGGGCTTGCTGGAGAGGCTACCACTGCGAACGGTGGCATCGTCACCATCGGAGAAGGTGAATTCCTTCTCACTGGCGGGAGTGTTGGTGCCTCCGCTGCTGTTGTATCCAAAGCTACGAGTGTCACCTCGGCGCTCAATTCCAGCGCGAACCAGGTTGTGGACAGCACGTCGACGTTGACGAGTTGCGAAATTCTTGCTTCCTTCGTGCTTGGAAGTCGGCTTGGCCACGAGATCCTCCAGCGAGGGCGGGCCACGAGGCTGACGGATCGGGTGCTCGCCCGCGCGAGCTTGACCGGGTCCGAATGTGCCTGTGGCAGGAGTGGGAGGCAGAGCGGCGGACCGGGGGCCTGGACCGACATTGGCCTTGGTCGTATCGATGCTGGTCTTGAGTGCTGGGTTGAACGGCGGATTCTTTCGGTGGTTACGGCGGAAAGCAGTGGACTCGGTCGGCGGGGAAGGAGTGCCACTTGGCGGCGAGATGGGCTGCGAAAAGTACATGTGCGATGGAGCCGACTCTGCGGGCGGGGAGATTTCAGCGCGAAATTGAGGAACCTGGTGACCGGCCAGATGGTTGTCCGCATATAGCGAGCTGGTTTCCTCAGAGCTGTTATCCATGATGTAACTTTGTTGACCGGTGAGAGGGTTGTAGACGGAGAACAGGCCAGGCTGGCCAGGGACAGGCTGCACGATGGGCTGCACACCCTGCAACAGTTGCTGTTGGTAGAATCCCATGCCAGGCATCGAAGGCGAAGGGGCGGGCTGGTGCTGGATAGGCATTCCTCCTAAGTTGAGACCTTGGAACTGCTGAGCTGCAGCAGTGACGCTGATCAACTGCTGCTGCAGGCGCTGCTGTTGAGCCGCCAGGAAGAGATTGGTCGACATCAGTTCGGCATACATGTTCTCATCCATGCCAGGATCGACCCCCATTTCAAGGGTGGGAGGTGCAAGAACCTGCTCCGGAAGAGTGTACATCGGGCGTTCCCGATGTCCGCTGTGTCCGCCATGCCCACCCATTCTCTGATTGTTGGCATATGCGTGCTGCGGGAATCCAGCTCCCGTGGCAGTTTGCGGAACTCGGTCCAGGCCTCGGTTAGGCAGGACGTGGAATCGAGGGTCTTCCATACCATTTCGCTGTTGATGCTGAGAAGGAATAGTGGCGGAACGAGGAGCAGTGCGCAGACCAGCCAAGAGGTGCGAGCGACTGGTACGCGGAGTGGAGATCGAGGGCTGGGACTCATCGATGGTGGCCACCTGAGGGGGGACACTCAATCTCTTGATGTGTGAGCCCTTGCCTCGCGAGGCGAAACCCGAGCTCGGAACACCGAGAGAGGTGCCATTATTGAAGTTGTTGTTGTAAGTCATTTGAGCAAGACCGCCAGCGTCCATACTCAGGGTCGTCGAGAGAGGGCGGATATGTTGGTATGTGCAAAATGTTTCGGCGGAGGCGTTCAAATCGCGTCAGGTGCGCGAAGCGTTGGGGATCAACCACGAAGCTTCGAGCAGTTTTTGTCGGAGGATTAGAAAATTATGCGGTCTATGACGGGCGTGAAATAGCGAAACTGATCGAGTCGGCCGCGCTGGGAGAGGGGTTCCGAGAGGCGAGAGTGAGCGAGAGATGAAGGAAGTGAACGGATCGTGAGGATAAATGAGTCGCGAAGTCTGGCAATCAGGCAGCTGTCAGTTGAGGTCTCGTGGAGTTCGGCAGAGGGTGGAATTCACATACCACAAGAGAAGGATGCAACAGGAAGTGAAAGAGAGGCTGATTGATGCAGGCGGAAACGCAAAGTATCAATATTATCCTGCTGTACAGAAAAGCGATGTTCCTTGGGATCTTTATTTTCGGGTTTCGAACTTTCTTTTCTCGACAGCGATTACGAATCCAACGGTCACGTCGGGGGGCAAAAGGCAAGTTGACGATAGGCGGAAGTAATTAAGCGAACACCGAAGAGAGCAGTCTGTTTAAAGACTGAGAACCGAAAATACCGAGGGAAATGCGCTGCAAATCCCAGTCGAAGGAGAAAGAGAGGGAGCCGACGCGGGTGATGCAGGGACTCGGGAGAGGCGACAACACGACCAGCAGCGAGTCACAATGCACGACCAAATCTGGGAAGTACCAAAGGACAACCAGATGAGACGCCAGTAACAAGGTCTGGACACCAAGACCGTGTTTTGGGGGTGGTTGGGTAGGAAGGTAAGATCAAAGATCGAGGATCGAGGATCGAGGATCGAACCGAAATCAAAATCGGGTCGGGTCTCGGCCAGACACGAGCAACTCTTTTCAGGGGTGGAACGAATCGGAAGAATTATTTGCAGGATATTTTTTTGGCGGATTTTGTGAGAGTTCCCAATCAAGACACGAGCTGCAGAGAATGAAAGAATGCAGGAAAAAAAGAAAGAAGCGAAGATTACGGGATGGGGGGAAGAGAGATGGAGAGAGGAAGAAGAACGAGCGCGGTGCGGATGTGGGGAACAGGCAAGTGTGCCTGGGGGCCTGAGGCATAAAGGCAGCAACACGCCCGACACGAGATGAAAGTGGGGGCCGCCAGTCCCATAACGGACTAGCGCAGACCAACGGGCAGTCCGGATTGGTCCGTGACCCTCGGCTGTCCTTTCGAACGTGAACAATGGGCCCCTCAGCTACAATGCTGCCTGAGCCGACCCTAGGTCGACTCGAGCGTATTAGGCGGGAGGGTACTACATACATACAGTGCATCAATGGCCACGCCGAGCCGGCTTGAGCTCACCAGGCGCGGATGGCGCGAACTAGGCTGCTGTCATTGGGCGCTGGCCACCGCCAATGATGGGCGCGTCTGCAGGTGCCAAGTGACGAGGCCAGAGCCCCGTCACATCGCCCGGTCATCGATTGGTTGGGGCCTCTCACAGCACCCCTGCTGCCGCCGCCAAGCACCGCCCGGTGGCCAATCCAGCCATCGAACAGAGAGAGGAGGGCCTGCTGTAGCTGGACACACCAGTGGCGAGGCCACTATGATGTTAGACTCTGTGTGTGCTACGTACAAGTAGCATTAGTAGCACTGTACTGTCCACTGTCAGCCCCGGACATGGACCACCCGGGCCAGATCGGTGGTTCTGCTTGGTATTACCCCGTATTGTGATTATGATCTACGCCTATGCCGATCCGTCGTGTCAGCCTAATCAAACACCCCCTCAGACATTGGTCGTCATGGAATGGTCATCGACGATGTGGAGAACGGTAGGTTTTCTAGCCCTATGTACACATACAATCATACTTGTACAAAAAAACTACCGCGCGGGGAGACACGCAGTAGCGCTTGTTTGGGAACCAGCCAGCTAGTCAACTATTTCCGAAAATCATCAAGCATTCCGATCGAACCGTCCAGGCCTGGAAAAGGACAATCGATAGGGGGACGAAGACAGAGACAGGCGTGGCGAGGACAGAAGGAGAAAGGTAAACGAAGAAGATAGAATGTAATAAAACAAGACATTGGGGTATCTGCTGGTCAAGTACATCCGCCCAGAGGTCAGAAGTCATGCCAGAAGGAGAACGAAAGTGCACAATGAAAATCGTTACGGATACAGGATGAGGGTGAAGAGGAAGAGGAGCGGCCATGGTGAGTAGTGACCACTCACGCATCGACGGGCACGCCAGAACCCGGGTGAAGCTCGCTCTGCGAAGCGAGGCTTCGGTGTTCAGGCTCGGGGGATGCGCCCTTGCCGTTCATGCGATCAAATTCCAGGGTCTCAGCCAACTCGGCCGCCATGGGGTCGAGTTCCTCTTCCTTCAGGCCAGTAGCGAGAGCCACCAGCTTGCGATGCACGTCGAACTTGGTGCTGACACCAGCATCCGCCGTTTGCTGGGCAAGGTCCTTAACGGTGCCGCGGCGCGTCTTTTGTGCAGTACAAAGCTCACGCGCGAGTTGATAGCGGACCACCAGTTCCTCAGGGCTGAGCGAGGATGGGTTCACCCGTGGAGCCTCCGGTGGCGCCCCGGTGTTCAACTGCTGGGCCAAATCGGCGTATTGTGTCTGTTCGAGAAGTGACTCGTAGTTGGCCCGCAGCTTCTCATATCGACCCAGCTGGTGATCGCTAGCTTCATTCTCGGCCTCCTTTGCAGCCATCGCAACCGCTTGCTTTTGGATCTTCTGACGATCCGACTCGAGCTGCTCGAAGAGGGCCTCCGGGTTCGCAACATCATTCGAGTCTTGCTGGTTAATCTTGGAATTGCCATAGGTCACCGCGAGCTTCTTGTTCGCCTCCGACATGATCGTGCTGATCTTGGTGAGCAGCTCTGAGTTGGCACCGGAATCCACTGGTAAAGGCATGGGGGCGTGGTCCGGATTCATAAGGTCGCCAGCAGGGCCCTCAAAATGGTCATTCATCATAGTGACGGACGACGGAGCGGGTGGAATATCATGTTCGGTATGGTGCGAAAATTGCGTGATGCCATTGGCAGTCTCTCCCTTCTTGTTCATCAAATCACCAGACCGGGGGCAGTGTGTCAGAATCATATTCACAAGTCGGAATGCACCGTTGCGAGACGCCACGAGAGCCGCGCTGTCACCATTTTCATCTTGGCACGCCAGCAGCAGATCGATTTCTTCCTGTGAGCAAGTTTTGCACAGTTTGTCAAGCAATACCTCACAGTAATACCGTGAGCTCTTCCATTTGCCCTTACTTCTGGTCGTTTCCGCAATGTGATGGAACAGAGTTGCTCCAAACCAGTCCCGGAAAGAGACAGTATCCAGTAGGAAGTCAAGCAGAGCAGGGAATGTACGCTTTTCGTAGTTATTGGTAAAGAGAACTGCTCGAACAAGCGGTGTCTCTTCGTGGACGGACAATGCCTTGACGTCGGCACCTCGGCGGAGTAGATCTTGCACGATGTCAAGATCACCCATTGAACAGGCCCAATGTAACGCCGTGTTCCCAGAATCATCAATGGCACGATCAACTTGGAAGTTGTCCGGAGGTTTCGGGGGATGGATTCTTGTGGCTTGTGGCGCATCACCCACGGTCATAAAGTAATCCAGGAGTTGGTCGCCGTAAATGATATGCTCTTGTTCGCTGATGGACATCATGTTGGGCTCGTTCGTCCCGCGCTTGCGTTTCCGTCCGCCATGTTGGGACATCTGCAACATATCCTCGTCCGCAATCATGGACGAAGATTCCATGGTTGCTTGCTCGATAGATTCGTTGTCATCAAACTGAGTGCTGATTTCGTATTGCTCATGGGGTAGGGTTGGAGGTCCCATGCTTCGATTGGGTTGAACCACATTGAAGATTTCGGTGGCTGCCGAGCGATTAGTAGATTTGCGTGGTGCTCTCGGCTTTGAGGGAGCCGAGGAGTGTTTCGGGGCCGGCGGCGGACTGCGATCTCCAGCGACATAGTCGAAAATTGGGGCGATCTTCGCGAGGATATTGTTGCGTTCGGCAAGCAGGCGACCCTCACCGAGAGGAATCCATGTCCCTGCCGCACATCTATGTTAGCCACTCACGGCCTTTCGCCATCTCCCAATCCACGATGTCGTACCTTGATATTTGCCATAACCGCCCTGCACTTTCTCATGAACTCCCTTTTGGACTTCCCGTTCTAAGATTCGAGTCCTTGCAGGTTTATCGAACCCAGCAGCCTTCAAAATATGCGTCGCATTGACCCAATCGTCCGCCCTTCTCCTCATCACACTGTCGCCATCGACCTTGAATTCGTACACAGGGACCTATCGGAAGAGCGTTAAAAACATCGGGGAATAGAGGTGAGATGGAAAGGAAGGGATCTGGTTCGACCAAGACCGTGCAGACCACAGCTTCCAATATCAAATACATACACTGCTGTAGGTGGCAGAATAGATTGACTCCATTCCGGCCATCGTGTGTCGCCGTCGAACGACAGCGATCAGGTACGTTTTCGACTACCAAAGTGGCACGCACGTAGGCGCCCGAGACCGCTCGAGGATCGACAGGTTGGTAGTATCAAGAATGTTCCGGGGCCTGACACATTGCACGCACGCAAATAAGGACCGTTGGTGTAGGGACACGATTTGCGGGCGGAGCAAGGGCGGCATCGCGACGCGATTTCAGCGCGTAAAGTGGATTCTGGGCGCTAGTCCTCTTCCGGGTTGATGCACGTGACCGGCGCTACGATCAAGTCACATGACACATGAGACCACAGGAACATAGCGAAACGATGCAAACCGCCAACCTTGCAGTCCAGCCCGCCTTCCTTCCCTCTTCCTCCACTGCGCAACCTTCAATCCTGCGAAAATGACTGTCGCCGAGTCAGTCAAGAGTGCTGTGGGCCTCGCGGACACCTCCGGTACGATCCCTCGATCAATTGAGTCATCTTAAAACCTCGGAACTTTTGGTGTCATGAAGCTAACCTCAGCAACCCCAGCAACCCGCCAGGAAATGTCGGAGGCTCGCCTCCCTATGCAGTACCGTGACTCGTGTGCACACCTTCTCATCCCGCTGAACCGCTGCCGGCAAGCCGAATACTACCTTCCCTGGAAGTGCGAGGTACGAATGCCCCCAAGACAGCGGATTGAATTGAATCCGCGCACCCTGCTGTTCACTCCCTTGCTGACTCGGTACTTTTTGTTGTATCTCTACAGGACGAGCGACACTCTTACGAAAAGTGTCAGTACGAAGAATTCAAGAAGCGGGTGGCAAAGATGGACGAGCTCCGGGCCTCCAAGGACGGCGCCCGCAGCAACTGAGTCTGCGCGAAGCTTCTAGGTTGTGTTGCTGCGGTCGGGACTGCTGGTGAAGCAGCAGGTTATGTACATAGACGATATACCGAGACTGCCCATGAACTGCCTTTGGCGTTGGGACCTTCTACTTTCCGTTTCTGCCGGTGACGCCTCGTATAATAGATTACCGGATGTTTGCAAGTTGGTATTAGGCAGGACCTCGTCCGAGAAGGGTCATCATCGCGGCCGAGTGTTTGAGCGCAGGGAAACTTCTGGGCGTTCCCAAAGAAGTATCAAGACATGTTATAGATGAGGTTACACCTGGGGAATCGGGGATTGGTAATCCATAGTTTGCGTTGCCAGTATTGGTCAGCATGAGCGGCACTCGTCTTACCGCGATAGGAGTAGACGGGTGGCCCGAAATATCCATTCGTATTCTGGCATGTCAGGGTTTGTGAATGACTACCATTACAAAGGTGAGATTGCGGTTTCCGATATTCGGGGGTGCTGAGGTCCGGGGTTCGACCTGCGTGGCGCGCTATGCGCCGGGGTCTGTTCTGCAGGTCTGTCGTGATTTGAACCCGGCATGTCACTAAGGTACTGCACGTCTCATTTGTGCAATGGTAGAGGAACTTTGTATAGAGACCTGGCACAAAACTCGAAAATCTTTGATAAAGGAAGAAACAAAGGGAAGCAGATGCAGCAATCCATCTCAAGTATGTATACGACACTGTACATGGCAATCAGGTGACTGCTTAGAAATCCGCCCGCCGTTATCGCCGAGATGCCCCGCCGGGAAGCGTTGCGACTGAAAATTCCCCCATGCGAGAATTGAAAAGAACCGGGCGGAACGCGGGGACTATGCGCGCTTCTTTCCGTCCTTAAACTTCAAGGACCCCTCCTTGACACCACCGTCTGCCTCGAGGCCATCGACCTCAGGCTGTGATCAAGTACTTTCCTCGCATACTTCGGACTCTTGACCCGCCTTGCGCCTGTCGGAGCGCGGAGAACCTCGAAATACGGCACTGACACCATGGGTCTTCTGTACGTGGCTCAGTTGACGATGGAAGCTTGTAAGGGATTGCTAATTTCTGATCTAGTGCCCTGGGGACCGCTCTGGAATGGCCAGAGGCGAAGAAGAAGGCTGGCCAAGTACGCCAGTGGGGCATTGAGGTATGCTTGATGAGGGGTTGTTGGATCGCCCAACACACCGGTGGGAGATGGAGCTGATCTGAAACCAGCAATTACTGGCGAACTGGCGACGAGCTCGTGGCAAAGAACGCGATGCCCTTCTTTGGGGTGATGAGGTATGCGCAATCGATATCCCCCTTCCACAGCATCACACGACCTGCCGATGTCGGCAGAAGCTAATTATCCCTCCTTCAATAACGCAGGTAGAATATCTCGTGGTAGCCTTGGACGATTCGAGCAAAAAGGCCCGGCTATCGCTCGCCCAGGCCGAAATTCTGAAATCCCTTGCTCGGGACGAGGCACTGTGGCAGGCCGGGGGTAACAAAGAAAATGGCAGCAATGGGGAACAGTAAGCTGACGCCCCATGGGAGGACTATGTCGTTGATGGGAAATGATGCTGACAATCCTTAGTGATGGTGAGGAGCCGCCTCATTTCCACCCGGAATTCGGTCGTTTTATGCTGGAAGCCACACCCGGGCGACCCTGGGGAATCGGGTTCAAGGACCTCCTGAAGGTGGAGAGCAACATGAAGTGGAGGTACTTTTTGGATAGAGAACAGTCTCATCGCGTTTTGAATGTTTGCTGATCATGTTTTAGGCGAGAGGTCGCGAAAGCGCACATGGCGCCAAACGAATCCCCGATCACTCTGACCACATTCCCCCGGCTGGGCACGAAAGATGATTATATCCAGCCCTATTATCCGCCATCTGGGCCTGCCCTGCGTTCTCAGTTTGTCCCCGATGAGATCGCTAATCCGCATATCCGCTTCCCAACACTGGCTGCCAATATTCGCTCTCGAAGAGGGCGTAAGGTCGAATTGAATGTGCCTGTCTATAAAGATCTTAACACCCCTTCGCCATTCAAGGACCCTACCGTCAACTATGACCTCCATCAATGGCCCGAGGATGCGGACGTGCGTAACGGCGCTGCCAAAGACGACCATGTCTATATGGATGCAATGGCGTTTGGTATGGGCAGCTGCTGCTTGCAGATTACTTTTCAAGCCAAGAATATGACGGAGGGCCGAAAGCTTTACGATCAGCTAAGTCCGCTCGGCCCAATTCTTCTTGCCCTCACGGCGGCCACCCCTATATATAAGGGCTTCCTCGTGGACACGGATGTGCGATGGAACCAGATCGGTAATGCCGTGGACGATAGAACCCCTGAAGAGCTAGGAGAAGCTGTGAGTCACCATTCCACTATTCATTGAAACCTGGGAATATACTGACATCGTACAGCCTCTCAGGAATGACCGCTGGAGAATCCCCAAGTCTCGGTATGCTTCAAACTCGACTTATATTTCTCAAGATCCTCGTCTACGGAAAGAATACCTCGACCCGGATTTGGTTGTAGATGAGGATATTAAGAATCGGCTGATGGAAGGAGGAATGGACGATCTCCTGGCCACGCATTTTGCACATTTGTTCATTCGGGATCCATTGGTGATATTCTCCGAGGATCTGGAAGAGTTGGATTTGACCAAAGGCGACCACTTCGAAAACCTTCAATCTACCAACTGGCAACACATGCGGTTCAAGCCCCCGCCTTCCGAAAAGGATGACATCGGTTGGCGAGTGGAGTTCCGGTCCATGGAGATTCAAATCACGGATTTCGAAAACGCAGCATTCAGCATCTTCATCGTCCTCATCACCCGAGCTATCTTGAGCTTCAACCTCAACTTCTACTTGCCTATTCCCCGAACGACCGAGAATATGGAGACGGCTCACGCTCGCAATGCCGTGCTTGACCAGAAATTCTATTTCCGCAAGGATCCATTCGCCCAGCGGACTCCAAGAAACCCCCAGCAGTCGTCCAACGGCAGCAACTTCTCCTCCGCTACCTCCTCGGCGGTTAACACGCCGCCACCCTCTCCTCCCCCTGGACCCCGTCGAGTCGGAGTACGAATTGATGACTATCTCTGAGATCATCAACGGGTGCTCAGGCGGGACTTTCCCCGGTCTTATTCCCCTCGTGGAGTCCTATCTTAACAGTGTGAATGTGGATGTTGAGACCCGGTGCTTCCTCGCCACCTACCTTGACCTGATCCGCAAACGTGCCGATGGAACTCTCTGGACCGGAGCCCGATGGATTCGCGAGTTCGTAAACAAGCATCCTAGCTATAAGCACGACAGTGTTGTCTCCGAAGAAATCACCTACGACCTCGTCAAAGCCGTCGAAGAAATGACAGCTAAGGAGGGCAAGCATGGCTCTGTTGGGTGGGAACTCCTTCGGGGCAAGAACTAGGTAGACAATTTTTTCCAACTTTTCATTCCCCATGTAGATAGAAATACCGGGCTTGAAAGCATAGAACATGAATGAATACACTTGCACATATTGATGCCCGGGGGCAGCCCTCTTGTCCACAATTCTTCTTCATCGCATAACGGAAATGTAAGCTTTCTTCTCTTCTACCGTCCATCCTTGATTGCCTCCAAGTCAGACTATTAACGAAACATCCCAAAATCTCCCTCATATCAACAGCCGACGCCTCTCGTACTACGCAAACCAAGGTCTTCGGATCTGCTGAGACGGAGGCAGGTCATACAAGGGGGAACTAGTTGGGGAGCACTGCAACGGTAGCAACCCTCCTCCCATGCAGGGCCTAGATCAGGGCAGATTCCGCTAAGCAAGAAACAGGGAATTGATCTGACATGGCACTAGAAAAGCAAGCAGTAGCCACACATTAAGGAAAAATGTCCTGGTTTTCTTTCAAGGCTCCCTTTGACGAAGCACCTCCTCACCATGCTCCACCACACACCCTCAGACATCTGCTGGACAGTAGCAGCTTCCGCCTCTCAGGCCTCCGATGCAGAAGCCATTATCGCCGTCACGCAAGGATTCCTCGCCGCGCTCAGCGCCAAATCGCGCATCGACTTCGAAAAGCATTGTATTCGCGCCGGGGGTATGACCCTTTCCCCTCCCTCCCCCACCATGCTGCGCTTTTGTACGATCGGATCGTTCATTGAGTACATGACGACTCTGAAGGACGACATCGACGAGCGGATCTGGGATCCTGAAGTCAAGATACACGAGGCCGGGAATCTCGCAGCCGTATGGGCGCCGTTCCGGGCGAAAATCAATGGGGTCGTCGACCATGTGGGTGTTGAACTATTCGTCTTGCACAAACTGAATGGCGAGTGGAAAGTGACTGGTTTGGCAGATTCCTGTCGACGGCCAACGGAGGAAGAGATGGGGATGGACTAAGAAATCAAACGGATGCGATGCGATATGAGGTGAATACTGGGCCGTTCAGACAAACAAGAAAGAAGATTAATAATCCATGTTCTGTTAAGATCCCTCAAACTTCAGCTGAAATTAGGATATTCCGCTTGAAAAGATATTTTCGCTTCGCTTGAACGCAACATCGTCATCACATATGATCTACATACCATCGAGATCCCGCCCGAATCAAGTCATGATACAATATAGCAAAGACCAATGTCCGCCTGACTAGGGCGACACAGGCGATCGGACCTGACCCTCCAGCTCATTCCGCTCACTATAATTGCCCAGCTCCGCTGGTTGGTAATTTCCAGGCAGCTCAACCACCCGAACAGGTCCATTTGACGACTCTGGGGCCGATGAGTGGGACTGCTGCCGTTTCTTTGTCTCCAGCGCTGCCATCTCCCCGAACGACAATGGGGATGTGTGTGTATCCGGTGATCCAAAGCCCGATGGCGCAAATCCCATCCCCATACTTGTAGCCGGGTTTCTGGGAGGCTTTTGACGGCGACGACCGAGGAAGAAGAGCATTCCCCCGATAATGACCACGCCCACGACGACACCGATGACAATTCCCGCGATAGTACCACCCGACATGTCTGATCCCGATTGAGACGACGCTGCGGCTTCTGCTGCGCTGGTGGTGGGCTGGACCGAACTCGAGGAGGTGGCCGTGGTCGTCGTGGTGGAGTCGACCTTGAACGAGTCGATGGCCGTGCTCGCATTCTTGCTCAGATAATTGGATGCATAACCCCCGGCGGTTCCAGAACAGTCACTGTTTCCAAATAATGAAATGGCGAATGGCTGGTCCTCCGAGTCATATTCAAACAGCATGCCCTTGGGGTTGCTGACTTTAGTGCAGGGCATGGCCCCGTTTGAGTGCTCGACGAAGGAGTTATTGGTGGCATTCCTCCACACAAACGTCCATGCCTGTGCCTGTGGCAATGTTGAGAGCGCGTTGAGCGCCAGCAAAATGATTGTCAGCTCCATTGCGCAATTCTTGCGGGGAGAAGAAATTCAGCAGGGTTCAGCTTTCAGGTTGGGCTGCGCGAGGATTCTGGCGAGAGCTCTTTATGAGCATGTCGCAGTGTGTCAGGGGCCCTTGGTGGCCATTGCCTCGTATTCTGCGCGCGTCGTGTTGCTCACAGCGGCGCAGCTGTGCTCTTCAGTGGCCGGCGGGACTCATGAGTTCTCCGATCTTTACTCAGTGAGGCAAATGATCTGCACGACTCTGCAGGGTTCCAAAGGTAATTTGACTGAGCACGGGATGTGCTCGTACTCGATTCGACTTGGCAGATGATGTGACACCTGAAAGCCGAGCAGTCGGCTGGTGAGATTTCTCCCAGGGGTCACTGTCGTTGAATGTTGTGTAGCAGGGGGCTTGAAGATAGTCGTCGCGGGAGCTCGGGATCAGCGGGCCTCCTCTTGTGACATGCAAAGGGTGATCGATTTAGGCAACTGTTCCATCCCAGAATGGCTCGTATTGGCTGCATCGGGATTGGCTCATGCGATCACCAAGGTTAATCCTTCGATTGCCCCGTCACGTCCAATGAAACCGGCTGTCGATCCCTCAGTTGGAAGGGGCTGAACGCCCGTGCAGCCCGAAAGGCTGTTAGCATGTCCGATTATGCTTATTCCCAGATCTAGATCGTTCGGGGATGGTAGCCAGGTAGTGCGTCTGGTCGTTCCAGGGTCACGCCCAATCAAACAGAATGCAAAACACACTTACTCAACCTTCTGAGTGTGTGTATATATCCAGCAAAGTCGAGGCTTATTCACGAGAAAATTGTCGAGAAGTCATCTCACTATGAGAGTGTTAACTGAATGTTCAATTATGGCGTTTATGCATCTCGATTCAAGGTCGTCAATTGACAGACTTCATAATCTCAAGTTCAAACTGTCGTGAAATTTCGATGTTACCTTTAGCAGCTTGATTTCCAACTTGAATTTTCCTGGATCTTGATTTTGTGAACAGAATAACACCTCATATAAATAGCAAGGTCTCTACTACCTAGGAGGTGGTAGTAGCTACTGCTTGCTGTGTTGTTACCCGAGGTACACTGGATACCTCCACTCAGCCAAATGACCATTATGACGTCTCGAGGCGACACCTATCAACGGAACGAGGCTAGTCACAGAAGCTTGTCTTCTGCTAATCAGACCTCGAGATTTAATAGATTGATGGATTGCTACTCCAACCGACAAATTCGTAATTAGCACTGATCATCAGTGCCTCGGGCAACACTGATCCCCACAGTCCCCCTCCCCGGATAAACCTCGGTCTTAATGCCATAGCTACCACCGATCCGGGCATATATCCGCTAAACTTTAAGGACATTTTACACTGTGAGTGATGAGTCCACCACATCCAACCTCTCAGAGGCATCTTCAGACTCCACATTCGGCTCTGACTACTTCTTCCCGGGCTTTCGAGGCGTCGCCATCTCCGGAAACTCCGGCGACCGAGAGCTTTAGTACTGGAACGGCAATTCTAGACGGCATATCCCGCGACCTGGGAATACCCCGGACACTTACCATCCGGTTTCTTCGGGGCTTATCCTGCCATGCGTGCTGATCATAAACAACTCGGGTGTGGGGCCCTGGCCTTCCCCGCAAATGCATATCCCCAGATTTTTCCGAAGAAGAGTATATGAAGGCAGCAAAATGCAGCGCGACATGTTGGACAGAGTCTGTTTGCATAAGGCTTCTGTCATCCAGAGCAAACATGAAACGATTCGCCGTCGGTCTTCTCACTTTGGGTGCGACTATAAACGCCGCACCAAGCGCTGCACCTCCCACAGCTACGGTGCGCAATGGCACTTATATTGGTGTACACAGCGACACATTCAACCAGGACTTTTTCCTAGGAATGCCCTATGCACAGCAGCCTGTAGGCGACCTACGATTCACCGTACCGCAATCCTTGAATGAAAGTTGGGATGAGACACGTGACGCGAAAGCATACTCAGACATCTGTGTGGGCTACGGGGTTGGTCCTTAACTTTCCCCATGAATGAACTGCTACTAATGAATGATAGACGGATTCCATCTGGTACCCCCAGTCCGAGGCCTGCCTAACGCTCAACGTGATTCGCGGCTCTTCAGCGCACAAGAACGCCAAGCTTCCGGTCGGGGTGTGGATCCACGGCGGGGGGTTCTACCAAGGATCCGGAGCCGACCAGCGCTATAACATGTCCGCAATTGTGCAAAATTCATATGCTATTGGTGCGTATTCCTGGCTTATTCTCCAACTTGGGCTGAATCTAAAGCATGATGGCGCCCAGGAAAACCTTTCATCGCCGTGACCCTCAACTACAGACTCTCAACCTGGGGGTTCATCAGCTCGAGTCAAGTTTCTGGCACCGGCAACACAAATCTCGGCCTGAGAGACCAAAGACTAGCTCTGCATTGGATTCGGGAAAATATTGCTGCGTTCGGTGGAGACCCCGACAAGGTCACAATCTGGGGCGAGTCCGCTGGCGGTATGTCGGTGGGCTTTCATCTTACAGCGTACGGTGGTCGGGACGACAAACTTTTCAGGGCTGGCATTATGGAGTCCGGAGGCTCCATATATGCAAGTCCGTCAAATTACACCACATACCAGTCTTCCTACGACGCAATAGTCGCCAGGGTGAATTGTACCAACACCGAAGACACGCTACAGTGCCTGCGGGAAGTCCCATTCGAGACTCTGAATGCTGTTCTCAATGGAACCGACGGATCACCTCAATACAGTTTCACTCCGGTGGTTGATGGAGACTTTGTACGAAATTGGGGCAGCATCCAGCTCAACAAGCATGAGTTCGTCAAAGTTCCGATCATTTCTGGAACCAACACAGATGAGGGAACCGCATTCGGGCCAACTGGGATCAATACAACCGAGCAGTTCTATGATTATCTTACCGGTAAGACTCCTGAAAGTTCCTGCCTGCAATTCTAAAACTAACTTACTTCACTACAGATGGCGCATTTGGCTTCCAGACACCTCCTATGGTCGCGAAAAAGATTCTCGAATTGTATCCTGACGACCCATCACAAGGCATACCAGAATACTTGGGGGATAAACGTGTCCCATCGATGGGATATGAGTGGAGGCGCACAAGTACTTTTGCTGGCGATTTCACGATGCATGCGAACCGGCGCCGACAATGCGAAGCATGGACGGAAGCATCAACACCTGCCTATTGCTATCGCTTCAACGTACATTCAGCCGACGTGCCGCTTCTCAGCGGGGCAACGCACTTTGAAGAAGTATCATTCGTCTTTCATAATATTGCTGGGTTAGGCTATCACTATGGAAAGCCTTTCGCAGGTGTCCCTCAATCCTACTTCGATCTCAGCTCTATGATGACAAGTATGTGGGCTTCATTCATTCATGACCTGGATCCAAATTCGGGTGTTGTCAATAAAAGTGTTCATTGGGCAGCCTATGGGAAAGAAACACCAGTGAATATTCTCTTGGATGCCAACACGACAAGTCATATGGAGTCTGATACTTGGCGAAAAGAGGGAATCGAGTATATCAATTCAAATGCCCCAGCATTCTGGCGCTGATACCAGGTGGAGTGTACATACTTGAAGATTGTTTCTGGAATTAGACAATCACATATTCGACAATCTTCTTTGTGGAGAGACAAAGACATTTCATCCGCCTCATCCTTTTGCTCCATTGTTTCGCTATCTATATTGCGACCTTCCTTGTTGCAATAAATACAATAGGATAAAGTTCCAAACTTTGTCTAGTCAATCCGATTAATACGAACAAAATATGTATCCAGGTTTTATTTTGACTCGATTAGTTACCAGATGAAACACTGTGAAGTTCGCTTGGCCTAACTGCAATTATAAATATTCGGTACTCCCTCAGACCAGTGTAAGTATTCGTATCATACTGCATATGATCACGACGATTTTCTTTTGCAACTTTTATCAGAATACCCCAACACAGTGATATCTATAAGGATGCAAAACCCCAACAACCCAATCCGCATATCCTCAGATAACCCAGCCCGCATGTCCGTGGGTAGAGGCCTCTCTCCGCAGGAGAGAGATGAGATATTTAGGCATTTTAGGTCCTTGTATTCTGCCCAGCTCTGTCTTTTCAGCAGCGATATACTCAGGCGTCAGCCTGTGGACTTTAATAGCCTTACAATTGAGCTAGAGGGGATTGTAACAGGACTTGATAATTATTTTTATCACCCTGACTCCTTGCTAGATGCTTCTCAGCGAGCAACGTGCTTTACTCTCCGGATAAGTGGCATCAAACAGGTAATTCGAGATGCCATTAGCCTGGTTGATAGAGGACAAGGGTTCGAAAGAGATATTAGTGAGATTCTTTATATGTTATCCCTGCACATTGGCCGATTAACCCTTCATGGTTACGATGATACTGACAACTCTGCGAATACTTTCGATAACGCTATTATAGAATCAAGCGAGCGGCTAGATGAGAGGGTTCCATCTCAAAACGAAGTTGCTGACCGGGTTATCCTCCAGGCTTGGGAGTTGATGATGAGGGACATCCCCTTCTGCAACTGCCGTCAATGTTATCGGCGAAGGTCTAGCAACTTCCGATAGCTGTCAGTAGCTAGATTTAAATATCTGTTCCCATTTCTTTGGAATGGATCGTCATTGATTTTGCTTATTCAATTGTCGTTGCACCTGTCTTTCATAGTGCTATTTATATAATGCCATGTGACTTTTACCAACTACAACGTAACTGAACAAAAACTTCCCACAAGATCCTTGTCCGATCAAAATATTCCTCATTTATACCTTAAGCTCAAAATTTGAGCTAAATTAGTAGAGAAATACTGGCTAAAGGCCTCTTTTCTTTGGTACATCCATGAGGTCATAGATCGCAATTCAAACGCAACGGAGAAATATCAGTGCCGAGACTCCTAATCCCCTTTGGGTTTGCGACCTTTTGGGGTGTCTGCTTTGATTTCATAGGTGTTACTAGTCGATTGAATGCTCTTTGGGTTCTGTTTTGTCTAGAATTATCCTGAATTCTCTCTTCCACACTTAGCACTCCGAAAGAGCCTATACGTCGAACCTTCGTCATCTTCCCCTACTAGCAGAGATCGTGCAAACCTTCCATACGCTTTGCCTAAACTATTGTTTTCATTTTCATAACATCAAGCCAAGGTCAAGTCGATTTAATCTCATCGTCATGGATGAATACACGCGTCACTGGGATGACTATCAGGGCCAGGTAAGCTCTGCAGGCATCCCCGGCGAGACACGTAACCGGCGTGTCTAACGCCTCTTCTCAACTAGACAAATGAATACCCTGACAATCAACGCTTGTCCATCGATCCAGGCGATATCCCAAACAGGGCACTTTGAGGGGCCGTGATGCGTTCGGTCGTTACGATGTGATCGAGTGCAAGATCGAAAACAACGTGAGAGACATTGAAGAGTCCTTGTCTCATGACACTTCTGATTGCAAAATCCTAGGGTAACTGGCGCTGCGAGCATGATTATCTCTCTTATAATGAACAATCGCCCTACGGTTATCATACCATCTTCACGTATGGGCACCTCAGAAGCTTCCCTTGCATTCTATATGCTGGCATAGATTTGCTGATGTATAGAATCTTCGAAGAGATGGTGGTCATTATTTTTCAGAAATCCAGATGGTACTCAATGTTATTTTCACCCATCCCGACCCGCTGATGCGTAGACGAGAGGATTCAAATATACACCAAAAGAAGTTTGGCTTAAACCACACTCACCTTGCGTAGCATATGTAAACCCTCCTCCTCGGTGGTGGGTTGCTCAGCACGGAATTCAGGTGTCGCCTTCACTAAGTAATTATACATTAATTGATTGTGAGGTCAAGACCAAGAACTTCTCAAAGATGGCCTGGCCGACAAGCTAGACGAAATGCCTCGAAACCCTTCGTCCCGTCCCGGAGTTTTCGAGGAGCCAGAGAACGCTCCTGGCTGCTACCCCGGTCATGATCCTCCAGAGTATGATGATCATGACTTCTCCAAACAAGGCGACAGACGTGGACCTGTTCATTTGGCACCAAGTCCGCCGCCGAGGGTAAGAACACCATCACAGATCGAGACAAGAGACGATTGCCCAAGACCAAAACAAACGGCAAGGAAAAATCAAGCTCCTAAAGCCGAGACAGAGTCTCGAGTCACAAAAAAAAAGGTAAATCCTGGCCAACGAAAAGGAGAAAGACCTGACAATGGAAGATTGACGAAAACAATCGAACTTTACGTTAATCTCGAGGAATTTTAGCGAATCGGTATGGGATCCTGTTGCTTGTTGCTTTTATACCTTTTGCTTGCTGGCCTTATCCAGTACCTAATTGCAATTCCTGTTCAGTTTCTAATTGTATGCAAAAGTATGTCTTAATTCATGATGGTTTCAAATACGATCGCGCTATGCAAAAAAATGCTGAGTGTAAAAAGGATTGTATGTCGTAAACCAGCAACGCGAATTGAATCAATCAAGCCTCAGAATCCATCCATTAATGGCATGGCATCCCATGTATCCGTTTCCTTGACAGGTTCATCGAATATACACCTTTCGCACTGGCATACGAATTTGAATGATTTTCGAAGATGTTCGCGGCGAGACTCTAGGTCGGTGAAGCGCGTCAGGTCGAAGTACGAAATGCAGCACTCTTCGCCAGCAAGAATGTCGCGGGACGCTCTGAAGACCATCCGACCTAGTTCGTCCGGTTTATGAATAATCTGGGATTAAATTAGCATTGCATCAGTCGCCCTTGGGAGAGAAAATATCTGACATTTGGCACGCATGAATGGTTGGCTATCGCTGCAGTAGGATAGACAGACGCTGCAAATTGCTCTCCCCGGTCGACCAGAGACTCAGGCCTTGACGTAAAACCCGTTTCCCGGGGGTACAGTCCAAACGAATTGGCCTCTTCTTGGCAGATGAGATGAAGTATGCGCTCGGAGGGTAATCCGTGAGGCAAGACCGGGCCGTTTTGGAGGTACTTTTTCACGAGCAGAGTCCACGATCGGACCTGATCATGAGACCAGGTGTCTGAAGATCCGCATAATGCCTCGATGCCTTGCCAACCATAGATTGATTGCTGACAGTTTGGTGCAATGGCGCTGTTGATCGGTGCCGAGTCGCACATCTCGATACGGCGGGTGGCCAAGAGTCGGACAATCACCCACAGCATGCCAAAGTCGTATTCACCTCGTTTGGCTCTTATTGAGCTCGCATATCTTTTGAGCCAGCTGCATTCAAAGTCGTGTCGGAGTTTGTCAGTGTCTTGGCAAGTCCTGCTACACCATGCCACGTCCGGAATGCAGACGTTAGGGCACGAAAGTCGCTCCGCGTGCTTGACGGCGCGATTATTACAAGCGGGATTGCTGCAAATCAGATTGTCGCTAGACTGCGGTTCATCGACGACCGGAATAATTGCATATGGGCGATCGACAAGAAGACAGGCGCCTTTGGGGACCAGACTCGACACTCGAAATTGGCGACCCTTGACCGGGTCGGCGCTCTGGATTAAATGCGGGTGGATCCAGTCAGGTTGAGCCTGCGAGATCGCGTCTACACGAATGGGGGTCGACGATTCGATCGTGAGGTATACGACCTCGGACATGGCGTGGTGGTGCCGGGATCCAGCGATGGGCGCGAATTGGGATGTGGTGCTTTACGGGGTCAAGATCGCAGTCCAGGGCAAAATTTCTGCGGAGTTGTGCAGCGAAGAGGACCGCACTGCTGAGGGCTCCGTTTGGTTCTGGTGGACGAGTGGGCCGAGAGTCGCCATTCTGGGCCGTCGCCAGCCAATGCGAGCGCCATCCACAGCCCCGATGTGAGGCTATTCCGAGCGACTGCGGATGATTGGCGGCACGATCGCACGCACGATTCCGAGCCTCTCATTGGTCAATCGCATGGTATCTGAAAGAGTCTCGTCGACAAGCTGAATGCAAGGATTCGCTTGTTGTCGGCCATGTCGGCACGCAGAGACGGGTAGCGGCCGTGTTTGAAAGAAACCTCGAAAATGAAATACATTCTCGACCTAGAAAAAATGATAATCAAAGGTGTAGGCTCGGTGATCTTTTTAGAATGAAGCCACTGGCATTGTCTTGGGCCCTGGATGCTCCGACCTGAAAATAATAGAGAAGAAGCGAAGTGGAGGCAAACCGAAAATGGAAAAAGCCCGCCGAGGCAGATCCACACGTCATACTTAATCAGCACAAGGAACAATAGAAGGCACGTCGAAGAGACGCCCAGCCCCGGCTTTCGTGATGCTCTGGTACGACACCGATGGTCCGGTTGACAATAGTAGCATCTCACAAGGCCAGCATGTGAAACGCTCCAAGGCATGCCTCCAAAAGATGCCAGCTCGGTTTAAGATAATCACATTTAGAGCTTACACGCGAGCCTAATACTACCAAGGTAGTCATTTGAGAGCATGATTTAGAGACAGAGCGGTCACTAGGGCCCCGTCAATGGCTATGCAAAAGAAGTGCCCGACCGCTCCAGCTGACTAGCAGGCTCTTCAGAAAGCCAGAAGATAGTCTCTTCTTGTGACTGATGGTACGACTTCCCAGATCAGCCGTCTCCATAGCAAAATTCCGACTGAATACAGCTCAAGAGAGTAGGGCGAGAAAGAATCGAGCGATTCAGTGCTCTCAAACGAACACACACTTCCTTTTCGGGAATCAAGGGTCTCGCGGGGGCGGAACGGCTGACCGGTCATCACAAAACCATCACGCTCTAAATATCGCCCACGCTTCAAGTTCTCTGTTCCTCTCTCCCTCTCGGCACCCATTTTTCTTGCGCTCTTGCCTCCCAGCTTCTGGAGTCATCCGTCAGGGGAGCTTTGCTGCTTCGGCGTGCATCATGGCATACACTGCCAGCCATTTTGCACGCGATCGTAAAGAATGGGTCAAAGAACTCGAGTACTTCAACAAAGTCTGGGAGAAACTGACGATATCGCGGTCCAATCACTGGCAACGCAAGCAGGCCCTTCTGATCCGCATCGAAAGCAAGCTTGCCACTTTGCTGCCGACGGACGCTGAAAAAGGCACCGGAACGTGCTTCGCCGAGAAGGTTCGCCAAATACTCGACTCGATAAGAATAGCCAACGAAGATGCCATCCTTCGCGGAGAGATACTCAAAATGCTTGTCCCGGCCATTGGTCGACTCATGATTCCAGGAGGCCCAGATTCCGATACTTTTGCAATGAAAATGGACCAGAAGGTAGAAAGGCTTGACAAGGAATGGCAGGAAAAGTCTCCGAAAAAGGGTGAAATCGAGGACTTCAGGCAGGCACAACTTCGTTCAAGATGGACATCTCTCTCTGTGGTATCTCCAATTTGCCTTTGTCCCCAGTGCGTGAAGCGCCGTTGATCTCGTCGCGGGAGACTTGATGCGCTTCAACATGCAATGGCAGCTTTACCAATTGGCAATGAGCTATGGTTCTTCTAGAGTTCGCTTAGGGTTTTTTGTTGCCCGTTGTTAACGAACTTGATGAAAGCAAATGGCATTGCAATACGCAACATGTGAAGCTTCCAACCAACAATGTGATATGCAAATTGACCTATGAATACTGCGCCCCCTGTACCTGATATCGGATTGTCGCAGTCGATCCATTTACACCATTGTACACTTAATGCTGCAGAATCAACGAAATACCTTCGAGGCTATTACATTGATTTCCAGAAAAGTGATTATAGCTAGCTCCCCTACAACCGGTATTGACCCACAGGTCTTCTCGGTAGCGCGAGAGAAAATGGTTCAATGTCTGCGACAAAAGCGCAACCATTCTGCCAGCGACCCTGACAAGGCATATGAAAGCCGCGAATCCTTCCTGGCAGAAAACACTAACTACTTGGACTCACTGCTAGGAGCAAAAAGATGGCCACGTCGGTTATGATCAATGGAGAGAAATCCTCGATAGTCTTGCAGACATGTCGGTAGGTTGACACTCGACGGTTATACTGACGCCGATGAATATGCAGACAAGATGAACTTGGAGGCCCATGCACTAACCAGGGAAAGGCGCAGAATGCCAATAACGAAAAGAAGAACCTGCACAGACAACATTGGCACCATTTAACTTGGCACCACGTTCAGTAGTTTCACTCAGAATGTGAGCGGCATTAATGCCTTTAACACAAAGGCTCCACTGCTCCTTTAAGGCCTCAATAGGATCAATGAAATTTTCGCATGTGAAGTATTCACCGTGACAGGCTATCCCCTTCCGGCTTTGATAGTGATCTGGTTGGGCCTAAGGATGATGACCTGAATATTGGAAGCTTGAGTATTTGAGCTAGAGTCGTACTTCGCTGGATATAGTATGCTGTAGGCTTCGCTTTTGCTTCAAATTCTATCTGAATTGCCGTCGTTACTTTCTGAAAATAATATGGTAATTTTTCACATTAAATGTTACATATCGTAGGGAAAAAAAAAGTCATTTGGTCTACAAAACTCCGTGAATACTTTCTAAGATGTCGTATGCATAGGTCATCATTTTCATGCGTTTTAAGGTCTGATAATGTTATATCTTTTCACCATTGTCCAAAAATGCCCTTTGGGAAGATGTTCACGTAAAAGCTAACAAAGAACCTTTGTGGGCTTTTGGTCTATTACACGAATAGCAGACGGCTTTGTTTAGCTTTAGTCAATACAAAATATTTCCTTTCGTTGTCAAAGTGGAAACAATGATACCAATCTTTGTATCCAACCTCTGGCAATGGCTATCTCGAGAAATGAAGTATAAAAGCATATTTTTCCTCCTTCCCAAGATTCCATCCAGACTATTGTCCAGTAAATTATTCTGATCAAAACAATAGCAACCGCAATCACAATCGCAATGCCTACTCCAACTATCGACCCCAAGCTCACAGTGGCAGTTCTGGAGGAATTCTCCAAATGGGAGCAGAGAGTCATTGACTTCGCCACCACTAGAGATGCTCTAGTGAAGCGATATCAGACATTACGAGATAAGTCTTCCATACTCGCGATCACTGCAGAGGTACAATTGGTTAGCACTGGGAGCGAGGACCGGGAAGACGTCTCGGTGGCAATTGATAATCTTTTCCTAGATACTCTTGACTTCCTGTTTCAAGTCGAAAAGCAAGGTATAGACGAGACCAAATCCGGCCATTGCTTTCGATCAAAGATAAACCTCATCCGATTCAATATTCGCAATATCGTCGAGTCTGATTCCGTAGTAGAGGCAGAGTATCCTGGGGTTCTCAGTATTCTCTCTGTACATCTTGGCAGACTTACACTTGATGCCCATACAAAATGGGACATCGCCGCGAAGGCCCTGGATGAGATGGCTGACAATGTGTATGCTGAATGGATGTGTGCACTATGTACAAAGGACGAGAGGCATTGCCGAGGCGCGGGTAATACGACGATTCATAGCTGCTACAACTCGGTCAATTGGTACGAGCCCGAGTGCGACTGCCCTCAATGCAGCGAAAGAGCTCGACGATGTCTATTTCGGAAAATAGACTGGGTTCAAGATGAGGATAATCTGCCCAATCAACTTGGTGGCTTGTATGAAGCCGAAACTCTAGATCCGCTAGAAGAGTGGACAAGTGAGAAGAATGATGTCGTCGGAGAAACCTATTGATGAAGCACTTGTATGTGATGGCCGCCGTTATATTTAGCATTGTTAGACTGGCCTCTTTTGGATTTCTCAGGGCATACCAGTTTTTTCTTTGTTCTGAATAAAAATAGTCTCTACTGAACAGTCTTTGTTCATATGCAGTTTAAGCCCCATCCGTGAGGTGTCTCACTGGGTAGTGTAACTTTTTCCAAGGTAGCATATTGCATTAGTACACTATCGACTATGTTGTCACTCTGAGACAGGCAAGTCTAGAGAGACTTCGGTAGTCTAATTTGCTCACTACTTACTAGTAGTAGTTCTGCCCATTGCCACAACCATCCAATACGACCAATCTTATTACAGCAGTGCCAAGTGTTTAGTTCGCTACCACATGGCATCTAACATCTCGCAAGTATATTATGACAACTAGTATGTAGTTTATTGCTGCCTCGTCAGTAGGTTTAATGGTATATTAATGACTCAATGCCACCATGCACCCTCGGTTTCATTCTGATGATTGCGGTGTTACGGGCCCTGCAATATGAGGGGCTGCAGCTTACTGATGGGCCACTCAGGACCAATCATTCAGGGAAGACACGCTCGAACCCCTTGGGTCACGTGCAAGGCAGAAACACTGCAAGAAATCCAGACACAGCACCCCTTGGGTCACGTGACATCTTATCCTAACCATCGGATGGAAATCCAATCAGGGCGATAGGAAGGACTAAAAATATAAGGACACTCATTCACACACATGTAATTATTTCTTCGCGATCTATTGCACATTGTTACTTGTATCTACAGGTTCTATCTTCACTGTTCGAAATAAATGTCAATTATCCTATAAGTAGGAGAGCTCTTCGGACTGACCTACTTGGCGTACTCGATTGGCGCACCTCTACAAGCACCCAGGAGACCCGAGCCCGTGTAAGGCTTATCATCAGCAACGATACGGTTGCGAACTCGCTTGGAGGCCGCATACTAGGCAAGTATCGCCCAGGAAAACCCGTTTTCACCGCGCCCAGTCAGTAGCACGTAACATGCGGTCCACGGATCGCATCCACTTGTTTTCGGAGCCGACGGCACCGAGTATATACCAGCTTAGTCATTCGAATACTCATCCGTCTCCCATTCTTGTGCAGGAGGACCTTCATGTTGCTTAATTGCAATGCTGGACTACAATACAATGCCGAACGATGGTCGAGTCAGTCAGCGCTGATGCAGTTGATGACATGCTAAACGAGAACGAGCCGTACCACCCAATCTGGAACCGACCCCGAGACCTTGCTAGTCCTGAGAAACGAACACCAGCTTGAGTACTGCCGAGTCGGGGCGTGCAGAACATGCCGATCGGAGCCCCGGCGCCGATCGAGATCTCGCGTGGGGTTCGCGCACGACTTGCCCTTCCGCGGTCCTTCGGCGGCCCTTCTGTGGCACCATGCGGCCTCCCTTTCAATAATGCCATCAATCGCACGATGAGCGATGAGTTGGCGCCCGCGACCCCATCGATTATTGATTCTACTTGACCCACCTTTGAGCCGCACTGAAACAGCCCCAGTGGAGACCAACCGCTACCCGCTCTCATGGCGGTTTTCTCGGATGTCACTTCCAGCGCGTCAAGAGGGAGAAGGCGCTTAATAGAGTGGGCCCCCGGAGTCTCCTCGGGGGCAGCAGTGGGAATGCGGGTGGGGATGCATGAACTATTCCTGCGCCGTGGGAGGGATGGAGTGCCAGGTCTCTCTGCCTCCGGATCGAAGGGCACCGAACTAGTGACGTGGCCCGAAGCCACATCTACGATTCTCCCGCGAACTCCTACCCGAAGTGGAGGTACGTATGGCTTGTACGAAAGGACAGACTGCTGCCAACGCCACGGGGGTTGATCCAACAGGGAAACTACCGAACCAGCGACGAGCAGCGAACAACACCAGGGGCGCACGCGAGAACAAGGAGCATCTCACCGCCATGCGATCCCATACTGTTCTCGCACCTGGGAAACCCTAATCTCAGAACACACTGCAGTCAGCGGGGCCCTGGATGCAGTAACGATCACCCGCGATTCATGCAGCGCGAGGATCGGACGCCGGTCGCCATGCCAATCAGCCACGATCCCCCGATTTTCCTGCCGTACCACCTGCGACGCGTCTGGAAGGAGGGGTGGGTGAGATCGGACAGAAGCGGTCATGCGATCTCTGATCTTTGAATATGTATGCACGACACATGCCATGGGAGATCGCGGCGATCTCAGCTCGAGCAGGACGATGGTGGGAGGCATGGCGTTGGATCTTCGTTGAATATTTTATCCCCCTCGCATCGAGGTGGGCCACGATACTATTTCGAGGTATAGGAGACCAGCGGACAGCTGAGATCAGACGGGTTGGTCCATGGGGTGGCTGCTAGCTTGTCTGCATCTACATCGTCTGGACGGGAGCGAGAGTTAGAACAAATACAGCAATACCAGGCGTGTTCGTCGTGGGTTAATACTGTACGCATACATACCAACGGGCAGCAGATCGGGATCGTACCGCCCTCCACCACCACAACCGCTTCGGCCAGTGGCATGGACACATGGAGTCTGCCGTACTTCGTATTCACGAGTCCCTGGGCCCTCCGATACTTCCCAATCAATAATGTGTCCCACGCGGCCGGTACTTCGATTCATCTCCACCGCGCCCCGCCGACCCAGTTCGATAAACTTCCGCCCGGTTTTGGCCCAGTCAGAATTCCTGTTGCGCTCCTTTTGCTCCTCAGCCACCGCTAGGCACAGCGACCGCGAACCACTCAGCAGGCGACTTCTATCGCGAGAAATCACAGGGGTAAGCGAAACGGGATGCGCTGATCGCGATCGGCTTGCAGAATCGATCTTCAAAACTTTCCTCAGTCTGGGACCTGAGGGGGTTTATTCAGGATGCGTATCCAATACCTTCAGTGTAATGTACCTTAGGATGCAGTAGTATATGGGAGGATACCGTTGGTCATTTGGCCTCCGGTTAGTTCCGGGATCCTGGGACCGGTCAACCAGCGTTCAATGGCGTAGGATCAGCAAATCCCGAGATCTGGTCTCACCATTCGAAAGAAGCAAAACGCGCAGAGAAGGTGAGAAGAACACCCACCGAATGGGCTCCACCGTCATCGCGGGCCCAGAGGGGTTTGGCGTGAGAGGCCCGGGAGCCCGGTAAGATATCGATCTGCCATGCATTTCCACAATACGTACAGTAATGTCCCTAGGCTTGGGGAGAGTGTCAACGGGTGTCCTCTCGTGGACATTGCCTCGTCTCGTTCCGAATCTAGCGGTTCTAGGGGCAATCACACGCAAATGGGTCGAAACTGACCGACATTTCGGGCGATCTCGCATCCAAGCTACTTTTGTTCATAGCCTCGTCCAGTTCCTCGGGACAAAGACCACACCCCCTGCTGGCCAGGGTAGTACCCGTCGATGCACGATGATAATTGGACGGATGCATTAACCGGCCATAATCGCGATGATTGCCCGTGATGCACGATGCAGCACAGCGCATGACAGACCGATCCAGCGGTCGCGGGAGGGACAGGGACCTCGTCTATTTCTAGATAGGGTTTTGCATTGGGCACCGATCCCAAGGCTTGTGTGCCGCACGGCACAGGCCAGGGTCGATCTGTTTTTGCAGCATGGTGGGCCTCAATCGACCATGTTACCTTGGTTCGCAGGGGAATAGCTCGACTAGGGGAAAGTATAAACGGGAATGCCTTCGAGGCCAAGGTACTACCTAGGCTACTGCCTAAGTAGGTACTACTACTAAAGAACTCTACTAGTACGGATCGTACGAGACGAGTAGTACGAGGGTATAGAGGTAATTGGCAGTGAACCTTACTATGATCAGCCTCGTTAGGTACGACCGACGAGTCAACATCACGGCACGTCAATATAGGGATGACGACCAAAACAACCTTAAACTCTTCTAGTATACAATTAAATTAAGACGTATACGGTGTAGTTGGTTTCCTACGTTCAAGCTAGTTCCATGCGCGCATCCAGTAGACGCTGTTAGCATACTTGCCACCATGAGATGGCCATATCCACCCTCCGCAGAGGAACGGAGTTCGCCGTCGGTATCCAGATATCTCCTACAGGATTACAATATACATAAACATAATATATACATACAGTGTATACACTCTCAGCGTCAGATCGAAGCAAAAAGAAAGATTTCGAATTTTTCATAGATTGACGACGTCAGCGGATCGCGATCCCATCTCGGCCGGGGACCGGATCTCCGCGGCGATGCGGCGATGCGGCGATGGAGATTCCGACCTTGTTTCTACCATACACCATAGAGTGTCTCCAAATTCGACACGACATCCAAACTACCGCGTCATGAGGCGATTCGGTTCGAGCGGACTACCGTGGCAAAACTATCGACTGCACGTCTATAGGTGATGCAGTAGTTTGGTGGGGGCATCGCGCGGCCACGCTTAATGTTTAGGGTATGTGCCAACCTCCGAACTCTCCCACGTCCACGTTGGCTTCATAGAGTGTGTTGTCGGTAAGTCTCCTGTCCCTTGTCAAGTACCTGTACTGATGCTGACAGTGTCCAGGTCGTTTGTACGGCGTACGGTCAGCGCAGAACACGGTCTTGACGATCTCCACAGGTATGTCAAGGAGGCAAAAGGCCCCCCATTAGGGTGTTCTTCGACGACCGATCGCCCGGTGGGGAGCGCAGGCGATTTCAAATACCCAAACGATCTGATCGATGGCATCCCTGCTGGGCTCCGAGTGTTTGGCACCCCAAACCCAAACGACGCCCCCAGCTGAGACCGAACTTTCGTCCAGGATGCTCGTCCCAGCGGGATGGGCCAAAATTGTACAGGATCGTTGCGAGTCTAGTGTTTCCAGGGGGCTTATGCCAAATCCTCCCCTCCAAGTCTCCAGTCAGGGCCGGCGATCCCTCTGTCACGTCCAGCGAAGCCAAGCTTGACCCCAAAATCGGACCACATTCCCAACGCGATCGGGTCCGATCTGACCGAACAGGGATGGCCCTGTTCGCCCGCGATCCCTTTTACCAGGGCGGGTGCACGATGAACGAACCTGTCAAAACCCTCCCCTCAGCCTTGCCTGTTCGAGCAATTTCTTCGCCATGACAAATCTTGAGACGCGCGACACCCGTTGACGATGATTCGTAGCACGTAGGAGCGGTCTGACAATTTGTGCGGGCGGAGCCTAGATCGGTGGATTCGTGGCGGGCTTAGCTTCAGTGTGGGAGGGGGAGGGGAGGTGGAAGATTTGGAATACCTTCACCAGTAATCAAGCAACCTCGTCGAGTATACTCCTGCCGCAGTATATGCTCCGGAGGCGATTGTGGGGTGTGGACTGGTTCTCTGCTGGCCCCCTTCTACCCGCGCCGCTCCCGCAATTCGATGGGGTCGTTCGCACGATCGACAGTATTGGAATTCGCATGGACGCGCAAAACTTTTTCCGTAATTTCGTATCCAATCTTGGAGTCGAGCATCTGGACGATCTGAACGCGGCTGTCGGGTAGCGGAGGGGCCAGATCATGCCGACCATCGTACAGGCCTTTTTTTGAGCCTACATTCATATTCCTGCACATCTGAGATCACTTCGGGTATCGCCAAACACGATCTATGCGCAGGATATTACACGGAGTACGCGCCAGTACAATTGTATTTCCACCATATTCATGGAAAAGTCCAAAATGACAATACATTAATAAAACAATTGCCTCTTGCCACAAAGGAGATGTGGCTTTGAACCAAAATTCCTCGATCAAGACATAGTAAATCTCTACAGTGCTTCCAAATCAGGCACTGTCGCCGCCATGCGGCCATCACGATGTTGTCGGGCTCCCGGTGTCTTGGCATCGCTCGCATTTGTACATCCCTAGCGAAGTATACCGCACTTGCCACCCTCTCAGACCCTTGAAGCCACTGGAATCCGGGCGCCTGGGAATTGGTAGCTGTCTGTTGTGAACCATGGTTTTTAAACTTCGGCTTTGGCCGCGCTGACTTCATCGGCCGCACCACATGGGCTCGCCGAGCTATGTCCAGCTGTGGCAACACCGATTGCAAACTACACTCTACTGGATCATACTATACATTTTATTAGAAAAATTGGAAGTCATATATCGTCATTTGCATTTTTATTTTTATTTTTTTTTTCGTTTTCCTTATTCAGACCTTGCAAAAATACACAGTAATTTGCCATCAGGTTCCAAATTGCCACCCACGAAAGACTTCCAGTGCAATCACAACTGCCGTAGCAAATTTTTCATCCATATAGACCGTGGAGATGCTAAAGAACCAAGATCGTACACACATCACAGGGGTAAAACCGTACTCAGACACGCGCGCAGAAAGATGAGGGGGCTCGGACACATAAAGATGCAGGGTATAAACCAGGAACGACAAGCAAAGGGGGATCAATCTTGAGGGGAAGAACACAGAAGAGCCTCAGATCGTGTTCGACGAGGCCGACCAGTGGAAACTGTGAAAAGAGCAGAAAAAAAAAAAAAAAAAAAAAAAAAAAGGGGAGGGTAATCTATGCTTTGAAGCCAGGCTCCTAACGCTGCGAGGGTATTATATAAGGGCACCGATTAGGAAGGTCCACACGCAAAAATCCAGACAGTAGGGGGGAAAGTCCAAATGCTCGAGGGGGAAACAAAGCAAAGGTAAAGAGGCGCAAGCGCAAGCCAAGATGGAAATGAAAAGCAAGCTCATGAATCCCCGAAAAAATGACAAGACAAAAAATAATAAAAAGATAAGAAAGAAGAACCACTGAACTCCTTTTTGCCTCCCGTTTCTATTTCCCGCCTTGATCCAACGCCACATGAGAGAAAGAAGCTTAATGACTGGTTGGCGATGAGGAGTCGAGGACCGACTTGGGCTTCAGGTTCGATCCCAGGTTCGACGCCTTGTTGGCACCCATCTTGCGGGTCAGCTTGGCGTAGTGCAGCCCGCACGCGTTACACAGCGTTCGGGCACCATCTGGACCCCGACGCCATTCTGGCGTCTCGGCTCGGTTACAGCTGTGGCAACGACCAGGAGGGGCCGCCTTCTGCAAAAAAACGTGGGTTGGTTAGCCATTGACAGCTCGGAAAAGACGGGGAAAGTGGGGATTCCGACAGCGTGTCAACCACGGTGTCCACGGGGATAAACGGGTAATCAGGGGGGAAGACAGCCACCACAGTGTCTAGCCCTAATCCTCCGTCGTCACAGGCATAGGGAAAGGGGAGGGGAAGGGCCAGAGTGAGGATCAGAACTTACTCCACGCCGTTTCTTCGAGTCGGCCCCGGCAAACCCACCGGTGCCCTTGAAGTCTTCTTGGTAGAGCGCCATGTGCTCGTCCTCGGGCTTAAACGCCTTGCGTTGAGCCATCTGTTCCGCCAGCGCCTGTTCCTGGTTCACGACCGCCGTCCGTATCCGGATCAACGCATCTTGGTTCCGACGCTGCATATGGAGCATGTCCTCCACTTCGTTCAACGAGGGAAGCGACCCCATGACCGGCCCAGACCGTTGCGTCTGGTGTGCTCGGGCAGCGTAATGCCGTGAAAAGTCCAATGTTCGTGTGCTCATCTCGGCGATCTGTTCCAATACGGAAAAATGTCAGCCCACTTCCTTCCCGTTTGAGCAGCCTGCAAACCCATCATCGGCGGATCGACAGATGACAATCTCCCAACCCAACGCTTAGGCTAGGACTGGTCGAAAAAAATAGAAACAACAGTAAAAAACAAGCAAGACGCAAAAAAGAGCCGGAATATCCATACCTCATTGAGTGACGTTTCCACATCGTAAACATCCAGATGTCGTTTCACTGAGTCGCTATGGGGCTGACCCGGTATCGGACGGGTCACGAATCCACCCTTGACTTCATCCACGCGCGGCGCGCCCATGTATCGACCGTCGTAATGCGCCGGAGGGTATGACGGACCACCCGGCTGGGAGGGAGGGAAGGAGTAGTTGGGCGGGAAATGGCTGTAGCCGTTGGGAGAGGCAACGCTGCCGGCGGACGGAGGGGCGCTGTAATCGTAGGCGGAGGAGTTCTGGGAGCCCGAGACCGAGGTGATGCCAGTTTTGGCGCTCTGGGTCGGCGACTTGCCCGTGCTGAGGGGAGTTGAGGGAGGCGTTCCGAGACTCCTGAGTATTAATCGAGGTGAGGCTATTCCGCGACGCCTCGACCTGAAGCGGATTCTGATGAGGGTAGCCCGACTCCCGCATCAACGACCCGGCGGGCGGGCCATTTGATGAGAACGGGTTTGGAGGCCCCGGTGGGCCTTCTGCGCCGGAGCGCCCGATGAGATGTGATGGCGGCGCGGTATGTCCCGGTTGCGATTGCGGCGCAGAGGTCGGAGCAGGGTATGGGAGGGCCGAGTCGTTGCCCAGGGCCTCGTGGATGGATGGGAGGGACTGCCGGGGAGTGGTCTTGTCCTTCTCGTCCTCCAGTGTGCGGCGCGACTCGGACGGCGAGATGTACCCGGGTTGTGAGGGCACGCTGGTCGCAGGGGCATAGGAATACGGTAGCGGTTGTCCGGCGTACATGTTGTTCGGACTCAGGAGAGGGGTGGGCGATGCGGCCGGGTGTTTGGGCGTGAACCCCGAACCGTCCTTGCCGAGAAAACCGATAGCGGGCAAAGGGTCTCTGTGGGCAAGTATTGTCAGCATTGTATTTTCAACCAGCACCTCCGAAGCTCCAATTCCAGCGGACAGGCGTTGCGCGTGTTTTGGTGGCGGTGGCGTGGGCACTGGCGCTGGCGCTGGAGCATCGGCGCGCGCGCGACGGACTGCGGAGTTGTCCACCCACCTGTGCCTGGATGCGGCTTCCAAAGACCCCATCACGTTTCGAGAGGACAGCAGGTAAGGAATGGTGTCAGTCAGCCAGTCCTAACCTCATCAACGGTGCAGAGCGGCGGTGGGCAGCTGATGGGGATCGATCGTTGAGAAATCCGTGAGAGGGCGGCACACACGATGGTTGATCTGTGGAAGCGATCGAGAACGAAATCGAGAGCGAAGGGCAGAAAATAAATCAAGGATCCGGCCGAATGAATCAACGGGTTGATCCTCGGGAAACGCCTCTCGTGCGACCAGGAAAACCGTTCCACCAGTTCGTGCCGGGCGAGAGTGGCGGATGGATCGGAGATGTGAAGGAGACCCAAGATCCTGGGGGTGGCGCGCCGAAGTCCGGTGCGAACTAAGTCCGATCTCGTACGGGCATCAATCAGCGCGACTGGCAAGCCACGGGCCCGGGAGGGAAGTGACAAGACCCTTCCAGAGGGATGAGGGGTGGTGAGGGAGTGGTGGGAAGGTGCTGGTGGTGGATGGCCGACTAAATCAAGTCGGAGCCCGGCGTGACGGCCTCAACAGCACAATCCTCGTCAAGCGGCAGAGACAATCGATCGGACGCAAGGGGTGAAATTGCACCGCGTGGAAAGGGAAAATTGAGTGGGAATGTCAATCCAGGTATGTCAGGCTGGGGGCGCACGAGGTGGAATGGAGGAGTTAAATAAAGTCAGAGTCAGATTTCGATCCCGCGATCGCATCGATATAAGAGGGGAAAAGCAAAAGGGGATCGAGGCTACTTCATTTCGGGCCTTAGATTGGAATGAACCGGGGGGAGGGGAAAAAGGGAAACGGAGGACGCCAGCAGGAACTTTAAAAAAATAAAATCGTCAATAAAATCGAAAATAAAGGGCGTTATTTCCATCGGAGGAATCGAGTGGATCGAGATGGATCGTACTGCGGTCGACCTGAGCCCACCAGAGGTATGACTAGTCCCCGTCCATTAGTATTCCCTAACTCTAGGTACTATGTACGAGGGTACTATACTAAGGTATATTCAGATACTCAGGTACGCCGTACCCGTACGTACCCCGTTTTACTGGAGGCAAATTACGGTACAGCGAACTGCGGATCGTCTGGGATCATACCTATCACTAGCGCTGGTGGGGTGGTGGAGCCGGGGTTATTCAGGATGGATTTATTATGATTTTATTCCAAATGGGTTTTTGGTTATTTGGGGTTTGGGGGTTTTTGGAATTTCGATTTTTGGGACGAGACGACTTCTGGAAAGCCCAGTACGACCCTCCTCAGGAACATGGTTGCGCCGGGGTACAGGTACAATGTACGACCGGCGGTCGCATCACATCGATTGGATCCCATTGTCAGATAGGATGTACTCAGTATCTCTGCTCTAGGGTAATTCAAGGTATATACTTACTAGTATCCTAAGTGAAGATTCTAGTCCTATCATGATATTATGTTAGGCGTATTGAATGTAGAATACAGTGTATACTCTACAACTGTCCTTCGCTGGCAGATTGCAGTCGGCATATGATACAGCGATCCATCGATAGAGAAATAACCCTGTGTCACATGGCGAGATCTCTCAGGGTTCGACCAGTCAACCTCGGGGTCGCTGACTCATCGCATGATGTAATTCGGCCTCATGCACTGAGGTTGAGCTGGCGGCGACCATGGCCAACGAGTATACGACGACATCGTAGTCGACCACGACCATCATGTACCCAGGTACAAAGTACCGACAAAAGTGACCCCTTCGGCGCCCCGTTGGCCCCCGATCACCGAGTTCAGATCTGAAGGGTGTGGGGACTGTCACACAGCCCGCCCTCCAGTTGAAATCGCGACTGGATCGTCCCAGGGTCGGCCAGGGCCGGCCAATAGCGGCCGCAGGTGTGTCGTACAGACTCATCGGATCTGGCGGTTGGAGCAGAACATTTCGCCTCGGGAGAGGTTATCGTACATACTTTAGGGTAAGGTAAGGTAGAGATGGCCATTAAGCTTAGTGTGCACTCGGAGAGTAGTATGCCCGGTTCCATGGTTAGCCTGCGCGGGCCGCTCACCAACAATACGCGGCAATTGTGCCTACGTCGACCGCATTGCTATCTCCGTGACCTCACCTACCTTCCTAAATCTTCCCACCCCTGAGAAAAAACACCGTCGTCCACTCTACTTCGAACGCAGCGCCTCTCACCATAACCCTCTTCAGTCGACGCCCCTCAATAGTGCGAATCGTCTCGGCCATGCTTCCTTCTTTCAGCGGCCTCCGATGGGGCACTCCAGCCCAGTAAGCTTCGGATCGAAGATCGGATCACACGGGACGCTATTGGCGAGATCGCAGGTGCGCGTGTTCTCTGCAGCCACCGCCGTACCTGGCCCCATTCGGCCCTTGATTCTCGGGGCGCACGAGTGGCTCACCGCGAACTAGCGTACGATGCCAGGGACATGGCTGCGGTGACGTAGCGCGGATCGCATCGCGATTGAAGGGAAATTTAGCCCTGCCATCATTAATCGGATGCCCGATGCCTATCTCGGCTGCCTGCGGCGGGCTTTAGATGACTGGGCTGGCTCGAGTGGACTCCATCTGCCATGCGAGGAGACGAGAAAAAAATGTCTCCCGCCTTGCACGGAACCCGGCTTATCTCATTCCTCAGGTGGTTGGGGAGGATCACTCCGACGAGACCGTGTCGTAACCGTTCAGGCTCAGTGAAGATCGGACCTGGACCTGGCCAAATGCCACGCGCTCGCTTTGGCCCCTTCTGGGGGAGAGGACCCGCTGCCAGCCGTTAACATGTCATATCCGTGCGATTTCTCCGACCCCTATGGCCGTTCCCCTGCCATCCTGGAGATGCTCAGTGTTAGCCCAACAAGGCCCTCGCCTCGGTTCCGAGCAGATGGAGCATCCTAGCTTGGCTGAGCAGAGCCCATCCTGCATCGTCTCATCCGCCCTCAGCTTAGCCAACGGTGCACAGACGCCGTGGACCCATCGGGGCATGGCGCAACGGTCGCCCGAGGTCGAGGCGTTGACCCCAGTGCGCAAAAGGTAATCGACGCAAGATCTTCGGGTCCTCCAACGCACGCCGTAAATCTAATTCCCCAGGGGCTTGGCAATTCGGTCTCCTTCCTTGACAACAACTCCCGATGTAGGAGGAGGAAGAGAAAACAATATTGAAAACCTTACCGGTCATATTGTACACCCGGTTACGAGACGACGGCGCCCTGGCATCGCAGCCCCAGGCCAGGTTGGACAGGGTGCGGTCGGCATGTAAACGTCCCCAGGGCAATTTGACGCCTCGAAAAGATGCAGCTGCAGCCCTCGATCGGGGCCGCATGGCCTTGGTCTTCTCTTTTCATTTCATTTCTTTTCTCTTTTTCCTTTTTCTCTTTTTTCTTTTTTTTTTTTTTTTTTTTTTTTTCACTCGCGCTCCTCCCTGAAATCGAGCCGCCGTTGCACAGGCTGCATCGGGTCCGAATGCAATAGTCTCCTGCAACAAAGGATTTGTTGACGGGTCCGAGATCTAGCGATGCGAGGCATCGATCTACATGGCTGGTCGCTGCATCGCGAGCCCTGCGCACCACCCGGATTGCTCCATTTCAGCCACTCTACGATGCGTTCTGTGCACACCTGAGATTAGTGTATGCACGGTAGGTCACCTCGCCTGTGACTGAACTCCGATGCACCCAAAATTTGCCGTCTGCAGGAGTGTCTCCACCCCAGTGCACGATCTGGCGAACAGGGGGGCTCCCCAAGGGTGCAGAGGAGTCCGCAGGACCACCGTCTGGGTCAGCTCATACGCAGACTGATGGCAGTGAAGAGAGGGGGAGGGGGTGGGAAGGGCAGCCGAAGAGAGCGGAGGCATTTTTGTGCCTCGCCTGGCCTCGATGGACCTCACAGCAAACCCGGCTTTCCCCGTGGCACTGGGATTTCGATCTGAACTGTCGGAAGCGTTGACCGGCAGGCCGGTCGCAGCCCGCTGGAGCTGAATTTCGTACGGGATCAGATTAGAACCGCCGCGATTGGGCGCATTGGGAATTCTACTTGGACTTGGAGGCGCCAGTGCACGACAAGAGAGCCGCGCTGCGAACGAGGGGACCATCGAGAATCAGTTGCCTGTTTCTGGCAACCGTGCATCGCAAAATGTGCACGACGGTGACGATGGAGGGTGGCGATGAGACCCAGGGCCCGCCGTCCCACTATGCAGCGGGAACTGCTGCAAGTGAGAGCCATTGAGGGAAAGGGAACCCTGTCAGGTGAGAAGGAGCTGCGGATCAAAAACCGAACAGGTAGTAACCCGCCGCCTGAGGAACGATGGGATGGCCCTTTTTTCCCCCAACGTCCAGCCTTCAGTTCGGCACGGAAATGGAAAGGAACTGTGGATGAGGAGAAGGATGTGAATATCGATGACTCTGTGCAGAAGATTCACCGGGATGGGCCAGTGGGCGATCATAAGAGAGCAGCTGTTTAGGTCCCACCATGAAGCTATCTCTTCCCCCAGGACGATTCCCGATCCTTCAGCCCTCTTGCAACTCCCGACGCGCTGGGACCGTGATCGTCGAGCGTACGACTGTCGACGGTCCTTCGTAATTTAGAAAAGCCGGCATAAAATTGCGTCGGCTCGAGGTCCAATCCAAATCCAAGTTCCAATCAAGATCACAATTTGCCCGCAAGCCCAAATCGCCCCTACGAGTTCACCGCAACCACCTTCCGAGAGGTACAGGACCAGTCTTGCGCTGGGCAGTGAATGATCGACAACACGGGGGGCACCGTTAGGACCGTTTTGGCGTCCGCTTTGAACGTCTCCACCACTTGATGACTCGAGCCTGACAAAACAGGACCAAAACGGCCGTGGGAAAGCGTGTCACGACCTTTTGCTAGCCTCCTGAGCGCAGGGTGGAGCAGGGTGTCCGATCGCTAAGCGGACGATCAGATAATCCTAACCGCAAACGAAAACGAGCGACAGCGCCGTTGCTGAAGTTGGCAAGAGATTAAGATTCGATCCCAATTTTAGTCGCCTGCACGGCTCTTCGTGTGGCCTTAACGGTAATTGTCGACTCCACGCTCCTTTTTCCCCCCATGGCAACACGCCGAAAATCCTCCGACCATTCGCTTTGCTAGAGGGAGAGGGAAATGTACCTTTACTCAAAGCACGGAGGCCTCCGTACTTATTGGCGATCGCCCTGGGGGGAGTGTGTGGCCGATCCCCGTGGAATCCCACATTCCAACCTGCCAGCGCGTATGCACGCCCTCGCAGCGATGATCCATCCAGCATTTGGATCTGCTATGACAGAACTCAAATAGGAGGGGAATGGGGCCGGGAGGCGTCGAACAATCAGAAACTTGGAACCCACTCGAGCAACCCTGAGGAATCATTGTCTCCCAAAAAAACCCAATGCAAATGCCAATCTCACCATCGGTAGAGCTCTTGGGCAAGACCGGGGCGAGGCTTGCGCTGCAAACCCGCCCGCTTGGAATTCCAGCCACGCAGGATTTGTACTTGGCCGTTTTTAGCCTTACTTACTAGTTAATGCTCACGTCGACTTTCAGACCAGCCGTCTAGACAGTTCGGGATTCTCTCAGGTAAACAACGATACTTGGTTCGTTGAATAGCCAGCTAGTGCTGGTGCTCCATGGCCATTTGCGGCCTCGGGCTTCGTTTGAGGCGATATACATACAACAGTACACAATCCTATCCGCATCGGCATGGCTGCTCCACCTGTCTCTTCGCAAAAAAGGAACAAGTGAACCCAATGCACGGTTCACGCCTCTACGCAGTCAAACCTCCGTCCTGGGAGCGGACCGAGACGCCACCACAGGCGTTGACAGGGATGAGGATGGGGAAAAATGCCAGTGTGATGAATTTTGTTTTCATTTGCATTTTTTTTTACCCTGGTCCCGCTCGAATGGGGATGGCGCCACAAAGGTCAACTCATGGCGTGGGTACTCCATAGGTACACGTCCGTTGAAGGAAAAAAAGGGGGCGGCCAGAGGCGCTTCAAGTCTCCGAGACAGTGGAGACACATCCGGCCATCCGATCTCCAAGCTCAAACGAGTAAGTTGACAGCTGCGATAGACTCCCTTTTGGGACTTTGCCTGTTTGGTAGCTACGTTGAAGAAATTACAGTCGGTTAATCGTTGGCAGGTGTCATTTTTCTACGAAGAAAATCAAGAAAAGAATGCGGCCAATCTACCGTCGACACAGAGAAGCAATCTGGAAGGCCCGCGTCGACCAAAATAAAGAAAGAAAGAAAGAGAGCAAGCAAGTCGGAAAAACGAGAACCAGTCTTCAGGTATTTTTTTTTTTTTGAACACCTAAACGCCCAGAATAGGGGCTACCGGGGCGATGACAAGGGGACGAAGCCTGCATCCCGACAGAAACGGGAGCGGGACATGAATCATGTCCTGCAACGGGCTGAGCCACGGAGTCGCCTTTCTGGCCATTTGCGTCGGCCGGCTGGCAACGCTCCTGCAAGGCTAAGACTTAATACATCTCGATATTTTCGGCCGACTAGGGTGAGGGACCGAACTCCTCATCGGTACCAACTAATGTGTCAGATCGAGGGAGCCCATCTTGATTAGGGGCGAGGAAACAACTCGTACATCTCGTCCCGTTGTTACCATCTTACTAGCTCGGACAGATGGAACTATTGTCAACGGTTCGACTCTAGCAGATTCATCTTGTCAGTGTATGCTCCATGATATGATTACCGACAGCCCGTGAGATGCATGTGAAAGGCGTGGATGCCATTGGCGATGCCCAGCATCATCGGCTCCACCGAGCTCTGTCGCCCTGTGCCCAGCCACCGCATACCCTGCGCCAGGACGGAAAATGGCATATACATTGTCCTCAGACCACCAAGAAACAAAAACAGCGAGTGTCATCATCGCTGGGTCGCAACCGCGACCAAGTTACCAGTGCCCTGCGCAGCCCGACTGCTGTAGGGTTGACTGAAGAAGGCAGGCGAGAGCCACCTCTGCACTAATCGTAATTCAACGGCAGCTTCTGCACGTTCCAATCTGAAGTCCAAGCACACACGGGATGTTGAAAGTTTCCTCGGGGCACCCACCCTCCTCGTGGACACTCGACGCTAAACAGGATGGTGATCTTACACCAGTAGGTCCCCCCTCTCTTCCCAACCCAGCGGCATTCCCGACGCAATGGGATCGGGAATGGCGGCGGACAAGGACAATGAGTCATGAATTGGCGCCATGAGGGGGATCTGACAAATTGGAACTGACCTGAAGGTGACGAGACGATTAAGCAAATCCCCATGACAAGGGGGGTTGGGGATGAGGAGAGGTGATGGACGCCAAACAGCAAAGAAGCAGAACAGAAACGGGCCACACTCCTACGGGACCGTTCCCAAACCCACCAGATAGACCGCCTCGATCGGCGGGGGTGGGAAGGGAGGATTTTCCAGAGCATTTTGAGGCCTGGTGGCATCGCAGATGGGACTAGTGTCGACCGGTCATTGCCGAATCCGGAGCAGGGCAGAGGAAGGCGAGGGCAAGTAGGAGGGGATCCGCGAAGGTCACTAAGATAACTAGTGCACGATACACACACGAAGATACGCGCCTTCACGGCGATCGTGGCAAGATTGGCGTATACTGGCTGCCGAGATTGCCATTTTGATTTGATCATAATTTCAAGATTGTTTTGTTCTTCTGTTTTTGGTTGTTCTGCTGTCATTTTCATAACTCACAGTCACGTCATCGTGTCCCAGCCACTACACCAGGACTATGAGAGCAGTCCCTCACGTTGACCTCGCTCGGGAGATCATCATGTCAATCCCATCCTTCTCCAACACCGTCTTGGGCAATGGATCCGACGAAAAAAGGAAGGAGAAAATTGTGAGCCTCGAGGTTTTGTCGACCCACTTCAAGCTGCATGGGCGATTCACGCAAATCCCGACCGGAGAATTCCCACTCCAGGCCGTGGGATCCAAGTAACTCTCCGAGCCTTCTTGCTTGGCAATATAACTAGCCTTCAGATGCAATATAAGCCCTCACGCCCGGAACGCGCTATAGGCTATCTCGAACAGCGCAGACCCGACTGCTCGGGGCCAAAATTCCTTCGAAGTCTGTTGAGACCTGGTTGCCCCCCATCCTCCCACTGTTCCTAAAGCAGGATTATGCAGGTGGTCCCCTGAATGGAGCTTCCTGTCGAGGATCGAGACAGTGGTTGTCTAGGGAATGACAGCGTGCAGATCCACTCTGATGGACCGTTGCACCATCAATACCATCTAGTAAGGCGCATGCCAGATGGAGTCCACGGTATCTGGTATACAGACGGAATGCGCTTGGAAAGAACGACTTATGTACCAACCCCAACCGCAACCCGCCGGACTGCAAATCTCAGATCGACAAACACCCCCGGAGATAGAATAACCGGAAGCCGAGGCGAGATTCCTGATTTTTTAGCCACGCGATGTGCAGAAATCTCAAATTGAGATCCGCCACGGTGGGGACCAGTGGGTGCGACTATTGCTCCAGGTTTCGATGGGCCGCTTTTTTTGGGCCCCAGTATATCAACCTCAACGGCTGAAGATCACGACGGAGGGAACGGATCCCACGGATGGCCACGCTCAACAGTACACCTAACCGCCCATGAGTATACATCTGGTCTGTGCCGTACAGAACGCTCGCCGGTACCGACGGTATCTACGCAAGTTTCCTGGCACTAGTATGCCGTCTTTTCTGTCCAGCCGCGTACGTTGCCGTGCGCAAATGGAGTCGAGGTGGATTCTGGCATGGCGGTGGCGAGGATGCGAGCAAAGATGACCTCGTTCTCGCGCTGTGCACGTCCGTGCTGGCGTCGGGGGTTTTGCTGAATAGGATGATTGATGGCCCTCGATGACTGGGCCATTCCGAGAGCCGCCCAGTGGTAAAACACGGGACGTGTCATGGCCAGAACAAGAACCAGAACTAACGCAGCGTCAATCCCTCGGTCCGATACCAGGGGAACATCACAGCGAAAGGGAATAGACCAGGCAGGACCATCCCAAAAAAGACCACAACACCTGTGGCGACAGCGATCTGTCTCGCACGAGCCACGAACGGGATTCGTTGGGACTCTCCCCGAGAAAAATGCGAAGCCCCAAAAAGCCAGCGCTGCTAGGAGACATATCCGAATCAAGCAGGTTGTTTCTGTCCCGGTCATCCCTGGTGGACGATGTACTCTATGTACAGTCCAATCTAGGCCCCGTCTCGACAAGCTTCAAATCCCGAATATGACAGGCGGCAGTAATCGCCGTGACCCTGGATGATCCTGTGACAGCAGCGTCTGTCCGTCTCGCAGTGTGCAGGGACTCGGCCGAATTAGCACCGAACAGACAAAGAGATGTCCTCGATTGGAGATATCCTATTCGATTTTGCTGCATCGGGATTCCTGTTGGTCGTCTTAGTCCTTGCTCCATAGGCCTAGTGCAGCCTTGAGCGCGTTCATGCATCTTTGAATCATAGTCGACGCGATGGCGGGATAATCCCGCGGGATCGACATTCACTGCTGTACTATCTGTGCTACACTAACTCAACTATGCAGCACTTACGCTCTCAGGGGGGGGGCGACTGATGATTTGGGTTGTAGATGGTTCCTGGCAGACTGCAGGACAACATGACTCTTGCCATGGTCTGGCTTTCGGATCCTCTCCGAGTGAGTTCAGGGTTATCGACGTGTTTTACAGTGGCATTGGTATATACGGGGCAAAGACATGTTGAAACGACGATACCATCACCGAGGAGTAGATATACCAATAAGATATCCTCACTCGTCCCAGCATGCGGGAACCGCAGCCAAGAAAACGCCCACGGCAACCTTGCCAGGACCTTGCCAGGGCTTCTGGGTCCAGCAGGGTACATACTTGCTGGCTACAGTGTATTGGACAGGGATGTATTACAAATTGGCATTCCTTCGACTGTATACATCCGAACGCTATCCGACGAGATGCCCCAGATTCGAACAGGTCGAATCCTGGGGAATGATACATCCAGATCCAACAATAGCAGCTCCTCTGTCCTGGAATTTGAATTTTCCTTGCCTTCTGAGTTTTGCGAGTTGTGTTAGTGTTTTGTCATATGCAGGCTGCAGGTGCTCATTGCGTGTTTGACAGCTGCGGTGCATTGGTCGCTGCATTAGCAGCCCGTCTAGACCGCCTCCGCCGTTCGCCCAGCCATCGCAACTTGAACCTTGCAACTGAGTTTGACTGACAGCTGAGCTACCTGCAACGCGGATCGCGCCTGGAGCAATTTGTCACGCCCCCTTGTCCAAACTGCCAATATGCCAATGCCATCGCCCGCGCTGTATTTCGACAGGGCTAAAATGGCAGCACGACAGCCAATCACCCCGGGCCAAAACTCGAGATCCACCCCTTTGTCTTTAGTTCGCTGGCCATACGCCGTTCTCCAGTCCGACCCAGGGACGAGCATCGACTCCACGAGGACCAAAAAAAAACCACTGGGCACGGCGAATAGGAATATTGCAAGAATATTTTAGGGTGGCCTGCGGAAGGAGAAAAGGACGGGTTCGGCCTAGCGTCCCTCTCCTCCCCGGCACTCTCCATGGGGTCCCGGAAGCAGGACAGCTCGACAGCTCGACAGCTCGACAACTCGACAAACTGGGGACCTCGGCCAATCGACAATCCTCTGGCGGCACGTCGCTCGCTTGAAGGGGAAGGACGACGTCGACTCCGTAGGCTAAGGAACGTACGCGAAATGAGACAGATTCGTGCGATCGACGACGACAGTACAACAGCCGAAGGATCAGCAATCATCAATCATCAATCAAATGAACCACCGCGACTATCGGAGCACATGAGCTGGGCCCCGCTGATCCACGGTACTCTGAACGTCAGGTCCTTCATGACAGCTAAACGGTTGTGCCGGAGCCGGCTCCACTCTGCCTGGTGGACGCTGCCACCAACGCTCACAGGGATCCAACCACCCCCTACGCTACGGCGGGAGAACGGGGCAAACGCGGGCTCCACACGATTGCGGAAATCATGGCCTCAGTTCGTCTACTCGATGATCCCCGTAATTAGATTCCCGAGGGAACCTCATGTGTGCTCGCTCTGGTGCCCTGGGGCAAGTGAAGTCCCTTGGGCTCCCCCCGTTTCCCCCTTCCCCTTCGACGGGAAAATCGAAGACACGAGAAAAGGGGCCCGTTCTGTCGGAACCGTTACCTTTTCCTAATTCGACACTCACAGCCTGCCATGAGTGGCTGGCCAGCATGGACGCTAATTGGAATGGTTTTAGTGCGAACGACAATACAAAAGTACACGCCAGTAATCGAGGAGGATTCCCATACGGAGGAATTATCCTCTTCAAGGGCCACCTTTCTCTAATCATTGCCCCAGGTGACCTACCGGGCAAAGTTCGCCCATGACAACGGTACATGTCAGAGGTACCTAGGTACTTTTGGTCCAGCTGGATGAATCCACTCCTTCCGTCAATGACTATCCGTTGTGCACATCGTCCCAAAAGAACCTATCTTAGGAACTGAAAAAGTGTTCATGGGGGCAAGGAGGGGAAGGCGGCGATGTGCCGATACACGGGTATATGTCTTGATTCATGTGCCGCCGAGGCGTGTTGCAAGACCACTTCAACATTATTCGGGTCGAAGGGCCACCCGCCACTACCCATCTCCAACCGGCGTCTACTTCTCCTCTGTGTGTGGCCAAAAAACCTCTACGGAACAAAGGCGCATCCATACGCACACAGAGGACCATATGAAAGCCCGCGGAAGGGGTGGTCACACCAAATCCCGAGCCTGACTGACTGGACTGACAGCGGCACCAGTCCCCCAATGGATGGCCCTCGTACTTCTGGGGCAAGTGCCTATTGGACGGCCCCGATTGATCGAGCGGAGTCGAAGGATGACAAGTTCTCTGACAGATAGGCGTCGCTCTTCGGGTCGCGTGCAGACCGCATATGCAATGCACGCTTCCGTATGGAGTGCCGTGCGATCGCGTCCTTCCGTAATATGACATCTCAATCCGGGCCTACATGATCGCGGGGGGAGAGAGGGGGGCCAGAATGGCTGTAAGTCCCAAAGCCCAGGAAGCTGGAAGGTGTCTCGGGCGTGGACCGGCGGACCCTCTTCGTCCTGCACGAATCGTACGACCTGGCCGCTCTAAGCTTTGAGCGTTTCTTGGAAGCCGGCTTCGAGCGTCGAGTCTTGGCTCTTCCGGTGTACATCGTCAACCCGGAATAGTTTGGCCGGCGTGGTTGGGCGATGGTCAAGGTCGAATAGTGCCCTCGGGGCGAGGCGAGGTGTCCGATGCAGGTCTAGATTGCGGACGCTTGACCAGTGCCCACTCCAAACTTAGGATCGAGCCCCTAGATATCTTGCTAAAATCCCGATTTCAAGGGGGCATTCTGATACATCAACTGACACCTTAATGCTCGTTAGTCCCACAGCGGCCAAACTGGTGGTCAAAGGGGTCGGCTTGTGTACTTCGTGCATTTACTCGCCATGACCATCGGTTTTCCAAATTGATACCCGACTTCTTGCAGCATAGCACTATGTCTCAAAAGTCACCAGCGATCTCCTTCAGGTTGCCTTGTTTGTTCGTGACTTGAATCACCTTGTCGAAGTATATCCAAACTCAATGCATCGTATCGTTGCCTTCTTTCTGCCTCGCCGCCATCCACCGCAGGCATCCACCGCAGGAGTCAACACACGTGACTCGATCCTGTTTCTTATCGATAAGGACTCTCTGTTAATGCCTGAGGCCGCAACGCCTGGGAAAGCTCCCCGCCGGTGTGAAGTCATCGAGGGTTCATCTGTACAATCTTGAAATCAGCTCAATGTAATACCACACATTATGGCGACTCACTCTGCTCTCGTTGATCTCGCTAGTATTCCCACCGTGGCACAGCTGTATCGCACCAGAAAACTGCTCCCTGCTGAAACTATCGACCCAGCTTTCCCTCCATCTCAACACTTGAACGACAGTGTCTCGGTAATTCGCAACGACCTTACCAAGCTCGAGGTCGATTGCATCGTCAATGCAGCGAATAAATCCCTACTTGGTGGCGGAGGCGTTGACGGAGCAATTCACCGAGCGGCAGGACCAGGCCTGGTCAAGGAGTGCTCTGGTCTAGACGGGTGCGATACAGGCGATGCAAAGATCACCCAGGCATACAACCTCCCTTGCAAATATGTAGTACACACCGTGGGGCCAATCTACCACTCGGCTAGCAGGCAAGATGCCACTCGGCCGGAGAAGCTGCTGCGATCCTGTTACCGAACCAGCATGGAGCTGGCGATGCAACACAGCCTGAAGACGATTGCGTTTCCAGCAATTAGCACCGGGGTCTACGGTTATCCAAGCCATCTCGCAGCGCGTGCAGTGGTCCATGAAGTTCGTCAATTCCTGGATAGCCATGTTGGTCAGAATAATGCACTACAGCGTGTCACCTTCTCCAACTTTGAGCAGAAGGATATGGAGGCGTATGCCAAAGCAATCGCGTTTGTGTCCCCCGTCTTCTTGATTTGCACACTGACTGCTGACTTGTTTGTCTTAGGAAATATCTTCCTCCGACTCCTGAAGACCTGCGCATTGCTGGTGAGGATACCACTTAACATTTGATAGCCCGGCTCTATCTGAAAAAATGCGAATTGGCGTTCGCATACATCTAACGTCAGGGGAAATAAATCGAGATGAATCGAGATACTTCGGATGCAATTCAATGTCGTTTTCAGAGTTCGATTTATGGGTATTTCTTTCAGCCAATGCATAGTATTAGTGGTAATGACGGCTTCATGATAATCGCTATGATGATATATATTTATTCAATTGCACTGGTTTACTTTGGAGTATATTGTTGTTGCTCATACCACCACGAAAGTGCAAGTGTCATGTCGTCTCATCAATATAGACTCATAATCAATACACACTGCACCATTTTGTATAACTGGAATCAGAAGCCCCTCCAGTAGCCATATGATATAAATGCATTTGTATCGGCCATAAAAAGTAGCCAAATAATGTGCAGGCCTCAATGGGGTAAGACATGGTCGAGACAAACAGTGCAAACACGGATCGTATCAATTCCGCCGTTCTCTGACCTCAACGGAAGGCCAATATCGCAACGCGTTGCTCACGCCCACATCCCACTGAAAGCATGACGACAATATCTTGAATTCACTCAATCGCTTTTGCAATACCCCGCTCCCGAACGGGCCCGCCTCCTACCTCCCTCAAAATGGCAAAACCACCCAAACAGCCAAATTTCCGCATCCTTTCGCCGAACGCCGCCAAGGACCTCGCCAACAGAAACAAGCTCACCCCCGAATCAACACCTACTCAGACCCCTGGCGCATCATCAGCAGCAGCAGAATCCCCGAGTCAGGGTCCGACCCTGGGCTCGAAACGACCGGTGCGCGCCTTCTTCTCCAATCTCCGACGACGCTACTCCGCACTCCCCCGGCCTGTCCAACAAGCATGCCGTGGATTTCGCATTCTCGCACCTCTCGTTCCGATTAGTCTTTTTTTCTCCGAACATGTCATGCAGGTCATGTGGGTGCGAGGGCAGTCCATGACCCCCTATCTCAATGAAGATTACCATCAAGATCACACGAAGGGTGACATGGTGTTGGTCAGCATGATGCCGCACCGGATATGGCCATGGGAAAGACAAAGGCGGCTGGAGAGGGGGATGGTGGTTACATTCCGGTACGTATTCTCTAGAGTCACGTTGCTTGCAATGCCCTAGGAAAGTCCCATTCCATGGACTGGCCGAGTTGGGACATTCACTCATCTTTGCGTCCAGTTCTCCTGCCAATTCGTCGCATATCGCTATCAAACGAATCGTCGGTCTCCCCGGTGACCGCATCACAACCCGCGAACCATGCTTGAAGCAAACACAAATCGTTCCGTTTAACCATGTCTGGCTGGAGGGCGATGCGCAGGATCCGCAATGTACGCTAGACAGCAATACCTACGGCCCGGTCAGCATCAGCCTACTTTCCGGGCGAGTATTTGCCGTTCTCGGACCGCGCATGAGGTGGTTGAACTGGACAGATTGGGAAACTGGCAAACTAGACGATGCCTGTTCGGAGGACGGGCAGAAGTATCGACAGGGTGTACGGAACAGAGTCCTGAAGGAAGCTGTTAAGCTGGAAAGGCCGAATCTGGATTAAATACTAGGATCATCGCACGGCATATGACTTACATATTTGGAGTTAACTGGGGGGCATCGATGTATTACTACTATGATCATGGGACACCGTGTATGTACGAATACGTATAAACCGAACAAAGATTGGATATCAAATGCAAAACCCGAATGCTACACGTGTTCGTGAAGGGAAATTGGTGCAAATAAAACGAAGATGACGGAAGACTCGAATCCCGAAGAAAAGAGGCTAGAGAGAAACAATCCGAATATCTTCTTGTTTTTCCTCTTGCAGACGATCGATCTCAGAGGAGATGCTCAACACCCATTGATCTTTCTCGACTCGACTGCGCGTCTTGAAAACGATCGTTCGCCCATGTTTTCCCAGTGTCGTCACATGCCGAAGGGAATGTTTGGCCTCACCCTGGATACCTGGCTCTTGAGCGCGGAAAAAGCTCTTCTTGATAGGCTGCCAAAGAACAAAAGTGATGGCCGTGTCTTCATCGCGGCTCGTATAGACGTCCGAAGACAGATAAGCCCTTGGTAGCGCGTGCAGACCAGGGTTGTTACTGTCAAAGGTCTGGTTGGCATAGAGCAAATCATTCTCTGTGATAAGTCCTGAGTAGATATAGCAATCCCGTAGATCGATTGTTGTTTCGTGCTGCTGATGGATATGCGGGACGATAACACCGTTTCCCTTGCGCAGTGTGCTCCGGAAGATGAGGAGTTTGCCTGCTGTGAGGATAACATGGCACTTGGTAAAGGTTGAGTGCCGACGAGGCTTGCGGTAGAGCTGACCGGACATCTAGTAATTAAGTTAATACTAAGGGAGTTTTGAATTTGTACGCAGTAATAGTGGCGTACCTTGATCGCTCGGCAACCAGACAATGCACACATGTTGTGCAGGAGCGGCGATGCTTCGGCGTGTTTGACCTCCCACTTCTTCGCGAACTGGCCCACAATTGATTCCATTTCCTCGTCAATTTCCAAGAGCTTGAGGTTTCTCTGGCGCACGGCTTGAAGTTCAGCTGCATCGTCTGCGTGTCGCATTCTCCAGTACTTGACCAAGGCGTCAAGTCGCTTGACCCATTCATCACGAGTGGCAGCATCGTACGCCTGTAAGCGAATGACTAGGTCATTATCCAACACCATTTCAAAGGTGCGGTCATCGTCAAATTCTCCAGTATCACCATCATCTCGTCGAGAGTCTGTGGGCTCAGGTTGAAAGTCGACGGCAGGTCCCTCTCCAACGTTGGGGTCAGCAGGACTGGTACCTCGCTGAATTATCCGCACGTTCGTCACTCGGCATAGATCAATGTATCCGTCTGCTTGGCTCATGTTGTGAACGTTTCTCTGTAGTTGTGCGTAAGCCTCCTCGTCATGTCGTTGGACAAACTCGTCATTGCCACTGGCAAGCCAAACAATATCTCCATCTTGGACGGGATATGGATCGATATCCCAGGATATGGGCATTTCGTTCAATATCTGACGAGAGGTCGGGATGTCCGATTCTTCGCCCATGCAAGTTGGAGCAAACTTCGGTGGTGTTGGGGGGAATGCCTTGGCTGGCCTGCAGAACAACAAATAATGATCCTGCGTGAAGAAGTATAGCCGCTTGAAAAACATTTTGTTCATCCTCTGATGTATGCCTTTTTGCGATGTCAAGCGAATCAGGAATCCTTCAATTGGCGCCGGTTCTGTTTCCTTCTCGCCCGAGTGTCGGATTGAAGTTGAATAATGATGACGTGGGCGGAGTTCAAGCTCGTGCGATGACTGCATTGCGATGGTCCCACACATATTCGCTTCGTTCTCGCCAAAGATCCATTCCAGGCGGTCATACCGCTTCCAAGCGAGTCCCATCTTTTCGGTCTTGGACCACGCTCGCAACACCTCAGACCACTCTGGGCGACCTTCGAGCATTTCCAGGCAGCCACGAATGATTGCTCTTGCGGCAAACCGTTCACCAGCTGCAGTTCTGCTCAAAATAGTAGTATGCTTAGTATCGTCATCGACGGCACCTAGCCTAGCTTCCAGTTGATCGAAGGGATGATTGAACACCAACGATACTCCCAAGTCGGGAACATTGATGGGAAGTTTGGTGGGACGCCGCCAGCCAAGGACTTGTCGGATGAATGTATACCACTCCGCAGCATGAGCTGTTGACTTCGGCCGGATGATGTAAATCTTGGTTCCACGCTTCCGAGGATGCCATACCACAATGGTCTTGTCCAATGAAGAGTAGAGGTTGACATGAGTGTTCCTGTGGTTCAATTGGACCTCGTAATAAGGGGCTGTCTTGCTGTTTGGCTTGGAAATATCGGGGATAACACGCGTTCGGTACATCTGCAAAGAAAAGGGCGCATGTTCAGCAGAGCCCTTTCGACAGATAACCAAAAACTCTCGCCATTTGTCCGCAACCCGGGTCTCCATTCGAAGACTGTCATTTTCAGAGTAATCAGCAGGCAGATTTTCCTTGGGCGTTTCTTCAACCAGGACCAGCATTCTCTCAGCCTTGATGATTTCACCATCCTGGATCTTGCGCCGGCGGGGTCGATTTGCAACAATTGTTCCTCCTGTTTTGGCGATTCGAGACTTGATTCTATCTTGTTTGTCCTGGACGTTGTCATTGATGTTGTATTTCGCCATTTTGCGAGTGAATCGTCGTGGCATATATCCATTTTTGGGGAGGTCCCCGTCCTGGTCGTCATCATCGCTCTGGGGATCATGGTGCTCTAATGCGAAGCGAGATATTCCCGAAGCTTTGCTTTTCAGTTTTTTCTGGACTTTGGGTTTCGCCTTCAGAAGGTGCGTAGTGGAGTCAGTTTCGCTGGCTATGGCAGAAACACTTGATATTATCGGACTCGGATTGCTAGGACCGGCAACACTCAGGTTCTGAGATCCCCTTGAAACCGGACGTTGGCTCGGTTGCAAGCCAGTTGCATGTATTGTCGATGTAGACGTATTTGAGTCTGTGGTGCTGGAGGCGTCTTCTCTGGCTGTGACAAAAGAGGTTGAGGCTTCCCCGTTATCATATATGTCGTCCTCGGTCCTGTTGGTCGGCCTTGCGCTCGCCCGTGGCGTTTTGTCTGAATCTTCCTCGTCGTCATCATCATCCGGGGCCCCCAACGGAGCATCATCAGCTGTTTCCGTCTCCGTCCCCGTCTCAGTGTCAGGCCCCGTCTCTGCGGCAACGTGGGGTAGAGTACGAAGCTCTCCCGAGTCCTCTTCAGCTGATTCCTGTTGTTGTTGTTCTCCAATCTCTTCCTCCTCTGTTGACTCTTCGTTGGTGTGTGTAAATGTAAGAGCAACCTCTTCTTCTTCTTCCCCCGCCAGCGCCGACGAAGGCCCCGCTTGGTCCGTTTGGGTATCGGGTTGACTCTTGTCTCTCTGGGTATAATGAGACTTGATAGGGTCTACGGAGAAGGAAAGGGTCTGGGAGGTATAGTTCTTGAACTGCAGCCGTGATTTGTACCAAGATTTGCGGTGACCATGAACCCAGCCCTCCGGAATCGGCCCAATGAAGAAACGGCGACTCGTCATATGCAAATGATGGGCAGAGGCATGACGCTGTCAATAGAAGGGAAATCATTAGCTCTGAGTGGATACCAGTGGTGTGGTTCGAACGATCAACCCACCAGCTTCTGATCCGTGTAGGACCCTATTGGCAGGCCTCGGTAGCCTTCATAGTCATTGTGGAGAGCTTCTGGCCGTGCCGAGCCGTTGGCTTCGTCAGAAGAGCTCATAGCGCCCGTGTGTCGCCCGCCCTGTGGTTGAGATCCGGTGCAATGCGCAGGACATTAGGAGCGGAAGTTCATACGGGGAGGGGGGAGATCGTTCAGGCACCGCAGAAGCGGAAAAGACAAGCATAGCGCGATCGATCGGGAGATCGCAGGTAACATGCAGAAAATGACATCATAGCTGGGTCTTCAAACAGTGCAAACTGCCCCGAAAGCGGTCCCTGAAGGGGCCACTGTGGTTGGTGCCTGCCAATATTCAGGCAGCAACATTTCTGGCTAATCCATGTTTGTCTTGTTTGCTATGTTTGCGCTATTTGCTCAGGGCCCCGCCTGACAAGGTGGCTTGCGTGGCAGGAGCGGTGAGGGACAGCTGTTGACATCCCATTTTAATTGTTCCTCCCTTGCCATTGCCCCTCACACAATCCATTATGTCTGCTGAAATCCCTGCCGGTGGTACCTGGTTCGACACCCTCAAGGGCCGGTCCTTTGAGGATGTCCCCATCGTTGATGGAAACATCTCTACTGAGGAGTTCATCCGGGCTGCCAAATCCCTGGTTACTCTGTTCGGTATGTCTTTACCTTTGGTCCTGTTTGTCCTAGAGACCACGAATACTGATGCTTGAACTCATCTAGATGTGATTGGTGGCACCGGACTCAGCTTCGTCAAGAGCGATATGACCGGCAACATCGACGTTGGTTAACCCCCGTATCCCCGGAATCGCGGGCCGACGCTGACAGCAACAATCATATAGAAAGTCGAGAAGCGCTTCCAAGAGGCCCCTGCCGAGTCCCAGACCCTGCAGGATCTTGTGAACAATGAGCCTGGCAAGAAGCCCGCTTCCGAGGGTCTGCTCTGGCTTGTTCGGTAAGTCCTCCTCTTTTTGACCTACCAATTGCTCTCAAGGTGATGAGTGATTGAGTACCTCAAATTGCCTAGAATGGAGACTAATATTATGTCATTGTCATAGTGGTCTCGAATTCACCGCCAAGGCCCTTCGTCACAACCTCGATAACTCCTCCGCCGAGCTGAAGACCTCCTTCAACGATGCCTACGAGGGCTCCCTCAAGCCCCACCACAACTGGTTCGCGAAGAAGGCCTTCGGCCTCGCTGTCGGTGCGGTTCCCACTCGCGAGAAGTTCTACGAGCTTCTGGGTGGTAAGCAGGAGCAGATCTCTGGTCCCATGGAGCAGGAGGTTGCTGCTTTGGAGAAGGTGGTGTCCATCCTGAAGGACTTCAAGCCGCTCCAGGAACTCAAATGATCTTGTGCGGCTTTGTCATTGAAAGCATCTGCAGTTCAAGTTAGATATGTACATATTGGATCCGTCTCTGTGAGCACGTGAGATTCAACTGTTATAGCGAAATCCAAGAACTGGCCTTCCTGGTGAAACACCGACTGCATCCTTCCCGAATTTCTGGAGTTACCGGGATTTGCACGAAAATCGAAGCAGCATTTTGTCAGATAGAGTCGAGAGATTCAGTCAGCTCGTGCCGAAAGAACCTCCGTCGAGCATCACCTATATGTTGATGAACAAAGCTAGCTCCTAGCGCCATACGTGCGTCTCTCCACGGCTTTAATTTTCCTCCCAACAGCCTCCTGCATACCTCAAGGTGGTGGAACCAGCCCGGCACTTGAAACAGCTACAGCTCCCGGTACTCGCTTAGCTCATTCGAAGCACCTTCGCCAGCCAGCATCCACCCGGTGCCTTCTCACTAGTTCCAACGGTTCAGTTACGAGCGATAGCAACCATGGTCATGGTGATATGCATCACTACCCCCTGAACAAGGAAATGCAGGGCCACATGGCTGACACTGCGTTCCACGGTTTGTGTTGCTCGCGTCTCTATCGGCGGACGCCGAAAATAACAAATTTAGGCTTGAAACCAGCAATATCGATCGAACTTTTAATTTAACCAAGATCCACTGGTTGACGGATATGAAGTCTCGAGTTTTAATGTTCTCCCCGGATTGATGGAAACTACTTGATGTTTGGCCAGTAGCGGACCCTTAAAAAAAAAAATTATTCCCTGCAATGTTTAATCGCGCATCAAGACTTCAATTTTCCATACCTTCTTCGAGCATCTGGTCACGCCACGCTCAATAAAATTGTCTGCCCTGGCTTGGGTGGTTTTACGAACGTGCCAACCAGTGGCTTGATATAGCCTGTGAAACGATCTTGCACTGGCACCTTAATGATTCACCTGCGCGACGGGTGGAGACAGCAAAATTGTCAGGTAATCTCCGACTGCAGATCATTTCACTTCGTGGCAGCCGGGCCTTCACCCTGATGATCGGCTGCGTAGGGCATCCATTATTTTGCCCTTCGTTGATCGTGGATTGAACCAGGGAGATCTCGATTCTATATCGAGGTATGTGTCCGATCGATTGATCCCGCAAGTGCCCTCTATCGGCCATGGCCCTGATACTAGTCGTCACCCCATCTATATTCATGGTTGTCCTCTGCATTGTACCTCATATATTGTCCGCTTCGGCTCGCCAGCAAGTGCCGGTGCTCGAATCAACCCGAACTCCCCATCCTCCCGTCAACCTCTCGCTGACAACCTTCGAGCATGCTCAGCTGCCAAGGGGCACGAGAATGGCGGATCCCCCCCAAACTGGTTCGAACGCCCAGTTCGCCCTAGAGTTGTGGCAACGGTCTCCCCTTTTTACGCGACGAGAAACGATCGAACGACACTAGCGGGCAAAGGACTGGATTCTGCATGTGGAGGCCAAGAGAGGTGGTCCACTTGGCGGGTGGTATTTGCAACCCTCGTTGGCAGAGTTGCTGGTAGCCTTTGACAGGCGAACTAATTCGAGTCATGTCGCCGATGCTGCCAACTGATGAAACCCGCGATCGTTTGGTTGGCGGCCTAAGCGGGTGGAAGTCGCATTCCCCATGGCGTGTCCCAGCCTAGACCTGCCATCCTTGTGGCCACGCGAGGGGGAAGGTTTCGTCTAGACAGCATGTGTCGGGAGCCGAAACGTTATTTGCATTCGCTGGGTTGCGATAAGTTCGGGCGTCGGACAGGGTTCGCCTTTTGACTTTTACCTCCACAATGTGTCCATGGATGGCAACGAGCCGCCCTTGTCTCTGACCACGCGACAGCCCCTTGAAAAATTCTGGAACTCTGGAGAACCCGTGACAGGTACATTGCGCAGATCCCATCGTGACTTGATGCGGAATCCAGGACTGCCAACTAAATCTGCACAATCCAAGAGCATCTGGTTTGAACCCACAGGCCCCTCCCGTAGTTCACCCTTGGATATTGCCGACGCGGGTCGCAGGTGGTCGTCCGGCCCGTTGATCGCACTAGTTAGTATCACTGGGAGCCTCAGGGAATTTTCATGCGCGTCTCGCCCGTATTCTGGATAGGCTAGGAACGAAGAGAGACGGTAACGCCGCGTCGACCCGCTTGGACGGCGGTCACCCCCCTTCTCGCCACTGACGACCGCAATGGTAATGTTTGGCTAGTGGTTTGATTCTTGCCCTCTTTTTCTCTACTCCCTCTCCTCCTTCTCCTCCTATACCATTATTCTATTGTCATTCTTTGGGGGGCAGACATCGTGACACCGGCACAACCGTGCCTGGGACAGACCATGAATCGCAAGTCATAGAGTTCTTGAACCAGTCCTCACAATGCAACCCTTGGAAGGTCGCAGCTTGTCGATCTTCATTGTCACCGCCGTTTTCTTGAGCATCTCCTTCATCGCGGTCTGCCTGCGATGTTTCGTCCGGCTCAGAATCGTAAAGGCCTTTGGCTGGGATGATGCGTTGATGGTCTTTGCCATGGTACATACTACACTAGACTCTACCATATTGCCTCTAATTGCACCAGACGAATACTAACCACTTCTGCTGCTATAGCTCCTGAACATCCTCTTTGCCCTGTGCGGGATCACGGGCGCTCTGTATGGAATTGGTCAAAGGTCAAAGGTTCTGGCTGATCGTGGCACCATGGAGACTGCTATGTTTGTACGTTTGTGATTCTCAATCCCTCCTACTGCCTGCTATGCGCCCACGGCGTATATACAAATCAGAGCTGACAATAAACTCAGTGGTGGTGGCTCGGACAAACCAGCTATGTCTGGGTATGCGCGGTCTGCAAATGCTCCATTACCACAGCCCTTCTCCGTCTGACGGTTTCCCGCCTGCATCGCACGATCCTATGGACTGTCGTGGGTGTGACCACAGTTGTCGGCCTCATCTTCTGGTTCATGTTGACCCTTCAATGCCATCCCGTTTCCTTTTTCTGGCAACGAGTCCGACTCGAGCTCGATCCATTGCACGCCAACATCAGCGGCTCCTGCATGAGCCTCGATAGCATCATCAATATCGCCTATGTCTATAGTGTGACGGCCACATGTTGTGACTTTACCCTGGGTATTTTGCCTATCTTCCTGGTGTGGAACTTGCAGATGAATACACGGACGAAGACCGCGCTGGCGACTATCCTGGGTATGGGCTGCGTCGCCAGTGCCGCGGTGATCATTCGCATTCCTTACCTGCATGACTACAAGGACGATGATTTCTTATGTGAGTACCATCTGCATTGCCCACGGCTCTTCCCGGTGAACGAAGATTTGACGGCTACTGACCGCGTTTCTTCGATAGATGCTACCTCCAACATCTCCATCTGGTCTAATGTCGAAGCCAGTCTGGGAATTGCAGCTGGCAGTCTCGTTACGCTTCGGCCTTTGTTCCGCTGGTTTCGCGACCCCAGCTCTGCAGGGACTCGGAGCAAGCGTACTGGAGGCAGCGTCCCCCTGTCGAGTGTGAATGCCGTGCGGTCGGATCCCTCGGGTCCCCAGTATTGGCGCCCGGACCTAGATCCAGACGATTCACATGCGGTGATCACTACAATCCACACCTCCAACCAGGGGAGCCGCACCAGCAGCCAAGAGGACCTTAATCCCAAGCCAGGTCATGGAACTTTCTTCAGCGGTGTGAATGTTCAGAAGACATTCTTCGTTTCGGAGCATGAAACATAGTCACGTTTGCCTTATTTGTGTTTTATTATATAATTTAGAAATTGAAGGAAATCAGATTGTTGAGGAATCGCTTCTTCGCTGGCACTGGAACCGCTGAAATGTCGGGATATATTTTGCGTCCGACCACGTGAGATAGTGTCACCAGGGCCCACTTAGTATTACTACCCCAGGATGCTAGTATGTGGAAAAGAATCTGGACTATGAAAATCTCTGCAGACCGTGCCCTCGCGCGACGAACAGACAGACAATAGCGCGGCACTTGGCGAACCCAAGGAGACGGTTCTATCGTATCTGCATGTGCCCATCCAATCTACCACGGGATTCCAGCCAAGACCGCCACGGAGCCTGCGCTGTATCCAGTGCCGAGAGGCTGGGACGAACACTGAGCCAACGTAAAGCGCTTGGCCACTTCAGTAAAATAATTTGATATAGGAACCAGTGCTTAAGGAAGGTTCAGGGTGGGGATACGAGATGAATTAGAGAAATCATGAGCAGAAGGGAGCTTCCAATTTACATTGTGTCAAGAGAGAAAGGGAAAAACGAAAAGACCGACCTAGTACAGGACGAGAAAGTTTCGCTCGCAGATTTAGGTTTATGTAGCCAAAGCCGGTTACCGTCTTCAACAGCCCGGCCGGGCTAGCTCAATCGGTAGAGCGTGAGACTCTTAATCTCAAGGCTGCGGGTTCGACCCCCGCGTTCGGCTTTTCCTACAATACCTCGAGATTTCTTTTTTGGTTCTCCTTTGTGCGCACCACATTGCATTGGTTCTCGAGGCAAAATGTATGATATATTTTTGTTTCATTTATTTTCTTATCATCGACCTGTATTCCCCTAAGCCTGATGGGGGGTCACCTGCAACCGTAAGCACTGTCAAAAGTACTGTCATTATGGTGTCTACAGTCCCTCTTCTAAGTGATTGTGACCTGGTTTTGGGTAGACAGGTGTCCTCGTGTGTGACAGCAATGCTGGTGTCTAGTTTTGCCTCGCGTTTCATATTCCCTTCTCGGGTCATTGAGGATGGTTTGTCGCTGTGCCAAAACCTGCACCATATATATTGGGACGCTGGTGACAGACATCACATAATCATCGGTCGCGCTCGGAAATTTTCAAGTCAATCCCTTATGATAATTTGATATGTAAATCATCGCGATGGAGCCAAATCCACTACATCGTAACAAATTCCTGTTTACCTTAGGGTAGGATGTAGCGAGTTGATTGATGATACCCGCCGACTGCCACACTTCACGCCAAGTCCGTCAAGCCGCGCTGATCTGGGACTGATGCCTCAGGCTGCAAGGTTCAAGGCTCCACCGCATCATCACCGTGGCCCCAAGTCAACAACTCCATCTGTCTCGACGGGCGCCCAACCCTCTCTCAACTGGATGCCGAGCTGAAACAGCTTATTCCTCTCCAGCTTCCCATGCCACCGTAATCATGTCCCGGAGGACGTTGGGTGGAGGTCGTGTTCTGGGCACTCCGAGTGCGCTCTCAGCCCCGTCCTCGTCCCCGCAACCGAAGAGGGTGCTCTCACCGACCGCCAGCAGCATTTCCCTGAGCTCGCAGACTTCCGCATCACAATTCTCGTCCGGTACGCAAGATATCACGTCGCGCATATCCCTGGAGAATGGCGACACCTCGATATCCGCCGCCTCCGCGGCACCCGGAACCCAGCTCTCATGTCCAATCTGCAGTGAGGAGATGGTACGTGTACCCAGCACATGAATGCTTGCTCGCGCCTAGTTTCCACTTCGAACTAGCAATACTGACTATATCCGCAGGTAACGCTCCTACAGCTAAACAGGTATCTCCCAACCCTCGGCCCATACCCCTGTGTCTATCTTCCGACCCTATCTAACCCACCGATAGACACCTCGACGATATTCACCAGAACCTGGAAGATGGCACACAAGACGAGGTCAAAGATTGGTTCAAGGTACAAATGGAGAAAGCGAAACGGTTTCAACCACTCGCCGTGTTGAACCAGAAGCTTAAAGGTCTGGATGTGTTCGAATCGAATGAGAATCAGACTAGCTCGGTACCTGGTCGCCCACTGGCTTCTCATGCAGGAAGTTCCGAAACACCGAAGTTATTAGATCCAGAGGATCTCATCACAAAGCAACACTGGCAGGCCGGTTGTATGTACGACGTATGCTTGGAACCATCTTGCGGACAGCGACTTAATGCCACCAACGGCTGTGTGAACTGTCGGAAATGCGGCAAACTATTCTGCGAGGAACATACAATGTACCAAATGAAGCTCTCACGATCCGCACAGCATGAGCCTGTCAGGGGAATCTGGGCCCGTGTCTGCGAAACCTGCTATAAGTCGAGGGAAGGCTACATCGATCATAATGGTGAGCCCCACTGGATTTCCATATCTTTGGCTCAAGCTCATGAATGGATTAGGTGCAACGAGAGATTTAACAAATGCGTTTAAGTCTACTCGCAAGCAGACAGTCGACAAAGATTTCCTCGAGGTTTCACGGCTCGAGAAGAGATTGACCAGGCTAACGCAGTTATTGGCAAGCCTGCCTGCAGATCAAATCCAGCCAAGTGCGACGAAGCTATTCTCTATTGGCTGGCAGAACGATCGGCGAAGAAGCCTGGAGCAAACGATTGTCAGTTGGCAAGATGATGCTAGTGTTTCGCGCTGCCCGTTCTGCCAGCAGGACTTTTCGGGGTATTCCTTTCGAAGACACCATTGCAGAACTTGCGGGCGGGTTGTGTGTAGTGATCCCGATACTGGTTGCTCCAGTGAGGTCGGGCTGACCATCGCACCCCGTATGTTTCAATACCCTCTTGCGAATTTACCATCACCTCTAATTCATGCTAGTCTCAAAATCGTCGGAAAAAGCCGCCGCCGAAAACCTGCTGAATGTTGATGTGAGGCTTTGTAAGGAATGCAGGACCACACTATTCGACCGACGCGATTTTGAAGCCGATGTCGCACGCAAGCCTCCTGAAGTCAGATCCTATGAGAACTTGGCCCAGTTTGAGAGAGGAATCCGTCTACATATGCCCAAGTTTCAGAAACTTCTCTCCGCACTCCAGTATGTACAAAATTCCAGTTTGGCTTTATGTGTACTGACAATGAGCTACAGAGACCCAAGGCGCCCGCCGTCGTCGGCTCAAATTGCAGAAGCTTCCAGAGTCCGTAAGCGACTCATGGACTCCTTCGCAAAATATGACGTAGTAGCTCGCCGAATTCGTGACCTACCAACCAACTCTCCCACCCAACAGCGATTGCAGAAGGCCATTTACCAACAGGCCAGCAATTTTCTCCATCTTCACATGCTACCTCTGAAATCTCTACCGAAGGTCCTCAAACATGCCTCACCAGCAGGAGACCGCATACCTAGCCGCACATCTTCCCCCAGCACACCAGTCAATGGATCACCGGCACCTGGTGCCCGGCCTCAAGATTCAGCACTTGCATCAATAAAATATAACGATCGTGCTGGGGCCAATGGAAGTTCCAGCAGCCTAGCAAGTGATACGAGCAGTGCTGTATCCGCACTGGAAGCAGAAGAGAAAGCGCTTCGAGAACGGCTGATCGTACTTGAAGAACAGAAATTCTTTGTCTCCGAAATGATCGCAGATGCTAATCGTCGTCGTAAATTCGACGAGGTAAGTAGTCTCGCCGTCAACGTTGAGGACCTGAGCCGCGAGATTGATCGTGTCAACGGGATGCTTGCCGGCTTGGATTTTGAGGGAGTCTACACCGGCGGACTTCAAGCAAACGCTTGATAGCCCTGAAGAGGGGTATCACGAACCCTTGTTTACATTCATTTTGCACAGATGCATGGCGCCTTGTCATTTAGCTATCTGCTTTCTTTTTGTTTCTCTTGAGCCCATGGCCTTCAAATGGGTGTTCTCAAACTCCTTGCGGCGACATTTGCATAGCATTGGGCGTTTAAGCGATCGTTGATGGAAATTAGTACAATAAAAACATATTCGCTCTAACCACTCTGCCAGTGGCGTTACATATAAATGTCACACATGTTAATGGTAAGGTTATACCTGTCTATCTCTTACATGGTGGTGAGTAGATAGTGTGTAATATAGATGGAATTCGGGCGATAGGTGAGGACTCAAACCTAGTATTTGGTCTCACCTTTGACCAAAATTCCATTTATGGTTACATGTAGTGCAATGTACCTTGTGTCCATTCCCAATTATGACCAGCACAAAAACACTTTCGCGCTAGGGTACGTAGCAGAATAGACGAAATCCTAACAACGGCTATAATAAAGAGCTCAAATATCCCTCGAAACGCGTCTTCGCAGAAATGCTAACTGGAAAATTGCTCATTACATCCGCAATATCACATGCTCACACAAGTGCTAAAAATCCGGTATTGACGAACCGGAAAATAGGTGATCAAATAAAAGCCATAATATTTTCTCGATCGCTAGAACAAAGGGCAAATTAAGTACATCAATATCAATATTTTTGGATGATTTGACAGATTTCAACTTTTTTTTGGGGAGGTAGAGGACAAGCTATCTTCCCGGCCCTCGAGGATTTTTGCCTTTCTTCAATCTGTTTTTGTACTAGTTTCGTGACGTCGTATCCCTCTATACACATGTTTAGATCATTACCCTGATAAAGCCATTTCAACTGACTTTATAATATCTGAATTTTTATCGCTCATAGTCGCGATGGTAGCTGGTGCCGGTATTAGGGTTATCGTATTCTCGGTGAACATGTGTCGTGCCATCATCGCGGCGATCAACATCTCGGTGTCGATAGACGCCGCTGGGATCGAGTCTCTCGCGATGATGTCGTCGAGAGTTGTCGGTACGATAGTCGAGATGCTGATCATATGCACCGCTGCTGGGGTCATAGGCTGTGGTACCGTACCCAGTATCATAAGTTGTACCGTATGTGTTACCTATGGCATCTGTGCCATAACCTGTCGTACCGAAGCCAGTCGTTGCATATCCACCATATCCAGTGGCGTCAAAAGTGTTCCCATTTTTATCATAAGATGTGCCAATTGTATCGTATGTTGCTCCGGTGGTATCATAATCATAGTAGTCATTTGTGTACGCAGAATTGCCGAACCGATCAGTCATTTTGCCAGGCTGGTCAAATTTGGAGCTTTGAAATTCAATATGGCTGACAGGCGAAGGATAATTAGAAAAGAAAGTGGCCTTCGAATGGAGGTTCGCAGAGCTCTGGAGCACTTCTTATAATCCTCGTGGCGGAAAGTATCTTTGCAAATGATTGTACCTTGACATCATATCTGAGTTGTAAAAAGGGTATTGCGTATAGGGGGGCGATGCACATGGCTCGAATGAAAGATAAATATGATGACCACTGTCGCAATTAAATGCACTGATTGGCTGACATTTCTGGGGAAGTTCGTTCCAGACCGTCGCCTCGGGAGGCGGATGATGGAGGACACTAGGCCATGAGCCGACAGATATTACTGCCACTTCTATAACACCATCGAAAAATCATTCCTGAGTAGTTTCATTCGAGAAGACCTCATGATATAATTGTCAAACATTTAATTCCATCCCTTGCGTCAATCGAAAAACGGTGTGGCTCGTGGCAAGAAATCTGCCCAGGGTGATATGACGAGCTTGCCACCACCATATATGGCGCATTGTGAATAGCTCAATTCGAACGTTCAAAAGAAATTGGATTAAAAATGAAAAATCAAGTTACTGGGTGTTCTAGGGGCCTGAGGTTTGGCCACGACTTGCGGGCTCTTGTGCGTGTATTAAGTGGCGTGCTTCACGCGAAATGAAAGCGACTTTCCCCAGTACTCCCGAATGGAAGTAATTGAGTGAGCTACAGACAATTATGACATTGGAATTATATCAAGTCTTTGAATTATAGCTCGTTTTGCGAGTATTGTCTTCGTTCCCCTTGGTCCATACATGTTTTTCCATCAAGAGGAGGGTATACAGTTTAGCTCTCTCTGCCCAACGGCGCCAACGAGTCCGACAGGAATTCGCTGGCATTCATCAAATCCGTACTGCCGTAGACAACACGGCGGCGAATACCGGAAGGAGCGCCACGGTTGACTGGTGCACCATCTGTACCTTGCTGGCCGCTCGTCCGAGCGACCCAGTCCTGCAAGTTACCATATTCATCCATACTCCCACCTCCAACCGTGAACACAATGGCTTCGTTGAAGGCTTGGCGACGTTGGCCGAAGGTGGCACCGGTACCAGGGCCCTGGATAGTTCCACCGGGCATCTGTTGGGTTCGGGATGCAGAGGTCGGAGGCATGGCCCCACGTGCATTGGCGCTTCGCGGGTCAAAGTAGAGGTAGTTTTCGGTCTTTGCAATTGCCGAGCTGGATGCGGCGGAGGGGTCCATGATGGATTCCGTGATCTTGGTTACGGTAAGATCCTTGTTTGCGGGCAGGAAGTTTTTAACACCGGAAAGCAGGTTTTCGAAGTTAGCACCCAGGCCACCGGAGGTGAGGCGGTCTGTTAGGCGGTTGGAGAGGGATGAGAAACCGCGAAAAAGATCGTTGGATTGCTGCTCTGGGGCAGCAGTGGTCATCATGGTCATTCGCGTGATCTCGCGGACTTGCCGAACATATGCAATCGGCGTCACATCCAAGACACCAGCCTTGATCAGAGCCTCCTCAAATTCGCTCATCTCTGCGCGGTTCAATTCGGTCTCGGTACTGAGGAACCAGATGACGAACAGACGCAATTTATCAAGCGGATTGCTGCCTTTGGCGGGGTTATTAATGAGCTCGAGGATTTGCGACTTGGATTGTTTTGTAATGTTTTCCTCCAGCTCAAAGAAGCCATCTAGTTGTCGATCCTTGATGCCCTTAAGTAAGGAAGTGGCGATGTTCATGTGCATATCGAGAACTGCTTTTCGCTCCCGCAACTCGGGTAGTAGAGTTATAGCGGCCTTGAGATGTTGTGCCGAGGCGCTTGTGTCATTCTGGAGATCTTCGATAGAAGAAGCACCTGTCTTCTTTGTGATATCGTTGGCGTCCTCCTTGTATCGTGTCAGCTCGGCGTCAATATCCTCGGCTACCTGAGGAAAGGGAGCGCCGGCATTCCTTTGCCAGAAGAAATCGTTGCTGTTGATATCGTAGGACTTCTTTGAGACCTTGCCTGACTCCTCATCATCCAGGGTAATCCGATTTAGACGCATCTGAAGAACGTCTTGCACAAGAGATTGGTATGTCCAAGAATGCGAGAGCATGGGTACCAAGTCAACATTTCGATCCATCACAATCAACACAGGACGGCTAGAAACAACACCAGGCAGGGCTCTTTGGTTGCCAGAGAAAAGGTTATCCTTGGAGTTGAGGATGTGATCACGGAGTTTTCGATCGAGTTTGGTGGCAATCATCTCTGCCGCCCCACCTTTGGGACATCTGATGATGGGAATTGTACCTGGAAAACGAATCAGAAACAATTTCTAAATTATAATACCAAAGAAAGAGTACATACCCATGGTGACGCTCACGCTGAAGAGACCGCTGACCACTTTATCGATCATAGCATCCAAGTCCTCATCACTTGTCTTGCCACTGTTAATTTTGTAGTAGGCATCATTGCCTAGTCCCAAGCTGAACAGATCGGGCTCAGCAACGATGAAGTTAAGATATTGATCAAAGACCTGGGCGATGTTCTCTGATGCGCCAGAGGTCGCTATTTGCGATGCGAAGTCTTCGAGGAGTGGGCGGGGAACGGAGGAGAGGAAGTTCACATAGGCAGGAGAGTACAAACCACCCGCGAGATCGCGGGTGATGGCCTGGATATTAGCCTCGTTGGGCTCGACCAGGTACACCACGGGGACATCGGGAATAGGGTATCGTTGGGAGTTAATGTTCCTGGTATAGTCTCTCGTTAGCGGACAGACCCACCAGACTACCAGAAGTGTAGACAGTGTCAAGTCATGCGTCATACAGATGAATGGTGATTCCCCAAGCACGAAGATCATTGACCCTTAGCACACTGCTGATAACGTCTCGGCCCATGCCATCGAAGACCAAAACCTTCCAAATGGGATCGCCATCTTCGTTCAAAATAGGCGTGGATTGGGAAACGAGTCCAGAATGTCCTGACGGGTCATGGGTACTTTCGTCGGCAGGGCGCGGATCATGGTTCAGATTGAGAAGCTTTTGAATGGAAGCTATATTGTTCGGTCAGCTCATCGGCGATAGTTGCGGGGGGTTGTCACGCTGCAAGGGTTCACCACTTACCGACCTGTCGGTCCCGGAGTGACATAGGATGCGCCATGGCGGAGCAGCGACCACGGGCACGGAATTGAAGAGGACACGAGGGCTAGTTCACGACATGAAACCAGCAATAGGGAGGGCCGTGAGTGAGATGCCGTGCTGTTGATGCACTCCACTGGCCCAGGTGGCCGCAGCAGCAGATGACATAATCAAACACAAACACTGCAAACAGATCACATGTCAGTCCGTTCCGCCGCAGGGGTTGGGCGGAATACCAAGGTGATACAGAGAGCCCGTAATGGTCACCATTCTAATCCAATCACACACTACTCCTCGCGCAAGGGAGTGTTCGCTCCAATACCGACCGCCCAAGGCCTCTGCAGCTTCTGTCCTTCCGACCTCTAACCTCTCCTTGTCAACACCAACTTTTCCCCCCCCTCCCAACCCCTCTCCTTTCTTCGTAAAGTGAATGGCTATGTTGCTAGAGTGGCTCTTTGTATGAGGGTCCTTCGTGTCTTTCCTTAAGGGCTGTCCGAGGCAAAGCTTAAAGAGAGCAGAGAAAGGAGAGTGCCGGCCTTTACAGGGACATTTGAAGCCGTCCGGGATCAAATACAAAGTGAAGGAGGATACACTCGGAAACAAATCCAAGCATCAAGCGCAAGCCTTAAGAGGATCCACGAAGATTCTCCCAGTGGCGTTCAATTACTTTTTCCTACGGTGTACTCGCTGCGGCAGGCAGTCGTCATTACAGGGGGAATTCAGTTTGGTGCCTGAGGCAACCAACACCACCTAAACTCAGGCGCCGCGGGACTTGCCCAGGCACCTTCTCGTCACATCAGGTACGGGAGAACTCATCATTCTTTTCTCTCCTTCTCTTTCTCTCGCATCCTAGCCGTACTCCCACTCTCTTACACCGTTTCTTTTCTTCACCTCAGCGTCTCAAGCTTGTGGCTCTCGACCTATCAGAATCCCCAACTCCACCTCACCGCCGGCCGATTTGACTCCGAGGTCCGAGAACCTAAAGAGCAAGCGGTGGAACCCCTTCTGCAGTTTTCCTCTGTGCACGTGACACGATCGACAGTAGTAAACGGGGCGCGCAAGCAACGAGCAACTGCGGTCCGGCGAGGTTGACCACCATGGAGCAGTCATCGGCTCAACACCCAATGTCGGGTGGGTCGCATGCTGCCCCCGGGCAGGGTCAGTTACCTCCTGGTTATTGGAACGGCCTCGATGCCTTGTTCCCCGAATCTCAGCTCCAGCCTGGTCAAGGTCAGGATCCATCCACGCAACAAACTCCGATGGGGATTAGCTGGGACCACCCGATTTTTCAACAGCAGCAGCAACAACAGCAACAAAACCAGCAGCCCCCGCAGTCTCAGAATCCCCTTCAGCCCCAGACGCAGTCGAACCATGGGATCTATTCCGCCATCCCGCAGACCTGGCAACAGAACCCTCTCCACCAAGCGCCCGCGAGCTATGCAATTCCATCACAATTTCAACCGCACCAGCAGCTCCCGCAGTACCCACATGACCAAATGGCCTTCGATTCACGGCCCTTGACGCCCTCAGAGAGCTCTGCGTTTCCGACGTATACCTACCAACAAAACTACTACCACCCACAGCAGCTCGCGGTGCAGGAACCTTTGATCGAACGATCGACGCAACATCAGCAGCCGACTGAATTTTCGACCACGGCACCTCGATCGTCGATATCTCAGTTTCACCTCCCTTCTCCCTACCAAACAGAACTGCCTACCATCGACCTCACCAATGACTTCCCCCATGCCGAGTCTCACCAAACCATCAACCCGCAATTCCTCAGCCCTACGGCTCCGACCCCCAACCAACCACAGCAGCAGCAACAACAGCGTCAACAGCGACAGCAACACGTGCCAAACAACTTTTCATACGCGGTCCCTGCCGAATTTCAAGGAGCTGACGGGACGATGTTCAACTACTATCAAAATGACTTCTCCGTGCAACCTCAAGGCATCCCATCCAATCTTGGAATGCCACAAATTGGTATGATAATTTAATATCCCTCCATTTATACTGACACTAACTCTGCATAGCTGCCAGAGGTCATTCTACACCCGCTGGATTTCCTGCGCCTCCTGATGTTGTTATCACAAATACAACTAAACCTGCCGCCAAGAACAAGCCAAAGGCCAAAAAGCCCACTGCAAAAGTGAAGAACGCACAGACAAAGTCGGATAGTGATAGCTCGGATCAGTCGGATTCGGAAATTGAAGCCCCAGATGAGCCTTCTCCGATCCCCTCAACTCGATCAAACGACCCTGTGGAAGGTGCCAAATACGATACCATGAAAGCAGTTTGGTCTCCCAGAAACAAGCGTCCAACACCGGACAAAGTAAAGAGTGCGCTTGTGGCCTTCCCAAAGATCATCAAAACTCTACGTGATGCATGGAAGGACCAGGTTCAAGCAATGAAGCTGGCAGAAAACCAAGGTGACAATGACAAATTTACGGTTCTTAAGAAAGACGTCGCACTGCAGCGGCAAGTCATGGACAGCATCGTGAGAACTGCCTTGGATATGGGCCACCCCATGATTGTTGAAAAGTGTGTCATCCCCTCCTTCTCTCCAACCCCTTTTCCTTGCACACAAAATCTCTATATCCCTAGAAGCTCCAAGCAAATTGAGCCCTTTGCCCGAGTAATTTTTCATCGTGGTCATGGGCCAAATTAAAGGCCATTCCTTGGTTCATTTTGTGTGCCGATAACATTGAAATGCCATGTTTGGTTTGGACCTAGCGGAGACGGAACCGTCTACTTCCCAAACAGGTGAAATGGGAATGCCTGAACCACATTCTGTAACGCAATTCCTGATGTTGCAGAAGCATTCAACCCGAGCGGACTAGCCTTCATCACATGCATCCGATATTGCCTTTGAATCATACGTTTGCTAACCTTTTATTTCGATATAGGCTTGGAGAACACCCCATGGCGGTCATTCCTATTTACTCCTTCCTGGCTGAGCGCTTCCAGTCAGTCGATTATGATGGTTCTTTGACTGTCAACTTGCTCAAGGTAAGCTTACATCTGGCCAACCCTCCTGAACCGTCTACTAACTATTTCTACAGCTTCTGGAACGATTCGTCACCGTAGATGAAGATTTGCTGCAAAAAACCAACCTTAGCAAAATCCTTCCGAAGTTTGTTAAGAAGGGAGGCCCGGTTACGAAGGAACTTGCCCAGAAGATTTTAGAAAACGCTTCTGCCTCTACCAAGAGAAAGCAGAATAATGCAAAGACCGGAAAAGAAGATCCGCCTGCGCTCAAGGCGCCCCTGCGAGATTCACCCTCGGCTGACGTTGCGGGAACCAAACGGGCACGCGATGGAGATAGTAACACGCATCCCGCAACAAAGAGGATGGTTGTCGCACCGAACGCTAAGGAAGCGAGCAAAGCTGGGCCTGCATCTAACGGACCCGCTAAGAGTGGCCCCAACGGAAAGGCAGCAGCAACAGCAGCCCCTCGTCCGCGAACGAATATTGTCGCGCCCAAGCCTAGTAGTCTTTTTGGTACGCTGAGCTCTGCATCAAAGAGACCCGGAACAACCAACGCTGAACGTGCTGCCGCGGCCGCTGCCGCAAAGTCGACGTACGTTTACCTTGCCGCCTTTTCCCTGACAGACCCATGCCCTATTCCTCTCCCTTGAATTTTTTTCTTCCCTCACCTAAAATACATCCTGGATTTTTCTGACATCGATTGCCAGACCCAGCGCAGAAAAGAAGGAGAAACCGGCGGCTCCTCCCAAGTCCACGTTTTCGTTTGGTGATATCATGGCCGACTTGAGCAAACCCAAGGACGCCCCCTCAACCAAAACGACCGAGGAAAAAACTCCCGAAACTGAGGAAGAACGTGAAAAGCGAGTCAGAAAAGAGTCTAGGCGGAAGTTGCGCGTCACCTGGAAGCCTGATGACTGTCTCGTCGAGACTCGGCTATTTACTCATGATCCCGACGAAGAACTTGGCCCCGGTGATAGCTCTCTACGTGGAGTAGGTGACGTGAAGGGTGAGGGAAGTGTATTGAAGCTCCATAAAGATCTGGAGGAGCTAGAGGAGGACGACCTTGGTGGTATCCGTGAGACGAACATCAACGACTACCCTATCCCCACTTGTAAGCCTATCGAATGCCGGCCTATTATGAGCGTGACTGACCTTAATAGTGATTGACATAGTTTATGAAAATGGCCAAACGAAGGCGGGCAACTTCGTGAAACGTGGTGGTGACCAAATGCCATTCAGCCCAGAAGAGGAGGCACAGAAGCATCGAGAAGCAACGACTCTGATGACCTACTATAACTCTCCTGCCGACGTTCCCCCGACACCCAAGGAGCCTTCTGCGCCTGAGTCCGGTACTGAAGAGGCTGCCCCTGAACTGGTTTTCTTTGGAGAATCGGCGGAGGACTTTGTCAAGGTAAGTAATTGGCGACATTGCTGAGAGGGACAAGGAAAATTCTAACTGTGATGGTTTATAGGCTCGGCAAGAACGCTATTACGCTCATGTCAATCCCAAGCTCACAGTGGCACCTGCACCTCTATCACAGCCTGCCACTGCCCCTGGAGGATTCGATATCTCCAACTTGCTGAAGCTCATCAATCCTGCTTTGCAACAACAACAGCAATCTACACCCCCTCCTCAGCCACAACCGACACCTCCACAGGCTCCTGCGTCAGAACTGGAGCGCACCATCGGCAAGTTCCGACAACAGCAGAGCCAAACACAACCGCCCCCACCTCCACCGGCCCCTGTCAGCCAGCCGACAGCGACGCAGGAGATTGACTTCCAGAAGATCTTCAACGTCATGCAGCAGATGCAGGGATCTACTTTCCCCCAAGCTCCACAGAGCCAGGCGGGAATGGCCCCCAATCTGGGTGCCATGTTTGGGCAGCAGTTCGGTGGCCAAAACCAAATGCCTAACCATAATTCTTCCTATGGCCAATCCTACGAGGATCCAGAACGTAAAAGAATCCGCGAAACGAGCCAATCAGAAGAGTGGAGTCGACAGAAGCGGACGAAGGCTGGTGGTCCTATGCCGTATAAAGTAGGCGTCGTTCCTTGCAAGTTCTGGGCAGAAGGCAAATGCAGAAAGGGCGACAATTGCACATTCCGCCATGATCCTCAATAATCTCGCTTTTCGACTTGGGCTCCACTCGTCCTCTCAGCTGATGCCTATTCTTATTCTTATGTTGTCCAGCTGACAGTCCGCCTTTATCTTAATTCTTGTATCCTTTCTATTGCATATTCAGTGGCACTGACCAAGTGCCTGGGGGACATTTCAATGGCGTTCATGTGTCGGCATCATTCGGTCCCGAGGGTCAAGCATGTTTTGCATGGGATTCCCACATACAGGTACGAAGAGCCGGGGCGTTTTTATTTTCTTTTTACTTTCTTGATTCGATCTCGAGATCTTCTGTCTGCCATTTCTCGGCGCATTTCAGCTGGCTCGGGTTAGCAGTGATCATTGATACGGCGCAGTCTGGGGCAAAACGGGGAATGTACATTAAGTGGTATCAACTTATTCTCTAGAATGGAGATTTGTGCCTGAGAATACAGCTTTCATACCAACGTAGTCCACAAGTAGTGTGTGTAATCATGTACAGTAGCGACCCAGCGCTACATGCTGGGACGGGTTTACCAAAGAGTCATCTCAGACTAGAATTGGAATCGAAGGCATTGCGACAACACTGCAAGGGATGGTGATTTATTAATCAGTGTTTGGCATGAACATTATTATATCACATCGTTCATCCCTCATCAATGCACCGTAAGACCCAATTAGGATGGATACATGTCTGACCTTATACCTGCTAACAGACAAGTGCCTTGGTACATTCTTTCTAGAGTAGATCTCATCATATCCAAATCGATGGACTCGCCAGACCAAGCCCTCAAAGTTCGAATTGACAAACGCACCAATGCAGGCCAATTATGCGGAGGAACAAGACACCATCCACCCGAGGCCGCATACTGCAACCGACTGAGGACTGCTGCGATGATTTGGATCGCGGCTCCAAAGGTGCACCTCATCATATTCCAGATCCATTCGTGGCGGAAATGATACCATAGATTCGGGATGAGAGCGGCACAATTCTGAAGCGCCTTTTGGGCGTGGTTGAATACCTCTTGGAAAAGCTGGGTGTTGTTTTGAAGATAGCTCGGCAGGAAGCTGTAATGGACTGCTAGGTAGAGAATTGGGCGATAGATTTTCTCGAGACCCATGCGATAGCGGCTGTATAGAAGAAACTCCAGATCTTGATTGTCTGGTGTAGGGGAGGGTAGGCCGCTGAGTGACATTTGGTACCTGCGATAGATTCTATTAGCATATGACTGAAAGGAAAGACAAGATTAAATTAGCGACGCGGAATATTTATGCATACCAGGAGTATATGACTTCTGCGGCTGCGGAAGTCCGTTCAACAACACCATGGATATTGTTGACCCAGTCTTGCTCCCCACCTCGCCACATATCAATGAGCATATCGTTCACAGTCCGACGATTGCATATCGACCCAATGTAGAACCTCCATCCCTTTTCATCGTCAGTGTCACACATTTCAGGCCATGACCTCGTGACAATATCCTTATTATCTCCAAATCTGTCTGCTGGAGATATCGATGCCGACGAAGTTCTCGGGAAGGTTGGGAATTGATTCGCATATCCCAGGCTCTCAAGACAGCTGCCCCACAATGGAAGTTCTGCCTGCATTTCACTTTTCGAGTGGATTAGAGGATTTCCCAAACAGAGGATGACACAAACCGAACTCACTGCTCTGCTTGAATACATGACCAATATAGGCGTGATTCGAGATTATAATAGTCGATATCTGCGGTCCATTGCTCTCGACGCAAGGAGCGTAGACGAACTTCTAGTCTGCAAGAAGCTTGTTGAAAACAAAACCAGGCTTGTAACGGGCGAATAGCGTGACTATGATAGGATCCAGCTAGAAGGAAACATTGGATATCTGTTGGAGATGTGTTCAAGGAGCCCAGTCTTTGCTCGGCTGCATGAAAATAAGCCTCGGCCAGCTCAACGTTCGCATCTGACTGAGGCGGACTGGAAATATTATCGAGATCGTTAGGTATTTCACTCAATGGAACGAAGGAAGATGTGCAACAGGCAAGTGCACAGGCCAGAAGCTATTCAAATAAGAGCTGTTAGAGTTGTGGCGAATGTGACCCTTGCGACGTATAACAGGAACTCACCACTTGGCACGATGGCCCATCCCAACCTAACCCTTGAAGAGTCACCTGTCTGGCATATCGCTCGAGCGTTTCAGCTTCAACAACAGGGTTCCTTCGATGAATCAAAACAATGTATTTCCGACATAGGTGCTGGATGTCATCCAGAGAGGAACCCACTTCCGCTTGCCGAGGAGGTGAGAGTACATGTGGTTGATTGTCCAAGGAATCGAGTAAGAAAGATCGAACATGTCTCTCTGATTCGGGAATGACCCGATTGAATATTGGCCAGCGAAGCATATACTCCGGAGAATTGGCTGCATATAAGGTCAAGGGATCGTGGTCATCAGCCCGGTCCTCGATACTCGTGGCACTTCCTGGATGATTGCGACTCGCGAATGGATCTGCCAGGGGGCTCGAATTCTGTGTACCAGTAGCTAACTCTAGGAGCGAGCCCCTGGCTGAACGACCGGACAAAGAACTCGACCCGCTATCTTGCTTAAGATCTTCCAGGAGCGAAGCAATCTGCCCTAGCCTCTGGAGGATCTCATGATTGGCAGACTCAAAATTCGTCCTTAAAGATAAGCATGTTAGAAAGGCCATCAAAGCTTGACTTAAAAGTCAAAAGCCGTTAGGCGACCCGACTTACTGAACTGGATGCGGCGAGGCTTCGGGATAAACACACTCCACCCCTTGTATTGCACAATAGCTACAGACGGGCCTAGTATTGTCGCACCGGGTCTTTCGCAATCTGCAGGTCTGGCAAGCTGTTGGGGCGCGTGTACGACTCTCGCGTTTCCTAGGAAACTTGGGATCCAAATTCATGACTCTAGGGTGATATTTTTCTTCCCTTTGAGACTCCCGGCGTGACTTGGGGAGCACCAGGGAACCCACGAGGGAAATAAGGTGAATCAAATGCGGGCTGTGGATGATGAACCGGTTATAGAGAAGTATATTCGGGCTATGCAGAGGGGCCGTGACGAAGTAAGAGTGTAATAGACAAAAAGGCGTGACATGAATCCTTGATAGGACGGTTTGTGCGAGGTTTACGGCTGTGGCGTGGCAGGATGAAACTAAAGAAATTCTCTAGACAAAGAAAGTCGCAAGAGAAAAGTTGAGAGGTGAAGTATCTTTCTTGAAAGCTCCATCTCTGGAGCAGGGCCCCGAGGCTGTTTATTGGAGAACTGTTCGTCGCTGCACTCGGCACCTGGGCAGGGTTTGTCGCTGGCGTCGTGCCCCCGGACGGTGGAAAGGTTGGAGCTGCGAGGCTGCGCCTTTCCATCTCCCAAGAACCAACGCAACCAATTAAGGTGCATGGCTCTTTTTTTGGGTCACCTGCAGCGCCATTGTGGTAGAAAGCGGCGAATCGAAGTGATTGACATGACGAATGCCGGGGGTGACTTGGTCGAGAAACCCGAGTTGTTTCCTCGTCACCCGAGGAAAGGTTCCGGGATACCCCGGGGATTGAGGCCCAATAGCTGGCAGTTAGGGGTGGCACATTGGTCATGTACTGCATGTGGGAAAGACATGCATGGCGAAGATTTGTATAAGCTATGGCACCAAAGAAGAGTAGGGCGCGCCCGCTTCTTTGACGTTTCCAAAAAAGCAATACCTGCCTTGACATGACAAATCTTTAGAATAACATTAATTTCAGCTTTCGGAGCTACTCAGTTCGTGGCTTGCCTGCATGATGCAAAAGATTATAGGCAACTTGATCAATGCAGGTGCAAGCAACTACATTGTGCAGGGCTGTGGATTGCATTTCTGGCCAGCAGGAATCATTCATACCATACAAGGTCTAAAAAGCCAAATTGAATAGGAAGAAACCACAGTATCGAAGATAATCTCAATACAGCAAGTATTGGTTTTAGCAAATGATTACTATCGACAATAGCTGTCATGTAACATCGGGTACATGGACATAATGCTTGTGAAGCATATATTCCAAGAAAATTATGGATGTGTTTTGATCGCGGCCATTCCCAGTAGTCCTTGAAATTATCGATTCGTGGTATTTTTATCATGAACCCAGCGTCGGGAGAGAGGGGGAGGTGCGCGGAACGTCATATCACTGTGAAGATAAATACTTTCTTATGGACAAGGACTCCGTCTACAGATCTCAGGAGGCAGTTGCTCAGGTGGGAGATTTTGATTTGGCCTGAAGCTAACCCTATTCACGTGGCTTGGAGAAGCGGTCAAGAGATTATAATACCTAGAGATCATTGGTGACTACCATTTTTGCCTCGGCTGGAGGCCCTCAGTAAAAGGAAGCCGAAGAAAGAAACAAGAGCATAGCGATGGGATTCGAACGTGGTATGGCATGTGAACATAACTACGATTGCCAAGAGTTGCTTGCTTTTCGCATAATTCATACATGTAAATACTCTAGTATACATTTATTATTTTCGGTGGGTAACATGGGGGAGGGGGGGGGCAATATTTGCGAAGCACCTAAAATACTCGGTCAAAATAACCTCACACGTTGTATTGGATTGATACACATTCTAGTTCCTAGAATTTACTTTTGAAGACCTCTGCCCCATCGAAATGCTTATCAGGGTTAACATCAAGTGTTCAAAATGAAATTCGTATATTTTATTCTTTTTTTGCTGACAATAACGGGAAGAAGCTCCCCTGAATAGATATAGGCACTCCGGGGTATGTCGCTAATTAAACCGCGCTGAATTATTAATGTGATTCTATGCCCGTTTTCACGTCTGTGTACCCCATCAAAAATAAATTATTCCATTCGTGATCAGTACATGCACGTCCAAATCATTGCCTAAACGTACTCATCTCCTGGGGCTGGGTATCCTTTTGGCCATCGGAAGACATTTCGTATGAAGGTGCATACATGTTTTGCTGCCCATAATCATAGTTAACGGGCATGTAGCCTGGCTGAGTGGCAGTTTCAGAAGCTGGTGGAACAGCATGTCCTTGAGGCGAAACAGCAGCAGCAGCTTCCTTCTTGTCCATATTTCTTTTCACCAGGTAGATCAGATACAGGACACCAAGCAGCAAAGGAACCCCGACGCCAACACCGACACCGATGCCTGCTTTGGCACCTGCTGAAAGCCCACCTGAGCTGGATCCATTGGATGCATTGCTTGTTGAGGTGTTTGTACTTGTGCTGGAAATTGTCGAGGTTTGTGTTGCGAAGTCTTCTGACTTCCAGCGAATTGAGATTCCCTTGGCGTTTACGCCATAGGAGCCTGAGTAGGATGTGACGGTACCTCCTTGGGTGTAGGTATATTCGGCAGCAGTGTCGGTGTTAGATGAGCTGCATTGGTTTGTTGAGTACCAGTAGTTATCATGGCCCGTTTGCGCATTGTAGCCACTGAATACGAAACGGTTAACAAAGGATTGACCAGAAGAAGCACAGGAACATGATGTAGTACTCACTAGGGGCAGCATGTTGCGGCGGTCACGACAGCATTATCACTCGCGAGACTTGTTTGACCCGCAGCGGTATAGCCATCAGGGCAGATACCCGGTGAGAAGTAAGACAAGCCGGTCTTGTAGCCCGATGGAAAGCAAGTATCCCATTTAGATGGCCCAAGACTCAGATACCATTCGATGTCGGCGCCCGTTGTAGTGACCGTAGGGTAGTCACCCAGATTGGAGCTATCATAGTACCACCAGCCGTTACTTTGCGTTGTACACGACGGGGGTGGCGTAAAAGTTGTACTCAGGGCACCCACGGACATTTTGCTACCACTCCTGGGGAAAGCAGTGCCGGCAGGAGCAGAAAGCAAACCGGTCAGCAGGAACCAGGCAGGGTTTTGGGGGGCGGGCCCTTTATTAGGAAAGGGGCCACAACATTAACTCGGAAAGTGTCCAGCGCTAAGTTGTTGGGGCAAAAAGATGCGCTGATCTCGCGTGGGGTCTAAAAACCGTAACATTGTTTGGTCCGGAGATAAGCGCTGCGAGAGTCTCGTATGGGAGGGAGGCCAGCCCAGCAAAATAGAATTGCACGAGACTGAAGTGCCTCCCGGCACCCGGAGTGTTGCTGCTCCATGTGGAAGGAATAAGGTGGTGGTGCCTCAGATAAACTATAGCCGCGATCCCAATCGAGTCATCTCCCACGTGCCACCCGCATGGCCCGGCTCATACTTGCCCGGGACGAGTTGAGCCGCTGACACCAAGGAGTAAAGCCACGCATCTGCTAGAACCAGACCATCGCGTGCTGAGGATCGGGGTCAGGTTCTGCGCTCAAGCATCTCTGGGGTCCCATTCGACTCTGTATCCCTACGAAGAAAACCCATCGCTCCAATTACCCTATAATAGCCTCACCAATCTGGGTTGGAGGGCTCCCCTGCTTAACCAGCAATCAGTAACTGGATAGTCCTCGATCTGCTCGTTGATTGAAAACCGGGCCAGCAAGGCTTGCCATGCGCTAAGCCTGACGATCTAAAATTTCCTCGGATTCCAAATAGATGCTAAGATGGCGGGTGGATCCGTTAAACATTCGGCACTGCCCATTTGCCCCTTCATGGACAAAACACGTCCCGGATCTCTGGTCGGCCCAATGCAGCGCCGACGAGCTTAAACTGCCATCGGCATTCATTCATTCAACTGTCGATCATCGATCATCGGCCACCGCGCACTAAAAGCAATTTTCCCATGTTGCAATTATTCAGCAGTCCTTAAGCTCCCTAAACACTCAGCCTCACGCAGGCCCACCGTGGGAAGTTCTCGGACCCAATGGCCGCAGCCCTAGGACCCGTTTCTCTGACACGAAAGTAAGCACTAAAATCAAGGTGGATTTTCAAACCAAGTCAGGAGCAATCACACGATGACAGGGGTGTTTCGTTTTTTACGAATGAGAGACGCGAGTCTTTGACAAATACTCACAGGAACTAAGGATATTGACTGAATTATAGCGCTCGCGATAGATACATCGATGCAATGCGGAATTGAGTAACCTGAAAGAAGTAGACTCGTCCATTCAAATCGTTACTCGCTAACGTAAGAAATAGATACCGAATGATCCCGTAAAAGGGGTAGATTTACAAATGGCGCCTGGAAACGTGCAAGCCGAATTGAGCAAAACACAACGCCGAGGGGAAATGCTGAGTAAAAGCGCGCACAGGAGCATAGCACCGGCGGTCATCATCTAACGCCATCACCGGACTTTCCTTGCGGGTTTCTTTGCGGGCGCCTCATTCAGTTCAGACCAGACATCTTCGAAGACAGTCTTTCGGGGACCGATTTGCCCCTCGTAGAAATTCAACTTGCGCACCACCTCCATGGCGCCCGTGCCCAATCCCATGGTCTTGCCCATAATAATACACTCCGAAACACCCTCAATGAGATCGGTACGGCCAGCACCGCCAGCATCAAAAAGGTGGTCTGCGGTCTTCTCGAACGAAGCGAGCTGGAGGACAGAGTCCCGCATCTTGGCCAGACCAAAACGGGTGATACCCAGTACCTCACCCTTGTATGTCATCACGTCTGCCAGTAGCTGCATGTGACGAGGGTCAATGTCCATGTCCTTCATGACCTCGCTGATTTCGGTAATAATGGTGCTTCGTGCAGCCTCGATGCCGAGTACTTCACGTGCTTCCATGACGTTGTTGGTTTTGGTGTGGAGACCGTCAACACCAACTGTGGTCATGCATTCCCGCAGACCGTAGCCTTCCACCAGCAGGGTGTTGATCGTGGAAGTCTCATCCGTCCGGATGATGGCACGGTGGGCGCGTGGGTGTCCCAGAATTTGAATGGTCGGTAAGATGCGCTTAAGATGCTTCAGACGAAGGAAGGGGTCGGCGCTGGTAGCCGAAATTTCGGTCTTAGACAGGTTTGTCTTGCTGCTTGGATCCAAATCGATCGTGACCTTGATAGACCGGCCAGTGGCACTGAACTTGAGGTCGTCGCCCTTGAATCGCTTATGGTTTTTGATCGCCGCAAGAATCTGAGGCATCCGAAGTTCCAATTGGAGGTCGTTAATGGTTTTGAAGTTGATCTTGGCCTTGATGTAAGCTTCATTCCCATTCCAATTCTCAGTGATTGAGTGGATGATATCTTGAAGGTAGGTTTTTTCGATCCGACCCTTGACGATACGTGCCGCAGCGATACTATCCTTGGTGACTAGCTCGCAAGCAACAACCGGAGTACTGATTTCCTTGGAGGCGTTGATGATTTCCTTGATTCGAGGCACACCCTGGGTGATACTCATACCGGCGACACCAGCAAAGTGGAAAGTTTTCAGGGTCATCTGAGTACCAGGTTCACCAATAGACTGGGCACCCACCGCGCCGACAGCATGACCAGGTTCGACTTGAGCCTTCTTATACTTCTGCAAGCAGGCGGTGATAAACGTTCGCAGTGTGGTCTCTGTCAATTTACCTGTGTGATCCAAGCCTTTCCGGCTTCTCTCGTCGGACGGGTCAAAATCACCACCACGAGAAATAAGTCTGTCGGCCTTCGTCTGGACATATTGCTCAATTGAATCCAAGAAGTCGCGCGCACTCTCGAACTGATCGATGCCATTGTCAGTACGATCCATGTATTCCAAATCTCGGCCCAGCAAGTCCTTGCGGTAAAGCTTGACACGCTCCTTCTGGAGCATTTCCTCGCAGACCCCCATGATTTCCTTAGGCAGCAGACTCCGTTCGTCGTTGTTATAGGTGGTGGATTCAGAGTGGATAAACGTCCGATCGAAATGGACAGGCTTGGCCTTGCCCTCCATATCCACCGGATCCAGTTTATCATCACCATACTGGAACTGCACAATGGCAGATGATGAGTTTCGAACAGTATCATCGTACTGTGAGGAAAGATCTTCGAGTGACTTCATCAAACGACGAGACATGTAACCGGTTTCGGCAGTCTTGACAGCAGTATCGACCAGACCTTCACGACCAGACATAGCGTGGAAAATGAACTCGGTGGGTTCGAGGCCGGAGAAGAAGCTGTTTCGGACGAAACCCTTTGAAGGGGGCTGTCGAGCATTTTTAGGGAAGTGAGGCAGGGTCCGGTCTTGGAACCCATCAAGGACACGCTGTCCGCCGATAATTTGTTGACCGACTAGGGCAACCATCTGCGACACGTTGATGCTGGATCCCTTGGATCCCGAAGTAGCCATGATCAGGGGCGAGTTGTATTTGCTGAGCTGCGCAATGCACTCATCACCAGCTTGCTGTCGAACCTTACTAAGAATACCGGACAGCTGGTTCTCCATAGTCTGCAACTCATCACAGCCGGGATACTTTTCCAGAGTACCGGCCTTGTACTTCGCAATGACTTCATCACAAGCGGCGTAGGCAGTTTCAACCAAGTCGTTCTTCGACTGAATTAGCTTTTCGCTAGGGTAAACATCAGTGATACCGATGGAAAACCCCATGTTGGTGAACCACCGTGCCGACAATTTTGACAGGCGATTCATGCCCTCGGCAGCTGCAGGAGGCCCGAAATCACGAAGCATAATGTAGAAGACATTATCCTTCTTACCAGAACCGATGGTAGACTTATCCATGACACCACACATGACCTCCGAATTGCGAATAACAAGCCATGCATCATTTGGATCAAGATCCTTTGGCCGGCCGTCCTTGGGTTGCTTAAATTGACGGCATGCAGCATCTAGATTGACTAGAACTGGGTCGTCCTTGTTAGGACGCATCAGCACATTGAAAACCTGCTTCCCTGTCCAAAGCATTTGCGGCTTAAGGACTGAGGGCGGTGGCAAATCAAATCGTGTTAGGGGGCCCAGCATGTATAGACAAATCTGGGAGAACGAGCCACGGTCATAAAAGTTGTCTTTACTGCTGAGTAGAAAAGCAGCACTGATGAAATCTTGAATGGCAGAAATAATGGGCTCGCCGTTTTTGGGGGTGGCCAGGTTGTTTTTCACGCCCATCAGTTCCATGGCTTCTGCTCTAGCCTCCTCTGTTTGCGGAACATGCAAGTTCATTTCATCGCCGTCAAAATCGGCATTGTAGGGGTTGCAAACACACTCATTCAATCGGAAAGTCCGGTGCGGACGGACCCTGGCAAAGTGAGAGAGAATACTGAGCTTGTGAAGGGATGGCTGGCGGTTGAACAGAACGATATCACCGTCCTCAATATGACGTTCCACCTTATCGCCTTCCTGCAATTCATTGGCCATGTGCTTGAGACTACCATACTTCAGCATGGTTCTGAAGGTCGATCCCTTCTTGTAGAGATAGTTGGCACCAGGCCACTTCGTGGATCCATTGCGCACGCGCTCTCGTAGCTTTTCGATGTTGTACCGAGTAACGACCTCGGGGTAGGTCATATTCTTCGCCACGAGCTCAGGTACTGCGACTTCGTCCACACGTAGATTCGGATCGGGTGAGATGACTGTTCGACCCGAGAAGTCGACGCGCTTTCCTGACAAGTTACCACGGAATCGACCTTGTTTACCCTTGAGTCGTTGGACGAAGCCACGAATGGGTTTTCCGAGATCTGCCTTGTTGAGACCGGGGACATCGCTGTTGATGTAGACTGCGATCTGGAGCTGCATATAGTCCCAACATTCCATGATGGTTTGAACCGGGGCGCCCTTCAGTAAAGCATTCTTAAGGTTGATGTTGCTCTGGACAATATCACCGAGTTTGGCAGTCAAGTCGTCCTCGGTTGATGCAGCGTCTTGTCCAACAGATGGACGGATACAGACTGGGGGAGCAGGGATGAACTGCCAAAGGAACATCTCTGGTCGAGCTTCCTTCGGATCCAAGCCCAGTAATTCGCAGTCGCTGTCTGAGATCTTTTTGAACAATTTCAGGACGCGAAGGGCATTCAAATCATCCTGCGCCTTCTTGAAATGCTTTTCGACCTCGGAGTTCGAGTTCCGGGCTTCGGTAAAGGAATCGTCAAAGACCATCTTGCTCATTGGCGGCTGCTTCTTCACCGAAGCTGATGCGTTGAACGCACGGAACTTGTCGTGGGTGATTTTCAGCGCACTTGAGCCGACTTTCTTCACGACACCATTAACTGCATTGCAATGTTCACATTCGCGCGTCTTGCGGCATCGTTCATTGATTCTTTTCACAATCTGCTGCTTCCGTAGATTGTCCAGCCCGGGGCGGCGCATTTCGCGCAGAAATGCACGTCTTTCTGCCTCCGGAAGTAGGATGCGAGAACATTCCTTGCAAATTTCCTGGAGAACCCCAATCACACGCTTGAAATAACCGACATGGAACGCCGGAAGTACCAGTCTTACATGGCCGAAGTGACCATTGCATTCCTTGAGATGATAGCCGCATGTCTGACAAATCGCCGTCTTATTCGAAATACCCATGCGTGCATCGAGAGGGCCATGGGCAACCACCGCGCGGTCACGGTCGAGGTCGAAGAACTTTCTGTCGGAAACTTCGACGACAGCTTGGCCAACAATATCATCGTTCGTCCTATCCAGAGGAAAGAAAACCATGTTAGTGATCACATTTTGCGCTAGCCAAAGCGCTGCGGCTCGGCTTCTGGGTCAAAATGGGAAGCTCATACAGTACGCCAAACTTCAGTTCCTTAATCACTTTGGGCACACGATCAATGACCTGGGCCTTGCCCAGGTCGATCTGTGCACCTTCGGAAGGCTGCATCGCGCCGTTGTCAATGGTAGGACATGGCAGGGTGAGTCAAAGGAAATGCGATCGGCACGGGCGGCTCTCAGCCGCAATCGAGCAATTCGTGGGGCGAACTGGACGAAACCTTCGAGTATCCAGTCGCTAAGCACAGGCGAAAGGCCACAGAATCAAATATTCTCCAGGGAGAGGTAATGGGGGAGAGAATGAGGCTGGGGAGATGCAGAGAGAGAAAGAATGTATCGCGGGGTTGGCCACGAACTTTTTTTCTGCCGGCGGAGCTCTCACCGCTCAGGAAGCTCCAGATGGTCACTGGAAGTATACCGATGGGAAGAGGCGAGATTGTAGAACTCGATGGCATACTACTGGCATTGCTAGTGAACTACTTGTTTATTGTACAGTACTTTATAGTAATAATATACATAGGGTGGTTATTTAGATAAGAATGCCTGGAATGCCTTGTGCTCAATGACCACATTTCCAACCGCCCGGAGTTTCTTTCGGCCTTCCTTTTGTTTCTCCAACAGCTTCCGGCGACGACTTACATCACTGGCATGCAACTTGGCTAATACATCTTTGCGATATGGTTTGATGGTTTCACGAGCAATGATCTTCTTGCCGACAGCAGCCTGGATGATGATTTCGAAAAGCTGTCGGTCGACATGTTGCTTGAACTTCGTCACCCACAGTCTGCCCTGTCGGGCTACTTGACCCATATGCATGATTCGCGACACGGCATCGACAGGAACCTTGTTCACAAGGAGCTGAAGCTTGACAATATTCCCGGCCCGCCAAGCAGACTCCTCGTAGTCGAGACTGGCATAGCCCTTGGTAGATCCCTTCAGCTTTCCGAAGAAGTCATCAACCAGGTGTGCCAATGGCAGCTCATACTTTAGTATAACCTGGCTAGATGTGAAGTACTCGATACTTTGCTGTTCGCCCCGGTTGGCCTCACAGAGCTCAATGACCTTGCCCAGGTATTCGTCAGGGAAAGTCAAAGTGGCTAGCACGTACGGCTCTTGAACTTCGGCAACCTTTAACCGCACACTATCATCATCGGGAAACTTGGCTGGGTTGGTGATGATCTCTTCGGTGCCATCCTTCCATACGATCTTGACGGGAACAGATGGAGGAGTGATGATGATGCTAGCACCGTGCTCTTGTCGCAGACGATCCTCAAACACTGAGCAATGAAGAGTGCCCAAGAAGCCCATACGAAATCCAGCCCCGAGAGCCTCAGAAGATTCTTTCTGAACCGTAATACTACGGTCATTCAGAATCAGCTGGTTGATGCTATCCTCAAGGTGCTCAAAATGATCCGCATTCATGGGGTAAACGGCAACAAAGACCATTGATTTAGGTTCCTCGAAGCCAGGTAGAGGCTCGACGGTCTTTTCGGAGCCGACAGTTGTGAATGTATCGCCGATTTTGGCTTCCTTGCTTCGTTTCATACCGGGATTGAAGTAAATATAGCCAACCTGACCTGCCCGAAGAACCGTTTGAGCAGTTTCAGTGGGGTACATAATGCCGACTTCGCCCACATAGTACCTGATACCTGTCACAAATGACACGAGTTGCTGACCTGCACGCACCTCGCCATCGAAAACACGCACCAGAAGAATCACGCCTTTATAGGAGTCGTACCAAGAATCGACAAGTAGCATTCGAAGAGGTTTTTTCGTGTCGCCAATGGGCCTGTGTGGAACCGTTAGTATCCTGCAGTAATCATATTCGACATTCCCGAGTGAAACCTAGCCATAAAGGTGTACGTACGCTGGGATCTTCTCAACGACCGTCGGCAAAATAGCTCCAACGTTCAATCCAGTCTTAGCTGACACCATCACTGCATTCTCTGTGTCAAGTTCAAACGTGCTTTTCATTTGATCTAAAGCTCGCTCCGGGTCCGCAGATGGGAGGTCGACCTTGTTGATGACAGGTATCAATTCCAGACCCTGGGCAAAAGCAAGGTAGAAATTGGCCACCGTTTGCGCCTGAACACCCTGACTGGCGTCGACTAAGAGCAGAGCTCCTCCGCAGCTGGCATAACTGCGCGACACCTCAGCGCGAAAATCGACGTGGCCGGGCGTATCTACCAGATGCAGCAGATAGTCCTCGCCTTGATGGTTGTAGATCATGGTACATGTCTGTGCCTTGACCGTGATTCCACGCTCGCGCTCGACATCCAGCTTGTCTAGGACTTGTTTGTTCGTTCCTGGCTGAATTGTACCCGTAAGCTCGAGCAAGCGATCGGAAAGCGTGCTCTTGCCATGATCGACGTGTGCGACAATGCAGAAGTTGCGGTATCGATCAATTGGGATATTGGCGATGCGGCATTCTAGATCGGTGTCCGGGGAGCTAGAAGGTGCTTTCGACCGGGCTCTCCATACTGCAGATGCTGTAAATGTTCGTAGGGAATTATACTGGGATGGAAAGCAAGCCGACGACCTGAGGCCCGCTGCCGGACATCTCGGCGTTGCGCTCAGCCATCGGGCTAACTGCAGACATCCTCGCATCGGGATTCGTGCAATGGCATGGAAAGCGAAAGATCGCCCGGTTTGTTTTAGAGTGTCCGAGTCGTTTCGCAGAGTCACAATTCGGGGTTGAGCGACCAGCCAAAAGTTGCGGAGAAAAAAAGGGCGCGCGGGCGGTGACTCGGATCGATCGCCGCGGCGACTATCCACATAAACAAACCACTTCTCTTGCTCGCCCCTCCATTCGCTTGCTGCACCACTCGCCCTGCCACCATGACTGGGACAAAGGACAAGTCGGATAAATCAAAGGTCCACAAGCTGTCCATCAGAGGTGGGTGATCTCACCACAGGTCTGCCGTGGTCCCAGAAAGCTCACAGAATCATGATCACAGGATCGGCCAAGCTTGTGTCTGAATTCGTAAGTCGCAGCTATATTTTTCCATGAGAGTCGATTACTGATAGTGATGCAGTTCGAATACTCAATCAACTCCATTCTGTGTGTTATTCCCTACATCCCTACATGTCAATCGCTCGACAGCAGCTTACGGCCAGCATAGTTTCCAGCGGGGTGTCTACCCTCCAGAGGACTTCACAACGTAAGTCCTCCTTGATGGCGATGGCAATTTATGTCAATGAAGACAAAAGCTGACCCGCAATAGTGTCAAAAAATATGGCCTCAACATGCTCGGTCCGTTTAATCCAATCTTCCTTCTCCGGAAGCTTCCCCGCATCGACAAAATCTAACCCCTAGCTAGTGTCCGCCGACGACCAGGTGAAAGCTTACATCAAGAGGATCATGTCGCAACTTAACAAGTGGATGTCGGGTGGGAAGATTTCAAAGCTCGTGGTGGTTATTACCGACAAGGAATCTGGCGAACATGTCGAACGGTGGCAGTTCGATGTACGTCAAAACATCCCCTATGCTGCTGTCTTTGTCTTACCAACCTCTTCATAGGTCGAAATCTTTAGCAGACATTCCAAGAGCTCGAGCTCGCGGCGATTGGGCGATAAAGAGAACTCGGCTCCTGCGTAAGTTTATGTCCTTGTTTCATCGGTCCACTCATTCATGACTTGACTGACAATGCTGTTTTCGATAGCGATGCGGAAGCCCAGCCAGCCGAGCCGGTTGAGAAAACTGAAAAGGAGATTCAAGAGGAAATCCAAGCTATTTTCCGGCAGATCACCGCCTCGGTAACTTTCCTTCCCGTTTTGGATGGGGACTGCACTTTCAACGTCCTCGTCTACGCCGACGCCGATTCGGAAGTGCCGGTGGAATGGGGTGATAGCGATGCCAAGGAGATCAAAAATGCTGAGAAAGTGCAGCTGCGAAGCTTCAGCACGAACAACCACCGGGTGGGCACTCTTGTCAGCTACCGTCTAGCAGACTAAGTGCTCGGCGCCACATTATGACCCGCTATGAGCATTCTCCATTCATTGGCGTTGAGAGGGGGACTGGATTATGATTTTATCCGACCTAGGGCAACTATCCCTTAATGAAATTTTAACTGTCGATATCTATCTTCATCGCCCTGAAAGTGCCTTGCCATAATACCAGGGCAATTCGTCCATGCTAAGAAACCGTTGATTACCCGTACCACCTTCCCAGCAAACTAGCCTCTCAACGACATCGCCCAGCCCTTTGTTTAGAAATAAGTTCTTTTGCAACTCTTTTGACCAGCCTCGCGTGCTCCTTTTCTTTGATAGTTCCCCGCCAACTCCGTAAAGGTCCTGTTTCCAGAGCGCGATCCCCTTAGACATCTCCCCTCGCACCAGGGTCTCAAGAGGTGTAACTTCTTCCGGGGGGTTGATCCCGATGACAGAGATTTTATCTGACTCAACTTGTTCCTTACCGTTGGCGAAGGGAAGCAAGCCGAGGGCCGGGAAGTGGCATTCCATGAATCTTGTTCTCTTAAATTCGTGCGTCACAACGGTGAATCGTCGTGGGTAGATGCCTGTGTGGAACCGGAATTGAAGTAGGGAAAACAAAACGTTCTGGTAGGAATCTGTTGCGTGGCACTCTGAAAGCACTCTGGAAGGGTCAATTGGCGATTTTGGAAATAGAAAAGTGAAGAAGTTGTTGTCCTTGCAAAGATTCTATTATTTTTCAGTCAGCCCGGAATGTTGTTGAACGATTCTTTCTATTCAAGGGAAGGCATACAAGGTAAGACTGTCCTTCACTTGTCTCCGTCCTCGACTTCTTTGTTGGACCCCTGAGAAAAATTAATTCGATGTTGATTGAATGGAGGCCTACAGTGCAGCGTTGGGGGTGGGAGGGGGTTTTGCCTACCCTGAAAACACTAGCAAAGCATGGGGATCCTCTCCCAGTGCCTTTATCCCAGCCTTGGCATGATCTATAAAGGTCGAGGTTTCTCCCTTCTGAAATGGTTCGATCAGCCTGTTGGGCACTGTTAATGTGATTCTCCGACGGGCATTTTGGGGGTTCTCGAGATATATCAAGACCACCTGGGCACCAGGCGCTGTGGTGCACTGACCATTCATCTTCCGATCTGCCGTGCTTGGGTCCTCCGATGTAGATCGCATGACAGCAGACAATAATTAGGTGTTCATAGTCCATTGTGGTCGATTTTAAATAGAAAGCCCAATTCTCAGGATGCTTGGATGAGGCCCGCTCATCCGAGCGACTCTAGCTTGTGCGGCGCCAAGAGATGCTCTGCAGATCCGAAGTATAGGACCAAAGATGCACACACCTCTATTTGCCGCAACGCTAGTCGATTTATTCCAAGGAAAGGAAAGAAGCCTTTAAGTGTAGCGACTTCCATTTTGCAGCATAGATACGACATTGCTATATAACTTTTGGAAGGAAAGGAAACGGATAGAGCAAGCTGGCGTTCGATATCTGATATTTCCTGTGTATTCATCCAAGTGGTCGTCGATTCGGTCATATATAGCCTAAGATAACTTTGAAAAGCCCTCCTCCGGGGGCTGCAGCCAATTTCTCTTATCGTACTCCCACCCGTCGGCCCCTTCAATGACATGAAAAGTATATGCGTACCGACTCCGTGGGCTGGTATTCTTCTCGCTTTTGTGCAAGACATTCCCATGAATAAGAACCAGCGAGCCAGCCTTGATATTCAATATCTCGAGATCCTCATCACCAGGCTCCCCGACCTTGTCTTCCTCCATGCCCATTGGTAATGAAGGCCCGATGTTTTCCACAAACTCCGTACCTGCGTCATCACACTTTCTCACAAAGCGCCGGGTAATATGCCCACCTTTTCTCCCCTTATGCGATCCCTTCCACATCCCCAGTGTAGCATTTCCTGGCCCCGCATCTTGAAGAGCATACCACCAACCCACAGCCGAAGGTGGATTGGTATACAAAAACTCGGAGTCTCGGTGCGAGGGCACCGCGCCCCCGATAGACGGTTGTTTGAGAATAACCATGCTCTGCAGGACGCGAGGATCCTGGAAACCCAGCGATCGCGCAACAGCCGCATTACGCTCAGTCAGCGAGACGGCCTTGAAGGGTGGCGAGAGAGTGTGCAGCGAATGTCCGATCTTGTTCACGGCCAGATTCTTCGGCTTCAGCAGCGCGGGGCGCCCGGTTAGCGGATCGAGTTCGGAGGTAAAGGCATCTGGTTCGAAGAAAAAGCGAATTTTGTCGCCCGAGCTAAGGAAGTAATCGTCGCCGACATGGTCGGCTTCGTCGTCGTCACCGGTGGTGAATTGCGTGAGGGGGTGGCTTTCCAGCGAAAAGTCGTTGAGGAGCGTGTTTGTTTCCGTGAGGAGAGACTCGATTTCTGAGGGGTTGAGGTAGTCCGGTAGGACAAGATACCCATTCTCTTGGAACGAGGCAACTTGATCGGGCGAAAGACCGGCCATGATGGAATATCTGGAGAAATTCTGACAGCGCGATTTGTAAGGAATGTCCAAGTCGCGTTGCGGCGTTCTTTGCTGAAAGGCGGGGAATGACGATAAGCGATATGCTTTGGCCAACGCGATTGGCTGCCGTCGGGCCATTGGAGAGCATTCAACTGGCCCCCAGCGTGCCGACTTGGGCTCGCGAGAATTGCGAGACTCGTGAGGGTTGCATTCCCAGAGATACATTTTCATGTACTACTGTACCTACTACTAGCAACTTGGTATATGAGGAACCAATTATGAAAACTTACTGGAGTTACATGCCCAGTTCAATAAAACCACAAGCTGGTGGATTGGGGGTACGTACTAATAGTCAGAATCATCTTTAGTACCTGATATGTCATTACAGTTCTACGTCATCTGTGAAGCCCCGAGGGGTGGGTGAAATAATCAAAATGGTATTCTCCAAGACCACCCTGGGTCGTCATTCAAGTGTACAGACAGGAGACAAATACATGTATGATGAAAAGTCAAATCGAAAGCGCCGCCATGCCAGATACCCAGAAAAAAGACTCGAATGCATAAATTGAACCAGGGAAACAAGACACGGGATATCAAACAGTCAACCGCCCAAAATACAAAACAGACCATAACAATACATCAATCATCACATGCAATACCGGGCGTAGATGGAGAGAAAAGAAAGAATTTTAACTGGCATAACCGATCGAAGCCGACGGGCGAGGGGGTGCGTACTTGCGAACAACCCGGCTTGGACTGCACCCGACCGATCCGATATCGATCGTCTTCAATTCACGGCTCAGAGCGTCCATTCCGGGGTTGCCGCTGTTTGGGGCGCTAGGAGACACAGGATAGGACGGGGATCCCGAGGAGATTGGCACTTTGGAAGGGATAGGGGGACCTGGGCTGTAGTCGTACAGCGGCGAGCGGGAGCCAGGAGAGGGGGAGACAGAGCCCCGATGGGAGGAGCGCGGTCGGTCCGCCGAGGTTGGGGTCGTGAACCCTCGACCGTGAGAATAGCTAGCGTAGTTATCCTGGCCACCACCCCGGGGAGGCGTCCGGTCCAAAGACTCGGAACTGTGCACATGGGTAGGGGTGTATCTCTTTGCCGGACGATCAACATTGGAGGTGGTCGGTTCAGTGCGGAATCCGACGCGAGGAGGGCCACCGCTGCGGGCAACGGCAGCGGTATCGTTTCCTCGTGATGTAGGTCTATCACGGGGAGAGTGCTTGAAGCGAATGATCACCTCTGGTTTCCGACTCTTTCGCTCGGGTTCGGGTGCCCAGGTATCCGTGGGCAGATGATCAGAGGGATCAATCTCTCGCCCATCATCACCGATGATGGGCTGACTCAAGTCTCGAACAGGCTCAATCTCTGCTCGCATTGCGGCATCCCGAGCCTGCGATGGGGAGTCGTAGGCCGGCGTCGGGTCACGGCTGGTGGCCGAGCGCGAGGCGTTAGGATTGAGGGAGTTGTAAGAGTCAGGGGAAAACGGGATGGAGGACCCTCCGCGCGAATCAGAAGACGAAGGTCGCGGGCTCACTGATTTGCGTGTAACAACCATACGTGTTTCCGTATTGGCGGATCCCCGGCTTGCAATGCTAGCACGGTCATCCAATGGTTTAGGAGAGGTTCGGAGAGGATGAATCGGTGACTCATAGGGCGAAGGAGCCCGCGAGTTGGAATGGACAGAGGCTGGCGAAGGCTGTGTACTCGGAGTGATCATCATCTCGTCGTCGACATGATTGCTAGGCCTGCGGAAACGGTCCCCAAACGTTTGCCGCTCGATGGCATCCTCGCTTTCATAGCCTGCGACCAGACTGGCCGGCATATGCGAAGCGTTGGGGGACGCCCCGGGGGTATAAGGCTTGTAAGGCGAGTTAGACTGACTGACAAATTGCTGAGATGGGGCAGGCTGTGCCATACGAGACCGGTGGACAGGGGGTGGGGGAGGAGGCCCGTCCTCATCCTCATCCTCCACACGAGGCTGCATGGTTGCATACTCCGGATGATAGTCATCGCGGCGACGCACAGGTTGCAAAGCTCTGGTGTTGTGCGATTGGTATCGACAATCGTCCCCAGGCCCCGAGGAAGAGCTGGGACGGGAATATTCGAGTGGTGCCGGCTCATCCATGGGAGCAGCATGCCGGGGAGTGTAAGTCGACACATGCCCAAAGGTCATCGGGTTCGCTGGATACTGTGGAGATACGAGACTGTAGGCATCATGCGGATGGGCCTGTTCTTCATACACAGTCCGTCCGCGCATGTCAGCCTCGAACGGGGGTTCGCTGGTTGACTGATAGTCCCGCGGAGGATGGTCGTAGTCCGAGTGACTGCGGGGTTGAAGTGGTCGTGAATCGTAAGGCGACTCAGAATATGGCGTTTCGTGCGTGGGTCGTCGCATCGGCGCTGCCGGAGGCATAGCGGGAGCAGTAGTATCCCATTCTCGTTGATAGCTATCATGGAGATCGTAACCTGCACGAGAATGCATGCTGGGATGCTGGGGTTCGTAGGACGGAGCATCGTAAACAGATTCGGAGTGTCGTGGGTGTGGAGGGTGTGAGACTGGAACATCTGTCCGAGGCACGGCTTGGGCGGGTTCACGCACAGACGGTCGCGATGGCATCGGGTGGTGCAACAGAGGAGCGGACTGGGGCTTCTCCATAGGCAAAGGTCGTGGAGGAGTCACTCCCGAGGGATCTGTTGGTAGCGGACGTCTCTTGACTTGATTCAATTGACGGGGACCAGAGAGGCCAGAGCTCGACGTAGTCGGGGCTTTGCCTTGGGCCCTCTCTGCTGCTTCCTTGCGTCGCTCAATAACAGCTTCGTCTTGTTGCCGAGTATCATAATAGGTCATCTCGATTCGAATATCCCCTGAGTATTTTCCTCGGCACTGCAGTGAGTGCCAGTGATCGTTCTGACTTCCTCCGGGGATAATCAAGTTCTGCAAGTCAACCCAAGTTTCCCCAATGAGGTCGGTCTTCTTATCGTCATTGAAGACAGACACCTTCAGCTTGTAGTAGTCGGGAGACTCGTGTACAGTAAAGCGCAGTTCGTGGTCCCTGTTGTTGTCGGGGTCGTTGGTCAGTGGTGCTCTGGAGCTTGGAGGTTACCGTGTTGACGAACGTACCATCGCGGTGTTTGTCCTCCGCGCAGATCGGTTGGGGTTTTCTTTGCTTCTTTGCCGAGTCGTGCTGCACAGTAAGGATTCTGCTTCCCCATGGTTTTGCGATTCGGAAGGTTCTTGGCTCGGTCGATGATCGCGACCAGAGTACCAATAGGGGGACCGTCAACAGACATGTCAGCGAAGATGCCGGCGGCATGATTGACCTTGGTGTGGGTGAGCTTCGACATGATGCTTCGCTCTTCAGCGCTTAGAACGAATCAAGCGGGAGCTGAAAAGTCTAGGAGGCAGCATCGAGTGGTGTTTCAGGAGAAAGGTGGGAGGAGGGGAAAAGAAAAAGAAAGATAAAGCGCCTGCCTTATGGAGGCGGAGGGAATGTAAGATGCGGTAACGCGGTATTGGCGGTGGCTGGGGATGCGGCATTTGGGGTGCGTTTATTGGTACGTTCCCCTGGATCGGGCGCCTGGACTGGGCGATGGGACAATACGTGACAATACACAGATCCGCGATAAACACCCCGGCGATCGGGAAGCTCCCACTGCGACCACCCACCTCGCTCTTCTTTTTCATCCGATGACCAGCCATCCAAGCTCCGTCAGAGGCGCACGCAGCATAGATTGGCCCGGCTCCTCAATTCTACAAATCACCCAACCCCGGGTTGGCATCGAAAATGAGGTGGATCGGCAGCGTCAGCTCATATCAAGTCCCCAGCCACCGCGATCCACCGATCGATACATTCCCGACGTGGACAGGGGCCAGTCTGCCGAGGGAAATGGCAATCATTGGCGACAGGCCTAGCGGCGCGATCGTCACCCGTTAATCGCGTTGTCGGTGAATCCGGTTTCGTTGTTTCAGACGCGCGAGTCTTCGTACTGTAGCTGTCATCCCCACCTAGTATGTATACTTCGAGCGAAGCAGCTGCAGCCCCTCCGCTCCCCACCAAATTGCCATAGCGACCGCCCAAACATCATGCTCGACCGCCACTTTCATCCCCCGAGCCAGCTTGAAACATATTGAACAAAGTATCGCCATCCCATTGCATGCTCATCAATATTTCTCTTCGAGTGAGACAGATCGAAGCCGTACCACCATCCCCTGCTTCCGACGTCAGACAATTGGTAGTTGCCTGCGTCACTGCCTCAATGGTTCTGAACCCGAGCCTTCCGGGCGTTTATGCACTGGGGCGGAATCTAATTAAAGCCCCCACCCCGGAAAAAGAATACGGATGCCTGGTATAGAGTGTTTGGTATAGCATCCGAACAAGAGATTTTGATGGTCTAGGCCATGCAATTCGAGTTTGAACAATAATTTGTCGTAGCGCACCATAGCGCGGGGAGTAACTTCGAGGAATTTATCTGTTCTTGGGTTGAATAGGACGTTTCACGGAAGATATTATACATGAATTAAAAAACCTGAAGGATACGAGGATATCTGAATACCTCACAGGGCTATCTCAGTGCCGTGACGGAGGACAGAGGAGCCGAGGCACTTTCATAAATTCGAGTCGTTGGAGTGTGGTGGTGAAGAGTAGTGTTGTCTGGAAGCGATTCAAGGACTATCGAGAATTTGAAGATATCAGGATATTTAATTACGCGTGTTGTAAAGCCAAACTTTATCGGCTGTCAGTCCAACTGAATTTCCGAGGAAATGCAGCATGCAGCTTCCATGTATGCGATGGGATGGAGACCATGGCAGGTGTTCCTGCCTTAATGCCTGAAGATATGGCTTTGTAAGATTTCTGCGCCTTAAGAAGCCTCAGGCAACCAAAGCTTCTGCCGCTATCCCTAATCAGGAAGGCTGAACTTTTTTGATCGGCAGAAAAAAGATCCTCAACTTTCTCGAGACGCCTCCGCGAGCCACGGGGATTCAGGTTCGTACCCTCGTTTAACCGACTGCATCGAATTCGCTTCGACGCCTTGAATCCTACAGTACACCATGGCGGCGCCCGTCCTGCCCCTGCAGCAGGTGAAGCTCGCCTCGTTGCCTTCCACCCGCCTGACGCCAGAGCAACAATACTGGCGCACCTTCAAGAACCCGCTTCTGATCCCATCGCCGGCCAATGGACCTGTCAACCTGATCACACAGCCCTCCGCTCCGTCATCGCCTGCTGCGTTTCCTTCCCTGACACAACCGCCGGATATCTTCACTGTGACGACAGGCGCACGGGTTCAGATCTATTCTATTCGCACACGGAAACTCTTGCGGACAATTACTCGGTTTGATGATACTGTTCGTGGCACAGACGTTCGTCCGGATGGTCGTGTCGTCGTGACGGGTGACGACACTGGTTCAGTGCAGGTTTTCGATGTCAACTCACGCGCCATTCTGAAAACCTGGAAGGACCACAAACAGCCCGTCTGGGTGAGCAAGTTTTCACCCAGCGACCCGACCTCTATCTTGACGGCTAGTGATGACCGAACGGTCCGGTTGTGGGATCTGCCCGCGGAAAGCAGCATTCGCACATTTGTTGGCCACACCGATTATGCACGCAGCGGTGCTTTCATGCCCGGCTCAATGGCCTCATCTGGCCTGCTTGTCTCTGGCTCCTACGATCGCACGGTGCGTATTTGGGACCCGCGTGTCGAAGGCCGCTCGGCTATGACCTTCAAGATGGGTGCCGCTATTGAAGATGTTCTGCCCATGCCGACGGGCACACAAGTTCTGGCGGCCGCCGACAACAAAATTGCGGTGCTGGATATTGTTGCTGGAAAGCCACTGCACATGATCCAGAGCCACCAGAAGACAGTCACTTCTCTTGCGCTGGCATCTAATGGAGAGCGCTTGGTCAGCGGTGCGCTTGATGGACATATGAAGGTCTTTGAGACCACCGGATGGAACACAGTCTCGGGCTCCAAATACCCCTCCCCCATCCTGTCGCTGAATGTTGTCACCTCGGGCGTGGCATACGAAGATAAGCATATTGCCGTCGGTATGCAGTCCGGTCTTCTCTCGGTCAAGACTCGGTTGTCTGGTCAGCAGAAAGTAAAGGAGCGCGAGCGCCGGAAGGAGATGCAAGCCTTGCTTGAAGGCAAGCTGGAGGAGCACGACCGTCAGGTTTCCAAGAAGAACAAGCAGCGCGGCTCCGGCTGGGAGAAGCGGCTGCGTGGACGGGATTTCATCGGAGAAGGAGTGGACATTGTGATTGAAGGTCAGGACCGCAAGCGACGGAAGAAGGAGCAGCCATGGGAGAACGATCTCCGCAAGGGACGTTACGCCGTTGCCCTGGACCAAGTCCTCTCATCGACCGACAAGACTGCCCAACTCACCCTCCTCACCAATCTCCGCCATCGCTCGGCCCTGCGGGCGTCTCTCCGAGACCGCGACGAGGTCACCCTTCAGCCCGTCTTGCAATGGGTCCACAAGCACATCCGGGAACCGCGCCTGGTCGAGCTGAGTGTGGAGGTTGCCATGAACTTGTTGGATATCTACTCGGGTAACCTGGGCCAGTCTGCGCAAATCGATAAATTAATCGAACGGCTGCACCAGCGGGTCCGCGATGAGGTCGAGATGGCTCAGCATGCATACCAAACCAAAGGTATGCTGGATATGTTGAAGGCTTGATCTCACTGTTCCATTATCATGTCTCAAATGGCTTGGAGTTTGGGCGGGTATCTGGGTTTTGCTTCGTCGGTGTACATGGCGGGCCATTGATCATTGTACAAAGTTGCATCGAAATAAAAGTCAACCATTATAATCAGTCGCATCCAATTTTTTTATAAGAGGATCGACCTTCACTTAGGTAGCATGGTGCTGATCTAAGTAGTCGGTACTTTCGAGTTGGTTGTAGCTACAATAGTACCCTAAGTTACCTTGGGTTATCTATGGTGCCTAGTAGTGTGTGGGGAGAGCTTCGAGTTTGCACCGTCCGATAGAGGTATATACCGCCAGTTTTACCGAAGTGGATCTTTTGATTGACCCGAATCGCTCGGCAAGCCGTTGTCGACCTGAAATGACATTCGATGGGTCGATCCGGTATGGGTGTCGGACGCAATGGCATGATTTTCACCCTGCGACAGCACTTGCACGGTGTTGTCCAGCCTGACCGGTGTTCGTTTCGGGGACAGATTTGCCCGGCGGGGATCTGCTCTCCAGCACTCTCCAGACATCGTGACCTCCCCTCCCGCCTTTTCCCACTTTCTCTCCCACTCCCACTGCCACTTCCGCGTCCACGTTCGCATTCCTCGCCCTCGCCAACTTCCGCCCACGAATCACCGCATCTTCTCATTCTCACCCCCCGTTAGCGCTGGGACTTCCCCTCCGCCTTCCGCCCCCGCCCCGCCCTTCTACAGTAGCTGTATAACAGCTGCTTCTGCTCCACCCTCGGCTCTGCTGTGGGGAGGGTCGAGACCGACTGATTGGCGATGCTCCAAGGGCAGAAAAATAGAACGAGAACCACGGCACAATCAGCCACCCAGACCGCTGGGTTGACCCATAAAATCAATCACGTCACGTTATCCTTCCATCATGGCTGCAGCATTCGACGAGGAGGATCTCTCGATCCCTCTTGCATCTACCGACTCCGATCGCTCGCGTGAGCCTGCTAGCAAGTCTGCTAGACCGAACCCCTCCGCCATGGCCATGCCGCCGCCACGCCCGACCGGCCGGACCGATGCGGCCGCGACGCAATCCCCCGCGACCACCAGGGATATGCAGCGCCTCGATCAGTACCAGACGATCAAGATTCTGGGCGAAGGGTCTTTCGGCAAGGTCAAACTGGCGATTCATCAGCCAAGTGGCCGTCAAGTCGCCCTCAAGATCATCTCCCGCCGCAAGCTCCTCTCCCGGGACATGGTCGGACGTGTAGAGCGAGAGATACAGTACCTTCAATTGCTACGCCATCCTCATATCATCAAATTGTACGTGTCATGTTCATGAATTGCCCCGTTGTCAACCTTTCCGGCAGAACCGCAATGAGCCGAACCGAATGACTGACTGCTACTGCCTTCCCCGCTTTCAGGTACACCGTGATCGCGACCAAAACCGATATTGTGATGGTCCTCGAGTATGCCGAGCGAGAACTTTTCGATTATCTTGTCAGGAGAGGAAAATGCAACGACGACGAAGCTCGGAAGTTCTTCCAACAGATTATTTGCGCCGTCGAATACTGTCACCGACACAAGATCGTCCACCGTGACCTGAAGCCAGAGAACCTGTTGATCGACAGCCAGAAGAACGTGAAGATCGCCGATTTCGGACTGAGCAATATCATGACGGACGGTAATTTCTTGAAGACGAGCTGCGGAAGCCCCAACTACGCTGCTCCAGAAGTTATCTCCGGTAAGCTCTACGCGGGGCCCGAGGTGGATGTTTGGAGCTGTGGTGTGATTCTTTATGTGCTGCTGGTTGGCCGATTGCCCTTTGACGATGATTACATCCCCGCCCTTTTCAAGAAGATCGCGGCCGGCAACTTCCACGTCCCGGGATACATCTCCCCCGGGGCCGCCCGTCTTATCCGAGCAATGCTTCAAGTCCATCCCGTCCACAGAATTACAATTGAGGAGATTCGCAGAGACCCGTGGTTTACCAAGAACCTACCAAAATACCTGGAGCCCCCACCAGAGGAATTCATTGCGACAGGCGTGGACCCCAACAAGGCAATCGACTCGCGCAAGCTTGCACCCGGAAAGCCTCTTCCAGTTCAGCATAAGATTCACCGCGTAGCCGTGCGAAAGCTCGAGAAAAGCATGGGATATGGCCAGGAAGATATCGAAGAGGCATTGCGGCATCCGGAACCCAGCGCGATCAAAGATGCATTCTCAATCGTGGTCGAGAATGAAATGATGCAGACCAACTGTAAGTCTACATTTAAAACAACTTTACCTTGATACTTACGACTAACTCCCTGACCAGCTCCAACGGAAGACAACCTGATGGCCCAAAACGTCCCTTCTGCACAAAAATCACCCGCACCCTCACCATCCGATCGTTCTCCTCTCCCCAGAGCGCAGGTTCAGCCACAGCCCCAGCCGACAGTTGCTCGTACGCCTAGCGTCGCGCGACGTGCACGCGCCGAGGAAGCTCAACAAGTGGACATGGAAGATTCCGAGCAGCCGCGTCTTAGCCATGTTCGAATCTTGCCTACCAGTCTGCCATATGTCCACGATCAACTGATGGAACAGCGTGATCGGGAGCAGAGAGAGCGCGATAGAGTGCTAGAAGAGCGCCGACAAGAGGCCGCTCTCCAAGAACAAGGCCAGGGAGGCGAGCCGAGAGAACTATCCGTCGAGGAGCAAGCTACTACGGTTTGGGCGTTGAAGCCCCATTCGCGTAGCATCGTTGACCTGGAGAAGCTGCGGCTCGAGCCCCCGATTGGACACCCTATCACACAGCAACCGAAGAGATCACGAAAATGGCAATTTGGTATTCGTTCTCGCAACCAACCCTATGAGGCTATGCTTTATTTGTACCGAGCAATTGCTGCTCAGGGTGGAGTCTGGGACGTCCAGCCGATTGAATCAGGTATATGGTACTGCTGGTATATTTGGAACTGCCCATGCTGACTTTTCATAGGAACTAATATTGGCCCTGATGCGACACCGTCACCCGACAAACCCAAACCCCTCCAGAGCAAATATCCGGATCTTCCCTCGGACTACTACATTCCCAAGGACCCCTGGTTCATTCGCGCTCGCCTTTTAAAAGAAGGCGTGACGGCACCGGGAGCATCCACCAGTGTGTATAATAGCCGAAGTGATCTCGAGGAGCTGCGCCGCCGCTTTCATATTTCCGGCATCTCAGCACACACTGAGGATAATAAGACCTTAACAACCGACAACAGTGCACCTTCTGCGCCTTCATCCGCCATGCAAAATAAGGGCCTTCCCAGCATCTCCCACGGTGTCTGGGTCTTCGTCGACATTCAACTCTATCAACTCGAGGAGAATAACTACATGGTCGACTTCAAGTGCGACGGTTACCAAAACGTGATTCGTGCCCAAGGTGACACTGAATGGAACCCCATCAGCAAGCGGATCAAGAATAAGGAGAAAGAGGTCACGAGCCCTTATCCTTTCCTTGATGTAGCCTCCGATCTCGTGGCTCAGCTTGCAGTGGCTAGCTAATATCCGTCGTCCCCTGAAAAATCCCGACGATCACGACATCTCTCACCGTAATCATCCTCCTAATCCTGTTAATGCTATTTCCACCTGGGGATGCGCGGCTCTTTTGTACATCGGATCTCATTGCATTTGGTGTCTGTTTCAGCAAGCGTGGTCTTATTTTTTGATGCTTTTGCACACAGTATGGAGTTTTTAATCTACTCATCAGAAAATATTTCGCATATGAATACGTTAAAATTTGATTGACTTTGATGGTATTCTGATACCTATCCCCTAGGAAAAACGTTCTCTCCCTGACGTTCAACCAAGTGTCTCGATGTGTGATGAATTTAGATGTAGACACAGCTGAGATTCGTAGTCAACCCAGGGAGATTTTTCTCCATCGCAGCACAGTCAATCACGAAGAGTATTCAAATGCCAAACATTCGACTTCAAACAATCCGCCCACCACCCTTGCTTTTTTTCTCTCTTTTCCTTTTTTTTTAACTCCAGATGTCATACTATTTTGAACCCTAGTTCAACATCACATATTTCAAATCTTCCACCAAACATACAACAAATTCCAGTCGCCATTTCCAAGAGTTTGACGGTTGACTCAGTTGTTTGGTTTCTTAACTTTTCCTTGCTGATCAACGCGAGACACGGGTCGAGGACGACCTCGCGCCATGATCCTGAAGTTGCCCCTGATACCCGAGCCTGTCGTACGACTTGGAGGACTAAAGTGGCCCCTAGTAAGACCGGCGCCACGATATGTGATAGTCGGGCGATGAGTGACAGTAGGACTGTGGGTGATAGCATGGCGATGGTTGACAGCCGAGCGGTGGGCGACAGTAGGCCTGTGGGTGATAGTATGGCGATTGGTGACAGTCGGACTATGGCTGATAGCCGAGCGGGGGGTAGCAGTATCAGCTCGTATATCTGAATACCTGGGGTCAGCAGGCCGCCGGTAATCCCTGAACCAACCGGCGTAACGCTCAAGACCGCGAGGAATTTGGATTTCCCGCGGGTTGACCGGACGGTCGAGGAGACGCCAATGTCGCTTACCTGAATATCTGAGCTTCCTGTTGGGTGGAGCACGGGACTGCGTTCGCTGTCTTCGAACTTCGTATTCATCCAGAGCCCACTGGTGGAAATGGGGGATAATCTCGATATCCGGGAAGCGGATCGGGCTGCGGAGAGTACGAGCAGGCTTCTTGAAAATGACACGACGTTCTTTTCCTTCAGCATTCGAAAAATATTCTGCTCTGGTAGGCTCGTTGTCATTGTCATTGTCATTGTCATAGTCGACGGCGTTGGCGTCATCATTGTCGATAGCGCCATCTTGGACAGCGACGATTTCACCCTCCTCCTCTTGCAGAATAGCCATGTACTCGCGGACTTCATAGATTATGCCTCTAATGTCGTCGAAAGTGAGACCATCGCCAACGAGTTGACGAAGCCATTCTGGAACGGGGGCAATCACAGCGCGTGGGTTGCGACGACCAGAGCGAGGAGAGAACCCCGTAGAAACATAGCTGGTTGCAGAATGGGAAGAAGTGAGAATTTGACGGTCATGACTGCTCTGCCTACCGTCGATGCGTTCTTGCTCTCGTCGACGAAGAATAAGCTCAAAGCTCCGAACACCTCCCCAACTTTCCATGCGGTTCAAGGACTCGAGCAGTAGTTCGCACTGGGTAAATGGCCATTGTCCAGCCCGGTATCGTGCACGCTGGTAGTGCTTGCGGCAGTAGTGAACCCAGACATGTTCCGGGAAGATCTTTGTTGCTGATTTATTACGACCGAAGACGTGAGAAATGATCTTCCGGTAGTGCTGAGTTCCATTGGGAGTAGCAGGTCCCATGTGACAGGTACCGGCAAATTCGCACTGGGTGTCTTCCTGATTTGCGGGAGTCTCTGAAGACTGTTTCGAACGAGGCAGGGGAGCACTGAATCCCAGATCATCTTCGTCAAACTCCGCACTGCTATACTCGGATAGCTCACTGGAATCGTCGCTCAAATAGTCTGGATCGGAGTCTTCATTCACGGGCGAGGGCGAGGGGGAGGCAGAGAAAGGCATACCCTCCTCGTATCCTGTGTCCTGACGGTACTCATCGATTCTCATATGATTCAAAGAGGAGTGTTCCGAGCCAGCTTCAAAGGAAGAAGGAACCATGGTCGAAGCAGGTTGTCTGATGTTGTGAGGACAGGCATCCAGAGTCATGCACAAATAGCAGGGACGATCCAGAATGGGGTGGTCCGCAAGTGAGTACACGAGGTCATGCGGACGAGAGGCGGATTGGTTGTAGGAGGTCCTGGTGGGAGTAGGCGGGGGCAGATTGAAGACAGCACGGCCTTCATTCGGCGTAGAAGGATAGTTTGTACTGGCGCCGAGTGGTGGAAGACGACACTGATACAATGGCGGTGGCGCGGGAGGAGTTCTGAATAAGTCACGAGAGGGCACAGTAGGGGGCCGCAGGTTTTCGTCTCGGGACTGAGTAGTAGATGGCGGCGTCGTGGGACGTGTTCCGAATAAGCCAGGAGGGGACAGTGAGCCTTCGTCTTGGTGCCGGGTAGTGATGCCGTTGCCGGAGGTTTCACTAAGTTGAGCAAATTCACGAAGTCGACGCCGGGTAGTGATGCCGTTGCTGGAGGCTTCACTGAGTTGAGCAAATTCACGAAGCCGACGTTCTCGGGCTCGTCGAAATTGTGGATTTTCTTCCCAACGCCTCATGGCTGCTCTCCAGAGGTCCATTCCGCGGAGGGGTGCTGGGTCACTGGGACTTGGAGAAGCAGGCAGGGAAGGATGGGGCTCTGCTGGGGCTGCCTGCTGTTCTCCGGGCTCCTGGTGAACAGGCTGCTGGGGAACAGGCTGCTGGGGGTCTGCAAATTCGGGCGGCGGTGGGCTAAGCTGGGTGTTGTTGGGGGAAAGAGGGAGTGGATGGGGAGAGGTTGAATGGTTGCTCGACGACTCGTTGTCCTGAGACATGTTGTCGAGCGAGAAGACAGATAGCTGACAAGGCTCGCTAGAAAGAATCAGAGGTCGAGAGCAAGATATGATGGCCTGACCACAAGAAGGCAGCAAGTAGAAAGGTGAGGAGGCGGGGTGGTGGGTGAAGAAGGAAGAGGTGGAGGAAGTGAGAAAAGAAACTACTTATACCCCAGCGGCAGGTCGGTTTGGTACCAGCTGTACAGGAAGGTTCCGTGAATTTCTGCCTGCCCGAGGAAAGTTCCGCCTGCAATCAGAGCGAGCTTGAAGCGTCCCTTCAACTTCTCTTTGGTATTAACGAGAGGATGGACACTCCCATACAGTCGATATGCATGGAAGCTGCGCAACGGTCTAGTGGCCGACTGAATGGGAGAAGTTTTTGATCCTGCTAGTGCGACCGTGAAGCCCAGAAAACCGACCAAACCGTCTCTAATTACGGGTGGGCTATGCTGTTGATTAGATGGGCCGATCAGGAAATGTTCTGCTGGAACTGGTTCTGGCTTCTGCCTACCTCACACATGTTCATGTTCACAGCTAGAATGGAGCAACCCGCAGAGCGGCCTTCTTGCTGACAACCGCAATGGAAATATCCAAATGCGTTTTGACTGCTCTCGAAACTGGAAAAATTTTTGCCTGCGATATCAAACGCCGTGCCACGCGCCGGAGTCGCGATCACCACCGGTGGGCTTCCTTGAACCGTCATCCTACTATCGAACCCGATGACCTTGAGTGCAATATGTCCCTGATAATGATACATTGTGACGATGCCATCATAGTTTGTTCGCCCAACGAAGATGGTGACGCTCGGGAAAGGGCCCTTGGCTTTAATGCCCTTTGCCTGGGGCTCGCTCACAGCGGGCCCGATTGAATCAATTTCTTCGCGACCGAAAAGCCCGTTCTCCCCGCTGTGTGGATTTAATGCACATACGCCTAGGCAGGGACATTGGATACCGGATTCCGACCTAATTGCAATAAATCATGATAGGCTACGATTTTGTGAATCTCTGGTTATCAAGGATACTCACAGTAGATTATGCAGGAGTTCGATAGACTCCGAAACCGATGGGGCCGAGATCCACGACGACACGTCTTTCATAGCGATATGACTCGTGACCCGAGCAGTCCACAGCCCAGGAATAATATTGACCTCGCTCGTTGTTTCCCGGTGATTCAGGTGCATGGCAAACCATCGCAGTTCATCTTCTTCGTGCACGCCGGCCATATGGAGGGACGTCTTGTTGAGTGGAGTGAAGACTATAGCATCGGCTTGGCTTTGACTGACCAACGAAACAGCGCGCTTGAGATGATGGAGTGCTCGCTTTCCAGCTTCTTTCGAAGTTTCCCCCGTTCGATCGGGAATCGGCACGGTAGGTGCACTTTTGTCCTCCAATATCTGCACACTGTCTGGAATCGTGACATTGGCGACAGAGGCTGCCGCTTCGATTTCCGATCTATCCGCAAGCACAAGAAGATCCAAACGCTGTACATTTCGAGGATCTGCAAGAAGCTTCGAGGCCAGTTCGGGGCCACCACTGGGTGGATCAAATGCGGGGACGAATCATAGCCATTGCTGTCGCGGGGGTCTTGATGTTCTTGATAATGCCAATCTACGGTGGATGCAGATTGCACAGAATATATGGGAGTCGAATCGGACCTCGACCGGTGGACATTCGGGGTTGCATGTAGTTGGCCCGAAACTTGCACTACAGCTTGGATCCCGTCGGCCTCACGCCGGTCATCCCCGTCGGCGTCAATCGGAGTCAGTCAGAGTGTGGGGAAGTGGGGCTCCTTCTATTGCCAGAAGAGCAGCAACATTGGGAAGTGAAGAGAGAGTCCCAAGGTGAGCATTGGCCGCTATACCCTTCCGTAGAAATGCGCCCGATCATGTCATGCCTGTTCGAAAGTTCGTCATGTGATCGCACGCTTGGTCTCAGCAACAACGGAACACGACATTGCTACTACCCTAGGGTAGGTATTTCCCAAGCCCGAGCTAGTGAGTTCTAGTGGACCCAAAGCTCGAACAGCTTCGTCTCTTTGCGATCAGACGGTGCTCCTTCCATCCTGGGGAGCTGCTCGCGGTGCATCCGTCTTCGACTGAATTACGTGAGCGAGAAAAAGGTCTGGATCAGTGCTGAAAGTAGTGGAGACAGGCAACCACCACCATACGACGTCGATCTGGTGAAGCTAGAGAGGACTCCTGAAGACGTGCTCGAAAGGTTGAATTTGCCAGCTCTGGGTCTTTACGCACCTACGTGGATTGTGAAGCCCTCGCAATCGCCAAGACCAACAAGGCCAAACTCCCAAGAGCCGGGCCAGAGCAGCCGTAGACGGCAAGAAAGAGATCTGTCTCCCGGACCGATGGGAAGCTTGATCGGGGCGACCAGATTGGACGGGCTCCGTAGCCAGCTCAGGAGTGCAAAGCAGAGGCGCAAAGGCGGCATGCAAAGAATGGATTCGGACTTAATTTCAGAAAACATCCTATCCTACAAAGAGGCCGAGGAGATGCTTGAGCTGTGAGAACATTCTTTGAAGGGTACATGATCGGCCAACCGCAGCTAAATACACCAAGAAGACAACCGCTGCTGGCGTTGTATCTAACTGGCTACTATACTAATAATATTATCGGACCACAAACATTCAGCCCCCGAGACGCGTCCCGATATGTTCCGCCTGAGATAACCATCATGGTCTGTTTTGCGTTGTGCGTTTGCGACTTGCTTTTCATCAACTGAGGTGGTGTCGTCGAGAAAACAGGCACAAAGCGGTGATGTGAGCTGATTAGGCATATATTCGGCTTAGTTACTAGAATGCACAGTATGCACCTAAGTGCTATTTACTGATATCGGAAATACTTAGTGTACGTGATTAAAACGACAGGGAAAATCCAGAATTTGTATATGCACTGTGAGAATGAGGACATTCACGGAATGCCATTTCAGTTGAATCTCGAATACCCATGTCTCTCAATGCCTATCAATTCTTGATAATTGATCGATAATTCCCCAATGAAATGGTTATTGAGATCGACAATACACGACTCACTGGCTTGCGGGAAGCACGCATGTAGTAACCGACTCGGCAGGAATGTTCCACTCCACTCCTCTCCACTGTTTGTCGATAGGGAAAGATAAATATCGTTACCAAAAGTATTTTCGATGACGACTGAGCGAGTGCCATCTGGGTTCAGAGAGGCAATTGACTGTATACCGCCGCCATTCGAATACGTATAACTACCAGTGCCGCTAAGCACAATCGCGCCCGGTGGCATGAACTTGCTGAATTGCGCAATCATGTAATATGCCGTCTGGAACGTATAGCTATCGCCGTTAATAGTGACCAGACCCGTACAGGTGCCGCAGCCACCACTTGACAGGTGCGGACCATCGAGGAGTCTGTGCCGAGAGGCCAGGCAGTTACACCGGAGGCCCAGTTCTGCAATAGACAATGTGTTGAAGGAGGTAACTGTGGCATCGGTCACCGCAGCTCCGAAACCAACAATAGTCTGCTTATGACCGCAATTTGTGTCGTCGATACTGATTTTCCATGTTGACTCGGAGACTGAGCTGCCACCTCTTTGAACAGGGGGGCTGATTAAGACAACTTGTAGTTGCCTGCGGAATTGGACGAGTAAGCCGATGCCGGTCCAGCGCGCTTTTTCGAAGCATCGGCCAGTGCTGCCAGGCCGAAGAGGATATATTCCGTGCATTTCATTTTGTCGAGGGGTAGAATAGAGAAAATCGACGATAGCAGGAAGGAGTGCTTTACTCCTTGACGAAGATCTTCGAAAGTGTGTAAGCCGTCAGGGTCATGTTTATACAGCTGGGAGTCGGGGCTAACCTTCCGCTCACTCAGCACATTTTGCAACCTCACCTCCTGCAGACCGGCGTTCCGACGATATCCCCGTCCTGGAAAACCGAAGCCAGCGGTTGGTATTGCCGGTGTAGCCTGTAACGGGAGCATCGCATTCGCCGACTCTGCAGCAAGCAGGTGGAATTCTCAGCGTTGCGTTGTTTTCTCCACCTCCCCGCAATTTCCTGCGGATGCCACCGCGCAACCCGACAATGCGACCACGCACGGAGAAAGACACGCCAGGGCAGCTCAGAAAGTGGACGTGGCTCGGGGCCAAGTTGCTGTGGCGCCGGTAAGCATTTGCAGGGTGGTCGCAGGGGAGGACAAGGGCCGACCTGCGCTCGTTCTCGTACTCAGAGCTCGCCGGGATTCATGCAGCACGCACAGCAAGACTATACTAGGGTGATCTATCCGAGAGCGCCTGGACCCAGGCGCCGATCTTGAAAGCCAAGGATTTACTCGATGCAGAAGAAAATCGATTCTCGATCGGTTCGCTCCGATACCCGCAAATTCAGCAGTTCAGACAGAACAGGCAGCATGGATTTCCGACTCTTTCCACTCGTGCAAAACTGCGATAGTCATCAAGATATACACAGTCGGGTCGAGAAATCTGGAAGCCTCTTTTGTTGATGGCCCCAGACCGATTCGGTTGAGCTTGGAATAACAGATCTCGGCCCCGCCATTTCTGCCTGGCGATGATCGCATACCCTAGACATGCTCAGCGCTCCTAGAAGACCAACCTGGAAAATTTCAGCCTGCAAGATATTCGGGAGACTCGTCATCTTCTGCCAAATAGCTACAAGAACGCGACTACGAGTTGCTGCCTTGTTGAATCGATATTGCCGGTAGCCTGAGGAAGGTCGTTCAGTCCACACAACGTCGACAGCATCTACAATTTAACTGAAGCCCTTGCCCTTGCCAGCCTCGCACAGTATTAACTCATATCCCTGGATGTGAAATCTCCCCCCCGAACACCATGACGACTCCCGAGTTCTCTATGCTGCCCGTCGAGGGGGACGACCTCCCCTTTCCGGCGCGATTTATCCATGCTGCAAAGCTCCGCCTCAGCATCAATCGCCTCCTCTTCGAGAACTGGCCGAAGGACCAAATCCAGACAAAAGCGTACGCCAATGCGGTCATGGCCGGATTCGACGATTCCTCCACAGATGCTTCAAGGCGGTCAATACCTCGTCGGAAATCCTCGTTTACTATGTGATCGCCCGCAAACGCCCGCTGGAAGCCCAGCCAGAATACGGCCTCAAAAATGGTCCAAACCAAGAGACTCCTGAAGGACTGAATCCGATTCTCTTCGCGAAAGTCATGAAAACATCAGGCGATGTCATGGGTGGAGTGGAAAATCTGGATTGTTTCGGTAGTCCCTACGCCTTTTCCACTGGATGACACCTTACACATAGAAATTGTTTATATGTGCGTCAAGCCATCTGCCCAGAGACATGGAATCGGCTCGAAGTTAATGCAACTGGGCTTCGATCGGGCAAAAGCTGAGGACGTGCCTTTGAGACTCTGTGCCGAGGCTCCTGCGCATGGCTTCTACGTCAAACTGGGATTGGAAGAAACAAAACATGCGGATATAGATCTCAGAAAGTATGCCGCTCCTTATAGCGGCTTCGGGGAATTTAGACTGACGGGAATGATCTGGCGCCCTAAGCCAAATTTGGAAGGGTCGAACTGGCGTGGAGCAACTGTAGCTAGTTGAGAGCTCATCTCTAGACTCGTGACGCTAACTACGATCTGGCTAGAAATTTATCCCCAGAGAAGGCAGCGACTTGGAAAATCTTAGCTGGCCGAGACAGGTTGAAAGATGTCTCGAAGCCGTCTTTGGCAACCTCACCGATACTTTCCAACGTCTCTGGATTGAATTCATATGAAACCACTCCCATGCATTAGAGTCAGAGGATCCGTTGCCGGAAACATTTGAATCGATGGAGATTTTTAACAAATTGAGATAATTGCCAGCTTCAAGAGCGCATCAGCTGAAGACCGTCTTGTTGGTCTTGATATAGATCTTGTAGAGCCACTTATCAAAGATTACCCGTCAGCTGGTCCGCCAACCGAGGCCAGATCAGCCTAGGTTGTGTCGATAGCAGTCACCAGGATCTTTCCTTGGTCCGTGATGTATGATTCGGGAAAGTCGTCATAACAGTCGTAGGATCTGCCTGCTGGGGTCGTAAAATCCAGTTTGAAGCTGATTCGTAGATTGTGATAATATCTGTCGTCCAAGATAGTGACTGAGCCGTATTCGTGTCCTGTGTTGCTTCTTGTTCCACTCCAGCGAAAACGAACTGGTTTTCCCATCGAGGTCTTGGAAAAGAGGTTTTTGTATGTATAAAGGTGGGGTGTTTTAGCAAGGTGGTCACAAGAAGTGTCCAACATCACAGGAGTAATGCTTGGTGGCGAGGAATTATGGTAGAATTGGGACTGCCGAACAACCGCATATTCTTGCGTATATTAATAATAGAACGCTCACTACACTTGCCAGTTTGGCCATTTGTGATGTATGTCAGCCTTTTCTGCAGCTTTTCATGTATATAATCATCTTACGCTGCTAGGGATTCAGGTTTCGCGCCATTTTCCAACGATTTAGGGGTTTGGTCGTTGCTTGATTGGGGAGGAAAATTGTATTGGGACGAGGATACCACAGGGGTGGTTATTTTTGGATCAGTCGCAATACATAACATTACACCTCTCGACCGCTTTACTGTTCAAAATTGAATTCGATCTAAAGGACGGGAGTAACCATATCTGAATTTAGAGGATCATGTGACTAGGTTCTGAAAGAGCATCTTTGTGTTTCCGACGTGGAAGACGATGCCGGATGCCATTGTATTTTTAGAGAAGCAAACGAACATCCATTGCCTATCACGGCCACACTCAAACATTGAAGGTCATACTCTTTGTCCCAATTTGCCGTATGAGCCACAGGTCCATCGAATGATTCAAGACCAGGGATTTTTGGATTCTAGGATATGTATAACCCCCGACAGTAGATATGAATATTTTGGCCTTATGGATAATCCTTGTCCGGTATTCAAATCTTACACCCCAAAGCTAAGTGACGGTATATTGAGCGCCAAAAACGGCTACTGTGGGGATATATCCTCCTGTCAGAACAAACTAGCGGTGACCCACTGCTAGCGACTGATGGATAACATCCCTTGCTTGGTGTACGCATTCTTGCGCTGGGCTGCGGCCCCGGTGTTGTGACCGCCGAAGGCCGGCGTGTGGGATCTAGGTGTGTTTTCCAACTAGACTGAGGATGAACATCTATCTACATGAATCAATTGACTTTTGCTTTTGAGCATACACACTATCCACTTAACTGTGTACACAGTACCTAGCTGGTGATACCAACAGCTACATTCGACGCCATTTTAAGCGTTCATTTTTTCCAAGATCTTATTCACCGAAACATCACGTAAATGAGATCAAATCAGTCTTATCGTTTGCTCCCTGAGTACTTCCTGAACACTCATGGCTCGTCTTGGCAAGAAGATCCGGCTCCAGATATCCACTAACTACATACCTTAGCATTCTCCTGTCGCGCTGGACCCTACGCACGCCGCCCCTGTGCATTCAAAGCCTCTTGCGTTCTCCACATTTCCACACAGGTACTGCGAGGCCTCAGTTCCATTCGACAGCTTTAGATGAATATCGAAAAGCCCAATGTCGGTACAGGGTGCAACAGCACTGCACTGGAAGGAGGCCACGTTAGGGGACTCAGTCGTACCATTTAAATCGACCATTTTGATATCTCGAATTTGGAACTTTGAATTTGTACAGTTTCCTTGGCCTGGTGCGCCGCTAAAACGGGTGCATTGAGAGATTGCAATTGCAGCGCCACGTAGACCTGTAACTTTGAGGTCTTCAAAGATCATGTCCGAAGCGTCTATCGCGTTTAGGTTAGTTTTGTCTCCCTTATATGATGGAGGTATCTGTCCAAGGCGACCTCACATCCGAGTCCGCCACCGCCCCCGTTAGGTGGGTATCCGTTTTGGTCATTTGTCCATGTTTTGAAGTACACCTGAAGGTAGCAGAAACTTGTCAAGAACAGCCCGTAGAATTATAGGCAAGTTTCTTACCGCATGAAGTATGTTATGGTAGTCAATGTTCTTCACAGTGAATCGTTCGATAGTCTCGAGCTGATCCTTGTACTGGCCTATGCTGCCCAGAGCAATTCCCAGTCCGTTGTAGAAGTGGGAGTTTGTAATTGTGATGTCAGTGCTGTTGCCCTTGAGCGAAATACTATCATCTCCATTGTATACGGTCCAATTGTTGAACGTGATATGTGAGGATCGAATGGTATCTGCTCCGTCGGTGTTTGCTATGCCAGATTAGTTAAGATACTGTCTCCCGGTAGAAGGGGTACTTACAACTCGAGATTACGTTTCCAGTGTTGTTCACAAAGATACTGTCTAGATCAACTTGGTGAGAATATATGATAGACATTGTCCTGTCTCGCACCTATTAGTTTTTTCGTTTATTTACCGGGACCCACACCAAACGTACCACATCTGACTCCGAAGGAAGTTGAGACCTCGAACCACCGAATTCGTGAGGCCGTTAAAGGTGATCGCATGGGGCCGCCCGGGATAGTTGGACGTATTAGGTTGCTTTTTTATCCATTGATACCATGTGTCGCCATTCCCATTGAACGTCCCCACGCCGTGGCCGTCAATCCTGACATTATTACCTCCGAGAATAAATGCAGTAGACTGGTTCTGATAGCCGACGTCCAAGGAATTGTTCAGCCAGTACTGAATGTCAGTACTCCACTAAAACAGTTGTCAGTGTAGTCATTGACGGATCCTGTTAGGATTGCAAACCAGGAGCTCTCCTCGAATATCAACCTCAACATCCTCCAGCCATGAAATATTCATAACAGAGTTAACGTAGTATGTAGTCGGCTTGAATTCTATCCTGCCTCCGCGGCCACATCGTTTGAATGCTTGAACGATGGCAGGAGCATCATCTGTGGTGTTGGATCCTGAAGCCTGGACGACACAGACTTCTCTGAAGGGAGGCTTTCTGCCTGCAAACGCGCAGGTTAAGGCAGAAAGAAGGCAGAGTGCTTGGGAAAGGCGCATTTCGATGACTGCCTAACAAGCAATAACAATTGTATCGTATCATACAGATGGCTCAGAGTTTATAAATAGGATATTAGGGTCAAAACAACAATGCATCAGAGGCCGAAAAGTAAGCCATTATTCCATTGCCAGTATTTCCCCGCATTGGGGCGTTGCGAGGAGCGCAACGGGGATGGAACACCAAAATTTCCACCAATAGAGCGACGGTCGGTGCCTTCCCCACATGATACACCCACAGTGCCAACTCAGTTGGAACGAAGCGAAGTGACTTACTTGTGAAGTCTAGGTCCCTACTTGACGGCGTCTGTCGGCAAGATCGGTGTAGAAGGGACCGAAGGCACTCGATCTGTCGCTCAACTCATGATGCGAATTTTTGCTCAGAAAGACTATCATAATGGAAATTGGATGCACTTTAACTGCATGAGCCTATTCCGAAAGCTATCTAACGATGTAGCCAATATCGTATCTTCAGAAATATTCTGTCAAGTCGAGTAGTGGCATAGTGCTTCAGCCGAGAGGCTCCCGGGGTGCGCTTTGCCGCAAGACGTAAGCAAGTCAGCATTATATCGTCCACCGGATTGGTACGAAAGCGCTGTTGGCTGCACGAGTTCCGCGAAAAGGGTCATTGGTTGGTTGATATAGCGTAAAATAATAGATAAAGATAATAACTACTGCAATTCCAGCAGTCACAACGTAGCTAATGACGACCTAAATAGGTGAGGTAGGCCAACAAGTGGACAATAACAGGAAGCTTACCCCAATTCCGGATATGTCACTGTTAGAAGACCAGGGCGGGGCCAGCTCTGAGCAGCTGTAATTACAAGGCATGGCTTTGCTGAAGAGCCAGATAAGTAAATAATTTCGCTGCCCTTCTCACATTGAAGGCCCATAAGCCATAGTCATAGGGGTTACCATTTGTGTTTTTCAGATCACGTGTGGCCCTTTCTGGCCTTAGAACCACACAAAATGGTTATACTCTCCACGTAAGCTACCAGGAGAGGTCGCCCTTTGGGGCGGGGTAAAAAGGTGTCGGTCATAATTAAGTACAGGCGAATACACCCCACCATAGCGGAAGGTACTCTGTGTACGAAACAATACGAGGACCAACGCCAAAGTTACAAGGAAAAATCCCCAATAACTAGGGACTAGCCGAGCATATTAAGTAAGATTTGGGAAACAATCAAAGAGAGTTAGTGGTGGCATCAGTTTTGGGACGCACTGTAGCGTACTGCCTCTCTACATAGAAGCCTCTTTTTTTACTCGATGGAGGTAAAGTTCTGGGTTGGCCTGCATGGGTCTCATAGTTTTTGCTCACTATAAAGTAGGATGCACTTCATCTAGCCAAAGATGATATGGTTCTAACGTTAAAATTCGCGTTGGAGAAACGGAATAATTAGTTGGCGTGACAAAAATGCTTTACTTCGCATCATTTTCGAGGTCCAGACGGTCTCCTGGGCACGATTCAACGGAGTTGCGAACGCACGAAGATATACCCTTCTTTGAGATAATATACGAGGGCGTGAAGAATGGATTTCGCCATTTCTTCCGTCACATGCCAACACGGATAAACTACTACATTATTCTTTGTGAAAATCTGAAAATCCTCCATGTTGATGTATTGTGCGATCGCAACATGCATGGCATTCTTGAATACTTCAGAAGAGCTAATGGGACCCAAGGGAGAGAATCGATACGGGAGGAGTCTGGCACAGGACTTGGCATTTCAATTCTTATTCCAGTTTCTCATAGGCAATTTCGATTCGGAGGTTAGAGATGCAAATATTGCATACAACGCATCTTTATTCGTTGTACCTCATCGAAGGATTTGCAAATACAAAGCGCGAAAAAATGATCAGTGAGGGTTTCGAGGAACGATTTCATGCCTCAGTAAAACAGCTGCAAAAACTCAACAAATGGGCAATCGAGTCCCCTTCTCCTGGAGAATAAGAGGATGATGATATGACTACCGATCCAGAGGATACAGGTTTTAATTCGGATTGGTCATGCTAAAAATGCTTTGTCCCGCACTCCATTGATCTCTCACTTAGCTTTCGGTTCCGCAGAATCCGGGCCATCAAAGCCTAATATGCAAATCAAATCGCCAATGAAGGAAGCGCGAGACTTACTGTAACATAAAATCCAAGCGGTGGTATGGGAGAGGCCGACATCGACTCTCCACGAGCACCAGTCAGCCGTTCTTTGGTTGGGTCGAGATTGAATACGTTCATAATTCCAGGACTGCGAAGCTTATCCTTCTACTGGGCTCTTAGTATTGTTGAGGTGTGCCGATGTAATTTATAATCACCTTCACGTGCTCTGTGAGAGAGCGCTTCTTTAAGGTACTACTGTAAGGAGTGCCAGCGGACCAATTACGTGCTATTATACAGCTAGTCACACCAAAGACGAGGATCTGGCATAACTCGGCGGCTGCGGACTAATGATATCCTGGCCTGCCCTAGTGGGCCAGCGGGCCAAAGGGCTCGACTCAAGGCCACTTGCTACAAAAATGGCTCCTTGTGTATTCATAAGCGCTTAGGTACTGTAGTAAAGGTGCTATGTGTGCTGCGTTTCAGCCCTATATTCAGGGCCGGTCAGGTGGCAGGTGGGTGGTACCGGGGGTGTATAGTAGGTTGAGAGTGCTAATAATGGACTATCAAAGTGGGGAGAAAAGTCGGTACCGTCTATCTTAGTCCATTCCTAAATCATTTCTACCTAGATATACTCCCATTCCAGTGGTGCTCAAACACCGATCGTTCAATCCAAGCTCGGAGATCGTGTGCATCTTCGAAGGTGAGCAGAGAGTATGGCGGACAACCAGGCAGAGGTGTGACCCCGGTGAAGGTATGTTCCAGCGCGAACAGAAGCAACTGGTTTGAGTTGGGCGCGGATGTGGTTTTGGAATGCACAGGTGCCGAATCATCGGCCCAGACTGGGTGTATGCCTCCAGACCGGGAGGTGTTGGTGTTCAGATTGGGCTTAAGAAAGCTGGTCTGACTCTTCCTGTTCTGAACATGTGCAAAAAAGAGACCGAGTTCAAGACAGGGAGGCGATACGCACCAGGTTACGACGAGGTTGCCCTTTCTTTGCTGAGCTCCTACAAAATTTCCGTCAAGTGCCTGAAGAGCACCATTGTGCCTTTCGTAAAAGCTCCAGAAGCTTGGGAGATCACGAAGAATGGACAGGGTATCAAGAACCTGATCCAAGGTGTCCAAGATGACTAAAGTTGAGCATCTTAAAATATCAATTAAAATTTTTTTAAGAACATTTTGTGATGGGTTGGTATCATCGGTGTACATATAAGAAAGTTAAAAAGAAAAGAAGCCGGAAAACAACCAAGAAATATCTTCCACAATTTCAATTCTTTGTAAGTTTGTATCCTCTCTCATACTAGTACTTTCAGCTACCCTGATAGCACTATATGCATGCAATTGTGAAATGGCCAACACCGCATCGACCATGCTCAGATTACAATCCTCGAACCTCAATATACTGCGCCCGCAGAATAGAGCTGACTCTGGATTTCCTCTCTGATCTCACATAAGCTATATTGCGTGATCAAGTTTAATTTTCGGGGGAAGCAGATCACTGCCGATCCACACGGATCACGTACGCGTTATTACGCATCCTAATTAAGCAATTTGGTTGTTGTCGCTGGTTGTTCTCTGGTGACAGCAAATGTGCCAACTCAAATTAGAAGACTATGTACACATCAGGGATATGTATCTACCCGAGTCGTTTTTGTGCTCTACTAGGAATTGCATAGTGCCATTGAGCTGTTGGCCAATTCATTTAGGGCTGGTCAATCACGTGATCGGGTCCGTTCATCGGAGGACGTCAGGAACGAAGCACGTCCCAACAGCAGCCGAGCAAACTTTAGGATCACAATGCGTTCTCGGTAAAATCATGAAATAAAATCGAGCTCAATTTTAGAGATATACAGCAAACACCAGAATTGTTTAGAATAGCGGATCGTAATATGCTATTTTGAATCTATTATGCAAGGGTCATTATCATGTATCAGCTCCATATGGGCTGAGAACGGAGTCCAACTCCCTATATACAAACAGGAGCCCTTCAAAAGGAGAAAGGAAGAGCTGGTATGCAGATGACAGTGGATTACACCATCTTTTTGAGTGGGTGTGGAAGCCCAACAACAGAAAAAATCAATCATCAAAGTGGAAAGGTGGGCCGCTGAAAGAACAAGAGGTATCATCCACACTTGGAACGCCAGGGGTATGCACAGGAAATATAAAGAAAAAACGTAAGATCGAGGAATCACTGGGCAGCAGAAGTAAGCTGGGACTGAAGTGCCTGGGTGAGAGCCTCTTCTTGACGCTTCCGTTCCAACTCCATCAGGTACTGGGCGTACTTTGAGCGGGGGTTGTGGATGCCGCACTCGGTCTTCTGCTGGCCCTTCCAACGACCGGAGCGCTCGTCCTCGTTGTCGGCCACAGGCTGAGTGGAGTGCCAGTCACCAACGCTCTTGTAGCCACGGTCGAGCAACTCGTTGTAGGGAACATTGTGCTCCTTGACATATTGTTTAACCTGGTCGAAGGTCCAGTTGGCCATGGGGTTGATCTTGATGAGACCGGCCTCGTCGACTTCGATGACGTCGAGGTCACCACGCTTACCACCCTGGCTACGGCGACGGCCAGTGAGGACGGCATGGACGTTCATCTCGCGGTAAGCACGCTGGGCGGGCTCAACCTTGGCAACCCAGTCGTAGAGCTGGTCATCGGTCTCCCAGAGGCGGGAACCATACTTGGCTTCGAATTCGGCGGCAGTATCAGAACCAGCTGGCTTGTACACGTGCACGTTGTTGTTGGGATAACGCTTGCGGACACGGTCAACCAGGGCCAGGGTTTCAGGGAAATGATGCAAAGTGTCGAGGAAGATCAGGTCGACCATCTGGGGGCGGGGAACCTCCAGCTTGGACAGCATATCCAGAGTGACCAGCCCAGTCAGGCCGAAGGCTGTGGTCTGGAAGAGGTGGGGGAGTGATGTGATGCACCATTTGAGGATATCTAAACAAAATGAGTCAGAACTATGTATTCAAAGGCGGGGTTCAAGGCAAAACACGAAAGCATACCTTGGGGTTCGAGGAATTGCAGCTGACGGTTCAAGAACTGGAGATGAGGCTTGGTGAAGACAATCTCGGGGATATATTCTTCAGATGAGGAGCCGCTAACATATCCAGACTCAGTGGCACTGTCTCGAGAGTCGATGCCCTCGAGATCAGAGGGGTAACCAGCAGACATCTTGGCCGGCATTGTGGAGGGAGTATGTATAGTAAGGTGAATGTGTACAGGCAAGTATAGAGCAGAACCAGTAAGTGGTTTTGGGGGCGCTGTACGTGGTTTGGGACACCGGAAAGAGCTTGAGGATGGAGGCAAAGATGACAATGGCAGGAATATAAGGGACACCAGGGGCAATCACGACATCATTTCGGATGTTCGTGCCTGGTATTCCATCCGAACCCGCCATTCCGTCCATTCTGCCGGCCTGGCAATCACGACATTGCAAAATACCGCCTGCCAGATCGGGGCTCTTGCTGAAAAATTCGATTCTGTCATGTTCCGGGGGAATCACGCAATTTATGCGCAGTTGGTCGCTGTGGGGCTCCCGACCACCCATCTTGCCGCGAAATCGGGCTCGGCGCCGGCAGCCTCAGGCTGCCACTGGCCAGAGGCAGCATTCCATTTCCATTTTCAGTCGCAGAGAGCTAAGTTGCTCGGGGTTTAGAGCTTGATAATTCCTTCCCCCTCCATGTGCACGGAACATGGTCGAAGCTCCGGAGTACGGCCGGAATCCGTAAGCAGGATAAACCCCGCCGCTGACCAATTCATCCGATGAACAATAATCACGGAATCAACGTCAGGTTCGCTTGCCTGATCAATGATGTTAGCGGGCCAGCTTCTAGAAAAACGCAATCTTGGATGTTACCCGATCCAGCAGGCTTCTAGCAAGCTGTAAGCACGTTATGATCTGCAATGTATGTCATGGTGGAGTGGCGGCGGAGTGCTCTGCCTGCTCGCTCTGCTGTGATTTCGCGGCCTGAGGCGACAGGCTGCGTGCGTATTCACCGCCCGGCATTATTTCTCGGAGGCCACGGCTGCCGTGACCGCACGTGAGGGTGATAAGATCACGTGACTACCTGAAGTGACGGTGGGCCCTGCCCACGTGCCGATCGGTGGGCTTTTTTTTTGGAGGGGCTTTCGTTGCGCTTTGTTGTGACCGGAGGACGAAGTCGCTCTTCGTCCGCAGTCATGGCCGAATCCACCCACCCTCGCCAGCGGCCCTCGCTGGGCCAGATGCGCAGCAGTTCGTTCCTCCAAGATCACCAGCAATATAAGCCCCCCGCCCCGATCAGCGCCAACATTGGCGAGGTGCTCGGCTCTCAGTTGGACGAGAGTCTGTCTACTCTCACCAATCCCATTAAACCGGACCCAGAGCGTGTTCACGAGAGTGGTGTTATTCACAGTATCTTCAACCACCAGGCCGCTCAGCTCCCCCACGGCACTCCGCGCATCGTCGCGACCATTTTCTACAAATCCGGCAATCCTGTTCACCCTCATATTCACCCCGATGTGTCGCCTAACCTCACCACGGGGGATAAGCTCCCTGCGCCTCATGTCCCAGTGGGGTCAGCCCCGACGGATGACATGGAGAAGATTCCCCGAGAGCCGCCAGCACCGGAACCGGAGCCATTGGATCACCTGTACGGGCCATTCGTCTCGCAATTGTGTCTGACGAACTTCCTCCAGATCCTCGAGACTCTTCCCACCCCGTACCAGCGCGCAAACACGTCGCACCGCTGTCTTGATCGTGAAGAGCAGCCTCGAGTTGTCGAGGTCACATTCTCCCCGCCTCCAGACCCAGAATACCTCTCGTTCGTGGATCTACGTAAGCACGAGAGCATCTGGCGTTTCGAGCGCGAGTGGAATGTCGAGGTAGTCCTGCAAGAGGAGAGTGTTTTCCGCCGGCACAAGCGATTGGCAGTCTTCGATATGGATAGCACTCTTATTGAGAACGAGGTCATCGACGAGATCGCCAAATTCATCGGAGTGGAGAAAGAGGTTTCGGTAGGTTCCTCCGTGCCAGGGTCACAATGCTTACAGTAGTCAGTCTAACAAGGACGTAGGAAATCACGGAGCGAGCGATGAACGGAGAGCTGGACTTTGCTGCTTCCCTGAAGGAGCGTGTTGGCCTTTTGAAGGGTGTCCCCGCCGACGTTTTCGAGAAGCTTAAGTCTGTTCTCACTATTTCCAAGGGTGCTCGCGAACTCTGCGGTGCCTTGAAGGCTCTCGGATACAAAATGGCCGTTTTAAGTGGTGGCTTCCAGCCTCTGGCGGAGTGGCTCGCAGGTGAACTTGGACTGGATTATGCCGTTGCTAACCACGTAAGTATCAATTCAGACCACTTGAGCCTCTCTACTTGCTGATTTTCAAATAGCTTGAAATCGACACCGCCACTCAAACCCTGACCGGCAAACTCGTCGAATCCAAGCCCATCATCGATGCAGCCCAGAAGCGCACCCTCCTCAAGTCCATTGCGGCCGAGAACAACATCCCTGTATCCCAGACTATGGCTGTTGGCGACGGCGCTAATGATCTACTGATGCTTCACGCTGCTGGCCTTGGTGTCGCCTGGCGCGCCAAGTCCAAGGTCCAGCTTGAAGCACCCACTCGTGTCAACGGCGAGAGTCTGGTCGATATCCTCTACTTACTTGGTATGGATAGTAAGGATATTGTTGAACTCTCCAAGCGGCAGTAAAACCCCCAACCGGGAGCTGGATACCTTCCTCTGTTGCGGAACCGCTGCATTTCAAATTCAAAATCATACCCATTTGGCTTGGTGGGCAGGGATATCCATTTGGTCGATACCTCGCAAATCAGAAGCCAGAAGCTGATGAGGACATGGAATATCGACTTGCATTTCTTAATGTCAGTTCGGAGTTACTTGCAATTTCAACAACACAAGACCCAGGAACAGGAGTCTGGTGGCGGATGGGTTGTCAGCCTGGTATCTGCTTTGGTCATCTACTTCGACGATAGATGTCTGGTCTATATTCAAGGTTTGGGCGTAGGTGGTATATGGAGGCCCTGCTAAGAAGTAGTATAAAGCTCATGGCTACAACGTAGTCAATATGATAAAGATGCCCCAACATGAACCAAGGACTACTTGGCGATGACGATGATGACGTTGATGACGATGATGACGTTGATGAGAATTTGCTTTAGAATTGTAAGGCTTTTCTAAAATTACGCGAAAAATTCCTCGAATGTACAGCATAACCGTTGATGATACAAGACGCTGCCGTGTTAAAATGTTGAAAATAGACATGAATCCCGACCCAACCAAGCCCAAATAAAATGCGATCAGCGCCATACTGAGTAAACCATGAAAAGGAAGAAAATCAAGACCAAGGCGGTTAATATGCCATGCAGATTAATATTTTCTTTATGCCGGACAAAGGAAATGTCAATGCGTCGCCTGATCAGCCAAAACAGTCTTATCAGCAGTGCCTTCCGCAGCCGTAGCTCCGGCACGACGCTTCTTGAGCACATTCTCGATGAATGCCTCGCCAGCCTTATAACTGCTGCGAACCAGGGGACCCGAGGCGCAGTACAGGAAACCCATGTCCAGGGCCCGCTGGCGCCAGGCCTCGAAGCGGTCAGGAGTAACGTATTCCTCAACAGCCATGTGACGCTTTGTGGGGCGCATGTATTGGCCGAAGGTAACAACATCAACATCCACAGCGCGAAGCTGGCGAAGAGCATCCCAGAGCTGCTCATCCGTCTCACCAAGACCCAACATGAGTGAGGTCTTCGTGATGAGATCGGGGCGAGCCTGCTTAGCAGCCTCTAGAACACGAATAGACTGTTGGAAGGTGGCGCGACGATCACGAACATACGGCGTCAGAGCCTCGACAGTCTCAACGTTGTGGGCATAAACATCCAGTCCGGACCGAGCAACGAGCTTCGCCATCTCGAGGTCACCACGGTAGTCACCAGTCAGGCACTCGACCAGGATATTCGGCGCCTTTTGCTTGATCTTGATCACTGTCTCGGCGAAGTGGCGGGCACCACCATCCACCAAATCGTCCCGGTCAACACTCGTGAGAACAACGTAACCAAGACCCCATCGCGAAATGGCCTCGGATGTGTTCTCCGGTTCATGCGGGTCCAGCGGAGGAGGCGCTCGGTTTGTCTTCACACTGCAAAAGCGGCATCCACGAGTGCAGGTATCACCCATCAGCATGATTGTGGCTGTCGCAGCGGACTTGTCATTTCCGCCCCAGCAGTCCGAGATATTGGGGCACCGGGCCTCCTCGCAGACAGTGTGCAGGTTCAATCCACGCAGATCTTTCTTCAATCGCTGATAGTTCTTCGAGTCCGGAATCGGTGTCTTGAGCCACTCGGGCAATCGGGTCATTTCCTTCTTGCGGCCGGCCGGGCCGACCATAGCTTTCTTGAGGGCATAGGCTTCCGAGGAATCGAGAGGCTCTTCCTTGCCGCCGGAGACGAAATCAGCGAACGAGGGGCCGGCGTTCAGCTTGTCTCGGAAAGTGGTTGCAGGTCGCCGGGTGCTTCCCGCTGGTGTGTTGGTGGCGGATGAGGAATCGGTAGTAGCATAGGTGCGTTGGCCGATTGAGGGGTACATGCACGAGGGAGAGGCAATCGCTCTCACAGCTGACAAGCGACGTAAACTACGTGTTGGTGCTGCCATGATCGGGGTTGTGTTAAGCTTAAGAGTAGGAGGTTCACGCCATGCGCAGAGAAAGATAGGACCGTTCGAATCCCGCGGGAAAGCGGGATTACTCAGCAGACATGATTCGGGACTTTGTTGTTCCGCGGATCTTCCGTCAAGGCGGTCAAGCCGATCGGGAGTTGCCCTATTGTTCTTGCTCAAGCTTAGTATTAGAGTTGGTTGACACAAAGATTCAGCGCACGATATAAGATGATGCTAGTGGCAGGGCCGAGGAAGGCAATATATTTGAATATGACAAGATAAATTGTTAGATAGCGGAAGGCTATTATGATTATGCACTAATATGCAACTAATACTAATTGTACAGGGCGGCGTTGAACAAAAGCAAAACATTTCCAAAGGAGCGGGTCGCAATGCAAGGGTATGAAGATAAAGAGCAGATGAGACCAAATAAACACCAATGAATGAGCCAGTTGATAAAATCGAATCAATCGAGTGGGAATCATTGCGAGGGAAAGAGTGACCGTGCCATGGTGAGATGGCATAGGTGAGGAAGGAAAAGTCAGGGATTGGAGAGCGGGTTGAGACAATATAGGAAAATCACCAGGGAGGTGGTTATTGAGCCTTGGTTTCCAGAACCTGAGCGAGGACTTCGACTGCAGATTTGAGCATGTCGTCAGCTCGGCCGCAAATGGCAAACAAAAGATTGTCGACAATTTTCTCGACATGTTGTCGCAGATCGCTGCTGCGAGAGCCAAGGAACCGGTCCTTGACTCGACTGGGAGATCCAGTTGGGAGTTGTATTCCTAGTGTGCTGTATGCCTTCGCGGGAACAGCGTCCACTGCATAGATGTCATTGCGGGTTGATAGAGAAGGTTTGCGGCGATGAATGGAGGAAAGAGAAAGGAGATAGTTTCGGGCAATTAAAGCGGCACAGAGACAGTCTAGAAGATTCTCTGTGACTTCGGGGAAGATAGTGTGGAAAGGACGTAAGAGAGCTTTTTCGTCGTTTTTGCGCAAGAAGACGATGACAGGAGATGTAAGGCGTAACATGTGACGAGGGAAGTCCTTGACGCAATGCTCAAGTTCGCCGAGTGTCCACTCGTGGTCATCGATGGTCCACTCTTGATGCCAGGAGCCTTGCTTCTCCATGTCATCTTTCCCGGATTTCTGCGAGATCCGCCCTGGGGAAGGATGTGCAGGTGTTGTGGGTGACGCCTGTGGGCTAACGCTGCCAGACCGAATTTCAGGCTTTGGCGACGTGTCGCGCTCTTCCTGCGCGGAATCCGGCCTCTCGCAAACAACGGTCGACGTAACACTATCCGAGGTCAACGACCCCGGATCGGTGTAAGAGTCGTCATCCTTGCTGTCCTGGAAGCTATCCAGTGAGTAGCCTGATTCACGAGTTCCGTAACCGCTATCGGACATGTCGGGTGGGTTCTCAAGAGGTGTGTCCGGACTGAAGGCGGAGACTTCTTCTTGATTTTGATCTGGCGTCATAGGAACAGTATGCGGGGGAACCGGAGGCGGTGCCGGAGAAGGTGCAAGGGATGGAGCCAAAGATGGAGAAGGCGCCACAGACGGGGATGATTGTCGTGCAATTTCCACTAGCTTCGGCTTACTCGCAACGGCGAATCGCTATTTTCAAGTTAACAGCAAGATTGAGGATTTGATTGTGTGGAAGAGGAGACTGACCACTGGCTCATCGAGAGCTTTAGCCCCGGGGATCACGTCTAATGGCGGCATAGGAGGATCTTTTTCAATGATCTGGAATTTTCGACGGTTTGATACCCGGGGATTCTCATCTTCTTGGTCCTCCAAAGGATCAAGAGGTACACCTTGCAGCCATGTCTTACAATACGAGAAGTTGCTCGGTATCCAACTTGCTTCGCTTGAGACAGTTGCAGTTCTTGGCCGTTGAGGTCTCGGGGAGCTTCCTGGCGCAGAGGTCGGGTTTTTGATTTCAGATGCAGGTGATGTGAAGGGAACCGGTAGTCTCTCCTTTTCGGTTGGAGTGGATTCTGACTCATTCGTATCGCACCTCCGCATCAAGTTTGTGTGTGCTTCGTGGACATTTTTGACGTCTGTCATTCTGTGTTCCACTGGCTTTTGCCATGGGCGATAGGATTGATAGGCAAGCTGTTCTTTACTTTCGTCCTCGGTCTGAGTCTCCACAGGTGGACTCTCTTCTTCAGGCTCCTCTTTCAGAGGCTGCGGCTGTGATTCATGCGGGATTGGCACATCCGGCGCTTCCAGTTCATACGGACCTTCGTCACAAGAGGCTTTGGAGCAATTCTGATATGCAAAGTATGACTCGGGACCGGTGCTTGCAGGTCGGGAGTCTGATATAGGTGGGCTCGGTAGCAGTCCAAAGGCAGACATGCTCGTTGATGTCAAGTTTTGGTCAGATCTCCACGTTCGCAGCGAGTGACCAGCCGGCAGCTTCGATTGCCTCGTAGTTTTCGCAGCAAATGGTGGTGCCCCGTCGCATGATGCTGATACTGGCGACGAGACTGATGCGGGTGATGATGGTAGCATGAGTTGAAACGGTTCCTTCATTCTCCGCACCGAACGAAAGGGAGAGATCGAGACTTGGCCGCGGTCCATGGAGAAACGTGGTAGCGATGGTGACACTTCGTGTTCTGATCGTGGCATGGCGGGTGGTGGCACAAATGAAAGTGAGTTCGGAAATTGCCTACTCCTACTTCGGGGTTGATATGTGGGTGACCATCGGCGTGGCGACGGGATGGGCTCGCCAAGGCCCATCGCATCGTGGCTCAGCGAAGACGAATAGGAGTCTTGGTTCCTGATGTGCGTTTGGATAGGAGCCGGCAAGCATGGTTTCGCAGGCATTTTGGCGGCACCGCAGTCCATGGCGGCCATGGCGCGGCCTTGATATGAAGCAGCCCTAATCCCAACCAGAAGGATCAAATGGAAAAAGCAAAATAACTGGTCGCACAAGAGTTACCTGGATGAGAATGAGATGCAGCGAGTGTGAAGTTGAGGAATTACCGGTCAAAACAAAACCGCACGCCCATGCAGGGGCTCCAAATGTCCTTATACAGAGAGATTGGCCCTAGCCAGGAAGTTCCAGGTGGATAGGGTCACCAGGGACTACAGTATCCCTTGACAGGAAGTACAACCCTGCCGTAAAGAAACCCGGGTATGCTGAAGGTGGCCCCCCTTCAAGGCCCCCATCACCGGCACTCAACGAGCTCAGCTCACAACAGGCACGGGCCAGCGCAATAATAGTGAGAATGAGCTCGCATTGTCCTTGCATTCCCGGTTAAGGTGCGATCAGAGGGCAACGGCTCCCTGATTGGGCCCCGATGCCAGATTTGGGTCCCGCAGGCCTCCGTCAACGTGGATGGACCCTCGTCCGTCGCTTAATATCGTCATGGTTCGGGGGCGGGTGGACCCCGGGAATGAGACAAATGGGATGAATAGAGGGGAAGAGGGCGACGACGGCGAATCAACGCCCTAGAGAAGGGCAACAGGATCGACAGCAGGGTGTATGCAAGCGGGTCATCATTGGATGTTGTGTCTCGCCGTCACCCCTGGTGAAGAGCAGAGGGTGGTCCCCCCTTGCTTCATCGGGCTCATGCCTGGCTGTGGTCTGAAACTGCAGTATAAAATGCTTCGCCATGGCTAGAATTCCTGCCCGACAGCCGTTGCCATTGTCCAGGATTATGAGTCGAATCCCAGCATGCGGTTCACTAGCTTCTCTGCCGGGCCAAGTGACGTGTTCCTGGCAGATAGCGATCATTCATTTCATACCCCGAATGCCTGTTATCATTTGTAGATGGTCCAAGTGGATGCGATGACATGTCCAACTCCAGCGCCCCGCTTCGCCTCAACGCGACCCGCGTAGATTGATAGATGTGGTTTCGCGACCCGCAGACCGTAATATTAAGGTAGCCGCACTGCGACCGTGTGCGATCGTGGCAAAGCAGAGTTTCTTACTCGTCACGTCTAGGCCGGGGAGGCGGCGACTAGTCTGTCGCGCATTTCCCGGTTGGCGGCGCGGCGCCAGACAAACAGTGCAAACTGCCCGTTATCAATTGACTTATCGCATCCGAAAAAAAAAGCGACGGCTGGGGTGATTCGGAAACTTAGCCCTCCCCATATTTCATGCACGCGCCCCATTCTCCATGCTTTCCGAATCCTTCGTTGCGTCGACGCTGCTATCCGCTAAATCTCCGGCCGCCACGCTGAGGGATGTCGGGATTTGCGTGCAGGAATTTCAGCCTTCGCCCCAGCTGCGGTCCACCTTCAAGAAGAGCTCGACCACGGCTAATTGCCTGGCTGTGAGCCCGTCGCATATATTTTCCGCCCAGGCCGAGAAGGCCGTCGTCCATGTCTACAGCCGGGAGAAGGGAAATCAGGAAGCTCTCGTGCCCTTTCCGGAGCGCATTCGCAGCATTGCGGTGGCCGGTGCCAAGTATGGCGACGTGTTAGTCCTCGGCACGGAAGGTGGGCGGCTGATCCTCTGGGAGGTATGCGACTGGTTCCATGACACCAATTGTGGTGACCTGTCACAGCTCATGAAACTGATATGCGACTTCTAGACCTGCACCGGACGCCAAGTGGCTACCACAGCCTCCCATCTTCAACCCGTTACCTCCCTCGTCGTTGACCCCACATCCAACTTCATCCTGTCTGGCTCCTCAGACGCAGCCATACATGTCTGGTCGCTGTCTGGAATTCTGTCATTCTCAAAGCCGGCGCTCAGCCACAACCGCCAACCACCCAATGCGCCCATTCGCACCTTTTCCAACCATCGAGCGGCGATCACCGCTCTCGCAGTCGGACACAGCAATGGCCGACATAACATAGCTGTGTCAACAGCCAAGGACAATACAGCAATCATATGGGACTATAATACGGGGCGTGTGCTACGGACATTCCTCCTTCCTGCTTCCGCGACATGCGTGGCGCTGGATCCCGTTGACAGGGCTGGCTACGTCGGCTATGAAAACGGAAGTGTGCAGTTAATAGATTTCTATCGCGGTACCACTGTGCAGCACCCGCTTCACGACGCCTCGCTCCAATCAATCCCGGCACAGGTATCGGGCGAAGACAGATGGTTGCCCCCCGCTGCCGACTCGGGTACGACCCGGGCCCTGTCCCTGTCCTACGACGGTACCACACTCCTCTCGGCACACGATGGCGGCAAAGTTTTGTCCTGGAATATTGCTCGCCGGAAATTTGCGACCACAGTTGCCGATTACACACACCCCGTCACCAATTTGGTCGTGTTGCCGCCGAGTGGCCTGCAGCAAGCCTCCAAGGAGTTGAAGAGGACGATTCACACGGTTGTCAAACCCCGTCATGATAATGCCTTCGCCGATCCTTCTCATGCCCCCGGTGCTGTACCAGTCGACTACGCATTCAACACTCACCTCCTCGCACCATTACAATCCCGATCTGGCAAACCCTCACTTTTTGCTCAGGCCCTCACACACACATGTTTCCCCGACTCCATGATCGACGACGGCCTCGCTGAGCTAGCTGCACTCCGCACATCTGGTGGATCTGACGTCGCTCGTACTGTCCCTGGCGTTTCTACCCCCTCGAACAGTGCAGAGGACGTGGCCGCCCGAGAGGGCCACGTCACTGAGCTCGAAGCCGAAATAGCCATGCTCAAGAAGAAGGCAGCGGTGAATGATACAGCTCGACACGCAACTGCCGATGAGGTTGTGCAATTGCGCTCGGACCTCGCCAACTTGCAGGATTACATCAATGAACTGCATGAGAAGCAGGAGGCTGCTCAACGTGACAAGGCCCTGCGGCAAGCAAGGAGGGAGGAACGTGAGACCAAGAGAAGGGAAGCTTGGTTAGCTGCTGAGAAGAAAGGGCGCAACGGGGATGCAGTTATGAAGAAGATGGAGATTGATGATGGGGATGTGACTAGCGACTTAGATGATCTGGGCGATGAGTAAGGGTTTTCAAAAAGCATCGTTCGCTTGTACACTGAATAGAATTGGGCTTGGAGTCATATTTTATCATCTGTTTTACACTCTTGGAATTGAATAGCAAGCCAATAGCTGCATGGAATATACGAACATATAATTTCTTCACCGCGAATCATAACGTCCGTGTCAATCACGAGTGTTCCTCGATGAGCCGGTTTGACGAGTATTGACCGCAATCTCATTCGATCTTTTCGGATAGCACCATGACATGGACACCTGCAAAAATCATTTTTCGGAGTTTATTGTATGTGATGTGCCATACTCAAAGACATTTAATCTGTGCAAACGAAACGTAGAACCTCAAAGCCCATGCACCCGCCGGATGCTACAATGCACTATTTGACGATATATATTTAATATAGGTTTTGATACAGCCACGGGCACCTCTTCTACCTCAGAACACACCTCCCTAACATTTCAGGTATCTGCTAGTTCTTCGGCTTGGGTGTCCTGACTATGCGAGTCAGAAAATGAACTTTCTGCTCTATGGGAGAATTATTCTAGCCCGATCGCATTCATTTTACATAGAGCATCACTCACTAGAATAGCTATCCTGACAGCTGATCACGTAGGGAACTGGGTAGATGGCTAGGTAGTCGACTAACCAATGAACCTGGTGGTTATCAAGAGCATATTCCAAGGGGTAGTCGGCGTCGAAACTGGCACCATCCAATTCGATTAAGGCTTTACTTCTGTGTCATCTGAGCGACGGCACTGGGGGTGTGAAAGCATCAATCTCCTTGATATAAACTATCACATGCATATGAATCATATTTGCTGACAGCACGACCGTTCATTGTATGCTGCTGCATTATATATCTCACCAAAATTCGTGGAACCAGCCTCAAGTAAATCATCTGGCTTCCTACTACACTAATAGTGCATGATGTATCACGACGGAAAGCTATCTTCTATTGAAATCGAACACTTCTCATAGTCTCTCAACTCTTAAAACACCATGCAAAGTCTCCCTCTCAGATCCTTCCTCTGGTAGTGATCATACATCTTATTAATTTCTTCCACCCCATAAGTTTTTTCAATGTGGGTCTTGCACCCATTCTTAGCATGAAGATTGATCATATCCTGACTCTGCTCCGGCGTACAGATCAATCTTCCCTTAACCGTCTGCTCCTTGAAGCTCAGCGCAAATGGATCGACCTCCAAAGGCCACTCAGATGGCAAGCCGACATCAGTCAGAATTCCGCCCTTCCGCAGGAATTGCTGGGAAAATTTGATCAGCTGTCGTGCCTCTGCGTTGATGACAACACGATCCACACCCGGATTCGTGTCATAGAAGGAGGACTGCAGCTCTTGGATGACTCGTTTCTGCGCATCTTCCGAATCGATCACGAAAGTCTTATCCGGCTTGAGGTGCGAGGGGACGGCTTGTGCTGTTTCAATCCCCTCTTTCCGGTTGTCGATAGCGATGACTTTGTAGCCCAAGGCCTTTGCATATTGAACACCTAGGTGTCCAAGTCCGCCAATGCCAACCAACGCCAACCATTGACCTGGCTTGACATCTGCCGCGAGAATGGCACCGTACACTGTGGCGCCCGCGCAGAAGAGAGGGGCGGCTTCGTCCCAGGGAATAGACTCGGGGATTTTCGATACAACACGAGCATCGGCTTTCATATATTGCGCGAAGCCGCCGTTGATCGTCAGACCCAGCATACCAGTCAGCTTCTCGCAAAGCTGCTGGCCTTGGTGCTTGCAAGCGTTGCAAGTGCCGCAGAAATTATACGTATTGATTGATCCCACGCGATCTCCAACATGGATATTGGACTTGCCAGCGTCGGAGCCCATCTTGACGACTGTTCCGGCTGGCTCATGCGATCCGACAAGACCCGGCTTTGCGCCAGATGATTCATAGACACCTTGCATCACTTGAAGGTCTGTATGACAATATCCTGCGGCAGCGACCTTGACAAGAATGTCGTTTGGACCGAGGTCGGTAGGAACTTCAACGTCACGGACTTCGTAGCCTTTGTTGAAGTCCTTGACAACAGCCGCTCGCATCGTTTTGGGGATTTGATCTGCCATGGTGAATGTGATTGAAAACAACAGTTGTTTGTTTAGATATGTTAAAGAGAGAACACATGAACAGTGTGAAGTGGTTTATATTTGCAGGAGACTACTAGAACATGCAAGGGTGAGTAAATGGAACGTCATTTTGCCGGCCACCACAGCTTGTTCCATCTCAGCTTATCCCCGAAAACGTCCCGATACAACAGTCAAAGACAACAGTCAAAGACAACAGTCAAAGAAAATCAAGAAAAAATGAGCAGTGGACCTTTTGCGGAAGCTTTGGAGGTAACTGGTGTCCAATTGTAAAACCGGCTGCACTGGACCACCGCTTACTCACCCATGACGCGAATGTTCGGTAAGGCGAATCGTGCTGTGAAATTGATAACTTACACAGTTTTAGTATCTAGAAAATTTTATTTGAGCTTTCTAACTCTCGAAAATTGATGCCTGGCGAAATTTCCTTGAAGATCAGGGCGAGTGGCATCCTTCGAGAAAGGGGAGCCCCGAGTACGGAGTACCTCGTGGGAATCTACACAACATACTGCTGCCAGCTCTCTCCACAACCCCACCGAGTTGGCCTCCACCGGATTCTGTACCGGGTTTGTGGTCTAATATATCGTTCTTAGGGCTCGTATGGCTATCCTGAGGTCGTTTTTATTGGTGCCCACTTGTCACTCCAGGGATCTGACCAGGCCATCACGGTCGGCCCCACTTTTTGAGGCAATTGTCGCAAGATGCATGATGTCAAGTTATATCATGTCTTGCCACGAAATGAGCTATATATTCAAACCAAGCGTAAGCAATGATTTGGAACCTTGTACATAAGAAAGTGCTTGCGTTATTGATGAACCAACGAAATCGGCTGAATACCACCGTCCAAGACACTGTATACCCACTAGTTCACCACCCACTTTAGTCTCATCGCATCAAGACATTGCCAAAATGTCCGAGTCATACACAAGCTCCTCATATTACTACAGCTCTACCACAAACAACGGTGGCGATGCCACCAAGAGTGGCCACCGCTATTCCACATCTTCTCACACCGAACCAGACGGGACCACAATTGTTCGTACAGCCCGTCAAGATCTCGGACAACCCGCCATCGTCGAAGAAAGGCGTTATGATCAGACCGGACAAGAAGAGCTCTCATTGCCAGGACCAGAAGGGACGTCCGCAGGTGGAGTGCGGCGAATTACAGACCTGGATGAGGAAGATACAGCTGGATCTGCAGCGATTGATACAGGTAACGCATATGGTGCCTCAGCCACCGGCCAATCTATAGATGACGATGTTGACCGAGGTTCATTTGCAACAAAGGTGTATGATCCCAGTTCGGGGGCGTACGATGAACATTCCGACTATGATACGGGAAGAGGATCCCGACACCATCGCGAGATGAGGGATGCCAGCGGACGCTTGTTCCATCGTGATTTCGAGGTTGATACGGCGGGGTTCTCGTCTTTAGCTCGGGAGAAGGAGGTTTTCGATGATTCTATATCTGGTACCAGAGTGCAGCGCGAGGAAGATGTCGATGTTTCGGATATTCTGTAGCTGGAGGTCTTTTCTTGAGTTACCCGAAATAAATCCATGAAACCCATTTATCCGTCTTCAACACCGAGTCATCAAATTTATCTAGAGAGCTAGTATATAGCACATCTTGCGTACTTGAGTGATAACACAGATTAAGCACCGATTTATCGACTGAACCATTCGGCAAAACTGCCAATTAATTGTTAGCATCTGCGAAAGACGGAAATAACGGCAACGTCGACTATAAGGAAGTAGGTATAGAGGTGTGGGCTTACCCCTAACCGGAAAATCGGTTGGGGTGGGCACTGTGACAAGCAAATTTTCGAAGGAGCAGGGACCTCACACATGTAGTACATGTACTGAATTTCGAGCGACTCCATATCTGGCTCTATTCTCGGCAAGGTATATATGGCGATAATGTTCATTCATTGGAGTAGTCTATATGCACGAATGCCAAAACACATTCTCACCGAATGGTGAATCCGCCATCAACTCGGATATCCGCACCATTGATCATTCCACTGGAGTCCTATCGATCTGTGAGCATCAAACTAAATCCAGCATCACAATAATGGTATGCTTACCTGGCACAGAAACAATACCGCATCGGCAACCTCCTCGGGAAGCGCAAACTTGCCTGTCGGGATTGTCTTCAAAAACGCCTCTCGCACCGAGTCCTCACCCCATGCCTTCTGTCCAAGAGCCGTCCACGCCACAGTAGGCGACACAGTATTCGACGTGATACCACGACCTCCCCATTCAGATGCCATACTGCGATTGAGACCGAGAAGTCCAGCCTTGGACGCACAGTATGCACCATGTCGGTGAAGAGCGGCATGGGCAGCCTGCGAGGAGATGCTCACGATTCTCCCAGGCGGAGGCGGACTGGTCGATGACTCGGCAGCTTTCGATGCCGCAAAGTACAGTCGAGCAAAGGCCTGCGAGCAGAGCATTGGGCCGAGGATATTGGTGGTGAGATGTTTCATGGTCTCCTCGGGCGGCGTGGTCTCCATATCGCTGAGCGACACATAACCGGCCGTGTTGATCAAGATACTAGGGAACGCTCTCTCCATGAGAGATGACGATTCCGGCGCGACCATATCCTTCTGCAACGATCCAAAAGCCGACTCTACCGAGTCAGGCGACGTGATATCGCACTCATAGGTGCGGATGTCATCCAGGTTGGTACCGCCGTAGCCAGCCTCGAGCAGCTCATCGCGACGCTTCGCTTCAAAGGGCGCATACAGAATGACAATGCGGGCCCCTTGCTCTCTCAGTTTCTTCCCGATACTCGAGCCCAGTCCACCTATCACAAAATCGAGGTTAACTCTGTCTGCATTGTGGGCGGCTGTGGGCACCCTTGATCCCTACCTAGGCCTCCGGGGAGGACAGCCAGTCTGCGGGCGAGTGCCATGTTTGCTCAACGGATCACAAGGTCTAGCGCGAATTTAATAAGTTGCGAGCTGCGCAGAAAGAGCTAAGTAGTGCAATAAAATTGAGCCGAGCAGTGACGCTGGGGCTCTCCCCCTCGTTGCTGTTAGGCAGCTGGACGGTTTGGGAAATGATCGGTGATCTCGCCGACTTGCCACTCTGGGGCAAAAAATATGGGGAAGCTGACGTCAAGCCCTCCACCACATCCACGCTGCACGCAATTTTACTCAGTTTGGCACGTATACAGCTCAGACAGCTAATGTATAGAACCAAACCTACCACGGTCGTAATCATCACAGGAGGTTTGAGTGCGATTACGACCTATGAGACCGTAGCACATTTCGAATAGGATACTTCATAGTTCCATTCTGGGCTCGACCGCAGTGACGCACTGAGTCTCGCCCAATTATCAATAGAGCAGGCCATCTGTCGTTGAAAAAAAATCTTTAAGCCAAGCCAGACGAGTTTGAAAGTCTTCAAAGGGGCATGCGGGTGTGAAACGGGCGTTTCGCGCCCGTTTACCGGCGAAGTAGGACGGCAGACAAGTCCAGCTCATACTACAATCCCCACAGTTCAAGGGCCTGCTGCTGTTCAGCGAATTAGTAGTTAGATGTTGTGGATTTACAATGATTCCTACGACATTACGACCCGCGGTTAGTCTCACTGTCCAGATCTTGAGCACTCCATGCCCTGCATCTAGAAAATTTACGCCATGCAGCTGACAATTGCAAGCTTTGGTGCTGGCGATGATTCAGAGGCCGGCAACTCCTGCGCAAAGGGTTAGGCACCGAGCCAGAGACCCGCCCAGGCCAAGACGTATGGTGTCAAAAAGCGACCGAGACTATGCTCAAGGTACAACCCTGGTGCGAGAAGGAGCACCTCTCACCGAGCACCGTTAGCGGCTGGAATGAATGACCAAGCCTGACCAGTGAGACTCCCCGCCTACAGAAACCGAGTTATTAGTAGCATTTCCCCCATGGCAGACCAGATGGAGCAAATGCAGACGGCCAGAAGATGGTAAAGGGGGAAGGTAAAGCAGGCATGTCCTTTCGCTGGTATTGTCCAGATCAAGTTTTAACGGTAATATCTCAGAACAAGGCTACTCTCTAGAGTAAAGCCTCGAACACCCGTCATGCGTGCTCCTAAAGCTCATACTTACCTTGGCTTCCCTTCCAGGAACAAGCCACACCTCGCCGAGTGTGCGAATACCTATCATGGTTGAGCGTATTCAACCAGATATCCAATGTCCACCCAATTCTAAACAGGGACGGCATCCTTTTCCTTCTCGTTCGGCGTCACAGAGACATCGATTGTGGACGCTGTAGCACCGGTCTCCAGGTGCTGGAACCAGTCAGATTTGGACTTTCGCCACCACTCGAGCAGTGCCAGGATAGTAACACCGCCCATAATCACGATACAGTAATTGAATAAGCTGGAATCCTGGTTGATAGCACTGTCCGAGTACTGCGGTGCGCAGAGAACCGCAAAGGAGAAGCCATTCCAGATGAAGGTCACGACAGCCGCCACGACTCCAAATCGGCCCATATCCCAGAATCCCGGGCGGAAAGATTTGCGCGTGATAAAAGTCCGACCAAGACCAACGAGACCGTAGGCTGCAATTGAGCCCGCTGCCGAGGTGGAGATCAAACTCGAGAACGCCACCTGAGAAGGCAGCTGCGTGCAGAGGAGGAGCGCAGCAATGGTCGCGATGAAAATGACGGCATTGTGGGGCTGCTTAGACTTTGACACACGCGAAAGTGTATCGCTGAAGGGGAAGACACCATCACGAGCGACGGCAAAGACCAGTCGCGACACCGCGACCAGGGAGATGGAGGTGTTGAGGATGGAACCGATCATGGAGACGACGGTCATGACCACATGGGCACGGGGTCCCAATGCCATCGAGTACATGTTAATGAATGGCTGGGGCGCGCTGGTGTCGTAAAAAGTCTCGATAGAGGGCATACAGAAGAGGAACAGAACGATGATAGGGAAGCCACACACAGCAGATGCGACGGTCGCCCAGAACACACCTTGAGCAGCAGCTTTCTTGGCCGAGATCGTTTCCTCTGCGACGTGACCCGACGCGTCCTGACCCACAAGACAACTCGAGACCAGATACCAGGACAGCACCCAGTTGAGACCCGGGGTTGTGTCGCCGCCGTTGTATGTCGAAGTGAAGACATACTCCGCAGTCTGGAAACCATATGTTTTCGCGACGCCGATAGGCAGCCAGATGAAGTTCAGCAACATGTCGATAATAATGACGATGACTCCTGCACGGAAGACCCAGGAGTACATTCGCGCAGGCAGAAAATTGAGCGACGTCCCGATGCCCAGGAACAACAGCGAAAATGCCCAGGCGACGGCCCTAGCGCGCACGTCGGAGGTATCAGTCGGGAAGTTGGTGTTGGGGTCATACACGAGAATCTCGGACACCAGGTAGTTGGCAACACCAAACGAGTCACTTGCCAGGAAGGCTGTCCACGCGACAAGAGTCCATGCCGCCACCATGAACGAAATGAAGCGTCCGAGCTGGCCACCACCCCACGACCGAAAGGCCCAGTAGTAAATCGACCCCGCGGCGGGGTATGCGGAGCACGCCTCAGCGAGACAGGCGGCGGTGATGATCGCCAGAATGCTACCAGAGACCCAAGAGCTCCATCTGCGGGATCAGTTAGGGTATGGCGACAGCGCTGAAGCGGAACAGAATGACATACAGAGCTGCGGGACCACCAGCGCTGAGCGCGATGTAGAACAAGACGCGAATTCCACCAATGCAGTACAAGGCTGAAAAGGAGCATGCGAAGTTATCGAAAGAACCCCATCCGCGCTCCAGAACAGCCTTATAGCCAAGCTTCAGCAGGTCGCGATCGTCCTCGTTGATGACGGACTGGGTCTGGTCCGTGCTGTCACGAAAGTCTTGGACGTCTTGGACGTTCTTGGCTGCAGGCGCGGCAGCCATGGCATCGGCGGATCCCATAAGTAATATATACAAAGATCGCGAGGACTGGGAGGCTCGGTACCGTGAATTTCGCAAGATTGACGACAATGGCGGCTGATTCAAAGCAAACGAGAAGTGCACTTTTGCAGAGTTTTTTCTCCGACGCGAAATCACGTGTAACGATCGATGGCTTCGGTGGATCTGCTCGTACTCGCCTAGCGGAACTTTGGCCCGTGGATACTCGGCTGATATCAAGAAAATTCCAAATGAATATGGAAAAAAGTCTAAGGATGTTATGGAATTTTGAGGCAAGTTCTAAGCTTGAGAATACTCTCCACACCCGGGAAAGAGTCTGTTGGGATCATTGTTTCTCAGGAACAGCTATCCACGCTAGCAGCTCCAATGAATATACATCAAAATGGATTAGAACACGCAAGTCAGTTTCGAAGTTGCCATTAAAATGCTTCAATTTGTTGGTAAATCATCATGTATACACGTGAATGGGAGAACACGTCTCAGCAATCTATCAATTCATCTGGAAGAGACCGATAAAACATCTGAACGTTGATGATAAATCCAAGAAACACAGTTCTGGAGCCCAATCATAACTCTGGAAGATGCAATATTGAATGTCGATGGAATATAGCAAAGAGTGCACTTTCGAGGCAGCCCCCGATGTATCTTGGCGACCCTGGATATCAAGTCAGAATTTCTGACGGAGTGGAAAAGACGCGGTGAGATAGATCGATGTAACATACTAATTTCTGCTGGTTGTTTCGACAAATAATCAACTTCTTCAAAAGCATGCAGAGCATGTTATGGAGGATGATGCATCCTACCATCCCTTCGAGGGGCAGCTCGCATCGGGCTTGGTGTCCCACCTGGGATAGCAGTCGGGCAGCTTTTGGGGCAACGCCACAGCGACCGCGGCGAAAAGGCCCCAGATGGCAAGAACGTGAGTCAAACGAAGGTAGTTCATTCTGATTCTGGAGACAAGCTTGAATCTGGAGTCTCCATAGACGTGGAATTGAGCAATATTTATAATGATAGCGGTCGTGATCGGGTTACTCGTTCTAACCCCATGAGTACCTCGATTAGACCCTCTTATTGAGAGCGGTTTCTGGAAAAGCCGAAATTTGAGCCCAAAAGCCCCCAGTCAAGCTCAAATATACCTTGGACAAAACGATGTGTTGATTGGGCCAAGCAATTTGAGTTTGCCATCCGTGTTTCCGAGACAAAGAGAGGCTGCCGCATCTCGCCGAGCCAAGCCTGTCGTTGAAAAAAAAAGGTTTCTTATTGAGACCTATATTTGGTTTAGCCTGGAATGTAATTAGAAGCAAATGAAAGACGATGCCTGCCAGATCCATGTCCGAAAATCCCTGAAAATGATCGCAATGACTAAATATCTGGTTGCGCGACTGAATACTAATCCATGGGATATGAACACACCCAGTGAACGTATAGAAAGGATGTTAACTGAGCTTTTCGAGTAGTCTAGTTTGTCCATTCAGCAAGGAAGAAACAAACGGGAGCTGAAAAGTCGGAGCGGTACAGCAAAGTTTCGTTTAAGTACAATAAATTTGGCGGTCGCTAAAGATCATGAAATGACAATAATGTATCCTATCGCACAAAGCCCATCCTATAGTAATCCTATAGTAAGCTTCTTTAAGTCGCCTCACATAATTCGAAGTGTTGTACCCAGGTACTCGATTATGACTGAGCTTCGGCAGTTCATCACCACAAATTCCACCAACTAGGCCGGATCTAGTTCTTCACACAGGTCATGACATGGTTCTTGTTCATGCAGTGGTAGCCGCTGCAGCAGTTCACGAGGGAGCATCCCTGGCCGGCTATGATTACCGTCAGAACGCCGCTGATGACCCATCAGACAGGGGACGAATCGACTTACCCGAGGCACAAACATTGGAAGATGCGCTTGCAACGGTGGCAAGGACAGCAAAAGCAATGACACTGAAAAGCTTCATTGTGGGATAGCGAAGTCAATGAGCAGTTGAGAGGAATGAGAAGTATAGGGATTTGTAGTGTGTAGATGCTTGGACAATTGTTGATTTGTAGCGACCAGACGGGTTATTTATACTATAGAGAGTTCAAAAAACATGAGACTGAATTTGCATCTTATCAGATCAGATCATCCGATCCGCCGGCATCGGATCGGGAATTAGGATCATTGAAAGCATATGATCCACATCCCAATTTTTGGCCCCAAATCTGACATCAGCTAACAGTGCTAGTGGAAGGGTTAGACCGAGATGAGATTGCCACTGTCTTACCCTCGCACTAAATATGAATGAAAGTCTTCAGTTCAAAATCCTCGCTAGCATAGAGAGATGCAGGAGAAGATGTTGTGGAGGCTAGCATAATCTCTTCTTTTGAAAATTCGAAGTCGATGGCAGAAAGCACTATCTTCGTGTCACTAATCAATTAAGCTTCAAACTCACTTACAAATGCTAGTAGGCATGTCTCAGATGGTTACACCAATGGAATTTAATTGAGAATCGGCTATGATCAAGCAATTCTAGGTCGAGGTGGCCAAGCGAAGGGCAATTTCCGCTACAGCCGGTTTTTCCGCTCTGGATCAACGTCTTCCGTAACAGATACTACCCTCGATCATTCTGGACTTGAACTTTCTGAAAACGACCAATATAATCGAAATATACCCGCATCCCAAGAGTGCTGTGTCCAGACCGATATCACTCAAAAATGCAAGAAGGTAAAGTAAGTTCATTCTCACTATGGTTGGACTGAACAGCAAAAAAGAGAACCCAAAGGGAATAAACAGTAATGAAAGTACTCATATTGATGGTGCACAGTAATCATGCAACAACACTCGCATCTCTTTCCCCTTTCAAAGACGGGACAGATTGGCGAACTCGCCTGGGGCGTGGTAAGTGGGCACCTTCATATCCAAAGCGGCGCCGGAATAGCCGAGGTCCTCTGCAGTGAGAACAGCACATTTCTCGCCAATGAGGAGAGCAGTCTGAAAATTATTTCCGGTTATTTGTCATTCCTTTTGAGGACTTGGGAGAATGTAGAGAACTTACACTGAAAGTGTTGCAACCCACATTGTCGGGGCAGATGGATAAATCGCAGACCTTGAGGCCCTTCACGCCATGAACGTTCAAGCGCTCATCAACAACGCCGCCGTGGGGAGCGATGGAGCTTCCCTCGCGAGGGGCCATGCTGCATGTTCCGAGCGAGTGCCAAGTGGTTTCAACATGGCGTTGAACTTTGCGATTGAGTTAGAAGATATTAGACGTGACAAATATTTCCGGATTGAGGCTCACCCCATTTTTCAATATGTGCGATATCCTCCTTGCTGTATTCGAGGTCGTCGCGAGCTTCCACCTTATTCGAGTTGAGAGAAGTGGATTTAGCTGGTTTTCCAACCTCAAGGGGCTGCGACCAAGAACCTGGTGTGCTTGCGTGAGACTTTGAATCACTGAAAGATGCATGCTCAGAGCTTACCATGTTGAATACCCGCGGAGATATGATTTGGCCCGGCATACGCTTTGGTAGTTGCAAGATCGAGGTCAAGTGCTCGAGCGGGCGAATTGTATGCAAAGTGGGGGTGCATTCCTGTCACTTCGCCGGCGTAGGCATTCATGCGTCGTGCGGTCTCGCGGGATTTAATGTAGCCCCAGACCATGGGCGCCATGTCCCGTTTATCGTTCATGAATCCTGCATCGAAATCAGGTGTTTCGTAGGGATCGGCTGACTTGATGTGGGTCGAGCCGCGTGAGAACGGGTATTCCTGATTTCATTTCGTCAGTCGAAGTTTCATGAAGAGATGCAAACTCAATATGAGAGTGTCCAAGAATACTAGTACTCACCAGGAAGTGGAACATGGTGAAGAATTTGCCCGGGGGCATGTGCATATGATCTCCGAACCATCTGCCCATCTGTTAGCACGGCCATCTATACGCAGGCTCGGATCCTTGAACATACCCTGAGATGACCGAATAGTGCATGACCGGCTTATCGGGCTTGTTCTTGAAGTAAGAGTGCCATCCGCTGTCGAATTCCGGAGTTGGCCACTTCTTCATCTCACTCAGCTCTTCCTCCGTCGGGCGAATCTTCACGCCAGCGTCGATGCCATTAGTCGCCAGGGGGCCAGTTCCCTTGAGATTCCACTCTTCGAATACTTTCTCCTGCACCTTTGGGTCTCCCCGAATGAAGTCGTCGAATGTCTCCACGTCCGGCTTGGCCCTGAAGACAGAGAAAGTGAGGTAATGATCCTGGAAGTTGCGACCAACGCCAGGGAGATTCACCAGGGGCTTGACGCCAGCCCGACGCAACTTCTCGGGCTCGCCGATTCCAGATCGCTGAAGAATCAATGGCGAGCTGAGCGTGCCTCCGCTGATGATAATTTGCTTTCGGGCGCGGAAGACCTTGCGAACGGGCTCACCTCCTCCTAGGGGTTTGGTCGGGACGGTTTCCACACCCACAGCTCGGCCATTTTCGATGATCACGCGCGCAACCTTGGTGTTGCACTTAAGGTGGAGGTTAGAGTGTTTCGCGCGGGTGCTGTGGACATACGCGTGGGCGGCATCGCTTCGCCTCCCGGTATCGCGGTTGATCCACTTCAGCCAGTGTTCGGCTCCGTGTCTGCAAGAGCACTCCGTCATTAGCACAGATAACAATTAGAATATTGGGAAAACATGTGAGATCTCACCCGGTCGTCAAGTCCTGCAAGTCGTCCGTGACTGGGATATCCTGAGATTCGGCAGCACGAAGGAAATCCTCCTTGATCGGGTAGGTGTAGTTACCGAAGGACACCTTGATGGGTCCGTCGAAACCGTGCAGGTCACGATTGCTTGAGGCCCGCTGGTAGGTCTCATATTTCCTCATGAGAGGAAGGAGCTCCTTGGTCGTCCAGCCCTTGGCTTGGAAATCGTCATAGTCTGAAGCAGACGCCCTGGTATACATCTTGACAAGGGTCAGAGGCTATTGAGACATCAGAGACAGGGATATGGTTTCCACATACCATAAAGTTGATCGAGCTTCCACCACCAAGAATATTGGCACATGGAACAATCGCTTGTCGTCCATCGAGATGTTCAGAAGGACGAGAGTGGTAGAAGGATGCGGTCTTTGAGTCAAGCTTCATGTTTGTAGGATAGATGCCGGGTCGGTAGACCCTATCTGGGTGTGAGAGCAAGACACAAAGTAAAATCCTGGATTGGCCTACCATGGGTTGTTCAAGTTGTTCTCTCCCGCTTCAATCAAGAGAACGGAGAGGTTGTGGTCAAGATTGGCCAGCCGGCCAGCCGGCACGCATCCTGCACTCCCACCACCACATATGATGATATCAACCTCGTCCGGGATCGTCATATCTGCCTAGTGTTTAATGTCAAGTAAAGTTGTTCTGTTAATCCTAAATAAGGGTTTGGGAGAAATGAGAGTAGGGAAATTAGGCAAAAAGTCCTGTTCACTCTTTTTATACCCAGGCTACCCCACCCGTCTAGAAAGAATGCCAACAATACACCCTGTTCTAGAATTGACAACAAAAGCAAATTGACTCCATCAAGTTACCCCTCATGCGGGGATAGACTTCAAATGATGGGCAGAGATAGTGGGAAAAAAAGCCACAACCTGGGGCCCAAGATGCTCGGCCTTTACCTTTGGAAAGGGTGACTTGGTTTCGCAAATTCTCTCTGTCGCAGAGACCATTCAAATAGCTGGCCTCAGGATAGTCGGCTTTTGTTGAGAGTACACTAATATCCTTGTCTGATGCTATCTCAAATCCTGCACCTCAAATTGATGTGTTCTGAATCCGGCCTTCCGCGTCCGTCTTAACTCGGTGATGTCGATGTACTTCGCGAAATACATGTACCACCTCACTGCCCGTTTCATTATGCGGAGTGCATGCGCCTAGACTACGCCAATGCTGACGACGGTGCTGACATCTGCTTATGCGGTTCTCAACTTGAGGAAAATGGAGAACAGCTGCGCAACGCACAGCTCGATGCATCGGCCATTAGTTTTAAAGAGGCTAGTATTTCACAAAGTTGCTCAATTACATGAAAGGAGTCTATCAAACGCTCCACAAATTCCAAATGTTGATAAATTGATGGCTATAATATCGAGCTGCTGGAGGTTCCTAGGATTTCCTGCACATCTCTGATAGGTCGCGAGGAGAGCGGGGAATGGCCAAAAAGACCAAAGGAAACCTTGTCATGCATAGATTCGCCGGGAATCCGAACAAGTCATGTCTACTATTGCTGGAACGCAGTGCACGTAGATGTCTTGAGTCATGACCCTGCTCATGTGGGGCGTGATGCGGATCCGTTTGTACCTGATACCTGCCAAGTTTGTTCTTTGCTGACAGCTGTCCTTCTGGGGTGGGGCCATTTCCTTGTATTTGTCCCTTCAGAAGGAAGCAAATGTGAATACCACGAATAGACATGTGCCTAGAGTAATACTGGTTTCATAATTTATGGCAAGGAATTGAGAGTTTTCCTTTCTGGCAATGTAGCAATGGAGATCCGTTTAGTACGGCGATTGTAGAATGTGCTTGCCACCTAGCCCCGCGCCAAGATATCTCTCGACCAGTTTGAAGACATTGGCACTCATTATTGGTGCGATGGAAAATTCCGCTCAACGGGATCCGGCCAGCTGCATTATGCGGGGGCACTAGACGCAAGGAGATCATGCTCCGCATTCCCCGCCTCTTGTACCTCTGAGATGTACTAAGGGTGGATCTGAGAGGACTTTGTTTGAAATACAGCGCTGTATTAGAGCTACCGGGCAAAAGCCGAGTCTATGCTAGTCTCGAAAGTCCCCGTTGAGTTTTTATAGATTCCCGTCTGATCTTCCCCGCTTCAGATGACACGGAGCGCTCATGTATGAGATGCAAGCTCCCTATTTATGGTAGATCGAGAAAAGGCCAAATAATATAATTGCAAGTCCCATAAACCTGATGAAGGAGGTCTCTGAGTGAAAGCCCATCCACTAGAATGCAGCCCAGTCTCGTGGTGTCCAATGTGTAGCCGTCGCTCCGTTCAAGTCGACCTTAGGGGGTGATCTTATCTTCTTGAACCGTCCAATAAATGATCATGAAAATGAGCTCTCTAGCATCCACGGACTGTGAACAATTTACTCTCGATTTTTTCTGCTGACTCTTCTTGTTTCAAGCGTGGATTGCCAGTGTTCTTCTCTTCCGGCCGGATTATCCAAGGCACCGAGATAACCCCGACAGTGTAATTCCCAGAGGTTGTGTGCATTTGGCACTATCTAGCCCTCTCTTCGACTTTCACTCGAATATTTCAACCAGAGAACAGGACTATTGATGTCTGTGTAACGTTCTGGAGTCCATCACACATAGGCCGCCCTACATGCCTTAAGTCAGGGGACACAAGGTTAAGAGCTCGGGCCGAGAGCCGCGCAGGGTACCACAGCATCGGCATCGGCGGATGCAAGTAGGCATATAGAAGTAGCGCACAGGGAGACCGGGTCGATCTGCCTATTTTATCCTGTGGCCTACTTCTAGCTGTACACTATTATTACTGCTAGATACTCATGACTACTACACTAGACTGGTCTCTGAGAACCCCCAGATTGGCCCCCACGGCCGTCCCCCGGAAAAGCGGGGAAACTCTCGGCAGATGGACACGAGATGGCCCCCTCCTGATCTCACGCGTCAACCGAGCTTCTCTCGCTGCGGTCGACCCTGAATGAACCCAGCCCAACCGCGGCTGCTCCTTTCCTCCCGTCACTCCTTCTCTGGCCGTGGACATGGTCCTCAAGGCATGCGATCGGTGCCACTCCGCCAAAGAAAAATGCACCTTCGCCGGCGATAGCCCGCAATGCACCCGATGTCGTCGGCTCAAGCTCTCCTGCTCTATATCTCGTCGCAACCGCCGCATCGGGCGACGACCCGCGGCAAAGGCCTTCCCACATGGCCAGATGCAGGTCTGGAGTGCCGAGCCCCAAAAACACCAAGACGAGTCCGGGTCCCGCGACGCCCGCGGCAATCCCAGCACCACTCCCAGCAGAAGCACCAAGGCACGATATCCCTCTGAAGCCTCGGAAGTAGTACGGACGCTCGATCGCGACCTGTCGCTGGCCATGGGCCCTGAAAAATTACTCGCGTCCCCGACCAGTCTGCGCACAACGGGAGATGCATTCCGCACCGTGCTGGATATCGAGAAGTTTTCCGTCATCCATATGCCCTTCATGTGGGGACCTAGCTTTATCCCGGTTGCTCAAAAGACCGTCTATGGAATTCTCGCCTTGTCGGCGCCGACCCTGACCGAGGGGTATCTCGCCTTTCTGGGGCTGATGACACGCTATCAGAGATCGCTGGTGATGCGACAAGATGAGCCCGACATGTCCAAGGCGGCCATGGGCCTGCAACGCTTGCGAAGTGTCAAGATAGCTCACGATTACGATGCGGCCTGCGCTCTCTTCCTGGGGCAGACCATGTATGTCTTCAACGTACTCACCGCGCCATTTTCCTCCTCTGCCCACTCCATTGTGCGGAGTTCGCTCATGTCCACCAAGCAGTGGATGCCCCGATTAATCCGCATCCCCATCATGGACACAATAACCATGACTCCGATCCTGATCGACACCATCGAGTGCCTGGCGCACCGCGAAATTCCCATTGTGCGCCTGTCCGACACCGGCCGCATCATCATCGACCGATATGCTGGTCTGTGCGCGACCCTCCTCCCTCACCTCTATGATATCTGTACCTGGAGCCACGCCCAGAAGCGTGAGGTGCGCGATACAGCATCAGAATCGCCCTCGCATATTTATGAGCGGCTGGCCGATATCGAGCAACAAATTCAGCGCTGGGCACCTCCATCACCACCCCAATTATATACCGATTTCACCCAGCACGAGGTCCTCGCCATGGTAACCCAAGCCAGTGTTTATAGACTCGCGGCCCTATTAGTTATACATCGCCTCCGATACCCACTGGGCATCGAAGATGAACCCGCGCGTTTTCTGGCCAGCGGCATCTTTTCCGAATTGTCATATTTTGTCAAATCGGATGCCACCAAATCGACAGCATTGCCGGTGGTGTTCCCCTTGACCCTGGCCATGTTCGAGATCGAAGGGCCTGGGGAGGAATTGTGGGAACAATTAGCGGCCTTCACCGTACAGAATATGAGTGCTGTACGGCTCCAGGGATTCGTCAAGCAGGTCCGGGCCGCGCGGGATTCCGGGTATGGGGGCCTCTGGTTTGAACTGGTCGACAGTCAACTGCATGTGGCCATGCCTCCTTAAATGTCGTTTATGGGCGATCCGCCAAGAAGGCCGGAGCCTAGTCTATTCCCATTTTGATCCATCTTAGCCAATTTAATTGATGTCAGCATGAGCATGAAATCATCCGAGGGTCGCCCCGCCCACGACAACTGTAGATAAAGTTGACTAAACACAAAACGCCCTGTCGTTGGCGACCTATGACAGTGCTCGGAGGCCGCGACCGAGCCGGCGCTCGAGGTGGTCCGCGGACACTAAAGAGGGAGGATCTCCCCGGAGCTCAAGGGCTGTCAAAGCTTCGGCCCCGGAGATGCCCCGAACGGGTAAGAAAGTGCCGGGCTCTCCACCCGATTCTGTCCTGACGCGCCGCCCGTGCGCAACGCTGTGGCTAACCTCATCCAGCAGAAACTGCCCGGAAAATGTACTCGTTGACGCTCGTTGATGCAAGAGGCGACGAGGCCCGTCGCTTGCATTTATTATCCCTGTCGCCGGTCGTTTATGCTGGACTTTCTTCAAACGCGAGGACATACCCCTATCGCACCCAAGACAACTCAGATTACTTCCGAGACGATAATTAGTCTATGCACCACACGCAGGGCGCATCATAACGCTGATACAGCTCAACTTCTTATCTACGCTATCTCTCCCAGCGGACATTTACGCGCTTCGGATCGCCTCTAAGCCCAGAGACTGGTGGGACACCGATTCCCACTCCGAATTAGAACATACAAGCGGCAGATCGCCTCGCTACGAAGCTTTGCCGCTCCACTCCGCGCGATCTCATGCTGTGCTGCGATAGAAGACGAGAAGAGAAAGACCGATCGACCACGTAATGGATCAAAGACATCCGAAGAGGTGCGCCCCCATGGTGATCTTGGAGGATTCCACTTTCTAAATAAAACCATTTGACCTAGACGACGAATGGATTATCCACACTCCCCATCGACTTCGCCCACGGCTGCTCAGCAGTGGGGTCATGGGAACCTTCCATGCTACCCATATCCAATCAAGACAAATGTCCATCAGCCTGGAGTAGATGGACATCTAGCCTTCGCGAACGATGCAGCTGCCAAGTGGTCTGAAACGAGCGCAGCCCCAGCCTGTCAGTCATCAACCTTCAGCCTCGGTGGTAGCAGCCAAGCTAACTTGCTGTGTGATCATAGCTCTGAGCACACCTCCGTTGAGCCAGCCTTCCTCGATCCACCTTCCGGAGGAAAATGTCTGGTCCGCTTTTACGAACTTGCAATCCGAGGGATCTACTCCACAGGGAATGAACCCACAGGCGTTCCTCCCGGGCTTCATCAAGCCTTTACCGGCAATGATAAATCCGGCCACGCTTGAATGCCTTCACCTGAACGGTGTCTTCGCTTTGGCAAATCCGCCCCTTCAGAATGCTCTGCTTGGTGCATTCGCCGAATGCGTTCTCCCCTCCATGCCAATCGTCGAATGGCAGAATCTTTTCCATGCTATCCATGGAGGTGACGGTCAACATGGCTCGGTCAGCCTACTCCTCTACCATGCAATCATGGTCTCCGCAACAACATTCGTCGACATCGGCTATATCGTCGAAGCCGGTTTCTCCAGCAGACAGGAGGCGCAGGAATCCTTCTTCCAAAAGGCTAGGGTAAGTCAGGGACCAAGCATGTGATCGGCCCCACTGACTAACGGGTTAAATGTCCAGCTCCTTTATCAAGCCAATATCGAGTCAGATTCCTTGATAATCGTGCAATCGTTTCTCTTGATGACATATCGTCTCGATACGGCAGATGGAGACGACAGTCGTCATCTGGTCGGAATCGCGATCCCCACTGCTCTATCCATCGGCCTGTTTCAAGATGTCTCCCAGGCCATCAACTTCCCTTATCGCCCCACCTTGTGGCGACGGATTGCCTGGGCATGTCACGTCGTGGACTGTCAGATTGCGCTGCGACTACGACGCCGACCGATCATTCAACGTGCGGACTTTTGTCACCAGATGATCTCAGAAGATGACTTTGAATTGCACCATCAAAATCTAGCAATGGCTCACGAGCTAAGCCCATACCACAACTTCGCAGCGAAAAGAGAACTAGCCCTCATGTTCATCGCCAACGCGCGATTGTCAGTATGTATACGAAATGTCCTAGACGTGCAATGCAAAGAAAGTCAGCTCCGTGCTTCGACCTCACCAGCAACACCAACATCAGCGGTAAGCGACGACTCAGATTATTCGCAGAGCGTCTTTATTTCCGAGCGAATGTTATCCGAATGGGCCAACTCACTGCCTGTTAATTTTCAAACCACACCTCAAAACCAAGAAGAAGAGGCCGCGATCACCGTCCAACGTAGCCTTCTCCACATGACCTTCTATACGACAATTGCAGTTTTCCACCAAGCACGACCCTTTCCGTCCTCGAACTTCTGCGTACAACACGCCTCTCGGCAGATCACATTAGTTGCGTTTGACCTCCATCGAAGGAATCTACACAGACGACTCCCCATTGTTGGCGTGACGGGCATTCTCGTCGCGCTTGTCATTCACATCTCGGAGATGAAGGCACCGCCTTCACCGCAGAAAGATGAAGCAACTAAGAACTTCCAGTTGGGCCTGGAAATGATGGCCAGCCTGCGAGATGTGTATTCCGAGGCGAACAGGGTCACATCTTGGGCACTAAAGTTTATCCAGCAGACTTCTGTGCTATCAGATAGTCCTCTCCATGGCTTCCAGTCACAAAATAGAGGGTTCGGAAAAGCGAGTGGTATGTTACAGTCGGTAGGCTCTGCGGAGTCGATAGGAAGCGCCAGCGAATAGTCAGTTAGTTAATTACTAAAATTACTAATATTATATTCTAATAAAACAATTGATGATCTGCTAGTGTCTACTCCAAGTTTCTGAATTGAAGTGGTTGGTTTCTTTCAGTACAATACGAGTGGCCAAAGAGTAATTTGTGGACGGCAATGGTTGAAATCAGGCTCTCTCAATTTCCGAATACGACTAGTAAACCAGTGAAAACTATGACGAAGCACTAGACTAAGGCAAATTCATTGAAACCAGCTTCCTGAGATTGAATTGATGGGTCTGTGCCACATCCTGCAAGACCGTGCACAAAAGCTTAAACTAAATTCCCGAACCCGTAACTTTGCATGATTCAAAACTATCTCCAGACCCATTACTTCGCACTTCACGCCCAGTTTGCCTTCCATCAAAACGCCATAACACCAGCATCCCCTTGTCATCATAGCCAAACGATTCTTGGCCACGGACTGAGCTTCACAGGGAAGGTCCGAGGAGATTCACCCAATTATTTGGCTTGCGAGGTCGAGTGAGGAGGAACGCATACTTGTCCTCCTTCTTCTCCTTGCGTTTCTTCTCAAGCACCGACTGTCGATACATCAACAACTTGGCGCCGAAACAACCTGCGACATGACGTCGCAACTCCTCCACCGTATATGTCAAGCTGGTTCGTCCGCAAAGAATCCGGGCCTTGTCGAACGTTCGTGCGTCAGGGTCTACTCCGAGCATCTCGTACTGCTGGGAAGTTATTTCGAATGGCGACGAACAGATGGACCAGCAGCCAGCACAGCGATACGTCTGAAGAGGCTTCTTGCTACCATGCGGGAGCGTCGGCAAGAGGGTCGTGGTCCTGCCGTAATAACCTTCCCATGGGGGCATAGGGTCGTGGGTCTCGGGGAGTGATTTGAGCAGGGCCATATCTGCGTTCAGAGGGTCCAAGTTCGCAACGCGGAAGAATCGGTATCGGATGCTCTCATTCATATCGAGGGTTGTCGGTCGACGGAAACGATCTGGGATAATGTTTTCCGCTTCCAGGTCTAGGTTCTTCTGTGTTCCGTGGACCTTTAACGCGGCTGCCTTGACACTTTTCACGGCGACGAACTCTGTGGGGTCAATTTTTTGGCAAAGGGGCTCTGATCCGAGCCACACATATTTGGTGGAGAGCATGATCGGGAGTTTGTGGACGAAGGTGGCGGGCAGGGCAAATGCCTTGATGGCTCGGAAGATCTCGATTCCCCAGTAGGCCTGGTTGTAGTAGGCACAGTTCTCGCACAGGCGTTCGCAGGTGGGAAGGAAGAGCAGTGTACCGCGTAGACCGCAGGAACGGCAGTAGGCGTAACGAAACTCGCAAATGATCTGGTTAATGGAGTGGTCGCGGCCCAGGCCCACGCATCGAATGATGGGAGGCACCATAGGTGCCCACTTTCGGAGCATCACTAATCCTGTCTGGTGGGCGCTGAAGTATCTGGCGAGTTTGCAAGTTCGACCAAAGGTCTCAAGCCAGTCGGGTTCCAGACATCCGAGGATGTAATCCAGAATCTCGCCAGGGAATTTGTCCAGGGTTCCTAGTCCATAAGACTGCTCTGGAAGGTCGGAGGTGATATACTCACGATATCCGGCTGTGTGAGAAGAAATTAGGTGCGCGCTGAGATACATCGGGTCCCTGCTCAAGTGCCTGGTCATGTCTTCGTCGCTCCAAGCCCGGATGTCGGTGATCAACCGCCATTGTTTTTCATCTTCCAACCACTCCTTGAACACCTTCTCTCCCCAGATGCCGTTGGACATGATGGCAGCCGGCAAAAATGTTTGGTTGAACTCGCGCTGCCGATGCTGAGGCCAGTGAACCTTGGAGTGGTGAACAGAGACGGTATCTTCGGGAGTGGAAAGATCGACCAGAGAGCCCACGCTTCAGATTTAAGAATCGACAGATTAGACGTAAGCAGAACGGATGAGGTGGATAAGAATGAGTAGGTTGGAGGGGGTCGGTGTGGGGAGAGAGGCAGGTGGGCGGGAGGTTGTGGTTGAGAGAGGCAGCGCGGCCATAAACAAGAAGGCAGAGGTAAGAGGGTGGTGCACGACGAACCTCGCGTTTTCGCAACCCACGTGTAGTCCCAAGCGCGTCACAGGTCACAGGATGTTATTTAGTTCGGAATAATGGCGGCATTGCTCGGTGATAATATCATCCTCTACTTTCATAGTGTTACCTGATTGGGATACTACATACAGTGGCAGGCAGTAACAAGGTAAACAACACGACGACACTCATGTCCCGCATCGCCGTTGAGATTTTGAACATGATGTATATTCAAATATTACATTTCTGAAAACCCATTGAGACCCCAGGGCAAGCCGTAAACACAGATGCTCCTCGGGTAAAGTCGCTGCTATCAATATACAAATAGTCTACTCCACCTCTTCCATCGGGTTTGAGAGATGGTCTGTTCGCACGAGATAATCATCCTCATCATCCTCTACCGCTCCGTCGGCCATGTTTTCATCATCGCCCTCTAGAGAGGCATCGGAGTCTCCCCCAGTGCGAGCAGATTTGCCTTTCTTGTTCGAGGCCTTCCCCTTGCCCTTGCTGCTCGAGATCGAAGAGCCACTCGCACTCCGAACAATTCCTCCAGGCCATTGTTTCAGACCTTTGATCCGGCCATGAATCCCTCCGGGGAACGGGCTATCACCATTCTCAGCAGGCGTCTCCACAGGGATTTCGGAGCCCGCTCCCAGGTTGAACGCCTCCATGGCTTCTGCGATTGTCTGCGGCGCGGCAGCACCTGGGTCCTGCTTAGACTTGTCGACCGCCTCGAACGTCTGTCGAATCCGCTCAAAATGTTCAAGTTCCTTGGCACTGCACAGCTGTTAGTTTCGACATCCTGCTTTCCTTTCGCACCGATATAGTATCACTTACCTGACACTGGGAACCAGTTCACCCTGCGCCGCCAGAAAGTCTTCCTCGGTGACCATGACCGAGATGTCCTCCGGGGTTGCCAGGTGATCGAAGAAATAGGCGGTGCTGACCGGCCCGCCGGGCAGCTGTTTGATCTTTTCATCGACCGCGCTCGACTTCCGAGTGATGGCCTTGAGCATGGAATCCGAGCAAAGGGCATACAGATCGGCACCGGTGTAGGTCAAAGGTAGACTCTCAGCAACTCGGTCCAAGGACAGATCCGGGTGTAGAGCAAATTTCCTGGTGAGTGCTTCCAAGATAGTGGCCTGCTTTCTATGCGTATCTGACACACCCAGGTACAGCATCTTATCGAATCGACCAGGGCGAAGAAGCGCGGTATCCAACAAGTCGGGACGATTGGTAGCGCCAATTACGAAAACACCACCGCTGTTCTCCTCGCCACCGTTCATGCCATCCAGCTCGGCGAGAAGCTGACTGACGATACGGTCCATGACACCACCACTGTCTCCCTGGTTACCACGCTTAGGCGCAACCGAATCCAATTCATCGAAGAAGACAACACAAGGCCGAGCATCACGAGCGCGCTGGAACACACGTCGCACGTTGGCTTCAGATTCACCGATATACATGTTGAGCAACTCGGGACCCTTGACGGAGAAGAAGTTGAGCGAGAACTCGGTTGCAATCGCCTTGGCGAGCAGAGTCTTTCCGGTACCAGGAGGACCGTAGAATAGAATACCACTGCGCTTCTTCATACCCTTGGCAAACAGCTCGGGTCGCTCGAGTGGCAGTTGAATAGTCTCGATCAAAGCGTCCTTGACATTGGTCAAACCACCAACATCATCCCAGCCAACGTTGGGAATCTTCGGTGCGCCGATAGAATCAGCGAAGTTCTTTCGGGCAGCTTCAACAGCGAAATCAAAGTCTGCCTTGGTCACACCCCGCGCGCCATCTCCACCGGCAATTAGAACGTCCCTGACGTAGACCTGCGACTCTGGCAGCTGCTTGCTAGCAGTCTCAGCCAGCTTCTCGATACGGGCCGTTCGGGCTCCGGCAGCCCGCTCCACGACGTCAACCAAGTCGCCAGCAACCAATGCAGCGGTCTTCAGGGCAACGGTTCCCAGATCCACATCGGCAGACAGCTTGATACCACGCTCAGCAACCGCATTGCGTAGCATACCCTCACGCTCCTTCTCTTCGGGAGCGCCCATCTCAAATTCATGGGTGAACATGCTACGGATGCCCTCTGGGATCTCCTCAACGTCACTTGTGGTGGCGATAATCACTCGGGCCTCGTTCACAATATCGGCCATGGCAGTGACCATTCGATCAGCAGTCAACACCTCGATATGTTTGATCAGCAAAGCGGTACAGTGGGCCCCGCAGTGGAAGGCTCTCTCGGCTCTGGCCTTGAGGTATGCTTCGGTCTTGACATCACCACCGTTGGCCCCACCCTCTGTGAGGATATCGTAGGCGTCAATGGGGAATGTGTGCAGACCGACGTCGGCACATGCCCGTGTTGCGACGGTTGCTTTGCCGTTATGTCTTTGCTGGGATTTCAACAGAATGACAACTGGCTTCATGCCTAGTTGAATCGCCCGAGGACTGGTAGCCGCAGCCATCAGGTCTCGGATTCGTTGCTGCAGAGGAGGAATGAAAACTTGAGGTGGGTCGGCAACAATTCCATGTGGCGGTGGGACGTCACCGATAGCCTTTGGAATCTTCTTAGCTCCAAGCCAGTATTCCCAACCGTTACCCAGGATACCAGGCACTCGGCTCACATCGCTGCCGGCTTGAACCATACGCGTACTTGTCGGGTCAATGACAGCCACTCCACCCCACTGATCTTCGCCGGTCTCTTCGAGTTCCTCAACGCTAGTCGGGGCGACTTGTCCAACACGGAACCAAGCAACACCGACCTTACGGGCTTGGGTGTTGTCGGGGGTAGGTCCTTGGCCTAATCTGGCAGTAATGTCATCCTCCTGGGCACTGTCACCACCAGAAGTTCCAGAGAATACCGCTCGGCCGAGTCCCTCGTCAACACTGATACCGACAAGGTCCCCACTCTTCAGGATTCGGCGTCGAGACTCGAAGTATTGCTTGAGTCCGGCAAAGAGAGCTGGCTGGAGCACTCGATCCATAGAAAGAGGCGTAGAAACCTTGAGAAGGGTGACTTCCTTAGCCAAAGGTGGATTCTTCGCGGCGCTGTTCTTCATCTGGTGCAAAAGGCCAGGCTTCGTGACACCATTGGTCGTGGCAAATATCATGGGGGAGATGCGGAGATATTTGGGATTCTCAATGTTGCTCAGGAGTAGTGGGGGAACGAAGACGGAGGGGGTCAGGCGCGCGGGCGCACGCTGCGAGAAGCTCGAACGGCGGCCACCAGAAGGGTTGATGGCATAACGAGGCTTCGGCGAGGGCAGGCCAGGTAGTCCAAAGACTTTAACAGGGCGCCACTCACTCGATTCCTCGGGGGAATCATTGAAGCTTCCAAACTGGAGCGACGCAAACATATTCAGCTGTGGCTCCTCGGCTGCTTCAATTCGAACCCAGTCACCGGAAAAGCAGCCGATCTTGGCAAGAGTACTAATGTCCACAAAGATGAAGGAGTCGACATCCTCATCGTCGCGGGGACGAGGGTGGAGTACTTCGTTTGGCACCTGTTGCAGCAAGCCTTCAACCTTGAATGTCTTGCCACCACCACGACCGGGTCGCATCGTAGCTGATGTGAAGTTCGATGTAACCGAGCCTGGTGTATGAATACCATCCATCCGTCGTCCGCCGGCCCTGGGTGTTGCCGAGGTCATTGAAGACATGACGCCCGAGGGCGGCTGTGGAAGCTCCGGCGCCGAGAGAGAAATCATGTCCTCCAGTGAATCGTCGGATGAATCACTGGCGGAGCCAACCGAGCCTTCTGTCTCAGATTCCTCGGCCGCAGAGGTAGTTTCCATCTCAGTTCCGCTCTCGCTAGGCTTGTCCTCGGCGGCGGAATAGAATTGTTCGTTGGAGGTATCGTCGGCCTCATCTTCGGCTACTTGCTTTAGGAGGGCAGATCTCGGCGGGAAAGTCTGTGGTGCACGGTGACCCTGGGGACGAGCTTGGACGAGAACGACTTTGGTGCTCGGCATCAATAGACCCTGTGATACTGGCTCACAGAATGAGATCCGCGCTGGTGGAGCGGGAGCGTAGGTGATTGGGTGGGGAGGCAAGGGAAGGGGAAGCACATCGCCAGCATGGACTATACGCTGGGCACCCAATGCCTCACGCACAGCCGCCGTCAACCGTTGTTCTGCATCGGCCGCGGCCTTCTTGGAGAGCTTCTTCGTATCAGCACCCTTGCCTTTGCCCCAAACACCATTTGGCACATGCGCATTTCCGGAGAAGCCACCGCCAAATTTACTCTGGACGTCATCATGGTTGCGGAGCAGATGCCGCTCGACCGTTACGAATATCGTGTCTAAATGCAAGGGGGTCACATCGAGGATCCGGATCTCCACCGCCCGGTGTGTCAGCAGTGAGTTACGGGATGAGTCCAATTTTCCCAGGGCCTGAAGGAATGGCTGAAGGGAGTCCGCTGAATCGGGGAAGAGAACAGTCGAGTGCGATATCGGAGCGTGTGGCCTCTCCGTCGTCTGGATGCGCACCGGCAGAATCGTCCACGACTGATCTTCCACGGAGGAGAAACTCGGGGAATGCGGGGAAACAGCTACATAGAGCACACCGTCATTGGTCGCAACACCTAATGAACGTTGACAACCAGTTAGTCAGTTTCAATTTCGATCCCATCGTTCGTTTTCACCGTTATCAGCCGACGTCGTTACTCACCCTGAATGGCCTGCTGCGGGAAGAGGTTGCTTGCGAGATCCTGGGATAAGACACCAACGTTGCCACGCAGCTGAGGGTCCAACGTTAGGCGCGCAGCAACAGGAGGTTTGTTGCGCTGGCGCCGTTTGCTAGCTCTCTTCCGGCGCTGTCTAGGCTGGTGGGAGCTTTGCCCGAAGTGCTCGTAATCCATTGCGGCGCGGGGGCTCCCAATTGCCGTCGGGAAAAAGAGCGGAGGAATGGAGAAGGGCGAGGTGATGGAGAACGGGGGTTAAGTGGGCGCTCACCAGGCCGACACTCTCATCGGACAGAAAGGAAAGGTCGCAAGCAACGGGGATCGCGGGGAGAGGACGAAATGCGCCGGACAGAATCCGGGGGAGGTCAACATGGCGGTTCGGCACCGCCCGCGTTCTGCCACTTCCCGAAGCCGAGGTCCAACAGCCCGGCTTCAAGTACGTGAAAATTAGCCTTGCTAGATTTCTCCGGATAGTGTCGATTACTAAATGTCAGATTTTAATATTTCGATAATGTTTGGGATTCCAGGGTCGATGCCGGAATGCTGGATGACGATATCCGACCTGCGTGTTGGCCAGTGACGCCATTGGTGTTCGGCCTGTGATCCGCAAGCATGGACTCTTCTCCGGCTCCGAGGTGTAACCTCATAGTTGCTCGTCTCGACTTTTTCTCAAGACCATTATTCTACATTCGTATTTGACCAATCTCTCGGGGCTTCGGCGCTCTTCCGATTCAGCCATGGCTCTTTTTTCTGGGGATATATATTTTCAGCATAACTTAAGGTAGTCCTATGTTTAGCCACGGCGGTTACGATATGAGATTATGATGGAGTAGATATATTACAATAAGAGCACCGTGGTGCTCTCAACAGGGCCTATGAACCATTCGTATTCAACACGCATTATTGTACCACCACGACGCATTGTATCAAGTTCAATGCATGAGGTTCCCTACGATTCGATGTACCTCACACTTGCTGTCCGGATGGTACCGCCATTGCACAGCACCTAATACCTACAGTGCAGAGAGAACATTAAAGTACACTAGTGTACACTGCGTAGGACGGTACTGCACCAAGCTGAGGGCTTGGAAGACTTAGACCGAGGCCACCCAAGTGCCATGAAACATCGTGATTGATACAGTGCACCCATGGCAATGGCCTAGAATTGTGAGCACGCCATGGTTTTGAAGACACGGGAGAAGTCTCGCCTGCGAAAAGTGTTTGCCTTGGCTCTCGTATCTGATGGATATTCCAACATCGTTGCCTACATCCCCGCGAAGAATCAATGAAGCATAGAGTGCAATCTGCTGCCAGGGCAAGATATCGCATTAGGAATAGACAAATGAGAGATGAACTCATGATTAGATGCGATGTGAATCGTCGTACTTTTCCGCGTCGAACCATCTGGGGTCCAATAATGTATCCAGCAAGGGACTGCGTCTCCACCTCGGCACCCACCGCTACTAAAAACCACAATGCATCAGGACACAACAGCCAAATAATAATAGATTGCCAGTCTCGAGATTGTCCATGATCCTTCTCAAACGAGCAGAGACGCTTTTGCCTGGGGATCATGAGCGCGATGTACGGTGCAGCTTAAGATAATAACCCCGACGAAGAATCTCAATTCTCTAGATCTAAGAAGCGATTGAATTCGTCTGCACTACAATATCTCCGAGGAATTGGCTTTTCAGCATTCAGCCAGAGTCGGATTTGTGACTTTGTTCAACGCAGGGCTGTCTTGGCAGGTCTCTGGAATCCTGCAATACTCCAGGCAGCACAGCAACGACACCAGCGGGGGGCTAAGCCTCGTGTTGGTGGCGGAGCATGCCACTTGGCACACCGCGAGAGGCGCCCAGCCCCGGATCAGCGATCAACGCTTTGGTGTAAGCCGGACATGGGACGACTAGGCAGCCGAAAAAAAAAAAGAAACCGCAGGACGTAAAGCGTCAACGAAACGAGGATACGAGCCACTTCAGCCGAGCCATCCGGGAGGCTCAAGTTCACGTGCGGGACCAAGGCCCTCCCCACCGGCCAGACCAGCGTGGAAAAGGTGTGGACCGGTCCCCCAGTTCGCAAGAATGTTGGGGCGACAAGGCTGAAGTGGGCGGACCATTCCAACCTCGATGGGCCCGAGATAGCGATGTATGAAAATCTAGCTACTTGAGATCGAATGTCGAGATAGAAGTGACAGCACTAGCGGAGAAACAAAACGGAAAAAAAGAAAAAAAAGAAGGAAAAAAAAAGGTTCGAAATGGGTCCTGGTGCTGACGACAGGCACTGATTTTTTTCACGACCATGCGGCTCTCGGAGGGATGCGCTTTTCCGTGTTTCCATTTTTGGGGCCAGGGCACAATACCGTACGAGACCGTTATGTGACCCAGCGGGGCCCCGCTGGCTGCCGCATCGCCCGGAATTCAGCAGTGCCGAGTGTCACGGCGGTGTACGGACGACACGGCACTGCGACCGGCGACCAATCACAGCCGGCACAAACGGCTCAGCCTTCGCGCGAGACCCGTTTGGGGATAGCGTGATTCGTCTATCAGGCAGACATCCAGCGACGCGGTCGCCGTCATCTCCCATCTTTCCAGTTGTCGTTGTCGTCTTTCCCCCGTTTTACATCTGCGTGCCATATTCTCGAATTTATACCCATATTGCTACGGTCGCCCGCCCAGTGTCGCTCTTGGAATCGCCGAACTTGCTCTCAGCCCTGCCCATACCCGCACTGGCACTGTCGGAAATTGCTTCAAGCGCAAAGCCGGTTCATCCGGGGCCGAACGCTTCACCCATCTCTTGCGATTGTTATTGTCTTATCTTCGATATCTTTCCAAATATCCCGCCCATATCTTGAACCCAAGTAGACCCCGTTCTGTGGTTGACTTGTGCATGTTGAGAAGGGCAGCCGGCTGTCTTTATATCAGCCAAATCCACCGAGCCTCAGGACAGTTTGGATCGTCCTCTTAGCCTCTGACTCGATCGTACGCCATTTCTCGAACACGCTGGAACTAGACCATCATCGGTGAGTCACCACCGACGAATGAACCGCCCAGAACCACCCGGACTGGCCTGCCCCGCTGCCTGTTTGCTAACGCCGGCCCCCATGCAGATCTCATCTCAGCCCATGATGACTGTTGCTCAAGTCGACGCTGGCCGAACGCACCCGCGTCGCCGGTCCAACTTAAACTCGGCCCTCCCCTCGCTTCAGACGGAGCCTCCATCTGGCACCTCCAAGATGCCGTTGAGGAAAGGCGAGACATTCAACACCCCCACCAGCCCGCCCTCTGGCGATCGCGATCCGGTCTTGAGTATTCGCTCTCTGCCCCGTCGTGCCCCGACGTCTCTGGAGGCAATCACTTCCAGCGAAGAACGCATGGCGTCCATCCTCAACCGCTTGACCCTTGACGATTCCCCGAAGGAGAAGTCGTCGGCCCCTGCCAAGGACGACCAACCTAGCTCTCGTGCTGCTTCCAAGTCCGGCGGGAAAGACTCCGATTCTCGTGATGACCATAATTCACCTCACAACAAAACCACTTCCTCGGAAGAGGGCCACGATTCGGACAGCGGGCTTGGATCATCCGTGAGCAGCGTCGAGAGCATGTCGCCCTTGAGCAAAGCTAGTAAGTTAGCCCTCGAACAATGCTTTATTTGCGATTCCACTATTCATTGCTTCATCCATATTGTCGTTTCTTGTCATTTTCTCATTCACTCAAATTTTTGGTGTTCTGGTCTCATCGTCTAACTCGATTCGTCAGTGAAAGAGGACATTCACAGCCACGACAAGACGGCAATCACTACGTCCGAGACCTTTGAATCTGGCTCGACCCCGAAGAGACAATTGGGCCTTGCCGCCTGCAAACAGATTGAAAAATTTGTTTTGGTCCCCATATTGAAGGAACCTAAGCTGAAACCGTTTCACGCTTTGACTCGGAGTGTTCCGTCTCGCATTGTGAATAAGCAGATTGTCTGCCTTCGCGACCTCGAAAAGACCCTTTTGTGGTTGGCACCGGTAAGTGAAGCAGGCTACAGTTACTCGATGCTTCTGCCTGAAGAATTTCGTTCGCTCATCTATTTCTTGGTTTCATTAGAAGTCGACTTCTTCTCGACACGCCTATCTCAATTTCGCCGAGTTCACCATCCAGTGCCTGCATACATCTGCTTCGCATCTAAACGACCGAGACCAACGTCTACCTACCGACCGACCGTATACTAACGGTTATTTTGTCGATCTTGTTTCACAGGTCCGCCGCTACGCCGCGATGATTCGCGCCTCGCAAGAGCGGGTGCAGGCCGCTCAAAGCGAGAAAAAGTCTCCGTATGTACAACTGCGTCCTCTTTTCAATAAATCGGCTCGATGGCCTGCCAGAGACAAGTCTAACCGTCTCCCCAGCGTCGCGGAGGCTGTTCTTGAGGGGGGACTGTCGATCAATGGAAAGCCCGCGGAGATCATTGTGACTCAAGATGGAAAACCCATCTCGATGCGCACCGGAGAAGTGTACAAAGCCGACTCTCCGTTTGTTTTCAAGCGTACCATCAGCTTTGACCAGTCGACGGATGAGGGCGTTCAGCGCTCCATGGCCCGCCGCAAGAAAAATGCGCCCCCAATGGACATCAACCAGAAGTGCAGCCACTGCGACAAGGTTTTCAAGCGCCCCTGCGACTTGACCAAGCACGAGAAGACCCATTCCCGTCCCTGGAAGTGCACGATGCCCGGCTGCAAGTACAATACGATCGGCTGGCCTACTGAGAAGGAGCGAGACCGCCACATGAATGACAAGCATTCGGATAACCCTGCCCTCTACAAGTGCAGCTTCAAGCCGTGCACCTACGCTTCGAAGCGCGAGAGCAACTGCAAGCAGCACATGGAGAAGGCCCACGGCTGGATTTACAACCGCTCCAAGAACAATGCCCGTGGCGGTAGCAAGCGTGGTTCGTCGCTGCAGGCCACGCCCCGTACCCCCAGCGTTTCCACTCCTGCCTCTCGCTCGGCTGCCGATTTCCCCACGCCTGTCTCGGGCCCCAGCCCTTCGCCCTATGATCCGCCGATGTTCTCCGACCAGGTGCCATTCAATTTCAATGACCCCCCTGCGGCCGCTCGCAGCGAGGACTATGGCCCTCTTTTCGAGACTTCGCCTTTCTCTGATTCCAACATGTCTGGTGGCATGGGAGGACAGGACTTTAGCCTATTTACCTCGGCTAACCTCGACGCAATGGAGAACCAATTCGGGGCCGGTGACCCGAACGGCCTCATCTCTTCCTTGTCGATGCACCGCCAGTCCATGAATTCCATGTCTGTTCCCTCTGCCGGCTCCGTTCCCGACTTGATGGCCCCGTCCATGTCGTTCGACGGTTCTCCGCTCGCCAGCAGTGCCGATCCCAACCTGAGCTTCGAGTATGAGTGGAGCCGCCTGGAGGCTTCTTCAACTATGCCGGAGGATTATTCCACCTCCAACATGCAGCTTCCTACTCCTGCCTACTCGGATCACAGTGGCCTGAAGCAGTCTACCTCGGGAGCTATGGGCATGCCTCATAACTACAGCTACAACACCCATGGCAATGTTTCTGGCCTCTCGCCCAATGCCCAGGGTAATCTGATGCTGTATTCCCCGGATTCCAACGGCGCTGATGGCCACCACACCCATCTCTACAAGTCTGCTGGTCAGCCCGGGAACCCCGACTTCCCTCTTTACGACAACTCCCTTATGGCCATGAACGGCCAGATGGTGAACCCCTATGCGCCTCGTCAGCAACAGCCACTCCGACTGCCCCAACAGCAGTCCCACCAGCCCCAGGTATCCGCTCAGCAGATGGGCGGCATGTATGTTGCTTCTTCCGAGGCGATGTTTCCTCCCTTGCCGAGCCTGAAATGCTCCGTGGCATTCAGGGCTGGGACTCGCAGGACATGAACCACGAGGCCTGGTTGCTTCAGGAGATGGAGAACAAAAAGTAGAGATTGTCTCTCTAACATACGCGCGACGGTTATCTTTTCCCCTGCAGATTTGATGGTCCTATCTTTACACTTTTCAGCAAGCGACGATCACAACTCTATCTTTTGACTTATCCTTTTGTACCACAGTCTCCACTGGTTCTGGTGACTGTGTGTGGAATGCTGTTGAATACCCTGGCAGACGTTCCAGGGTCTGTGGTGTTTTAATGATGCAGCTGGTGGTTTCATACTTTATTATTCTCTGAGGACATCTCTACACTTACATTTTTACCTTATCTGCTACTGCCATGGGGGCAAGGCGGAATATCCCAATCTGAAAGTCACCAACTTATCTTTATTCTATTCTTCCAAAAACCACGTAGCTTGAGTAAACTACAAGTACGGCTAGTTGTATTTAAGGACGGAATCGACTCCGCACTTGGATGCAGCAAGTGAGCCCAAACATTCACGCTTCGCCGAGACAGGCGGCCTGGACACTACAGCCTCGGCACATCAAGCTACTCCTGGAGTAGTACTAGTAGTATAGGGCTATAGGGCTATAGGGCTGGAACTACGTTATGGGTCACTCAAAGCCTCTATTGGCATCCACCATGCATGGCCCAACAATTGGTTTCCCTGGGGTATTCTCGACTCCCGAGCTTCTGTACATTATCGGGAATTCTTCTTCACCAGCATACCTTGGATACAGCCAAGCATACTTTAGTTCTACTGCGCAGGAGTTCAGGAGTTCTCTGGGGCATTCTCGGACTGTCGCCAGGGCCGTTCTTGGGTATCCTTGGCAAGCGTAGGCAGCAGCGAGGATCCCCGTTCAGCCCTGCGAATGCCAGCGGCGCGCGGTGGAGGCAAGTGGATAATGGCCCCCCTCAGGGCAGCATGGTTGGCGCGGGCACGGCGCAGCGACGGCGTGAGTGATCTGGATTGCACCTGATGGCAGCGGTGCCAATGACCGTCTCAAGCCAAGAGGGTGGAAGGTCGTGCGAGTCCCTGGAAGCAAGTCGCGCCCGGGAAAGTCCTGAATTGGCGCGGTTTCGTGGCGTTGTACGAAAGTCGACGAGGCTGGGCACGTAGTACTTAAGCCGTAGTCTCGCCAGAAGACATCCTGGCTGTGCAACGGAGACAGTGGCAGTGACTGCGATTAAGATAGAAGCAACTGGCAGACTTGGAGCAAGGCTGAAACTGGCCGGCAACTGTCAAACGGTCAAATTGTCAGCGTAAACCACGTTTCGGGTGACGACGTCAGTCGCCCTCCCCGCCTTCTCCTTTCTTTTCGGCCTCGAGATTCGCATTCTCCAGATCTTTGTCAATCCCCGCGATTTCCCTTGCGAAGCGTTCTTTGACTTGCCGGCGGCTGCGATTTTCACCTCCACGATCAGCGAACCTCACCGAACGGGGGCTGTGGCCATCGAAGCTCGGCGCAGGCAGACGGATTCCGCCCCGCAAGCCGACACCTTCTCGGGGAAAGCTGACGAGTGGCCTTCCTCTTCTTCCACACCTGCGACGACGTACGATTTGCATCCACCCGTGACCTGCGAACTCGTCAACATGCAGGACTCGCAATCGCCCGCCGCAGCCTCCAATGGCGACGTGCCCGCCGCAGCCCCAGGTCAGATCCTGGCCGGCAAGCAGGAACACTGTGAGTTCTCATCCAGCTCTTCGTCGTCGAGGACGACGTGGTTGACGAAGCGACCATGACAAATACTCATCCGTGGATTGTGCAGACCTTAAGCGCGAGCTCATTGCCCGTCAAGTGCGGAGCGAAATCAACGAGCTCAACTCCCCCACCGCGCTCCAGAGATTCGGCGCGCCCTTTCGATCGGAGTTTGGCGAAGTCGCGCCCGTCGATTCAGAGCTCCCCATCCTTCGTTACATCTTCGTCCACCACGTTCGCAACTTTCCCTTTCTCGACCAGGCCAAGGAGAAGGAGTTCTGGCAGGATAAGCTACAAGTGGTGTGTTCTCTTTTCCGTTGCGGAGGGAATGCGGAGAGACGAGGAATGTACTGACAATGGCGCAGTTCTTAGAATCCTTTGCGAACAAACATGTCTCCTCTTCGGAGGATCGTCTGGAAGAGACGAAGCGACGGAAATTGGCGCGAAAATGCGAGAAGCTCGTCGAGCTGATGATGGTCTCGGGTGTTCCGACAGCGTCGGGCTACGAGGAGCGCATCCAGTTCTCCGAGATGGAGGTGGTTGAGCGCGGCGCCAACGATAATGGGTTGCTCGTCAATATGCCTGAAGGACACGCCATCAACGGCTGGGACGTCAATGTGGCGGCTGTTCGGGTGACATCCGTCAAGCGCACCGTTCGATACCATCAGCATGCGGTGAGTTATACAGCTGATCAAGGTGACCAGCCGTGGGGCACAGTCTGACAATTTGCTCCAGGAATTTCTTATTCGAGTCCGTCGCAATGGCGAGAAAGAGTTTCACGTTGGGCGCAGATACGGCGAGTTCGTAAAGCTGCACCGCAGACTGCGCACCGAGTTCCCGGGCAAGCATCTGCCCCCTCTGCCCCGCAAGAACAAGACATCAACCAGCTCTAGCTGGTTCGGTAGTGCCGACGACGACAGCTCCTCAGTTTCATCTCTCTCGACCCAGGATGCCAGTGTTGCCGATGACCCTCCTGCTACCACTGGGCGGACCTTGGCTCCTAGTGGCCACCAGCGCTCAGTCTCGCGAGGCTCTATGCGATCAACCAGGTCACCCCGTCCTTCTGCGGAAGTATCACGAGAGACCGTGCTCTACCGCGAGGAGCAGCGTGTCTCTTTGCGTGCGTTCCTCCGTACATTGCTGCAGAACAAGCGGATTGCCGAGTCCAAGTCGATGGAGGAGTTTTTGTCTGCCCAACCGGTCAATCTCAACGAGGAAGAATTGCTTGACGTGGACAAGCGCAAGGCGATGGATGCTGTACGAATTGAGGAGCAGAAGCGCTTCTATGAGATTGCTCGGCAACGTGCGGCGGAACTGGATGTGTACATGGAGAAGTTCCGCAGGGATATCGTGGAGAGCAGTAAGTTTTGACCTATGAGAAGGTAAAATGAAACGAATCATAAAACTGATCTATCTAGATGGACTGACAAAGCTCTTCGCCGAAATTCGCGAAAAGTCATGCATCGCTGAACTCAGCCCGCAATACCAGAAGTTCGCTGAGTGGCTTCGCATTGAAGTCGCTGCTACTGTGTATCACCTGTTCCTCGCCGAGGATAACTCTCCAGAACTGTTCGCGCAAGCCAAGAGAATCCATGGCCTCGTTCCGTACACTTTGATGAAGAATGTCATCCGCATTGCCAATCCAGCAGCAGTCATGTCCGGTGTTCTGGACCTCTTCTGTGCTCAACCGTTTGGCTCGCGGTCATTGCTTCAGCGTATCTTCTCCCTCACATTGAACGACAGCATCAAGGACTTCCAAAAGTCGATCACGTCGCTGTCAGCAAAGGTTGATGATACTGTTCTTTCTCAGAAGCTCAAGAACTTCGTGGACGCCGAAGAGTCGGTTAAGAACGAGATTCGAGAGGAGGCCGAGGCTGAAGATGCAGATATCATTGTCGCTATTCTCCGATCCGAGCTGCTGTCTCCGGAGCTGAACGCGGAGCAAATTGGCAAGGTCTTTAATGGCTGGGTGGCCTGGAACAATGCGGTGGACAACGTGGACGTTGAAATGCAGCAAGGCGCTCAATGGTTCGCCCACATGAAGCAATTGCTGAAGCTGTACACTCGCCAGCGTGACAAGGCGATGATGCTGAGCATTGTCGAAGAACCCACAACCCTGCAACTGTTCCGTGACCTCTTCACCATCTTCTACGAGCCGCTGGTCCGAGTCTACAAATCCGCCAACGTGTACAGCAGTATCACCGACTTTGCCGTCTTTGCCGACGACGCCATCTCCGTGATCGAGAGTGCCCAGCGCCAGGACGCCTCGGCCGACCCCAACCAGACCGTCCAGGCCTTTATCGATCTCTGCGCTCGTCATGAAGACAACTTCTACAAGTTCATCCATGAGGTCCACATCCATGACAACGGTCTCTTCCAGTCGCTGATGTCGTGGATTGAGGAGATCCTCGAATTCCTGCGTAAGGGCCCGCAGGCTGGCAAGGGTGCCAAGCTCGACATGAATGCTCTGTTCCAGGGCGCGGTCGGCGTCGGCCAAATCGACAAGGACATTGCTCTCGCGGAGATCAACTCGCTCATCAAGTGGCAAGAAGACCGAAAGAGGTGGCATCTGAACAAGACTCGCCAGAAGATGGCAGCCGAAGGAACCGGAAATGAGTCCATTCCTGGCAGTGCCACTTTCAAGGGCAGCGATTTTGGTCTTGACGAGGTATGCTCTCCTCAATTCTCTGTACCTTGTTGAATATTTTCTAACTATTTTTGTTTCTCTAGGCTGATCTGGAGGACCTCACCATCTCCGACGAGGACTCTGACTCGGAAGATGAGGCGGCCGACGAGGAAGAGCTGGACGACCCCATCGCCGTGGAGCGTCGCCGTCGCCACAAGAAGCAGGACCAGCTCCGCCGTACCGCGGGCGAGCCTGTCAAGCCGGAGGTGGTTGAGATTCCGAAGCTGGCCGATCCTTTCGTGGTGATGCTGCGCTATGTTCTTGCCGATTAGAAACCCTCACTGGCAACTACACTATGCTCTTCGCGACTCGCAGTGTCTTAGCCCTGACCCCTTTGCATTCAACATTCATGTAACCAATTCAATCATCATCATCGCTGATACAACGCATGTTTTTTATTCCCCGTCGTTCTATTCGCTAATCATGCTATTTCGTCCCGCTGCTGGACATGTCAAACAATGGGAACGCTTTAGATACAAATACACTGGAACCTCCAGCCACTAGATCACATATGTACCGGATAATGTCCGCCAACTCTTGGCGGTCTCCTTCCGTTCTAGTGCTCACCCCCTCGCCGCTTTTGCTCACTGAGTAGAATTGAGCACGCTCCTGATCGGCCTGAGCGGCTCAGTGATCATTATGTAATCAGCCTGATTCACTCACTGAGCCTAGTTAACGTAACCCACAAGCGAACCGCCCACACAAGCGAACCGCCCACCCATCTCAACCTATAATTTTGATTTGCATATAAAATAACCACAACGCCATTAAATTATTGATATCACTGCTTCGGACATCTATTTATCTTATGCCCTATCCCTCCACAACCACTGCATCTTGGTGGCGCCCGTTGTCGTGGTGTATTAGTCTCATTTGCGACCGGAGCTAGTTCTGGATGAACAGGATCCAGAGATTCAACGGCTTGGTTCGAACTGAATATTACGTCTCTTCCCTCCTGAATTGACATGCCTTCAGTACGGTCGATGCGTTTATTAGACCTCTTGCGTTTTTGTTTCCGAACCTCATTGGCAGCGCGCAAATCCCGGATTTCTTTCTCCAACATCGCTAGCCTTTGAAGCGTGACATGGAAGCCTTTAAGAGTCTGCTCTACCACATGCTTTGTAGGCGTTGGAGGGCTCACGGATCGATATTTGAGTAGAGCTTTGACTGAAGATTCTTGCCGATATAATTGTTTTGTGTTGAGTGGTGTTGTAGGGCTCCACTCACTTGATCGGCTTCCTGGTCGGCTTCCTGGGGGGGTTGGTGTTCGAAGCTGAATATTAAGCTTCGATATAACCCGATCGGGATCAAAGGGTATTAAACCAGCAGATTCGAATGCGCTCTGAATTATATCCGAGTGATATGAGATCTCGCGAGCGTGCGGGTAGGCGGCAAGGAAATCAAGCTTGTCAATATGGTTGATATTGCATCGAGCTTTTCGCTCAACCAAGCCACCATATGCGCGCTTTAGGTTCGCAAAACACCCGACATCTAGTGGTTGTAGCAAATGAGATGAATGCGCTGGCATGCAAATTGGTATAATATCATGTTCAGCGCAAAGTCGGTCGAATTGAGGTGTCAAATGGCTACCATGACCATCAAGGACTAGAAGACGATATTTACCCTTTGTACGGCTCGCCGTACTCGGAATAAAGAGATCTTTCAGCCAGCGAAGGCCAATAGCATCAGTTGTCCATCCATTATCACTGATTTCGATCCTCCAGTCCGGTCCTACCCCTTTATCTTCGTACCAAGCCTGGTGATGTGTCTTGGATTTGAAGATAAGACAAGGTGGTAATTTGAAGCCCGACGCACCAATACACTCGATAGATGTGACCCATTCACGATTTCCAGGTTGTTTAAGAGATCTCCGACCGTAGTATTCAGCACGGGTGACGACTTTTGCAGTAGCAATAAGACCCATTGCGAAGCCAGTCTCATCAAAGTTATATATATCGTCAGGTTGGATGCCGTTCTCATTAATCGTGCGTTGAACCAAGTCGAACCACTCTCGTATGACCTTTGGATCCTCGCATTTTGCTCGTTGGTAGTTGTACTTTCGAGAGAACCGAGATTTAAGATCATCATGGCGATTAACAAAGTTGTAGACCCAGTTGACGCCAACAGTCTGCGTACAGCGTTCGGCTAATAGAAGATTGGCCATTTCTGCCACCATAGCAGGCCGAGGAGCTGATCCACGTGAATCCATAGAGAGCACCCATTGTAGAAGTGATCTCTCCTCGTCTTCTGTCAATTTATGGTTGTTGGCGCGTGTTTCTGAGCGACTTTGTTGACCGTTGACGCGATCGCGTAGAGTGGACCAGGGGACGTCGAATTGGCGTGCTGCTTTGCGAATAGAGGTAATTTGACCATTTTGAATGGCATGCAGGGCTAATGAGAGTCTGCCCTGCCTATCCTGCGAAAATCGGGCAGAACTAGATCGATTTGGTGGCATGGTGGATGGTTATAAAAGAGAGGTTATAGTACTCAGATCAAAATTGATGGGGTGGGCGGTTCGCTTGTGTGGGCGGTTCGCTTGTGGGTTACGTTAGTGGGATATGATTTATAATCCAACTCAAAGCGAGGGGTCAGCGTAAATGAAATCATCCATCCATCCATCCATACTGTATACCTCAGGGAAAAATAATTAATATACCAACAAATACCACTCTCATTTACCGATAACGATTCAACTCTCTGTTTCCCACTGCAACAATATTGTAGAGTTATACAAGGTGTCGTGATGATTTAGCCCCAGTATTTGCCCCTGTCTTCTGTTACGTGCTTCGGAGTACCGCATCCAGTCGTAGGGACCCTTCGTTCTCGTGTGTCTGCGGCGGAGACGACGGACCTCCTTCACTGCGGCCTTGCATTCATCTGGAAGTGAAAATACCTCAAGTGATACTGGACATGCAACCACAGAAAATGACTATTAAAAAAATAATTGTTTTTTTACCCTTCTGTAGCTAAAGTTCCAAGAGACAAGACTTGGAGTTTTTCAAGATTTTTAGCCTTGATAAGAGATGTTATGATGGGTCTAGGATCTTGATAATAATCGTCATCGATAGCCTGGAATTTATAGTCGAGATTAGTACGAACTTGAATACGTGCACATACTGTCCGTATTTCCTACCACTAACTCATATTGCTACTTAGTGGGAGTTCGTTATGAAAAAGAAACTTGAAATACTAGGGTATTGATTTTTGTACCTCGAGGCTATCTTCATCCCTCTATATTGATATGCAGGACATGTGACAACGTCTAGGAGCTTGATAGGGCAAGCGTCTATCAAAACCGTGACATAGGCGAACCCCGAGACCCGGAGGGTGGACGCGCAGAAATCCCGCATCAAGAGACAAGAAAATTGATTCCGAGCCAGGAAAGAATTAGGGTACACGCCTGTGTACTCATGTACAGATGTCGGTAAGGCAGTCGTATACGGGGTACACAGAGTCATCATCTCCGACCTCCGTGTACGTGGAGGTGGGTGGATAGGCGGTTGCAGTAACGCTCGGTATTTGTGTGCATGTGTACTTGTCTCCATCACTGTCACCAATAAGGTCACCCGAGTCATCCTTAGTGAACGAGGACGTCTGGTCACAGAATGTGGTCTCTGTATTTTCAGCAGTCCATTCATTCCCCGCGGCCATGGTGTCGTTGAGGACAATAGGCTGATCTAGGCCATCGTAGTAGACAGCCCACCATATATAATCGTAATTGCTGTACCCGCGGATATCCTGGACGATCTGGAATCCGGTAGGCGAAGCGGTGGCACTGGATGATGTCGATGTGGCAGTGATAGTATAGCCTGACCAGCGTGTAGCATCCCAAACGCTTCGTTGGCTGGAAATTCTGCTGGAAATGGAGGACATGACAGATGCCGGAACACTCGTGGACGTATACATGAAACTGACTTTCTCGGTCGAGTAGGTTCCTGTTGTACTAACGGTGGTTGTTGTGGTCGTCGGAGTGGCAGAGCAACCTTCGCTGGATGCGCATGCAGTCTAATGATTGTTAGAAGCTGTTACGCGAAGATCATTCAACATTCACTTGAAGTATGTGATAGCTTACCGTCGTTGTAGTGGAAGAGGACTCCATGCCAGATGTGGAGAAGCTTTTGATGAAGACAGTGCAGACGTCGACAGTCTTGATATCCTCGCAATCTCCATCTTCTCCAGACTCCAATCCGATAGAGCCGGTGCTGCCACCTCCACCGCCACCCCCTTCAACAACACATCCGTCTTGTATATCACGTTAGTCCCTGGTCTTTATAGGTAGTGATTTGAGATAAACTTACTGGTGCCACACCCAGGCCCACAAGATGACAATCCACAGCCACCTCCACACCACGTTAGACCACAGCCTCCATCACAACCAAAGATACCACACTTGCCGTCACAGCCGAAGATCGAGCAGTCCAAAGTACCGCATCCATCACAATCACCATCACTAGACCCGGAGCCTTTAGGCTTGCCAGATTCGAAATTTATGGAAGGAATCGTTTTTGAAGGTGTGATAGTGGCGTGCGTTGCCTGGGGCTGAATGGTGACGGAGTGTGATGTCGAGTAGAAAACGGGAACATCAGTGTTGCTAGTGGAGGTGGAACCTCCAGAGCCCCCAGAAGATGAAGAGGTACCGTCAGAGTGGCTGATACAATAGTAATAATTGAGCCACACACCACTAGCACAGTCAGTGCCAACGTCTGGGTTCCAAGCTTCGAAGTCTGAAGCATCGATGTTGTTGTCGTTCTCAACACTCCAGCAAGAGTCACCGTTTTGAATTTGATAAAATTTCGTGCAGCCACTCTCCATGTTGGCTGCAATAAGGGATGGTGTCACAACTGCCGTAGAAGTGGCAGAGGCAGTGTTTGTAGCAGGGCTTGTGATTGTGCCTGAGGCACTGGAGTCACCGCTGTTACCCTGATTCAAAGACGCAATCTGGTCCTCCGCAACTGATGTATAGTTGGTGGTAACAATCGGCAAGGGGGTCACGCTTCCTGGGAAGACTATAACATGAGACGGTGGTGTAATGCTTTGGACGGGGACTAGAGCGCCGGATGTCTTGTTGCTGGCGATGGTCACTGGCCAGAACGGAATGCTTCCCACGCCGAATGCGGGGATTGAGATTGTTGTTGTCGATGTCACAATGCTGCCATCCTTGCTGACAAGGACCGGGGTGGTGAGCGCTGGCCAAGTGACAGTCTGCGAGCCCTCCATAGGCAAAGGCGGGAGAATCAAAGTACAGGGAGCGACGCAAGAAACTTCGGGCGAGTCATCATCCCAGATATCAGGAGAAAGATAGACTTTGCCGCTTCCTCCAGCCGGGAACAGATCGGTGGAGTTCGAGATACTTTCTGCTTGACATTAGCGATATTGCCCCGGAACACTTCAGGTGAAAAATAGTAGCTAGATGATCATACCAGAAAGATCTCCCTTGCCATCTTCATCAACAGCCCAGGCTGCGACACTATCGATGAGAAATTGAGTTAGCAATGGAAAAATAACAAAAGAGCGATGTTCGCTACAAGGGTAACGTACCCTCCCATGCACTCTGAGTTGGTAAAGTCTAGCTTCATTTGCAGAGTTTCGGGATCATCATAGGCAACCCATTGGTCACCGTCATAAACAGCGATTTTCACGGCAGCTTCAGAATCCACCCAGACAGTTGGGTTTCTCGAGGTGTCGTCAATAATATCCATGATTTCATCGTATGAAAGCAGACCTTCAGTCTGGGAGCATGGGCCAGGGTTTCCTTTTTTCAAAAATATTAGTATCCGCGGGTAGGGATTTCAAGTTGGCATTGCTTTAAATCTTCAGAGCTCGATTCTTCTTACCTCCTGCAGTAAACGCACATCCAGGTTCTGTGCACGAGGAGTCTTCAAGGGTATAACCTGGTCGTGTTAATACGGGGTCCATCCAAAGGAGAATTGCAACCAGCGAACTTACTACGTCCGTAGAGACCAAGACCGAGATTAACCTTGCTGGGCTCAATGTTATTATGCCACAGTAGCTTCAGCCCCGATTCGATCATGGTGAGGTTTGTGCTAGCATAAACTCTACTTCCGATGGAAGAAATTGTAGCATCCCATGTACCGTAGATATCATAGGCCATAAAGTTGAACTATAACGAGTTAGAGTTTGCTGAAGCCAAAGAATGGATAAAGAGAAAAAAAGCAAAAGCAGCGCAGAGAATCTGGAGAACGAAAATTTAGTAAGATGAAGACGTACCCAATCGACATGCTTCTCAAGGTTGACAATGTCAAAGTATTGCAGATACCAGTACGAGCTGGGCAAGGTGATAGATAGGCCATAGTCACTTCCTAGTGATGATCGCACATTCTTTAAAAACGAAACAAAGTTTTCGTAGTCGGCATCTGAGCCATATCGATCAGCTGCACCAGGGTATTCCCTAAAGAGAATTCAGTACTGCGGGAATACAAGCAAAAGGGATCAAAAAACGCACCAGTCAATGTCAACACCGTCAAAACCGTACTTCTTCAAGAAAGCCTTCAAAGAGGTAAGGAATTTAGTTTGAGCAGTAGTCGATGCCGCAAGCTTGGAGAAAACATGAGAATATTCTCCTGGGTCGTTCATAGCCCATCCGCCGATAGAGATCCAGGTTTCAACACCGTAGTCCTTAAGGGCAGTGAATCGGGCATACAGATCCGTCTGATTAGACTCCATGGGGGTCATCTCATAGGTATCCGGGTCAATGTACAGGAATGAGAAAATCAGATGGGTGTAGCCTCCAACGGGAATCTGTTAAACGTCAATAACGATCGGACTTTATTTTTACCAGCGAACAAGAATGTAATGTCATACCTCTTCCGGGGTCATTGCTGTGAGGACATGTCAGCAAGTTATCTCTCAAAAATGGCATTGAAACTTACTGTTGCAGGCATGGTCAAGGTTAAAAGCTTCGTAGTAGCCAATTCTACGTGTCGCGGTGGTATTAGAGCATGATGGTGAGTCCCAGGTGGTAGTACCACAGAAGTCGGTTGAGGTTCCGCCTGGTGATCTGCATAAGTATTCTGTCCTACGGAAATGTTGAAAACTTATACTCACAGAAGCCAAATTGACTGCAGCAGACATTCAGCGGACACGATTCCGATGTTGAGTAGTTAGAAGCTATGAAAATTCTGTCAGTCATGCTTCGATATTCCTGGTGTTAAACATTGAGGGTTGGAAAAATACCCCAAGTTTCTCCCCATCCTGGATATGAACCTGGATTGCACTCGGAGAGATGCGTGCATGTGCTGTTCAAACTGGCAGCCTGGATGCAGGTACTTCCACAGTAATCTGGGCCATAACCACAGACTTCAGAAACACTCGAGCAGCAGCCCTCTGTGCAGGGGTTATCCACTGAGCATGGGACATCGTCTGCTTGTACGCTTGAGACGACGAGCAAGAGCTGCAAGGCTGCCGCTAAGCCCCAGACACTTCGCATTGCGAAGATATTTTTGTGACTGAGAACCACGCACGGTCTTTCAGAGAGAGGAAGACGATGGATAGATAAATTTATTCAACAAATTCCGGTGAAGAGGATCTCTTCAACATAATTGAATAATTCTCATTTTCTCGGAACTATGAGTCTATTACATTCGCTTAAAATGGCCCCATGTTGAGAACGAAAACCCAGTGGGTAGCGCTAGTTAGTTTCAGTAGACCATACTGAGTCTACTAATTTCGGAGGAAGACCGCAAAAGGAGAACCATAAAGCAAAGTGGATATACTAGAGGCATACGGTTACTTTTCCATTGCCACCCTTGCAAATAGAGCGTGAATATTGCTTGAAAGTTTCATGGTATTTCGATTTGAAGAGGGGCAATGCGAGAGTCAGCATAGACTCGGAAGCCATGATACCTCAGCTGGTATTTTGAAATTCAATCTGTATTTACCAAAGCCGACCAGTTCAAAGTTTTAAAAATTTTCACTCTTATTGTCCCAAAGTGGCACTTCGTTGCGACTCGGATTCGGAGCAAAGAAGATTTAGCCTCTTTCTTCGTCTTGGAATATACACTAATTTAGTGCATGTAACTTATTTTAGCAGAACCATAGATAAGAGGCACTAACTTCGTTGATATCCCTCAAGCGATGTATGGCCACTCCACTCTGGGACTCGGACCCATAATCTTCTTCGCCCCTGGGCGTGCATAAGATAATGTGCAGTTCCGTAACCGTGAGTTTCATGAGGCAGAACTAGCTGCCTCCGTGTTTTTATTAATCTGGATCACCGCTTCGACATTTTATCTGGATGCTCGTCATGCATTGATAAGGATACCAAGTGTCTGGTCACAATTCTGGGGCACAATTCGAAATTTCTCTTTTCTTCACCAGGAAGAATCCGTGATCGGATCTCCGGGAAGCTAAGACTGTTAGCCGGATCGCCTCTATGCGTGCATGCACGAATGGCCCACTTTCCCAGGAAAAACAAGCATGCTAAGACTCGCTCACTCTCACCAGGTCTCCACTTCGCCTCCAAATGGGGGCACTAGCTCACAAGCAGCGCTAAATTAGTTACTTGGGGGCCACGGCGTTATTCCGGTTTTTGGAAATGAACATAGAATCATGGGTGCAATCAGCCAAACGAAGTGAGCTAGTACTATAGTGTTACGGGTTTTGTTGAATGAATTGTAGCTATTTTTTTTTAGTGGTTACAGGGTTTTCACGTTGGGTCCAGTCAAGTCTAAACTTGTGGCATCCTTAATTCACATTATAAGCTTGACTCCCCTTAAGTGGGCAAGGTCGATTTAGTTCACGAAGTCTTTCCTGGGACTCAGCTTCGACGACCACGCTTGCTAATTTCCATATAAGCAATGCGTCTCTCTAGCTTGCTCCAGGCCGTTGGCGCTGTAGCCATTTTCAATATCGGACTGGTGACTGCTGTGCCTTCAGGTCATTCGAATAGATACTCCCACCACCATCATGAGCATTCTCATGGCTATGGCAATAGCACCCTGACCAAGAGAACACGCCAATATTTCTGTGATCACGCCAACTCCGCGCTGGTTGCATCGGTCGATGAAATCAAGGCTATGGTAATATGACACGGACAAGTCTGGTTTTAGATAGGATCATTAACATGAATATCTTAGTTGACGACCACTATTGATCGGACAACTGCGCTTGAGGCCTTTGTTCGCAATCCACCAGCCCATATCCTTCAACATGAGCAACTGCTACAATCTACCTTCTATACATTTGAGGCAATTTTTGGCCGCCTTGAATATGGGGTCCAAAGTGGCAAAGCTGCTGATAGCATCTCCAGAGTGCAGCGAATCCTCGGTGCGGTATTTTGAGGAAAAAGGAATTAGTCCATATTACTGACAATTTCCTAAGCAATTGCCACAAACATGAAGACTGGCCTTGAAGGCATCGTGGGCAATCAAGATCTTGAGATCTATTGCAGTGATGCCTGGCTCGTGAGGGAAGACCGCGACGGTGACATTGACAGTGAGAAAATGTTTCCCTGAATGAATTCCCTCTGAAGCTGACACAAATCCCCCCAAAGTGACGAATTCCTACCTTTATTGGGACAACCGAGAGACAAGGACAGAGGACTATGCCGAGAATTTCGAAACCGTGCACGGCGCCTGCAGAGACGCAGCCACCCATTACGCATGGGTTAACCCCTCTCTCTCATCAAGCAAGACCACAAGCGGCAGAACCAATGTTATGACTCTTTGTCAGGACAATGTTGCAGACTGGATAACAAGATACAATAACGGGAAAACGATCGAATCATTTTCCAAGCAGACTTTGAGTGGTCAGACTCCTCAAGTGAGTATTGATAGCTTTCAAGGTCAAACTATGTCCACAGCTATGATGCACGAGTTCACTCATGCGTCAGCTATTGTCGGGACTCCATATTTGAGTATGTATTACCCAGTTCCTACTGAGCTCGGGAGCTCTTCATTTATTAACAAAGAACAACAGTCGATGAATCATGCACTCTCACCGATGGATCAACAGTAAAGGCTTATGGCTGGTTTTGCATCAGCCAATTGGGGCAGAATGCGCCGGCACAGGCTATTAACAACGCCGGTAAGAGACTTTGGATATTTCTTCATCTCGAATTTTCAAGCAACTGCTAATCAAATGATGGCTTCTCTACCAGACTCATTCTCTATCTATGCCACCGGTATGCTAATCAACCCCTTGTATAATGTGAGAATATTTGTACTGACACGCATCTAGCCATGTATCTATCACTGGACGACTGGTCATATGGCTATCCCCGTGAAATCCCCTCCGTCACAAATCCTCTCAATACTGGTATCGCAGCTTTGATGACACACACTGGGCCTTGAGGCCACCATTATGGTATGGGAAGTCCTACTAGTACTATATATGGAGGTGGAAGAGTTCAAGTTTCTATGACGGACCCAGACAACGGAACTATATTGAATAGGAAATTGTGTCTAGTACCACTGGCATGCTTAGAATTACTACTGCCTGTCCATAGGCACTAATCAAAACAATTTTTCCTTGTTACTCAAATGGCTCAAATAAACCTTGGAATCACATGTAAGGAAAAGGATAATTACCATGGGAAGGCAAATTGAAGTCGATAGTAGAAAAGTACATCCGGGTGAACCCTACGGATATGAATTATCTCCGTTTACTTGCGGAGACCCGCTCTGGGGGTTAATCTCACAAAATTCCATCCCAGGGACCCGCGGGCCCTAAAGGCAGTTAACAAACTTTACATAAATTAATGAATCTTTGGCAGTGATTATGAGGAGACATTAACAAAGTTAAATCTTCCTACTTTTCATCGTATTCCATACTCTTTCGGTATCTTCACAAGTTTTCTGCTTGCTTGAGACACAAAATAGTACAGTCATCACCATGTTTGACATTGGTTTCAATTCAAAATAATATAAGGGAAAAGTCCAATTCTTCATCAGAATAATTTTCCTTCCCCAAGTCACCGAGCTTAATGCAGTAGTATGGTGCGACCGTGGAGATGGTTCTTGCTGCTAGTTTGTTTAGTAGTTAGTTTAGCTCGCCACTCACACTAGCTTAAACTTTGGCGAGATCCCCCACTTACACGCTAATTGAATTTTTTCTCTCAATAACCGGAAGATGACCGATAACTTGGCATAAGATACAAGGCCATACGAAAATCCTGTTTTTCTTCGCCCCAATCAATTTGAAAGTAATAAAATGCAGGGGCACGCCACTGCGAGTGCTAAAAAGTAGGGACGCTCGCATTGACTTCCACGTATATCCACTTTCTCTCTCTACTCACGGCCCGAAGTCACCTCCGAATCAACCGACCTCGAAAGTCGAGAACACTTCCAGTTCAAGTTCCTGTTGAGGGGTCTTCAGTTAGTCTCAGTCCCAGTACGCTTTATTCAACATGAACATTGAGTATGTGAAGATTCTGCCTCGATTTCATGATCTTATCTATTATTCAAAGGACCTTGACAAACTTACGGATCTCCCCGTCCTTGGGATCCTTCATTTCACTTTTCACCCCGGAGTTGACATTGCCGATACACAGCAGTGTGCGGCTGCCTTGTGGAGGAAGTCTTTGAAATATGTTTCAACAATCCCTGGATTTGAAAGGCTATTGTGGTCGCTAGTGAACGATACTAGTACTTCCGAGTCGTCATGTCAGCAGGTCGTCGTCTTAATCCAGTGGAATGGCGTTCCTGGATGGAAGTTGTTCCAGTTGTCCCTCGGATTTAGTATGATGCTAGGCTATATTGCACAAGCCTCAAATCGTTGCATCCAACATACTCTGCCGCTGGAGATACCGAGCTCATGTTATCTGGAGCTAGTATCCTTTCAGTTCCCAGCTACGCCATCTACCCCTCAGGTAGATGAAAGGACAGAGTTCAAAGTTAAATGGGATAATACTTTCTCGCCGCCTTGCCAAGCTGCTTTATCTGAGGCTGGATTGGTGCACGCCGGTGGAGAGTGGCTAGAAAGAGACACTGATTCCGAGGATCCCTTCTTTGTCGGCCTGCTTCTCTGGAATTTGGGGGCAGGAGGCAATCAAAGTATTCTTGTCAATCGTATATCTCCCCTCGTCGAGAATGCGTCGTCAACAGTGTCCGTATGCACAAACCAGCTGGCTTTTGTCTCACCTGATGATGCATCTATACTTCAGCCGTCTGACTCTTTTACGGGCTGTGAAATTTCCAAAATCAGACATCCAGCTTTTCAAAAGCCTGTGCAACCAAGATACAGCCTTCATGAAGATTTGGGGACTCCTGGTACTAGTGTTGGGAAGGACATCTGCCATGTGGAAAGTATGTCGCTGGCAAGGCAAAGGCCCCCTGAGCGCATTGCCGCTGGTCCGGCTGGGGCTTGGTATAGGGCGTCAACTATCTCTCAACATCATATTCCGCTTCAAGCTAGGCTTCAATTTCTGCCCCAGAGTCTTATAAAAACTGGTACATACATGATTTCTTTCTGGGCACGACGCGGCAAGCAGCATGTACAAAGCTCCTTTGAGGCCTTGCGGATGAGACTTTGGAAGCTGGGCGACTGCCCACTCCTTAAATGGGGCGATGATCCAGTGAAAGAAATGGACTGGGCCAAGATTCTGCTTTTCATTGGTGAGTATCGTCAAGGTATTTTGCATCGTGGTTAATGGGTGATACTGACCTCATTCTTCAAGACCTTTCAAACCCCGTTCAATCCAATGAAGATACATATTCTCTTCTGCAGCAGTATCTTCAGGAATTTTCCGAGATATCTGGTGATGACATACAGTATCTCCAGCATAGAATGACTGCTTCTCCACAATTCGTTGGAAAGTGCAGTGATGCAGACATAACATTTTACGAAATGCCATCGGATGAGAATGACCGACGCGCATTTAGATATGCCATGATGAACTATGGAGAGTACGTTATTCCCTATACTGCAGTTTCAAATCTTGTTGTGTTCAAAATACCCTTTCTCTCGGAGGATTAATTGCTAACATTATCATTTCGACCTGATCTAGGACTTTGAATCAACAAGTCATCCAGGGAAGTAAATCATCCCCGTGGTCAGCTCTCGAAGAGAGATGCAGTTCCTGGGTTCCGGTCAATCCTCGCTTTACTGGAGGCGACGAAATAGGGCCACTCAGTTTCGCATCGGTATTCAGTCCCCAGAAGGAGGGAGCCAGAGAAGAGTGGTATAACGACTTCGCCGAGCGAGCTCAAACTCAATATGACCTCCTGGGTCATATCGTTGACTTGATGCGAACTTTGTGTACGAGCATCGAGAACTACTATGTGATTTTTGAGAACGAAGATCCCTGGATGGAAGCAGATAAGCTGGAAAAGTCCAAGCGCACATAAACCGGTGGAGGCTGAACATTTCATTCCCATTTTCTGAGATTGACATTCAACAATCTCCATAGTCTAAATGAGGCTTTTTTGCATCGGAATTGATGGCAAATCACAAATACCAATAGAAATCGTAATTTGGGTACCCGTGACAATTTTCCATAAACCCCACGGGCGGGTTTGTGAAATCGGTTACCCGCGATGGGTTACCCGTGGGCGAGTTGGAAATGTTGATTTATAGTGATGCTTCAGTGTTCATGTTGTTTTAGGGGAGTTGATTGTCTAAGATACAGGTAGACTGGTGAACAGGTATATAGGCATGCACGTGATCCCAGCCCACATGATTATCCCAGTAACCGTGATATTTCAACACTCCCACTCGCTGATATCCTTCTGACGAAGGAGATTAGCGATCTTTTATCACGGTTGTCAAGCCCCATTAAAACCTCCCAAAACCAGTGGTAAAAAGGAAGGAAAGGGTGCTTGCATGCCGGTCTTTTGTTTTGTTTTCTTTTAGTTTGAAGGCTCGTGTCTGACCGGGCTATTATTCAATGCCGAGGCCTTCTCGAAACCATTCAAATCTGTCTCGTGCAAGGGGCTTCGTGAAACCATCCGCTATCTGTTCTGACGTTGGGATATACTTGAGTTCCACTGTCCCGGCATCTTGGACTTCTCCTTGCCACTTTCGCTGGATTTCCATATGCTTTGTACGCGAATGATATTGAGGGTTTGAGGCCAGCGCAATGGCTCCCTGGTTGTCGCCGCAAATGATCGTTGCCCGTTGTCCCTGGCCCATATTCAGCTCGTGAAGGAGTCTTCTCAGCCAGATAGCTTCCTTGGTTGCTTGTGTCTGGCCTATGAATTCGGCCTCGCAGGTTGACAGGGCAACAACATTCTGGCGCTTTGATTGCCAGCTGATTGCTCCACTTCCAATGTTGAAAAGATATCCTGCCGTCGAGCGCCTTGTCTGGCGACAGCCGGCCCAATCTGCATCCGTGAAGCCACGGAGCATCTGGAGCTGGCCTTTATATGCGAGACTGAGAGATTTGGTGCCTTTGAGGTATCGAAGGATTCGGCGGGCGAGCTTCACATGTTGTGGACCAGGATTTGCCAAGTATCTGCTTGCCGCCGAGACAGCGTATGCGATATCGCCTCTAGTCCCAAGCATGACATACATCAGCGATCCGATCACGCGCTGGTATTCATTCTTCATATTCGACGGGCAGATGTATTCAGGGCCGTTTTCTGGTAGAGGTGAGGTGTCGATGGGTGTGCTGACAGGAGCACAGTCCAGCATCCCGAATTGCTGAAGGACTTTGCGCACGTAAGCCTCTTGGCTCAGATAGAGGATTCTGTTCTGCCGATCTCGTCGGATAGTCATGCCGAGATAGTAGCTGCAGGGGCCAAGGTCTGTCATATGAAAACGGTTTCTGAGGCTTCGCTTGATCTTCTTTATCTCTGCAATGCTTGGTCCGATGATCAAGAAGTCATCGACGTATACTGCGATGTACATGCTGCTCCGAACAAAGATACTGAGATCGGCGTTGATGGGCTCAAAGCCAAGATCTCGAAGGAAATTGGTCAGCGTCTGATACCAGATACGAGGTGCTTGCTTCAGGCCGTAGAGTGCCTTGCGAAGCTTGCAGACCCTCGATGTGCCGTCTGTAGCGTGATGAGGCTGTTCAACAAAGATCTCATGGTCTATCTCGCCATATAAGAACGCTGTTTTGACGTCCATTTGTTCGATCTCGAGATCCAGAGCTGCGGCAATTGCGAACAAGGCTTTGTAGCTCATTGGTTTGACTACGGAAGCAAATGTCTGATCATAATCGACACCTTCTTCCTGGGTGAAACCTCTGACTACCCATCTGCACTTGTGGCGGACGATTTCTCCGCCTGATCCTCGTTTGAGTTTAAAAATCCACTTCCCGCTCAGGATTCGGCGATCCCTGGGAGGGTCAACCATTTCCCAAGTTTTGTTTTGTTTGAGTGATTGTATCTCTTCGATCATTCCCTTTTCCCATTCGAGCCAGCGTGGATCATTCTTGGCCTGTCGAAGGGACTTTGGTTCGAAGGGTTCTATCTCTTCCGCCGCAACAGCCAAGAAGGTTGGAATGACGTTCTTGTCGGGGATATTCATCAATGCGAGTTCTTCTTGGTCATAACCGGATGTGTCTCGAAAAGTTTGTGTGTCACGGAGCTTGAGTTCAGGGTGGCGTTCCAGTGAGTCTTTTTGCACTAAGTGTTTTGCACCACCCTCTCGTAGCTCGGAATAATCTAGCCAATCTGGGATTCGCCCTTGCTGAGCATCGCCTTGTTGCTGGTCGCTACCGGGTGGTGAGTCAAACCTAAGGGCGGAATCCTGTGAAGCAGGTGATAAGGGCCCGAAGGTATCATCACTCCGTGTAGGCGAAAAGGTTATAGCTCCTTGGCCAGCAACAGCGGGCTGCGAGGTCTTATCACTCGACTGAGGCAGATGCACTTGCACTATGTCGTCCCATGATCCAGGCTGTGTTTGCTCTTGTGGCGCCAGGGATGCCTGACGCCCCGAGGCTGGCACGGATGCATGTCGCATACTGGCCGACGGTTGGTTTATTAGTCCCACCGTCTCACTCCCCCCTGCGGCAGCAGCCGTTGCCACAGGAAAGCTCTGCTGTTTGGCTCCCACGTCTTGTATGGTCTGCGTGGAGGGAGTGTTGAGGACTTCATAAAATTCTGCATTTTGCGTACCAATGATTCTGCCGTCTTCTAGCAGGATGCGATAGTTTGTATTACCTTCGTATCCCAATAGTAGACATGGCCTTGTTCTTGGTCCCGTCAGCTTCTTTCTTTGTTTGGGTGGAATTAGATACTCTCCCTTGGATCCTATGACTCTCAGCCGTGACAGGTCAGGCTTGTCACCATACCAAGCTTGGTACGGAGTCATATTGCGTTTGGATGATGGGGATCGATTTGAGAGGAATGCCGCAGTTCGCGCAATCTCCGGCCAGAATTTGGGCGGTAGTTTCGCATGCCTGAGCGTTGGTCCGACTCGGTCGTAAATTGTCTTGTGGGCTCTTTCCGCTACCCCATTCTGCTGGTGCTGGTCGACGCCCGTGACTTCGGCTCGGATTGCCCTCGAGAAGAGGGTAAATTTCATTTCTTCTCCCACTTGTTCCGGGATCCGGTCAAGACGAATGCGCCTGCATTTGCGCTCAGGGCGCTCATTGTGGTCGAGGAAGTACCGCAAGGACTCCACGACGTATTCTTGCCGTTGTGGTATGGGGACGATCTCAACCCATCCAGTATGGTCGTCAACAATGGTTAGCCAGTAGCGACTACCATCAAGGCCCTCCTCAAAAGGTCCTGCAACATCGATATGGAGGAGTTCCATGGCGTATGTGGCTCTTTTGCACGCTTCTGAACGGCGATGGGGGTTTCAATCATTCTTCCCTGAAGGCATGCGTTGCAAGGTTGGCGTGGTGTATCGTCCTGAATGCCGTGAGCTTGCTTTTTGAGTCGTTGTATGTTCGCACCGCTCATGTGAGCGAGCCTATTGTGCCAAAGTGCCGATTGCGGGCTGACATGGTAGGCTGGAAAAGCAGGTTTCGACCATAGGTCGAGTGCGTAGACTCCATGATATTGGCTCGCAGTGAACAGATTTCTCCCATCTGATTTGATCCGAATAAAGGCGCCATTTCTCGAGAAATCAATCTTTGCCCCCCGATTGAGAAGCTGCAGCACGGATATGAGATTCGCATGCGCAGTCGGGACGAACAAGACGTCATCTAGAACAAGCCATTTCTTTCTTCCTCGTACATTGCACAAGATATTTGCCACTCCTATGCCGGAAGGAGCCGTTGAGGTATCGACGCTTCGCAATGGTGGACCGTCATATTTGTCCATCTTAACGAATCTCAAGGCATTGTTACAGACGTGCTGAGCACATCCGCTGTCCACGATCCAGGCCTCACTGATCGAGGGAGCCTTCGTGACCATCATGCTGGGAATGAAATCAAATGTGGCAACATTTCCTTCAACTTCGGCTCCGAATGCTGCATTGATATCCTGTTTTGAGGCTTGTGTCGCCATAAACGTCGGTCTTTTGGGGTCTCTCGGTCCTTCTGAATCGTCGTCTTCATGATCCGTACTGGCCCGCCTTTTTGATGAATTACGATGGTCCGCATGCGCATCTTTGGGGTTTGATCTGCGCGTCGTTCTCTCCTTTCCTTGGTCCCTCGGTTTAGGGTTCTTCTTGAAACACTGCGGCTCTCTGTGATAGGGTTTTCGACAGAAAAGACAGAAGGGGACATTGTTGATCTCGATCCGGCAAGTTTTCCCATCTGGAGACGGTATGACTTTCTTGTCTTCAAGTCTTCGACTGAGTGTGAAGGCAGGAAGGGCATTTGCATCTGCGGGTTGGTTGCCCAGCTGTCCTTTTCTGTGTTCCTCTTCAATGGCCTTGTTCTCAATGTAGTCGAATGTAGGAGCTGCTTTGGTGATATTTCCGTCCTCATCTCTATCATTGACAATGTCCATTTGCCGAAAGACATGGTCGCGGAAACTCTCATATTCTGGACCTAAGGCATGGAGGAAGAAGAAAGTTCGTTCAATCTCAGAAGTGACACATGCGGGGTCGAGTAAAAGTTTCTCGACATGGATCTTTCTGATCTCGGCCCCGAGGGCTTGTGCACTCCCACATTTTGCCCGGGTAAGTGACATGTACCTCCTCTGAAGATTCACGTATGTTCCTGAACCTTCCGGCTTAAAGCTTTCTTTGACCGCTTTGATCAGTGACTGGACTCGGGTGATTTCGAAGGCGTTTATCCGCTGAGCCGCATTGTGGGTCAGCTTTGCCGCGATCATTGCCGAGTAGAACGTCTGGCGGTGAGACCATTGCTGCGCCTCCTCTTCTTCCAGAGGTGGGATGGCTTCATCCTTAGCCACAGGAGATATTCGAAGAAACTCCTTGACTTTCTGGTTCCACTGTGACCAGTCGTTGGCATTATCGAGTGTTGGTATGGCATGATAGAATGTGCTCAAGCCTATTTGTTCAAATTTATTCGAATCCATCGTGGTGGTTTTCAGGGCTCTTCGGTGCTAAAGAATTCGGCACTTGACGAGCCACTTGAGTGAATTGAGTGGACAGAAGGCGTGCAGTTTGACAGCTCGGGAGACCGCGCCTCAAGACCGAATAGTTCCAGGCTTGATATCTCGCTGGGCGGACTAGAGCTGATGGAGTGGGAATAATCCGATGAGCCTGGAGTAGGCGTATGCGATGGAGGAATGTATTCACTGTCCGATAGGTCGTATGGTTTGAGGTGATTGCGATACGACTCGAAGAAATGAGGAAAGCGGACGCGGTCAACCATATATCGTGGCTTTCGCTCTTGAAAGGTTGTCGGTCTGTTTGGTCGGAGGTTGTACCGATTTGAGTTATTCCCATTTGAGGTCAACGGTGCATGTCCAATCTCAGTGCTTGTTGAGTTGAGGTGATTTGGACCCTGCTCTGGACTGGAGAACGAAGGTCGAACTTGACGTGGAGAACTGTGTCCTGTGATATGCCGGGAGTTGGCGATAACAGGCGCAGCAGCGATCGCCCGGCGAGTGCGCTCTTCCAGAGGTAAACGCCTATAGGCCCCGCCGAGTGCGTGTCGGGAAAGTAATGGAAACTTCGCTTTTTGGATTTGCGAGAAGCGCCACTGGCGGATATATCGAAGATAGCATACCAAGTTGAGCTCTTCTTCAGTCCATCTGTGTCCCTTGTATGATCCTTTCCTTCTCGTCATAGGTCAAAATAGTGGAATGTCCTTTTCCGAGAATGCCAGGGATTTGAGAGGAAATGGATTCCTAGCATGCTACAGAGAGCAGGTCGTTTCTGGTGGCAATGTGATACGTCTGGAGCGGTGTGACGTTTGTAGCGGTGTAAGACGATGTTGTCTGTTGTGAAACATGTCTATAGACCATCATTGGTCTAACGACTTTCTGTAGCGGTGTGGTGGCTTTGTCAGCCTTGTGAGACGATTTCGCACAATTCGTTTGCCTGTTGATCCTCAGAAAAAATGTCTTCTCGGTTGAAGAACTAAATGAGAAATTCCAGTTCAGTCAATATATGTATGAAGCTTTCACTTAAGGGGGAAACTTAGGAGTAGAAAGTATTCTCCAGTTTGAGGTGAGCATTGCCGGGCTCATAACCTGTTAATTTATAGTGATGCTTCAGTGTTCATGTTGTTTGGGGGAGTTGATTGTGTTAGATACAGGTAGACTGGTGAACAGATATATAGGCATGCACGTGATCCCAGCCCCCATGATTATCCCAGTAACCGTGATATTTCAACAGGGTTCACCAAGGTCAAAACCCGCGATGGGTTACCCGTGGGCGGGTAAAGAAATTGAAAACCCGACCCAAACCCACGTTTGGCGAGGTCTAGCCACCAACATCCCCAGGAAGGATCAGTCACGTGCACGCTCCGGCGGTCAGACGGAAGGAGCAGGAAACTGCCTTCTAACCGTACTGTTGTATGGACGAGACTCCTGATGTCGAACCAAATATCCCTTATGACCCAACACATAGCAGTCCAGGGCTGAGATGCGCGAAGGCCAAGTGAAATTGATCTCCAAGATCTTCCAGGAAATGCTGGTGAGCTTTTGCGTCGTCAGGAGTCCGGAAATGCTGGCAGTTTTGATCTCAGACCCATTCTGTGTTGTGATACGAGGCTTGCGCAGATCAGGAACAAAGCCGCAACATCGGAAATAATCCCGGGTTGCCTATGTGAAGAATTAAGTTGATTTGCAATCAACTTGGTCTTCTCGTCGTATATATAGCGTCGTGTATCACCTCAAGAATAACAACTGAATGAATTCCTCTGAACTACAACAGGTTATGAGCCCGGGAGCAAACTCTCGAGTGCCGTCTCTACTCACTCTGAAAGCACCTTATTCATCTTGATTATATATATCTACCCCGCTTTCTCAGTCATCAATATGTCTTCTCTGGTCCATGACTCTCCCGACTGAGCTGTTACGGCTATCGAGCCTCTGACAGGAAGTGACAACTTCGCGACCTGGAAACGTCTCATAACCTCCTACCTCAAAGCAAGGCAGGTATGGGATGTAGTGTCGGGCGACCTTCAACGTCCAGACTGCCTGTTCAAGTAAGCCAAGCCAATCACGGCAGACATTAGCCCCTTGGTAGATTCCCACCTTAATAGGGCGGTGAGGCAGCGAGCTATTGACGTGCGCCTCGAGGTGGAGATCCAAGCGTTCGAGCGCCATCGTGAATGGTCGCGCCGCGAGGCCGAGGCCTACCACACCATCTTCCGGTACCTATCCCCCAATATCAGTATGCACGTCGTGGGATTGGAGACATCCCGCGACCTGTGGAATGAACTCGAAGAACGGTACCGACGCATGGAGCTCGCCACATTTTGCGAGCTGTTCGCCCAGCTTCGTGAAACGACTGGTGACTCTTGCGCCAGCGCGCGTGAATTTGTAGATCGCGTACGAATGCTGGTGCATCGACTGAATGCCATCGCGCCTGGATCAATTGGCGATAGGGCACATATTGCGATGCTGTTGACACAGATCGGACCTGAATATATCCTGATCGTGGACGGCATACAAAATGACAAAGACCCAGTCAATTCAACCACCATCGGAAACCGTCTGGCCAATGCCGAAACAGACGGTACGGAGAAAGGTCTCTCCCACGCCACCGCAAGGGGCAACGGGACTATCTGTCAATACAGTCCAAGCTAACACAAAGAAATGCAACCACTGCAAGAAGCGAGGCCACGTAGCCGCTAATTGTTGGAAAAAACACCCAGAATTACGCCCGCAGAGTGACTCTGCCGTCAAAGCAGAACGGAGTGCTTCCGGCTCACCAGGAAACACCATAATATCGTGAGGGCGAGGGTGACGACCCTTTATACCCACGCACCGTCACCCCGGGCTAATATCGAAGATATTACGGCGCACCCGGTGAGTATTCCCTCTCTAATCTGGCCATTACCGTACTGAATGTTCCGAAGTACCCTACGATGGTTGTGCAAGCGTACAAATTAGCCGCAAAGGGACTTGCAGAGGAAATTCGGAACTCCGTCTCCACCATCAATGAAAAACGTATTTCGGATTTGTCTCTTGAACTGCAAAATTGTCTACGAGAGTTGCGTGGACTACAGAACACTCTTGTCATGTATCCATTTACAGATCGGGACCTTGATGTTGATCCCTCTTGAGCTCTCGAGTAACCGAAGCCCCCTTACAATCGGGCAGCCTCACCGTCCAGAACAGTATTCAAAATTGCTCCGAGGGGGTCATTTTGCTACAAGAAATAGATATTTTTAGATTAATCCGTTTGTATTTTCAACTTGAAAAGATGCCCGTAGCACCGCCTTTCACGATCAGGCTTAGCCATGTGTCACTGAACAAGCAGAAAATCACAGCTGAAGAGTCTCATGCTTCTCCTTAATATGATATTAATTCCCCCGGAACCCGAGCACCCCACACCGGCACAAAATCATCTCATTTCTCGTTTAGGTTTTGAAGTTTATCAAAATGGTTTCGTCGAAAATTCTAGGGTTCGTACCGACGGACGAAGAGTACCACAAACACGAAGTTCTTTCGTACCTATAACACTTGTTGAGGCTTCATCGACGATTTAAGATTACGTGGTCCATAGTGTTAGGTGACTGTTCAGAAGAAAAACAGCAAAAAGCAAAAACAAAAAGGAGAAAACTAACAATAAGAAAAAGTCACATCCATTCACCACCACTCAATCACTATGATTATGTCATGCATATTTGTTCAGTCGACCAACTTTTCGACTCGAGAAGGCTCAGGAATTTCGCCAGCGTTTAACGAAATATACTGACGCTCATGGCGGTTCCCAAGCGTGCATTGGGAAGCAAGGTCACGCCATTGGCAATTAGGCAATTAGCGCATGCACCATTGAAGGTGCCAGGAAGGCGTACATTCCCGCCGAAGGGACGATCATTGGTGGAATACTCACAGGGGTTGGGCATCGGGTTTCCACGAGAAGTGATGAGGAGTGCGTTCACGTACGAGGGACAAGCCATCTTCATCTGGGAGCGAATTAGCATAATCATACAAGACCCTCTAGACTCTGATTTACCTGGGCCACCTTAACGCAGGGTTCACCATTAATCACTCCGATAGTGAATTCGTAACATGGCCAGGACCAGACCTGGCGCTGGATGAAGGTATGAAAGAGTGTACGGAGAGCTTCATTACCAGCTACAGTGAGCTAGACACGAACATACTCGCGATTGTTGTTATCGTGGAATCTGTCGAGGTGGTTGAGAAATTTGTTGCTATCAGGGAGGACCGAGGCTGGATCATATGTGCGGTGCGCAGCCACGGTGGAAAGTTGGCACGCGGATTGGAGATCTATAGCGGGCACATGCAACAGAGGAGAGATCGAACGAACGAAAGAAAATACGATCGAGGTGGTTGGTGAAACAGTTAAGTTTTAGGCGGGAGGAGAGAGCTCTTTATATTGCTAAGGATAGATGGTCAAAGGAGTTTAACATTACGCAACTATAGTTCCTGTTGACGCAAAAAGCTGAATTGGGCTATCAACTGCATAATGGTGATGTAATGGGAACTGATCAGGCTCTCAACTGTACGATAGCTGCCTAGAAGGAGAAGAACGAGGCCATTGTTATGGGACCTTCATACAAAGTTCTAATTTGGTGCACGGCCTGAGGCTTCACAAACAATTCTGTGGAATTTCTCTATCGCCTCTCGTCAAAACTTTACCTTGAGCGTTCTATTTTGCCCTCTTCTGTGTGAAATCTGCCTCGCCTGTCCAAGGCGCTCAGCCGTTCTCCAAATTCGTACATCTATTCTGTGCAATTCCTGCCCAAGTATCTACGCCGCTGTCCAGAATGTTGTATTAAATACACGTGATTACTGACTTATCCTAGTCGAAATGATGAATTGGTGGCAAGGACCAAGAAGCACCCTCCACCTAGGGCACGACGTGGTAGCCGCTCGGGCGACACCGACAGCGACAACCTCGACAATGATCGAGAGACACGGACGTCGATGTGCGAGTATTCGCCATTTGCAGGTGGATCCAATCCCAAGGCAAGGGGGCGCCCACTGAAAAGTTTGAAGAGGACAAAGGGAAACCAAGCAATGATATCTTCGGAAGTATTTAACTACTTGGGAGGAATACCGTTAAGGACGACTCCAGGAGTCACCACGGGGGTATACAGCGAGGACTTGATATATAAGGACATTCCTTCATGCATATGTATTTAGTACTTCGCGATCAATCAAACATTTTACTTAGATACACCTTTGATTCTGTCAGGAAAATAGTGATCGACATTGTATTGACTTAAACGGTACATCTGAGGTTTCCGAAGATATGGTATTCGGTATCGGGATTACGCGTACTTTTCGCCACCTTTCGCAACCTCGGAATGTAACCACCGAGTCACAGGTATTTTTGAGGGTATATTAACCCCCCTCAACCACCAACAGTTTCAGGAGAACAGAATCAACACTCTTTTGCATCTCTTGGTATTTTCCCCTTTTTGATTCCGTTGCCTTTCGCTGGCCAGTAAATCCAGTATATTTCCCTGACTATACAGGGCATTCCTGTTAGATTCTATCTTCACAGGTCGACCAAGCCAAACATCCTACAAGTAGGGGAGCTCGTCGGACTGACCTACTTGGCACACTTCGACTGGCGCACCTTTGCAAGCACCCTATAAGACCCGAGCCCGTATAAGGCGTCGTACGCAACGGTATGGTTGCGGACCAGCTTGAAGGCACGCATACCCGAGGCAAGTATCACCCAGGGAACCCAGTTTCACCGCGCCCAGCCAGTAGCGCGTAAAAGTTTAGTGCACCAGAAACCTCCTTGAGTCTAGCCTTAATTGACTTTATATACTATTGAGGCACAGGAAAATTGGGTCGCCTTCCTTTCATCTTCTCCTGATAAGAAGCCTCCTGTGAAGTAGCAATGTGATAGATGAGAAGATCGACTTTAAATAAAGACAAATCCTTCAAGAAAGTCCTAAAAACATCCCGTGACTCCTATGTCCATTCCCCATTCTCCCGGTGTAACCATAGGAAGGTGAGCGTATAATCTGCACCTTCTACTGGAAAAATAACCGCGACAGAGTCACCCCAGTTCTCAGCTTCCCAAGCCACTAGACCAATACCTTTTATCTTAGATTTCCCGCGATAAGATACCTCGTCCCCGGAGGATGCTTTAAGTTGATCGTCATATTTCTCCCTTGGTCGTAAACGAGCAGTTTGGGAGTTTTGGCATGTACTCAGAGAAGAACAGAAATGGCGCATTACGTTGGGAATACCTTACTAACAATTGGGGTCACTAGAGCCTCACACAAGAGTGCAAAATTCACCACAAATCTTAGTGAACTCCCTAAGAAGTCGCGTTGCAGTCGTCCATCAATTGAGGACTATAATAAATACAGAGAGTATCTTTTTCTCGGGATACTAATATACCGGGGTTCGGTGCGGCGGGCATATCCAAATTCTCTTGCCATTCAAAGAGATACTTTTGTGTCATTTTTGGAGATCTTAGCGATAGCCAAGAGGTTTCGAGTGACAGTCTTCCTATAATGACAGTCCTCCACGCCACAGTCTCTCGCCACACCACAGTCTCTCGCCACACCACAGTCTATCACCACACCACAGTCTATCACCACACCACAGTCAATCACCACACCACAGTCCCTTGCCACACCACAGTCCCTTGCCGCACTATAATCCATTGTCGCATTATAGTCCATCGTCATATTATACTACCTTTTCCGGCAATCAGACCCCTCTCCAAAATGAAGAACACACTGGTGAGGAATTAATGACTCTGTGGAACAATCTTGGGTTTCTGCATCTATTACTGCGAATTCTGACGAGGATTCTGGCTCAAACTTTCTCGACCCTGATTACGCATTTGAGGAAGAAAGCGAAATTACATTCGAGACTATTGAACCAGGCATCAGGCCTTCAACCGTTGTCCACGAGTTGCTGGAAGGTAAACGATATTTAGTATTCTATTTGTGGAACGAAAGAAAGTTTGCGAGATTCTCAACTGGTGACAGTGAAACGCCAAATTTTCGGGCAACTGCAAGTTGGCTGGCAGATCGAAACCAGATGTTCATGTGTTGCGTATCTGACATATGGCGGGTGATACCAATCAAAAATCTATATACAACCGCCATACAAGACAAACTCATTCTTGTTGGACCAAAAATTTCCCGAGCTGGAGCCGACCCCCCCCCTTATGGTCCATCTACGCAATGGTCTCTATCGTTTTATCGATCGAGCATATGATCGTGCTCTCATCGAGCCTACTCATAGTCATGGCAGACAAATGGCTTGACTTTCATCACAGGGACGACTAGAGCGCCAACTTCAGAGGCGTGAGAGAGGAAAACATGCTAGTTCGAATTAGCCATGTAAATTACTTTTGACCTTCACATACCTGTAATAGAGCTTGGATTGTAACTCCATTTCTCCGAGTCTCCTCAAGAAATTGGCGAACATAGACACGCGAATCAGGTAATGTCTGGATACTCGTCCTATTAGGATCTGATAGGCGTTCCTGGACGTAGGATCTCAATAGCAACATGGCCAATGCATTTAATATCATGTTGCTTGGATCCCCGATGGTGTTCGAGTGTATCGAACAGGGGCAAGCAAATGATCGGGTAGGTGACAGGGTCAAGAAATAGAGGTTCGATGGAACACCCAAA